CGCGACGGCGTCGAAGTAGAGCCTGCCGAGGTAGAAGCGCGCGTCGTGCTGCAGGCGCGCGGCGACGACGGGGTCGTGGGCGATGCAGGACGCGAGGCGCGCGGACAGCTGCGGGAGCGCGCCCCCGGAGTGTGCGAGGAGGACGCGCAGGCCGGGGTGGCGGTCGAGGACGCCGGCGAGGATGAGGCGCGTGACGGCCTACAACGACAGCGTTTTGAGACGACGGGCGCGCGGGGCGCGGGACGGTGCACTCACGATGGTGGTCTCGAACGGGAAGCCGAGCGCGAGCGGGAGGACGTGCCCGTTGTCCCTGCCGCCCCACTCCTTCCCGTCCACGCCGTAGTGCGGGTGGAGGAACACGACGAGGCCGGCGTGCTCGAGCGCGGCCCACACGGGCTCGAGCGCGTCGTCGTCGAGGCCGTTCCCGAGGCCGCGCGAGCCCATGATGACGCCCTTGAGATGCGGGAGGGCGGAGATCTGGTGCACCGTGTCGAGCAGGGACGCGGTGGTGACCTCTGGGACGAGCGGGAGGAGGCCGAAGCCGTACAGCTGCTTGAGCGGGCCCCCTGCGAGGGCGGGCGACGTCGAGCAGTACGTCTCGAGGTCGTCGTTGAGCTGGTGGGCGAGCTCATGTGCGGCGGGGGCGGACAGGAAGTCGAGCCATGGGTTCGCAGAGCTGCGGGGCGCGACGAGGGTCAGTCGCGATGAGGGCACGCAGGCGGGACGCAGTGACCTCACGATGGATATGTCTATTCCGTGTCTCTTCATGAAGTCGAGCTTGAGGCCCCTGTCCCAGTACTGTGCGCGCAGAAGACGGGTCACGCGGGATCACACCAGCAGGGCGAACGAGAATACCTGGGGGCCCATGGGGCGTCCACCGCTGGGCTCTGCATCGAGGATGAGGAGGCGCTCCTCGGACGCGCCGTCGGGGGTCGTGCGGGTGAAGACGCGGGGCACGGCAGATCGCGCGCGCAGGAAGGAGAGGTAGCGGGGCAGGTAGACGTGGGTGTGGACATCGACGAGCAGGCGTTGGGCGGGCGCGGCCATGGCTGGGGCTGTGATGCAGCGTTGCAGCGTCGTCACCAGCGCAGATCGAGATCGGCTTGGGACTCCTCCCGCGATGGGAGAGGAATGGCGCACGTGCATGCGCCTGCTCTCGACGCATCCGCCATCGCACTCTTCTTCGTCCGACGACACATGACGGCAATCCAGAACGTAGCCCACCGTCCGGGGGGTCATCGCACACCGCAAGGCATCGAAGCCCACCCTTATTTGTCGCATCCGCGCCAGCCCACGGGCCCGTAAGCACGACACAGCAGAAATGAACGTAACAAACAACGGGGCTGCTTCTCGGCGACCAAAGCTCTGTCTTGATATGGTCGCTCGTCGTCGTGTGCGGCCACACCGCATCTGCGCTCCCGCACATTCCCCATGCCCGTCGCCAATGGACAGTCTGAGTCTGCGCTGCGTGCACTGCAGGGCGAGGTAGAACCACTTTCTGGTGCTGCATGCTGTCAATCTCATCGGTGCTGCGCATCCGCCGTTGACTAGCTCCTAGCCGTGAGCACGACCCTCGCCAGGATCCAGCAGAGGTACACCGTGGCCATGTCCACGTCTGAAGAGCACACGAGTGAGTTGCAGGCGCGCATACGACATCTCGAGGCAGAGCGTGCGCGCACGTCTGCGGAGACGGAGAGACTGCGCGCAGAGAACCACGAACTGCGACACTTGCTCGAGATCAAGGGTCCGGACATTGTGCGGACCCTCGAGGCCCGCGATGCCGCGATGCAGAAATTGCATCGGGCTCAGAGATTTATCCAAGATCTGCTTGATGAGCGCAGGGTAAGCCCGATGTCATCATTGCCCGACGTCGTCGAGTCATACAGCGAATGAGCAGACCAGGTTGCAAGCCGATGGTGCAGCTGCAGCTGAAGGTTCAGGCCGCCACAGACCGGAAGCCGACTCCTCCGGCGACGATTCTTGGGATAAGGTGGAACCAGTAGAGCAGGACGCAGGTTCACGAATGACGGCCGCCGCCAAAGCAGCGCCAAGTAAAGCCGCCAACGCAACTCCTCTAGAGATCACTGCTGATCGGACCTCACTGAGTGAAAGTGCTTCAGGGTATAGACAGGGCGAAAGAACAGAGGCGGTTCACACTAAACAACCGGCACCACAGGCGCAGACGCGGGAAAACCGCGCTGCTGGCTCAAGTGCGTCTACCGCTCCGTTGCAGGATTCTGCTCTGGAGGGCTGGTACATTGAATATTCGAGACCCCCTGCAACGGCGGTCCTGACAACTACCACGTCTTTGACATACGCTGAATTGCAAGAACGTTTGCGACTTGACGATGAGACGGTGAGTGCGCCTCACGTGGATTATGACACAACATTGAATGTGGGGGTAGATGCTCTCTATCGAAAGGTACAGTTGGCTTGTGAGCACAGACTTGTAGTTATCGTGACCTTGGCTGTTCGCATAGCTTGGAAAACATGCAGACGCCCGGCATGCGTGTTCAAATCCACGGTGACTTGATGTTTTTGTGTCAACCTATAGTGTTGGAAGGCCCCGACTCGACATACCTCGTGGACTGGGGTGAAGAAGCAGTGAACGAAGGCACCGTGAAGTATCTCACGCAGAATGAGTGCAGACCAGTGAACACCGTCTTCCATGCTTTTGTGAACCCAAAGGCTCAGGTATGCATAGAGCTCCGCTCCACGACGCTAGGCAAACCATGTGACTTGCTAGGATGCCTGGTGGTATCTTGGAGCACACAAGTTGAGTCCCGCGGACACGCCCTCAGTATGGCACAAAATCATGTGGCAGAAAGGAGAGGCAAGTTGGCCCCTAGAGCTGCGTCGACCCAGCTCACCCGACCACTATACCCAGGAGCGCAAGGAATTAGCGTTGGTGCTGAGCGCGCGCTGGAAGGCCCCGCTGGGCATAAAGGACATTGCGCGGCGGATCCGCACGCACGAGCTCAAGCAGTGTTGCATCGAGCTTCGCAGCGATGGCTTGCGAGCAGAATCAGTCACGTTCACTGAGCGGGTGTTGAAAATGAAGTATCGCGTTCTGGACGAAGAGGAGGCTGGCTAGGTCGGACACAGTGGCTTTGTGTCCCATGTTCCTGTGGAATACGAGCCTTTGCATACAATTGACGTTCAGAGCAGAGCCATAATAATAGAGCGGCGGACAAGAGCTTATGTTGCCATTGACTACCGATTACGGACTGTTAGCCGTGGGGCGTTACGTAAGCCGGGTGTAAGACGCCTTGGATACGAAACAGAGCAAGAGTTGGATCAGGTTCTATACCGCCTCGACGATTCTGTAGTGTACGACCACCTCGGCTCTCTCCCCGCCGCCTTTCCCCCTTCTCCTCACCGTCTGCCACCATGCGCTGCTGCCCCTCCGCCGCGGGACGCGCCTTTACGCTCTTTACTCTCGCCATCCTTTCAGCACAGTCGTTCACGCTTGTCTACGCCCAGTCATCCTCTTCTGTATCGGCGCCGCCCATTTCTATCCCATCGGCTACCCCGCCCATCGCCCCCACCGACTCGGCGTCCGCCAGCGTCCCGGTCAGCAGCCCCGCCGATAGTGCTCCTGTTGTGTCCAGCACCAGCGCGCCCCCCTCGGACACCCCGGTCCCGTCTTCTTCTGTAACACCGTCAACCACCCAGGTTGCCACCTCGTCCAGTGCGGCGCCCTCCTCCGCACCGTCCTCTGCGCCCTCCGTCGCGTCGTCGTCCTCCGATGCACCGTCGTCGTCCTCTGTGATACCCTCTTCGACTTCTGCAAGCAGCTCGTCTGCGGTCGTCACCTCGTCCTCGGCCCCACCTTCGACGTATGTTGCGCGTTTGTCGAGTTGATGTGTTGTTGCTGACTCTTTTGAACAGCTCCTTGACCCCTTCGTCCACGCTTCCTGCCACGACCTCGTCCCAGAGCACGCTCATTGCTACTTCCATCAATGCACCCGTGCCGTATGCGCCGCCCGTTACGTCCACGAGCTACTACGATCCCTTGGGTCCCTCGTCGTCTGACTCGGGCATATCAACCGTGAGTGGTGTGGTAGGGGCAGAGTCAACCGGGTCTACTACTTCGAGTTCATCGAAGGGGTGCGTTCGTCCCTTGTGAGTGAATGCTGCTGGCACTGATAAACACATCAGCTTCTTCGCAAACAAGGCGGCCGTCGCCGGCGTGTTCACCGTTCTCGGGTTGCTAGGTGTAGGCGCCGTCCTCGCGGTCGTCCTGCGCATCGTCAGGCGCCGCAACCGCCAATACGACGACGAGGACACGACCTACTTTGGCGGGGGCATGAACGGCGGCGAGAAGTTCAACGATTCTGGAAACAACGCCGATGACAACGCCAGCATCAATGAACTTGTCACCAGTGCGGGACCGGGCTCATACCCCGACCGCGCCTCGCACTACGGCATGCCTGCCTTCGCGGACGACGCGCAACCCCGCGACTCGATCGTCGAGTACGCGAAGGGGACTGCGTATGCGGCCGCGAGGGCCCAGGCCGGCCCGTACCAGTACAGTGCCCAGGGCGGCGCGTACGGTGGAGACTTCACGAACGCCCACTACCAGGCCCCGGCCACCGCTGAGTACGGTGCCTATCCGGTGGCGGCTGACCCGTATAGCATCGCCCGTGCCGCAGCTGGCCAGCATGGCCAGCATCCGTACGCACACCCCGGTGACACGTACCTCGTGGATGCCCACTAAGCGTTGCGTTGGAGGTGACGATGCATGGTGCGTCAGGGGCGCTCTCATCGATGCGCCTTTCATCGCGCTGACCCGAGCATGACATGCTGCAGATACCCAAACATCGACCCTCCTTCCTGTACAACTAGCACCTGTCGGGAGCGAGCTGGTCTTGTTGTGTCTCCCTCTGAACTCCTCTTTCATCTCTGTGATATTTGGGCCGTGGGCCCACTGCGCTTTTATGTATTTTTCCTCGGGGTCGAACATTACAGACAGTGTGTAATGTGACTGAGCCGACGGTTCTTGTCCAATAGATGCCTTGGTGCCATCGCCTGCCCACGTCGCACACATCGAGTTGCGATTCCGTACATATTGCAGGCAATTCTTTTCCCCCCAATGATCCCTTATGTTCTCTAGTCGTCGGTGTGTTATGTCATGTTATCCTGGAAAGTCCTCTCCGTTCCACCACGCGCGAGTGATCGAACAACAGCTATAATGTACAACATCCAGGAAATGAAATGGCAGGTGAGGCAAAAATGAACTAAACATTCCAATTCAATCACCGAAGCGAATCGATATGACAAGATCAAACAAGGCGAAGGCCGTGAGTATGAAGCTGTGCATATAAATCAACGCGGTATGCACTTTATAAACGTCAGACTTCCAGTTGCACTAACTCCTTGAGGCGCTTCAGCTAATCTTTACCTGTCACACTGTGTCTTCAGGAGGACCCGCCAGGAGACTGCTTACCGTTCCTGCAGATGGCTAGACGAAGATGCTTGCCTGGTGCCGTTCGTGGACTGAACACTACCTCCGAGATTGGGGCTTGTCTGGTTCAGAATCTGTCCTGGAGTTGAACGAACTGAATTTCAAGCCCCGTGCAGTATATATGTTAACACTTCGCTATGCATCTTCTTTACCAAAGCTATGTCGGACCCAAGACACAGTGGTAATTGCCAACTGGAAACCGCCGTATCCTACCACTACTACTTTGTACCCCATGTGTCGATTACGTCTACCAGTGCCTGTGCCTCCTCGCTATGGTCAAACTTCTTTGTCCTCTGGTTCCATGATGTATGGACATCAATGAAGCGAAGTGGCTCGCGAATACCGGCCTTCACAAATCCCTGGCAGTCCTTCAGGCCCACTACGTTGGCGGCATCACATCCACCCTTCGTCCTTATATGCAAGCAAGGGTGAATGATAAAAGCACCGAAAATTAGCGGATACTCACCTGCCGTAATCATCCGTAGCTTTCTCGTGAGGAATCTCTCCACGTTCCAGGGCCTGTTTGAACGAACCCTTTTGGAAGTTGGCTCCTTCCATCCACTCCGTCTCTAGAACAAAACCATTGGTCGGTGCCTTGGATCGTTTGACAGTTCCTTTCAAGAAGGAGAATTTGCCCATCGGAAGTCCAGCATCTACTTCTGCGCGAAGGTAGTCGTCCATCAACTTCTGGTACTGGCCATCTTTCTCATAGACCTTCCAAGCACGACCGTCAACCTTCCAGATTCCCAATGCCTCACGACTCGCTTTCCTATCTTTCCATAGCAAAGTCTTTTGAACTAGTTGGGTTCCTTGGTGATATGTGAACACAACGTCCTGAGACATTGCAGCTGAGGAGTGTTTAATGTCAGGCCAGCATGTGCGGTAGGGAAATGTTAACTTACGGTGCTTAGGGAGGTGGAGATAGTGACCACGAACGCCGGGGCCGGTGAACGACCCGCGCGTATATATTCGTGTGCGGCACCTGTTCATATTGATGTGATAACTGCATATTTGCGATACCATTGTCAGTTTTGACATAACCGTAATTCCATTAGACGCAGCCGTACACATGATATGAAGGTTCAAACGTTCACTAATCGAACGACGGCCGGGACACCAAACCCTCGCGGAGCATCGAATGTCATTCAATCACGCAGCAGGACCCGTGGTCTCATCAGGTGCCACGGACATGAGAATCCACTTGCGCCCGTCACGGGTGTACACTGGGTAGACCGTTCCAAAGACCTTGTCCGCCATAACATGCTTCTGCAACTCCATCCTGCGAGGGGAGTGAGCCTTCTGCGAGAATGACTGCGAAAATTATTGTGAAAGATGGAGGCGTACATATCATCGAACTCCTCGTGGTTGAAGGGGGTAACGGCTTTGCGAAAGAATTGAGTGTGCTACATGGGTTGCCAGTCGTGAGGAACGTTCCCAAGAAAGAGGTGGATACATACCGCTAGGCTACGTTCTTTATGCTTGAGCACCTCGAATCCGCCAAACCGACTGTCCTGAGAGACGACTTCAAAATCGTCGTGATCAGGGTGCTCCAGATTCATTGCGTCCAGTGCTTGTGGTCGAAGACTGAAGCTTGTGCCGCGGAGTCTCAATGATGTCGGTTATATACATACTACGTTGGCGCTCCAATGCATATTCATTCTTGGTCATGGGCAAGCGCGACAAGACGACATCTCAGCCAGCCGTCTCACTCGTCCTTCCTCCGTCGATATACCTCGGCCCGTGTTCAGCAGCCTCATCCAAAACATTTCTAACAGCAAACTCGGTATCGCATGTCCTGAGTGTCGGGGCTAGTCCATCGGCGAAGGTCGATGGCGTGACCTACCACCGTATCTCCCTCAGCGACTCTCCGTCGTCGTCCATCACGAAAGTCTGCGATTCAGCCTGCACGATCATTGACGCTGCCCTTAAATCTAACAATGGTGCAGGGAAGATCCTCATCCATTGCTCGGCAGGGATATCACGCTCTCCGATGGTCGTCGCGGCGTATCTCATGAAGCGGCGCGACATGTCCCTTAAGGCCGCGCTGAAGCAGATCTTGCAAGTCCGGCCGCAGGTCTCGCCCAATCCGGGCTTTTTGCAGCAGCTTAAAGAGCTAGAGATGGAGTTATTCGGAGTCGTGTCACTGGATGTGGACGAGCTTCCGAAGCGGGAAAAGGACCGCCTGGCGCTGTTTGAGGATGCGAAGGACACCGCAGCTATTGGCGGCTAATGCATGGTGCGAGAGTGGGTTCCATTCGAGAATCCTACCCAGTACGCGTTGAGACTTGTCGTGTAACAGTATATTTGATAGTTTACATCTAGAATGCATGTATCCATATGTCGATCGAGTATCTCGCCATTCTTCTGGTATACCGTACCTGGTATGTGCACACATAAGAGTCGTTACGTTACGGCAACCTGAATTACTGGGATATAGCAAGCTGGACAATATAAGGTCATATTGTTGCTTCAGAGACACCGGTCATGTATGTCATAACAGTATGTGGCTGATCTTACGCTCTCATTGTCCACTTGCTACTTGCAAGTCACAACAAGGCCAGATAGCTGCAACGTAGTACGTCGAGCTATTCGCCGTTGGCTTAATGTATTCGTGGGTCGAACACTACAAAGAGTTTATAATGTGACCGAGCAGACGCTTAGACTCGTCCAGTGTGCCATCGCCTGTCCACGCCACCCGCATGCACGCCACATTTCATGCATGTCGCGCGTAGTGATTTCGCTTATCTCTCCATGTTCTAGTCATCGGTGTGTTCATTATGTTGAACTGGAAAGGTCGCTCCCGGTCCCCCGTACTTGATTAAATAAAAACCAAGTGCATAAAGTCAGTCTCATAGTGTACAACATCCGCAAAATAAGATAGCAGGTGAGGCATGGCATGGGATAAACGCTCCAAATCAGCCGCCGAAGCGCGCACTCATGGAAAAGTTGTTCGCCAAGGAGCTGGGCAGAGCAGGAAGGCTCATGTCCCGAAGGCTCATATCCCGCAGCGGTTCGAGGTCCTTCATGATCATACTCAAGCGGCCCATACCGAGGCGGTCCTTCAGGCCTTTACCCTCCGTCATGCCGTCCTCCGAGCTGTCGTTGAAGCCCTTCTCCGCCTGGCCCCAGTCGCTCCTTTGCGCTAGATATGGCCTGAGAAGCGAGGACTCGATGCGTCCCAGGTACCCCTCGGTAATGTACGACCGCAGAATGTCAGGCCTGACGAGGAATACGTTGCCGAGTTGGCGGATGAACTCAAATCGTTCATGGAGGGAGGGTATCGAGAACGTGCCGATCGTATCTTGGTAGGACTTGATGTCTCTGAGTGAAGTGAGAAGGCCATGGGTGGGTGCACACATACATCAGTAGAGCATACACTCACTTTGCGAGCATCAGACCTCCAGTCGCACTGACGGGGAATTTCTTAAGGTGGTCAAGAAGAAGGCTATACGACGTCCAGTAAATCAGTAGGTCATAAGCTCACACAAACCTGCGCACCTGTGGAAAGCGACGCCAATCTCGGACAGGAAAACCTCCAGGTTCTTCCCGCTCAGATTGGCCTTCGCGGCATCCCGGACTTTTTCGAGCATCTCGCAACAGGCCATGCACGGCTCTGTGTTTACCCGGGCGAACGAGAGATCGTCATTACGCGGCTTGAAATCGTTCTTTTTCTGCTTCGCTAGTTGCGTAGAGAGCCAATTGAGAATCACTGTTTCGATGTCAGCCAATACATCCAAAGCAGTACAAGGGTCAAGAGACTACACACCATCTGCCATCCGCTGCATGAAGTGGTTGGCAGCACCCTCGATACGGCTAACAGACTGGTTGTTGAACACGACCATTTCTCGACGCACGGTTACAGAGCTGCTAGCTAAGGGCAGGAGCGCCATGTTCACATAATGTTGCCATAGATGACAGATGAGGTCGACTTCGTGTAGTATTGTGAGTGCTTGCAGGGATGGTTCGGACCTGGTGTCCGCAGCTTCCAGACGCGCATTAGCACTAAAGACAGGGACATACTGTCAGTTCCTTATTGTCTGGCACATGGTAAGCAAGTTGCATACGTCTCCAACGCAGTCTCCACATACGCGCTCCCGATTGCAGCAGCGAGAACCCTGAGCAAAGCAAAGGAGTGCTTGGGACTAGCAATATCGCGTGAGCAATGTCATAACTAGCATGCAAACAGAAGTTAGCCGCGTACACATCGGTAGCGGGACTCATCTCCACACATCGACCGATAGCCTCCGCATGCCACTTCAGCATCTTCTCGGCGACCTGCACGCTGACCTGACCGTCTTCCTCGCGCAGAGGTTCTTCCTCGACCTTGTTTTGATTGCGGTCCCCGCCCGATCCGAAACCACCAAACCGCATAAGCGCCGCTGCCGCTTGCGCAGAAGTCGTGGATGTGCCTGACTGGGACGTCGTCGCCGCAGTGGCGCTCAGCTGGTTGACCACACGATCAAACATTGACGATTTCCCCCCTTTATTGATGCGTTCCTGCCGCCGCTTATGAGCACCCACAATGAACAGCGAGGCAGAAACGAAGAACTTACATGGAAGCGTGTATAGAGGGACAGGTAGCGTGCATACAGCTCGCTGAGGCTCTTGCTCTCCCGGTCGAGGTACCTTTGGCCCTCTGTATATGGCACGAAAAGCTCCTCCATAGCGGTCTCGAGCATAGTGCTCACTGTGGCCGCCGTAGTCGAGACAGCTGATGTTGATGCTGAGTTCAAGGTCAAGTTGAAGTCGCTCATGTCGGACGGCGACCGCGGGATTACGGATGACACCTCGTATGCCTTCAGATCCTCTACAAGTAACGATGTTTGCTGATGGACTAGCTGGAGCATACGCAGGAAGGCGAGATCGGATTGTGTGGCAGCTCGGTTCACGAGCTGCTCCATGTATTGCTGGATCTACATATACTGATTAGTAAAATGCCGTATGAATATTACATCGAAGCACATACAGGCTGAGCGAAAATGCGCTGTAGGAAGACTTGCATAACAAAGGGCGGATTGGGAAAGACTGCCTGCACAATTTGCGCTTCCTGTCCAACAGTCGCGCGGATCTCTTGGAAGAGTTCGTGCAGACCAGACTCGGTATTTGGTGGAGGGACGTCGGGGTTGGGAAGGGTGTACCATCTGTTAGAATAAGACATTGTGGTCATCATCGGCGGCTTTACATGTAACTGTTAGGAGGACAGACAATTGTTCTTCCATCTGGCCAGTCTCTCGAACACGGTTGATGAAGAAGTCATGTTGATTTACATAGACCTGGACGCATGAAGCACCTCCGTTAAAGTCAAGCAGCGTTTGTGCACAATGCTACGCCCAAAGGTGAGGAAGGCTCTGAGTGACGAAGAGGGCTACTAACATGCATCGACTTTGGGTCGCCTTTGCGATACGCTCTGTCGAATAGATGGAGCATGTCCTTCTCGAACTTCTCACAATATCTGTCGATGTTCTCTCTCGTCTGGCAGAATATCAACGTGATTCCGAGATGAGTTGTGAATCTCTGCCAACCTTGTCGGCGTGTGGTAGGTCGACCTCCTTTGCGACGATATTTAGTCGCCTCAGGAGGATTGCGACCTTGCGCCTGCCCTCTTTGCCTTCTTTCTTGAGTGCTTCAAGACGGGTGGTATCGTCTCGTGCGAATTGATTATAGAAGTCAATGAGGTCATATGCTGCCTGTGCTCGCTGACGTTGTTGATGGACCGATTCCAATTGTTCACCTGTAACACGGTTACCGAGGACACTCTATGAAGCGGTACGCGCTCCTACCAATTCGAATCGCCGTGCGTCCGACTTCCGTCATCTTCGTCTCCATACCGGAGAAAGATTGTCCAACTGACTGCAATGCAGGGATGAGCTGAGACAACACAGTATAGGCGTAGACTCACTTCGAATCCCCTATTGAGCTCGGCCATCTTCTTGGTGTATTCCCGCTCAGTGGTCCGGACAATCTTCTCCATCTTCTCTGATTTCTCCTGTACATCCTTGCGCACTGCGATCAGCTTGTCGACTGCAGCTTCGAATGTACGGATGAATGGTTTCGGATCGAATGCTAATATGCGGGGTCAGCGCGATGGTGAAGGCCTTGGTGTTGTACGCACGCCCCGGGTCGGCCTTGGATTGCGCAATGAGCTTCTCTGAAATAGTGCCTACAAAGTCCTTCACGTCGAACTTGCCCTGCAGTCCCCGACATTGATAGTTATGCGCCGCGTTCGTGGACACCGTCACTGTCTCTCACCTCGAAGGCCTCTAGCTGTAGATGCTCTTGGACACGAGGATCTAGCGAGTGTGCAAGAGCCATAGTGGGGCACGGACCTCCGGGACAAGTCCAGGAGTAATCTCAAATAGGTCGTAATTATTGGCGGAAACACAGCCTGTGGTCGCCGCCGGCGACTTGGGCAATGAGCCGGCCAATTTCGCGGTGTCTTCGATCGTCCCTCACGTGGCATGCTTTGATGGCCGGGAAAGCCAAATGTTTTCGAGCAGGAAGAAGTCGAGCGACGTCTAACGATGGAGGACGCTCACCAGCTCAGGTCTCTCCTTCAGCTCCAGCTTGCCTCTGACCCGTCTGCTGTCCTCCATCTCCCATATGTGCTCGAGACAATTACTCCGGAGCACTTCCTTCCTTCTCCCCACACTCAGAAATGGACCACTCGCGTCAACTCGCTACTTCATTCCAAGGACGCGGGAGCACGCTGGAGCGGACTATGCCTGGCTCTCAGGACCTCAATGTACTCTAAGAGTCTTATGATGGAATGCGCACAAGGTTGGGTTGGCGTTGCACTACCTCTGCTCTCAGTCCGTGTATCTATCTCGCAATGCAGCTCTGATTCTCATGAGGATTTCTCATGAAGAAAGATGAACCTGTGCCTATTTTAAAGGCGGCTATAAGGCTTCTCAGACATATATTCTCCAGTGCTCTGGATGTCGCCGAGTTTCAACGCCTACTTTGTACGCCCAATGTGCCAAAGGCCAGTGCCGCCTTGATTTCGATTGCAGAAAAGCACAGAGAGCAAGAGCTCAAGGTGAGGATTATTATCGCGGATATATTGTCATTCCTACTTGACAGACGTGCATAGACTTTGGCCTTTGCTACACTCACTCACCTTGTTTCGCTCTATCCGACACTGCACCGCAGTCTGCAGACATCCTTGACATCCCTTTCACTAAAATATCTCAACGGCTCGTCCCCAAGACCCATGCCTATTCCGCTGGCGAATTCTGCTTCACGATTGTACTCCGTCTTGCACGTCACAGGAGGAAAAGTCGGTGCAGGCAATCTGTGGCGCAAATCACTTGACGAGACATTAGCGTTCGCATGGGGTGCCTTCTGGCATTTGACAAGAACGCACCCATCGCCCGGTATGTATTGCTCACTCGTTAGCGACAGCACGAGACTTAGCCTCCTCGCAGACCGTAAAGCCCCTGTACAGCAACCTGCAGGATCAACAGACGATCCGCTCGTCTCGATACCTCTCAGCCTTGATCGGTTACGTGCCGCAATAAACATAATATGTGATCACTTATGGTATGTAGTTTCTGAGTGCCCTCACGCCACGACTCGATTAACGAAAGTCGCAGCGCCTTGACGTCCCGGCCCGTGCAGGTCCCAGTGGGTCCCCTTGTTCAGCTATGCCTAGCTATGCTGCGCTGCATCCCAGATGAAAAGGTATTGTTCTCGCATCTCTTTTGAAGTCTGTTAACGCAGATCGGTAGATTGAAGGACACATCGACTCGACTATGCGTGCTATGGAAATGTCCGTCATCCCTAAAATATGGTCATTAGGATGTACCCTTCTTCAGAACTTATCAAAAAGGTAATGTAGTCACTTATGGCTTATCGTGCGATGTATACTCACGGTCCGTAGCGTGCGCCTTCATATTACGCCGCACGTCCCCCAACTTGCATCGCATGTTGCGTATCACCTCGAGCAGCAGCGCGCACCGTAAGCGGACACCGTCTTAATAGCCATTCACGTCACTGAGTTGTAATTAGGTTGCAGCGTCTCCCATTCCTCCGTGCGATAGCGTCGTTGCTACAATACTGTCCCTACTTGCATGACATGACCCTCTCCTCGCGCTTGGCACGAGCCGTCCTGCCATCGTTAACCGTGCTCTTGACAACACAATCGCAGACGCAAATGGATGCGGATCCCGCGTCAGCGAAGGGCAAGAATAAAAGAAGCAGGAAGAGAGCCCGTGGGTATGAAGGGGATGAGGTCTTCAAAAATAATGCAGAAATCATGTGTCCGACAGTGGAGACTGGGGAGGTCCTACTGGCTGCATTGGACGGTAAGAATGATCCTCGTATCATCTTGTCACCGAGGCTGACTCCCTCGTGCCGCCCACAGCCCTGAAATCGCTGCTGCGGAACGCGCAGCTAACCCCTGCTATCCATTCGATCGCTGCCCGCGTCCTTCTGTCCATCCACCTATCCTTGCCGTTGATCCAGCCTGGAGTAGTTTCACCCGATGCATCGCTACATGGAAGGCTGTCCACGCGGGTACGCGATGTCTGCGCCGAGATTGCCACCGGAACAAGTAGCACTATGAGCAAAAGCCTCCCGCTGATCATCGGCACTATGGGCCCCTCGAATCTCAATGCGGTGAGTGCAACTCGCCGGCTCCTTGTAATCTATTCTTGCACGAGTACGTGCTCACTAAACTGTTTTTGGCACAGTCTAGCACAGACGTCGCGCGTGGCGTCGATTTGCTCCTGCACCCACGCGTACCACCGCTAGTGCGGCCACTCCCGCATGTAGAGACGCTCGCGTTGTTCCGCGAAGAAGAGGGCGACGAAGAGGCTATGACACGCGGGTCAATGGGCGTGCGCACCCTATATGACAGCTTGCCGGCACCAGAGGCACTGGATCCCGCGAATGCAGGATCCGCCGCGCTGACATCCACGCCCGTCGATAGGAGTCATCCTGCCGAATTTACATCTGCGAACGTGTCGGCGCCTGCAGTGTCATCCTTCCCGATGTCATCGACCCAGCACCCAGGGTACGGCGCCGAAGCAAATCCGATCTCATCAGCCCCAGCAGACAGCGTTCCTGCTGTCGCACAGGCTTCGGAAACCACCGTCTCGGGCCATCGCGTCGAGAAGTTGCCAGTGTCCTCGTTGCTGCAGGCTAATGTACCCCCACCCATGCCAGTATCCGTAAGTGGTACGTCTCAGCACCCAACGCCCACCTCGAGATCGGTGGTTTCAGCCCCTTCCGCACCGACATCATCATCGGCTCCCGCCCGCCCGTCGATAAGACCCACGCCTTTGGACCAGGACGATGAAGACGAGCCCATGCCTACAATAGATATGGACTCCGATTCTGACGGATAATATACACAGGCGTATATGGTTAGAATACTCAGATTTTTCGAATACAATAATCCGCGCCGTCACCGGCGCCACAGGCGATTAAAGCCCATTCCTTTCTAAGTCTTTACCCGCTTCCGACGCTGCTCGCTGCGGTCTACCGTCATGCTCTCGTCGTCTGACTCGGGTGTAGCTCGATCATGTGCGGGCTGTGTAATGGTGGGAAGCTGGGGATGCACACAACAAATGTTAAAATAGTTACAGGTCCGAAAACAGAAATAATGTACCTGCTTCAGGAACCCTATCGCAACGCAGTTGTCGGGATCGATGGATTTGGCACGCTCGAAGTGGCTCTGTGCAATTGCTAAGAGGCCCATGTCCCAAGTATGGCCTGGAAATGGCTGTAAGGCACTGTAGCCGCAATAAATTTCAATTCTATCATAGTGGCGTACCCTCGATTGAAACTTCTGGATTGGGCTTCGGTTGAGCTAGATATACTGCCAACAGGCCAGCGTAGACATGCAAGACGGGATTGTCCTGGAATGGAAAAGTAGGCAGATTTCTATTGGGGACCATGAGTCCAGCTTGCACAGCAGGTCGGAGTATCACTAACAAGTCCAATTCATCTAAAGCTTCCCTGTGCATTCCCGCGCGTATGAGCCTTAACGTTAGCTCCTTGAGAATCAGTTCGCGCTTGGAACACGCCGAGTCAGTGCATAGAATTATGATCCACCGAGTAAGGGGCAAAAACCTCGTCAAGATGCTGCCTCATTGCAATGCGAAGAAAATTTATCTTCTCCTCATCTGAATCGGCGTCGTCCGGTGGTGCATCCTCCCCAAGTAGGCCGACAGCTGTCGTCCACATATCCCGCCAGTGAATTTCTTTACATCGTATCAAGATCGCCCACGCTCGCCGAGCGCGTTCAAGGTCATTGCGCAGCAAAGACAACTGTAGGATATCGAAAAGGCGGCGAATGTGCACCTTCCGCGCAGATCTTGGCTGCTTCGAGTCTAGCGATGCGAAGAGGAAAGAATGTTCAACGGACGACATGCACCATAGCAATGGATACTGTAAGCTTAGAACAAATCCGGAAGTTGGTTAGCAACTCAGCGGCGCTATGGGGCGCGGCAACGCGCGTGATGCAATCGCCTCTCCGCGACGCAAGCAATGCACCTACCTCCCTGCGCCCACGACTCGTTCGACGTTACTCTACTCACTCAGCGCCCATGGACGACGACCTGTCGTTTGGCGCATCAGTCTGGGGCGCGCCCGCATCACCCTATGCCCTCAAACCCATCGCGCCCGCATTCTCAGCCACCACTTCCAGCCAAGACGGCTTTGACGACTTCGACGCATTTGGGGCACCTGAGGAGACGCCTGCTACATCGGGCGACGACGCAGATGATGATTTCGGAGACTTTGGAGACTTTGGGCAGCCGCAGGAGATGGGCGATGTTTCCGCCTTTGGCGACGAGGACGCTTTCGGAGAGGAGGTGCGGATACCGCGACCAGGCCCGTCATCAGCAGATTGGGAACCACTCCGACTGGATTCACTGTCGTCAAAGCAGGACCTGCAAGAACAGGTCGACGAGCTGCTCGGTCCACTATGGGCGACCATCGACGAGTCTCAACTCTTCGATGAGGACATTAGACAGGCGGGAGGGCTGAATCAGACGCTAACGACTCGTGAGAGGTAGCTATGAGCCAACAATATATTCCCGCACTTGTATCTTAAATCACAGATTGCTCCAGCCGCGACCTGTTCCAAATACTGTTACCCTCCGCGCCACCCGCCCTGCCACCTGTGAATTGGACGCGGTCGCGTATCCGGCGGCGACATCTCATTTCACTCGGCATTCCCGTAAATCTCGATGAAGTCCTCCCGAAGACAAATGGCAGATTGCCGGCCCTCGAAATCACAACGAGACCGATGTCTGCGCCTCCTGGGCCGCGTACGGCGCCTGTACAGAGATCCATGGCAGGTGCGGGCAACCCTCAGGCAGGAATGTCGCGTCCTGGGACGCCTCGTCCGGCCACTCCGAAGACGAGCGTGGGCGCTACATCCTCTGTTGCTGCTCAGCTGCGGCTTGGACCGCGGCCAGAACTAGACGAATCAAAAGTCACAGAATTGCTTGCGTTGGATCCAGGTGCGTTGCCTGTGCGTCAAACGCACACACTGAGCTCATGCATTGCGTACGCCCTGGCAGATAACTTAACCCTTCTGCCCATATCCGCGCTAGAGAAATACTCTGCAGACTTACAGATGCAGACTATCAATACGTCGTCGGTACTTACCCACCTGTTGCAGACACGAGATGCCTTGCGGCAGGACTCAGAGACATACAACAAGCTGATTGGAGAGCTTGTGGGGGAGGCGCAAAAAATCAAGACGGGGAAACGAGTTGCTGGAGGCAAGAGAAGTACCATGACATAGTGTGTCTATACCCGCGGTGTATTTGTCCTGGACGGCGCGTCAACGCATGCGATCATTGTATCCAGCAATCTGCAAATTCATAGGCCTCCTCGCTGTAGATGAAAGAGGACATGTGCTGAGGCAGGTCGTCACGACCCCACCGCAATCTCAAGTGGTCAGTCCTCAAATGCGGAGCTCCTTGAGTCTTGATAACATGCCATTATAATCATCCGCATACGAACCAGAAGGGTAGGGACAACCATGTTATCTAGGGATAATTACAACCTCGCAATGTCCGAGGTCATGGGAGCAGATATTCTGATAAACGCATGTTCTAGAGTAGTGACCGAAACGTCAGTAGCTTCAAGCTTATTGTTGATCGTTGTAGTAAGAGTCTCATTCGGGGATAGATCGGTGAATTTGCAGAAGCTCGGGCGTCTATGAGATGATCTCAATACTCGATCAATCACGTGTAATTTCCTAATGTCGAAATTTTGCGACAAGCGCGCCGTCCGATCATCTCAGCGCGTCCGCGGAATCCTCCTGAGCTCTCTGCTTGCCCTTGGGGCGCATTTATTCACTGGGCACCTTCTTGCGATACTTGACCCACCATGAACATTTCTCGGTCGTATCCAGCTACCGTGGCGAGCATCTCCTTCTCATTCCTGTCTGCCGAGGATATTCGCCGAATTTCGGTCAAGCAAATAGTCAACCCGGTCCTGCTCGATGACTTGAACCGACCTAATGCAGGTGGTCTTTACGACCCTGCGCTTGGCCCAAGTGACAAGCAAGATATGTGTGTGACTCCTTCTCGTCGTCGGCGCAATGTTCCTGACCTTTTAACCTAGCTGTGCGACATGCCATCTCACGTACTTCACCTGTCCTGGTCACTACGGTCATATAGAGCTCCCCGCCCCCGTCTTCCACCCTCTCTTCATGAACAATATGTATCATCTTCTCCGCGGCGCGTGTCTCTTCTGCCATAAGTTCAAGATCGAGAGGAAATTCGTGAGTAGATTTGTCGAAGGTACCCCTTGGCCATGCGTTGACAACCATCTACCCCCCAGCTTTGCCGCTATGTTGCGAAGCTCCGCCTCTTGGAACACGGCCTTCTCATTGCCGCGCAGACTCTCGACGACGTGCATGTTAACGTCAAGAGGTCGAAGAAGCGTCTGGAGGAGAATGAGGAAGACGAAGAGGTGATTGAGAGTGACCACGCATTCGAACAGAGGATAAATGCCTACGTCGCTGTCCACCTTGCTGCCGCATCAAGTAGCAAACGAGACTCCTACAAGGATGGTCAGGTCTACCAGGCGCGCAAACAACTCATCGAAGAATTCCTGAAGGCGACGATGGTGAAAAAATGCAAAAACCCTGGCTGTGGAGCGTGAGTGATTCCATTCTCATTTGTTCTTATCCAGAGGCATTAACGTTGCGTAAAGATTTGCGTACACGTTCCGAAAAGAGGGATATACCAAAATCATCGAGTATGACCTATCACAAAAGCAGAAGATGCAGCTCAAATTCATCGGCGTGAAGCGCCCAGACATACTTGCTGAGCAGCAGAAAACCAAGAAAGCCACTCAGGAACGCACTGATTATGCCATGGATGTGGACTCGGACGAGTCCGAAGAGGAGCCTGCTGGCGATGATGTGTTTTCCGACGCCAACGAAGAGTCGGAAGACGAAGAGGAGGCATCTCGTCAAACCGAGGGACGCCAGCTCCCCAAGTCCGCTAGTGGGAAAGTCAAGACCTCGCGTGGGCGAAACGAACGTGTGATGCCCCCAGAGGAGTGCCGAGCACACTTGCGACGCCTTTTTGCGAACGAGCCCGTCATCTGCTCTCTACTCTACGGACGGCACGGTCCTTTCGCGCCGCTAACGCGGCAGAATCTATCGCTAGCTTCCGCGGACATGTTCTTCCTGGATGTCCTGCCCATCAGCCCGACACGCTTCCGGCCCCCAGCAAAGATGGGCGACATGCTATTCGAGCATCCGCAAAACGAACTCCTTGCTAGGGTCCTGACGACGTCGTACCGCTTACGGGACTTCACAGAGAACTTACGGGCGGCGTCCCAGAAGGACTCAGAGGTTGACGAAGTTGGGAAAAAGCGAATATTGCAATCGCTACTGGATGGTCTCATTCAGCTGCAGGTCGACGTGAACAGCTTCATTGATAGCAGCAAGAACCCCGCGCCAGTGCGACAGGGAAAACTTCCGCCAGCTGGTGTTAAGCAAGGGCTGGAGAAGAAGGAAGGTCTGTTCCGCAAACATATGATGGTACGCTCTCCTTGTACCGGTGTACCGGGCGTGCATCCACATATATGCGATAATAGGGCAAGCGTGTCAATTACGCCGCGCGGTCGGTCATCTCCCCGGACGTCAACATTGAGCCAAACGAGATTGGGATCCCACCCGTCTTCGCTCGGAAGCTTACTTTTCCTGAGCCTGTTATGCCCGCTAATTTCCATGAGCTACGGCAATATGTTATCACCGGACCTCATGGGTACCCGGGTGCTACAATGGTCGAATATGAGGATGGTCATCTGCAATTCCTTGTCAGTTCGTTTCAACGTTTCAGTTCTGCTCCGATTGCTAAACGAGTGGATATTAGGACAAACTGAGCATCGAACAACGGACTGCGATCGCCAACCAGCTCCTGACACCCCAAGAAGGATATTCGGGCTCTACTGGTCGCGTAGGCCTCTACACGCGCGTGCCTGCAGTCAACAAGAAGGTGTACAGGCATTTACGTGATGGAGACCTACTCATTTTGAACCGGCAACCGACGCTGCACAAGCCCAGTATGATGTGTCACAAGGCACGAGTGCTACAAGGCGAGAAGACAATCCGAATGCACTACGCGAACTGGTTTGTCCTGATCTTTTACATCGCACGCGCGTTACTGATACCTTGGGTATAGTAATTCATACAATGGTAAGCTCAATTCAAATTGCCTCGATGCATACTCACAATTATGCTACATCATTAGCTGACTTCGATGGCGACGGTAAGCACTCTTTATCTCTACGTAAATCCATTAGACTGCTCACGGTGCACATCAGAGATGAATATACATTTTCCTCGTAAGTCCCCATTAGTGAGACGTCAGAGACTTATCTCACCCACCTTTCAGAGAACCAAATTGCTCGTGCGGAGGCAATGTTCATCGCCAACACCGATAACCAGTACCTTGTGCCTACATCGGGGAAGCCGCTGAGAGGATTGATTCAGGATCACGTCGTAGCAGGCGTCTGGATGACGGCGCAAGATACATTCTTCACGCGCGAAGAGTATTTCCAGCTGCTCTATGGCGCTCTACGTCCCGAGGACGAATCCGGGCATCACAGTGGTCGGCTCGTCACACTGCCTCCGACGGTATGGAAGCCCAAGGCCCTGTGGACAGGAAAGCAGATTGTGAGACTGCCGAAGGATTGTAATCCAGGCTGCGTTGGCTTATATTCTGTAGATTTCGACAATCATGAAGAACATTACGCCCAGCAATTTCGACGGTCTGAATCTGCACGCTCAGGCAAAGGTGCCTGGCCACCTGTGGGGCAAGGACTCGGAAGAAGACAAGGTCGTCTTTGTCGACGGCGAGCTGCTCTCAGGAGTGTTGGACAAGTCCGCTTTTGGTGCTTCAGACTTCGGTCTTGTGCATTCCGTCTACGAACTGTACGGCGCCGATGTAGCCGGTAGACTCTTGGGTATCCTCAGTCGTCTCTTTACCAAATTCCTACAACATCGTGCCTTCACTTGTCGGATGGACGACTTGGCGTTGACGCCGGAAGGCAATGCCAAACGTGCAGATATATTGCAGAAAGGGGCGCAGTTGGGAACGGAGGGAGCGGTGGACAACTTCCCGTCTCTCAGCACCGTTCCTGATGCGGAGAAGCCGGCGCAGCTCAGATCACTCCTCGAAGACGTTCTGCGCGATGACAGCAAGATGGCGGGCCTGGATATGTCCGTCAAAGGCAAGCTGGCGAAGTTGACGAAATCTATCGCCGACGCATGCATGCCTCACGGCCTTTTACGCCAGTTCCCTCATAACCACATGCAGGCCATGACCCTCTCAGGTGCCAAGGGTAGCGCTGTCAACGCGCAACAGATCTCATGCGCACTCGGTCAGCAGGAGTTGGAAGGACGTCGTGTCCCCGTTATGGTGAGCGGGAAGACGCTACCGTCTTTCAAGCAATTCGAGACCAAAGCTATCGCTGGTGGCTATGTGGCCAGTCGTTTCCTGACTGGCGTCAAGCCTCAAGAATTCTTCTTCCACTGTATGGCTGGCCGAGAGGGGCTTATCGATACTGCTGTCAAGACCTCGCGATCAGGCTATCTTCAGCGGTGCCTAATCAAGCATCTCGAGGGTATCCGCATACATTACGACAACACCGTCCGAGGCAGCGACTCATCCATCTATCAATTCCATTACGGCGGAGATGCTCTTGACGTTACCAAGCAGAAACATCTGTTGCAGTTCGAGTTCATCGCTCGGAACGAAACCTCTCTTATCAACCGATACAAGCCGAGGTCATTGCAGGGCGTGGTATCTGAGGAAGCTGCCGACCACATGAAGAAGGTTCTCAAGCGCAAGCGTGACCCATCCGCACAGCCTCTGCCGACACTTTCCGTCCACAATCCCAGTCGCTCGTTAGGTAGCACTTCTGAGAAGTTCGCGGAAAAAGTCGAAGAGTATGTGAAGAAGAACCCTCACAACCTGATCAAGAAGAAGGGCCAAGAAGATGGTCATATCCGAAGACGTAGACACCTGATTCACTCCAAGCACTTCAAGTTACTCATGAATGTCAAGTACATGCGTAGCCTGGTAGAACCAGGGGAGGCGGTCGGTTTACTTGCTTCACAAGGGTGCGTCATTTCCTTACGGTTAGTGAGCTATGTTGATATATGTGTTAGTGTTGGAGAGCCGTCGACACAAATGACATTGAACACGTTCCATTTCGCTGGTAGGTCCTCCATTCGGCTGCGAAAGCATGCATTGACAGATAGCAGGGCACGGGGCTGCGAATGTCACTCTCGGAATCCCGCGCTTGCGAGAGATCGTGATGACTGCTTCCACGAAACCCAAGACACCGTCAATGACCATGAAGGTCCGCCCTGATGTCCCTGTTTCAGATATCGATGCATTCTGCAAGAAGGCTACCCGGCTTGCTCTCTCACACGTCGTGGACAAAGTTATCGTTAAGGAACAGCTCTCTGTCAACGGCAGCGCTCGGACCAAGGACTTCACCGTCGAACTCGCGTTCTATCCGAAGGAGCAGTATCAAGCCGAATACGATGTCCAGCCATCAGAGATTTTAGCCGCCTTCGGGACGAGATTCCCTCTACTGCTCAAGAAGGAGATACAAATGGAGCTTAAGAAGTTGGACGCCGATCTGAAGGGTCAGATGAGAGAACTCGGAAAGGGTAAAGCCGTTCGCGAGAACCCCGCTTCCCGCGGGCTAGGCGCTGTCGAGGAAGAAGATAACGAGGGTGGTGGCAGTCGGACGAGAAGGAAGGATGATGATGAGACTAGTGAAGTCGGCGATGGAGACGCCACCGCCGCGAAACGCCAGCGTCAGACGAAAGAGCAGGCAACGTATGAGGACGATGAAGATGACGAAGAAGAGGCGGGCTTGGGGGAGTTTGACGATGCTGAGATCGAGGCCGCTTATGCTTCCGCTGGCGAGGACAGCGGGATCGACGACGACGACGACGAGGGCGCGACGCCTGCTGACAAGTCCTTGTTCGCGGAAGTTTCCAAGGTTGAACAACTGTTCCTGGACAACATGGCTTATGCCACATCATTCTCATTCACCGACTCCGGTTGCACTGTTGGATTACAGGTAAGGCCACTACTCATGTCACGATTTGGAGTATCCTCATTTTCTTCGGCGGAAAGTTTGGGTCTTCCATGCCGAAGTTATTGTTAGTGGGTATCGTGGAGAAGACATGTGTCAAGACCGTCGTTCGCGAGATCCAAGGAATTACAGACTGTTTCAAGAGCAAGGAGGACGATCAGAACGGCAACGCAATCTATACTGTCTGTGCATTTTTCAATTGCCTAGTTGCTATACGGTACTAACATCGCACCAGCTCATGACCAATGGATCGAACATCCCAGGGTTATGGCAGTTTGCCTGCAGTAACGTTGACGGCATGATCGATGAAGACGGCATATATTCAAATGACATATACGCGATCCTCTGCTCGTACGGGGTTGAGGCGGCTCGGGCCACCATCTTGCGGGAGATTGGTGGCGTTTTTGCGGTCTACAAGATTGATGTTGACATCCGTCACCTTGAGCTAATCGCTGATTACATGGTGAGTTTTCGGCGGTTCCCATCTGCGCCAGTGCTAATAACACCGCGGCCTAATAGACCTTTGACGGTGGATACAAACCCTTTAATAGGAAAGGCATATCGACGAATCCATCGCCTCTGCTCAAGGCATCATATGAGACGACCGCGGCGTTCCTCTCCGATGCCACGCTGCACGGGGATTTCGATGATCTGTCGACGCCATCTGGCAATATCGTGATGGGGAGGCTGAATCTGACAGGAACGGGTGTGTTTGATATAGTGATGCCTGTCAATTCCCCGGACGCCCAGGTAGTAGCTGGACTTACGAGATAAAAGTGGCCCGCCCACATGTGATTGATTGCTAGCCCTAACTTCTAATTTCTATCCTGGATCCGATGGCCCGGTTGGTGCAATCGATCATGACGATCGGGGAGTGTCAGACGAGGCGTCCGACGGATGCGTTCGGCCCTGCTCCCAGTCACGAAGAGTCTGCATTTACCCAGGATGATATTTCGGTGATCCAGCTGAGGTCACACCCCCTCATAACCGTCGGACCATGAGCTGCAGAACGCGCTTGCCCGTGCCGGAACTGCACATCAGTCGTTGCGGGTAATAGCGTGAACCGGCTGTTCAAAGCAACGTGCCCTAGAAGGGTTACCTGGGCTGATATACTCAGAGAGAACACCCGCGATAGGCGGAGCTCAGACTTGCGTTCCGTTGCGTCCAGAAGTTATGGTGTGCGATCGTGCTGCTCAAAAGTCCATAGGCTAGTTAGCCGTTGCGAGGGATCAGAAGCACGATTCGGAGCGGCCCCTGTATCGAGAGGAACGTCCGATGTGCTTATGCGATGCAATGCCGTTCCGTCCTGGCTCCCGCGAACATCTCAGTGTTGTGGTTCGTAGATGTCATATCCTCCGCAGCGGGAGAAGCCCTGAGAATTGAATCTGAAGCCCAAACTGGGACCGACGTCCTGAATGCCGTGGCGTCTGAAGCATCCAATCCCTGCACGCCTGAAGGGGGCTAGCACCGGACACACCTTTTTATGATGAAATTCACCGCCGATGTAATTTCCACACCTTGGCGATTCATCACCAAACCATTTTCCTTACCATACTTGCCTCCTGCGGCATATTGACACGCGCGCAACTTCATAGCGCGTTGTCTAGTCGACTCATCAGTAGGCGCTCCTCCGTCTCTTCGCAGTACTTAAGACATGCAGTAGTCCGCGGAATAGCAGCACCCACTCATACTCAACAATTATCTCGACTCTTCTACAATTTACCTTCGACAAGATGTGCTGCTTGAGACAGTAAGCCTATCACGCTGGATAACAACCACTTCACTCACTTGCAGTTTGCCAGAGTGAGACAATACTACACCAGGTACGTTCTGCTGTTGTGTGGAGGAAATGGGTCCAAGCTCAACTCAGCTTCACAGCTGCGGCCATGGAATAACTCTTGTAAGTGCGAGACTTCTGCACCGGGCACATTTTATCCTTAATACAACCGCAACCTGTCTACAGCCGGACGAAGAGGTCAGCACTTTGACCACCCATGAGTTCCCATAACCCGCTCACCGTAGAGACAGATCAAATGCGACAAAACTGATTGCAAGTTCAGTCCCTACCATCTCCGCGACCCTCATGATTGCAAGACGAGGTGCTGGCAATTGTGAGTGTCAGAGCTCCCCCTATCGCATTGGTATTCACTCCCTCCGATCAGCCGCCAGTTCCCACAGCAATACTGTAAGGCAGCACTCCTCAGTCGCCATCGACTTACTGACGTGCATTCCTAGCGCCGCACATTAACGGCTTTTGCCCGGAATGCACCGCCAGGCAGTGAGGGAGAAGGGAATAGATAGGCAATGGAGACAGGACATACACGAGTTGCCTGCGCGATCTTCAGTTGACTGAATGACATACAATTTCTTGGTGAATAGACGAAATCCCGCGTGGCGCCACCTGTGAGAGCACGAGGAGTGCTAAACGCAGCCGTCTGCTCTTCCTAAGGGAAATCGACAGCTTAAATGGGTCAAAGCTGAGTGTCTTGATTCGTACACATTGATAGAAGAAATAGTGCAGAGTCCTCGTATTGGTCACAGGACAAGTCTGGCATACACCATCAGTAAGCGCAATTCAATGGACAACATGTCAGACTCCCAGGATCGAATAAAGCCTTCACATGCCTTATAGATTACTGGAGGAAGCGAGGAATATTCCTTGATCGCATAGCAGCGCTGATATGGCTATCATAACAACTCGTCCTACCTACTACAAGCATCAGACCAGAAACCCTAACGGGACAGTGAACAGTAAGCCGTACTCTCTCATTCATCGTCGTTGATATCGTGCCTTTTCTTCAATTGCGAGAGTTCTTCTTCCCGACGGGCCAGGTCTGCCTTAGCTGCAGCAGCGTCTTGTTTGGCAGGCATATGGTAGAGCACGACGATATAACGCTCTTGTAGATGGAAGCCGTTCAGGTGGTCCAACGCGTTCTTAGCCTTATAAACGAGAGTCAGACGAGAATCCTCTGAGGTAGACGCTGCAACTCACGTCCATCACATCGTCAAAGACAACAAAAGCAGTACCCCTAGTCTTCTGCTCGTTGCCTATCCGAATCTGACGGATACTGCCATAGCGTCCGAACAGGTCGTACAAGTCCTCTCCCGTAATCTGGTAGTTCAGATTTTTCACGAAGAGAATACGGTTTGCACCGGGCGGTAGTTTTGTCTGTGAGAGTAAGTAAGACGACTATCGATAAAAGAAATGGTCGAGGAACGTACGGCAGGCCGAGCGAGAGCCATGATTACAGAGCTGGGCGGGGGAGTGGGTGGCGTGGAGCGGAGCGGACCAACAGGGTTCCACGATGTGCGGAGTTCGAAACCCCAATTAGGCAGGTCCTGCAGATTGGTACTACGCCTGCAGAGACTACTGTCTATGGTTCACCGTCGACTCCTTGCAGGCTGGATTTGCGGTAGGATTACCCCTCATGACTGTTGATACAGGATCGATGAGTCTTTTTCAATCAGTTGTATGTAGGGCGCTACACAAGTCTTCTCATTGTAGGCTGGCCCGCCCCCAACCTTGCTATGACACAATCGTGTATCACGATTGGGCTAGGCTGGTACATACTATCAGAGTTCTCAGAGCATTCAAGGGGGAGATAGGCTCTCAAGTCGTTTTCCCACCGGCAAAAAGACCTGTCTTCCCTTGCCTCGGAGTTCTTGCCGGCGATTGGCATATCTCTTAAACTTGATGAGGAACATTAAGGCCCCTTCCGTAAACGGGTGCCTGGAGAACCACCTTACATGACGACTTGCCTGCAGAAAGTTCCCCGTTTCTTGGGCGCCGTTATGATCACCAACTCTACTGAGCCGGGCGCTATATTCAGCGAAGCGCCGTCAGCGAGTATTAGGTCCGCGGTGCTAGAAGCGACTTGGACGTAAGTAGTATAGTATGCCAATGTGTTCATTTCGCTTTAACGACGGCGGAACTTAGCAGCGCTCACGCTCATCAGCTGCACACAGAATTTGTAGGGTAAGACGGGAAGCGCGGGGCGACTCGGAGATGTACTTGACAAGTGGGGTAATATCTATTCACAGCAGCGTGTGGGTGAATTTCGTCATTGGTCATTAAAAACATATATGTAAAACACTTCAGGAGAGCGATGCGCGCCACCACTGCAGGGAAAGAGAACATGAGTAATATAAACGACGCGATGTTGGCGTCATCCACCGCGGACAACTCTCAGACACTCACGGACAGTATCGGCCGCTGTAAATTTAATAGCTTTGACCCATTTTACAGTAATGCCAGCTGCAATGACTGGCTGTCAAACAACCTCCCACAATTTTAAGGGAGTCCTCGACCCCATTTTTAATCAAAATATCCGACAGACAATATAGGAACATATAGATTAGCTTCGAGATGATCATTGCGCACCGTGTGAGTGTAGGATCCGAAAGTCACCGACGGAACACCTTAGCCCTCAGGCTCCCCACTCGACCGCAGTAAATATGAATACACTTGCAACCACGCAACAGAGAAGGGGGAGCAGATGTAGTAGGGAGCATGAGTCCCTTGGGAACAAGATGTAAAAATGGCTGATCATCAAGCAGCGACCAGAATTCTAGTATTTTGAGCAGACGCTCATTATGTAGCCTAGCTGAGTGTTCAATTGCTGACAATCAGTTCGCTGCCGAGTTGATGACTATGATTATGCACGGAAACTCACTCGTGAAAACCGGCTCCCGCGGCTTGATGAGGCCGAACGTCCGCGAAGGGACGTAAGCTCTCTACGGCCTTCCTACCGCCGCGTTAAGGGTCCCTCTGTGGGTCCATTGTCTATCAAATGATAGACGTCGTGGTGGCCGCATGCCGAACGACCTGGAAGCTTCCCGTAGAAACATGCTGAGTCCTGTTGTGGCGTCTACAAATTCAGCTTAGAGAAAATACCGCACTGTGAGCGAGATCATAGCCGTAGGTAGCGCGGGAGTATCAGAAAGGTACAAGGGCCATCATCATACACGCTCGTTTTGAGGTGCGAATTTGACAAGCATTATCAGAGCTCATGATGCGAAGGGTCGGTTCCCACATCCGCTTTATATTGTGAAGCACTGTGCATTATGTAGATGTAATTGAGTGGATGACAGGAGGTATCGTTTCAGGGCTATTGCATAATGAGGTCTATGCAATAGTGTATACCCGTGGGACAACCATTCTCTAAAAAGAGTAGATCATGAGGCCTGGATAGATGGGAAATAGAAACTTTTCATTACTCACAGAAGGAGATGCCTTGTCGCCGAGGGTCCCTAGACATTCATGAGAACCCGAGCGATCTCTGACAGATCGAACAGCTGAACATTTGTACTTTTGGTCAATGTGCAGGGTCAATCTGCCAGTCTATCAGATTACGAGTCTTAACAGACCGAAACGGCGATGGTAGGGCGTTCCCTCGGGGTGCACCGTCTGACTTACCATTAACTCCGGGACTAGCGTGGCTGTCTCCGCGGTGAGGTTAAGATGGCGTGACAGCGGCACCAACAACCGGTCAACGCTTGTCCAATCGGCGAAGTTCGCGTCTGGGATACGTTGAGATCTGCGAAGATGAGATGGCTTCAAGACGCTTGAAGAGGTATCTTCCCATCCTCGCAGCGCCACCCGAGACAGTCTTACTCGCTATTCGAGCTGATAATACAGACATGGAAATTAGTAAGGAGGAGTTGTCATAAGCGCGGGAAGCTTCTTGCTCTGGAGATCTCTCAGCTAGTGATCTCATTACGTACCTTGTACGATAAACGCCAGGAAATTGCAAACCTTCGTTACCGCGTCTCTCCACGTTACCACATAACATTCCTGATAGATTCTAGACCTCTTTATTGGCGACGATCGGGACGAGGATCTCGGATCTTAGCAGCACTATTCTATCGTTGCAAAATCCACTCGCCGCAGTTTAAGAAATCTAGGGACAGTCATAACAACATTCGTTGGAAATGACGAGTAGCAACATGCCTATCAATGTATTCTCGTGGGGCTGATAAATATCGGTGTAAAAATGGGGGATTACAACTTATGGTAATCTGTAGACGGTGATTGCCATGGCTTCAGATAAACTTGCGACTACCCAGTTATACAGGACTGTCAGCACCACCGTGCCGTCCGAGCCGTCTTTTGTGGATGGCGGCCGAACCCACTGCGCCGATGTCCGAAAGCAAATCCATGAATGAGAGACTGAGGATGGTGCATGGAATTCTCGCAGATCTAACAACTGTGCTCACCAGATGCAGACGCCTTCACAAGCTTCACGAAAGCTTTCTAGACAACTGCTCGACAGTCGCGCAGTCGAGCGTGCCTCGTGCGCATACGACCGTCGCGCCGCCCGTGTCATCAGAATCCGGAATGAGGCACTTGACGTCTTGCACGTCAGGACATGGGCAGTCGGAGGGGTTTGACACGCAAACGAGTGTATCAGGGCAGAGATATTGCGAGCATGACACTAACAACGCCGGCATCATGAAACGGTCGGTATGTGGCTAGACCACGAAGCGACTTGGGACATACCACTGTCGGCGTGCGCCATCCATTGTCCTGCATTCGCGCCCGATGCAGGTCTCTGCTGCTGATGGCCAGCCTGTGGATGGCCGAACATTTGCTCAAAGAAGTTGAATTGAGCCGCTACGCTCGAGAGGACCGACAACACAGTCGACCAGAAGAGCAGACTCAACAAATTCGTCATGATAGAGTGGTGAATGGCTGCTTGAAGCGTGGAATGCAGTTGGAGGTGCTTAATTGCAGACTTGCCAAATCGGTGCCGGACGCGTGATCGAGACACGTCAACAAGGCACGCCCTACAACCGCGTCAGGCAACGGCGAATGTCATCAAATTCTTATGTTCACAAGCACCAGCTGTCCGATGATATAAAAATGAGAGTATGAAGTACAGTCATGCAATATGCAAGCGGGTACATATATACAGAGCAACGTATTAGATCCCGGGACTCCCAGTCGTAGGACATGGCGTGTAGATGGTAATCTATGCAAGGAATGGATACACGTTGTACAATGTCGAATGGAACGAAGTCGAAGGCGAAAGGTGTGACTGCGAAGCCACAAATGAGAAAAAAGGGAATGGCGTGGGGGCACGAAATAATCTCGAGTGTTCTTAGCCTTGCCGTTGGGTTCATCTTCCAGTGTTCTCCTCGCCCGCTGCCTCTCTGCGCACTGGTGTTCGTTCGGGGCTGGACCTCCCGTTGTTGTCGAGAACGCCTAGACCGCATCTGGTGACCGTGCGAGAGTCATCACCCATTGAAAAACCGCCGAAAGCCTCCTCCAGATGCGATGACGGAATAGGCTTCACCCTTGTACCGGCATCTCCGCATCTGACTTCCGGAGAAAGCAAGCCCGCTTTGGCCCATGCTGCGGCGCCTAAAGCAAGAGGCACAGGGGCCATCTTGCGACCCCGCCGCTTCGGCACGACATTCTCTTTGTTGCACTCCTTCTCCTGTTTTGAGGCGGTGGCGTCTGAGCAGTCGGAGTCGCAGTCATTGTCCTCGTTCGCGGACTCGTAAGCTGAAGACCTGCCAATCGAACCCACATCGAATGGATCTTGGTAGACGTCGAAGCCCGGGTAATGAACGGACTGACGGCTGACGGAGACGATCGCCTGCGGGGTCATGAGGGACTGGACATTGGGAGGGGGTTCGAGAGTGATAGGTGGCAGGCTGGTGCAATCGGGCATTTCGATATCAATGTCGTGGGATGCGCTATTATGCAAATGCGGGTCTTGCACGAATCGTGAGGGCAGCTCAGGTGAGGGGGCTAATTGGCACGCGGGCAAAGGAGATATGCGCTTGCGTAGAGGGGTGGAGCCACGGCGGTGTACACCGATGGAGGATGATTGTGCGCACCCCGCTGGAGAGAAGTCGAGCCTCCTTCCAGGAAGCGCCACCTTTGCACTTATTCCTGAGAGCGTGCCATTGGCAGAGGACCCAGTGACATCGAGCATACGTCGCTTAGCAGGACTGTATAGCGACGCTCCTCCTGGAGAATGTGGCCGCTTGAGGGCTCTGCCGTTATTGGGAGGGACATTGAGGTCGGGCGGCAGGAAATGCTCAAGGGGGAGTTCACGAAGGGGAGGACGTGAGGATCGCATCATGAGATGAGTGTTGCCTGCACTGGAGGTAGAATGGGATGAAGCACTGTGTTGGCGGAAAGGTGTCGCGATTGTCGAGGTGGTGGAGAGGAATAAAAGAGAGAAGCAGGGACCACGCGACATACACGCACCGTGGCCCGGCGTGACGCGTGACTTACCGTTAGAAGCAGAACCCGATCAGAATTACAGCACGTGCATCAACCCCGCACTTCCGGTTGAACGTCGATCGACGATTCGAAAGTGCGCGGGTCAACGCAACTTGCAGCCATCAATAGCATTGGCATTCAACGTACAGCGTACACTACAAAAGAGTCATCAAGCATCAGAGTCGAGGCAAGCGTACGAGAAAATACATAAACAGCGTATACGGAACACACCGACTCCCACAGGCTAAATAAGTTCCGCGGCGTTTACGGGCATTTCATCCTGGGCGGCGAATTCCTTATCAGCACGACGCTACGATATCCAAAGTGAGGGTGCTTACAATCTGGGTGCTGTAGAATTGTTCTGAGACGGGAAAACATGAGTGAGGTTTTGTGGTCAGGGAGATCGATCTCAGACATACCAATGTCACGGAGGATACGAACATCGTCCACGGTCACAAACTGGTGCAGTAAAGCTTGGTCAAAGCGCCACGCAATAATAGCGACACCAAACTTACGTTGATGGCAACACCCTTCCGGCCAAAGCGACCTGACCGACCAATACGGTGGATGTAGTTTTCACGATTTCTACGACATGTGAGCGTGTTGTACGGAGACGGCCACATAAAATAGAACCTACGCAGGGAGGTCGTAGTTGATCACGAGTGACACTTGTTGCACATCAATTCCACGGGCCCACACATCTGTTGTGATTAGGACACGTCTACGGAAAGATCAGCCGAAGTCGCGGGGCTTATGGTAAGAACGACTGACGATGTGCCGCTTCGGAATTCAGCCATAATAGCATCCCGCTCCTTCTGTACCATCTCTCCGTGCATCGACGACACCGTGAAATTGGCCGCGCGCATTTTCTCCGTCAACCAGTCGACCTGCATGCAGAATAAGTCACCTTCAGCAGACCTTACATAATTGTAAATGAACAGACCTTTCGCCTTGTGTTGCAGAAAATGACGGCCTGGGTGATGGTCAAAGTGTCATATAGATCACAGAGTGTGTCGAACTTCCAGTCCTCTTTCTCCACCGCGACGAAGAACTGCTTAATACCCTCCAGCGTCAACTCATCACGCTTGACGAGGATGCGGATGGGATCCGTCATGAACTTTGTCGTCATCTCCAACACATCGTACGGCAAAGTAGCACTGAGCAGTACGACTTGCGTCGCTGGGGGAAGGTATCGGTAGACGTCGTAGATCTGGTCCTTGAATCCCTTATTCAGGAGTTCGTCGGCCTCGTCTAGTACGAGCATCTTGATATTCCGTGTTCGCAAACTCCGGCGCCGGATCATATCGAAGACACGACCGGGGGTGCCAGACACAACATGTTGCCCGTATTCGAGCTTGCGGATGTCCTCGCCAATGGACGTACCGCCAATGCAGGCGTGGCACTGCACATTCATGTAGTCCCCAAGGGCAAGGACGACGGACTGGATTTGCGTCGCCAATTCACGAGTGGGACTGAGGACCAGTGCCTGCGTTTCACGGACAGTGACATCGATGGACTGGAGGATGGAAATGGAGAAAGTGGCTGTCTTTCCTGTCCCGGATTGCGCCTGTGCAATGACGTCCCTCCCTTGAATAATAGGAAGGATAGCGCGTTGTTGGATGGCGGAAGGCTTCTCGAAGTCTGGAAATATCTAATGAGCACTGAGTGCAAACCAAAGACACGAAATGGTACGTACTGTAAGCGTAGATGCCGCGCAGAAGATCCTCCTTCAGCCCGAGGTCATCAAAGGTCGAGACCACAGACACCGCCTCGGAGGACTCGAAAATGAGTTTCTGAACACATTTCCGCGCGATTCAGCATAGTAGCAGACAGAAAAGGTATGAAAAAAGGTACCTCGTCGCCAGCGTTGATGCCAGCCATGTTGACCGATTTTAAGAGTAGTTGGGAAGAGAGAGGCAAGGACAGCAGATCGGACTTTGAATTTGCGCGCTTGCCTTTCCATTTCCAGGCCTTCGCTCGTCCCAGTGTCTTTCTGAGACTGCCCCTCTGCGTCCCCTCCTGCCGGCCCGTCGCTCACTGCTATGGATTCTATCATTGAGGTTCAGCGGCACACGCACGAGGAGATTGAACAATTTGAGAGAGCACTCTACACCATCCTCTCTAAACCACAGCCGACGCACGAGTCTCGCCTGCAAGTAGAGCACAAGACGTCGCAGCTCCTGGACCGTCTCTCGTCTCGCCTCGTCTCTCTAAAGAACCTGTACGAGGACCAAGACACCAGGAAGGCAGAAGTTGACTCCCTGTCTGCCCACCCCCACCAAAACGACCTGTCGACATTCTACTCTCGCGTGGGCAAAATCCAGGAACATTACGCGAAGTACCCGGATGCTATCGTTTCCGGCCTCGATCCTGAGCTAGCGGCATTCTTGGAAGAGGAGGAGGCGGGAGGTGGTGATGAGGAATACGAGGAAGATGACCGTATGTTATATTCTGCACTCGTCTGCTATCCTCTTCACCTCCCACTTCTTGCAGCTGTCGCACTACTCTTCTCTGGAGAAGAGGCTTATGGGAAGTATCTTGATCTGTACGCCAACCACACTACATACAACAACCTCAAGAACATTGGCAAGCGTCTAGGCTATCTTCAGTATCTTGACGTCCTCCTTGCCGCTCAGTCCGAACCCGTACATCAGGAACTGCCTAAAGAGTGTCGGTTGTCGAGGGATTATGAGCTGTATGTCCTGCCACGTTCTGAACATTCTGGCTTATGGGCAGTGTATCAGATATATCAAAGCTTTGCACACCTACCTTGCGTCATTCAAGAAGCGCGCTCTGCCCTTGGTTGACTCTGAGTTCCAGCAACGTGAAGCCGAAGCTGAGTTCAACAAAAAGTGGGATGCAGGAGAGATCGAGGGTTGGGAAGAGGCACGCCAAACTAAGTCAGCGGCAAATAGTGAAGGCAATGGTGAGGGGATCTGGTGCGCGGCATGTGAGTTCTATGATTATACTCGTAATATCGTCACCTAACTACTTCACGCTTCAAGGCCAAAAACTCTACTCTAAGCAGACCGTCTATGATGCTCACTTGACGTCGAAGAAGCACATCAAGGCCACTCAGAAACAGGCCAGCTCACCTGAGCAGCCGCCTCCAAATCCTAATGGTACGCCTCAGCCATCAACTAACGGGTATGCCAATGGGCAGGCAATCGCGAAGGACAAACATCGTACTGCTGCACTGCTCACACACCTGACCACTCAATTGCTTGCCTCATTGGCGTTGGTTCTGAACGAGACCAAGTCGAACGTCGAGCGTCGGTTTTCGTTGACCGCACGAGAACGAGAACAAGAGCTTCTAGAGCAGTCGAAACCACCTCCGGCGGCCGCTGCTCCTGCGAACGGAGATGCGAATGCGGAAGAGGAGGAAGAGGAGGAGCGGATATACAATCCGCTGAAATTGCCCCTGGGCTGGGACGGCAAACCCATCCCATATTGGTTGTATAAGCTACACGGGCTCGGGGTCGAGTATCGCTGTGAGATCTGTTCGGATCATGTTTACATGGGCCGGTAAGTTGTATTAATTCCAGTCTTTTATTTTACGTACTGAGCAGTCTCCGTCAGAAAAAACTTCGACAGACATTTCCAGGTACGTCATATCGTCACTCCCGTGGCGGTAGAAAGGGCTAACGTGATCCGTAGGAATCGAGACACGCCTTCGGGATGCGTGCTCTCGGATTGCCGAACACCAAACACTTCCACGAGATCACCCGAATCGAGGATGCACTAGCTTGTATGTGATCCGCCGGTGTATTCCTCGAGTAATTCTGATGACAATCTCTCAGTGGCGGAGAAGCTCAAGCGTGAGGGCCGACACGAGATCTTCGAGCAGGAAACGATGGAAGAGCTAGAAGATGAAGAAGGCAACGTCTACAATCGCAAAACGTATGAGGATCTCAAGAAGCAAGGTCTTATATAGTCGTCTCTTTGGCTCCGCTCGCCCGCTCGCCATACTCCTCTTAACATCCCTGGCGGGCCGTCGACTGGATCACATCCGTCGTCCGAGGTAACGGCATTCTGCGGCATATTCCACGCGTCTGCTGTATTTTGGTCTTCCACTGCGTGTTCTACATGTGAAGTAGTACATTACAATACACCGATTCAACTTCTGTTCATAGTCTCGCTCACTGCATTAGGACGCTTCCTTTCCGCTTGCTCTGTTTCCCCGCGCCGGAGGCGGTGGCGGTGGTCGTCGACCCTGCATAGACGCTGTGGGATTTTGCTGCGTCGATGCCTGATACAATTGTTCTTCAGAAGATGAAGGGGAAGACGACAGAGGGGATTCCGTAGGCGAGTCGAATGGGTTCGACTTGGAACTTCGTGGCGGGTCGCCTGACACGAAAACACATTCAGGATACTCTGGACATAGCCTATTAGCTCACGTGAATTGGCATTAAGACGCGAGGCTTTTACCTGGACACTCCCACCATACTGCGTCGTCGGAACTAGGAGCAGGAACTAGATAGAGCAGCGGCGACGTTCAGGCACCAAGTGGCTTCTGAAAGTAGACAGACTCACGATCTCGGGCGTCATCAGAGAAAGTTAGCCTGGCGAGTTTCTCATCTAACGGTTCTCCAGGCGCAGTAGCGGTGACATTGTCAGTCAAATAACGAGCCAGCGCAGTACGTTTGACTTGGTCAATAATCTTTACTTCGGCGTGGAATAAAGCGAAGACTATGCAAATTCATCAGTAAGAAGCGGTTGGGCGGGACGCCGATGACCACATACCTGGGCGATGGTCTGAACTACGGAGCTCCGCCCGTGAGTATGCAGCGAGGTCGAGCTGAGGTCCTCTGAACAGAACCCGATCTGTAATGCATAGCACAATGGGTCACTACTGTAGAAGTTTTGCATATTGAACGTACCTGTCCACGCAGGAATCCGCATCTTCTCCCCCGTATCGTAAGTATCGGTACCCAAGTCATACTTGTATGTTGGACGGAATAAGATGGGACCTTCCTGATATCCCGAGAATGCTAGCCCTTCGTCTATCGACTGTCTGAGCTGTTTGAAATAGTTAGGTTGAACGCGGCCAACCTTGTGTGATTGACTGACCTGGTCAGCAGCAAGTAAGGCATCGTAGTCGTCGGAGGTGGCCAAGTATCTAGCGCGCTCGTTTTCCAGATCGATGCGATAGTTAGTATCAGCTAGCCATATGACATTCCTTGTTCCAATGATCAGCTCGTCGAATTCAAACTTGCTAGGCAAAACACTTACTCATGGCTATCAATCATCTTGCCTTTCTGGAACCGCAAGCCATGCGCAATTGTACGATAATCGGCATTGCGTTCCTCGACGTTGGAATGTCCCGCCGCAAGATGTGCGGTGATGAAGCAGAAGCTGGTGTCATGATAGTCGAGACGTATACCTACCGCGCCTTTGTTCCCGGACATTCCTCGAAGCCCAGTCTACATCGATGATCAAGTATACGTAAGAATCTAGGTAAAGTGGACGTACCTTTTGCGTTGCGGCCTCCACTTGTCGGATGACAGAAGTCAGATCCGACTTTACGAGTACTAGGAGAGCCGTTCCAACCAGCTACACACGAATATAGATACAGGTTAGGCGTAAAAAGTATCTACTGGAGTGCTTACCTGTTCGCTGCGCAGTAGAATATATTCGCACTTCTTGTCCGGCCGCTGGTTCAATGCGTGAAGTATCTTGGTTTCCCAAGCTCGTCTGACTCGCCGTCACGCAGGTGTCACCTCACACAGCACAATAATTTACTTACCGTCTCTCGGGATCGGCTTGCACAATTTGTTGAGCAGTGAGGGGCACAATCTCCTGGAAGCCCAAGACAAACATGTCGTAGCTAAAGGCAATCAGTATAACGTTATAGTGCAGATGCGAATCCTTACTCCGCTGCATCTACATGAATTTCATTCAGAAAAACCGACGATGGTTATAAGAGCATGCGACTTACCGGACCGAGGGTATAGCCAAGGCAACAATGACTCTGAAGTTGGAGGCTGGAGTCCATCAGACCAAGTAACGTCATTGCTCAGAGATCAAGCTCCCTCACCTTGCCATTGAGGTTCCATGTGCCTATGAACAGGCTACACCTCTTCGTTGTTGAATATTCAAACACCCTACAAAATCATACTAAGGCGTCATGCTCTTTGCATTTGAGAGAAACAATCACCTAGCTTCTAGAGCTCGACGAACGGAATCGTGTATAGGATCGTAGATGGTGACTGTTTTTTGACTACTAAAGTTGCCCTATGTCGACTAGCTATAGTTCCTCGTACTCTCAAACGTTGATGAATATTTACCACAAACATATCAATCGCAACCTGCTTGCCCTTGTCCTGGAAATTGTTGATGTAGGCTCTTGATACGCTTTTGGTTGCATCAGACAAGACGCCTGAAACGATTACGGTGAAGATGTGGCAGATTGAGATGCCACGCCGCCAACTCACCAGCTAATGTCCGTTTCCCGCTGCGAGTGAAACTAGTGTTTAAAGCCCCTGTTCCTGCATAGATGCGTGACAACGCATCGCCGTTTTCTGCCCATAATTCGCGATGGCGGCCCCAGAGGCTAGGGGATGTGGACCACTCCCGTCTGGTGTGCATGAGATAGCTTTCAAGCACCGTGCGGGATAGGATGTCTTGGACAAAGTTTGTGCGGTCCAGGCTACGGGGAAATCAGTTTGTATATAGCATAACCAATGAGAGATATGATACCAGTCAAGACAGTTCGTTCTGAAGACACCCTTTTGATCCCAGACAAGTTCATCTGAAGACGAGTCGACCAACGTGAAACCAAATTTATCCACGTTATCAGAGACGGTAGGAAGGCGCCTAGTAGACAATATTGCCGATAAGCTCAATGGTAGCCATTTGTCCAGGACACTCACCGAATATCTTTAATGACGCTTTCGTGTCCTCCCATTTTCACGGCGTAATGAAAGTCGAAGTTTGTTATTCCAATAGTGTCACCCAAAACACCCTGGGCAGCCCTGAGATGTCGCCCGTATGCTGTAGTGAGTATCGCTTCGTTTTCTTTGCTTCCGAGCAGGTTGATAGCATGCATGGATCCATACTCCTCTATGAGTTGCATCAAGTGGCGATCGAAAGCCGGCTGCGACGCTTGGGGGCGTGTTATCTGAATTCGTTGTCCGAATGTTTGCAGCCCCTGCTGCTCCCAGAATACTGCATGACGTGGCATGAGATCGGACGGGCCACAAGTGGATATTACGGACACAGGGTATATTTAAAATAATAGACATACATGGTACGCTGCCTCTCACTTGTACGTAGCTAAAGCAATGCTGGTCTGTACTGAAGATTGTCTCCGTCTAGAAGTAATGCTCAGCAATGGGCTTTCTGACTTCAAGGCCTCGGACACACCTCTACGAAATTCGCGCAATTGCCGTCGTCGTCCACCCCACGGGTGTTGAAGCGTGTGCCAGAGCGCTTCCACCCCAAGCGGGAGATCAATGATACAGTGGCGACGGTCGGTCCACCATTGGTGGGTGGTGCAGGTAGCGGCATTGTGAACACACCCACATATCCTTGAGTCGCAAGCACCTACTCATGGTAGACAAGTTGGTGTCATGCACGAATGCACACATATATGTCACTTACTATAAAATGGGATCGGTCCAATTCCTCACGCTCCGGGATGTCGAGTCGCTCCCTGAAGTCGAGCAGGCTTCTCACAATATACTCATTCCAGACGAACCGTTCATCGAATACACCCATATCGAGGGGCGATCCCCCACCTGTCTTGCGCCCAATCCGAAGAGACAGCCGTGAGGATATATCCCACCGAGGTTCAACAGCGTAGTAGAAGGTTCCGGCCGAGATGAGTTTGATCAGCGGCGCGCAGGGATGCTCGAATACAGAGACGGTGTTTCCGCTCTGCGAGTACGAGTCTCGCATTATGCTATCAGGTCCATCTGAGTAGCCAGGGCTGGGCGCATTGTCCGTTGCAAGGTCGTCCCATGTTGACGATGTTAGGCTATAGAAGCCAGCTTCATGTATCTGGGCAACACTTTCCGGGGTGACTGACGAGGGGCGTGTGTTTCCAACCTCAACGGAGGAAGAAACCAACACAACGAATATTTCTGAGCACCGAACACATAAATGATCAGATTGTTCAGCTCTGGACGAAGCAGGGCGGAGCGATTGACATACCATTAGATATATTGATCAGCCCAAGACAGCCTTTGATATTCTTTGCCGTAAGCTTGACGGCAAGCGTCAAGTCAATATCATCCTTGGACAAAAACTGAACGACGGCCTGAGACTCAGTTTCGGACGACGTGCCATCCGATGCGCGGAATACAAGAGCTCGTCGTGGCCGTCCGTTCCGTTCCTCTTGTTTAGTGGTCACTAAGTACAGAGTCCGAGGACTCTCGGTCAGGTAAAGATGCATGGCTTGACAGGATAGGCGTATCCGAATAGACTAGACGAGGTGTGTGCAAGTGTGCACCCGGTAGGTTTCGCTAAGCCTGCCTCGCTAAGTCTGAAGTTAAGAGAACACAGGGTACGACTGCAATGTGCCCAGAGCGGTAGCTAGCATAGGAGGCGAAAAACAGCGACGATAGACGATAGCCGAAGCAATGAGAGTTGAAAGCAGCAGGATGTGGCTGAGGACCGAATGCGTACCCGCATAGTAGGCGCCCATATGATGTAAACCGCACTGGCCACAGCTCTTCATAATCTCAGGTTTGGGCCGCACATTGTGGTTGTATGATCCATCCGAGTCCGATTATTCATACATGAAGTCCGGAAAATAAATTACGACACCGAGTATTGTGCACAGCCATCATTCATGGAGGTCCAACACATCATGTCCTACGAAGAACCGCTACTACGAGCGTATGCACTAGCCGACCTCCTCATCTCCAGTCCTCCTTCAATAGATGAGCGTCTTGACGGGGGCCCCACTGCTGATGATCGCCTTGGAGGTGTACCCACTCTGAATGGCGCGAGTCTATCCGACGAATTGTCCGCTGCATCCACCTCTAGGATCGCCGATCCAGGCACGGCATAGCTATCGCTTGATACTCTTCGAGGTGATAGAGGTGGAGGCAAATTGTTCATGGAGGGGACACGCTCAAGGCGGGTTGGTGTTTGCAAGGGAGAAACCGTTGCAGCGGGCCTCAGGTTGGGAGAACGCGGTGCGATGATACCTTCGGAAGCGTCACGTCGGCGAGTACGCGGACGGACCCGTGGCAGGGTATCATAGAGAGATTTGAAGAGCGACGCGCGGGGTCGGGTCATGATGGGTTTTACAGGAGAAGTGGGAGACGAGGGGAGACTTTGTCCTAGAAGCCATGTTAGTGGTCATGTACGACACGGTACAGAACGCCGAATGCCCACCGGTATTCGTCGGCAAAGCGTTGTCATTTGCGCTGAGGCTCAGGAACAGAAACAGAGGAGCAAGCCACACACACAAGCCGAAGAAGGTTGCAATATCTGCAAAGCCTGGTATCCTAGGAGAGTTAGCTGGGGCGCCGTAGGGGCGATGAGTTCTGTGTCTTGCATCCTGGGTGAGCCGCGCGAAGTAGAAGAACCACATGAAGTGGTCCGCGATGACGAGAATACACGATGCAATGAAGCTGATCGATGTCAGTGATATGAACGGCCAGCCTGATGTAAAGTTTTGAAGGTAGACAATGTGGCAGAATATGGAAAAGACGATGTGCTTGAGGGGCAACGAGTCGGAAAGATACAACAGGACATGGAGGATAATAACGGCCTACAAGATGTTCAATGATTGCCTCTTAAACGTGGAAACCTGAGAAACACACGTATATGCTTCTCTTTCCGACCACCTTCGCCATGCGTGAATGTTCCTCGATCAGTTCAGAGAGCCACAGAAGGCCACTGGCTGCGTTTGAGTCGGTACATCAGATAGACAAGAGCGGCCATGGACGCACTTACCTAGTGAGAGTGTAACGAACAGGAAAGCTGCGGCCGCTCCTGCGTAGCTAGCACTAATTTCAGGAACTTACGACCAAACGATGCCTTCCCTTCGTGCTTACCTGAGAGTATGAAGTAATGTCATTGTTAACGAAGACTGTGCGAGCGAATCTGCGAGTTGAAATCCCCTCAAAATTCAGCCTGGAGGAGCAGCTACCCCCGCATTTACTGTAGCCTCGAGACTTCGTCCGACGTTCAGGGTAGGTATGCGGCTGCCAGCGCTGGATGATCGACCTGTGCACATTATGGGCGCTAATTAAAATGCCACGACGCGTCGCATGATCACGTGTACCGCTCCACCGCGCCCTACCGCGCCGCGGCTGTACTGGTCGATTACTTACGCTTCTTGAACACCTCGATCAGTCTACTCTCTTACGGCCTTGTAACCCTGAGGAACACTAAACGTACGCTTTCCATCCAGCGAGCCTTCACAGGGTCTTATGTTGGCTCTGCTAGGATATACGAAGCGAGATCACCATGAGCAACCTTGAGAGTATGTACGGATCGACAAACAGCTTCTCTACCCGTCCTTACCGTGCCTAGAAACTCTCTTTCAGCTCAAAGTAAGTATTTGTCCGACGTCTCACTCAAGTCATGTCTGATGATCCATAGTTCACCGCGAAGACCCTGAGCCGACAAGCCAAGAAGGCGCAGAAGGATGAGAATGTCGAGAAGGCTCGATTGAAGAAGGTATGCCATGCCTGGTGCTACCGACTCACTCTGACACCGGAGGCGACAGGCGCTCCAGCAAGGTAACAATGATGGCGCACGGATATACGCTGCCAATGCGATCCGTAAGAAGAACGAGTCGTTGAACCTGCTCAGGTTGTCCAGTCGAGTTGACGCGGTCGCGAGCCGAGTCGAGACTGCTGTTACCATGCGGCAAGTCACTGGCAACATGACATCCGTTGTCAAAGGTATGGATAAAGCCATGGAAAGCATGAATCTTGAGCGCGTACGTACGGATTTAGTTCGCCATCTGAGTTCATTGCTTACAGTTGACCTGCCTAGATTTCGGTGGTCATGGACAAGTTCGAGTCGCAGTTCTCCGATCTCGATGTTCAGACGTCCTACATGGAAGAGACGATGTCAAACACTACTGCCGTTTCTATGCCACAAGATGAAGTAGAAGCGCTCATGAAGCAGACCGCCGAGGAAGCAAACATCGAGCTGCAGCAAGATCTTGCTTCCAAGGACCTCGCGCCTGCTACTGGTATCAAAGAGAAAGAGACTATACGGGAGGAAGATGATACGCTGGCAGCGCGGCTAAGGGCATTGCGGCCCGCCACATGAGCTGAAGCCTTGGACCATAACATCATGTTGCATTCGCTGTGTGTGATTTCCATCAGTGTAGGGATGTATACCTTCGGTTGTAATATAGATGGACTCATTTCGCGAGATCTGTTACAATGACCGTCCAAGTGATCAATTAATGACATCATACAGTAGCCGTAGGTAGTGAGTGATCGTAAGTGATGTGTGGTTTCCATGAGTGCTGAGGTAGATGATACGGTATTCCAAAGAACAAAAGAGAATTATGCAATCTAAGAGGTACAGCAATGAATTGAAGCAGGATAAATCATATCATATCATGGAAGATCATGTAAGTCGGATCGAGCATCAGTGAGCGTAACGCATGCAACGATTGCATGGATAGGTGTGGCGCCGGAAGGGTGACCACAGAGGGTGGAAGGAGCGTGGTGACTGGGGAATACAACGGATGCAGGTTATCGACTTTCCTGCACGACTCGGACAAACCTGTCTAGCAGCGCTTGCTTCCGACGCCGGTCCGTACCAGGAGCGCTGTCAAGCAGACGCTGTACATGATGAATGAGCCCGAAAGGACCGTCCAGCGGAATAGCATGAGCATCGAAACGATGGACATCTGGGAAAACTAATTAATCATAACGTTGTGTGCATAGAACGGGGGAACCCACATGTTTTGAACGTTGCGTACGCCGCATCACCTAGCACTTCTCTGAAAGCCTCGGCGACATCCGACGCAACGCCCAACCGCCCTTCTTCGTCTGGAGTAGGCCCCCTCCATCTTGAGCGAGCCCTCAAGGCCGCGTCTGCGCTTGCGCTCGTAACGGGGATGGTGCGTAACATCGCCTCTTCCCTTACTTTCGACGGCGCCCATGACAGCCCCAGGCCCAAGTCGAGTGATCGCCCCTTCGTTTCTCCCCGCACTTGCCTTGGCTTCGTCAACGGCGAACTTGGAGTCGGGGTATTGGAATTCGACCCGGCTACAGACTTCTTGCGTTCGTCGCTTGCAGGGGAGCCAGGAATGGGCGGTACGGCAGGTTCGAACTTGAACGATGGATGCGTCGCACGCCCAACACGCTTTCCCGCACTTTTTCCCCAGCTAGAATTAGGGGCAGATGAATTGGCGGAGTGTGTCGACGATATCGGCGATCCGGGTTCCGCCTCTGAGCCATTGTGTGCCCTGGAATTCGGTCCTCGCAGACGCGGATGAGGAGACGAAGCTGCGGAGCTCCCGGTCATACGCCTTGTGAGGAAGAGACCCTGAGTGTTAACATCCAGCACCGGCTTTGCCTGGCCTCTGCGATGTCCCGAGTCTGGCGTTGGCGAGGGTTTAGGAGTTTTAGCTTCTGGCGCTCCAGTAGCCTCCCTTTGCGCGCGCTGTACACCTCTTGCACTCGCACTTCTGTGCAATGCTGACGGCGCACCTATCGACGTCTGGGCCGTGAGTCTGGGAACGATGAAGGTTGTTTGGCCTGCAACCCCTGCCGACACTGGGCGCTCGAAGTCGAAGCTACCATGCTTGTTCTGTTTCGGCCTGGTTGCGGACGTACCTATACCGAGCTTTGCGCTCGGTGGACCGTCCCTGCTTCGACATTGTCGACCGTTGCCACCCCCACTAGCCACTCGTTCCATCTGGGCAGCACCCAAAGCCTGTCTGGTTTCGCGTCCAGACTCTTTGGGCGCAGGCGAACCGACACGTCGTGGGTGAGTGATTCGCTCCCTGTCTTTCTCCTTCTCATCCACCTTTCCCGATCGCACTCCCAGCTCTCCAACCTTCTCATTTGGCCGGTCCCTGGCTCCCCTAGCCCTTTCCCTCTCTTTACCCTTCGCGGTAGCCGTGCCGGCCACATTGCTAGAGCCCAAGCCACACAAAGGCGAACACCTCCCGTCTGATGCACTCGCATCGACGTCAACGTCCGCCCCCATCTTCGCGTATTCTCCACGCGGTAGGGGAGGTCCGTTCCAAACGTGGAAGGGAGCATGACGTTGCTGTGATGTCAAAACGTTCGGCCCAGCAGTTCTGCTGTTGTCCCATAGAATGTCCCCTTTAACGAAAGGCTTTGCGTCGTCGTGCGTATTATGCGAAGTCGATCCAGAATTGGAGCGGAATCTCCCTGGCCATGGACCTCGCTCAGCCTTACCGTTAGGCAGCGGCGCAGGAGTGGTAGGCCGAGACTTGGACTTGAGCGCTTCGGCAGAGCTCCTACGAGGAGTAGGAATTGACAAACCAAAGAGGTTCATCCTCCTCGTCTTGCGAGGGGGGCTCGGTGCTTCTTGTTCGTATATTACAACTTCAGTGCGGATATCGACGGGATGAACATTATGCGACGGGTTCGAGGAAAAAGGCATGTGCGGCTTCTTGGGTAAGGGCTTCATGGTGCCGTTCGCAGGTGTAGCGGTGGACAATGGACGCGATGGGGATCGCGTCGCTGGGCGCGAATTTGAGGTCGACGCAAGGTCTCTATCCGGCTCCAGACTAGAGTGGCGTGCGTGTATGGTAACAGAAGCCCCGCTCAAAGGCATGGGGTCGTGGCTTGCAGCAGCGTCAAGAGAGCGGGACCGTCTTTTCTTGGAACGCGAGCGTGAGCGCGACCGGGTTAGAAACTTTGCAATCTGACAAAGGATACGTTACCAAAGGGGCAGACGCGCGCGAGAAAGACGCGGGTATCCCGGTCAGTCTAGGTAGACGATGTTCAACACATGACATACCCTCGTCCCCAGTCCTCTTCCATGTCTCTCCTCTGTTCCCAGCTCCATTGGTTCTATATCCAAGTCGACAGGGTGTGGATGAGGGCAATTGGCATACTCTGGGTAAACGAATCTCTGGTCCTCGGCCTCTTCCGTCTGTACACAGAACAGCCCCGTATGAGCGCGTTTGTCAAAGAAGGCAGCGTTGTTCGGAACGTCAAGGCTGACCTGTTCGGACGAGATGGAATGGACGCGTTGCAACTTGCTCGTGGAGCAGATGAAAGCGCGAAACTGGTACGAGTTAAGTGAAGATGCAGGAGCAACACGTGTTCGGCATATCCTGGGTTGGTTATGAGAGTCCGGCGTGCAGCGTGCTGAACCACTTACATCTTTGGACAACCTCACACGGGCAGCGTCAATCAAACCTAAACTTCCCTCTGCTCGCTCGTGCTTTGCGTTCCGTGCAGATGCGCGAACAATGTGCGAGCGGGAATCGAGCAGCGAGGTGGAAGGCGTGGAGGGTTCCGGGGACGACTCACTGGAATGTATGTCTACCTGGTCCGCAGGCATTATTGAGATCACTGATGTCGATCTGTAGCATTAAATGAAAGATAACTATCGAGGCAGGTGATAAGAATCAATGTAGAGAATGGTTTTGAATGCGGTGCAATGGCGAGTACAGCTGGAGGGAGTCTATGAATTGGTCGGAAAGAGATTGCTCCGCAGACACAGCTCAGAGACCTCAATCAAGTTATTACCCGTGAGAAAAATATTCATTAGCCGCCCGTCTACTCAAGTACTAGTACTATCCTTAACTCCTGCTCTCTTTACATGACACAACTAGTTTCTACACCATGTCAATCTATGTAGATTTCTGCACTATTGAGCCCCGCTGCTTCGGAAAACTTATCATTCACTCAATAAGGGGCATCATGTGCTTCTAGACGGCACTCCGCGGCCACATGCTTCAAGGCTCTTCTTCTTTTGCGAAATGCATCCGTTGCACGACTCTGCCTTCTTCCTTAACGTGCGTGACAGGTACGGCGAGTGCTGCATGCACATGCACGCTCAGGACGGACCTCGTGGCTTTCAATACAGAAGAGTGACCGCTGTACTGCCGGTTTATAGAGGTATGGTTGTACTACGCCGCGCCATGGAATGTTCTCCTCGTCCTTCTTGAACGGTGAGTTCGGTTCCGGCAGCTCCCCTGAGCTCATCACCGTGATCGTCGACTCTGCAGACATTCTACAGCGTAAGCTGTGAACGTTACTTAGCCCCTAGCCTGGTATATGCGCCTGCTGAGGAGAGTGCCTCTGCATCCATGGTGCGAGCTGTGATGCAAGGCGTTCAACCGTTCTGAAACGAACCTTCTAAGCTGCGTATGACTCGCTGACTCGGTTAACATCACACTGCGTGTCATTTCTGTGTTTCTGAGGTCCCGGTAGAGCGCAGGCATCTAGACACCCCGTGCCGGCGCAGTGCTTACTTCTAGAGGTTTTGCGTAGATCGCAGAATCTAGAAGTTATTCAGGTTTCCGTCTGTGGCTCGATCGACACGCTGCAAACGGCGCGAAATCCAGTAGCTCGAGCGCCGGACCAGGTGCGAGTCTAATGTAAAGTAGCAGGCATTGCGCGAGGATGATGCACATCTTTCATCTTCATGAATGTATCTCTCGTACATATCCAACCTAATCTTCGCTTTGACAGCTCTGCAGAACTATACGATCCGAACTGTCAGATCGAAACACTCCGACCGCTTGTGTTTCCGGCTAGGCTGTTCCATGCTTCCGCAAATGTAAGTGGAGGCGACCAAATTTGCTGCTGAACAGCTGTTCGCAGGTCAGTACTTGTAATTAAAGCACAGGGTGTGTCTTCCGCGAGGGCAGTTTCGTGGATGACAGCAAGATGTGAGTAAATTCTATGGCGTACACTACGACTGAGTCTTTGGGACAAGAGCTGTGTGGGGTTCCGCTGAACGTGGTGGTGGCCACGTGTATTAACCTCTTGACGATCGGTGATCTGGCGATCATCCTCGATCAGGACGGACTCCTTTCCGAGTTTGACTCAAAAAGTTCTCCACCTCAATTTCAGCTGTCAGGGTACCGGCTTCCCTGGACCTGCCAGGATAGATCTCGAATATATGTGTATCAGCGTCTCATGCTCGGTACCATATACTCATCTTGTCTTTGACTGGGTTCGCTTGCACTATGATGGTGAGGTCTGAACGGTCCAAGTCGGGGTGTTATTTCAGACAACGTATATCCGCTGACTCCCTACTTATCGAGTGGTTATCCAAGCCATACCTTGAAGGTCTTCCTTAAGCTTGAATCTCTCTGTCGGATTAGTCAAGACTACCCCCAGCTATAGTATGAATCTTGCTCTCGTTGGACTATAGGGCCATCAGGTCATTAATGATCGCTATATCAATTGATGTAGCCCTCGCATGTGTCCGATATCTGGAAGGCAGATACGGATTGACTTGGGTGCCTCAATTTGCAAGTCGTATGAGAATCCAGTGTTTGTCGCCCAAATTGTCAGGATTACAGGTCAGACGCTGAGTCGAGACGCCCTAGGCCTATAGCCGTCGCTGTCATTTCCTACTGGCCTGAATGTACTTAACAGGGAACACTCCCGCGATAATCGCAGCCTTCCATGCATTCAATCAAAAATAACGCTGGGAATACCCGCCGAGCTGACGGATCCCAGAGGGCATCCTACGATAGAAACACCGCCAGTACCCACGGGCCCCTTACTTTCCAACATGTGCAGACGCATCAACTCTGCTTGATGTGTAACAATGGAATGTTATGGCTACTTTTTTTGCGACACTGAGAAGGGGGCAGAGGAGCGAGCGGTCACGTGCCAGGGCTGGCGGCACGAAATGTGCAATTCTGTCGCCATCGCCGAACGCCATCGCGCCTTGGAACACGGAGCTCACGCACTCGAATAAAATACAGCCGATTATGTCTTCGACTTCTCTTTCGGTACCTTCGACCACAGGCTTGACAGCCGCCGGGCGTATCTTCTTTCCAGCGAACATTATATCCTGCACATCCTCATCGTTGCAGGGCCGCACACTCCAGGTCAGCTTACCGGGCTGAAAACAAATTTCACCGCATTCTGTACCTCTACCCTGAGCTGTCCGTTAACATGCAAGCTGCACGGGCGAGCGTACGCCGCTTCAAGCCATCTGGCGATGTAATTCGCAAAAGCCTCTCTGGGCCTGGGCGGACACCAAGCTCTCGAGCATCGAGCTCCAAGGCAAGCGACCGACCACACTTCCCTTGTGTGGATGCGCACGCGGCACGAGAATTACACCTCCGCTCCTCCCTCCGCTCGTCGATCTCGTCGTCATCTTCGACGTCGTCCTCACACTCAGGACCGGAGCCTGCGTACGCAAGACCTAGCCCAGCATCCTATCATGTGTACCACCATCCACGTCCCCTGCCTCTTACTTACGCTTCTCCTCTTCCATCCATTAACATTGCCTACGAGACTTGGGGCACGCTTTCACCAACTAGGGACAACGTGATCCTGCTTCACACTGGCTTGTCCGCCTCCTCCCACGCTGCATCTACTGACTTGAATCCCGCCGAGGGCTGGTGGGAGAACTTTATTGGCCCAGGTCGAGCTCTGGACACCAACCAGTTCTTCATCATCTGTACCAACGTGCTCGGTGGATGCTATGGCACGACAGGGCCATCATCGGTAGACCCCAGTACTGGACAACGCTATGCGACCCACTTCCCTGTCATCTCCATTTTCGACATGGTCCAAGCTCAGTTCTGCCTGCTCGATCATCTGGGAATCGAAAATCTCTATGCGAGTGTAGGGTCATCAATGGGCGCGATGCAGAGTCTAGCTGCAGGATGGTTGTATCCGGAGCGGGTGGGCAAAGTTGTGAGCATCAGCGGGACAGCAAGAAGTAGCCCTAGTGCTATTGCTATGCGCTTTGCTCAGCGGAGTGGTAAATACGCTATTTGTGATTGTGTTCACGCCGGTATTCACTCCCCTTTTCAGTTCTCATGGCAGACCCCAATTGGAACAAAGGGTTCTACTACGACGGCCTCCCACCACACACAGGCATGAAGCTGGCACGACGTATGTATGGCTTTAGAGACCGTGCTGCTGTCCGAAGCTAAGGTTTCCTGTTAGAAATTGCAACAATCACATATCGCTCAGGTCCGGAGTGGGACATGAGGTTCGGGCGGAAATTACGGCGTCTACCCGCCGCAGAAAATTCAGAAGAAAGTCCGGAGATCGCAGACAAGCCGCGCGCACCTGCCCTGTGTCCCGACTTTCTGATCGAAACGTACCTCGATTACCAGGTGCGTGGTTTCCCTGCATATTCGGCATGGACATGGCGAGTCTGATGCTTCATTTGACTTGTGAATCGACAGGGCGAATCGTTCTGCTTGAAGTACGACGCAAATTCGCTTATCTACATATCCAAAGCCATGGATATCTTTGACTTGACCGGCTCTGCCCTTGCCGAGCTTCGCTTCACCCCACCACCACCCCGTAGTTCCCCGCCTCCGCTTCCGCCATCTATGTCCGCTCATCCGACCTCGCCCACGCACACACATTACCACTGGGTGCTGTCGCACTCAAAATCACATCCTCCTCCCCCGAACCCACCTGCACACTTGCCGGAGCTTGCGGAGGGCCTACGGCCGCTGGCAAACACGCCCACTCTTATCCTTGGCGTGCAGAGCGACATCCTGTTCCCCGTTGAGCAGCAGCGCGAAGTTGCGGACGCATTGAGGATGGCAGGAAACCAGATGGTAAGCTACTTTGAGTTGGGTGGAGTTTGGGGGCATGATACATTCTTGTGAGTGCCTGTTCCGCGTGTTCAAGGAAGATCGATCGCGCGTCTAACATGCATACGACGCCAGGCTTGATGTGCAAAATGTCGGCGGCGCCATCCGCGGATTCCTATCATGAGTCCGGTCCGGAATCAAGACCTCGTCATGTACTGCTGTTGTTCGCTCTCATTCCTCATTCTACCGCATGTATAGCAGTCCTCATAGCACAGTCTCGGGCACTCTTGCATTACACGCACGATCTACTAGCAATCCCATTGTATCAATGTGTCATCATGCAGAAGCGCGAAGTCTGAGTGGCAGTGCCATACCTTGTGAATTCTATCTGTTTTCCCCATGGGGGTGCTTGGGTTGTCATGTTGAACGCCTCGGAACGGCCAAATTCGAACGTCGTCGCGTCATCGGAATTCTGAGTCTGATTGCCTGAGAGAAGTTGACCGTCGGTCGAATAGACGCTCACTCTCGTCCTTGCCTACGAACAGGGTCCTCATTTCGAAAACAACGATGAGAAAGCCAAGGGTAGCTTCGTTCCGTGTGGTATGTCTGTTTCCTTCTCTGAGGCCATGCAACTCAGCTCTGTGGACAGAACTCACACCGGCAACGCTATGGTCCATTTGCTCTCCACACTCTACCCGAAGGACTTGTTCCCGATCCTACTGGGCGAGAAGAGTGTGTACAGACGTTTTGCCGCGGCTTCATATTTTATAACCCTTCACAGACTTGTCATCAAGAATCCTGCTACCGGGGATGACGTCTGCACGTAAGCCTTCATCGAGTCTGTCCGTCTTGCTTGCAGTAACGAAGTGGTCCGTGCAGAGTGGTTATGGCAAACCAAGAAGACGTCCATCTCGCTATTCACTATGCACAAGAGACCTTTGACTCTGGAGTGTGGTCCAAAGCGCCTGCGATACACCGTGCTGCTGTCCTCTCCGTATTGGCCAGGAACTTAGGGGAACGCATCCACGAGTTCGCGCGCATAGAGTCAATGCAAACTGGAAGAGCGATCCGAGAAATGACCGCCCAACTGGGTCGTCTTCCCGAGTGGATGTGGGTGGAATTGCCTCGTCGCTCTGCAGTTCATCCATGACCTACTCCAGTGATTATTACGCAGCTCTGCTCCGTACACGCCAGGACTTCGTAGCGCCCACGCAAGGCAAGCTGCTGAATTACGTGCAGCGAGTACCCCTTGGAGTCGTGGCCCAAATTACGGTTTGTCACGCACGATATTTCGCAGCCTTGATGTGCTTTCGCTCATGCCTCGTTGTAGCCATTCAACCACCCGCTACTCATAGCTATCAAGAAGATCGCTCCCGCGTTAGCTGCAGGCAACTCTATAATTGTGAAGCCAAGCGAATTAGCTCCAATATCAGTGCTCGAGTTCGCTGAGATGACGATTGCGGCTGGTGGTCAGTCCTCGTTGGTGTGCATAGCGCGGTGATGCGTCAGGCTAATATCTGACTGACAGTCCCTCCTGGAGTGTTGTCTGTTCTTCCTGGACACGGAAGAACGATTGGCAAGGAGATCGTCTCCAATCCTCTTATACGCAAGGTCGATGTCACGGTGAGGATAAATGTCAAGCATCTGCCTTCGATATCTCCTGATTGAATGGTGTTTAGGCCGGAACGGATACCGGGCGCGCATTGGGTAGTATCGTTGGCGCAAATCTCGCTGCGTATACGGCAGAGCTTGGTGGCAAGGTGGGAGTCATGAAACGAATTGAAACCACTTGTTCACTTACAGCGCCGTGTGACATTTGTAGGCTCCAATTGTAGTCTTCAACGATGCAGACGTCCAGTCCGCTGTGAATGGGGCCGCCTTTGCTTGTTTCATCGCATCTGGACAAACCTGTGTGTCTGGAACACGGCTCATCGTGCAGGATGAGATATATGATGTCTTTATGACACTGCTTCTGCAGAAGATCAAGAGCATCACTTCCCGCATGGGCAATCGTGCGTAACTCGCTCTCCGTGAGGCTACCAATTCCTTGTTGATATAACTGCCTAGCCATGAACCCGGCCTCGACTATGGGAACGGTCATCAATCATCGGCAGTTGAAGAGAATCGAGCAACTAGTACAGCGACCAGGGATTGGAAAGATAATTGCGGGTGGTCGTCGGCTGACCGGCCATTCGCCGCTGGATGGGTTTGACTTCTCGAGAGGCAGTTTCTTCCCTCCGACAGTCATCACAGACATATCCACGGAAGACGACCTCTGGAGGGAAGAGGTATTTGGCCCTGTCGTCGTGGTGAAGCGTTTCTCCGTGAGTCACTGTCCTTGCTTGATGCAATGATGAAGGTTCTCAATCTAGGGAACGCGGTCTAGGATGAAGAAGAGGGCGTAGTCTTGGCTAACGCGTGCAAGTACGGTCTTGGAGCGGGCATATGGACGTCAGATCTGTCTAGGGCCCACCGTGTTGCCGCTGAAATCCAGGCTGGTCTCGTATGGGTCAACACACACCACCGCAATGACCCCAGCTCTCCCTGGTAAGCCTGACATATGAGCGTCGATGGCTCAGGAGTTCAATTTGTTTTCAGGGGTGGGATGAAAGAGAGCGGAATCGGGAGGGAGAATGGCATCGAAGCACTAGAAGCTTGTATGTTCCCCAGTTGCGCTCTGAGACAGATTCTGACATCATGGAATGCAGATTCACAGGCTAAGTCGACCATTGTTAACATTGCGTCGTCAGAAGAAACAAGAGAAATGCAGGATTGGTTTGCTGAGAACGATGAGGAGAAGCGTTACGGATGATTGCATTTTATGTTTACGAACGTGCCATGTCCCTTGATTTACCCACACTCAACCATGCTCGTAGCGAGAGTATTTTCGGGAAATTGGCTTCCAGTTTGGGAAACGCTTGAGTATACAATAAGTCGTCCGAACGTAAGCACTCGTGGGAGCAAGGCGCGGAAGCAAAACTTCTCCAGTCCATACGATGTCATAAATGCGGAAGCTAGTCCAATTGCATCACCAAGCAACGCAGGCGATCGGTGACAAGTGAAATTGAAGCTCCACGTCCATATACTTAGGCCGTGCAGGCATTATGGGAGGCACTCCTGAGTCTCCATGGCGGACGCCCCTACCCCTACTCGATCGTTGCCAGACGGGCAGACAGTGTGGCCAGGCACAGAAGTGAGTTCTCTTCGTTATCTATCCAGACCAGACAAACGTATATAAGATAGCAGCACCCGCAACACGCACTCGGCGCGGGACGGGGTTCCGCACACAATGAGCCTTCCCGCTCAATGGTGCTCCCCGGAACAATCAGAAGTGTGAGTGCCGTTACATTTGCCTATCGACGCTCGAGTGACCGAGGATGTGCTTGTTGTCGGAACAGGATGTCCAAGCGGCTGACAGGCCCGTTGAAACCATAACGCCTGCACCCGCACGCAGCGAGCCGAGCTCAACCGTGGAGATATACCCAAGATCGTCGAGTTTGTTTGACAAGGCAGTTGACTTGCCTTTCTTCGAACCTACCGATCCAAATCGGTGGCCGGCAGAGAAGGTGCTATTCCTTGCCGGATTCCTGTTCTTTCCATGCTGGATTCTGGGAGGCTTCTGGAAATGGCGACCAAGATATGATACTTGTACGTACGCTTCGCCACGTGCGACACGAGTCTGACAGACGATGTCGCAGTCGCAGACCTACATTGCTGGCGTTGTCAAGTAATGACGATGTTTGTAGTCATCATAGGAGGAAGTGTGCTTGTTGTGGAGCTGGCTCTTAGAGGACGATGAGAGTTCATGGTTTCCGGTCAATAAGCAGAGTATATACATATTACAGAACAGTGACTTCTTGAATACTCGTACACGCCTAGGGAGTGCGGGGCGCACAATAATTCGACTACAGTGACATTGACGGTAGACATCACGCTGTTGTCTTCACGGCTTGCTTGGGTTCGGCCTGACAACATTAATCAGAGCAAGGTCATAGGTCCCAGATCACAGCATATACTCACTTCATTCAATTCCACAGGCGGTTCGTCGATGAAATCTGGTGCCTTGTTGACATCGGCTAAGTACGAAGCACCTTCATCGTCAGCCTCGAGTTCCAAAGCGTCTAGTTCTGTGTCTCTCGGTAAGTCACGCCGTCAAGGACGGAGCTTTGTCAAATCAATACGTGCCTGCTTGCAAATCCGCCTCGTCGATCTCGTCGGGTACAGCATACGAACGACTCAGTGATTCCTGAACCTCATTGGCCTGCTCTAGCAAGTCTTCCATGTCGTATTGCATGCTCTAGATAGACGGCGTTTCGGATATCCATACGTTTCTACGAGAACGGACCGACGTACTTCAATCTTGTCAATATCAAACTTCCCGTACTGTTTCTTCAACTCCTTGTTTGCTTGCTTCATAGCGTCAACAGTGGCCATCGTATTGCGGAGATTCTCCGTGGCGAGCGCAGCAGACTCCATGTTGAATGTTTGCTGTGTTAACTGCGCCAGTTGTGATTCGTACATTCTTTTCTGCTTCAATGTACGCATGGCGCGTTCTTGGATAGCGTTCTACAACGGTGGTTCGCCCCCAACGACCAGTCGCAACTGACACATAACACACCTTGCCAGCCCCATTACGCAGCTTACTCATCTGCTCCTTATATCTTGCAAGCTCTCCATCAAGCTTCTTGATCTTGACCTCGATAGAGGCCATCCGAGAGTCTGTCTAGCATGATGGCTTCGGTGAGCAGGGACGAGCGGACGCGTTGCTGTCTGCACGGACCGAAGCGATGGCATCTTGAAGAGAAGGAGTAGGTTTCTTGCTACTTGAAGAGCCAAAGATGCGGTTCATTGTGCGTGATAGAATATAGAGATGTTGGTAGAGGCAAGAATGCTGCGTCTGGACCCGCAACTTGAGTCCGTATGAGAATAGCCGCCGGTAAGCCGCTGGGCTCGATCACTCAAAGTGCAATTCCGTTTTTGGCAACTTTGTTGGTTCGCTGTCTTCCTGGCCACTCGGCGCGGCGGCCGGCAGCACTGCCGTTTGACCAAAGTGTTATCGCTGTGCAGAACATACTTATCCAGCCTTTTATAAGCTTGGCGAGCTTGGCAAACCCTTACGCCCCACGGGTGCATTACACTTGATATGGCATACTTATCTCTCCGTGATGGCGCAGGAGCAACTTCGTGGGTAATCTTTGTCTCGGACAAGTGTGAGCGGCACCGTTTTCCCGTAGATTCACAGAAAGGCTGACTTGCGTGGGGGTTTGAGGTTTGCCGCGTGCTCGAGCCTACTGCTCCAAGCCTTGGCCGTTGGGCCGATTAGATAGGCGAATCCTCAGGAGATCTGGGACGGTGGTCAAGGATGACACAGCGTATATAGAGACTTTGTTCTTCAGCTCTCTCTGGGCTGCCGCGCACGACCATGTCGTCTCCCGTCATGGCTGAAGTCAAAGAACCGACTACCGCTCCGAGCCATGATCTTCCAGCACTCATTGCCCGCACAGAGTCCAAGAGCATCACGGACGAGAAACACAGTGTGGATGTGGAAGTCGATGAGGTCGTAACGGACGGCCTTGAATACAAGGATGAAGCCTTGAAGCTGGTCGGCATGCAGAGAACGCAGGAGTTCAGCGAGGAATACTATCGAAAGCTACGGCGGAAGCTGGTGTGTTCTGACATTTTCATAAACCCATGTATTCGACCCTGACCTACTCAGGATTACACTATACCTCCCCTATGTAGCGCTGTATACTTCACCCAGTACTTGTGAGTTGCATCTTTCTCCATACGTGTAGATTGCGAGCCCTTGCTTATCATTTTTATCGCAGGGACAAGACTGCGCTGAACTATGCGAGGTATACTTGAATGCCTTACTGTTGTGTCTCGCTCTCATAATTCATAGTATCATGGGATTCCCAGTAACAGGACAGGTAATTTCGTCTGCTGGGGTTGGTTAGCTCCTTCTGACATTATAGTAGGGATATAACCTTGTGGCGTTATCGTTCTATATAGGTGCGTTCGATCATTCAAGCCGTTGGATTACCATAATGACGGTCTTGCGATTGTTAGGTTTTTTAATATGGGTATTCCCTACTATGTATATTTCCCAGAAGACTCGCCTCGGGAAATATCTGGGAGTGAACGTCGTCCTATGGGGAATCATCATGATGCTACACGCTATTCCGCGATCATTTGGACCATTCTTTATTTTGAGGCTCCTGCTAGGTATGCTGCACGCCGCACGATGAATCGACTTCCAAGGTTTTACAAATAATTTCTAGGGATGCTCGAGAGTTGTGTTGCGCCTATTCTCATCCTGATCATTTCAATGTTTTACAAGAAGGACGAACAGGTATGCAGATTTGCAACAGCTCCCTCGGATACTGACTGATCTCTTTTTAGGCGACGCGCATCTCTTGGTTTTACCTCATGGTACAATATTCCAGTGCGTAAATAAGTATTGGCTGACTCGTTTGTCAGAACGGGTTTTCCGCAATCGTTGGCGGTTTCTTTGCCTATGTGAGTCATACAATCATGTATCTATTCTCACCGCTTGCGGTTGAGCCATTCGCACAGGGTGTCTCTTACACAACCGACGCAAGTATACCGTCATACAAAATCATCTATCTTTTACTGGGAGGTCTTGCGATAATAGTCGGCATTGCGGTTCTCTTATGGATGCCGGATTCCCCAACTAATGCACACATGCTGAGTCACGAGGAACGAATCGCCGCAATCGAACGGATCCGGGACGATCAAGGAGGCACCGAAAACAGGAAGCTGAAGAAGGAGCAGCTCATCGAGGCGCTGACAGACTTCAGAACCTGGCTCATCGTCCTGTCGACTCTCTTGAGTAAGTCTCCACCTTGGGTGTGCTTTTCGTATATCAAATTGAACGGTTCCATGCAGCAAACATTCCCAACGGAGGTCTCGCAAATTGTATGAATTTCTATACGACTGTGTGCTTCCTGTTCCATTGACCGCTTTCGCACAGTCGGTAACATCATTGTCAAGGTGAGTGCTATCTGCTCCCAATTTCCAGGATTGTCTGATCAACGGTCATCGCAGAACTTCGGCTATACGTAAGGTGTCCTTACGTGAATGCAACCACTTGTCTCACAGACCTTGTAGAACAAAACAGACTCTGATTCTCTCGACACCTGCTGGTCTTATTGGCCTTATTACGACACCACTGGTTGGGTGGTACTCCGACAGGACGGTGTGTCATTGTCCAACTCATGTGCTACATCGTCGCTCTGACACAGAGCTCAGAATGAGCGGATGCTTCCCATAGTGTATATTCTCATACCGACGCTGGTTGGAGCTGCGATGCTTGTTGCCCTGAATGGATCTAATCAGAAGGGCGCATTGCTGTTCGGTGCGTAGACTACCGCAAAGTATCGCGAGGACCTGCTAACAGCAAGGCAGCTACATACATCATTGGGACATACGGATCCTCGCTATCACAAATCTACGCGTACAATGCTAGTAATACCAGCGGCCATACGAAGAAGGTCACGATTAACGCCATGACACTCGCAACCTTCTGTGTCGCCAACATTGTCGGGACGGAGACCTTCTTACCGAAGGATGCGCCAGGGTATCTTCCTGGGAAGATCTCCATCCTTGTATTGCTTAGCGCTGAGTGCTTCCTCTGCTTGTTCATGCGATGGTACAATCTGCATTTGAACAAGAAGAAGCGACAAGGTGTCGAAGAGCTCAAACACATCAACGGGTGGACAGATGAAGACATCGTGAAGGAGAGGCAGCGACATGCCTTTATGGACATGACAGATAAACAGTATGTGATGCATTTGTCATAAGCTGGATGCGGGCTTATTGAATCGTTCAGGAATCCGTATTTCGTGTACACTTCTTGAGTCATCTCCTACATACTAGAGCACTTCTCTTATCCACGAACATTGCCATGATCAACGAGTTTTTGTATCACATCTTCTCAGTATATGCTGTGAGTGTCCGAGGTGACCGTATGTATGCGAATGTTTCGACTGGAAGGACCGCTGCTTAGTATGTGCCGCCACCTAAGCGCCGGAGATCTCCACAATGACGGATCTGGAAAGTGATGTCTTTCGATCACCAAGTTCAACTTCTACTCTCATTGTCGGTTCTCATTACCCAGCGCCTGCTTAAGCCTGTACTACCTGGCCATTCTATTGAACTACCTTCCCTCTTATTCTGCATGCGGGAGGCTTTACAGGACCCAGAGAAGATACCTTTAAAGGCAAAAAATCTAAGGCTCTCGGATGCGTTGTCGAAAATAGACAAGACCCAATTCATTGACGCCTATGTGCAATCGCAGAAGCCTTACCTGGCTACATATGCTAAAGAGGGCCCCCTTCCAGATGTGACGCCTAAGGATCAGTCGCCTCCCCTTGTTTCTACTGAAGGTGATCGTCAAGCAGGGCCAACCCTGAAGTCAGGATTCGACACGCCAATTCTCAAACCACGCGTCCCGTTAAAGGAACCCAAAAAAGACAAGGTGCTGCATAAGGCACCACTACCTGTGAAGTCATCTCGCAAGAAGGAAGAAGAAAACAAGGAGAACAAGATCCGCTCGCAGAGGACACGCGATACTAGACATTCTTCGAGTCCTGCCAAGCAACGCGGCGGACCGGCCCTGAAACAACAGACACTCGATAAATTCAAGCCGTTAAAGAAGACGATTGCGCGCAAGGACCACATAGTCTCCAAGAAGCGCGCAAGAGACTCTGACACTTCTGACGGAGAACGCGCCACGCGTAAGCAGTTACCGTAGATGTAACATTATTATCTAAACTCAAAAATTGATTGTAGGCCTCGCTGAACGCCGTGAGCGAAGGAGGAAGAAACGCGCGGTTATCCAGCCAAAGAGCAAGGACAGCGAGGAAGCACCCGACGTTTGCGCATCTGACAATGACAAGACTGACGAGAAGAAGTCTCAGAAGAAAAAGGGCGTCAGTATGTCGACTGGCCTTGCTCTGATGCACGGCTTCACAGCAAATAACATTGGCAAGAACAGGCTAACGGTAAGCCATAGTATGAGGCATGAGATCCGTCAGGACTCACGATAGATGAGCTACTGTAGATCGTTCCAGAGCAGAGGGGAGTATTCAGCAAGGGAAGAGCCTCGGCTAATATGACCGTAAAGACAACGTCCGTCAAACGAAGTGAGCGCCTCCGTACAGTCCACTTGAACCTACAGTCCTGACTTTGTTTCAGAATGCTTAGTGCAAGCCTTTTCTGAATCGCAATTCCTGAGCAAGTCAAAACCCAAATCTCCCGCTAAAGGTGAAGACGATAACCCCTCCAGTTACTCCGGGGCATCAAATGAGAACCGCGGTATATCGCGGAAGCGGACAAAAAAGCAAGATGCTCGTGCAGAGTGTTCTGATGCTTCTTCCATTGTCGAAGCCGCCGGTGATAGCTCTTCTCTCATTAACGAAGAGCATCCCTGTATTGCACCAGCTCCAGGATCACCTGCACGCAAACTCAGGACAGTAGAATCTGTCGTTTGGGATATTGAATTAGAGGGTAACGAATTGCGTCCTGACCCTCCTGCATCCGAGCACTTGGTGGCGAATTCGGAATCTGCTGTAGTGCTGAATACGCGCTCGCGGGATTGGCAAGTCAAGAAGATAGTTCACGCTACTGACATCGTCAGTGATGCGCATTCGGAACCGGATGACGGAGACGATGACATGGACTCGGACACTCCAACCAGTCTAATATACTCTATCGGCCCTTCACAATCAGCTTCTCAGGCTGGTCAACAGCTCAGGACGATGAAGCATACTGCCTCGAAGTTCTTCAATCACCCCACGAACGACATAGCTCATCCTCTCGCCAACCACATCGGCGTCGCGACTCTGTCTGATGGTCCTCAGTCTATCACAGGGACACGTCTAATGGATGTACACGGATCATTCATTTCACCCAGTCAAGCTGAACCTGCAGGTAGTACGATGTCGCTACCTCAACAAAGTGAAGATCTAGTAGCCTCTGCGGACACTGTTCGCGCCTCTGCTGTCGCGCAGTCTCCTGCTTCTTATATGTCTACTGATTCCCTCGAACGCGAGCTGCAAGCACTGGACTCAGGCTCCCGGACCGCCGGCCATACAACCGGAACTCTGCCTTGTGCTATGCGCCGAACATGGAAACAGGCTTATAGTTATACTGGCTATACCTTTGCTGTGCCTTCTGCCTATTTTGATGGCTTGGACGATTCGTGGAGGGATCCGCTCGATTACAATTCATTTGCCTCTGCTCATTCGCTATCTGAAGATCAACACACGGGTCCTGAGTCTTGTGTCTTGCCAGCGGGCGAGGATTGTGTAATGCAAGACGCCCATGAATCCGAAGATTGGGCTATCGACCTATCCAACGGTGCACCCATACGTCAGGAACACGCTCTGACATACCAGGCGCCGTACTACCTCAACTCGCTCGATGCCGATCAAGGACTTGTGTATGAAGGAATTGGCTACACAGGGGATCTTCTTTCACGACTTTCTTCTGACGAGGACCCACTTGAACCCGACGATGGACCCGCTGGCCAGCATTACCCCGACGACAACCCCGCATTCGACACCCTACCCGAGAGTATTGACTGCCTGTCTAGATCTTGCACACCATTGTCTTGCGGCGGCCTGTCTTCAGATATTGGCAGTGATCTTCCCTCAAACAACAAGTCTATCGTTGATTCAATGCCGCACTTTTCTCAAGGTCGTGCTTTGCTCATGGGTCTGGCGGAACGATCGAGTGGGTCGGAGGTAGCCCCGGCAGTGCCCTATGTCCTATCAAGCGCCGAGGAGCAAGTAGCTAAATCGCTGCGTGGCCACTGGTTACCGCACAAGCTATGAGTAGCCCCAATAGGTTCTCCGGTATCGGCTCGCGTAGTAGTCGCCTGAAGTGTGTACATGTATTCTCATCTTCATCTTGTACAATACACCTTTCTGTGCATATGGATGCCACTCCCCGGGCCACGTTATAAAAAACCGCATCGAGCCCTAAAACGACAAGGATAAATTCGTCGGCGGTGCTTGGACCGTCAACGTTCAACCCCAGTCAAAATCGCATCTGAGCAGATCCAGGAGAATCGTGGTGTATCTGAGCAATTGACGTGATGTCAGAATTTCCGATAGACCACGTTATACCCCGCTGTACCTCCCAATTCTGGACTGAAACCGAGGGGCACATCGAAGCACATCAGGGCAGAACGAAGCTATATGAATATTCTCGCTACGCTCCGATTGTTTATATACGCTCCAATTGTTCATATACACTCCTTTATTTATATACACTCCGTTTGTTTATATACACGACATTGTCCTTAGACGACCTACTGACCGCACGCAGAGACACTCCATCGCTCACTCTCAACCTGACCATTGCTTCTCATCTTCGCCTCCACCAGCATCTCAGGATTGCTGATGTTACAGCTGGCGCCGCACAGAAGACGTGGTCGTGTTTGTGTACGAATGACAGACCTATCAGGTGTAGTACAGCAAGCAGGGTCAGCTATATCAGACAAGGGGGACTCGCAACAAGTAGACGCACTGATGAGCATTCCTGCCCCACCAGGGCTCTAGTACTGGGAGAGGAGACTGGAGAATGCGAGTACGAACTAGATGCCTCCAATACGAGGGATGGAGGTGGAAAGCATACTGATCTCGAAAACGGGGTCACTATATGCGCAGTCAAACTTGCTGATAATGACTCACCTGAAAGGAATGACATTTCACGACTATGCAATCGTGTCAGTCAAGATGTCCGTGTACATCATATAAAAGTTCACCGCGCGCCCGCATGACACCGCGACATCACATCAGGATCAGCGCGACATTATCGCATTCCTGGCATTCCCAAACCGCACTATATTTGAACCTCTTCGGTTAGCCCAATTACCGTAGTGAATGATGATGACTCACTGCACTACCACACGCTGTATGCTAGTTGTTTCTCGATGCGAGCTTCAGCCGATATTTCCATCTTACTGAAGCTCGTAAGCGCTTCCTAATTGCCCCTTGTAATGTACATACGCTTACCTCCTGTAGAGTGACGGGACACTGTTAGATACAACGTCGCTCGTTCCCCGTCAAGACACATCTGGCCTATTATATGCGATCTACTCACATGGCTGCCGTGACGAAGAGGATATTGTAGGGGGCTCGTCGGGTGTAGATGCAAGGTGAGTTGTCCTTAATGCTTACTACAGGTCTTACAAGTAGAGGGATAGGATTCTGCCGAGTCTGTGCTTGACTGTGGTAGCAAGAGAGAGAAGAATGTAGAATGCGACGCGCGGCCAGGGGACGCAGTCACATGATTGAACCTAGTTTTGTGCACAGAGACAAGGTGTGCGGCGTATATAGGTGACATGATTAGAGCTTACAAGACAAATTGCTGTGTCAAGTGGGACTTTGACGTGCACGAAGCATTTGCGTCATGCAACACCGGCGTGTGATCAGACAAAAATAGCCTCTCGATCAATTTCCGAGTCGATGTACACCGTCTGGCTCAGTTGGATTAGATCCGCCTCTTTTTCCCCCGTTCTGCTCAGACGCATTTTTCACTGGGGTTCAACTCCCGAAGTGTGGCCGATCTGCGCACATCTACGTGACGACGCGGTGTGACACCTTGTGACGAGTCGCGTCGCCCGCCACGGTCGCCACATACATAACGCGTCCACCGTCTGTCTTGCTAATTCTATTGCCCGCTCATCTCCCTACACGCGCTTCCGCGCACCAAAACGCGTTTGCTCACCGGAATGAGCATCAAGGAAAATACCATCATGGGCTCGCCTTCTGTGAGCTCGACTTCTCCCATTTCCGACGGTGGTTCTTCTGTCTAACCTTGTCTTCAGAATGCCACGCCTTACATAAAACCGGAGCCTCAGGAGCATAACTCACTTCCCCTGCTAGACTCTAAATCATGGCAGGGCGCGTCTTCGGTGGTGAAGCCGGAACCTGTCGATCAAGGATACGCTGTAAGCAGTCAAATCTCGCTTATACGCGTAATTCGCGTATTGAATGCTCGTTTTGCCTTCAGCATGCCTTCAGGGTGAAGCCAGAGCCTGGTCTTGATGCCCCTGTAGCACACATCGGGTTGCCTTCAGATGGCTCGTTCCTTCTACCAAAGCCGGACGAGGATGCCCCCCAAATCCCTCATGCCGAGCCTCAGCGTCCATTGTACCGTGTGTATAACTCGGCAGATGATATCAACTATCTTCCCGAAGACGCATTGAACGAGGGCCTGAGCATGGTGAAAACTATCAAGGCAAATATCAAGAAGCTCGAACTGGGTAGTAAACTACGCAAAGATGTCTGGCTCCGCGAGATTGAGAAGTATAGATCAATGTTCTGGAACGAACCGACCTACTAACTGGGATGACAGCCTCCAGAGTCAAGGCGCACCGACAACCTTGATCGCTGTCTGTGGAGGTGAGTATAGCGCGTCAGCTTCGGGGGCAAAGCTTCGAGTGACCTTTGAATCTTCGAACAGCCACAGGAGCCGGAAAGTCATCGATCCTGAACGCCATTCTTGACGGTAGGTGACTTAATGCTAGCAACGGGTCATGTTCTCACGCAGGAACCTGCTAGATAACATTGTACCTACCAGCGGAATGCGAGGTATACTTGGATGTCTCTCGTGACGATATGGAACTTCACTGAATGTGGCATCAGCTTGCACCGCCGTCGTGACTGAGATTGGCTATCATGCCAAGAAGACAGTTGATGCCGACGTGTCTTTCCTGTCAGAGCAAGAATGGAGGGAAGAACTTGCTGTCCTTCTTGATGACTTGACTGACGAAGACGGCAACATCAAGAGGACGACTGATCTCCGTGGCGACGCAGGTGTAGCCTGGCAAAAGGTGGGTTTATGTGGGTCCGTCGGCTATGAGCTACGTCTGACGTGACATAGGTCCACGCCGTCTATCCGTCGATTACCCAAGACATGCTCGTTAAACTGTCTGTTGACCAACTTATTCAACGTGATCCAAGTGTGTCTGTATGCTACTCCGCGCAGCTCCCATTGACGTCGCTCTCGCAGAGATAAAGACGATCCTCGGTACCACGAAGCATATTTGTGCCAACGACTCTAAGTCGTTTGCCAAGGAAATTGCGAAATACATTGACTCTAAAGATCAAAAGCGCGGAGACAAGAAAGACAAGAAGGAGAAAGAGAAAGCGAAGGAACTCAGCATGATGGACAAGCTCATGAAGAACCTTGGCAAGGATAGTGGCAAGAAGAAGGAGAGCTACGATGAGCCTGCGTTCTGGCCGCTGATTCGGCAAGTGAACGTGCGCTGCGACTCGGCGGCGCTTTCTACCGGCGCCGTTCTCGTCGACTTGCCAGGTGTCGCAGATGCAAACGCAGCGCGTAACAACATCGCGAAAGACTACATGAAGAAGTGCAATTGCATCTGGATCTTGGCACCGATCACCCGTGCTGTTGACGACAAGACTGCTCGAGGTATGCTATTGACCACTGCGCTGAATCACCTGGTTGATCGAGTTCTTCCATAGATCTGTTGGGAGATGCGTTCAAGATGCAATTGATGAGTGCGTATGCTTCAACCTTTGCTTACGGAAGTTTATGTCTGACACTCTTTTTAGTGGGTACGTTTTCGATACTGATGTGCGATTATTGCCTCTTCCTAAATGCACGTCTACTGCAGACGGCGTGTATGATGATCATGCCATCACATTCATCGGTGAGCATCCTGCTGCAAAGCCAGTCAACGATGCTTATGACATCACTGTGTAGCCTCTAAGTGTGATGACATCTCCTGCTCGGAGGTTGTACGCGCTCTGAACCTCGAGGATGATCCAGAGCTCGAAGAGATTGAAGAACAGATCCAACAGTGCAAGGAGGAGAACGATGCATGGAAAGAGAAGAAATCTGACGCCGAGAAAGCCGCTAAAGGTCCGGGACCTATAATTATTCTGTCATTGGCGCTAACTCAGAGCTGCAGAGCTTGATTCGAGGCTGAAAGAGATCCGGGGGTACCTCGCAGAATACGAGGCTCATCTCCAAGCTCTGCGAAATGGGGAGCCCTTCGAGCCGCTATTGACGAAGACTAAGACCAAGGGCGAGAAACCCGAGACAACGAACAGTAGAAAACGCAAGAATACTCGTGGTGGGAAGAAGAGCACCAAGAGGAGACGCAGCGACAATACCGATTCTATGTCAATCGACGACGACTTCATCGACGATGACGATCTGGACTTTTCTGACGATAGCGACAAAGACTCAGGAAACGACAGCGGCTCTGATCCCGATTCCGACGATTCTAAGTCAGGATCTGACTCGGATGACGATGGGAACGGTGGCGAGAACGAAGGCGAAGAGGAAATCACTGTAGAGAGCTTGGAGGCCAAGATCACCGAGGCTAAGGACGCGATTAAGGCTGGGCGTGTCCAGCTGTCAGAATTCCGCAAACAGCGGAAGGAGGCTAGCGACACACTCGCCACGTTGAAGAAGAAGCAGCTCAAAGCTCAGAGAGAGAAGAATGCGTTTTGCTCACTTAAGCGTTCCGAGGTATGTTCTTCAGTGGAGCGTCAATGTTAGACTGTTTCTCATATCTCATGATGTCGGTAGTTCTCTCGTGACGTTCTCAAAGAAGACTTCCGTCAAGGGTTGAAAGATCTCGATGGTAAGTCCTGCACTCCTCCGCAGCACTCGCCAGTTGCCTGATTATCCCCTAGATGCCGCCGCCGAAGAACGCGACCCTAACAGCTTCGACCCTACGAAGAACCTTCGAGGTAAGCTGTCACGGAAAGATATTTGCATCGTGCCCTTCATGATTCATTTATAGACTACGAGGCAATTGATCTGCCCGTATTCACATGCTCCTCGAGAGACTATGTCAGACTGAAAGGTACTGTTACCATAATACCTCTGTCAATGCTTTCCCCTCATAACTGCGGCCAGGTCAAGTTAAGGGCGACGGTGACCCAACATGCTTCTCCAAGGTCGAAGACACTGGGATACCTGATCTGCAGAAGTGGTGCCACCGACTCACTGTCTCTTCGCGCGAGCGCGCCGCACGCAACTTCCTCGTTCATCTGAAAACCTTCGCGAACTCCATACGCATGTATGTTCAGGGCGTTGGCGACGTGACCCGGGGCGACCGGGAAGCGTTGCGAGAGAAGTGGGAGTCTTCTATCACCCAGGACAACGAGGACGACGTGGACGCACTGTTGTACAACGGGTGGGACAGCTCTGATGATTTCGACGACTCTGTGTTGGGAGCCTTGGCCCGGGGAGGTCTCTATTCCATAAATCTCAACCGGGCTCCGCCGAAGGTCGACAGACATGGAGAGCAAGTTGGTGTAACGCCCCGACTGGTCAGAGTAAGACTGTGCCTCACCTTTGGGTAATGTACTATCGGGCTTATGCACTAATTTACAGGACTTCAAGAAGGTAATTGACAAGTCTGTGGGCAATCTCAAGGAGAACTTCCGAGAGGGATTGGAAGAGAAATGCAAGACTGGTGCCGTCAATGTGATTTAACGTTTTTGCCGTTCGATATAGACAAACACTTACATTCTATTCTCGTACTCAGGCTGCATCCGCCGCTGTCCAGACTTCGGATACCTTTGCCGCCTCAATGCATTGGGCATCATACCGCGCCAGTATGTGACAAGCCGCCTTTTGCTCTCCGTACATCTAATCTTACCTTAACCCACAGCTCTTCGCCGGCACGGCTCCTGGCGTCAGGATCTGAACGTGGAGCTTACGAACCCATTCACGCGGCAAATCGCTAGTTCCTGGTCGAAAGTCTTCGAAGCCGATCTCTTTGCATCCTTTGAAAAGGCAACCGTTGAAGCTGTGGACAAGCTTCTCACCGACATCGAGGCCTCCGCAGCCCTCGGTCTGAAGGAGCGCGCAAAGGGCCAGGGCGAGCTATGCCTCGAGGAGGCCCGCATCGCTCTGCGGAAGACGCTCGATGTCGTGCGGGACACGATGAACACGGAGCAGAAGGAGATCAGCCGCTGCTTCGCACCCCACGTGCAGAACCAGCTCATCGAGGGCTACGACAGCGCCATGATGGAGAGGGGCGCCGGCAGCGTCGCACGCCAGAAGGTATTCTTGACATTAATTCGCGAGGCCAGCAGATGCCTAATCAAAGTCGTGTTCGGCATGGTGCAGGCGCTGTTCCACAATTACGTCGACGACATCAAGGAAGAGGTGTTCAATGACGGCGCGGAGGTCCTCCTGGGCCGGCTGTCGACCGCCGCGGAGGCGGTCGGGAAGGCGCTGGAGGATTCGCTGGAGGAGCTTGCTGAGAAGGTGCGTCCATGCCTATGTGTGCGCGGCGAATGCTTGGAGACTGATGACCTTTGTTTATCGCAGATCGAAGTCAGCATCGCTGTCCTTTGGGAGGGCCCGCGCGACGACCCCTCGCAGGTCAAGGCGCGGGAGATGGTGGTCGCGACGATCACAGAGATCCTGAGCCAGGTCGAGTTCTGGCAGCAGTCCGAACAGCACAAGAGGACGGCAGCCGCGACGTCTGCTTGAACTTGCTTCGTGCGGCGTCGAGACATGCCGTTTCCCTCGTGTTGCCCTTGTGGGCGACGAAATCCGATGTTTCAGCAGAGTGTGACTCGGACTGACGTTGCTCTCATCTCTTTCTCTCCGCGCTTGTCTTATTTCTTGATTTTCCTCAGCCCATGGCTTCTGCTTACGAGTCCGCTTGCCTCTGTTAATCAGTGCCCCCCGCGTGCTACGTTATTGCTGAAGTATAGTCGTAGAGCCGTTATTCACACATTACCCATTGCGTTCCTTGCCTCCTTCCAGGACCCCCTTGTCCCGCTTGGCGTCAAGCAGACCCTTTCCGGTACCATTACAGCCCGCATAAGGCGTTCAATGCTGCTCCACTTCTTCCGCTTCTCTCGCCCTGCGATCGCTGTTGTAGAGACTTCATGATATGAATATGCGCCCGCGATGTGTATTATGCGATAGCACCGCTGCTAGTCTTACCGCTACTCTCAATGTAATAATACCCCTCCCCCAGTCATTGTGTGCCCCGTTTCGTCCGATGGGTAGTGCGTACATGCAGGTCTGGTGAGCATTATGCCGCCCGCACGTACTGCCCCCAGGCCGGGACCGCACCTGGTCCGCCGGGCCGTCGGCTATGCGTACACACATTCCGCGCGCCTTGGACCGGCTCGAGAAAATACGCGTGTACACAGCACACGCCATGCACATCGGAGACAATGCAAGCGGCTGTAGTGCGCCTGCCACAACGTGTGTGGCCCCCGCACACGATCGGGTGATCCGCAATCCTTGAAGTCCGAAAAGCGATGACGGGGCATCGCAATCACACGGCGGTTTGTTACAACATTTCTGTTAGGGCGAACGTGTGGGTACAATTACATCGAGGACCGTGACTAACTCGCAACGCGTACACTAGGACCAGGACCCAAACTGGAAGCAAGTAAATGAGCATAGGTGAATCACCGACACCGGAGCGAGATTGGCAGGACAATAATGGGGGTGTATCGTACAGGAAATAAGAGGTATGCTGATAATCGTGAAAGGAGGCAATGCAAGTCCATAGATAGGTCTGTGGCGTGATGATAGCATGATGGAGAGACAAAGAAGCAGGCGGAAGCTTCCGGGCCGTTATGGAGAAGAACGCACGGTGTGAAGAGAAAGCGGGGAACCAAAACGACGAGGACGACGTCATCTCGCGGGTAAACCGTCGCGACTCGAGGTGGCCAGCACCGCGGAGTCGGGGCACGCGTCACAGGACACGCTCAGACGCGGTATACCGGCCGACCGCGCCAGTCGACGGTGCGGCCGTGCGAGTCGACGTAGTGACGCGTGTTCGCGGGCTGCATGCCGAAGAGGTTGCGGAGGCGGTCGGCCATGCTGGGCTCCGAGGAGGAGGCGCGGCGGTGCGAGGAGTGCGCGCGTCTGTGGCTGCTCGAGGACTGCAGTGTGCGCGACGCGTCAGTGTCGCGCTGGGCACGCGCGGGAGGCGGGGAAGGACGTACGTGAACGTGCGCAGGCTGGTGGCGCGGGACGCTCTGGTGGCGCGTGTGGGTGCGCGTCGCGGAGTGCGAGCGGCGGTGGCCGTGGCCCTGGGCCGAGGTCGAGTGGTGGGTACGGTGGCCGTGCGGGCTGGAGGACGCGTGGTGCCCGTGCCCGGAGCTGTGGTGGCGGCTGCGGCCGTGTCCGCCCGCGTCGTAGTACGCGCCGCCGGAGGAGTAGAGCTGCTGGGTGGGGTAGGCGTAGCCGGGGCTGGCCTGGTACTGCGGCGCTGCCGCGTACTGGGCGTGGCCATACTGGTAGACTTGGGGTTGGAGCTGGGGCTGGGGCTGGGCGTACGAGTGGGAGTAGGAGCGGGTGCGGCGGTGGCCCGAGGAGGAGGGCGGGGAGACGTAGTAGGACGGCATGGCGACTGAGGGCGCGGAGAAGGTGTGCGGGATGGGCGATTGGTGGATGACGGGGGTGGCTACGGCCGGGTAGGAGTACTGAGGGTGGTATGGAGACTGGAGGACGTAGGAGGCCATGGGGGCTATGATTATATATGGAGGGGGGAGGGGGCGGTGAGTGGTGGAGAGGTGATGGCCACTGACCTTCGGAGCATCAAACATATAAGGCAACAAGAAATTGGGATTTAGGCTGGGCGGGGCGTCATCACGGCGGTGGACCTTCCGTGATCTCAGATCGCTGCAGATCGTTCCCGATGCCAGGACCGTCGCGGCTTGGGCCTCTCTGCTTGTGCGAACACAGCCCACGCTCAGCCACTCTGCTCACTCACGCTCAACCTCCGCATCAGACCCTTCTTCCCATGCGACCCCCCCCCTTATTCTTGAGTTTGTACCCTCGTTGCGGTGGCAGCTACCCTCCATTGCAGCCTTCAAGCACCGGCGTCTCGTAGCCTCATGACGCTGGCGCCCTGACTCGACCACACAGCCTTGCAATGCAATGACAAAGTGGAGGCCGCGTGCGTTTCACATTCCTTGCGCAGCCATCTCCCGCCGCGCGTAGTTAGTCCACGTCGGCATACCACACAACTTTATCCCGCCCATGGCTGTGCTTTCATTCCAAAGCAAGGCCGTGGTAGGCCGACTTGCCGCCACTCAAACTCTGTGATAGTCGTAAACCCAAATGGCCGTCCAATCAGGGAGGATTGCGCCCCTCCCGGAAGCTGCCACCCAACAACACGCGTATGCGTGCAGGTTGTATATCCAACTTCTCCCGTCGTCAGCCCACTCCACTGCCGTCGGGGCCGCGCTGATTACCACAGCGTCGCAGCAGATGAGGGCGGTGGTCGCGCACACGAGGCGTGGCGTCCGCCGCTCCAGAGGGCTCTTCTCACCGTCCCCCCTACTCTCTTCCCGCGCCCCCATTCCATCCCCCTCCTTCCCGAACTGGCAATGCAGCTGTACAGCCATGCATGCTCACCCGTGTCACATGAGTGCGGTCTGCTCCAACGAACTCCCAGAGTTGTCCCATCACCGTATGTTTGTACCCTCGGATGCAGTGGGACCGTTCCCAGCATACAACGACATGATATCACACACAACTTGATAGTGCAAGTTCTGCACCGCGCGCTAGATTGCATTCTGTATTGCAAGGTCGGCCTCTTATCCGCCGCGATAGTTCTGGCACAGCCAAACGGGGTTCCGCTAACACAGGGGCGATCTAGTTGAGCGACCGCATACTGTGCGCGTACAGACTGATGAATGTACACTGCGAGTTCTATCGAATGAGATATCCATGCTCGTATCCTAAGCTTATCCGCTGGCGAACCTTGTTCGCATGGATATCTCATCAGCGTACTGGCCACCCCTCTCTGCCAAGTCCATACTCGTCGGATAGCCAGCGCTATGGCGTAGGCGCCAGGGATATCCCGCTGTCTTAGTACTGACCACCCTGCTATCCCGAGTTGCGTTGTGCGGCTTCTTCAGATCGGGCAGAGCTTGTCACAGCTGGAGCGCCAACAGCTTCCAGTGCAGCGATCCGCGCCGGACCCATTTGGGAGAAGTCGAACGGCGGCGGCTTCGAACTTACGTGCATCGTGCTGAGCTATCTCCACAGCAGCTGTTTAGCTCGTCCGTACCAGCGCGTCGGACATACCCACTCGGGCCTAGCACGCGCCGCCGCATCCAGGAGTCAGTGTATGCCGGACCACCGCAGCCATCGCGAGCTGTCCACGAGATGCGCTCGGCCTGATGTGATGCTGCAGCGCGCTGTAGAGTGTATAGAGAGCAGAGCCACACCGATATCCATGTGGCATGTATTCGTCTCGTGAGCGCAGCCATGGCGCGCCGAATATCATCATAATTCTAGCACTTAATGACAGGCACCCTCGCTGATGGTGGAGGCCCGAGGGCCCGGAGTAGAGTAGAGTATTTGTACTTTTGGATTCTACCTTCGGGGAGATATGGCCCGAACGAGACGGGAGAGTGTATCTCGCTCCTACTCCATGTCCGCGAAGTCACCCTCATCGAGGTCATGGGGCTGATGGACAGCGAACACATTGGAGTGATGTCAAGTGTATACGGGAGAAGACGCGAAGTCAGTATAGAGCGTCAGGGCACATGAAGGAAGAGTGCGCACCTCCTTCGGCTCCTCGTCTTCTCCATACTGCATCGTGTAGTCGATGTGGCTCAGCACTGTGTCTATCGAGTCTGGGTTCGTGAGGTCGAGCGGCAGGAACGATACGAGCGGGTGGTCCTCGATCTGTGCGCGCCAGTCCGCACAACAGCGCCAGCGGGGGACATTGTATGCGGGTATGCGGGTATGCGGATACGCAGTGACATGGCACACGAGGAGGGTCGGTATGAGTAGTGGCGTGCGGGGATGCCACCGAAGATACGATGCGCAGGCAATTGGCAATGGGCAATAGGACATACGTCAGAGTGTATATCGAATGAGGTTGCGTCAGTCGCTGCAATGGACGCGGCAGAGCGGAGAAGCCGAGACGGAAGGCACGCACGAGTTGTACGATGGCTTGGTTCAGCGCGTGGAAGCGCGAGTTACGTTCTGTGCGTTCCTCGCGGCTCCCCGGCGCGGAGACTAGGAGGAGCGGGTCCGGATCCAGGAATCTGCGTGATGCGTGGTGAGTGCGCCACTATCACACACATAGAAGCGTCGAGCATATGGAGAAACGGGGCAGACGTATTGGCACTTTAGAATCGCTCAGCTGTTGCAGATGACGTTCCTGGCCAGCCATCGTACCGAGACGCATAATAGACGCAAGCGCCATTATTCTCTCTGAGTGGGAACAGCACGCTTCCGATATTCACTGGACAGTGCATCACTAGAATGTCCGATGCCTCGTGTACGAGGCACAAGCCGGAAACATAGACCGACGCTGCAGAGAATCCCACAGGAACAATGGACTCACCTCGCTATGTCCTTCCGCGTACGAATGCCATTCCGACCGCTCGCGGCATCGTTGTCGCTGCTGGTAACGAGATCCATCTTCGACATCACGTTGATCCAGGGGATCTCGAGGTTGACCATTGCTGACATCGCGGAGAGCACGCCACTGTAGATTCGAGGCCCGACAGCCGAGCGCGGTACCAGTGTCCGAAGGAGATGCAGTGATGCAGTGATGCGGCAGGCGGTTCGATTGTCTGGTAAGCGAGCATCGAAGGGAGTGAGAGAAAGGTCCCGCGACTCGCCTGAAGAACTTGTATTTGTCTTCCATGAACTGCGACTCGATGAGGTACGCCGCGCATGTGCGCAGGCCCAAGCGCTGGAGGTTGCGGACAAGGGTCGGGAGGAAAGGATGATGAGTGTATAGTTCGATTTGGCCTTGGGAATGATGAGACAATAAGAGCAGGAAGCTGCAAGGTGATCTACCTGGGCAGTCAATGACGAGGTAGTCGTCGTCGTACCCGCCGAGCTCTTCCTCTAGCCAATCCATGTTCTGCAGCAAATATCTGCGTAGGTGTTAGCATATGTGCAGCAAATCAGCATCTCCATCCTCCATCCCTCTCTTGTTTGCCCTTCGCTCCCTCCTCCGACCGTCCACAGACATAAGACAGACTGCACTCACTCACTCAAAGCAGTACACCAGCCCGCCGTTTGGACCATATCCTAGCTCAGACATGGCATCCTGCAGACTTATGAGGTCCTTGATGTCGATAGCGGGTTCGTACTCGAAGGAATCTGCCTCGGCGGCGGGGTCGAGGTTGACCAGGTGGGCGGTGCGTTTCGAGGTTTGCAAATGCGTGAGGAGGGCGTTGGAGAACGTAGATTTGCCGGCACCAGCAGGGCCAGTGACGAGGACAGCGTAGCGCATTGCAAAACAGAGCTAATAAGAAAGCTTTCCGAGATGTAGAGATCACTGAGAACAGAGTCCGTCTGGTTGTGGAGAACGACGAGCAGGAGTAAGTGCTGGGTTTTCGCCAAGGCACTCCGAGCGATCTGCGGCGCCTATCTGAACCCTCAGCCCGATCGTCTGACTGTGAGACGCTCGACCTCATCTCCCCATCTGCTGCCACCGCCAGGCTTTGTCTTTGTCCGCACCCTCATCATGTCCAAGCCAGCTATCGTCCCAGAAACCACAGTCGCGGGCATTTCAGTCGACCCGCGCACCCTCGAGCGCGTCATTCCCGAGTCGCGTAGGCCCGATGGCTCGTACGTTTGCCGCACCCTAATCCATGTGCATACACTCGTGTTGACCTCCCCGCCACCTTTCATCTTCTCCAACCGCACATCCCACGTATATACCCGCCGTGTCTGCTCATCCTCCGGACTGCCTCCGAACCCTGCGCGCATCGCAGTGTCCGTAAGCAGCTGAAGATACGCCCCGGGTTCACGCCGCAGGAGGATGTTCGCCGCTTCCGCGGGTCACGCCAGGCGCAGATGGACACGAACGCCCTGCCCAAGGGCCATATCATCGGCTGGACGCCGCAGCCCACCGTGTCCAAGCCCGCTGCCTCCTCCGCAGCGAGCAAGAGTGCTAAGAAGAATGAGAAGCGCAAGGAGAAGAGGAAGGAGAAGCGCGAGGAGACAAAGGTGAAAGACAACTGGGAGGATGACGACGATGACGAGGGTGGGGAGACGCAGAAGGCGGCGGACAACAAAGAGAACAAGAACGCGCCACTCCCGGACGCGAAGGAGAAGGCGCAAGCGGGGGATGCGAGCACAGACTCGGGCGATGTGGCGGAGGCTCTGGCAGACAAACTGGGCAAGCTGGAGGTGCGGTGATGTAGTACATTCGGTCAGGCTGTCAATTTCTATCGGCACATGCGGTATTCATGATGGATTAGGATAGCTGTAATTGTTACGATAATGTGTAAGTGTGTATGCAGTAGAGAATGTGTTGTATCTACGCGATGATCTGGAATCAACGATGCATCCAGTGTGGGGAAATCCCGGTAGTCCATGCTTATGAGACAGAAGATTGCGCGGTAAATTAGCGAGATCAGGGTCCCGACCCGTAGCCTGCAGGTCCATTCGCCTGCGGTGGACCTATACAGCCGGAAACATCTGCATCAGGCAGGCGGCTATGTCCACAGGGCCTGTTGACCTTCTGTCCCTTTTGGTGGACGGACCTCCACGATTGGAGGCTGTGGGGGACTTGGCTTTGCTTTAGTTGAAGGCTGGCGGATTCCCAACAATTCCATAGACAAAACGATAACGACGAGGAAACCACTGAGGGCGGCTGGAAATTGACATGAAAGAATGGCAGAGATGAGTTGACCACGGCCAAGCCCGCAGAAGATAGCAGGAAAAACTGACCGACGGAATTTCGCAAGTTGTCCCAGCGGACGCCCTCCATTTCTGTACGTAGGTCGTACAACGTTACGAGTGATTTGCTCAGTACCTCCTGTTATACGCATACCGTGGTAAGTCATTACAACCGACCGCACAACTTCCTGGTGACGCACCTCAATCTGCAGATCGAGCCGCTTGAGGTCGTCCTTGGTCTCATTTTTCCTGCTATCCAGCTCCATCTGAATGCTTTATATGTATTATCAACGGGACAAGCGTGACTTCAAGGACGCTGCAGCACACGTACTCATGCTTCAGGGTGGCTACGTCTTCCCTCATTCGGACGTCCAGAGCGTCCACCTCCCGCCTGACCGCAGTGGTGGCCGTCCGTACCGCCGCCGCTTCATTTCGCGTCAACATGGTGGTCTCCGTCCGTAGCTCAGACAGTGCAGCCTTGAATAGATACGCTTGCTGCGTGATCCCGATGTCATCAAGGGTGAGTCGATTCAGCGACTGGAAGCCTCACCACTTCAAGATCCTTCGATGTCAGCGCCTCCCTCTTCACGCGCCCCAGCCGGTCGACAAGAAGCGCGCGCGTCGCATTCATGAGGTTATGAGCAATCGGCGGGGGCATTGTCATCTCGAGCACGGAGTAGAAGTGGTGGGTATTGAAGGGGGGATTGATGTATGCAGGAGGAATCGCACTGATTGGAGAGTGGGGTGAGGGGAAATTGGTGTGTAGGGGCGGCAGCGGTTGGCCCGTCGCAAGCGCAGGTACGCCTGAGCTGGAGCTGGAGCCCGCGTCCCCATCGTTCTGAAGCGGAGGTGAGCTCGATGCGGACGATGGTGACGGTGACGGTAACTGCGACGAAGACGGATCTTGTGACAGTGAGCTGGGCGTAGGACCTGGAGTTGAGGTGTTGGCTGGGTCCTTTGGATGCGCGAGTGAGATGGTTGGCGCGCCCGCTGAACCGCCAGGCGCAGGGTCAGAGATGATTGTCCCGCTATGTGCTTTGCGCTGGTGGAGGATTGCGCGCGGGCTCGAGCGGCTTTGGCGTACAGAAACGCCGCGGGACGCAAGAGGCCGTCCTATGCGAGGTAACTTGCGGGGGAACATGGGTGGAAGGAAGAGAGGATCTGCGGTGGACGGAGGAAGCCATGGCGCAAGAGCGCGTTGCGGGCGTGCCATCTAATCGCGTTTCTCACGTGCCCGATTTGGCGGGTCGCTTACTGGGCGGCCTGAAATAAGTTGTGAATATCTGCTTGTGCAAGCATAGACAAACGTGGGCGACTCATAAGTACGCTTATTGATAAATGAGCTTTAGGCTATGCCGCGACGGATAGCACAATATTCCACCAGTGGACCAGACAGCGCGGCCTGAGCCAGATGCGGCAGCGCCGAGCGCGGGAAGGCAATAAATAGATCTGAGATCGGATGCGAAGCCACTAGTTACTCCCAGCTTCAACGCGCCGTCTCCTCACCATCACTCACCCTCTTTCTATTGTTTCCTTGCTGTCCTCTATCTTCCCTCCTTCATTATCTGCAGACAACTTCCTCGATATCATATCGCATTAGTCTCCACAATGCCAGCACCCCTGAAACCTTCACAGACCAATATCAAACAGGATGCGGCAAATCCTGATGTCAAGGGCCAATCCTTGAAGAAGCAGGCTGCCCAAGCTGCTAGCCAAGCTGCGAAAGCGAAGAAGGAGCCATCGCAGCCGCAGCCGGATATCAAGCCTGATGACAAGGCGCCGCTCAAGCCGCCCTTGAAGAAGCTCCCTCGCCGCTCTAGCAAGCCCATAATCGACTGGTTCCATCGCAAGTTGACCGGTTCCGTTCGCGCCAGGCGGGTCTCAGAGACAGACACCATGCGCAACCCCAGGCACGGCGCTCGCTCGCCTAGCATCAAGGAGAAACCCCATAGGGTCTCTACAACATTGACGACTCGGGCCAGGAGCAAGACAGAGACGAAGCAAGGCCAGAAAATCGCCACCGTTACATCTATCCCTCCGCGAAAGCCCGTGTCGCTCGATGGTATCAGCGGTGGTGACAATCACACTGAATATACTGCCGACTCAGACGATGGTCGTCGCTCGTCGTTCGCCCGCTCCTCGTTATGGTCACCGACCAGTCACTATGAAGCAGATGAGGATGCGTCTGTTCGACCGCTTCCACCCAGCTCGCCGCCGTCTCCATCTCCTTCGCGATCGTCTTCATCTTACCTCTCAGATCCCCGCACTTTCCGAAGCATGACGGCTAGCACTAAGCCGACAACCGTCCTCAGCATGGACATGACTGGCGGCATGGCGCACATTGCTCAGGCACCACCTACCCCAACTATTCCAGCCCGTCGCCTGCATCCACACATTCGCACCCACTCTATAGGGCCCGGATCGGGCGCATCCATCACTTTCTCAACAGTTCAGCCGCCCTCGCCAACCGCTGCTTCGCGCCCATCGTCGTCGGGTGCACTAGCCAATCCCCCACGTACCGGGCAACCCGGCCTCACTTACCAGGCTCCTCAGCACACGAGTCATCATCCGCGAAACAATCCTCGACCTTCGTCACCGCCGCAGGACGACGCGTCAGTGCTCACGCTGGCCTCGTCAGCATTTGGTATTGCCGGTGCGCGGATTGGCGTTGCCGCACTCTCCCTCTCTGGACGTGCATCACTCGCAGATGACTCCATCTCGCACTTCAGCCATTTGGCCGGGCATGGTGACTCCACGAGCCACTTCTTGCTCGGCGAGATGGATGATGATCGGCTCGAAAGAGATTTGGAGCGAGACGACCAGGATGTAGATGCGAGCGTACGTGCGCTGCGCCCCCGTAGCTCTCGACGATGCAGCTGGGAGAGCTCAGACAGCAAGTGGAGCGCGAGTGCGAGTCTTGCACTGACGGGGATGACCTCGCAGTCGCCCGTGAGCCATGGCGGCCCTAGGAGCCTCTGGACATCAGGAAGCTACAGGACTGGAGGCGTGAGCGTGGAACATGGGGAATTGGGGGTCGATCATAGCGATGAGACGGATGGGAACGGCGACAATACGGAAGACGGCGACGAAACGAGTCTAGACGAACGCGAAGGCCCGTACTCTGACCAGATGCACGGGTCCCCGTCCTCCGCTCCGACTCACTCTACCAATGAATCCGTCGTCGACGAACAAACTTCGTCAAGCAGCGATGATGCCCGGACCCCGCCTGCGACACCGTTCGACCACGACGGTATCAGTTTGGAGGTGCCCACTTTGGAACCGCAGCACAGTGGCTCGATTACATCGAGCAAGAGCACTACGGCGACTCCCAAGGGCGGTCCGATTCCTCTCCACGAACATGATGCTATGCCCGCTATTCCTCCGACTCCAAAGAGGCGGAGTACGAGCGATAGTGCCTCGGACATGCACAGCCTTGCTACCAGCGACTATCATACGGATGCCTTCCACACGCCGGCGACGACCCCCGTGCCTCAGTAATTCTCTACTTCCGCTCTGTACGTAGCATCTTCTTTCTATGTGAATCACAACCTGATCTGTTTTTGATAGTTTCTCCCACTCCCTAGCCACCCTCGTCGTCTGAACTATCTTGATTACGTTGTACTACTAATCTCAATCCGAGATCTGTGTTGGTATATCCGGATACGACACGTTCCTCGATCATGTCCCTCTTTACTTATTCTTTGCTGTCTCTGGGTACTCTGTGTACTAATCAGTGTTATCTAGCGTGTAATTTCATGCCTTACGTTACATTTCTTTTCAGCGCTACTGTCACGTAGACTCGACGACTTGCCTTGTTCAAATCGCGATATCGCGTACATGCACTCCACGTGATCGTGACGACGCGTCTGAACTTGGTGCAGTTCTGATCGCGTTCACCGTGAGCACCGTGCCACGACTGGTCAGCAGGGCCCGTATCTCCGTTCTTCGAAGCCCTGCTCGCGTCGGACATGTCCCCGTGAGCGCATTCACGACCACTATGGGTATCCTCTCCCCGGTCCGAGTCGGAAGATATGGAAGCTGAGACGGCACGGTGCATTTCGTAGACGTTATAAAGGACCGCGGCTTGGCACACTGGTACCCGCTTTCCGACGCCTTCGAAGCGCTGCAAGAGCAGCTCGGCTACGCTTCTGAGCTTGCGGCTGTGACTTGGCGTGCTACGAAGATGAGACTCGGGCTGTTGCCTCCAATGAGCGTGGCGGTCGGCCTCGGGGCGGCGATGACTGCTGCTCAATGTCCTGATTACACCACCTACTCGCAGGTACGAGTCTTTAAAAAAGCTGTGTTCACCTTTGTGTCCTTAGGCTTCTTAGACGGCGCAAGGAAACCCGTCATCAGGGCAGTTGGCGTTACCATACATGAGACCGACGCCTGCATGCCGCACGTTCAACAGCACTGTTGTCGAAGTCAGTGCAAAGCTTCTAAGTACTCGTGGTACTTCAATGTTGATCAAAGAACTCAGGAGGTTATCGGCAACATGACGTCACGCATGAAGGATCCTGACCTCGCTCGGTTATTTGAGAATACATTTCCGAACACCCTCGGTAGGCTGTCATCCGAGCTTTGGAGCTATTAAAAATACCTTACGTTAGTGTAAAGACACGACGATAAAATACTATGACTCAGTACGTACTAAGGCCTAAATTTGTCGTGGTTTCTATTGACTCTCGCAGACAGAAAACATTGCTTTCGTGATCACGGGCGTAAGAAACCCTCATTTGGCCTTTATAATCCGAATTACTGAAATACGAATCAACAGGATATTGAGTGCGTAGCTTGCAGCTCTGACGCCAGATTACACTGAACCGTGGATAGCGCACAATGGCTTCGGGACACGGGAAATCAGGCAGGTTGTTTCAAGGGTTGCAACCGTGCTAGCGCTAACGCGATTGCAGCTGGCTCAATACCACTCCATTCTCTCCCTGGACCCCGAACTCGCAACGCTTGTCAAGGCTATTATTAACAATGAAGCGAGATATGTCTCGCAGTATCCGTACTGCAGCGCGTTTCAGCCTCCCCCGGAAAGTGGGCTGAGCCCCACTGTGAACGACTGGGCTATCGATGTCATCGTGAATCCGTGGGTAGTCCATACCTTCATGATGCGGCCGTCCTGACTCCAGCGTTAGGCCTGTAGACAATCAAACGGTGTACGAGTGCAAGGTGGGTCACCGTGAATCACGCAATTTTCTACATGAGACCTAATGATGGATATAGTGGGAACTCGACTCGTTATGCTCTTTCATGAAGTTATCAAGATCATATTATCAAGCGACAGGAGATTCCTCATTCATCAACAACGAATGTATGGATCTATGCCTCTGAGACGCAGCTTTGTGCGACTAATTGAACCGCACATTTTCCAGGGCAAGCTGCAATTGAACAGATTTTCGCCGTGATATATGAGCAAACGCAGCCGACATTCGACCGAGACTGGAACCTGGTATCGTACTACAACTGGACCGGTGAAGCAGGGTCATTACCGGGTGCGGTTAACAACGGAGGCAATGGAGAACCGAAAGGATATACGGGATTGGTCGGCACCTCCCACCGCCCTTCGGACGACCTAAGCACTTTTGGTATGCCACCATTCTGCTGCAAGGATGCTATCCGGAGTCTTGAACTCCATGACTTTCAGCATTCTTAACCCCTGCCAATGCGATGCTGGTAGTGGAGTTGAACTATCTGGTGAACATGCTGGATTCAGTAGGGCAGCTGGGCAATATAAGCGCATTGGCTCGACATTACAGCAGTGTAATCGAGGAGGCGATCTGGAGTACTACGGTCGGTCATTTTCGCTGTCAACATCCCGCGTTGTATTTAAGTCTCAGCAGTTGGTGAACGACATCTTTGCCTACGAAACTAACGGTTGGTTAACCTACCGCTCATACTCATCATTCACTCCTCATCATATTATCTCAAGGCCTTGGCAGTCGATATGTCATGGATGATGCAAACGTCCCGGTAAGTGATGTGTAGTCGTTGTATAATACCACTCGAGTAATGACGTGCGATATCTAGTCTTTGCTCTCTCTGCCTTATCTAGGATTCCTGAATATTACCCACCCTGCGTACATCGCGACCAGGAAGGTGCTCCTCTCGCGGGCTAATCCTTACTATGTAGTGGGAGCAAATTTCAGCGGCATCGGGTTCGTATCGCGAATTGTGTATTTCAGGGCGTCTTTGATTCATTCAATCATGCCATAGGGGTCCTCACGAAGATGCATGGAATCCATGGTTAGTTAGGCGCTGTGTTCAATCATCATGCACCTCTGAGCTGATCTTCTCGTAGGCCAATGGCGTTGGTATCCGCCATATACGGAACAGATAATGACGAAGAGATCATGCAGTATCTGTATCTCATCGCGAACGTGAGTTACGCTCGTCATTCCCGTTGATATTCTGTGTCGGACGCCGACCATCCCGAACATTAGAACACTGACGGCCTCGGGCTCATCCACGAATCAATCAACATCTACGACTACTCGTACACAAGACCTTGGTTTGCCTGGGCGAACAGCTATTTCGCTGAGATGCTTCTGGACCTAGCGCAGCGGAAACCATATCTTATATTCACTGATGACGAGCCATACTACCCTGGTGCTTCGTGACCTCATACCTGGACATTTGCGCACAAAACTCTGAGGATGTATACTTTTGATACAATGGAGACCGCCTTTTGGATCTTGGATTACATCGAACGAGCTACTCAGCTGCTATCGTTTAAGGCATCTGCTACTGCTTTTGAGCCACAGGCTGTGAAGAAACGCAATTAGACGGCTACTGTACCCAAAGCAACGCTCGCATCCGATAACTGTGTCAGCCAGACGGGTACGTCTCATCTTTACTTACATGCTTGAATACGCTGCAATTGTCATTTCCGTATGCTCCACTTATCGTTGCAACACGTCAACGAGGACGTGCTTGAGTATAAATGCTTGGTGGACCCCTCAGCAGTGAACGGTCACGAGATCGCGACGCGTCAATCATGCACTCGATGTCCATTGCGACGCGTCATCCAGCAAGACATTTGTTCATATCTCTCTTACCCGCAGGGATAAGATACGGCAAACATTACGGCAAAATGACAGTGCTTTCCAGCTACTTAAGCTGGCATCCATCCTTCCGACAACCGCCGGGATTTCCTGCTGCCTATGCTTAGGCTAGAAATCTGCTCAATAAGAGATTTAAGTCGTTGGCTAGGTAGGGGATAATTACTGGATTCGAGAGGATAGCATACATTCGGTACCGTCGTTGCGCCAGAAGTACTCCAAATCGATGTTTGAGATCAGCAGGCTGAGGGCCTCATGACATTGCATGGCTGGCTGCTATGCGTTCATTGACTAGGCGAGGCCATGCTAATCATGTGGAGACCCATGACGAGAAATCACTGAGCATACACTCCCTCGAGTATGGACAGCTGCGCGCGGTGTGGAACATGGAGAGTATTTGAAGCAATTATGATACATGGCAGTGTCAGATATGGAATCGGTGTTTGCGGTGTACGCAGAGCTTTTTGCTTGACATCACTGTTCGCAGTCCGGCTACGGTGATGAGGAGAAAAGACATATGCTGTCCAATCATATGCGAGACTTGGCAGTCGCCCCTAAAGGCGGTCACTGCGGTTCTGAATCAAGGCCCAGCGCGCGTCTCGCGTTTGTATGTAACGCCTCGGTTTCCCCGCTTTCTCGCCAATCACCTACGATCCTTTATTTTCAACCATCTATCCACCCTCTCTGAGAGATCTCAAGTCACGACCCCGCCTCGATGTCGAACCCTCCGCGCGAGATTGGAACCCTCATTGTTGTAATCCTCAAGGCGGTGTGTATGCCCGAAGCATCTGACGCGTTTTGAACTATGCTAAGCCCTTTCGCGCCAGAGAAATCTACCAAATAAACGTCACATTGGGAAACAAGATCCTTACTGCACGGTGGTGCTCAATGGAGAGAAGAGGAGGACGAAAGCGATCCGGAAGGGAGGCCAACATCCCGAGTGGGACGAAGAGATCCGTTTCACAGTGTACGAGGATCCCAATGGCGAACCGACGCGTACTGTCAATGGTGATGGAACACCACCTCCACCACCTCCCAAGAGTGTTGTAAAAGGCCCTCCGAAGATTCAAGGTGGTTGCTTTATGGCACTGGCATGCTATGCAGAAGACCTCCGTGAACCAGATCTCATAGGGGAGACGAAAGTAGACTTGACCGAGGTTCTCACCAAGGGTGAAACGGATGGTGCACCTTGTTCGCGTCTTCATGAGAGCGCAGCTGACAGGCCTCGCAGAATGGTTCACTCTCATGTACAAAGAGAAGTACTGTGGCGAGGTTTACCTAGAGTTGACATTCTGGTCGAATGTGAGTTATGTCTTGGCGCTTCGGAACCATCTCAACCATGTCCATGGGTGACAGGAACCAGAACCCAAGAAGAAAAACTCGACCAAGCCAAAGGGGCAAAAGCAGTACGGAGGTCCCGGCTCGTTTGTTCCTGCAGGAGAGCCCTCCTCTCAAACCGACTTGGACGTACAACACGTTATTACCCGCCTACCCTCAAACAGTGATATTAGAAACGACTTGAATCGCGACCAGGTTCCACCGTCGCTCCGACCTTCCCACTCGGTCGCCCAGCTTGGGTTATACGTCGCTCCCTATGAAACCTCGCGATCCCGTCACTCAGTAGCGGACAGCCTCACGAGCAGCTTCTCAGAGCTAGGTATCGTAGACCAAGGGAGCAGGAGACAGAGTTTTCCTGTAAGTCTCCTCCCGCTTCACAGGATTTTTAATTGTTGACATCTTCATAGCCTCAACATACTGGATATCCACCCGGCCCCGCGTCGTCCGTCGGATTCCAGGATCAGCAAGTAGTGTCTCACCAAACATCGTTTAGTTTCCAGCAGCCAGCATACTCCGAAGGGTCTGGGTCGTATTCGTACCCATCAGATGTGCCTGCACATTCTACGGGAGCGTCATATCATCAGAGCACGATGTCCATGAGCCACGATCCTTACCAGCCTCCGTACGAAACGACGCATACACCTCCCTCTAGCTATCAGCCACCTGTGCGACATGCTCCCAGACAGAGTATGCCCACGTCATCTTCAGGCTTTATGCCCATGCCCATGCCCGGACCATCTGGCTTCGTCCCCTTGTCTTCTCATCATTCTCAGCCGTCTATCGCGCACTCATCGGCGCCTACCCCCGCACCAGCCGGGTATGGCCCCCCGGTGCGGATACCTATCCCGTCTTCGAGCTTCTCGGGCTTGACACAGCCGCCGGTGGGCTCTTCGGGATTCGTGCCTTCGGGCCCACCACCACCTTCGACAAATTACCACCAATCTGTTCCACAGCTCCCACCATCGTCGAACGGGTTCCCTTACCAGCAGTATGCGCCTCATCCGCACGGTGCCCCCCAGCAACCTTCACTGCCGCCGTCTACCTCAGGGCAGCCGTTTCCTCAGGCACCTCAGTACCAGTATGCACCTGCACTGCCGCCGTCTGTGCCCCCGCAGTCACATTCTGCGCCTCCAGAACAGTACTTAGCGCACGATCTGACACCGCCACCGTCTCACGAATACATCCCGCCTCCGCCACCACTGAATGAGAGCCCATCTTCTGGACAACCTTCGGGCTCGCGTCCATTGCCCCAGCCCGGTCAATCGCAGGTCCGTCGCCGACAATCATCGCTACCTATACCTCCGCCCGGTGGGCCGCCAGGGATGTATCAGCCTCCCTCACGCGGCCCATCAGGGACGTTCAGTCCGCCCATTCCAGGACAGCAAGGATCGTACAACCCTCCGCAGATATCATCACCCACATCGTACAATGGACCGGCCAGTCCTGCTCTCGCGAGGGCGCCTTCCGGGTCGTTTAGCACCCAAGGAAGCCAAACAGGCTTGTACACACAATCCACAGGTGGGTCGGCCCTGTTGTATAACCAGCAGACTGGTGCCCAGCCCGGATCGTACAATCCCCCTGGGCCCCAGCCTGCGAGTCTCTATAACTCGATCCCACCTCCGCCACCGCTTCCGCGTCATCGGAGCGTGTCGCCCGCCCCGTATCAACCAAACGGCCAGGCGCAGGCCCTTGGCCCATCGCCAACGGTTCCGCCGCAGTCGCAGTTCCAGCCACCAGTGCAGAATGGCCTTGTTCCACCACAGCAGATGATATCCAGGCGGCCGAGCCTCCCCTCTCCTCCTAACATGGGATATAACCAACCACAGTACGCATACCAGGCTCTTCCGCCCCCTCCTCCACCCCCCAATATGCCTCCTCACGCACAATACGAGCCCATATCGACCTTGCCATCTGGCAGTCAGAGCCAGACGTTCAATCCCGGCCCCCTTCCACGACCACCCGCGCAACCCAACGGACAACCCCAGTACATTCCACCCTCGTTAAACCAGCCTTCCTGGGGGACATGGTCACCTCCAATTGAACCTGGCTGGTGATACCGCTGAGAATTAAGTCATGGACAGCATCCAACGGATTATTTATTCATAACACGATCTTGCTCTGCACTCCATGGACTAATCGCGCTGTTTGCTATCTTGTTCCTCGTTGTGCAGTTCGGTGCATTGTACATAGACCAGACAAATTGCCACGTACTGCTCTAAGTGCTATACAAACATATTATTGTTATGACCGTGGCGTTGGTGTCGACTGATCGTGCTGGGCAGCGGCGAGTCGTTCCGCCTTCCACTTTGCGATCTCCGTCTCTGTTGCGACTAGGCCACGCCGCGCGAGCTCGATTCGGGCCTGCTTGCGCAGCACGCTCTCTGTCTGCCGCCTCTCGGCTTCATGTGAGAGCAAGGCGTTCTCCGCGCCTATGACTAGCCCGAAGATTGTAACTTGCGAGCAGGCGAATGAGAGGGTATGATGCCAGGAAGAGGATATCTACGAACACACTGATACCAAGAACCCCTTGAATGGAAGTGTCTGTCGTCTGAATGAATCATAAGCATCGTCAATATACTCCGCTCGACTGAGTGCTAACCGGAAGGTGGGCCAAGTGTAATGCCCAAGGACCGCGAGGCCAATGCCGATAGTGGTGAATCGAGCAGCGCCGGCTACCGCTGCTCTGGCCTGTAAATCATAGGCGTGCTCAATGTCCTGCTTGCGAGTCTGTCGATCCATGGCGCAGGTGGGACATAAGAGGTGCAATTGCGAGCTGGACGCTCGATCCCACTCGAAATGCAATCCAGATCTCCGATTCGGCAACTGCCAGCGTAGACTGATTACTGCATACTATATACCGTTACATATTTTCCTACGAAGTACACCGTCGAGTTCCATAAATTACTGATAAGTTATACAATGGATGAAGTGCACATCAGGTGTCTATCTCAAGCCGCGCGGGATGAACACGACTTCATGCTCTTCCGAGCAAGCTATGAGACATGCACCATCAAAATGAATTTGTGTGGCGCGTTGACCCCGAAAGCATGGTAACTGCAAATTGAGAGCCTTGTCAAACGCCCATCAACCACCAACAACCGGAGATGAAGTGCACATACAACTTGACCGGACGCAGTATTGCGCAAGTCCCACAAGCGCACACACCCGTCTCTATCTCCGCATGCAAACGTGCTGGCATTAATATCCCCTATTTAAATGAACATATCAAATTAGTAGGCGAATATATGGCCAGCGAATCAGACATACCTCTGGCATACCGACCATGCACTTTTGGTGCATCGTAGCCAAATCGTTGTACGGGCTTCTCGGGCACCAGACGGTGATCACGGACTTCAAATTGCAATTCCCTATGTGCGACCTATGCCCGATCAGACGATGCGCGTAAGGGGCAACCTAGCGGCGTGGTGTCTTACCTCTAACAGCGTGCAAAAGGGTAATGACGTCCCGTGGACATGGTACACCGAATTAGAAGTTTTCATGGTGTTCACGACACGCTCGGAGGACAAATCCCACAAATGCACGTTGCAGTCTGCGCCCGCCGACACGAGTTTGTGACTGGTGTCGCGAATAGGTAGAAGCGACTGCACGAGGGACGAATGTGTGATGGCCAGGAGAGTCGGCGAAGGTTGTGATACGCTCTTTGTAGCATCCCAAAGGTGAACGCGATGGTCATATCCGCCCGTAGCAAACATAAGGGGCTGCATCATGGAGCAGACTGCACTGACACCACCCTTCTTCTCTCCGTGTGCCGGACGGCCAAAAGTGCTGATGTCGAACGCCTAAGATGCATGTTTGACGGAACTGTCGAAGAGTGTTGTAATATTACTTACCCTGTCCTTCTTTACTCTCAGCATTGAGAGTTCGTTCCCGTCGCTTGCATGTCCCAGGAGTAAGAAACCGCCATTTGATGAACGCAGCAGACATGCATCATCCACAGAATGATTGATTGCGTTGGAACCAGGTCGTAACACGTGAGCGCCTCTGTCAGAGTTAAAGCAGAACCGAAGATCGTAGATCATGCAACACATACCGAGGCGACGATCGCTCTGTACGATTTATCGAGCCTCTCAACGTGATACTCAAGATCTCTAGAGAAGGTGAGAGAAGTAATCGCCGAGGTTTATCATAGCTGTCTCGGGGAAATTCTACCGATTCTAGATGAGAATCAGTCGCACGAGATGGCTTGCGAGGATGACCGGCATTCAGTAGCCCTTCTTCCAGTTCTTCCTCGCTCGGACGCGTACTCCCACCCCATAGACGTTCACATGGCTCAGCAGAAATAGACGCATCGGCATGACGTTGTAAAGATGACGTCGTGACGATAGACAAGTTACCCGTTTCAGGAGACGGCATTGCAGACTCAGCATCGGGTAGAAGATCCCTGTCTATCTGATGGTGGGAAGCCCTGTGATCGCTGACAGAAGTCTGAGGCTCTGCAAGCGAGGATTGCGCCAGGGATATCGAAGGTGGATATGTGCTGGGCAAAACCAGGAGTACCCCGGAACGGAAAATCCCGGGCGAAGGCTGCTCAAACACGTCGGATGAGATTGAATGGTGTATATTGGCGGTGGCAGTATTAGTATATTCTCCCGAGCTACGGGGCCCGATGCTCGACTGGTCTTCAAGGGATTTGCCTGAGTTCCATGTTTGGAGCGGTAAAGAATCGGACGGCCGTGGTTCCATGATCACAAGGCTTCCTGCCTGGGGAGTTGAGCGTGTGATACTGGTACCTGACACAGAGGCGGATACGATCTCATTTGAACGTATTTTATTCTTGCGTAGAGGCCGAGGACCGCCCGGAATCGACGTAGAAGGCACCTGTGAAACTGCTGCTGCTGTGAGGTTTCAGAATGTGAGAGAATCTCGCCAAACTAAATACACACAACCGTGCGATTCGGGAGTCCTATCCTGCAGAATGTATCAGACAACGATAGCCTGATAACGCGGCCACGTCGTACCACGAATAATTGAGGAATCTCGTCGTACGTTTCTAGAGCACTTGCTCGACTGCAGCCTGAGAAGTCTATCACAGAGGCGTCGTCCTTCGTGCGTCGAGAAGTGTTATGTGAAACAGCCCCAGTATCGATAGCGTCACCACTTGAATCTAGGTGAGAATATCGAGAGGCTTGAGGTCTGCATCGAAAATGGACAACCGAGTCTTTGAATGAGTGGCTGATCACTTCTAGCTTCTTTTCTGTGTCTAAAATCCTGCTTTGTGACCGCAACCATCCGCTGCGGCGGCTGTTGCATCTAGGGGCGCCCTTGCGGCATTCCGGAGGAAGTTCTATTGAGACCATGATGGTTTCTTCGGCTGCTTTCTTCTTGCGACGTGAATTAAGACTGTCTAAGGGATGAGGAGCTGCAGATGATGGCTCGATCCGCAAACGCTTCGATGGTCCTGCGAGATCGCCAGACAGTGATCGCTTGCGAGATTCGCCGACATTGTGTGGTGTAACAGACGATGGAGATGGAGGCATATGCACCGACCCGGATCCAAAACATTGGTCTCTATGTGAAGGATTCAAGCCAGCTATATGTGGAGCTCCTCTGGTTCTGCCAAATCCTCTTGGAGATCCCCTGGGAGTGAAAGAGCGCGTAGACCGTATCGTTGGGACACGCGTGATACCTTTGCGAGCAAGACGAATCTCGTTGGGCTGTGCATCCTCTGTAGAGGCCATGATACGAAAGCAGAGATAGTAGGAGGCTGTCGACTTGTTGCGATATCGACATTCGCCCTGGGACCACGTGGTCATCAACTTTTTTTGAGGTCTCAGCCACAGTCCTTTACGTCTCCGAATCACCAACTCCTTTTCTTAAGCTGCTGTCGATCTAAACCTGAAGCTGTGAAGCTGTGGAGGCACCGTAACCTGTAAGGGCTGAATGAACCTTCCCGAAAAGCGATCTCTCTCTTCCCCACTCCCCGTCAATAAGAAGCTTAAGCTTGAAAGTAGTCCGAGGAAATGGAAGGCAGGTCCAACACCGGCTCCAACATTCTCTTCGAGCAATACTCGAAGACAAAGAGAGCCAACGCGCGGTACCGAGTCTGTACGATTGCCGTCACGCAATCCAAGGAATGCGGAAGTCAACAACTTGATTTTGAAAATTACCGGCGAACTCGCACGGGCAGGCAAGCGATTAGTCCATGCACCTAAGCTGATGTGAGCCTAATAACCTGAATGTCGGTGTGACGCTATATAACAATGAGACAGGACTGACGGTATTCTGTTCGACTGGTATGTTTTTGGTACGGGCTGCGTCGTGCACTCTAAAGGCCTAGCAACCGGCAGGGTTCTTGATTTCTCCGCGAAGGAGGAGGATATAGGCAAGTTGCTATCGGTGTATGCAGTTCACTTCGTTGTCATATGTGTCTTACCCATTCCTTTTATTACATTAAAGCAAGGGCATCATTCCGACAGTCGTACAGACAGTGCTCGGTCGCGCAGGGACATCACCATCTTTGCAGAACAGCGGGCAAGAGGGGACAGTCACAGATCTACTTTCGGATGATGAGAGTGGTAGCGACAGGAAACCCACAGTCAAGTTCATGGGCCCAAGGGGCAGCGATTTCATCCATCCCATCTGCATAGATGTAGACGGAGACGACGACCAAGAGGAATCTGTCTCATGTCCTCTTGCTCACGACGAGCCCCTCGGAGATGGTCCACTCCGCGCCAATGCGGATGACACACAAGTTGCCGCTAACGGCGGCCTGACAGTGTATGTATATCAGAATAATTCACCGAGTAAGCACATACGGATTGACGTATAACCTATATCACTGTAAGAGGTAGCGTAAACGACCACGTAGGAATGAACGCTGCGTCCACATGGGCACCAGGATCCGAGGCTAGATCTTCCTTAGAGGAGCCAGACCCATCTTCTGCCGCATCAATTTCACCAACGGGCAACTCGTCTTCTTCGGCTGAACGCAGGACTGCTCGCGCGAAGTCTACGCGCGATCCAGATCATGCCGATGATGATATCCCAGACCCAAGACGTCGTCTAGACTCTTTGTACGGTGAATTTAGGCAGCTTATGTCTACTCCGGACATCGACGACGAGGATGAATCAGAGGAAGAGGAGGAAAACACTTCTGCTGGCCCACCCAGGAGGGGTTTTCCAACACTGCTGACGCGCGCCTTGGGAAGTCCGACCATCGCGACCATCGGATTGGACGGAGGTCATTATAATTCATCGAGAAAGCATATCCCAAGGCCTGCTCTGGATCGGATACAACAGGGTTCGAGACACTCACGCACGGGTGGCAGTAACGGCGACGAACAGGACGATGGCTCGCCGGATTCTTCTGATGTTCAGGCACCCGGACCATTGCGGAAAATGCCCCTTGCACCTCAACTGCAGAACCGACCTGAGAAATACCGCTCGCACGCTACCTCTCACAGTCGGAGCAGAATAGTAGAGAGTACCCCCCTCAGCGGCGAGGACGATGAAAGCAGCGAAGGCAGTACGTCGGAGGACTCCGAACAGTCAGCGCCGGATTATTCGTCGAGGCGCCGGCCGCTGCAACGCCCATCCGAGCGGAAGCGTCGTGACGTTCGTGGGCAACTCAGAAAGACGAGCTACACGCGGATCGCGCACGAGGTGAACATACCTAAGACCGGCTTCGCTCGTGGCAGAAGATTGCTTGTACCAGCTGACAAGGATGTGCCATTGACAACTATAGCTATGCGCGGGGATGCGAGCTTCATCGATCAAAGACAACTGTACGGCAATTGTATGCGTCCGTGTGTTATGAGCTGATTGTGTGCACACAGGTATAGGATCTCGAGGTATTCTTTGCCATTCTATGCCCGGGATGCTGAGGCCGTCCCGCGCGTGACGGACGCCTGTCTCCTCGAGGATAACACGGCTGTACTGGGATTCGAGTCCGGACCATGCCAAGTCTCTGTTATTCCACCCACATACGATGATGACCAGGTATCCGTTTCTATGTCGCACTGTACTGTACCTCACTGCTCACAACAAGTAGCTGCCCCGTCGGGTCAATCTGTCTTACAGGGCACACAGCACAGTCCAGGAAAAATCGGGCATATCATATCCTAACCCCGGTATCAGTGCTCTTGCCCCCGTACCCGGTCCTGAATTACGTTTCCTGTCTGGAGGACACGACAAATCTATCCACATCTGGACGCTCAGACGTAACAGTGGCACCTTCAATGCCAGATCCCATCGGTTGAAGATCACCCATGCTCAAAGAGTGAACGCCGTGGCGTACCGAGCTCATGACCACAAGGTCTTCTCTGCGGCAGGCAAGCTCATTTCCGCTATGAATGTCGAAAGCCAGTCCGCGCCGGATCCGATACGTGTGTCTGATGGGGCGATATTCCAAGTGCACATCCATCCCAACCTTCCTGCACTTGTCGTCCTCGAGGTGGGTCACTGGACACCCAACGCGCATTTAATTTCCAGCTGATGGCGCGTGAGGCAGGTGGACCATATGGATCGTCAGGTCTTGTTTTACGACACGCGGATGTCGGGCTTTGATAGGCCCCCATGTATCGAGTTGGGCATGCGCGCTGCTAGCACGCAAAAGATAACGCGCTATACTAGAGGATCGGCTTGCCACAGCTTCTTCATCAGGCCGTACGGAGAAGGAGAAGGAGGCCTGGTTAGGATGTGGGATTATCGTAATGCCAGCGTGAGCGATCACTGCTCAATTGGCTCCAATTTCATGCCAATGTCTGACACAGACAAATTTACAGGCTGTGGTAGCACGCTTCCACTCCGTGCGTCCAGCTCCAGTTGTGCACGCCGTGATGTTGAATTCAGACATCTATGCCTACGGCCGCCACTCGGTCACAATATGGAAGACTACTGGCGTTGCCGGTGGGAACTAGCCACGTTCTGCGAGTAACCGATTGGCCAGTATGTGTGGACCAAGACTCAGTACCATGGAAGCTGATTACTTTACATGTGATGTCAATGAAAGTGATTGCACGAGGGAGTGGGGATCGGTCTTGCTATCATCGTAACTAGTTGCCTCAATGCTTAGCCTAATCTGATCACGCCCATCCTCCCAACTCAACCGCAAACGCGACGGCAAGCTTGGAGAACTCCAGCATATGGGAGAAGCTGAATTCGTCAGACACGTCCATCCGACTGCCCGAGTGATCAGTTTCCGACTTCGCGGAACGTAGGTACATCACTCACTCGTTTGCACTGTGTATGTTCTTGTTCGAATTCTCGAAGGTGCTCTCTGGAGGGGAGCTGTCAGGCTCGAAACGTACACCAAGCTGACCGAAGGCAACGCACCGATCGTGAACACGGAAGGATATCCGGCCTTAGCCCATGAAGCGCTATTAAAAACATGCAGTCAAACGTCGGAAGGAACAACGATGAAGAGGCGCCTCACTGGTCACTGCAGGCGTAGCCACATTTAGTCTCGACAAACGGAATGTCAAGGTACATATCGACAAGCTGCTTGTTAAGCTCCGTTAAACTGAAATTGGGCGGTCATGAAATGTTGACGGCAATACGCAAATAGCACCTACGTTGAGTCCGTGTAGTCAACGATGACCCCAACTTCCTCGCGAGTACCCCGTTTGACCCATGCCGTCATGTCATACTGCAGCGGGTGAGGAAGCGGATAGTTCAGACGGCGCTTCTGACGTACCTGGCTCATGGCGATAACGTTCACGCCACGACGCTCGTAATCTTGTGCTATCGCCTGGGAGCCAAGCAAGCCACCCTCCTGCAGTCGTGCCAGACATTAATGGAAGTCATCACAGCGTGTCGAGCCATCTTTACCTCGGCGGAGTACCAGTGAAATTCAACGGCACGTTCGGGTCGGAAGTCAGCTGCGAGCAGCGCCCGGTAAGCTTCCAGAATACTCATAGAGCCAGAACCATCATCATCAGCGCCTGGATATCGTGTCAGGGAAAGTGATCACGGTGATACTTCGCCACTGTACCGGGAGCAGGCAAGAACGGCCACATATTGGTGCTATCCCGTAAGTCGTCAGATTCCAAGTACTTCCGGAGAGCATCTTGATGCATACCTGTCTTGGTGGGCCCCAATGACAACTACTCCATCCTCAGTTGGAGTTGAGCCATTGATTCTCGCGACCTAACGCCCCAGAGAGTTAATGCGAGGGCAATGAAGCCTTCCAGTGACGCAACTGACCACTGAGCTCTGAATCCAAGTGTGAGGGAATTCCTTGACCGTTATAAGTTCTCTAAGAGAGTCCGAGGCGTATTTCGTCGTGATCTGTATTCAATAGGTGAGTAAATGCTCTATCCACTGCTATGTCTGTATTTGCCTCGTTGATAGTGGTGAGCAGCCATTCTTGGCTTTGTTTGCCGGTCTGTGGATGCATCAGAAGATGCCAACACTCACAAACGGAGGTATACTACATCACTACGATAATCTAGAGGACACTTGAGTATAACAACGTGTACGATACCGGGTGTACGTACATCTGGTCCGGAAACTGGTGAAGGCAGTCAAGCCCTTGACGAGATTGTCAATCTCAAGGGTCTTCAGAATTGGCTCGACCAGTTCCGTCTTGTTAGGGGTGGGATAGGAGGCTACATGGCCGGTCACAAAAGCGCGCTTTGGGAACGAAACGAGGAACTAACGCTTGTTCGCGGCCTTGAGGTGAGAATAAGAACCCAGGTCGGGTGTCTCGGATCTGTACAACCGCTGAATGGATGTGAGGATGACAGGCAAGAGGAAACAAATACACGTCGAAGAACTTGAATCCTTGTGCTTTCAGCTCGATCTAGCCGGCAATTAGATACGAACGGCGTCCAATGGAAATTCTGAGAGTACCTTCTCGAGCTCGGACATCAGCACAGGAGCGGCTTCTCCCTCTAGCTGGACCCATCGGAGTTCGTTCAGATCTAAATCGAAGCCCGGGTACGTTTGCAGCGAGTTGTCCAGAAGGACTTGTTCATTCTGAAAGCAGGCCGCGACTGCTATGTAAACGAGCGGGAGGAGACAAGTAGCGAGTTTCATGGTGACTGTCGTGGTGCAACCTATGTACGTACTGTTCGCGTGAACGACTCGAACCAACAGCTCCCGACTTGCCTTATATGGTGCGTTGGGAATTCCGGGCTTCGACAACACTATTCATTGGAGGGAGGCTATCAAGATACGAGCGGTGGTCATTAATCAGCTTGTCATATGCATCATTTCCCATATCACCGACAACTCCTTGGAACTTTCACAGAGCATTAGAGCGGCCGACTCGGAGGTACTTCATCCCAATCAGGCAGGTTCGGTAATCGGTAATTACGTAATCAATTAACAGCTTCAACGCCCGCGCCGCTCTTCATTTGCTACCGTACACCTCGGCTGTCTCCCCGGAGTCGCGGTCGCCATGTCCAAATCTGTACTCAAGGCTCAAGCACAGGTGGTGGTATGTGTTTTGTCCTGCACAAAAGGCGATGATCTGACAAGCATGATGTGCACCAGCGTATTCTTGTAGGGGCCGGAAAGGCTGCACCTACTCCTCCGATTGGTCCTGCATTGGGAGCTCGTGGCGTGAAGTCCATGGACTTTTGCAAGGAGTTCAACGCTCGCACAGCGCACATCGAACCCGGCACTCCAGTTCCGACCCTCATCACGATTCAACCTGACCGGACCTTCACATTTATGACGAAGACGCCGCCCACGGCTTATTTCCTCAAGAAAGCTGCTGGCATTGAGAAAGGCACTGGGCGGCCTGGTCATGAGACTGTCGGGACAGTGAGCCTAAAGCACGTGTATGAAATTGCCAAAATCAAGGCGACAGATGAGCATCTCAAACATCTGAGGCTCGAGGCGATCGCGAGCACCATCATCGGAACTGCCAGGACGCTAGGCGTACAAGTGGTCCCGTAATCCGGAGCAAATCTATATTGCAGCGTGCGTCTCGGATGCTATGCTGCGGACACATTGTCATGACCATTTGCTGTTACAGGAGGCGCAGAGAAGAGCGCGGTACATGTAGTGCGATCGCGTACCTGAGGGGGACGAGCGGGGAGGATTAAAGCGTAGAGGTCGCTAGTCACGTATGGACTTACCTCGCCGTTTCCCCCGCACGGGCCGGCAGTTGATAGGTGTGAGCATCTTCGGGGCAGCGCTGGCCGGTTCGGATGAGCGCGTCTAGATGATCAGGTTCCTTGACGTTCGTTACAAGGTTCAGTATTATGGGATATTAGGTTAAGCTCCAAGATGGGTCATGTTGTGCGACCCCAGATCCGCCGCTGTGTCCCCCGCCTGCCATCTTGTGCCCTGCAAGCCGCACTTCCAGCCCCCTCCTGCCTGTTTTGCTGCAAGCTTCAAAATCACTGTGCCACCAGTTTGTCATGCCGGCACCCAGCCATCGCGCCCGGTCTTGAACTTTGACCGCGAGGAGATAGCCCCTTGTGCTGCGTATGGTATCTCGGGACACGATGTGTACACGCTCTATAACACCTGGCCTGCATTTGCTCTGCTCCTCCTGGTCTATCCAGCATGTTGCGGCACACCTGCCTGATCCAGGCGAGCTTCGTCGCCGCGTGCATGCGGGTGGCGAATGACAGCAGCTCTAGTCTTGTTTCCGGCTGACCTAGGGACGGAATAACCCGCTTTTACGAGTCTTTTACGCAGAGAACGCCTTCGAATCCTTGTGGTTCAGGATGGCGCAACACCGCAACCCCTTCCACGACAGAGCTGGGTTGACATATTCTGGACTTTTCTCTCACAGGACTCGAGGTAAACACGGCGCTTGCGGCCATCCTCGTGTTGTTCCTCGATCGCCGTGGCTCACCCGAAGGGAGTATCGGCCCTCTACTCCACTGGACAAGGCTCGGTGCGACATCATGATTTCAAGGTTCTGCATAAACACGTTGAACGCCTTGTATTCACCTTTATCTGTCACGATGTACACGTTCCCGATCGAATAATCCACCATCACCCTGAGGACGAGAAAATTTCGGAATGTTTCGCTATAAAGGACTTGTGTCGATAGCTCCTCCTCGCCACCACCCACCCGAGACCGCCTCCCAACCAAGTTCCCCGCCGCGCCTACTCTCGCAATGGCTAGCTCAGGCAATGAGGTGCTCTCCTGGACCTCGCAAGATCCTCGCCAGAGTCAGCTCTTCGGCAGCTACGGGGTACTATACCGCTTCACGGTGAGCACTACCTCCGCTCCCCCCACCGTGACGCGGGGGCCCTGACGCGTTTTATTTTGTCCCCCCCTCCCCCCAGACCGAGAATAATGCGCAGGGTGTGAGCGTCACGACGCTCTGGCGGGCCATTCGCGCCAACAAGGAGGACCGCGTCGCAAAGCTCGAGTGGGCACCAAACGGCGGCCTTGGTCGCGCGGTCATCGGCAAGGTAAGGCTGCTCTCCTCGAATCACGACACGCGAATTTCCTCATTGCCGGCCGCAGAGCACGCTCCCCATGGCAGACTTGGTCCGCCCCGACCCACGCGCTACGGTGAGTCTCATGGACGCGACGCGATTTACCCGATCGGTTCCTGACTGCCGGGTCTTCAGAATTGCAGGATGTTCAACGGCCCCGATGGCTATCAGTACCGGTGGCGGCCTAGCAACAGCTCCAGTGACATAGTCGTGAGTGTCTTCGTCAGCGCGCGGACTCAATCTCCCAGTCACTCACGGGTCCGGCCTGACTCGACAGCTCCAGGATCAGAACAACAACATTATTGCATTTTACCGGCCCATTAAGCCCGCACGATATAACATCGGCGATGTCTACGGGGAGCTGCACTTCGTACGGAACGCAGGGGCGGGCGTCGTGGTATGTCCTCGTTTCTGTGGTTTATCTGATATTATCGTGCTCATCGGCCCATCCCATCAGATGCACCCTCCCCTCATGGACACTGTGACCGTAACAGCCATGCTTTATCGTTTTGTCATAACATACGGCCTGTGATTCCTGCACTCGTTCCCATCGGTTCGCATCCCACATAATCTGCACGCATCCAAATGTAACAGTCCGCAAGCACGTTTTTGTATTTATTATTTAACGCGCATGGTCATGTGTATACGTACTTCCTAATGGTGCATTCGCTGGACGTCTATACAGAAGCAGTCGGAATCTGGGGCTGCCTCAAGATGTCCGGATTCAATTCGTGAATAGCGACCGGAGTCGTACCCATTCTACACACTACGTAACAACATACAGGGTCTGAGCCGGAACATCTGCTACACTGAACGCGAGTGCCCCACAGAAGAGAAGCCTACAACTTCGCCCGTGGCTCGGTGGACTGCTCCGGCTTGACAACGTCAAGAATAGAATCCACAGTACGTATGACCCACTCGGTCCCCTCGTCCGTGGCGAGCCAGTAGTCTTCCTCGCTGAGGCCCTGTACGTAGCGCGCCTTCAGTAGGCCGAAAACATGGCTCGTGAGCTGCGGTCCGACGTGTTCTTCAGCGCGCAGACAGGCCGTCCCGACCACCGACCCCAGCGCTCTGCTCAAATTGCCCCGCACGGCGTCGCCTTCGGGAAGTGGGGACAGAACAGCGCCATAGGCTTGTATGATGAACACTGATCGGGGGCAATAAGAGTTAGAGATTAGCATCCGTAGGGACGGGCGAGCGAATCGAGGGTGACCCGAGAGAGTGGGGGCGATTGCACCGAAGGAGAAATGGCCGTTGCGTTGTTTTGGGACGCACCTATGAAATCGGGGTGATATCCGCCTAACTTGTTATAGAGCTTCACCGCATGGGGCTGGTAGATGGTGTCCCACAGAGCTTGTCCCCGCGCCTTGATCGACTCGATGTTCTCCGGGGTTGCAATGCTAAATCGATTGATCGAACAGGCATCAGCCTTCGTCCCTGGCCAAGTATGGTAGAGCAAGAAAGCGGGACCCACCGGATGGACTCATTCCTCAGGTCCTTCTTGACGTCGTCCTCGAACGCCTCAAACATACCTGCGAAAGACAAAATCGTCTGCAGAAAATCAAAACCGCTGGCTGAGCGGCCCGCTCGCGGTGTATTTTGGCTGTGTGCTTACTCGAGGAACGCCGACGAAGATGCAGCTCTTCATCGCAGATTCGCGCATCAGGGCAGCCTTGTCGAGCGCTTCTGTGAGGCTTCGCCGCGTCTCGGGCTTGTTGGGGTCATCTCTCGTTACAAAGCGGTAGAGATGGCCCACGGACGAGGGAACATTCGCGGTGAGAAGCGTGCATGTCTGCGAATAAATCCGGGGCGAGGGGGACAAGAATCGCGATGTGGCGGTCGCTCGAGATGAGCCGCGTGGCTGCGCGATCAAGACGCGACGCGTACCGTCAGCGTGAGCCAGCCCTTCTCAACTTTCTTCTGCTGAGCATCCCTGAATGTCCTGGTGAGGATATCGTTGAGCTTTGCGACCGGAGGGCCGGGAAAGGTGTGTGGGTTGCGGAGGGTGAGGAGCTGTTTGACGACGGGGGGGAGATGGGCGACCATGGTGTTTGTTGTTTGAGTGATCGGGGCGCTAGCCGGTTGAGTCGGTCACTGCGCGATCTAAGCGAAAGGGAGAAGCGAGCGGGCAATTTACGACGCACTTCACTAGGTTGCCGTGGTGCCTAGATGTTATACACAATCCCCTCGTCGGCCCCTGCGGCCCTACACACGGCTGCCCGAACAGCCGTCGGCACGGCCACACTCTCCCCCGTCTTCACACACTTGCGCTCCCTGCGACGGCGGTCCACCGTCGGAACATCACTCCCTCACAATCGACACACAGTTCGCACGTTAAATTCTATCAAATACGTGCTCATTCAGGCAGGTATCAGGGACGCACAAAACCACGAACACATTGTGTCGAAAGTAACAAGCCAAAGCGAAGTGGATACTTGGTCCACCGGCACCAGTAGCCTTGAGTGCAGGGCATCACCAGGCCAGCAGGTACCCATGCAGGAAACAAAACGGGTATAGGGTGTGAGGCGAGCGTAGAAGCAGGAAATGCACAGACATCAGGGAATAGCAGCAATGTCCTCACGATACTCAGAGTGTTCAGCTCCAGTTGTTGTTGATATAGGTGTAGCCCAGAGACGTGGGCTGTCCGTCGCTACCCATGAGAGCGTTCAGAGTGTTGACACCGTCCAAATCGCTCAGAACACCTGTTTCCCGCTACCCATTAGTCGTCGTTACGCGACAATAGCATTCTACACTGACCGAACTGGAAGTAGGAGGCGACATAGTCGGTCGAGTCCAACCAGGGGTTCACCTGTGCGTAGAACGCCCAAATCTCATCCATGGAGGCTTGAGCACCACCGCCAAAGTTCTGTATATAACCGTTCATCAGAGAATTCAACTTAGACATGCCACCAAAAACATACCTGGTCAGCAAACTCAGTGACGTGCACGGGGCAGTTGAACGTGCTGTGGAAGTTCTGGACGTAGGAGATGAAGTCGCCGGCGTCGGTTCCGTAATAGTGCATGGCACAACCATCGAACTGTGACCGGGTGTCATGCATTGACACATGGCTAATCAAGCGGGTAATGACTCACGGTGCATTCCGTGCACGCGGCCATGAACTGTTGCAACCACGGAATACCACCTGAGCCAGAGGATACAGCAGGGCTGATTAGCTTGTAACCAAGATCCTTCTTCGGCTGAATGTATTGCATCCAGAGGCCAGCTGCATCATTAGGGTCCAAGTTAGACTGGGTAGAAATATCCGGCCTTCGGAAAGCTTTTCAGTACCATACTTCGTACTCGCTATTCAGATAAACGTACTCGTTGAAACCCATGACTGTGGTAGCGTAACCCGCCACCACGTTCTGCTCGAAGGCTGAGATCGAGTCCGAGTCCGTGTTGGGCAGCATAGCCCAGAACTCGTATCCGTACTGGTCAGCATCGGTCGGCTTCCACGGGCTCCAGGTGTAAAGGCTGGAAAAGGTGGTTACACTCTGATGATAAAAAGGCCCATCAGCAACCAAGTATCACTTACTATGAGACCTGGCCGGTCTTAAAGTTGCCGAGAGAGGCATCGTTACCGCCATCCCAAGCAATACCGATCTTGCCGGAGCCGCCGCTGGGCGCGCTGCTCGGAGAGGGAGCAGAGTACGTAGACGACGTAGTAGGCGTCCATGTGGAGGTTGGCGTCCAGGTAGTGGTAGGAGTCCAAGAGGTGGTGGGCTCCGGCGTCCACGACGTAGTCGGCGGAACGTACGTGGACGAGGGCTCCCAAGTAGCCGAAGAGGTCTCGGAGGCAGCATCAGTGCTGCTGCTGCTGGACCAGACGCTGCTGCTGGAGGGGCGCGTCTTGCAGCGCTTGCTGAGCGAACGCTTCTTTGTCGTGCGCTTAGCGATTGCCTCGTGTGCGGCATGGCGGCCCTGGTGGTGGTTCGGTACGGAGAGAGCGCTGACGGACGCAGGAGCGTAGGTGCAGGCGATGACCGCCAGCGAGGCCATTGCCATCAGATTAATCAACTTGGCACCCATGATGTTTCAACGCGAGTTTGGAGGTGATGGGGGCGTTCGCGTTCAACGAATGTGTTTCAAATGAATGACGGTGCCCGACGGGCAATGGGGAACGTGACGGGCGGGAGAGAGGACGAGTTGGAAGCAAGATGAGAAGAAGAAAAAGCCGTCGCGACGAGCGGGCAGGGCGCCTGATGGGTATCCAGGCGCTTATGTAAGCGGCCGCACTCTCGCTTGATTTGGCCTCGTGCAAGACAGGAGGTCGCTTGGCTTCAGCCTTGCCAGGGCACATCGTTTCCCGGACGCGTCGCAGGTGTCTCTGTAGGACAATTGTAGAGTGTGGGTGCCCAGAAATGACAGAGTGTGACTATATGCGCGTATACGCGCCAATTTTTGACGTGTTTTGTCAAAGTGTATACGAATGTACAGAATCCCAACAGCATACGAAACATTTGAGAAGGGTCTCGAAGCGTGCCGTGCACCGCCTGAGCTGTTTGTCAGATGGCAGCAGCCATGGCGACGTAATGCTGGCAGAGTTGCCTTACAGAGAAGGCGAGCGGAGTTTGCCCTGCAGATCAAAACCAGGCCACCGTGGCCGCTTACACCTTTCTTTCAACCCCCAAGTTTGACACGAAGAAACCGGTTCATCAAGTTCATCCCACCAAGTTCCACCAGTTCATCCCGCTCCCAATGTCTGACGCCCCCGCCGCCCCTGTCACCGAGAACGGCGTGCCTCCGGCTGCGCAAGACCAGGTCGTCGAAGAGACTCCCGGCTTCAAAGTGCGTCTTCTCCATTTCTGACGTGGCACCGTCCTCATTTCTTTTGCAGGTTTTCGCCGGTAACCTTGCGTACTCCACCACGGATGAAGGGCTGAGGACATTCTTTGCTCCTGTCGAGAGCGAAATGTGCGTTCTCGTTCTTTCTCGCCACTCGCGACGCGTGACGGAATAACTCATGGCCGCCACCTACAGTCTGTCCGCACAGGTAATCCTGCGTGGCACTCGTTCGGCTGGCTATGGCTTTGTCGCCGTGGCCACCGAGACGGCCGCACAGAAGGCCGTTGAGCTCCTCAACAAGCAGGAGCTTGACGGCCGTGAAGTAATCGTCGAGGTCGCCAAGCCTGCGGACCAGAAGGACAAGGAGAAGAAGCAGAGGAAGCTCAAGAGAAAGCCTGGCCGCCGCGGCAGCAAGGCTGTGCCTGGCGAGGTTAGCGAGGCTGAAGCTAATGGCGACGTCGCCAAGGCTGAGGGCGCCCCTGTCACTGAAGAGGGGGCTAAGCCCAAGAAAAAGAAGAAGAGCAGCGTGAGTGTTCTATGCGGTGCAAAGATAGTTGGCGTGATGATCCTGATGCTTCGGCCACTTAGCGCAGCAAGAAGGCCCGCAAGGCTGCCGCCGCTGATGGCGCCACCGAAGGCGAAGGCGCTGTCTCTGGCACTGAGGTGGCTGCTGACGGTACCACTCCTGAAGCTGCTGCAAAGAAGCCCCGTGTGCGCAAGCCACGGGCCCCTCGCCCTGCCCGTCCCGCCGGCGAGGACCCTGTCGGCGAGCCGTCGAAGAGCGTCCTGTTCGTCGCAAACCTAGGCTTCAACATCGACGATGAGGGTCTCGCCAAGCTGTTCACCGACGCTGACCTTCCTGTCGTCTCGGCTCGCATCGTCCGTCGTCGCTGGGGTAAGCCCCGCAAGAGCAAGGGCTTCGGATTTGTCGATGTCGGCGACGAGGAGAACCAGCAGAAGGCCATCGAGGTCCTGCAGGGTCAGGAGGTTGAAGGAAGGAACATCGCTGTCAAGATTGCGGTGAACTCCCAGATCGCGGAGGAAGGTCAGGAGGGCGATGCCGATGCCGATGCCGCTGCCCCCACCACCGAGCGCGAGGCTACCCCCGAGACCACTGTTGTTGCGTCTTAAGCGTTGGTCACAGTTCGCCGGTCGCGTGCAGGTTTACCTTCACACATCTCCTTTGTTCTCTTCCTCACATTGTGCGGCTGGACCAATTTCCTTGTCCAGACGTCAACTGGTGTTGATCCCCATTTTAATGACTACATTGATGGAATGGCTCTGTTTCTTTCGGAGCGGTCTGGTCCCGTTTCTTTAGTGTTAGCTTGCGTTGTCGCTTTCACCAAAATAATAGCGGCTTTGTTTGCTTCTTTTCAATTATTATGATCGTCACGACTTGCATGCCTATTGCCCCGGATCGATCATACCCGTACTCTAGCACTCTGGTTATGTAATGCTCCATGGTTGATGAGGAAGACGACTATCTCTCGGACAAGTTTCTGCTTGAGACTGCTCCTGCACCCTCGGGACTGAGTACCTATGCTGAACGACGAAAAGAAGCACAGAGGCTTGCGGTCCTGAAGAACGAGCAGAACAAGAAGAAGAGTAAGCGGCAGCTCGAGCTCGAGTCGCGCGAGGAAGGCCTTCGGAAGAGTCTCTTCGAGCGAGCCAAGGATGAGGAGGCTGCAGGACAACAGAATAAGGCGTTGGCCATGATGATGAAGATGGGCTTCAAGCCTGGACAATCGCTGGGACAGAAGTATGACGAACCGTCGTCGTCTGCGAGTGGCAGTCAGGCGGGTGGCATGGACGATGCAGCTGAAGCTGAACAAGGGCCAGCCATAGGACTGAAACGAGGTCTCCAGCACAGAGCAGAGCCCCTGCCGCTCAACGAATGGACAGGTATGTATTACAATTCAATCTTCCCTTACGTGCTTATGCGACCCAACTTCCAGGCAAGAAAGGCATCGGCCTGGGCAAACGCCCTCCTTCGCCGAGCGCATCCGAGCGCATGGCTAAAATGGCCAAGATGGCGGAGCAGGCAGACCATACGACTTTCCGCGACCGCGTCCGTCAAGAGTACGAGGAACGGCGGGCACAGGGCCGCCTCGCGCCCGCCCAGCGCACTTGCGCCAACCTGGACGAGAAAGCAGACGTGAAGGTTAGTTCACGGACCTGCGGCACGCACTCCGAGGAACGTATATATTGACACTCTTGCTGATACACAGTTCAATGTCCTGTGGCTCAACCCGGAGAATCCAGACGCGTTCCCGGAAGGACTCCTGGACGCACTGGACGACCCGGCCCTCGTTACTGCGCTGCAGCAGCAGAGCAGAGATGACACGATCGAAGGCCGCCTTAAAGCCAAGATGCGCGCAGACGCGCTGCAGCCCCTCGCGACGCCGCTCGGCGCTGACGACGACGAGGCCGACGACGACGACGCGACTGCGGACCCGGAGAAGCCAGATCTGCGCAGATCACCATATTCGGAAGAGGAGGTCCAAGAAGCGACCCAGTTCCTGCAGCTCAGTGTCAGTCGGGTGTATACCCTTCCTCGATCGTTGATGTGCCCCGCGTTGCTGACACTCTCCCGAATTTGACTGCAGGCCAGGAACCGTCTGCAGCTGGTGCTTGACTACCTCCGTCAGAAGTATGCCTACTGCTTCTGGTGTGGAACGCAGTATGACGACCAGGGGGACATGGCGGCCAACTGTCCGGGTCCGGAGGAAGACGCCCATGATTAAGGACCAGGGGCATGATTAATTTGACATGCCGATGTATTTGACTTCAAAATGAGCAGCGTATGGACACAATATGTATTTGACACTACAATGTGATCAGAAGTCCGCTCACGAAGGAAGGAATGTACGGCAACCAAGCTACGGTTGCGATGTGAAGAGTAATGACAGTGGGTGTTCAGGTCGCGCAGTGTCCAACGGTCACCAAGAGGCTCGAAACGAACGTGGGCATAGCAAAGATCACAGCGAACAAGCAGGAGCGAAGTCTGCGAAAGAGTCTGCGGTCGGTTCGAAAGCGGTTCGAAAGAACGGAGACTCATAAAAATAGTCTATTCATACATCAGTCCATCCGGTCGAAGAAAAAATACAAGAAGTGCTCCAAAGTCCACGGGTTCAAGCCACGGGTAATGGGGCTATCTGCTGCGCGTAGCTGTTTAGCTCGTCAGGGCGCGAAAACACCGAGATGCGAACGCCCGAGTCTGTGGCCGGTCGGGACGTTTGTGGTTCAGCGTCTACGATGGGGAGTCGCGGCAACTGTGAGGTATCGACGGGTGTGTCAGAGACGTCGTGCATCTCTTCGTCCTCAGAGTCGGACGACGCGTATCGGAAGGCTTGGATGGGAGGGAAGATCATGGGCACGGTGGGGATACAAACAGGCAGCGTCGGACTCGAGGACCGCTTTCGCCTGCGATTTGGGAAGGTGGGAGATGTCGGAGATGCTTGTGGGGTCTTGCGGCGGACGAAGGATGAGATGGGCATGTTCGCAGTGAGATCGGTCTCTGATAGGGTAAGCTTCTGCGGACGTCGCGAAGAGCTCCGGGGAGCGATGGACGCAGACCTGCGGCTCATGGCACAGGTCGCTGGCAATAGATAGGGTGATGTAGATAATGCCTGCACGCGAGAAACATGAGTGCAAGGACGACCGAGGGTCTCGGAGATACTGACTCGGTTTGGCCGCCCATCGGCCTCTTCTTTAATGATAGGGACACTTCTCTTTCTCATATGAGACTTGTATCGATGTTAGCAGATGAACCTTCTTTTGGTGGGAACGGAACATACGATGGTGGGGTAATATGGGGAATATCGCGCAACGCGGGTATGGCGTCTCTCGAGTTCCATGTCCCGCTCCGTTGAGGTCTCGCGCGGAGGGGAGCTCGCTGCCTGCAAGCCGTCGATGCTGATGGAAGGATATGGTGGTGAAGCGTTACTGGAGAGCGTAGAGAAAGAGGCAGTGGAAGAAGCTGAAGATGAACGAGAATGAAGGACCCGCACCCCAGAGCAAGCTGGGCCAGACTGTCGGGGGAGGGCTGCGGGGCCTGCGGGTTTGTCAAGTCCAAGGGTGGCCATGAGCTCGACAAAGGAAGGAAGGGCGGTCATGGCGGAGGGAAAGGAGGCCTGCGGGCGACCGTAGGCATCTCATATGGGACAATTGGGACTATTATACGGAACACAAGTGCCTTGGTAACGGGCCGAGCGAAGTGGTTGCCAGGCGGTAATGACGAGCGTCATGGAGCAATAGGGCGTCGTTGCTGATTCCGCGTTCGAGAGGGTGTGAGACGATCAAGGCGGTTGTCGACAAGGGGATGCCGGCGGACTCATGAGTTCACATCGAAGCATGCCGGAGGCGCAGTCGCGACGCAACGTGCTATCTCTCCGCAGCGCCACTTTTGGATCGTGTCGTCGCGTAGGCACGCACAAGCTCTTGTGCAGTGCTTCAGCACCATCCAGCCTGCTCATCGCGTGTAGCGGGAGCATGCCTGGGGCAGTTGCAACAGCTGATTGTTTGTATCATGACAACTCTACACGAGACACTCCCTGGTACGACGACATGCGTCCTGAGCTCGCTCGTTGACATGACTGATGGGCCATAGGGCGCCAGATCGCCAATCTCAAATAGCTCATGACAATTAGCTATCAACGTGCTGGATATCGGCGGCCTGGTGTGCAGCGGTTGAGACATACCCTGCGAAGCGGCAAGTCATGGACTGTCGGGGGTATGAGATGAGCTGACTGAGCGATAGGACCAGAATGCATTGCCAGACACCGACGAGCGACCGGCCGAGGACAGCGTCGGGGGAATAATAGCGAGGAGGAGGCGGTGTGCAGGCTGTGCGTTCCGCATGCGCGAAGATCAGCCACGATCGCGTGCGGTTACCGGCGAAGCTCAGGGCCACTAGTGCAGCCACACTGCCAAACATGGATACACACCTCTTCTACCATGAACTCCCAGCAGCCAGGCCCGTCCAGCTTCAACAACCCCGCGACAGGCGGCGGCTATCCCCCCGCACCTCGCCAGGAGATGGAGTATCTGTGTGCAGGTGAGCTTCCCGCCATCACAATCCCGCAGTTCGCAGTTCCTGAGCAACGTTTCCAGATTGCGGTGCGAAAAACGAGATCAGATCTCGAGAGCCGATTCGTTGCAGGGAGTGTGGTCATCGCATTATGTACAAAAAGAGGACAAAGAGAAGTGCGTATACGTCCCGTGTCCACTCGTGTACGCGAGCTCATGTGTCTTGTATTAGTGGTGCAGTTCGAGGCGCGATGAGGGTACCTCCCGTAACCATCTTTTATTCTGGGCACCTCGAGTCGCTGGCACGTCGTTCTTTCCTTCCCATCTGTACATTACTCGACAACATATCAACTACATGTTATTACAACAGGCATACCGTATGCGAGCGCACTAAAATTACACGAGAGCATACACTTGACCGCACCCATCACCACTGGTTTATTCGTTTCATCCAGAGGTTCAGGAAGCACGTCACCACGATCCTATCCAGTATCCCCTCTGCACGGTCCATCACTCGCAGAGTCGACTGCTCCTGCGACCACGTAGCAACCGTTTTGCTGCGTGTGCTGACGCACTGAAGGCCGCAGCCGCTATCAGTCACTGAAGGCGCGCAGGTGGAACGGCGTACATAGATATCAGTACCATTCTCTGCCACCTTCCATTTGTACTCCGAGCCATTCGCCTTGAAACGACGGGATCTGACCGACGAGATATAGCGTTGCTTGAATAGATTACAAGCGCCTTACTTGCTAGACACCTTCTTCATACGGCGCAACTCCCTCATAGGAACCTGCGGAATACAGCGGCCATTGAGCGCATACATTATTAGTAAGGAAGCTGTAGCGCCTTACCCGTTCAAGACCGCCAAAATAGACCGTTGCGGCGGCGGCTGACGTCCATTCTATGTGGCCTGAAGGTTCCCATACTTGCGTAGCAAGGTTCTTGCGGTGAATTTGGGTAACACCGGTATTGTTTCCGGTGACGGGATGGTGGAACTAGCAAGGCGGGAAGAGATTGGACGAGCTGAGTTTGATGCGCCCACAAAGGAGAGCTACCCGTGTGCCAAACCTTGTACAACTCAATTGGATCTTGCGGTGCCTCGGCGATTTGCTTAATCTGAAAGGTGCGACCGTCTGAGTTGGTTGACGTTGGCCACAAGAACTGCAGTATCAAGTCGGTGGTCGCCATGGTCTGGAGTGGGTGGCGGTAGGTATGGTGCGTGGATAGGGAGGAGAAAGGTAAAGGTCATTGTGCCGAGGCAAATGAATTTATAGTGCTCCGGGTATGAGCTACTGTTGGAATGCCGCAATGAAGCCTCAAAATGTCTTCCTGTTTTTGGGATGCTAGGACCGGATAATATGAACGCGGCCCACTTGATCAACACGATCTGATTAGGCCAAGGCTGAGGCTAAGTCGCGTGGTCATAGGATGACGACAGCTGATAAAGGTGCAATGTTCGAATGTGGTCCGTGAAGAGAAATGAAATACACGCACTCGGCATAGATGCAAGAAGCAGTGCACAGGCGCGGCACCCGGAAGCAATGAACGTATGTGTGCAGCTGTCTGCCTCGCGGGGATTTGACATCACCAGCGATTCTTAGAATGCTGATACAGGGACTCGGAGGAGCAGAGTCGGCTTCCGCGTCGGCTCTAAATCGCGGTGTCTTATCGATGCGTCCAGGACAGATGCGGAAACGTGAGACATACGCTCCGGGGCAATCGCCGGGCATTGTGGCACAGATATTCATTTTGGATGGATAGAGATTCCGCGAAAATGGATAGCACTCACCTCCGCGGTGCGTGAACAGAGCTGCCGGCAGCGCAGGGCTCCCGCGGCGGCTGCGCTCGCTGCTCGCGCATGCTGGGAAAGTCGGGTCCAGAAGGGTTCGCGGCTTGACAGGCTAGTAATAAATGAGCTAGCCGACATTGAGGAAGAGCTCGGAGCTCACTCCAGAATATGTGAATTTACGGCAGTGATATCGCGCGCTGGAGGAATATGCAAGAGGGGGCGGCCTCATGGTTTCAGGGCTTCCGCCAGCATGTAGTGCTATCTCATAGCTTTACGCGCGACTCGGCGCGAGACATTGACTTCGGAGGCCGGAGGGCCGATTGTGTCAGGACCGGTCGCCTGGCCGATCGCAGGTTAGAGGACGGGAGATCTTTCACGTACAAGTGTGAAAGCATGGCGACTTGGGAAGAAGATCATGGCCCGGTATGTCCTGTTCTGTTGGGAGGTTCAACAGCGGCGGGGTAAATTCAGCAGTCCGCCGAGACGTGCAGCCGACTCAATTCACGGAACTAGTACTGCTAGACGGGGGAAGAGCTCCAACCTTGTGCGAGGGCTAGGCTGGGCACAATTACAGAGGAAAACGCCTTTGGACAGGGCTAGAAGACGCGAATTTCAAGGGAATCTAGAAGACTGATACAAAAATACGGCGGTAAGGGGGAGGGGCAAGTACGGTCCAGTGCGCGCGGGCCATCACCGGTTTACATACACAAGGACAACATGATTATAGCGTCAGCGAGCAACGGTTTCAAACTCACGAGGACGGAGGCGGGTCGGGAGGCAATAGCACTAAGATCGTGATCGCGGGTCACGTGTGGGCGAGGCCGGCGGGAGCCGGGGAGCCGGAGGAGTGCGTGGTGGATAGCCGAGAGGGGGCCGTGGCAGTCAGCGCAGGCGTCTTGAGCACCAAAGTCTGAGTCTGAGAGCGGCCGTCCAACATATTTCTCCATCTGCAGATCGGCGTGGGCTATTCCGTGCCGTGTCTAGTCTCCCCGTGCGCCTTCACACATCTACCTCCTGATGCCCAATCAAGACTCCAGGGCCCGTAGTGTTTCCGGTGACATCGAGGTATCATGCAGCCCCTCCGTCAAACAATGTACCAGCTCGCTGACCACTTCGACTAGAGCTCCGATGTCGAATCTCCGCGCGAGCCTGGCGAGGGCGGTGGGTCATCCCATCCACCTGGTAAGCCGGGCAGAAAGAAAAATCCAAAGTGCGTGACCATCTACAAAGACGTTATCTTGCTTACGCTCTACCCCGGGTCCTAGCTCGCAGGCCGCGAGGCGTGATCAAAACCGTATTGCACAGAGGGAGTTCCGTCTCAGGAAGCAACAGCGCGTGCGTCGTCGCTTGCCACTGACCTTGACTGGCGCGTGTCCCTGAAGTAACTTCAGATCCGCGACTTGGAAGCGAGCGTTGAGATTCTGTCCGGCGGCAAAGATGAAGCTCTTGGTCACCTGAGGAAGATCTTGAAGGGTCAGTCAGGACGCCACTTCTTCGAATTTACGTCTATGCTCACGGCTGACACTCGTTGATATTAGATTTGATGAACGAAAACCAGGTTCTTCGCGATCTGCTGCGGAGTCTGAGCAGCTTTATAGGGGAAGGAGCTGGCGGTCTTCTGCCAAAGCTCGGTTGGGATGTGAACGACTTCAATACCTTCATCAACAAGGGGGAGACAGACTCTGCCTGGGAAAGCTATCAGCGTCACAAACATGACAGCTCTGCAGGCAATGCTTCTGCAACGGGGGGTTCCGCAAGCACTACTCAAAAACGCGCTTCAGAAGATGACCCCTTCGGTATACGGACAAAGCGACCGCGAGGAAACAGTGAGCAGAACGGCGATGCTGAGCATGCAGACTCTTTCTCGAACCCGATGATGGTGCCCTTGAATAACTCTGGTCCTTCTGTATCGTCGAACGGCCTTTACTCTTCGTCTGCTAGACCACCCCACGATAGCGCCCTCTTGAATGAGTTTCTGCGAACGTCGTCAGCCGGGTCACCGATGTTCATGTCGGCTGCCTCTCCGCCAGCTGCATCCTTTGCCTCGCCATCAAGTACAAACGTCGGGAGCTCCTACCAGCCAGGTTATATGCAGAGTCCCATCGACCCAGCTATATCGTCCATGCCCTTGGTAGGAGGTTCTTCTGTTGGCATGCAGCAGAACAGGGTCGCCCCCACTCCGCCAGGCCAGTCGACTGCGGACGAGGAAGACATTGAACCCAAGAAGAATGATGCATACAAACTCATTCAGTGCGCCTTCCCTGCCCCCCTGTCCTCATTGCTTACATGTCGTGACGTGGTTTCGTAGCTACCATCTGGACAATTATAAGCGGAACAGTGCTTACTGCTTGCCTTCGTCTCTTCGACCAACTTTGGTGCAAAGGTGATCATGGTTTTAACGGGGGGGCGTCGTATTACAGACTGATCTACTTCCGCACCCAGAACGGTTCCACACGGTATGTGGTCTAGATGGTCTCCACTGGCGGACGCTAACACCACGGTAGAGAGTGTCATTGACTCCATCTTACACCCCGAACTCAGAGATAGGATGATCCTCCTTCGAGGTACGGTTACTACATGGCATGCACAACGTCTGTTCACGCCCCTCTTAGGTCGCTTCGACTTGGTTGATTGTCTGCACGACTACCGACGGGCGGTCACAATTCACGGAGATGATGTGCTCGCCCATAGCAATTGGGAGATCTCGGAGTCCTGGCTAAAGCGTTACAAGTGCGTACTTCAAATCACTTGACGAGACCGCTATTCACGTTCTGTCTCTAGATACTTGGTCGATCAAGCCACGCTGAACATCACGAACAAGTGGCGGCGCGAAAGAGGCGAATGCGAACTGCGACTCGCAGACTTCCAGGAGACTCACGCCGTGCCGCCTGTATAACCATTTACTCACATAGTTTGAAGTTTGAGTCCTAGGGATAGATTAGTCTGTAAGAGGGTTCCATGTATCTATGTCCCGGCCTGCTAGGCCGTCGTTGTCGTTGCACCAGCTTGCCTACATGAGCGTATAAAATGTATGATAAATGTAAACTTCGGACTGTGGGTGTGACAAATTAACGCATATATCACGGGCGTGGGCAATGTTCACAGCTGAACTATGTCCTGTGTGTCATTCAAATAAGTGCCGACAGCGCAGACATAACAGCTTGTTCTACGCACACAGCAGGAGCCGAAGCCGAAGACAATCACCAAGAAGCCTTCTTGACGCCAGGGATCTCACCGGCCAGGGCTTTGAGCCGGAATTGGTACTGCAGGAATACCGCACCTCATTCAGAACAAACATACAACCGACCACCAAGCCATCCATACACACCCTGCACAGGCCAAACTCGCTCATGATGCCCCGCCCCCGCCCCGACTCCGCGCACCGGTTTTTGACCGTGGTCGGCCGGGTGTACTTGCCGAACGTGTTCAGCTGCAGCTGCGCCTGGTAGCGGACCTGCGGGGGGAGGTTCTGGTTGCGCGCGACATACAGGTACGCGCGGCGGAGGATCTCGTTGGCGTTCACGCCGTTGCGGGCCTTGATGTCGCGGAGCACACGGACGTTGGGCATGGTGGCGGCAAGGGTAAAGAGCAAAGAGTAGAGCTGTACTAGAAGGAAGGTGCGCTTACGGTAAGCGCCTCGGGCCCGCGCGGGCGCTGAGCGCAAATACGTTGTGGGCGCCTGTGCGACGCTACTGGTTGCAGCAGACCTTCACCGTCATCGCCGCTCTCCATTCTCGTCGTCGCGGACGGTGGCTATCCGCACTAACACGGTGCACCCGGGCATGGGATTCTAGACTGTGGTACGCACGCTGCTCCCCTCACTGTTGTGCTAACAGTATTGTGTTTAACTGGCTATACCTCACAGATATGTCCCTGTCCAGAGCACTCAACTTCACGCCTCGCCAACGACGGACATTCGTCTCCGCCCTCTTTGGGCTCACATTCGTCGCCTCTGTCATCACCGTGTCGGCATCAAACGTCCTCCCATGTCCCGCGCATGAGCGCGGTCGTTTCGCGGACGGAGAGAACCGAGACGGAGAGAACGGGCGGCGCATGGTCACGGTAGTGGAGAAAAGGCCCAGGAGGTGGATAGAGGAAACGCATCCCAGGCAGTCCTGAACCCGCAATATCAATAATGTGTTGGCCTCGCTCTCGCTCTCGCAACGTGCATCGCATGCTGACATCCACACACACCACGCTCGAACATCGTGTGTGTTTCGCAAAGTTATGTTATAACGATATACTGCTGTAACGATACAGTACATTATTGATGCAAGGCGTCACGACTCGGACGCCGTTCTACTGTCTATTGTGTATTTTCGCTGCCGGTACTGCGCTTCCTGCTCTTCGTGCGTACCTCTGCAAAATCAAACTATCAGCGCGCACGTTCAGACGTGCGTCGAACACGGAGCGACGCACGGCAAGGGGTTCTCCTGGATGGGGAGACAGCACACAAAGCACAGGAAGTTCGCAGCGGCCTGGCAGATGAAGACGATGCGTAAGGCATCTGCATAACTGCTGACGGCTGCTTGCCGCAGGTCCGGGCTGAGTTCCGCGATAATGCTCGTCGAATGACTGGAACCGCCGGTCATCAATTTCCAATCCGGCTTACATGGGCAGGGGCAAGAAACCTACCGAATCTTTTCAATCATCTGTCCGCCGGCAGGAAACATGTGAGTTTCCGAGGCAGGGAAATATGGCATGACACGAACCTCTAGCGCGCCCGGCCCTGTTATGCGTTCGCGCAGCTTGCGAGTCAAGACGGCTTGCAATAGCGCACCGCTCAGACTGACTCCAAGCACTTGACCAGTAGTTCGGAAGAGATACGTGACTGCAGCGAGACATGTCAAAACTCAGAAAGGCACACTTCGCGCCGCGGACTTACTGCCGGTAGCCACCGCCATATCCTCCTTGGCCACACTCGCAATCATTGCCTGGACGCCACAGTCAGAAGGGATGCATGAACCACGACGTTCGCAAGGACTTACGATTAATGTGGTCGTGATTACGCTGGCCATACCAAACCCTTGAGGGACAATGTCAAACCATAGGTGAAATGTAGATGTACTGTCGGTCCAGAAGATGATCATCGTCGCTGCGACGATGGTCATAATAGCCGTGATCAGAGTCAGGTTATATAATTTTCCGGTCCGTCTCATAACCCTGGGGATCAACACGATTACTAAGGGCCCGTCTAGCACGGTCCGGAACTCAGGTACGCACCAGCCAGCGAATACACTGCCTGTGGAGATCGCAACCTAGAAACCATTCGGTCGTATCGGTATCGGTACCGACGTTCTAGTCTCCAGCAAATTGGACATACCGAATGTGGCAACAGGTGCAGTCCTAAAGTTTAAACGGTTAAATCGGAACCTTGCCTTGCGCACGGATCACGCACCTGCGTCCGTCGAGGAATTTAATCTCACGGCGGAGAAATACTGTCATTTCGCTCAGCTGACGCCCACAAAGCACCCGGACATACCGGACGTACCAGAGGCACATTATACAGCTATTGGCAAATGCTGGCGATCAGATCGCACGGCGGCGGCATTACAGAGCGTGGGGCCTACCGTCGAAAACGCGGCTACGCTGCCAAAGAAGCACGAGAGCGACACTGCCAGCGGCGTCCGCTGTTTGATCAGCCGCATTGGCATAACCGGGTACGGCGCCCAGTATGTCTCGACTGCGACGAAGAGAGCACCCCATACTGCGCTCGCTGTGAACAAGCCCCAGATAATAGGATGCCCCCACGACAGCTCCTCCGTCGACTTCAGGCTGAAGCCCAGCAGGAGGCAGCCGACCGTGCCGACGAGCGTGAGCGAGCCAAAAAAGTCGATTCGCCGGAGCTTATGTTGCAGGCTCTGCGACTCGACCTCATCAGGCAGTTTAATGGAGACCTTCGCGATGACGAGCGCAAATGAGAACACGAGAATGGGCATCTATATGCGCGGACACCGGATCAGCGCCCATAAACATGGGGAGGAAAGAGGGGGTGGCACCTGAAAGAGGAACGCGGATCGCCTAGCATACAGACGGTGAGTATTTTCTGCCTTGCGACTGGCACGGTGCCCTACACACCATCCGAAGTTGTCGTTCAGCCACCCGCCGATGGGACCGCCCAGGCCTGCACCCAGGCCAAAAAGACTATCAAACAGCAGACAGCATGAATGGTTGCACGAAGTTCACGGACGCATGACCTTACATATTCGTCATGCCCTGATAGAGCCCGCGCTGACGGCTGCATGCACGCAATATCAGCGAAATTCCGCTCCGAGGAAACCTGATACGGCACGGGTGCCGCGCACCAGCACTCACAGAGGGATCAGATCTGTCACGGCGACACTAGATACTAGATTGCACGGTGAGGCACTTGACGTCACGCGCTGTGCGGTGCGGGCTCACCTGTCATGACTCTGTGATATTTGTTATAGATTGGATGGATAAATATTGATTGACGCCAGGAGGACGCTCACCCTCCGCCCCCCATGCCTGCCACTGCTCGGGCGACGATAAGCGCATCCATCGAAGGTGCCAAACCGCAGAGGAAGGTTCCCACGCCTATGGCGCATATTGAGTGAGCCATGAAATGCATGTTGAGGGAAACTGACCGAAGAGCGACAAGGCTAGCAGCATTGCTCCCTTGCGGCCGAGGATATCGGCCAAGCGACCTGAAATAGACGGTGAGGCACGGTCGGGGTACGGCTGGGGGTACTGACCATAAAGTGGGGTAAAGCAGCAGACCGAGAGTAGGTATGATGTGCCGATATAGGAAGCACGATTGGACTCATTAAAATAGCTGCCGATCGGGGAGAGGAGGGTAGCAACGATGGTTCCTAGGATCCGCTACATTTGAGCCGGTGCACGACAGGGATCTGCATAGTAGACTAGTACCGTCAAGGGCGCCGAGAAAGACAGCACTCCAGAGCCCTGCCAAAACCCATGCAAGGTCGGTACCGGAGACTCTATTGAGCGGTGGTGGGGGTTCTTGAGGAGTGGAATCCCCAGAGCCTGGTACAGAATGATAAGACGTGACGTCGTCCTGCTGAAGCAGGGGTCGTGTTTCCGAGGAGTCTCGGTGGGTCGTGGACATCGTGCAGGATGGGTGTGTGGACGGCGGGAGAAGGGAGCCTTATATCTAGTCCGGAGAGGAAGTGTCCCACGGAACGAGGACGGCGTCCGGATGATCTGAGGGGAGGCATCAGCGCCGAACAGTGGGAGATGCATGTTAGAAGACGCACAAGAGACGGAAAGGCCGACGCGAGCTGGGCTCGAATATAACAGCAGGCGGGGACCGATAAGTGGAGGCATCGGAGGCGCGATATTTAACGAGCGTACCTACTTTAGATCTGAGTTTGAAGATCTGGCGACGGGATCTAGCACGCATCGTCTATCGTCAGCATCCGCTGATGACGGCGGAATCCCCTTCTAGAAGCACGGCCATCCCCTCGGGGCTTCTCCCTCGGCTTCCCCCTCCTCCTCCTCGCCGCCGTGTCGCTCCAGCCACCCGCGTTGTAGGCGCGTCCCATCAACGCCCCCCGCTGGCACTTCCGGCTCACACGGACGACGCTATCCACCATTCAAGCAATCATTCAGTCTGCGTTGTTGCCATCGACAGGCACGGCGCGCCGCATCAGCAGCGGAGCAAGCAAACGAGCCACTCTCGATCGCTCGCCAATTGCCAAACGCGTCGTTATATTCACCGGTGGCACCGCAGCGCCACCTGCTACCAAGCTCGGTACCTGCCTTCTCAAGGCTGACGTCGGTGCCGCGTCCCTCCCGCCGGCGTCGTGTGCGCAACTTAGTTGTACATTGCGCTCGCGACAGAATATTTCCCAACACAATTTACGTGTACCCGCGGGAACGCTTGATCCGCTTCCCATCGGACATTTATTAGCACGTTTGGCAAGCACAGAACTGTAACCCTCGGGATCTGCGGGCCTCGAGTTGTTGCCATGCTATTTCACGCTATAACTAGCTGGCCCTGCCACTAGGAACATTGTGTTCAATAACCGTCGCGGCAGGGGCCCAGTACAACATCCTGAGAAGCCGCATTCGCCGGACGTGAGTGATGTATCCCAGAACTTTCCATTCGGCTATTCTAATGGGTGCACGCATAACTACAGGTCTATTGCGTGAAAGGAGATACGCTGCCTGCTAGTCGTCACGGTAATGCTCTAGGTTCCGCGTGTTTTTCTAACCACGCCAGGTGTTCTCGTGGCCGGTCCCCTTACGGCTATCGGGCGCGTCGAACGAGTTTCGACTCCTCTGATAGGTGTAAGCGGGTGTGTCATCGTCCGACCATCGCGTGTGTACTCTCAGCAAGAAGTATGCCCGTCGCCTGCCTCGACCGCTCAACATGATGGCGAAGTTAATTTGTATCGTGGTCGTGTGTCTCCTGAGGTGACCCTCGACCGCGTGTTACAAATAAAAGTAACCGCTCGTACTTCCTCCAGGGTATGTTCACTCCTTTCTGTTTTTACACGCGCGGCGCCGCTCATGTAAATTTTCAGCGTTTACTCCGATGTAGTAGGATGTAGCACATATCAAATCACACTGTGGCTAATCCATCTGCTCTAGCTTGTAGGTGATCCTGCATGCCGTCGCCCGGATCCAGTGCCTGGCTCCACTTACCTGTCACCGTTTGCCGTGACGTCTTCGCCCGCCCAGCAAGCGCCCTAGGCCGCGGTGTTCTCAAACGTAGGTCCGCCCGTCTCGTGACCCGCAGCCCTCGCCTCTTACTTCTCTCCGGACACACGTAGTGTCGCAGAAGAACGATCCTCCGACCCCGTCAATGAACACAACGCACGCCGTGCCCGATGCTGTACGTCGACCCGATGCGCACCGCCACTCGTAGGCGCGCGTGCCCGGGCAATAGATGATGCATCGCCACCACTCATGTCCGCAGCGAGTGTGGCTTGTAGTGGCCGTCCAGCACGGAGCCACGGTCATCTCCATCTCAGGCCGACGGCCTGAGTGTCTCCGGCGCGTGGCGCCCGAGTGGATGAGAAACCCGCGGTCAGCCCACAGGCGACCGTTGTTGACGTGGGGTGTCTCCTGCTACGCTCATCTCCATCGGATGTTGCTGACACTGCGAGCGTGGTGGCCTGCGCGGGGCGCGCGCGATTACTCAGGCACTCAGGTTCCTGCGGTAAGCCACGAACGCCGTTCAAGGAAATGGGTGTGCCGAGGCTGCCCATGCCAACTTCGCGAGCGCGGGCACGCGGCTCTGAGTCATCTAGGCCATTCTACCGCGCACTACCGTCAGGGTATTGCTTCATTGAGCGTCACTGAGGTCACAGACTACCCGACCTACCCGACCGAAGTGGACGACGGTGCGTTTCGTGTCTATGCTTTGATTCCGAGCCGTGATTTGATTTGGTGCTGGATGATGCTCACCGGTTGCAGCCCAAGTTGATAAAGATAGCCTGCTATATAACGAGATTGGGGCTCGTTCTAATTCAGTTCCGCTGCACGGTCGTAAAATTCGGTTGTGTGAACAATTAGTTTATAGCAACCGCTTCTTGATAGGTAATAACGATGTGACCGTCTTGGCTCTCGTGGCTTGTCAGACTCACTGAAGCAATCTATGTTGATTCTAGCTTAGGTATCGTGCATATGGCCGCCCCGGACGGGCTCTAATCCAGTTTTTGCTCTAGTTGCGTTCCAGCAATTTACCGGTCGCAACCATGATGTCATAGCGCAAGACACCGGTGTGGCAGCGGGTGCACGCGCCTCCTAAATACATCAAGTAGCTCGTCCTCTTATCCACCGACGATCCCATCTCCGGTCGTGATCGGTCATTCTCTAGACGAACTCTAGACGAATTCAAACTTTGCATATAGGGATCTGCCAACACAATCGCGGCTAGGGGGCCCTCTGCTAATTCAGTCGCTTACGAATTGTCCGGTTTGACGTCGCAAGAAGCCAGCGAACGCAAATTGGAGAAGCAACCGTGCGGAGGTAATGGGCGATCTCGCGTAGCCGAAGTCACGAGAGGCTCGGCACTGTGCTCCCCTGGGGGAACAAGATAACGGGATCGTAATAGGGAAGCAGAGCGCAAGTGGTTCTGAAGGGCTGAATGTATGACCCACCCGTGCAATTGCAATTGTCATCTCGTATTCTGGGAGATGCGGTTTTAAACCCACTCTGGCTGTAGTCGAGACTCTACAGCATATGAAATGTGGTGCGAGGTGCGTGTCAGCCGGTATAAATTTCTCGCTAAAACTCACACCGCAGTGCAGATCATAACGGAGAGATTTTTCCGATCTATTGGTCTCACATATATGTGCGCTGTTTTGGACAGTAGAAGCTGCTAGATAACTTTGTCTTTTGCATGCCCCCCCCTCCTTCACTTCTTTGTCTAGTAAACCTGATTTTATATCCATTGGAGAGCGTCGCCCTATGCCGAATGACACACGCATGTACGTATCATATATAAATTACAATCAAGGTGGATTGTCCGTAAGCATGAGCACGGCGAGCGGTTTATGAGTTGCACGAGGTCCGAAGTCAGTGCATGATGTGCGGACCAAACATGCCGTGTCTAGCCCTCTTATACCGATATGGCTAACCACAGAATATAGTTGTCTGAGGCAATGCGTCCTGAGCAGCGGGGCTCATTGAGGAGCTACGAAGGTCGATCAATCTGTGGCGGATTCACTGCAAAAATCGCAAAATCACCCAAATCGCAAACTTGAGCGGATCGGACGTCCGCCCAAAAGTTCGGTAAGTTATAGGCCTCGTGTACGGTGGAGGCTGCGTCGTACAGAAGACGGCTTATGCCAACTTGGACCCAGCGATTGATATAACACCTCCAGTTAAGAACGCTCTCTTCGAGAATACAGCTGACCCTTCAAATGGCGAAATAGTGCCTTACAATGCATGAGAGCGTCGCGCAACGGGGCGTTTAGTTCTGCACGCTGTGATGTCTGTTATTACAAAGAAACTAGCGCAGTTTGAGCGGAAGAAAACTAGGAGGTATTGTCCAGGAGTTCAATCGCTGGCTGTATGTTCTTGGTTGTTGATGCTTCCAGATTCACCGTCTACGACGGTTCAAGATACTGGGGGGCGGGGGGAGCAGCAAATCAAGCTTGATGAAATCATCGGAATCAAGCAGGTCTCGAAGGGCAGCATAGAATACATCCTCGAGCGCAAGTCTCAAAGCCTATATTAGTAGGTACCTTTCGTGTACGCTCAGTCAGGCCGAAGGATAGCTGATACACTGTATGCAACGTTTACTTGAATAGGGATTCGAGTGGCTCTCAACCATATTTTCTACAGCGAGACGTAGCGGCTGCAAGTGTTCGAGACAACTCGCGAAACAGACACTAGAGTAGTACTGTGTTCAGCTCTTGTAGAGCGTCAAAGCGATGATGACACAGGAGTAAGGTACACACTGCAAGTGCTGCCGCCGTCATGGTGCATGCGTCGTCCAGGTGAATATGTTGGGTATCGTAACGAAGTTCTCGCCTTGCATCAACCATATATGCTATACGGGTGATCTATGTGCGCTGAAATTGCGATGCTGGAGGCCGCCTGCCTGCTAGAAGATACCTCTGATAGACGGGTATAGTCTTGATCGAGATCGCGGTGACTTCGGAGCAACAGCCCATAAGGATGGTGATCACAGGGATAACCACCGTCTGTACAAATCTTCGGCTAATGGAGTGGCGCCGGTGGTTACGAAGATTAGCGAGAGATTGTAAGCCGCTTCACGCGCCAGTCCACAGTCTGCCTGTGACCCAAGAAAATGTCAGCCAATGAAACAACGGGTGTCTCGGTCATATACCTCAGCATCGTCCCTACATGTGCGTTCGGCCGCCTCTAGGACCTTTTCGTAATGACGAACCGCAAGAGAGTGTAAACCTATTCAAGATAAGATAACTTATGCTAGGCATTCCGAGAGTTTGAATGATACAAGGCATACCTAGCTGCTGAAACGCACGCCCGAAGTTGAACTCGACTTCGTCCATTCCTTCAGCATCTGCTCCGCGAAGCGCCCGATACCTCGATAGGAACGCCATGCCCTACAGAGCAAGGTGAGCATCTCCCGTGACGCAATGGGAACAAATACTACTTGGGCGATGAGATGGTTCCGATTATCTGCTTGTCGCTGCATCGCACGCCCAAAAGATGCGATCGCAACGCAGAGGTTTATCATCGGGTCCTGTGAGCAGTAGTCATACGCATGCAACAAATAAACTACGTGTCAATCAATCGAGTTATTAGTTGATTTAAGACTGCGTTGAAACAAACACACATAGAGCGCTCTGATAACTTTTCGCAGCAAGGCATATCTGGCCGTAAAGCGCAATGCTGACCGGGTTACCCTTCGTCGGAAGGGCAGCCTTGTCTCCGACTGCCTTCTGGTCTGGGGCTGGTGTTCCTTCGACGAGCGTATCGTCATCCTCGTCGACCTCGTCCTTCACGCTAGCACCTCCGCTGCCGTACCGGCGGAGCTGAGCATTCCACTTAAGGGTATCGGGACTTTTGAGCGCTGTGTCAGCGAGTTTGAGCTCGCGTAGAAGGTGCTTATAGAGTGTGGAAGCAAGGAAGGCGTCCGTTGGACGCAGCCCGCTCCCCAGGGATGCGACTAGAATACGCAAAGGCTCATTATTGAATTGGTAGACATTGATCAGCTTGCGAGATTGCTCCACAACGGTAGCGAAAGCGCCAGCATGAATAGAGCATGCTGTGTGGGGTGAGAATCAGCATAGCGCCGATCCCTTAACATCTGGATAGGCACATACTAATAAGCGCGAGTCTTATGGCATCTTGCGCTATGCGGCTTTGATACGCATTCGAATAGCCGATGTGACGGAGCACCTCCTGAGCGAGGTCATATTGATCCCGTTTCGTGAGCAAAAAAGCGTACTGTTCATATACAACCAACAGTGAGCAACAAGCCATACAGAATAAGGGATTGATTTTACATGTAGGAATACTTGAAGCCAATCATCAAATGAGATGGTTCGGAATGTATCAATGCCGCCGGGATTGACCTCGGATTTGGTCTTCCGCACGACAGCCTCGCGCCCTGCGATGATGATCAGATACTTTACTCATGGAGCCGCTCAAAACGAACGCACCTCCACCAAGCTCGAGTTGCAATCGATCAGCCATGCTCTCTTCGCTCGCCTCAGCTGTTTGCCTCCTCGAGCTTCTCGGGAACATTCCACGGAAGCCCTGATGCTGTGCCGAGTTATCCTTTTAGACCCTTGTCCAAATAGAGCATGCAGACAACTCACCCTGCTCGTCAGAAACAAAGGCCTTGTCTCCCTGAACGATTCGACCAGCTTCTCGGCTTCCATAAGCCACTCGCGTTCAGCCTCCTCCTCACCCGCGAGCATACGAGGCCAGAGCTCCTTGATTCTATGGTAGCTTTGGATGACCTCCCGCTCCTTCTTCGCCTCAAGTTCTTTTAATTGCGCGATACTGAGCTTGTTCGCGTTCTTTGACCCCGCTTTGCCCTTCGGGCGCGCTCGTTCTTCGAAGAGGGAAGTCGTCGCTTCTTCGATAGCGCCTTCTGCATGTTCCTGTCTCGCACGCCTCTTGCGTGCATCAATAACTTTGTCTCCCGTTATACCGATGTCGCTCGTGACAGCATATCAGAGCGCTTGCCTTGCATGACGAGATCCAAGGCTTTCCGCGGTTCATTCATGATCTCGTATATCTCGGCGAGCTTCATCTTTGCCTCATTGTGAGTGGGGTCGGCAACAATTACTGAAAGTAGTCAGCGTACGGGACTTCGCAAAGGCTACAAAATGAGTTCGCTCACTATGCTCGTAAACCTCCGCCGCCTCCTTGATATCGCCAAGCATGCGGCGGCACGCGGCAGCTTGGAGTAAGACATACAAGCTACTCGTCTAGTGATAAACGCATGTCAGGGGGCCAAACTTAAGCTCCGAGTAATATGACTGACTCCTGCATCTCCGCCAAGAATCTCGTAGATATGTCCTGCTTCAACATACATTTCACGCTCATAGTAGGCATCTGCGATTTCGCCAAAAAGGGCGGAATACTCGGTAGCGTCTTGTGACAGTATGATAGCGGCGTGTGTCTACGAAGAGTATGAGGACGATGTACTTTGTAATTGAGAGACACAAATTACCTTGCCCTCCTCAATGTCTCCCATCTTGATTCTGGAGACTGCGAGTCGATGCCGAGCGTTAATATCCAGGGGATACATTCCTGGCTGCAGTTCTACGTCCGCACTTCTGACACCTTCCGCGACATCATACTCTCGATCGTCCTCGCAGACGTCCCAGAACTTCTGCGAGGCACGGCCCTGCAGCCACCTGCATCCCCTCCGAATTGTTTCTTTTGCCTTCTCGTATTGGCCAAGAGTATTGTGTAGATCAGCGAGAACAAGTAGATGCATCAAGCCAAAGCCTCCGCCAGGCACATCCTGCTGTATCTCCGGATCAAAGCCCATGCCCGAAGGGAATGTTCCCTGGTAGTGCACGAACGCATCAGCATATAGTGATGCGCATAAGGCGAGATCTGAGAGTTCAATAAGAATGGGTCGAATCTCCTCTAGCACATTAAGATTGTGCGGAAATCGCTTGAGGATGGCCAATAGTGTCTGGCGAGCCTGTGAAATGCGAGTGAGCCCGGGGAATAATGATGAGTAAGGACATTTCCTCCTACAATCCGCAGGTCACCAATTTCTCTAGCGAGCGACGCGCGGTCCCAGAGAGCATTTACGTTGCTAGGATCGAGGCTGTAAATTTTTCCATAGCAGTACAGGGCCTGCTGGTTATATCCCATCTCTCTGACATGAGTGAAGCTTAAAGATCAATGTGGCTTGACGATCGGCAAGCTCACTTGGACTTTTGGGCGAGCTCCTCCCATGCGTCTGCGTCATGAGTCAGATGTGCAGCCATCACTCGTAGTTGAAGCCCCTTCTGCAACTCGTTCATGCCTTCGTAACATGACGCCAACACAGTCCATGCCGCCGGCGCCCGAGGCTCAATGCGTATAACTTCCTGCATGATACGCATAGCCTCGGGGACATTACCGTCAATATATGCTTGGTTGCCTTCGCCAACAATGGCACGAACTTGTTGGGAGAGAACTGGACCTGTCCTCCGTCCACGCTGTGTATGAACAAAAGTGTGTTTAGTTGTGCTTGTGTCGAAGCCGAATGCACATGGCTTCCTTGCCTTCTTCGAACGCCCAACACCTGAGGCCGCGCGTAAATCGTCACGAAATTCAGCATCCTTTTCCTCGATATTAAAGTTCCACATTTTCGTTAATAAACCGGTACTGGACCCGTCGCCTGACCGTCTTATGTCTTGCACAATTCGGCTGATACCAGTCAGTATCAGACGAGCGACGAACTGCTATGACATACTTAAAATCACCCTCTATCGCAATCTCGACACTCGTGTCTTCTTCATCCTGATCTAGCGTGTCGTATTTGTTTGCCTCTGCATCCATCTCACCTTCCTCGTCCTCATCTTCCGAGATTTGCTTAGACTCCGTTCCCGTCTCACTTTCCTCGTCAGATTCATCGCTGTCTGACTCTGGCATATCATCGAAAGGTTCGTCTTCGTCATCGTAAAATGCCAGCGGTTGAAGCGGGCCATTTCCTACCGTCCCGGCCATTATGCCTGCAGGTCAATTCACGAAACGATGGTTCAAAGGCGGCTGCGCTACCGACGCGTTGTGCACGTGACTTGCGCTTTCCATCACTGATCCCTTTCGCCGAATTAGATCGCGAGCTATCTTTATGTTGACAATCGCCATCACAAAGTCGCAGATCATGCACATGGTCATGTCCATCCGATTTTTCGCCTTTTTTTTTTGCGCGATGCCACGCTTTTTGTACTAGACCAACAGCTTAATTCTGACTGCATACGAGCCGCGATGTGCGCTACGGGTTATTGCCTCGAACGCTGGTGAATCATGTCTGAACTTACTAGCCTCAATCCCGCGGGCTGATCAGAGTGGACGTTGAAGCGGATTCTGTCATGTCGAAAAAGGGGACCTCGATTACGTGACAGGATTGTAGCTTGCTTTTCTATGCTCGTTTGATACCCTTCTCTGTCAAATGTAGGTGCATCTGGTACCACTTGTACTATGCTTCCCAATATTTGAAGCATTCCCACCACATCTTCGTAATGCCATGGTACGTGCCCGATGTTTCAAAAATTGCCACTTACTGATTCCCAGTTCTGTTGTTTGTGGTGTGCGTCCTCCGCGCCGCATAGTATGCGATAAACTAGCTAGCCATGGTAACGTGATCTCGCGGTGCAGCGGAGATGAAGCCCGCAGCAGACCAGTCGAAGACAAATTAAACAGTAGCATAGATTCCCCCAAGGGATTTCCGCCCACCGGATTCTGCGAAGTTGCCACGGGGTTTCATGGGTCAGAAGACGAAAAAAGGTTTTGAGGTTCGAGGTTCGTGATATGCTGAACTCTAGATACGCCAACCTTGTACGCCGCGTCCACCCTGGAGACCTCTAAGTGCTAGTTTACCCACTGCAGTAAAAGTGCGTGCGTGCATTCTTTTGCTGTTGCATTCGGATCCCATTTCCGATTCGGGGAATTGACTGCGGCCAACGAGTATCCGCTGTGCCCGAAGCTGAGCGTTGCGACAAATTCCCAGCTAGGTGGTGGTGTGGACAATATCGAGTTTCTGCCCGAGCTGCCATCAGCCGTGCGTGCTCCAGCGCGATAGAGCTGGCTGTTATTTGTCTGAATACATTGTCCAATCCGGCGACGACAACGCCAGTAAATAGCTAGAGTTGAAATGGCCTGTCATCCTGGCTTACATATGCCCGTACCCTTATGGGGACTGAACCTGTTCTTGATCATGAGTTTGTCAGTCTCTGGGAAGGTATATATGTAAAGTACGATGTACAGGATTAGAATGGATGACGCAGGAGCCTGTTAGTAGTAAGGGAGTTGACCAGATCGACCTGGGCGGGGCCGGCAGGAAGGCCGTACCTGCTGACATAATGTAATAGTAATGCTCTGCTTTGATGGAATTCGAAACTGCAATTTCCGCCTTAGCACAAAGCCGCTAGTGACTGTTGCTCCTCGCATTCTCACCATCCACGACGTTCACGACCTCTTTAGCGGTCGACTGCAAGCTCAACTCACTTTGTCTCGTTGTTCCGCTCTGTCTCCACTGTTATACCTGTTCGCATCCATCGTCTCGCGTAATGCTTCAGACAAGCGGCGAAAACATCAGCCCGGCCATATCACGACCACAGGGAATGGTCGGACGTAGCTTGTCAGCAAATGCGAGTGCACCTGCGTGGAAAACCATTTTCCGCATTGGCAGCCAGTCGTCGAAGAAATCGTTAGGTAACATTACAGCTTTGACCGTCGACACGTCCTTCCAGTCCGACGAATCTTCGGCGAACCTCACTCCCGGGCCCAATCAGTCGCTCACTCCCCATTCCATTCCTTCTCTCGACCAGCGATTTTCATACAATTCTTCAAACACGCAATCTAGCGATTCTAATAATCGGATGCCAGCCAAATCCCACCAGGACGCGCCGAATGCTGCCTCCTACCTTGGCGAGCCTAGTGACGTGCAACATGCCAATGGGAAGGAGGAGTCACGGTCACGGTCGAAGTCGAAGTCGGACAAGCAGCGCATACTTGGTCGCACAAAGCCACCACTGACGGCAGACCCGTCTCAGATATCATTTTCGCCCTCTGCTCAGCCCACCTCATCACGATCGGGACCACTGTCACCCAAGGCTTTCGGTGCAAACGCGTCGCGTTTCATCCGTCGTGTTGCATCAGCTCCGAACGCGAAAGGCCTCTTTCACCTGAGCCCGAAGTCCCCAACTGCGACATCCACAAAGAATGGGTTGCTGTCTCCTGGTGACATACCCCCCATTCCTCATACTGCATATGAATACGGCACCTCGCAGGAAACGAACTCACTGGAGACCGTGTCGTCCGCGTCGTCGTCTAGGGGGCGCACGACTCGACCTCAGCCACAACGCGCGTACAGCACAACCTCGGTTGATCCACAGAAGGCCAAGGATCGGATTGCGAACGCGCATCTGCCGATGGAAGGGCCGGGGAAAGTTGCATTCCGGCGGACGTATTCTAGCCATTCGATCAAAGTCAGATCAGTGAGTATATCACTTGTGGCTTGGATGTGCGTCAAACTGACCGTGAATTTAGGTCGAGGTGTCACCATCCAGCTTCCAAAAAATCAAAATGCTCGGAAGGGGAGACGTCGGCAAGGTGTATCTTGTACGGGAGAAGAAGACCTGTAAACTTTTCGCGATGAAAGGTGCGCAATGGGCCTTCGCAGTGCAATTTCTGGACTCACGAGGAGATCTCAGTGCTCTCTAAACGAGAAATGATTGAGCGAAACAAAATCAAGCGCGCCCTCACGGAGCAAGAGATCCTGGCCACAGCAAATCATCCATTCATTGTGACATTATATCATTCATTCCAGTCGGACCAATATCTCTATTTCTGCATGGAATATTGCATGGGAGGAGAATTCTTCCGCGCTCTTCAGTCTAGACCAGGCAAATGTCTTCCAGAAGATGCGTCGCGGTTCTACGCGGCGGAAGTCACTGCTGCCCTCGAGTATTTGCATCTCATGGGTTTTATATATCGTGACTTGAAGCCTGAAAGTGCGTGCGCCTAATTGGTCGCGCTTGCGTGACTCTTAGTCGGTCTCTCGTAATAAATGATGCGCTAACCACGCACCCCTGGTAAACAGACATTCTCTTGCATCAGTCAGGGCATATAATGCTGTCGGATTTCGACCTTGCAAAACAATCTAGTGAGCCTGGCGGCCGACCAGCCACCATTCACCAGCAGGAAAGCGGGGTATGACTTCCATCATGGAATTTATATAATCACTTACTCATTATCACTTGACAGATACCTCTCATTGACACCCGCTCATGCACTGCTGACTTTAGGACAAATTCTTTCGTTGGCACGGAAGGTAGGATTAAAAACAGCGAAGTTGCATATGGTCTGACTTGGTTCCATGGAATGCAGAATACATTGCCCCAGAGGTCATAGAATCGTCTGGCCACACCTCGGCCGTAGATTGGTGGACGCTGGGTATTCTGATTTATGAGATGATCGTGCGTAATGCTTCCATATGCCCGCGTAGTCGCGTCCGCTTGGTATCACTTAATACTTTACGCGCAATGCTGACCACATGGCCGTTTCTCGTAGTATGCTACTACTCCATTCAAGGGCCAGCACCGGAAGGATACTTTTAACAACATACTCCACCTACCCGTGTGGTTCCGCGACAGCCCCAAGGTCTCATCGTAAGTAGATCATTAATTTTCTAATCGTTGCATGTGCTGATTAATATGCGCTCATGCTCTCCATTCTTGCTTGCAGATCGTGCAAGGATGTTGTCATACGGTTGCTCGACAAGCGGGAGTCGACACGTTTAGGAAGCAAAAGCGGTGCATCAGAGGTCAAGCAGCACAAGTGGTTCGCGAAGATCAACTGGGGCCTTCTGCGGAATACCAAGCCTCCGGTAAGTAGTCTCTTGAGCCCCTTCACATTCTGTTCGCCGGTGACACGTTCACCGGAGCGCGGGTCTACTCCCTCGCGGGAGATGTCTGCATCGACGATCTGTTCCTGCTCACCGGGGCGGCCTAACCTGATCAAGCTGTCTTCGTCGATGGCAGCAGTACCTGGCGTCTATGACTCTTCGGCTAGTTGGTCTGCCATACTCACTATCTAGCCGAAGTCGATATCGTCATTCCGCCTGCAAAGGCGTTGGGTCTTTTTCTATGAATCAATTTCCAAATGCATCCGACCTTGTATACTGTGAACTGACATTGTGCTGCTCCTCTTCTTTTCCCCTCGCTGCTCGCGTCCGACATCGCATCACTTCGGCCGTATTCGCCTGCATGACCTCATCAACATTTGCGCTCACTCACGACTGCGCCTTACCCCGAATGTCCACCACCGCGATTCTGCCGCGACCCTGCCTGACAAAAACATCCGTGCCCTTTCACCATATGCGCTGGCCCAGATCATACCCGTTGTGTCCAACGGCCTCGATGCCGTCAACTTCCGGCAGATGAACGAGTCATCGTCGCTCCATCTTGAAAAAGAGAAGCCCTCGCATTCACCGCAGCACTCGCCCCGGCCGCCTTCGCACATCCCCCAGGCGGTGCAATCGCAGTATGCGGTCAAGGGCGGCATCCCCGGCACCCCGGGCGCAGACGACGGCTTGGAGCCTCCGCCGCAGGACGTGGACCTCTTTGGCGCATTCTCAAGCATCACGCTTCACTATGACGGTGAATCGTGATGTGCGATGGAGCGCGTGCCGGCGCAGGACAGGCCTGCGACCGTCGAGCGTGCTGCTGCGGTCTGCAGTCTCGCTCGGTGCGTCACTCGTGGTCGGATCTTCAAGATGTTCTGGCTGTCCACGCCGGACCTTCCCGCCACGCTGCGGATGCTGGTCGCGCGCCCCCTAACCCCGCCTGCTCGGCTCTCGCTGTCCGTGCTCTTTCGCGTCATTTCGTCCTGCTGTGCCTTGTGCTTCGTTTCTGGTGGATCTGGATGCCTGTTTGCGTTGTCCGTCCGCGCTCTTCTCCCCTCCCTTCTCGCCCATGTTCTGGTCCCTAATTGCGATAATCTCGAGGAATCTGGAAGGGATTTTTATTGCATGTTTGCGTATGGTTGTGCTGCTGCTCCCGTTTTGTTCGGTTGTCACGATATTCCGACCTAGTCGCTGCATCTTTGCGTTACCGCCTCATTTGCGTGGTACATGCTGCTCGCCTGTGTGGGTGCCCGGGGGCGAGGTCGGTAGCGATGCGCAGGTGCGATACAGTGTCATCTCGCTGCGCTGCGCCATCCTGTGCTACGATCGTCGTTTCTGCCCGTCCCCCTTACCCGTCTTCCGCATACCTCGTTCCTTGCTTCCCGCGCATCCACACCTTCATGTTCGCCCCCATTGTACCACTACTCACCGTACCCCCAAGCCCCTGCCATTCGTTTATCAACCACGCCCATGACTACAACAACCCCATATCCATATATCCGTATTCACCATATAACCCCTGCGTCGCGCACCGAGTATAACCCACAGCTAACTTGCCGTTCTTGCACATACGTATACCAACCTTGTTGCACTGCCCTTGTTTAGACGCTAGCTATTATATGGTCTATTTAAGCGCTCGTTGCCTTGGAGGCCGAGTCTAATGAATGAATGGAGATGGGAGAAGAAGCTTTGGGCCTACGTTCGTGACGCAAGAAGCAATGCGAGGGCGATGTTCATTTTCACGCGTTCAAGATGGAAGGATGGAAAGATTGCAGGGCACACCGTCGCGGCGGCCCATGACTGCAGTGCGCATGACACCGTCGACGCCGAGCGATCGTGAGTGAGAGGCGAAAATTCATTGCACGCGGACTTTGTACGGAGAGGAGGTGGGTGTTACGTCGATGGAATCACACCCTTGTCTGACCGGAGCACACGGTGGGTGATCAACAGAAGAATGGGAGCGTATAACAGAAGGGCGGCGACATAACGGACACTAGGTGTAATGAATACGGATGGGAGTCACGGCCATGATCATGACCATCTGTCTGCGGGTGTCGCTCAGCAGGGGTAACTGGCTATTGTCAATGTGATCTACACATCTCTGGGGACATGGACGTTGCTAGGGGGGCGGGTGAGCGGGCAGGGACGTTGGACGGTGCAGCTGGGATAGCTGGATTGCCCTGGAAGCGAGGCCTCGAGCGAGAGCGCAAATGCTGTCAGGCTGTGGTCGGTGGTCCCAGTCTGATCAGAAGCACCGGGGTGCGATCGGGCACATGACGCCCGAGCGCGGAGGCATAATGGACGGCGTCACCATCCTGTTATTCTTTCGCGACAGCACGGTACGTACAACTCCCTGAACGCGTGGGCAGCCCAGCCAATATCAATGGGTGCGGCAGCTTATGGATGTCGAGGTCGTGCCGTCCCTGCAGCTGTCAGGGAGATATGAACAGATGAACAGAATCCGCCCAGATAGCGATAGAGAGTCGAGAGAGTCGCCGGTGGACGCCAGTGATGGACAGGGTGCCGGGGGGTCGCGCTAGACCGGTGTGCCAGAGGCTAACGGACAGGATCACGCACAGTTAGGTATTGGCATTAGCATATGCGTGAGTGGATGACGGGAAGGGATGCCGGCATGGCACCAAAGCGGAAGCTAGCGCGTCCACGGGCCTCGGACGGCGCACGGGGATCGTGCACCTTCACGGATGATGTCTAGCAGGTTCTGATCAACAGGAGTGGCTATCTGCCTCGGAGTCGCGCGTGCCCGAGGGTGATCAGAGAGGCAGGGAGCGGGCCATATGCGGAAAGGGAAATGGGGGGCATGTGGGATGGCGGGACACGCCGCATGCGAGGCTGGGTATATGTACAGGCTCGCGTGGGCGCGCCGGGGTGTGCGATGGCCGCGCGACATTGGGAGTCGGGGTGGAGTCAGCAGGCTCGCGTAGGGGAGGCTAGTCGAGGCGCGTCGAGGGATCGTCCATCCGGGGCGGGGAATAGGCGCGTGGATAGGCGCGTGGACGGATTAGGGAAGGGGCGGGGACGCCGCTGGGTGCGCGCGATGACGAAGGATGGGGAAAGGCTGGGCGTGGATCGCGGAAGGAGAACGAGAGAGCCATCGGATTGTGGCGCAGAAGGCGCACTGCATGGACTCGCCGCGCGCCTGCGTCGCCGGCGGCGAGGGAGAAGCAGGTGGGGAGAAGGTCGGAATTGGGAATTGTTTGGACGCCGTGCTCGGTGGGCGATCGCAGAAGGCACGCTCCTCGATGCCTCCCCCAGCGGGCGGGCCTGGAGATCCAGAGAAGCACCCCCGCGCAGTTTCTCTGAGTCTCAGTCTGAGTTATCGCGCGGTGCACTCCGTGACGGCCGTCCGCGCTGCTCGATTCGCCATCTGCATGGGTCTGCCTCCGTGCGCCGCCCTTCTGAGCGAGCCCTCATTTTCTTCGTGTACGTACAGGTTGCCCCGCGCCGGCAACCTTCGAGGGTGGATGGCCGCCCAAAAGTACCGCCGCGGACGACGAGTCAAGATGCGGCCGGATGGGGCAGGCTGAGGAGAATGAATGGGCAGCGGGGGAGGACAGGGACCCCGGGGGGCGGCTCAGGGTCTGTGGGAGAAGAAGACGGGGGCAGGACCCTCGAATTGGAGCCAATGGGAAGGGGGGGAGGGATGCCACGCGAGACGGAATGGGTGTAAGCGAGGACCGGGGCGCGGTGACGGGGAGCGCGGAGGGCCGGGGTCGCTGGGGGCGCGGCGGGACGGTGGGGAGGCAGGATGGATGGGAGTCGCATCTGGCACTCGGGGAGGCATCTGGATGGCATCTGTCTGACGGGCGTCTGGGGAGATGAGACGGGCGAGGCAAGTGCCGAGGCAGAGGGAGGACGCCGGATATGGGGGATGTGCTGCTTGCAGTGTTTGCAGCTGTTCGATCAGACCTCGAGAAGGCCGCCCCGAAAACCTTGTCCGTCCATGCGTGCGATAACGCGGGACCCCGGGGAGTGGGATGTGCATTCACGGGGGGTACTCTGGGTCGGAGAGCGGTGAGTGTGCGCAGAAGGCGTCTGGGGCCATCGGCGGCCTGAAATTCGCTGGGCTTGCGGGGCGAATCTGATCTGAGCAGGATCTGGGACGAGAGTTTACGTTCTTTCGGTCGACGCGCGTAAGTCCACCGTTGTCCCACAGATGCTCCCCGTATATTTAGATTCTACGCCTCTTCATCCGTTTCCCCGTCGTCTTCTCTCTCCGCCCGCCTTTTCCCGCCGTCGCCACCACGCTAAGTACCGCCCTCCACCCAGCTTCTCTTCTTCCTCGTGCCCCCGCCGTCATGGCAGACCTCTATCCCCAGACTTACTCAAACCGCCAGCAGCCCTACCACCGCCAGGACAACCACCAGCAGCACCAGCAGTACTCCCTCACCGCAAACCCCGGCCTCGTATACCCGCCGCCTCTCCTCACCTCCCAGCCTGCTCTCCAGGACGACCATTCACCCCAGTCCACCTCGCCCCACGACGCCCAGTCCCAGTCCCCCTCGCGCGATTCCCAGTCGCCAAAGCATGATACCCCGCCCGCCCAGAAGCCCGAGGGCGCACCCCAGCAGGCTGCCAAGCCTCAGGCGACGTTCCTCACCAAGCTCTACGCGTGAGTGTCCCTCTTCCTGCGTCGCAACGCGACCCGGACGCACAATTGACGCGTCTTGCAGGCTCCTCGAGCGTCCCGAAAATCACCACATGATTCGCTGGGACCCAGCCGGCGAGCACATCATCGTCGAGCGGCCAGAGCAGCTCGCGCTGCATGTCCTCCCCAGCGTGTACCGCCAATCGCGCTTCGCGAGCTTCTCTCGGCAACTCAACGTGAGCCGCGCTCGATCTCGCCTGAGTTTGATGGTGTGCTCACATCGCATCCCGCGAACAGATCTATGGCTTCATGCGCAAGGTAAACCTGCGAAATGTAGATCCTGCGATCGACGACCCGGACGCGAGCACCTGGTGTAAGCTCCACGCACTCGTCCACTAAATTCGTAAAACTCATGGTCGCCGCACACAGCGCACCCCACGCTCAACAGACACTCACCGCCCGAGGTCGTCGCCAACTTCAAGCGCCGCGTGCCTCCGCGTCTCCCCAAGCCGCGCAAGAGGGACAATGAGGTCCCCTCAATTCCCCCTCCGCGTTCTGCAATCGGTATGGCTCCAGTCCCGCTCTCGAATCCTGGCCCACCCTTATCCCCCAAAGCTCAACAAGGTACCACCCGCGCACGCGGCTTCTCCGCCCCCGGCTCCTTCACACCGCTCAATCAGCCCGGCGCAGCCGGTTGGGGCACAAGCTACCCTCGAGGCACGCTCCCGCCGCTCACCGTGCCCTCGGACCCTCCGCTTTCGTCTCATGGCGGCATGTACTCGCATTCGGCGCACTCGGCGCATACGCTGCACCCAATTACACCCACCGAGGAGACGCCGTCGTCTGCGTCATTCAGCCCCATAAACTACGGCGGCCAGGGACGCGACTCGATGATGCTCCCCTCCCCATCCTCTCAATACGGCTATTCTGAACAGACGGCACAGGGTGGCTGGTTCTCGCCTAACAGCGCTGCGTCCAGCCATTCGTCAGGAAGCCTCTCGAGTCTGTTGAACCCCAGCAGCAACGTGAATAGCGGCTATTCCAACCCCTCGCGCCCCCAGCCTCCCCAAATCAATACCTACACGTCGTACTCGAGCGTGCCGATGAGCAGGAGTCACCACAGCGCGGCCCCCTTGTCTCCCGAGAGCCGGCCAACGTCCGGATACTCCGTATCCTCAATGTCGTCAATGCAGTACGACGATTCGCCGCAGCACTACTCCCACCACGACTACTCGCGCCCAGGCTCAAGCCACCAGAACTCGGCGCGTCCGCTGACCCCTTCGTCATCGCGTCCACCTTCCTCCCGCTCATACAACACGGGCTCTTTGAGTATCCGAAGAACACGGCGACACAGCCAGGTGGCCCCATACCCGTCGCCTTACGCTGAGCACCCGCCCTTGTCGGCGGGATCTGAGCGGCCGTCGAGCTCACCGCAACCGGACGAGCACTCTGGAGGGCTCCCGCGCGTGCGGAGCATGATTCAGCTCCCGACCGTCGACTATGGCTTCAACCCCGCGCAAGGCGACTTCGCGTACGGCGCGGTCGACGATGCGCACTCCCATGGCCACGGCATGTATGGCAACGTTCAAGGACGGAGCGTGCGGCCGTCGACGTCGGCATCGTCACTCTCGACGAGCAGCTCAGCGGCGAACACACCAGGCGGCGACTTTGGCCCTGGCGGGCCGGGAGAGGCGGATATCAGCAGATGTGAGTAGACCCCTTTACTGCGCGTACACGTCGGTGGGCTGCCGTGCCCTGCGCGCGCCCGCGAGGCGCGCGGTGTCGACCCCCAAAGTGATGGCGCTGACTCCTCGTTTTGTCGTTTTGCGTGTGCGTTAGTCTCACCCGACTTCGGCTACGTGCAGATGAACGACCATATTCCTCAATACACCAAGCAGGAGCTGTAGGAGGCATGCGGGCGACGGGCGCATCGAGCATGGGGTAGACGGCGCGACATGGATGCGTGCCCCCCTGTGCGCGTTTGTGGCGTCGCGCCGGGATCATAGAGTTGATCAGATCGGGCTGTAGGTGGCTGGGGGTGTCGAAAAGGCGATCGCGCTGCCGGGACATCTGGCGTCTGGCGCAAGGCTTCGCCGCTGCGTACGTGCTAGCCCAGCTCGGGCAATGCAAGCGCCGGCTTCATAGATTGGACATCTGCTGCCCTGTCAATTTCGTTAGGGTTTGTTTTCTTCCGTCCTCCATGCCGTGTTGTGATCTTCCCCACTACTTTCGTCGTTCCTCTTGGGCTACCGCTGCTTCAGCCTGGCCGGACTTTCGCTTCCCTGTCGTCTGTCTATTGTCGCGAGTCGCTCTCGTCACCTGCTTTCATGTTTCAATGTTTACATTTCTTCTTCTGCTTGCATGTACCACCTGTCTTCCGCGTCGACATGTACTCCACGATACCACGACGCATCTCGATATCCTTTTTTTCTGCCTCCCGTTGGTCTAAATAATAGTACAAGCAGGTTAAATGAGCGATGTTCGCAATTCCTTCCTAATGAAAACCGTTTCCAAGACCCTTGACAGATGCTGATTTTGAGGGTGAGAGTGCATCAACGATTTGAATCGCACGGCCTGCGGTCAGGTACTCAGCAGAAAACCTAAATTGTGAGGCGGATTTAGGCTAAGTTTAACGATGCGCGAAGCTGGGCGGCATCAACGCCTGGCAGACCGTGAGTGATGGCTTGTGAGTTCGATTACCACAGCGGGCCACGCGCGATCGCGTCTTGACTCTGCATCTCCGATGCCGCCACCATCCTCTCTGTGATCATCGTCGCGCATATACACACCTCAACACTACCTGAACATTATTTGCGTTATTTGCGTTAAGCGTCGCGCCTGACCGACATAATCTGTCTAATACGACCATGGACGACTCTAAGATTTCACGGCTGATCACCCAGTGCAAGTCCAACGGTCAGTTTCCCGCGCCTTGACACACGCGTCCACCCGCTGAAAACGACTTCGTGCGCTCACGCCGGTTTGTAGATATCGACGCACGCGTGGACGCCATCACCAAGCTGCAAGTCGAGTTTGAGAATGGGGCCGAGGTGCGTGGGCACACGCGTTTTCTTATGGCGCAAAACGCTGATTACGGCCCTGGCAGATCCCCGACCATGACGCACTCATCACCGCCCTCAGGACATGCCTGAAGACGTCCAACCAACATCTGACGACCGCTACCGTATCCGCATTACCGCCGCTGCTCCCTCTGCTCGTCACGCGCTCGGGACTCGCGCGATCGCTAACCGCCTCACCCGTCTCACCCGCCGCATCCACCTCGTCCGCCGCGTCCTCCGTCATCGACGTCCATGCCCTCCGCCCGGTGCTCCAGGCGTTCCTGCCGCCAGGCGGCGTCATCGACCGCCTCGGCGATAGCAGGGAGAAAGCACGCGAGAAGGCGCGCGAGACTCTGGTTCTCCTCGGCGGGTTCGCGTTCCGGTGCGGGGCGGGGACGAGTTCGATCATGAACAGGTCGCGGGACGGCAAGGGCCCCGAGACGCCGCTCATGCTCTTTGAGAAACACCTCAGGGAGCACGGCCTCGCGAGCAAGGTCTGGAGGGTGCGAGAGCAGGTGCGTGCCCCAGTCGTCATGCGCGCGATGCCGCGGCGGTAGTTGCTCCGTGCTGACTGTATTGTGTGTCTGGGCGCGCTGTATGCGGTGCTATCGGGGGGTATTGACGTCGCCAGGCCGTGCTGACCCTCGTGCATCTCCGGCGCGCGCACCACCTTTTCCCCATCCGCGCGTACCTCCCGGCGCTGGTCGAGACCCTCGAGGACACCGATGGCGGAGTGCGCGAGTGCGCGCGCCAGTCCGTCGTGGAGCTCTTCACCGGGCCCGGCGTGACGGACGCCGCGCGCGCAGACTTGAAGAAGGAGATGGCGAAGCGCGGTGTGCGCAAGGGCATTGTCGACGGCGTGCTTTCGCGCGTCCTCGCCGGTGCAGGCGGCAGCGGCGGCGCGAGCACCCCGGGGTCCATGAGCGAGGCAGGCTCGGAGAATGGTGATGCCGGCCACAAGGAGTACGTACCCCCCAGCATTGCGCTGATGAACAGAAGCCGGGGCACTGGCGCGCAGATCGCAGGGCTGCCGCGAACGGTGAGCCAGAGTAGCGTCAAGGAACCCCCGCGTCCGGCGAGCCGGGCAGCCGGGGTGGTATCGCCGCCTCCGACAGAGAGCACTGGACTAGCCGGCGGGAGTACTGCAGATGTTAGACCTGTTTACGTGAGTGCTTGTCGTCTGCTTCGTGTGGTAATGATAGAACGGTGTTTGGCTGCTCCAGATTGCTTCCACGCATGATCTGGAGAATGAGTTTGCTTCCATGCTAAAGTACTTCGAGGTAGGGAACTTTATTTATGCGATTGCATGATTAGCGTCGTCTAACTATGAGCGTCTTTAGGGCAAGGAGACGGAGCACAACTGGGCACAGCGCGAACAATCTGTTCAGCGGGTTCGCGGCATGATCAAGGGCGAAGCGCATGAAAGATTTACGGACACCTTCCTGTTCGGTTTGAAAAACGGTTTTATCAATGCATCACTCAAAGCGGTCAGTCGCCTTCCATTCTTACGCCATTTAACCACTGATCCGCCGGTGGTCCTCTCGTTAGCTTGCCAGTTTGCGTACGACAGTCTCCGCGAACGCCTGTTCACTATATGTTGAGCTTGTTATCGCGCTCGGCACTAATTTCGATCCGTTTTGCGAAGTCGTCTTGAACAACCTCTTGCGGATGGCTAGCTTTACCAAGAAGATCATCTCACAACAATCTCAGTCTACGTTCATAACCATCTTCTCGCATACGTCACCCCAGCCGCGACTGGTTCTCCCAATGCTATGGAATGCATTGCAGGACAAGTCGGTCCAAATGCGGGGGTACGTGATTGGCCATGTCAAGGCCTATTTGGAAGTGCACTGTACACGTTCCAAGCACGTAGTGGATGCCACTGGGGGCGCCGATATCCTCGAGAAATGCTTAAAGAAGGGGCTCGGCGATCCAAACGCCGGTGTCAGGGAGAGTGCGCGGAAGTTGTTCTGGGTCTTCGAGGGCATCTGGCCTGAGAGAGGCGGGTCAATACTTGACACGTTGGACGCAACGGCCAGGAAGCAGGTAGAGAGGGTCTGCCCCAATCCAGAGGCGTTGGCAGGCGCAGTCGTAGCGGCGACACCGAAACCGAAGAAGAGCAGCGTTGCAGCGGCAATTGCAGCTAGCAGGGCCAAGGCTAGGGCCATAGCCACCGCGCCGCCTAGCTTGAGGCATCAAGCCACTTCAACCTCGCACGCGGCGCGAGCCATGTCACCGACGGAGATGTTGAGACGCGCTGCCTCACCCACGCTCTCGACCAGTAACTCCACCGGACATATGCGTGCCACCTCACCAGTCACCCGATCGTCTCCCCCGAGATCAAGAATAGTTTCTGGGACGGTGGCCCGCTCTACCAGCGCTGGGACCATGCCTCCTGCAGCACGGAATCGCGCGTCCCCCGGACAACCTCCTCCTGGCTCCCCGCCATCTCCCACTCCTGATGGGGCTTACCGCCGGCGGGTGTCGTCCTCACAAGGGGTACCAACGTCTTCCCCGCCGAGCAGCACCTCGACCCTGCGCCGCGCGATGCAGACCGCGCTGCCTGCGTCGCCCCCCGGATCGGTCATTACGTTCGGCTCGCCCCCTTCTCGAAATGTACGGCTAGGAGTGCCAGCGGCGCTACCGCCCCAGCGAGAGTCGCTGTCAATTGCAGGGCTGCACGGCATGGCCGGCACAGAAGACGAGTCGCTGCTTTTGGCAACGAAGATCCCAATTCCCGAGGATAGCGACTCTGATATGGACGAGTCCGTGAACCTCCTGTCGTTCTCGGCGCCCTACGACTTATATCCCCCGGTGCCAAAATCAAACTCGCAAGCCGCGTCGTTGTCGCCCAAATCAAGCAGCCCACGGCCGGGACCCTCGAAAGCTTTGTCTACGTCGACGGCGTCGCCGCCCGCGGGCATTCCCCAGCCTATAGTCGAGGACGCTCTCCGCGCTCGGGCGGAGCAGGCCGAGAGCGCAGCCGAGCGCCTCTTGGAGTTGGTAGAGCCGGAGGAGGATGGCATGCATGCCTTAACGCTTCCTGCATCACTGCTTGTGCGGGGAAATGGTACTTCGCAGTCGAACCCAAAAACAGTAGTGGGCTCTAACGGTGTCAAACCCTTACTAGCCCCGCCCAGGACACCCGTCAGCAAGAAGTCGGACATTATGAAGCGGGCCGCCCTCTTCCAAGATAGCCCTGCTCGGAATGGCAAGAGCACTCCTTTACTGTTTGACATGGTGGGTGAGCGGGACAACGCCACCGAGTGGTGGACCAAGCGCACGTCCCGTGAGTTTCCATCAGGCTGGTCTGACTTGATCTTTGACGTTTCTGTTCTTCCATGCAGTCGTCAACACTGCCAGCCCGTTTTGGGGACAAGGCAGCGCGGATCGGGCACAGGAACTACAGGACTACATCACCGCGCTCGAACAGAGTTCAGCGGACATCCGCGCGCTCCAGAACCTCGCCCTTCTGTGCATGCAATATCCAATTCAAGAACCTAATTCCCCGGACGTCTCGGCGTTTTCCGTGCCTCTTACGCCCTCTCCCATGACTGGCAGCTCCCAATCGCTGCGATCCCTCAACACGGGTTTGTGGGCAGACAGGAAGACCGCTGATCGATTGTTGTCCGCCCTCATCATGTTCCTAGATCCCCAAAGAGTTGGTGCAGCCCGCTTCCCATGAGGATCGATATTGATGACATTCTATCGTTGATACAGGACGGAGAACTCCTTGAGTATGGTTTGATCGCGCTGTGGGAGATACTAGAGCACCAGGCTCCCATTGTTGAGGGCAGGGAATCAGAAGTCTTCACGGTGCTTTTACAAGTCCGTTATTGCGCTCGGACAACCGTGGGTTTCCAGGATCAGATCCCTCTTCCGTGTGCGCGTTCATTGACATTCATTGTGGCAGGTCATGCAAGCAACGAATATGTTCCGAGATCTGCTCACGAGTCGCGTTGGGGCGGTATACGGCCTGACCACTCTCCATGCAAGCTTGCGTGCTTTCAAGGATGAGCCTATCCCACCCTTCTCCAGTGCGGAGGTCAGGGACGGTACTTATGCATTTGGACTCATAGCGATGGGGAAGTTTATTCTACGACTTCCGGCCGAGGTTCTGGAAGAGGAACTGCCGCGTCTACGAGCGACGCTGATATCGGTGGGTTACTGAGTTCTTCGCTCCCCTTGACGGTGGTACGCTCACACTTCAATGATAGGCATTGACAGATGCATCAGGCGCATCTTCTCTCATGGTTCGCGAAGCTGCGGCTGCTTCTATCATTGCCGCACAGCTAGTCCTCCGTGATGAGGCGCATCTTTTCGTCTTGCTCGACGGATTGCCCGACGATAAGAAGAATCTCTTAACATATCTATTTGACAAGCATGGTTCACGGGGTTCTCCCCAGGCGGTTGGAGCGTCTGGCATGGAGAAGCTGGCTCGAGAAATGCGGCGGCTAGACAACCGTACCAACACGCCTCCACGGTCCCAGACAACTGTCGCCTAATAAATCGGTATGTATCGAGTCGTCGCTAGTCATGTTCATATTGCTTTCCATGCTCCTTTCCTGTATTGTCTTCTATACCCTTGTGAGCTTCATGTTGTCACACGCATTGCTACTCGTCCCTGCATTTCTTATTCGACTGTCAATCAGAAGAGGTTCATATGATAATCACGAGGTGTACGCAAATATGAATTAGGACACAATCGTGTGTGAACAAAAGTTGAATGTGTTCGTGAAGGGTGTCGCGTGAAGCTAACGAACACACTGATTAACGGAGGTCCGATAGCGTGCTCAAAAGATTTCTGACGTTGGACAGAGGCCGGGTACTATGAGCCCTCCATAGTCACCGCCAGGGCGAGTTGCCTTCGCTGCTTAGCCGATCTCTCGAACCTACTGGCTAACGTTGCGAATGCGGTCGCAAGGATATCGTCTTCTGTTGCGCGGTCGGCGAGTAACGCGGCGAACTCACGGTCCAAAGAAGCGACACCCGTTGTCTGTGATCGAACAGCGGATAGTGACGGGGAACTGTGGTCGGAGGGGACTAGGTCCGGCTTCATGTGGGAACAACTTGTACTATCCGCGTCCAGGATTCCAAAGACATCGGTTACAAGCATAGGGGCTACCGCCCGGTCCGGTGCACAGCCACTGGTACGAACCCCGTTGCCGACTCGTGGTGAAGAGGTTCCGCGAACGAAGTTGTCCATGCGTCCACACCCGGCCCCTTGCAGCTCGTTGATTACACGCCGAAAGTTTTGCAGCGCGACAGGTGACAATGTGCCGTGAGCATGCTGTAAAGTGGCCGTGAGATACGCCGGGTTATTGTTGTACGTGGTCGGCGGAGATAAGTCTGCACGGGCAAAGATAGTTGGCACATGAGCCGATGGCGGGCCAGAGTCACCAGGACCGCGAGTAGCAGCTTGCGACAAAGGATTTGGGGGAGTTGTAACGCGTGTCCTCTCTTCGATTGCGACTTGGGTACTGGCTTCAGCGTTGTCCTCGTGAGGGAAGGCATCAAGAACAGGAAGCCGACCGCTTGGCGGCGGGGTCAGCGGAAGCACTTCCATCCCGAAGGGAAAGATGTTGAGTGGGACGTCGTCATAAGACTGTTGTTCGCGGAGCAGGCAGCCGGCCTGGGCCATGCCTTGGTTTGCCGGTGAGAGGTCGTCTCCTGGACCTGATACTTCCTGCTTGGGAAAACTACCATATATATCCTTGTCTAGTCCGATGCATTGGCTCGTCAACTCCAGCGTGGTGTTCGGTGTAACACGAGTTGGGGGTGTTGTCAGAATGGTCTTGAGAATTTGCGGACTGAGTTTTGGAAAATATTCCTTGCGAATCGGGGTAGATAGGTAGTCATACTTGTCGCGCAAGGTTCCGGTGAAGCTTGAGCTGCCCAAGTCCGCCTTCTGTTCGTTCATACATCCCCCGCTGGTCCGAGTCGGATAAGACAGTTCACCCAGCCGAAGCGCTTGGCAGCAAGAGATAATGTGGAAGTCGAGGTTGTCATCTTCATGAAATGACCTCAGGTCATGAGCGTCAAGCAAGGTCATCAGTGTCCGCTTATCCTGGTCGGCTTTGCGCGTTATGAATTCGAGAAGTTCGCTATAGGTCGGTCCGACATCGTTAAGCGTCTCGTCTGAAACGTAGAACGGAGACGCAGCCATACACCAGTGCGTCGGGACTATATGATCACGGTGCAAAGCACGACGCGTGTACATATCAGCAGAGATGTGTGTTACAGAATGCCAGCTAGTATGTCGCTTGTTATGAAGACGAACTTGTACAAGCACAGTTCCAACTACAAACTTGGACCCACACCTCCCATCACGTGACAGCGACAGTGCCTGATGGCGGCACTGCAACCTCCACAACAATCGGGGCGGCATCTCCGCTCACTAGCACATAACTGCCAGGAGATCGCTGGGCAAGTAACCCATGATAACGTTGCTGTTACCCGCACGCATAAATCAACGCAGCAGCCACTAGACGATGATCAATAGTAGTTGATAGAATGAGGTAAAGTGACACGTACAACACGATTTAAGGTGAACGACTCGCTATGAGTCGGAAGACACGCTTTCTCGTGAATGCGATGAAGAGTCTGACAGGCGATGGCGAGCCCCAGTAGTCATGATGCCGCGGGTGGTCGCAACCGACCCAGGAACAAGCTCTGACGCGTAGTTTCGCAATGGTACTCTCTGTGTATAGGGGAGTCTCGTCCGTGTAGGCTTGAAATGCACCGTATCCTTCCACTTTGCCCGTCCGACATGTACACGCCGTCTTTCATCCCGCATGTATACGTCTTTCTCCTTCCACACTCTCCGACCGAGACGCTCCTTAACGCGCTGAGATATACGCCCGAGGTTATCTGCAGCGTGCTCATAGAAGTCCCACAGCTTCTCAATCTCCTCTTCGAGCAAGCGGATATGCAGATCAATGTTGAAAGGCCTTGAAAGTTTTTGTGAACGTGAAGGGTTGTCAAGATCGACGTCGAAGTATGGCATTGCGGGAACCTCGACCGTTTTGGCGACATGTTCATCCGGCGTGGATGTCGGGGTGAAAAACGTAGAGAATGAAGCGTCGTTGTTTGTGGACGAGGGCTCGACGTCGCTCGCTGCGAGCGGCGCTTCCTCGTCTTTCAGCAAACGCTGGGCAGTGATCCTCCGTCTCTCGCAAGTTTCGAGGCTGTGTCTGAGGTGTTTGCGTTTCGTTTTAATCACCTGTCCGGCCTTCTCGAACACCCAGCGCAATATCTCAGTGTTCTTGTTGCGCACAGCCTCCGCGTACACCGAGAGCAGCATGTTGCGATTCACGGCGAACCTAGGCGCCGCAATTTCCTTCATGGGTTTGTGCCGCAGATCAAGCCATAGTTTGTGAAGGACACGTTTTTCGAGCGCGATGGCCTGTAGTAGGTAATGTCGCCCGAGCGCGATGTGACCGTGCCTTGAAATCCATTTGAGCAACGTCTGGTACGTCATCGTGTTGGGCTCCGCGTAAGGCGTTCGATAAGGGGCGACCTTGGGGTTCGAGACACCGAAGTCGTCTTCGTCTTCGTCATCGAAGGATGGGGAGAAGTTGGATGCCTGAGAGGGGAGTGGAGTAGTGAGAACTTCGAACGCCTGTATGAGCTTCGAAATCTCTCCCGAACGTCCTAGCATGTCGATGGTCGTGTTGAGCGCGGCGGTAGAGAATGGAAGTGGATCTGGGAACACCAGTCCGTTAGGAACGCCGCTCACTGCCTGGTCCCAAAGCTCCAGTGGCGGACGATCAGGGTACGACATGTCGATTCCGTAGGCGACCTTCAATAGCTTTGCCCAATCATCTATTTTACTCGTCTCCTTGAGTATCCGCAGTGCGAGGCCGACATTGAGAGATGTAAGAGGCATGTTCTCAGAACGCATCTCTTCGAGCAACTCTAGGCACGAGCGAGTTACCTCCGCGACTAGGGACGGACGTGTCTCAAACCAGCATGGCAAGGTCAGCCGATGACATAGTGCCTGCAGACACAGGCCATACGTCTTCTGGGTCTTCGGCAGGCTGAGACGGGAGACCTCCCCTAGCACCTGCATGACTCCTTCATGATACCCCACAGCGGCGAACTGCTCGAGGATGAAATGGTAGTCGTCAAGTGAGGGTGTTGAGCCCGACGAGCGCATGTTACGAATAATGGCCTGAAACCGACCCTCGTGGTGGTGAGTGCCACGCACTCTGCGTACGCCTGGCATATGCCTGAGAGCTGCGACCCGGAGTTCAGAAGCGGGAGGGGTACAGTGTCGCAGGACTGCCCGGTGTATCTCGACTGGCAGCTTCTGGAAGCCGAGGAAATTGAGGAGGTCGAGGTAGCATCCCCAGACACGGTCGGGCTTAGGTCGCTCTTGCGTCAGGACAAGGTGAAGGTCGCTTAGCTTTGCAGCAATGAGCGTTTCCTTTGGGTCGTTTCCGGTAATTGCGAAGTCCCAGATGTCACCGGGGGAGAGGGTAACGGCTATGCGCGTAGGAACGGACGTGTGTAGATGGTGTACCGGTAGCCGCAGAGCTGTGCGCGCGCATTTTGGTAGTCGCAATCTCTGCAAAGCAGACTTGGACATCAAAGCCTTGGCTTGGTCGACAAGGTTTGCGTCGGCGAAAGTAAACCGGAGGCAGTGGAGAGGAAATGGTGCAGGAGGGTGCAGCGGTGACTGGACTGACGAGCAGTGACAAGTCCGACAAAAATGAGCACGTGTACGATCCGGATCTGGTGGCGATCGACATCGCCGCGGCCGCCAAATTCACAACTCACGCTTCGACTGGCGACCTCCGCGCATAAGTATAAACCATGTCAAATACTACTCGACGACAGAAATTTATACGACTTTGGCAGTACTTTTCAACGTACTGTCTATCGGTATTATTGCAATAGGGCACGTCTAATCTATCACACATTCTGCTTTGGTTCAATTACGATGATTGTCAGTGAACCGCATCGACTTACTACGAATGATATAACATAAGACTGATCAGGATCAGGATGCTTTCAACCGGGAAGGCCATCGAACGCACGGAACATTGACCTCGATGTGTGGGCCAGAACCATCTTCATCTGTCTTACACGGGCTGTTATGTTCGACAAGTTCCGCACAGACTCACGGCCTCATTACTGTCATTTTACTCACCACACATATCGCGGCTATATAGTATGTCGCGATCATTGCTCAATTCACGTATACATCTCAAATCAGCATCAGATTCTACACAAATTAAGACACCGACAACGTTGAAAGAGCATCAGACTGATCATCGTACCCTTACCATCTCAACATACTTGCACATCTACTTACCCTTATCCAGAGACGGCTGGATCCGACTGGATCCGACTGTGATCATCATGAATGGCGGCTTGGGCGCAGTCTGCTGCTGCGGGTCGAGACTATACCGCAGAGAGCATATAGAGTTTAATGCAGCGCGTGGTCGAGTCTATGCCCATACTAAAGGGAAGTTATGGGGCTGCCATCAATCCTTAGGCTCTCCTTTGCTTCTCGAAGCCGCCGCATTGACCGCCGCATTGACCGCAGGCCCAAAAACAGGTCATACAATGGAGAAGCTACAGAAGTTCTTCCATGATTTGCAAGGCTAATCCTACAGAACGTGAGTGCGTCGCTTTCGGCTCCCATTCTCTTTACTGTGCTCATTCGCATGATCACGCTATCACCGTGTTTTCAGATCATGTGTTGCCCCTATAAGAACGCGCTGAGTTGCGGACCATAATTTCCACATGCGCTCTACTCCGCGGCCGCCGCTTTCATATTATGAACAGGTGTCCGGGATTACGGAGAAAATACAATGGTGAACAGATTTCCTTCACAATCACTGGCTGGACCCAATAGGGGCCGTGAATATCAATGATGAAAGGGGCGCATTCATGCTGTGATGAGTCACATCTATGTGATGACCCTCAACGCGATGATCCATAGGTTATGTGAACCCCGTCTCCGACCAAACTTTCTTCAGTCTCAGCGCATCGTGGGACCTTGATGCATCTGCGTGTGAACGCAACGCAAGTCCAGAGGCATCTTCCTAATCAAGGGACCAAGGGAGTGAAGCCAGAATTCCAGAAGACGCAGGGTGCTTCTGATGCCGTTCACAGGTCTATGGCCGAGACAGCACTTTCCGTTCATACCGACACTGCGGATACGGTGCGATTTCTTCTTTTTGATTATGCCTGGGCCGCCTAATCGACGAGGTTGCGATAGCACAGCCGCATAGTCATCGTCGTCGGACAAACGGATTAAACCAGCTATACTGGTTAAGGCAAGTCGACGCGGTGTTTTACCGATTATGCCGTCACATAAACGTGTCTAGAGCGAGGTCAGGTAGATGTGAATAGATTCTGTAACGTGTGGGTAGCATGATTTATTAGATCTCCTGGAGGACTAATTTCCTCGAATTTTATATTGCAGCTCTAGTGGCGGTTTGTTTTGCATTCGCAACACACCGCCGTGTTGTTGGTCGCGGTGCATGTTCTCCCTTGCCGTTGTCCAATTTGTTCATACCCTTAAGAATACACCTGCAAGGCGACCGCCAGACTGTTTGAGCTAAAATATAGACGGACTGCACTCTGGTCCGAGACATGCCTTGTGATTCATGATATGCCCCCCAGATGTGAAACGATGACTCACGGCTATGTTCACCGTCACTGCTGTAGGCCGTCTGGAACCGTGCTTAAGCTCGTGGAGGCTTCTACCGCGAGTGATCTGCTTCGACTTCTTTTGCCGTGTAGATCTGCTTCCGGACGCCACAAAGGCGTTGACCGGCCGCATTTGGCGAGTGCAATTTCCTGCAGCAAAAATACCGGAGGTGTCAGAGGGCCCCCGGAGGCAGTTATTTCGGAGTGAGGTCAGACGCGTGTCGGCGGACTTCTCGTAGACGCGATATTGAGTTTGGGCCATTTGCAATTTGGGTCTGTGCACATGTCTACTCGGGGTAGTTCCATTGGTTGACAGGTAGAGATAGTGGGATTGTCGGGCTCTGTCCCCTCGTGTGGCCGATAGATCAGCTATTCATTGTTTGGCGGCTCAGGACATACTCTAACGGGACTAGACGACTCGTTCTTCGCGCGAGGGCCGCAGGTTCCACTACTCGAGACCCGGGCAGACGAGTGTGGACCCCATATAGCATTGGCTTACGCGATATAGACTACGTCGACAGCCTTATCAAATGCAAAAAGTCCGATAACTGTCAGATGAGAAGCACCACATTGACTGCTCAGCGGCGCCCATTGAATCGCATTGCGCAGCCGAGGAAAGCGGGATCAGAGAGTGGTGTGGCAGATGGCCTAGGCTGGAGCAGAGCGTAGCCGACACATTTAATTTTGTACCTGCTGCCCACGTTAATGAAACGGAGGCCGCGATAGGTATATATCCCTCAATGCGCTCACCAAATCGTAGAATGCAGATTGGGCGGCCTGATGTGACAAACGTGAAAACCTACTCATGACCGGCCGGCGCTCGGGCACTCCAAGGAGAAACCAAAGAAAGATGGCTAAGTCTAGATGCACAGCAAGCGAGGACGGCTCGCAGGTGATATCTACCCAGGCGGTACTCCAGATGCACACATCATCGCTGTATACAGAGGGCTCAGGGCTTGAGGCCGAATGACCCGCTCCAGGGCCGCACAGAACACTGATCAGATACAAACCTTTCCAATCTCCAATCAAATAGACAGTCAGAAGATGTATGGTTGTCCCGTTGCCATTCCTGACGGTGGTCATGGTTCGGGATCCTCTCGAATCCGAAGCGGAGAAGCATATATCATTTCCGATAACACCCTGTAGTCGAGGTCTTTATAAATCGTAGTACCTTATGAGACGAGTCTGACGTATTGTACCGACCATTGCAATTGGCACCCGAACAATGCAGATAGTGCACGGCTTCTCACGGCAGATGGAGCGGAGGAGGCAGTAATACAGATAGTCTGATGTCTTGCGGGTTGACGACATCATTGTCCAAATACGTGGAGGTTAGTTCCATTTTGCAGGTAAGAATGCACAGACGGCACGGGTATCTCCATAATACAATCGCAGCGGCAGCGGGGTATGCAAGTTGATGGACGGATGAGTAGAAGAGTCAAGCAAATAGTGGTGTGGTACGTCAGATTGTCCGTACGGCAAAGGCAACGCAAATACAGATGATAGAATTCTGTTACGGAATAGTTAGCGGCTCGGCGTTGGACAGACAGATTTGACCGAGACCGAGGCGGCAGGATCACGTACATTCGAGTACATCTCTTGTGCAACTGCATCTGAGTCTTCCCAATGGCAAACCATGTCCGCCCTGAGAGTGGGATGATCAAAAGAATCAATGCGACGTTGCATAATGACTACGTACCGGCCACCTTGGCCCAGGTTCTCGTTTATTTGTGTCATCACAATATACTTGCTACGAGAGTATGTCAGCCCTGCCTTAGCTCTCCTGACACGGTAGGGATGCTCACAATCCGCGAGGCTGGATTTCTACGCGCGTGGCGCATGTCAGAATCGGGGCAAACAAACCGCTACTTGACTGTGCGCACCAATCATCCTCTCCTTGACGCGTTCCCCAATCTCCTTCATCCACGCCTTCACCCGCTCTCGTTCTCGTGAGTCCGGCCAAGACGCGTTCTGCAGCGTCGTCTGGAGCAGCTTCTTCATGTACGCGCGCAGCAAGTCTGAGTCAAACGTCGGGCGCGGCGATGGTGCACTCGAGCGCGGCGTTGAGGGAGATCGCAGGCCTGAGCTTGGCATCGTGGGTAGTGTGCGGGGGAAGCGTGTCGCTACGCGTTCTGGTCGCTGCCTGCGAGATCTGGGCGAGAGCTGACACTTCCGAAAGCGGATATGGGTCCGTGATTCTGATGCGGGCACGTGGCACGCGTCGACGTTTAGTAGACGCGCAGTACCGCCGCGTCCGCCCAACTGCCCCAGTCGCACGTCCCAGCTTGCGCAGCCATGTCCTCAATAACGTTCCCGCACGGGCAGAGCTTCATGTCCTCTGCGGCCTCTTCGTCAGACCATGAGCTGCACAGCTACTCACCGTCGTTTGAGAGCACGGCGAACAACTCGTTTCAGATGAATCCACACTCTTCCCACCATCCGCGGACGCCACGTCCTTCCGTGGTATCCAGCTCTAGTAAGTACGAGGTGGACACGTATGGTATGGAAGCACGCGCGCAAGAAGATACCCGCTCAGAGGAAGACAGCGATGATGAAGACGAGAAAGCTCGCACGGAGGCCCAGAACAAGGTTAGGAAAGAGGAGATCTGGAGGGACCTGCTAACAACGAGCAATGGGCGGGACAAAGCCTTTGTACGTACTTGACGCGTGTAATACCTGGTGTAATGCTGACGCGGCCACAGAAACTCATGCAGTATTCACTTCGCATGTATTTGCTCTTTCATACCACAGTACTGGCGTCTACTGTGCTACGGAATGGAACGCGCTCGCCCATCGAAACAGAGCTGCTCAAGCGCTGCGAATCTGCCATTGCTGGCTTCTCATTGACTAGGTCAGTGCTACTCAAACGTGTTTCGCGTTTTGCTGAGCGTCGCGTAGAAAATGCCTCATCCTGTTCAACTGGCTGACGCCACTGACCTCTATAATGGCTCAGCACGCGGCCGTGCCGTTCTCGTCGGAGGCACCCTCTACGTCAGGGTCATCGCGAAAACGCAAACGCAAGCCTCTTCTCCATACATTGCTGCACGCGCCACCGCCAGTACTCCTGGAACTCATCAATGGCTTGTCTGACGACGTGTACACGTTCGCCAGGCTTGGCCTCATTGGCAAGCGGCTCGGTGAACGTGCAGGGCGCTTTTCGGATATGTGCTGGTTCGTAGGTACCCTTGTGAACCTTGTCGAAAATACCGTCGAGCGGAGCGTCATTCTCGAGCAACAACATGAAGGTCTGACAGATTTTTACATGTCCGAAAAGCATACGTCTGACCAATGAAGTAAATTAAGTCGAGTCGCGGCTATATACGGACTCGATGACAGGCGCAACGGCGAAATCCAATCCTGCTGCGTCAAAGACAGATGAGAAAGAACTTGCTCGATTGCAGCGGCAAGACTATTGGATACAAATTACCCGTCTGAAGCTGCTGATGGACCTGATCTTCGTTTGTGAGTTCCGTGGCAGGCTTGCGACTTTTACATGTGAATATGGCTCATTAAAATGCGCAGCGTACAATGTGTTCCGGATGAAACGAGCCAAAAGTCAGATACAAACCTTCACCGGTCTGGCGGCCGCCCTCTTGAGGTGAACGGGTTCCCTTGCGCGATCTCTGGATATATATTCAACCTACTAAATGCCCGCGTTCGCAGCACTGTCAAGCTTTATGATCGTCATAAGACGACTTTGGTGAAAGCACTGAACCAATGAGTGGAGGTCGTTTGGATGTAATCTATTCTTGCTTTCGATGCTGCGATATCACGCTTTCACACATGCATTCATTTTACGGAACTGTGAGTTCCGCTATGCTATCTCAGGCTAATGGGCAGATACCATTACTCGGGTCACTGTGCTGGATACAAATTTAGAGGGCTCTTAATGCAATCAAGTTGTTTGACGAAGCTAAGGAACTGACCGCAAGCAAGCTTCTTGTGCACGGCAATACCAACGTACTGCAACCACTCATCCAGATTGGTGTGTACAGTTTTGCGCTCGGATGCTAGGATTCCCAACTTGCTACCAGAACCACCAACGCGACTTGCGACTCACAGCCCCACTGCTCGCATCCTGCCCGTGTGCTTGCGCATGCATTAGCGTCTCAATCTCAACCTCTAGTTCCTTCACCCGCGCTTCAGCCTGTTCCAGGTACTTCTCATGCGAAAGGCTTGCTTGAAGCAGGCGCATGCCCTGCGAAACCTGTTCATTGGTATGTCATACGGAAGCCCGGAAGCCGTACCAAGTATACTGCAGAACCGAGGAGGGCGACAGGAATCATGCCCGGAACAAGGTCGGAGTAAAACTGAGCATGACGCGACGGGTCTGTATTCTTAGCTGCGCCTGGACTAGAGCTGTAAGGCCGACAGGGTGTACGGCGCGTGGTGAGCGGGCGTCGCGCGGAGGTTTGCAACCGTAGGCTGTGAAGACGGGATGGCTGCATCGTGTTGCAGGTGGCGGGCGCGAGATGGAGAGTGTTAAAAGACGCACGTGAAAAGCCCCGGACTTCCATTTCTGGGGTTGGCGCCATGTGACATGTAAAGTGGCGCAGGAATCGGCTCACAGCCTCGCTTGGCGGCGACCTGCAAATTAGGCCATGTCGGCCGTCGCTGGTGTTGGTCCCAATGCACTGAACGACCACTGAAGTGCGCTATATTCGCGCACGTTTAGAGGTGATCATGACGAATGGCTGGAGCGGGGACGCATGGTCCTGGAGAAATGTCGAGGAGGACGGCCCTGGCGGGACCATTTTGCCGCCGCAGCATTGCCCTAATATAGAGCCATAGCGCTCGTCCGTCGAGGCACCCATTGCCGTGAGAAGTGCTGTGTCTGGATATCTATCTCCTCCTCCCGCCCTTCGTTCCTTCTCTGGCTCCTTCTTTGCGAGCGGTTTCTTAGTTGCATTTGTTGACTTGGGTTTACCTCGCCCGCCCAACTCGCTAACTCGCCCCGCCCTCAATTGGACTGGTATCCAATGGACCCATCACACTCGCACCAAGCTCGCTTCGGACAGCCCTCGCGTCTCCTCACTGTCCTGCCCGGCCCCCTCACTCAGCAAGTATCCCCCGAGCGTGTATCTTTCTCGTCTGTGCGATACAGTCCACTCGAATTGGCCGTCGACGAGAAGGTCGATGAGAAGGCGTCGATCCAGCAGCAGACGCGCCTGAGCAACGGTCCACGACCCGACCGTTGCCAATCATGTCAGTGCGCGCACTGCGACTCATCAGCACCTTCAGCATCTGCTCCCCACCGTTCAATGCATGCATTGTCACCACATCACGCGCGATCTCCGTCGCCTTACATCGCGACCTCCTCCCAGCTTGCTGCCTCCAGCTGGACTGTCCCCACCCCAGCTTACACTCGCCCGCGCGGTCTGCGGATAGCAAACCTACTTAAACCTTGGATTCCTATAATACTGTACGCTATCACGAGTCTGGGGTTCCTGGCCGCCATCAGCTTTTACAAAGTAGAGGTCTTCTCAGGTACGATCCCGTCCGCTATTCATATTGATGGTGCCTGGTGCTAAGATAATGTGATATACACAGAATTGGATGCCCTCTCACATTGGCTGCGGTCAGACATGTATATAGGTTATGCTGTTATTTGCTGTCTCATATTCATCACCACATTTCGTAAGTTCATATCATGCAAACACGGTCTACGGTCTCGGTCGCTCATCTCCGTATCTTCCAGCTCCCATCCCTTTGTACTCCACACTCGTTATTTTATCTGGATATACTTTCGGCCCTTGGACCGGTGCTATACTCTCCTACTTTTCATCGCTAGTCGGCGCTCTCGCTGTCTTTCTGCTCTCCCGCACGTTCTTCCGCGCACGTATTCAGCGCTGGCTGTCTTGCACTATCACAATCAAGCGGGTAGTCAGGGCGATCGAGAGGCGGCCTAGGCTTCTCTTCCTCATCCGCCTCGCCCCGTACCCTTACAACGTCTTGAACTGCCTCCTGGCAGCGTCACCGAGCCTCACCTTGCGGACGTACACGCTATGCACGGCTCTGTCCCTCTTCAAGCTCATCATACACACGAGCATCGGCAGTTCAATACATTCCTTCACGGACTACCACCTCAAGAAGCCTGAAGGCGCGCAACAGCAAGAGGATCATTCGCTCGCGCGGTACTCCACCATTGCTGGCATCTCCCTTTGTGTCGTGATTTTCTTCTACATCTCGTACGTCTGCCGCAGAGCGGTCGACGACGAGCTGGAGGACGACGAGACGCTCGCAACGAGTGACAGCGAGGAGCGCATCGCCTTCCTCAGCCCAGAGGAATGCGACAACCAGGACCTCGAGGCGCAGATGGTGGAGAGTCCCATACGGCTTCGGTCAGAGGACCACTAGGATTTGGACACTGATTTATGGACTATGTGTGATGATATATGTTACTTAGGGCCGTTCGTTCCGCGTGCGAACCGGCCGGAGGTTGGACTCCAGTAATTCTTGTAGTGCACGGACACGTACTATTGTCGCTGTACGTATAAACTAGCTTTCGTATTCGTTTTTTCCTGTGCAGAGGCGTGCGGCGGGGATAGGCCGACGACGTACCCCTTCTGCGTTCTGCTATCCTACGACTTGAACTGTTTTTAGGGCTGTCGTGTCGTACTCGTGCTTCTGACGAGAAAATATCCTCTTGTCCGTCGAACTTACCGCGCGACAGATTGTGTCCTGCCTTTTGCAGATGAGCGGACGTCACGGCACCCCCATTGTATGAAATGGCATTGCTGTAGGTTTCCGGCAGCGGGCGGTGAGGGGGGAGAGGGGACCAACGATATACAGTAGGCCTGGGATTTGGCTCAGCAAGGAGCATCAGAAATTCCATGGGCGAAGGCATCGTGAGGCTAGTTGAGAGCGGATGCTCCACGGCGTGAAGTCGTGCACCGAGTTGCCTGCGATGATGGCGATAATCACATTGCCCGACGGGCATGCCTCGGGCTCTGGACCTGGGAGGACCGCCAAGGGTCCCACCAAGGACCTCGGACTCGTACCGCGAACGAGCCGAATAAGGCTGCATTGTCTGGCGTTCCGCGAGCATGGAAGAACCCGCCCGCGTCAAGCGAAAGGTGTCAAAGCCCGTAGGTTCACGGTTAGCTTCGCACTGTAAGAAGAATCAGAAGACCTCGAGGAATTCCGAAGCTTAAGGGAGTGTGCCATCACATACCGCATGATGCTGTAGCAATAGCAATCAAAGGGCCCGTACGCAATGCCTAATCTGGTACAGCTTTTGAGCTTGAGGACTGGGGCCGACGAGGTGCAGCTTGGACTTGGCTGATCCGTTGTGGATATGTGGATATACAGATACCATGCGCGCAAAATGCGGAGCACATGAGTATTATAGTGTTACCTGCTCCGCATGGTCTTCACGATCAATCATAGACAGTACCCCAGATCAGAGAAGTCGACGGTATTGCCTCAAGCTGGTTAGCTAGCCTGCGTCTGCGTTACATTGTTATCTCCTCGCAGATGTGATTATTGCCAAGAACCTGGTCGCGACTCAGCAGCTGACAGCTTTGCACAGTGAGCATATACTAATGTTTAGACGGAGAATCAGGTATGGAAGGCGTGTCTTACATTGTAGAAGTGGTTAGAGACCGCTTGACGCCTCGTCTCCACTACAATATAATAAAAGTGGCCTGTGCAATAAACGTCGTGATTTAGCAATCAGAGATCTCACCAACCGTGGCGAAGAGCACTTTCGGCGAGCTTGTGCATAAAATTGGGATAGGCAATTGATAGCATATATTCTCGCTGCACATGGACACACAACTCTATGCGACAGAGCGAATAGATGCATTATTTGTGATCAGAATGCCCCAGCGACTTCCCAGGCTGGATGTGGTCACGGATGCGCTGCTTCTATAATAGTGTAGGTTAGTCCAATTTGAGGGTGCGCGACGGTCGTGGAAAAAAGACGGACCAAGACTTTCAGCTCAGGGAAGCTGCCTTCGATCTTCCTATCCCACACCAGAACTGGCGGTTGGCCGCCCAGGAATAGCCAAACGCAGAACCGGCCTCCCGTCTCTTCAGAATTGAGCGGAAGAATTGAGATTGCCTTCAATGCAGGTGTGGGAAAGGTGAGGAAGAGTTCTGTAGAGACCCATGTCGCTCTATGGAGCCTAATAAAATGCACGGATCAACGTGCGACGATGGCCACTTTGTATCAAGCGGAATGACTTACCACCGACACTGTAGAGATGTGTAGTGCGATATAGCGGATGAGTTTTCCCAGTATCATATTCAGCTACACGATGCGTACGTACCCTGTCACAAAACTCAATGGTGACGCTTGGAGAGGGGAGGGGAGACGGAGGTACGAAAGTGGAGGCATCCAAAGGGTCCTGAGGTTTCGGGCTTGGTACCTTGGACTGAAGGGTTTGACCTTCAACACTTGGTACGCAGTCTTCGCAAGTCGCTCCTTCGGCCATGGTGTAATCACGAATTCGCTGCAAAAAAAACTGTGCAGAGTTGGCGGCGGCTGCTCTCAGCTGCGCACGGCGGGCGGAAGCATTTCGAGACTCAACGCCACCGCCGATCGTATGTGATCGGTCACGAGATCCCATCGCCACACGCGTCCGACGCGTCTGTGGCCGCGTTCTTTGACAACTTCGACCTCGCCACCACCATCAACCACACACTTGAGATCTACCACCCCCACCCAACTCACGTACACAGTCGCACACCCAAACCAACAAGATGGACAATGAACAGGATTTTGCAATGGCACCGGCGTCGCCTTTGCCCGCCCAGCCACAGGTCCCGCCGGTGATCTGGCCAGTCCATAGTATGTGAAATTCTATGCAGTGCTAAAGGCAGAGCTCACCCGAGGTCGTTCCAGTTGAAGTACGCGTGTCACCCTCTGCTACGTCGCGATTCGACACAATACGAAACGCCGTCCACACGTACTTGACGTTGTCCCTCTCGCATATATACCTTCCGTCAACGATACAAGGGTGGGAGGAGGTCCCACTACTTGCAGCGTCTGTCACGCATATCTCCGCCGCTGAATCGTCATGCCCATCTTCGTCGTTGCCAATTGAGGAGACTGCTCTGCAAATTCACGTCTACCAGCCGTCTGATGCCGACGCGTTCGAGGAACTTGCGAGTGGGGGTGGGCGAGGAGAAGGGGAAGAGGTCATGGCTGCAAGTGTCTGCGAACTGCCCAGTCTGGCATGGGAGGGCTTGTGGGAGAGCTTGATCTACTCAGACGACATCAAGTCGAGGCTGCTGGATTACATCTACGCCACAGTAGTGTTCAGTGATGCGGACGTCGACTGTGAGCGTCTCTCCCCCTTTACGTCGATATAATACTTGACGAGAACGACAGTCAACGTCGTCTCTTGGAATCGTGTTGTTCTGTTGCATGGGCCACCGGGGACGGGCAAGACCTCCCTGTGCCGCGCCCTCGCGCAGAAGCTGTCTATCCGTCTGTCCCATCGGTGTGTACTTACTACGCATATGCCCGCGTTTAGGCACTGACATGGTTCGGGTTGCAGCTATGCACATGCACGACTACTAGAAATCAACTCGCATTCATTGTTTTCGCGGTGGTTCTCTGAATCCGGAAAACTTGTACAAAGGCTTTTCAGCAATGTCATGGACATGGTAGAGGATGAAGAGACCTTTGTTATTGTGCTCATTGGTAACGTTCACAGCCACTATCGAAGGAAATCTCAGAACTAACATTTGAATGTAGATGAAGTGGAATCATTGACCGCTGCTCGAGCAGGCGCAATGGCTGGGACAGAGCCCTCCGACGCACTTCGAGTATGTCGCTTGATACTCTATGCATCATTTCCGCTCAACTCACATTTGCGAATAGGTCGTCAATGCACTGCTGACACAACTAGACAAGCTCAAGCACAAGAAGAACGTGCTCGTGATGTCGACAAGTAACTTGGCAAAGGCAATAGGTGTGTTGGATACCCAGTCCCAAATGCGAATGACGGTTGAGCTCATTCATGTATGAGACTCGGCATTCGTGGACCGTGCAGATATCGTACAATATGTTGACCTTCCGCCAAGAGAAGCTGTCTATGAGATCCTGCGAACCTGTCTGGCAGAGCTCATCAAGAAAGGAATAGTAGCGAATGTGGTATGCAATAATCCATGTCTAAGCAGCGTTTGTCCATGCGCATATACTGAGTATTGGATACACAGGATGTGCCGAGCCTTGCGCAGGCGCAACTGTACGAGCGGACGTCAAGCTTTTCAACTCCAGTTGCGCTTCCTACCCCCACATCCCCGACAGTACTGTTTGACAGTCAATCACCCTCCCAAGGGTCACAACACGCCACGCCACATACTCCTGGATCGTCCATCAATGGGCACGCGCATAATTATGATGCACGCGAGCGGTCAAAGCAAGTGGCTCTGAGACTTCTCGCTCTTTCCGAGAAATGCCGGGTATGTGTTTAGCGAAACATCTCCCATATTCTCCAATATCTCACGCACAACGTTCAGAGTCAAGGAATGTCTGGTCGCTCCCTCAGGCGCCTCCCGGTCTTGGCCCATGCTCGATATATTGGAACGCTGCCCATGCTCGCTGCGAGGACCCCTGCGAGTACACGAGGAATTGCGGGTAAGGCGAAAGGGAAGACTGTTGCGACAGAGGGCGGTGTACCCTCCACCCAAATTGAAGTATGGCTTGATGCCATAGAACGCGTGATAGAGACGCAAAGGGCGGAAAAGGACCGGCTTGACCGAAACTGACGGCCAGTAGTTCATGGGGAATCCGGCGACGATTGCAGTTCTTCAGCTTTAGGTTTATACATATCCACAAGCATTGTAACATAGGTGCCTGGTCGCAAACATAATGTAATTCGTATTCTTAGCTATCCGTCCTGCTGCAGGCGTCTTCGACGCGCTCGTTGGTGCACATGACCGTGACAGGCGCGCACTGCTGTGAGCAAGGCGCTCCTTCTGAAACTCTACTTTCGCCTCGCCTGCGGCGTGTACAGCTGCCACTGCCACTTGACTGGAGCTTTAATTATTAAGGCATTCCAATCATGGCCTACGTATCAATCGAATCCGATGAAGTGAGCTCTGTTGATATCTTCAGTTTGTCTTGTATCCTCATTATATTGATGTCAGTCTTGCCTCTTAGCGCATGGAAGAAGGACCTGAGGGTCTCCAGTTCCAATGTACGCCATGACACCATCATCTAGAGGATATCATGGCACTGAGTCCTGGATGTGTAGCTTTCCTGGGATCGGACTCTCATCCTACAAACGAAGGCAATGGAATGGGGACAAATGCCGCCCGAGGTACGTCATATTCCATCCGCTCTATGCAGGCAGATCATCGTTGAATGGACTTGTACATCATGCAGGATATATTCCTGACCGCGGTGCAGCAGACAAAATGGGCTTCTTCACGCTCGAATACTTTCAGCGCTACTTCGATGTTGATACCATGACCGTATGTCCCTGGATTCCAACCGCCTCCCACTACCATTGAATTTCTCCCGCGTGGTCTCTCATAGGTCATGCGACGGTGTTACATGACGATGTACCCGCCGTCTGCACATTTATACCTCGCCACGCACCTCTCACCCGCCGCCGATCTCTATGGGCCCTTTTGGACTCTCACCACACTCATATTCTCACTCTTCGTATGCTCTTCTCTTGCCGCCGCCATTGCGGCCTGGCTGTCGCATCCGGAGGCCGCCGCGTCGATTGTCTATGACTTCGAGTTGATATTCACAGCTGTGATGCTCGTGTACTCGTACGGGATCACGCTGCCGGTGCTTGTGTGGTTTGCACTGAGGTATCTGGGAGTTGGTGAGTGGGGCATGGTCGAGGCAGTCGCCATTTGGGGTTATGGTCAGTTCGTGTGGATCCCGACTGCTGTGAGTGCACTTGTCTGGCCACCTTTCGAATGGACCATAAAACTGACTTGATGCAGTTACTGTGCGTCATTCCCGTCCCCGTCGTGCGGTGGGTGCTCGTTGGTCTGGCCTTCCTACTTTCTGGATACTTCTTGGTTGCCAACGTGTATCCCATCCTTGCGACTGTAAGCGGGTGTTGCGTTGTTAGTTGTGAATGCAAACTGACGCATATGTTGCTTGGATTCTGCAGGCTGACGCAAAACCTGTCCGTCTTGTCATCATTCTCCTGGTCATTTTCCATGCCGCTCTTGCCCTCAGCTTCAAGATACTATTCTTTAGCTTCTACGTTGTGAAGGAGATTGGTCCGACAGACCCGGTTCCTTGACTGGAAGGTATTAACTATGTCGATGTAGCATGATTTCATATATTATTTTATGCGTGTGTCCCTTGATCAATCAACTGCAATGAGTGAGTCGGAAAATTGGACACTCCATGTTTTATAGCGAATGACAAACAGCGATCTAACTCACAACTGAGCGGAGTGGCATCATAGGAGTGGGGCTAGGTGGTAGTGTGTTAAATACAGGTAGCGTTGAGGAGTCAGATCTTGCTAAGCAGCAACCAAAATCTACGCTCGAAGCCGCAAAAAGTACAAGATTCCGGCCAAAAGGCCTCCGACATGGCCAGCGGTGTCAGTTCCCACCCGCTACAGGTTATAATCTGCAGTGAGATATGTGTCATCGAGACCGTGCGGAAGACTTACCTTGTCTAATATTGCGCTTGAGGTATCCCACAAGAATATACCTGTCACGAATGCCCATGCAGGCATAGGGACAATACCGAAAATGTAGATCGATGCCTTTGGCATTACGCATGCGAAAAACGCGAGGACAGAGTATATCGCACCTAAGGACCAGTCAGTCAGTAGCAGCATAGAAAGAAAACGTCGGGAAACACACCGCTCGCGCCAACCGAGGATTGATTGGGGTTCCCTTTGATATACGTGTGCCACAGCACACTAGCTGCGCTGCATATAATACCACCTAAAGAAACGTCGCATTCATATGTGAGGAAAACAATGAACACCACTACTTTTTTGACGAGGACGAACCTCTGAGGTAGAGGCCAAGGAATCTTGCGTTGCCTAATATCTGAATGACAGTGGGCGCCATGAAGTAATATGAGAACGCATTGACAAGGAAGTGGTCCAGTTTCTGGTGCGAGAAGGTGGCGGTCAACAGGGTCCATCTGCCATGTTATCTTATTCAGTGGGAGTCCCTTGACAGCACGAGAAAACCACCGACATCCGCCCGTTACTGAGGTTAGCGAGACCCGTGCTAAAGTTTTGGTGCATCCAGACGAGGGCACTCATGTCGCCCGTACTTCGCTGGCTCGAACCATCATGAGCATCGCGGAAACAATTGGTCCCACCAGAAAACATACGGCTTTGAGATAAGTGTATTGCCATGCCGCGAAAACGGCGCCGTTTATACCGAGCACGCCCCACAGGATGACTCCGGTGGGCAGCGCGTCCAGCCTTTCACGGAAGTTCTGCCATCCGCCCCCTCCCTGCGGTCGTCCTGGCCCTCTCTGTAGTGACTGGCGAGAACCAGGAGGGGTGCGCGAGACTCTAGACCGGTGGGTGGCATTCCGGACTTTATTAGACACGAACTGGAGTATCGACGATATCCGTGTTCTTGAGTTGTCTATGGTGAGTCTGCACGTGCCTGCCAGTGACAGTGGATGTGCCATGGTGTGCGCAATGGTTGATCGAGACGGTGCGCACGTCGGTGCGAATAGTGTCGAGACTAGACGCAGTTTGCAGCCGAGGCCGACAAATGGTTGTGCAGATGAAGCATACCGAGCACTGGCGAGCGTCCCCGACGAGAACAGCGAGCGGTGGATCACATTCATTGTTGTCTGAGGCGTGTGTGCGATCCTAGATCTCATTGGGCCCGAATTGCAACAGTCGTTTCCCACGCACGCGACGCGACGCGTCACGCCCACATCGTTTAAACGCGTCGCAGCGCGGCGCTAGCCAGGACTCGTACATACACTCCCGTCGGGCGATATGTCCCACCACCTGTTCTTACTCTCGCCGTCGGATACTCCGCTGTATAATTTGACTCACTATTCATCCAAACCAGCACAGCCGACTTCGACATCGCCTCTCGCGTCTAATCTACCCAGCTGGTCGACCTCTGCGTTTGCCGGGACGCTGACAGCCTTGTCTGGTGCAACGAGTGCAACGCAGGCCCACCATGTTCAAGGTGGAACAGTCCGCATAGGCGGTGGCCAGGATAGGCACGTCATACAAATGATTGCAAACGCTAGTTTGGATGTGATCGAAGAGGTGGTTCGGAAGGAGAGCATCATGTTGGTATCTCGTTCGTCTCTTCTTGTCTGAGCTCCGCGCTATGGCCTGCCTACACGCACGCTTTCCGTAACAGGTACTTGAAATCCGTAGACAAGTTTAATGAATGGACTGTGTCTGCGTTCGTGACGCCGGGAAGTAAGAAGCTCGTCTTTAAAAGTCCTCGGCAACCGTTGACGCTGATCTGTCCAGATATGAAGTTCGTGTTGCTGCACGAAGCACGCAACGACGACGGGATCAAGACGTTCTTCAATGAGGTTTGGGAGTTGTACGTCAAGGTGAGCGTTACGTTTCAGGTGGTGTCCCGGGGTCGATGCTCCTCGTGTCTGCATTTCAGACGATGCTCAACCCGTTCCACACCGCGCACACCCCTATCCGAAGTCCCGTGTTCGACGCAAGGGTTAGAGCAAGCGCGAAGAAGTATTTGTGATCCAGACCAAGATAGCTACTCGAGGAGGGAGCAGTACACTTGTTTCCGGATCCAGGGGTTCCACGTGCCAACGGTGGCTGACCGTGGCCGCTCGAGCGGTGGCTGGCCTTTTGTTCTCGTCCCGCAGGCGCTGTGGGCAGGAGATAGACAAGGGACGCGCATGGGGGGATGGCGACGTGGGCACGGCGTGTGTGTAGCAGTCGTTAAGAATGTATGGATAAAACACCTTGAATTGCAATACGGAGGGTGTTGCGCCAGAGAAGGAAGTGAGGGAGGATGGAGGCGGGGAAGGTATCCGGGGTCCGTGGAGAGAGGGCTATACTGGCCGGGGAGTCGATGATCAGGCCGTTGTCTCTCTCTCTCTCTTACTGCCTCCTGGTGCTCCCTTTCTTCTTCCTCTCTGTCTCTCTCTCTGTGTTCAACTTAGGATATATAACTCTATCGTCTTCATAAACTCGCCAAAACTCACAGTTCCCGGCCCCATTTTTTTTCTAATCGCCCGCCCGGCACTTCACTTCGCAATCGCGCTTCACTTGCCAATCCACCATCCCCCAAACCACCTCGTCGCGCCAGAGAGAGAGTTTGACGTGTCCACATCCCAAGTCTGATTGTTTGGCCCCCTCTCCGCCAGCGTCCACATCAGGTAAGTCGGCCACACTGTGCTTTGTCCCCTGTCAGGCGCCAATTAGACACGATCCGATTGCTCACCTCCTCCTGCTCGTTTCTCTTTTTGCATAGCTGTATTCTTCTGCCCTTTATTGCACCGCCACTTCTTCCATATTTCAAATCCGACTTCACCTCAGCGTCCCCCCCTTGACGTGTTTAGTCCACGCAATGGCCACAGCCCAAGCTCCGAACCCTCGCGCCTCTCTTCTTGCTGGCCTCCGTACTGGAGGCGTCCGCTCTGCTTCAGGTCCTACTGGCCATGTACCCCAAACTGCGGCGCCGGGTAGTACATCTTTCAACATCCCGCGCATGGTCTCGACCCCTCACAACGATATGATGTACCCGACGGAAGAGGAGGACGAGTTTCCTGACACGATGGGCCAGAACCTGTACGTCAGGAACAACGCCAGCCGCCCCCAGCAGCACCCCATGACTGCCGCTGTCGATGGCGCGGCCAACAGGTTCTCTCAGCAGCAGGGTTTCACTATGAATCCCATGAGCTATCCCTTTACGCCTGCGGCCGCTCAGAACCAACTCCAGGCCCTCCAGCTGCAGATGATGCAGATGGAGATTGCGAGACTTCAGGTAGGTCGATTTATTTGCATGACGTGCTATCATAATTATCACGAAACTGATGACACGTCCATCAGAATCTGCAGGCTCAGCAGTATCAAGCTGAGCTCATCGCCCAGGCCCAGGCCCAGGCGCAGCGTCAGCGACAGCAGACGCAGCCTGTGAGGCGTGCCACGACTGGCTTCGTTCCGCCGGCCACGGCTGGCCCAGCTCAAGGCTCTTTCGACCTGCGCGCTTCTGCGTTGAATGCGCAGATGCGTCGTGCCAACCAGGCTGAGCAGTTGCGAGCCAAGTTGGGTGTTTACGCTGATGAGCACGTCCCGATGACTGCTGCTCTTGGGGGCAAATTTGGCAGCCGCGTCGCGCCTGCCCGTCCAGAGTCGGATGAGGATGACTTTGCTTCCTACAGTGCGAAGCCACCACCCACCCCCAACTATACCACTGTTATCAGCGGCGGGACCTCGCTTGGAACCCCGACTATTTCTACGGCTCCGTCCAAGTCTGATGCTGCTATTTCTTGGAGGCGTGGCACCACGAACAACTCGGTCTTGAACGGCAACCGCGCTGCGTCTTCTCCCATGGTGAAAATTACCCCTCCTCCAGTTGAGCCAACGTCTCCGCCCACCGGCCCAGTTTCTGCCAAGGCCCGTCCCCTTCCTCTCCAGCTAAGTGCGGCAGCGTCTCAGCCCATGCCTGCCGTCGCTATCGACAACTCCGATGGCACTGATGGAGATGACTCGTCGTCCGTTTCGTCCAAGTCCAACTCGTCTCCTAGCACGCCCAACAGCGCCTCATCCTCTAACGCGCCCCCGGTCTCACCCCGCGAGGAGGCTGTGAAGAAGTTGTATGAGGGGCTCGGTATTGGACGTCCTCTACCCACGATCACTGTCGCCGAGCCGCAAGGGGTTCCGGTTGTGGTGCACAGGCTCATTAGCCAGCCGGTACGCCAGCCCATTGGCCCACCATCTAACAACGACGATCTGCGCCCCCGCAACTTCGCAACCCGGAGCAGGAGAAAGGCCATTGGGGCCCTCATGGACGCCCGTGAGAGGCGTGAGGTTGAAGCTTTCTAAGCTGCGCCGCGAGCAGGCGCATTGCCGGTGAGAATGTACGAATAGCCCTCGTCGACGAATCGTATCCCCACCCACTTTCCTTTTCTTCTGTCGTCCATGGCCGCGCTCTGCGTCTGACTTCCTAAGTATATTATTTACGTGCGTATTCTGAACCGGACACTTGGTGCTCGCGCAGATACTCCGTATCTCCCCCTTCCCTCCCTTTTCGGTGTTTGCTTCCCTCCTTCTCCTCTCGACACGATCTTTCTCTCTACTCCCTCGTCCTTCAGATTACAGAGGGGTGGTTGATGGTGGCCGGATTCGCTGCCCCGTGTGGATACAGATTACGAATGGGGCGCATGGCTGTTGCATTGCAGTGCGTCGGGACAGCGCAGGGAAGCAGCGCTTCCCCAGGTCGGGAAACCCCAGATTGTTGATCACTTAGGACGAAATACTCTCGCGGATTTAGGTGGCACAAACTGCTCTGGACTTTCACGTTGCGCGTATTCCCTGTACAGCCTTTATGCAATACAGTCGCTCATCCGGGATATCCGAGTTGTGCTGTTGTACTTCGGTGTCGGTGCTGCGCGACGACTTGCGAGAGATTTCGATGAATGTGAAGCACAAGATGTACAGTATGAAACAGGGGAATCTTCATTACATGGTGTTGCTATGGCATTTACTTACACCGCTGTCCAACAATTGCTTTTCCGTGCTCCTAGAGATGCGAACTGTCAAGGGATTGATCACTAAACGTCGCAGCATGTCGACGTACCTGCCATTCTTCTCGACTAATCCATAGTTGATGGAATGTGCCCAGGCTCCCAAGGATGCTTCCGCCCAGCCAGCCACCATATCGCCGTTCGGTTGGGTTGCCCGGTGCGTGAATTTTCGCCTGGAATCCGTGTCAACTAGATTCTACAGACCAAGTAAGGTGCGACGGTCGACGCACATGAGGGTAATTCCTCGCTAGTTCAGTCTGCAGTCGGTCAGCGAAACCGGAGAACAGACTGCCCCCTCCGGTCAGCACAATGTTGCCCATGAGGACTTGTCGGATCTCCGCATCGCACGCGTTAAGCGACATGCTGATGAGTGCAGGGATTGTTTTAGGGAGATTCGGGTTGGACGCCTATATGGACAGAGGAACGGTGCGCGTTAGAATACTGTAGTAAGCATAATAGTCAGGGATTATGAATGGAAACTTACGATCAGGGTGGGACTGTGCGAGAAGAACTGTTCGCCAACCATGTATCGCTCGACCCCGTTGAAGTAATTGCTGTATCCTGTTGCAAACTCGTAGTGTCTTGGCCCCCTTTGAGTTGCCAGTCTGTTTGCAGTGTTGTTAGCTGTATGCTAGGATTGGCCCAGGATCTGGCGACAGACTGTTCGTTCCAACCCTGGTCCAGGATTCCCGATACGCTCTGTATCCATTCATCCACCTCATGCGCCTCTGCCCATGTCCTCCAGCTTTCTGTCGTGCCAGCAAGGCTGTTCTGCCGCAGCTCAAATTTAGGAGGGGCGCCGGGTTCCACCGGCTTGATATGAGACAATGAATGGCGAGCTTGAATGCGACGTCTATGATTTGAAACGCACCTGCCTGCTTGCAATCAATTGATGCGGGTGCAGCTGAATGCCCGGGCGCCTGCCACTTGGGGCAATGAGCGTATGTCTAGCATGAGCGTGAACAAGTTGTGGTAGCGGAGAATGCATAAGGCCTGTGTTTTCGGGACGTTAGATTCAGGATCGCGTGTAATAAGTAGATGTTCGGACCTCGTCTCATGACGAAGCCGTCAATCACAGGGGTAACGCTAGCAGTTGATTGCCCGACATCAACTACGTACGCAGAGCCCTTGCCTGCTGCGAAGCTGAGTGGACCATGTCAATTAGATGGGAGGCAGAAACGATACTGAGCTTACGCATTAAGCACACTGGTGTTTGAGATGTAAAATGCAGGCACGTTGAAATGTTCAAACATGATTTCTGCCATACGCTCCCTGTTTGCGGGTGTATTCCAAGCAGGTTCCGTGACGAGAACGGGATGTTCTGACGGGTTGCAGCGCATCACTTCTTCAAGCGCATGAGATATTAGTGGGGGGATGGCATCGAAATTCTGAACTGTTATAGGAGTGCCATTACATTGTCTCAGTGATTCCGGTCGAGGGCGCAGGAAGAGCCAAAGCTCACTGAGTCCATTCTTCACCGGATTCTCCACCTTCATGTTCTCTCGCCACAACGAGGGACCGTTTGCGCCAATATAGAGCTTTACCTTTGTCCTGGGATCCGCGGCCTCGGATTCCGCGTTAGCTCCTGCGTCTGACATCGACACATCGCCATCCCCGTTTTCTGCTGGCGTGTCTAATTCTTCTATGTAGCCATAGGTGGTGGGTATAATCGCTTTTGGTGTGTCGTCTCCGGCATAGCCTGCCCGTAAGGACGAGGTCCCAATGTCGACCACTAGAGCAGACACTTCATCTGAAGCGAGAGAAGGTATCAGTATTGGTCGTCGTAAATGGGTTATTATTCTCACCCCCTCCATAGTTCACCATTCTGCTAGTGTTGCAGGAGCCTGAAGAGTAGTGGGAGGGGAGGAACGCGAGTCGGCAAGACGCGCCGGAGAGCAAACAGACATGAATGAACAGCCCGATCAGATCTACAGCCGCCCACGTGGTTATCAAGGATTTTTAGCCACCAAAAGGCACAGATTCTGTTCTCTCAGGCCGTCCGTCCTTACTTCCCTGCCAGAGTCTCTGTGTTTCATTACACTCACTCGACCTTGCAGTACGATGGCGGCTACCGAGCTCAAAAAGTCTAGGAAGCGCAAGGTCGTTGAGGAGGACACACCGGCAGCAGTTTCTGCATTCCCTCATGACGTCGGTCTTGATATGCATAGCGAAGACGAAGGCGAAGATGAGGGTCATGCCGGCTCAGAAGACGATGGGGAGGTAGACGATTTCCCTGAAATTGATACCAGAAGCGATAGCGAGGATGAAGAAGAAGATGGCAGCGAGGATGAAGAAGAGAGCGCAAGTGGAAGCGAGGATGTGGAGGATGAGGAAGAAGAAGAATCTGAAGTCGATACGGCAGACGATGACCTGCGGATATACCCAAAGCCCAAGACCGTCATTTCGGACATTACTGGGCAGCCAAAACGAGTTTACCCTGAGATTGAAGCAGACTACGACTCCGACTCTTCGACAGAAGACGTGCGTCCTCACTCGTTAGCTTTGATTCTCTGCAAACCCGTAGCTGTCTAACATGAACACTCCCCCTTGGTCGCAGACACCCAATCGCGTCGGAACCATCCCAATGCATTGGTACGACGATCTACCGCATGTAGGCTACGATATTAACGGTAAGAAGGTCTTGCGTCCCGCTCGGGGAGACGAGCTGGACAAATTCCTTGAGACTATTGAGGACCCCAACTCATGGTGTGTTTCCACCACTTGCAATGCGTATGTAGAACTCAGATCATATTTCACTCGTGCGACAGGACCACTGCCTTCGACAAGAAGGCTCAAATGGACAAACCTCTCACCGCAGAGGAACTTGATATTATTCGACGGCTCCAGGAGAATGAGATTCCAGATGCGAATTACGATCCCTACGAGCCAACCATAGAGTGGTTCACTGGTAAAGGCAAGGAGGAGGTCATGCCTCTATCCGCCGCTCCGGAACCCAAGCGCAGATGGGTGCCCAGTAAATGGGAAAAGCAAAAGGTCAGTGATCGTACCACCGCGGTGTCGGGTTTAACGAATCGGTTACTGTAGGTTATGAAAATCGTCCGTGCCATTCGCCAAGGCCGAATCGTCCCCAACAAGCCCAAGGCTACACAACCACAATTCTATCCTATATGGAGCGAAGATACATCAACCCTTCACGCGCCCCCTCCCGCGCCCAAACCTCGCTTGCCTACCCACGCCGAATCCTACAACCCACCGGAAGAGTACCTTCCCACTGAGGAGGAGCGCAAGAAATGGGAGGAGACCGAAAAAGAGGACCGCGAGCGCGACTTCCTCCCGCAAAAGTACAACGCGCTGCGCCTGGTGCCCGCATATGACCAATTCATTCAGGAGCGCTTCGGCCGGCAGTTGGATCTGTACCTTGCGCCCCGTGTGCAGCGCGTGAAGCTGCAGATCAACCCCGACAGCCTCATCCCGAAGTTGCCCAGCCCGCAAAGCTTGAAACCGTTCCCGATGTACAAGTCGTTGCAGGTGCCGCACGAGGGTCATCGTGTGAGGACCATCAGCGTCAGCCCCGATGGCGGATGGGTCGTCAGTGGGGACGAGGGTGGTGTTGTGCGTCTCTGGGAGGTCATGGTCGGGAAGGAAGTCAAGAGGTGGAAGTTCCAAGGCAGGGTCGGGGCCGTCGAGTGGTGCCCCAGACCCGATGTCAGTTTCTTCGTTGTCGCCATGTGAGTACTCCTCTTTTTTTTTGGAAGTGTATGGTATTTACATGGGATGGTCCTGTTAGTGAAGAGAAGCTTCACTTCATCATCCCACCCAACCTTCCAACAGCTGTGCTTACTGCGACACAATCGTTACTTTCCCCCGCAACACTCCCCCCACAACCTGCAACACCCTCGCCCGTCAAATGGGTGTCGACAGCGGCTGCAGCATCTACATCTGACTCGCCTATACTCACTGTCAATTTGCCTCCCTCGTCGGGTTTGCCCAAGCAAGTTGTATGGCACAGGAAAGGCGACTACCTTTCCACTGTGTGTAAGTACTATTTCACTCCGTACGGGTAAACAACATTTAACTTGTTTCCGCAGCGGGCGAAGAGGGACAGGGCGCCGTTTGGATTCACCAGCTCTCGCGCAGGCACTCTCAGGCGCCCTTCAGGAAGGTCAAGGGCTCTGTCCAGCTAGTACTTTTCCACCCCACAAAACCTTATTTCTTTGTCGCCGTATGTTCACTCTGGTTTTTTCCGTCAATGTGTCAATGTCCTGATGTCCTGTTTGATTCAAGACCCAGCGTTACGTACGAATGTACAACCTGGCGGAGCAAAAATTGCTGAAGACGCTCATGCCGGGTATTCGGTGGATCTCGTCCATGGATGTTCATCCCTCGGGTGACCATCTCATCGTCGGTGGCTACGATCGCAAGCTATGCTGGTTCGACCTGGAACTCAGCGACAAGCCGTACAAAATCCTCAGGTAAGTGGTCAAGCAGTGGTTTCTCTTCTCCCGGTGTCCGACAGCACCCACACTTCCCCGCGTCATCTGTCTGCCTCATGCCGTCCCACCGCCGTACCACAACACTGACGCGCATATGTCTGTTGCCAGGTACCACTCGCGGGCGCTCCGATCAGTGCACTTCCATCCCACGTACCCGCTATTCGCTTCTTCCTCAGACGACGGATCGATCCAAATCTTCCACGCACGTGTGTATAACGACCTAATGACGAACCCACTCATCGTGCCGCTGAAGATCTTGCGCGGACATGACGTCCGCGACGGCCTCGGCGTGCTGCAGGTGCGCTGGTGCCCGCGGCAGCCGTGGCTCGTGAGTGCGGGAGCCGATGGTGATGTTGCGGTGTGGTGCAGCTAGCGACATGCGGCGGCCCGTGTAGTGATAGATGGTGATATGTACGTACAAAAGTATTTTGCAGTTGGTCAGCGCACACAGCGAGTGCCGGGACACGTCGTGGTGATTATGGGCGTCTGAGCTTTCTCGACAAGTCCACATAATGATGATGAATGTTCGAGCGATTCCCGTCTTATGTGCTCTTTGCTGGCTTGCCTCCAAAGGGGTGGCTTGGAAGTTTGTCCAAGGGTCATCAAATAAGTGGCGTTAAGGCCCTGGTGGCACATCAGAACGACTTCCATTTGGTCATTGGTTTTCCGAGAGCCCTTACGCCGCTTGGTCCGAGTCGGCTGTCGGTAAATGCAGAGCAGCCTTTGCCTTGGACCCTGATCGGAATTAGGACCTATATCTGGGAGTACTTGATGGACGCCTGTGGAGGAATTTGAACGGACGATTGAGCCAAGCACCCCAGAGCAACCCGCTCCCTGGAAGGAGAACTGAAGGTGCTAGCTTGAACTTAGCCACTCATGACGATCACAAGTAGAATTACAGAAGCAAAGCGAGAGTCTTTATCGGCAGACGCCGAGAATACGGTTCCGACTCGGCAATTCGCAACCTAATCACCCGATCTCGTAAATCGGGCAACGTTGTTCATTGTCGCTGAGCTCTTTCTCCACATGCTCGTCAGTTGCACATTTCTGAAGATAAGGATGTCAAGTACTCTACATAATAATACTTCGGCTCAATACCGCGTCGAGCACGTAACTGTGGCCGGACGTATCAAGCAACAAGACACATGACGCAGAGCTGGGACGGCGACAGAGGCGGCTGAAGAAGCAGGGAAGCTGCGCCGTGGATTGTAAACGCCGGGGATGCAACGTAAATTCGGAACTCTCTGCCCGGCTGGCATTGACTTGTTCTCCTTCTTCGGACGCTCGCACACGTGTTGCCCTGTCAACAAAAGACGCCGCCATCCATTATTTCTCCAAAAGGCGCTCTCAGCGTGCGCTGGTCGTTTGTCTCCTCCCGACCGCCGTCGTAGATAGCACGTCCGTTCTCGAACAACATGGTCGATTGGACTTCGCCTGCGGAGATTAGTCGCGATGCTGGTCAGTAAACATAAACCAGTCTGCTACCCACCACCATGACTTATGAGCGTTGTTGCGTTCACAGACGTTTATGGAAAGCTGATATTCGCTCTTTTCGGTCTTTATGTCTGGGAGCTCTTCCAAACTTCCGGATTCGAATATTCTATCATTACTATGAAACGCAAGTTTACCTGGCCCTTGGTGCGTGACCAGCTTCGATGTGCATGTGTTTCTACTCACTTTGTTACCCGCAGAGTAAGAATTCACGCTAATTTACTAAAGCGGTCTGAAGCTCAACGGCATTATCACTCCTAACAGTATTCTTTTTCCTTTGCAGATATTGCTTGCTCGGGTCCTTGATAGGATTGTGAGTATTCTCTGCTTTGCTTGTGAATATCATCTAATTCAATTGCAGGATTATTTCACTGACCATCCGCAATCCGGTACAACGAGCATTGTTTGAGAGTCTAAGTAGACCGCTGACCCAGGAGCGTACAGGTCAATTGCCAGGCTCTGTATATCTTCAACTCTGTTCGTCATGCTGCCGTCTATCCCCCATATAATAACCAACGTCTGTATAACAGTGGGCAGGAAACATGACAATTCTCTGTGCTTCCACTTGTCTCATGCTCAGAACGTAAGACGTCATGCACGATCATATGCATGATTTCCCTAATGCACGTCTTAGAATTGCCATCTGGGAACGCAAGCTCAAAATTGTGATACCCCTTTGCCTCCTGTGCCTGGCACATTGGGTCCTCCTATGGCGAGGGATGTTCATCCTGAAAACTGAGTACTCGCCGTCACAAGACGCGTGCGTCCTGATCTCGAATAATCATGTCTTCCTCAACGTGACGTTCTTCATGAGTGCGCAATTCATCTTGTCTGACGCGCATCTTTCTGATGTATCAATCAGCGATGGGCTTTGATCTCACTATTCTCGTGTTCACCATGGCCGCGCTTGTGCCCAAGAAGACACGCTCGGATTTATGGACACTACTGTTCAGGGATGGGCTGGTGTACTTCATCATTACGTTCTGCTTTAATGCGCTTCCTGCCGTGCGTACTCTTTCTGGGCAACAAGGCACATACTGATTGGATATATTATTCTGGCGATAGATCCTTAATGTCATCAACCTGAACGGTGGGTAGACTTGGTGAGATGTTCGTTCACTGAGCTGATTTTGTACTTCCCTCGTAGTTTCAATGGATGTGTAAGCATTTGACTTTCTGCGGACTTGCGGGAAAATGCATTAATTTTACATTGCTGGTTCCCTCTAGGGTTGCCACCGTCAGTCAATTCATCTGACATAACGTGCGCCGAACTGATCTATGTTCATTGTTAGGTCCCCGCAGCAACATTCTCGTGCGCAGTCTCCTTTCCTGCGATCCTCTGTCACTCATTGCGTTTCCTTGTGCCAGAGCGATTGCAGCATGCCGCGCAGTTATGCGTCTGCAACAATTCAGCCACAGCGACGTATATGTCCACACGGCGTCGCAGGTGACAGGCGCCGCCGCTCGCCGCTTCACCGGCGCCCCTGCACGCCGTTCGTTTGTCTTTGCCCGCCCCGAGGTGCATGTAACGACGGACCACTTCGTGATGGAGGACTTCGTGTAGGTGTTATCGCATGCCTTTAGTTTAGTGCATCGCTAATTGTCGGCTGTATCGGATGTAGAACGACACCGTCAAGCGATGGAACGAAGGTGAACCTTTCGCGGACGCCCTCAGCAGACGACAAGGACTTCCTACATGAGGGCAAGCGACACTTCATCGCGCCCAGCACTGGTGTTGCCGCCTGAGAGGTGCAGGCACCGTTTTGCGACCAGGTGGATGGATGATCTTTTGCGTGCTCGAGATAGGTCGATCTACAACCTATGTCCTGAGATGTGTAAAGAAGTACTGTATACTTCTGCCCCGTAATGCCCGGCGCTGGCTCCTGTTGTTGCTGATGCTGTTTAGTACTTACACACTGACTACTGTGTTATCGATGCCTCATACACATTTTATCATTCGTGTGCAATTTAAAAGACTAGGGTGATGCGCAGCGTAAGACATCATTCAGACTCAATCGCTCATGACAATACTCTTGTGCTTCATCTGCTGGAGTCTGAAGCATTACACTCTGATGGACTTTTCACTGACAATGGATCCAGATTGCAACAACGTTAACCAGAGCAGAAGGTAAAAACCATATAAACTACTGATATCATACAATACAAACTATCTCTAATCACCGTCGGCGATGCGACCGTCCAGCTTTCCGTTTGGCGGCGACGCCCCCTTGCCGATTCACGCCCTTTGATGTTGACCGCGCGGGCATGCCCTTCGATAATCGCCACTGTTCTCGGCGAGAGTCGCGCGGGCCGTGTGTCGATATCCGCTTGGAGGTATCCGCTGAGGGGCCTGCGCCAGAGTCGAGCACCATGGCATCTTTGGAAGAAACGTGGAATGCATAGTGCCGAGCAATGGGACGGTGATGGGACGATGACGACATAGGTTGACGATCGAGAGCGACGGAGTGCGGAAGATTGAATGTGAGGAGGGATCTAAGTATGGTATAGTGTGCGCACGAACCTGCGTCGTTCGAGCCGCTCTTTGCGTTGTTTTGGCCATCCTGGCCATCTGCTAGAATAACGAAAGTGTCAGTCATCATTTTCGGAACCAACTTCAGTACGAGGAAGGCTCGCGAAAAGATGACTGAAAAGGGCGCTGCCATCGTTTTCTTCGTCGCTCGAGCCAAGGCTTGATAACTCTACTGCATCTCTCCGCAATCGTTGCCGTAAGGAACTACTGCCGCTGGACGCAGCGGGAGCAGTTCGTCGCAAGAGATGGTCCATGCCTTGTAGATACTCCGGAGAGAAATCTGCGGGGTCACAGAGCCCGAAATTCGCAAACCAGCACAAACCTGGCTGCTCCATGCGCTCATCGTCGCTGAATGAGTCCACCACCTCTTCTGTGATCCCCTCCTCATCCTTCGCCGTCAGGACCTTGAGCTTTTAGTGTAGTCGGTTGAGGCGTGCGGCCTCGACGGCAGCGTATACGCCTGTTGTCCGCTTCTTTGCGCGGAAAGAACGCTTTACTTTGGAACGGGTTGATTTTGCCATTGGGTACAGAGTGCTGAACGACGGCGTAGACGGCGTGAACGATGTCGGATGTGGGTGACTGACAGTCAGGAGGAAAGTGGATGGCCCAGACTGGCAAAGAATGGCAAGCTAGGACCCCTGATAGTCCTCCCAGAGCTCCGATCCCCCAAAACCCCGAAATTGGCCCTAAAAATGACCCACTTTTAGCAGTATTTCACGTTTTATGAGGCCATTCTGTTACCGATCTCCCCCAAGCTTGGTGAGTGGATAGTGCTCCAAAAGATACGTCGAAATATACACTGTGCCTGAAGTTTTCAGGCTTAGATCGCGATAAATCTAATCTTATCAACCCCCGAAACTGGCCACTTTCGGGATCGGACCTCTGGGGGGATTATCAGGGGTCCTGGCAAGCTGCGGACTTTGCCACAAACACGTGGATACGGTGGCGCTAAACGGCCATTGAGGGAATCCTCATCCATTCGTAGCTCCAGCCTTGACGCGTTCTCCCTGGCCCTGCTTTTGCCCTCTGATATCTGACTGGATGCTAGCTACGTCACGCCGAAAAATCTGGATGGGAAACTACTCGTTTGCGAACTAGGGGGCTAGCATGGAATTGTCCGATGGCATTGTATGAACGTTACTTGATGAGGAGGCGTATTCCGAGCTTCAACACCGCAAAGACACCTTAAAATCACGGGCATCTTGGATCTACCATTCGATCGCAACGTTTAGATTGCAGGCAATGTCCTAGCCGACAATCGGCCTAACGGGAAGGCGGACCTACAAACTAATTGTCGCAGGGATAGTGCACCCCAACGTTCCGGCGTTCCAAGATAAGTATAGCCAAGTTGTAAGCTCTCGTTAGCTTGGGGCTAACCGCTTGGAGCGTGCGCCTGGGAGGAATGGACTCGGATGCGCTCGTACTACGGTGTCCTCGGCTTGTCTCAGGGTTGTGCAGGCTCAAGATGACAGGTTCACCATCTAGGCTAGTGCTGGCTTGCCCATCTGCATAGAACCGTCAAGAATATAAGAGTCCGCTTGTCGCGTCCGGATGCCTCAGACCGTTGTGCTGTGAAGACTCGTTGTCTCTTTCGAACTTGGGAAACTCTCCTGAACGTTTCCTTATCCACTAAAAAGCCTATCCCGTATGTCAGACACAATCCCTTTCGGTTTGGGCCATTTCTCGGTGCGCATAGCACTGGCCCTTAGCGGTGCAGCATTGACCCACATCGCCTTGACGCCTCCAACGCCGCCTGCGCAACAGAGCGCGGTGAACAAGTTCGGTCAGCCCGATGTGGGCACTCGTATTGGTCGGAAATACAGTGTATTGATGTTGGTGCGTCAAGTCTACTCACGCCTTGACGTGCACGCTGCTCACAGCGTGTCTCAGCCTCTGTACTGGATCCTTACTGTGTGCGAGGTTACTGCTATCCTCGCCAGTCATTATCCATCCACGACATCGACGCGTTTGCTTGCGATTCTAGCACCACACTCTGCCACCTCTGCGCTTAACATCCGTATCACCCACATCGTCATCGTCGGCTGGGCGTTGACGTGCCTAGGGAGCCTCCTCCGCCTCCTCTGCTTCCGCACCCTCGGCCGCTTCTTCACCTTCGAACTCTCCCTGCAGGAGGGTCACAAGCTCGTCACCTGGGGCCCGTACGCTGTCGTACGCCATCCGAGCTACACGGGCACGTTGATGGTCGCGTCGGGCAACTTGCTGTACGCCTTTGGTGCGGGATCGTGGTGGAAGGAGTGCGGATTGGCATTTACGTCGGTTGGGGAGTTAATTGCCCTGTTGCGGCTCATATCCTTCCCGTCTTTCTTCGTATCCGTGCCCGTCAGGATTGCCAAGGAGGACAGGATATTTCGGAAGGAGTTTGGGGCCGAATGGGATGCATGGGCGAGGAAGACCCCAAACAAGCTCATCCCTTTCGTCTATTGAACGCGGCGTCATCAATGTTCCTGTGCATCTGTGATGGCTTCGATGGGTCTTATGTTGTGTATTGGCCTTTATCTTCCGTTGTGTATGGTCCATAGACCCGGTAGTGATATGATCACGTTCAAGCATGGTAACCCCCTTGCAATCATCTACATAATGAATGTCTAGACCTCTGAGTTTTCGCCGTCAATCACGGTCGCTGACTGACATGTGAATGAGCGTTTTCACACCCTTTTACCCCGCATCATGGGGTTTCCGAAATGCCGGCCTCGGTCTCTCACCTGGTGCAGATAGAACGAGTAGTGGCACTTGAACCGCCCCAGTAACAAGAGCCCTTACAGCGATGGCCTACCCCCTCGGTTTCCCGTCTGACAAGCCCCTCGCTACCGTCACTCACCGTTGGTTCCATTATTCGACGAGACTTAACTGCAAACTGAAAGGCTCTTCTGCGTCCCACAGCAACTCCCATAATATGGGTACTGGAGATGCACAACGGCGAGGACAGCCGCTTGGATGAGCACTTTGTGAGCAAGGCATTGATGCCTGCCCTCGACGCCATAGAGCGTCACTGGCGTGAGGGTTGGCGAACTGCACAAGCCCAGAACGATAAAGAAGGCGGCAGAGGCGCACTTATTCTTGTGGGCAACAGGGGCCAGAACAAGTTCTTCAGTAATGGTGCGTTCGGCAGTGGTCCGCGGAACGTTCTATTATATGGCTGAATGATCCCGCTAGGGCTCGATTATGACAATGTGATCAGAGACCCGAATTTCCAGTTTAATTTCTTTTCGCGTACGTACACAGTCGGTTCGGCTACCGACACGCTAGTACTAAGAGATACCGCTACAGACGTCATGAACCCGTTCTATCGGAGGGTGCTGACCTTTCCCAGTGAGCTCTCCCGCGATTATGTTCCGCAGCAGGTAGTCATCGAAACGGCTGGACGTAGTTCCTACTGTCGCTGCCATCAATGGGTACTGCTATGCAGCGGCCATGACACTCTCCCTATGCTGTGACTACCGTGTCATGACAGATGGTAGTAACCGGAGGACGTGTATCTGCATGAACGAAGTGCGTGATGCCTCACACTTGGCGGGACTGCTGACCATCAAGCGGCTTTGTGCGCGCAGATTCATTTCGGTGCCGGATGGCCTTACTCTATTGCGGCTATCACTCGCACTAAAGTGCCAGACGCTCGGGTTCAGCGCAAGATCGCTCTCGAGGGACACCGCTTTACACCACAGGAAGCTTTGGACGCCGGAATTGTGGACTTCCTCGTCCCAGGCGACACGGAGGCCGTCATCACTAAGGCACAGCAAGTTGGCGAGTCGATGAGCAACATGACCAAAGCTGGTGCATGGGGCGTGATCAAGGTGTGTGAGATTGTTGTATTCGATGATGCTGCATGCTCAGACACATTGACAGCGCGACTTATATCGCGACTTACTGGAAGAAACTGCGCGGGACGTCATTACCACCACCCCGAAAGCCGAAGATGCCCTTGCAAAGGCCAGACTATGATTACCTTGGAAGGACCATGATCCAGTATATCTATTGATTAGGGTTTCTTGACAAAGCTTGTATATGTTTCCTGGTAAAAGTTCATTTCACGCGGATACTCCTCACCATGAGATTCAAGTCAATGCGAACGCACAGGTTGCGAGCACTCCATGGCAAAACTATCGATCAGGACAGGGTATGACAAACAAACAACATTCCTGCAAAACCGACTATATTTTTGCAAGGTTCTGTGCGCTGTGCCCCAGCAGCGTAGGGCTGCGCTGAGTAGTGAACTTCGTTTACATGTAGCATCGAAGAGTGACAGCTGTGGGTCCGCTTGACCTCCATACGGATTGAATCAGCCCTGGCGACCGACAGCAGGATAGGTGCCGGAATCCTCCCTTCTAGTCAACGGCACCATGAGCACTGTGTGCCCACTGCTCTATTTCAGCTCTTGTAGTTTGCCACAGGTTCCAAGGCAAGACGTACAGTGGAGCGCTCATGCACTGCGGTTCGCATTGTCATCCCGGCGTAACAGGTCCTTGATGTAGTCCGCTTCCTCCTCCAATACGTCGAAGCCGGGCCTCCCTCCATCTGTACCATAAAGCGCGTTGACGACCTTATTCTCCCGCTCACTTCGTTTCTCGCTCCAATCGCGGCTGGTCTCCGACTGTGTGCGGGCTTGGTTCGCCTCGCCAATCTTTGGCTGAATCTTCCGGGACGCCAACTCTGCCTGGAGGTCGTAGAAGCTGTCCTCGTCACTGCGCAGACTGGTGATTTTTTGGCGGCGGTAGATGAATTCGTAGTCAATGACCGTCGACAGATTCTGCGGCGTTATAAAGGTTTCTGCTTGATGGTAGAGAGATACGAGCGAGCGCATCTTAGCTGGTGGAAGGGTAACCTTTGGGGACAATGACGAGGAGGAAAGTCGCCTCAATGAGGCTGTCCGTCGCAAGGAAGCCCGCAGGTGGTGAGTTGCAGTCGACATATTGAAGTGGAAGCTTGGTATAGTGGGTGTTCAAGGCGGTTGGTATTACCGATTCCGGAATGTCTCAGGTCACGAGCTCAGTGGGCATCATGAGGATCCCGATGTCAAGGCCTGGTGGTCTAGTAGTATGATTCCTTCTTAGGGTCGCGTGATACATGGAGGAGGTCCCGGGTTCAATTCCCGGCCAGGCCCTTCTTTTTGGGAGCAACACATCAGCAAGGCTCCTACTTGCAAGTTTCTCGGTTGCTTTTTACGAGGAGTGTGTTGGAACAGCCTTCGCTCCGAGACTGCGTTTCTCCTTCCCGGGTTTCCTGCATTTTTCCTAGGGTTAGGTTAGGTTAGGTTAGGTTAGGAAGAATGGAATCACATGCATTGTCCTAATTTGGAAAGACATGAGAACCGATATACTTTCAAATCGCTCGGAATATGATTCACTTACCCCAGACGACTACGTTTCACAGAGATATCTGCATCTTACAGCAATGAAGTTCTGCCTTACATTGGGTGCGAGTTGTACCCAAAGTGTACACTAGTCGCGTTTTGATGCTTTCAATGAGAGGAACTTAAGTACTATCATCCGACTGATCTAGGGTGGCTCTCAGGCAGCCAGACTCCAGCATTGGATTCCCGCTCACTGGTCAGTGGGCGCATCCTCCAACAGTATGGGTTCCTCCGCCAGCTGCCGCAATGTCGCTGCGCACTTCTTTGTAACGCATAGGCCTCAGAATTCCACTGTGCAGCGAAGACTACTTAACGAATTCGCAGGTAGTCGGGGTGCCTGTTTCTCCCAATGTCGAATCCATCCTCCCGAGCTGACTTCTTTCACTGTCATAGTGAAGGTGAGTCTACGAAGCACGCTAGACGATCACTCATGTATGTTCAAGGTCAGCGGCAGGCGCTGTCCAAACATGCCGCCACCCAATGTGGTACTAGCCACAGATCAGCATGACACAAGGTGACTACTACGCTTTGCAGAGAGTAATGCCAATAAGATCAACGTAACTACATGCGACCAATTGTTGGCCCAGGTCATGGACTGCGAATAATGATGGCGGGTGGCTCATCTAGCGCAGTACTAGTAGCTTCTGAGCTGCGGCGACTTGTGGTCCGTGCCCTTTTTTCTCTTTATGATGAGCCACGAGGTGCGCTAAAGTGAAATATATAAGTACTCTATCCGCGCACGCTCATTGTCTCAAACTTTGACAGCCCCGAAAATGAACACCGATGATGAGGGCAAGAGCAAGAGGTAAGTCACTACATAGTGCCCGTCTTCACTGTCCAATGCTGAGTGCTTGCAGCATGCAGCGTAACAACAACACATCGCCACAGCAAGTCGTCGCCGATCCTTTCAGGCTCCTGTTTTCGCGGGAGATTCGTGACGAAATAATCGATATACTTGCTGCTAGCGGTCCGACTTGGAGGAAGGACCTCCAGGTCTGTAGCCTGGCTTCGAGGGTCTTGCTACATCGCAGCCGTAAACATCTTTTTCGCCTCATTGTCGTCAAGCCGCGTACCGACGTCAAGTGTTTCTCTGAAATCTTTACCCCAGAGCGACTCCTCCCATATGTGCGCGAGCTGTCAGTACTCGGATGTCTCTCGCCCGAGGCCTGTGGTGCGGAGGGTCATGGCTCCGGTAACAACACAGAAGGCAAACCAGACCATGAATGGATAACCGCCCTCGTTCCATCACTTTCAAGGTTCAATCAAATCGACAAGCTGAGTCTGCATAACCTCAGCTGGGGCGACATTGCTGTTTCTACGCGCCATTTCATTCTCACGCACTTCGCCGCTGTGCAACATCTTGTCTTGTCCATGATCAATTTTTGGAACTCGAACCAGCTGTTTCGAACCTTGAACTCATTCCCTCAAGTCACGCGTCTCTTATTGGATAATACAATGTGGCACCTCGCAAATCATTCTCTCCAACAGGTGGTCAGGAAGGAGCCGCTCAAGCTACAGTGTCTTCGATTCGGTCCCTTTTTGGCAGGGCATTACGGGCTACTCATACGATGGCTCATTGAAGAGCGGGACACAGTGAACGTGGACGAGGCGGAAATCAATTGGGGTGATACTGATATACGCAGTTTGGTAGATTTGATGAGGGCGATCGCACCTTCACTGAAGGTGCTGAAATACCAACAACAGTTCGAAAGTGTCGGCTGTGAGTATTCTTCATCCGCATTGAAATGTGACAAGCGGTGCGCAATGACTGACGATTCTGGTAGCCGACCACTGGGTGTTCCGTGTCTACGGCAACGAAGAAACTGACGACTCGGACGATGACCAGGCTAGCGTCCCTGATGCCGACGATCCCAATGACTGGTATGGTATTCAAGCTAGCGACTCTGGTGGTGACGAGGACGCCGGCGAGTTCGATGATCGGGGCGCCACCAAGTTTAACGAACAAAATGGGTCGGAAGGCCCGGAAGAAGATGTCGCTGACGATGCCAACAATCACAACGCACCCTCCAAGAGTCTCGAGGATGACGAGCCCACGGATCCGCGAGCCGTCTGGCAGTCAAGTGTCGAAGTCTTCCCCTGCATACATGAAGAGGAAGCGAACAGAATAGGCTCTCAGCTGCTAGAAGAGGTCCCCATTCAGGACAGCGCTCTCGCCATAATACAGGGGCGCATCGTCTGGTCTACGTTGGGCACGTTCGGGATAAAACTACTGTCTCAATTGCTCTCGCCTCACACACGGCGCTTCACGCTCTCGCTCGCCCTCAGGAAGGACGTACGATGGGGTCAGGATCAAGCCGACTGGGGCACGATCGACGCTCTGCTGGACAGCCTTGCACCGGCTCACAACGGATGCCTGTTTGACTTGAACATCAAAGGTCATCTACGGATTGCCATCTCGCACAAGCTACCGAGACTGCATGAACGCAAGGTGTGGATTATCAGATACTGGCAGGATGGCGAACTACTCTCGACCTGAGTGTGGCGTGCAGGTAGAGTCCGAAACCAGTATACATGTTCAATTATGTTGATTAGTCTGAAATCGCAACTGGATGAACTACTGCATGCAGCGAGCAATATATTTTCCCAACAAACAACTGAATCAAACTCGAAAGAAAAGTAAATCCACTGTTAGAGCCAAGGCGATGGCATCTATCCTGTGTGTTGGATCGTTGCTGTAAAATAGCATTGTAACACCGAGTACAACATACTAGTCCGCTCGCAAGTAGACGAGACATCTCTGAGACTTGCATGTGCCATATTGACGTGTGGCCTAGCGAAGGCTGCGATCATGCACTCTAACGTTCCTCTCGCGTGGAGATATCACGAACCAAAGCCGTGAATGGACGCCGAAGCATTGATATACACAAGATGCATACACGACCGCGTCGACCAGACGCTCGCTCAGAGCTTGAATCCATGTTTCTCGAAAAGCGCCTTCTCCCTCCGCTTGATCTCCGCCGTGCGCTTGGCCAGAGCAGGCGCACGCTTCAGCTCGCGCTGGCCGATCTGCTGTATGTGGACCTGTGTGATATAACATGTAAGAACACTGTCACCAACAGAGAGACCTGGAACTCGGGAAATGCTGACGTACAGCATCAGGCCCCTAGCGAATGACAGTGTATCAGCAGGATGAAAGCTAGTGGGACAACGTCGTCACGTACATCGGCTATCCGGAGGGTTCGCAGGGTGGCAAACAGATGCGCGAGGGGCGTGTCCTGGCTGAGACCCTCCGCGCCGTATGCCTGCATCGCCCGGTCGACGACTCGCAGGGCCATCGAGGGGACCACAAACTGCAATGGGATGGGTCAGTCAAGCTATTCGCGGCTTGAACCGAGAAGACTGGACCTTAGCAATGCCGATCTCTTTGAGGGCACCTTTGGCCTTGACCTTGTCAATCTACGAGGGCGTCAGCGGTGCTCAGCGACTGAGGGACTGAGTGGGTATGCTCACTTGGAGGGCTGCACTCAGAACGAGCAGTCGCGCAGACTCAATCTCTGCGCGTGAGTGCGCGATCTCCGACACGACGGTGCCTACGCCACGCAAGCGTCAACAATGCGAAGATAGTTGAAAGAGGTTGACACTCACCATGCTCATACAGGTACTTGCCGAACGTCTTCTTTGCGGGGTCGGTCACCCGCTGCAGCATCAGATCGAGGGCGTACTGGGCGACACCAATGGACCGCATACAGTGGTGGATTCGACCGGGTCTAACGCACTGTCAGCACCCGATAGGCTCCTGGACCCGCCAGACATACCCCAAGCGGCCTTGAATTATCTGCAGACCTATGAGTTGGCTACGGACTAGCATACATACATGCCCACCTCAAAGCCCTTGCCCCATCCGAGGACGAGGTTGCCGAGCGGCACGCGCACGTTGTCGTAGATGATCTCGCAGTGCCCCTCTGGTGCATCGTCGTAGCCCAAGACGTGCATGGGGCGAATCACCTTGACGCCAGGCGCGTTCGGGGGGACGATCACGATGCTCTGCTGCCGATAGCGGTCTGAGTTGTCTGGATCGCTCTTGCCGAGCACCAGGTGTAGGGCGCAGCGCGGGTCTCCGGCGCCACTGATGTACCTGCGAGGGGAGCTGCAGCACCTACAATCTGAACGACTGTGGCCACATACCATTTGTGACCGTTAACGACGATCTCATTGCCTTCCTGGCGGATAGTTGTTCGGATGTTGGTTGCGTCCGACGAGGCAACTGTATAGCGAGTCGGACATGCGACCCTACCAATTGTAGATGCATAAGACGTACCGAAACGCTCTGTCATGGAGAACGCCGAGCGAGTCTCTCCATTGAGAAGAGGGAGCAGCCACTTCTTCTGCTGTTCCGGTGAGCCATAGCGGGCGAGCACCTCTGGACGTGTGAGTATGCACGTCCGACGAGAAGCAATGTGACACCGCCGCTCACCCATGTTCCCGGTATCAGGCGCTGAGCAATTCACAGACTCGGACGCCATCTGGCCCCCACGGCCGAGCACCTCCGCCATAAGCGCATACTGAATAGCGTGAGGAGTCAGCGGACAGGAACGGGAGGAGAACGCACCTCAAGGTTGGTCAGGGGCACGCCAAATTCAGGGTAGTGGGCCTTGCTGAGGAAGAGGTTCCATAGGCCGAGTTTGCGCGCCTTGGCCTTGAGTTCAGCTACAACGGGAAGTACGGTCTTCCAGCGGGCTTCTGGGTCGGAAGGCAGCTGCGCGCGTGCGAGGTTCTGAGCGGGGAGGACCTCGTCCTGGCAAGCGAATGGCTGCTGTGAATAGAGGGCACGAAGGGCGGGGTAGACGCGACTTACGTGGACAAAGGCGATGAGCTTCGCGAGGGTGTCTTTGGCGTAGGGTGAGAACTTGTCCTCGACCTGCGGGCGTCTGGGGATCAGGAGACGGCCTCGGATGGGCGAGAAGACGCACCATGGCCCATGCGGCGGGCGAGGTGACTTGCGCTACTGGATGGGACGCCATGGCTGAGCGCGAGAGGTGCCCCGCATTCTGCGGCCGTGTCCAGTTGATATGTGTTGGCCGTCAATCAACTGACCTCGCCCTCATCGGGATCGCTCTGCCATCAATCACGCGCGCGGAGGCAGATCCAGGCTACACTAGTATTCGAGCCTAAACTACATAGTTGTTCTTACACATTAATACATCGTACGTACTCTACCGGCCGAAGGCATTGCAGGGGGCATACTAGTCATACACTTGTCGGAATTAGTAGGGTCGCAATACACATACAACACCGCACCGTCAGCCTACTGTCCGTTCCAGCGCTGCTGTCCGTCTAAGGAAGACGCATCCCCCAACGTGAATGGAATCTCCGGGTCGTACACGAACGCGCCCGGATCGAACGCCTGCCACTCCTGGTCCGATCCTGCCCCGTACCCCGCGGGGTTATAGTTGCGGATGAAGTCAAGGCCGCGGAACGGCAGTCCGGTCGCCGCGAAGGCACTAGATGACGGTGGAGACGACCCCGGCATGAACAGCGTTGGGTCTAGTCCCACGCCGTCATATCCAAGATAGGCCTGCTCGACGGGGCCTGCGGACGATGGTGGAGCGAAGGAAGTGGGCGAGTACGGAGGTTGTGACTGTGACCCAGAAGGGAAGAACTTGAGCCCGTTCGTGTTTCCGTCGGGCGTAGCCCACCGTTCCGATGGGCTTTGCGACAAACCAAAGTCGTAATCAAAATGCGAAGTAGATACTGTGGAAGCGGGGGACTGGGGAATATTGAGCGGTCCGAACGAGGATGTGGGCATAATGCGTGGGCTGGATTCGTTAGGGAAGTCAAGAACGGGGCCTGGGGGCGAAGGTTGGCTGTTCTGAGAAGCAGGGGAGCTGTGATTGCTCAGGCTCGACCGCCCCGGGTATGAGCTCGAAAGAACGCTGAAGCTCTGGCTGTCCGGCACGAGATCATCGTCGTGCGGCCGTTTCCGCGACGTCGAACGTGCACGTTGCGCTGCAATTCCCCTGTCAGACGAAGAACGCACCAGCACAGGAAATATCAAACTCACAATCTGGTCGGAACTGTAGGCCCGATATCGACGCCAGGCGGGGGTCGCGCGACCTGTTCCTGCGCATCTTCCCCCGAATCAGCCTTTCGGAGATAGGCATGGGAACCGCGGCAGACATGCGCCCCTCGGGCAGCGACGGCGACGCCATCGCTTGCGCCCTCCCGCTGTTTGCCAGGCCGCCCGCCGCGCTCCGGATCGCCTCGCGCGCAGTCGCGGTCAGGTCCTCCAACAGCTCCTTGCACTTGCGTGCGCCGGGCCAGTGACCCTCCCACGACTGGAGCACGCCGAGACAGCTCGTCGCCTCCTCCATTGCGGTGGCGGAGATGGCCGGGTCTGGGGCGTGCATCGCGTACAGCAGGATGATGACGGCAGAGCTGAACAGGTTCTGGATGAAGAACGCGAGGTGGTGGCTCGGCGGCACAACGTCCTTGATCGACGGCGCGAGCCGGATGCATGCGCGTGCCGTGTGCACCGCCTTCGCGGTCGAGCGCGGAGTGACAGGCTGGTCGAATTTGACCGGCAGGAAGTTGCGGTGCAGCGTAGTCAGCACGAAGTAGTAGTGGCTGCACAGCACTGCGGCCATGGACACCTGCTTGTCGGTCGACGGACGCGATTTGAAGACGGCAGGTAGGTCATCGCACCACTTCGTGAGCGCCTTGTCGAGCGTGTCGACCGAGCGCTGCAGCTCGGCGCGCTTCTCGGGCTCCAGGTTGTCCCGACACTTGTCGAGCGCATACACCTGTCGTAGTACCTGTCCAGCGATCTTGTAGAGCAGGATGAGCTCGATGAAACCCTTCATCAACATGGGTGTGTGCTGGGAGAGATGTGCACCCGAGAAGTATTCGGCAAGGGATTCATCGTCGACCTCAACCGGGAGCTCGACGTCGCAGTCTGCATCCTCGGTAGCAAGTGGTCGACCTAGCGCAAGGGCTAACATGCGGTCTAGGGTGTATACACCCCACCATACCTTGCGTCGTGTCTCTTTCTCGGCGGGTGTAATCAACAGTCGACGGGGAGATCGCTGTGAAAAGATTAGCTGAGGATATGCTGCGCAGAGAAAATAACATACGTGTAGACCGATGTCCTGGGCTGTCCTGACGGCCTGTCCCGCGAGAAGCCAGGCTTGTGGTAGGCAGTTGACAGAGCATAGGAAGGAAGACATAAGGAGTAAGCATTGAACATGCTCGATTTGGGTGGATGCATGGCTGATGTAGTGAAGAATCAACGCTCTAAATATCTCAGCGTGAGTAACAGCGTCAAGAGTAGAGTTATAGGGTGCATCACCGTTCATAATATATCATGCCCATGCCAGCGTCGTCCAGGTTATCTCTGTTTGACAGCCGTGGGTCGTTGACAAACCTCGAGGCGACGGCGAAAACGGCACAGACAAGCGCAATGAACGCCGTCTGTCTACGGGCCAGTTCAGCGTCATGGGTATGGTCCATGAGGTATGCGTATCGTCGCATGAAGTTGGGCTTGTCGATTACGGGCATCAAGAAGTGGAACTTTGCGAAGTACGCTTCAACCTATGGACCCGGTCTCGGCATGTGTCAATTAATGTGGAGCTGAAACCACTCACGAGCTTGTCCGCGAGATCACGATCTGGATACTCCACTTCTTCCGGCATTGGCAAGGCACGTACTTTACCGAAGAAGACAGTAGCCGGGAAATAAAGCTTGTTAACACTGGGTCCGGGTGCGGATGGATCCTCCTCCATAGGAGACACACGATGGAGGGGCGATGTGGTCATGGCACGGAACGACTGGATGAGTGACATGGTGGATGAGCCACCTATCCATCGCATGTGGCCATGCTCATCGAGAGCCAGTTGGCCGAAGGTCTCAGAAACATCGTCTTCGAGCTTGATCGGCGTGTTGGGGTCGCCCCCGCTGGAAGCTCCATCGCTACTGCTAGACCTGGAGTATTGTTGCATCTGGGGTAGGACAGACTGAAGAAGGTTGGGGTTCTGGACGGTCTGGGTTTGCGGTACGCCCGCAAGGGCTGTGCCGTTGGGGTCGAGGCCATTCGCACCGACCTGCTCGAGGATGGGGGTGACTTGCTGGAAAAGCGACTCCATGTGAAGGAGGCGTGCCTCAAGCTCTTGGACATAGCTGGCGACGAGCAATGAGGTGGGGGTGGGATGGCTTACGAAGCAAGTGCTTACTGTCTGCTGAGCGCAGCTCTGTCCTTGGTCTGCAGCCATGTACATTGCGACTTGGACGCTGAACACTGCGAGCAAGTGGGCTCGTTGCCGTCGCACTTGATCTTCTTGCGCCTGGGGAGGGGCCGGGGGCATTCGATCAGGATAAAGTACGGCGATACCGAGTGATGCACGCACCTGCAAGATTCACATGCTCGCCATACCCGTCTTCTCTGCAATTGAACGGGTTTGAGGCCGATATCAGCGGGGGGCTGCTGGTCGTCGATGCGCTTTTTCTTCGACTGGTGAGTGTGGGTGACCATTGGGGGATTGGCAGCGGGGGCGGGGATGGGCAGCCCTTCGGCCATTGCGCGTATATGAGGGATGAGGAAGAGAGAGATCTGTGCCAGATCGGAAGCGGCCGATACTCTCCCTCCGTGCCTGAGAGCGCCGTCACGCCGGTGTCACGCCGCGTCACGCCGTCTCCGAGCTCCCAGGCGATTCCCTCCTCTGCGACTGGCTTCACTACGTTTCGCTCCGAGCCTTTGTATCTTCGTTGCTGTGCATCCCTGCCCGGCCTCCGCCTTCCCCCGTGGCGAACAGCTCGACGACGCCCGCGCTCGTCGGTCTGCCCGCTGCTTGGTCATCTCGGCGCTGACCTGTTCACATTGGGTTGGGTACACGTACGCGCGCACAGCTGCGGTGACCCATCGGTTTGCTCGGGACGATACATCCATATCAGCCGTATCCTCCGATCCTCTCCCGAGCGCACACACCAATCTCCACACTCCCAAATGTCCATACGAAGCACCAGCAGAGGTGCTGCTCGACCATTTGACCGCCTCGTTGCACACTCTATCAACACAATCGGCTTAATAGAAGACGTCGCATCCAGTTCTCTATTCACTGGCCCACCGTTCCGCACGAGTGCCAATCTCCGGCTTGCGGCCTGCATGTTTGGCATGCTTCGAATGGTAAGCGTTCACAGCAACGCCGTCCATCGTGCCTCCGAAGCCTGTCGTTAGTGCATATTCAAGGCCACGAAGCGTTCGAAAAGACGCCAACCTTCTTTACTTGCCTACTGGGGACTGACCCCTCTCATCGATCAAACCACCGGAAGCCTATAGGGCTACATCCCATGGTCCCGCGACCGGCGGTTACGTTAGAAGGCAAGTCAGTTGACAGTGCCCCAGCGACAATCGGATCGGTCCCCTGAGTCTATTATGGCGAACGCGCCTTACTGCGCATCCGAGGATGCCGGTTACTCCAATACACGTTAGCACCCTGAATAGCTAGGGATGTAACCCTCGACAGTTCTGAGGTGTTGGAGAGCGGAATCCAGGGGCGCTTCCCTATGGAGGACACGAAGAGATAGGATGTGTAACCACCCTCATCGATGCATTCAATGTGTGAAACAAGCAAGTGACAGTCTACCGCTGAGACAGATTGAACCTTCAAGTGATGAAATCGCCACGGTCGCGAGATTCGTGGCATGCTTTTGGTGTGCGGCGAGCTGTGCCACCCGCCCGTCTCCTTCCTCCTGTCAACAGCCCGTGATTCTATACGGTCCGCGGTTTGACCGATGTGTCTGCCGCTCACACGCATCGCCCCAAATGCGACACTATACCAATGCGGTCGTGAGACGACCATGCTAATACGAAACAAGCCCAACACGCACCTGCCTGTACCACAACCTAACCACGCACGCCCGCAGAGATAGCAGACATCTTCTCCGGCGAATCTCTGAGGTAGAACAGTTTGGCTCTGCGCATCCGTCTGCCCGCCTTCCCTCCTCCTCCGCCGGCCCGCTGCATTATCTTGATGTTCTTCAGGTGCGGTGACATGACGAAGAACTGCATTTCCACTCCCGTCCGGTTGATCACGTTGCGGAGGACGAACGAGGTGTCGAGCCCACGCCGACGCACGGACATGAGCACGCCGGAGAATGTCGTCGGCGCATGACCAAGCATAACAGTCAGCACAGAGCCGGGGAGGATGCGCAGTGGATGCCGCCGAGAGAAGTAGGTAGTAAGCAGTTTTTGCTTGTCGGGGCTCGGGAGAGTTTGCGTAAGGTACTGCATGAGGCCTTTGCCTTGCATCAGCGGCGCCGGCGGAGGTGTCGCAGGTGGTGGTAGGATCTTGGCTGCACTAGAGAATGGATATGGCTGGGCCGCTGTCGACATCGCCCTACTGCATCTCCGGAATATGTTGGCCAGCATGGAGGGCAATGAGTGTCCCGCGTACAACATTCGTTTCGACGTTGGTCGCCGAATCTGATCACGTGACACATAGACGCCCATGTCTGTACAATTGCAAATACGATTCCGCGCTTAGCGGCTGGTTTACTCCTTGCGTTTGAGATTGCAGCAGGTTCCACCGCGGCGTGCATACATTTGATCCATTGCTGCATGCTCCCTAGCACGTTGCTGCTTACCGTAAAGCTTTCATTCGCAATTCATATCGAAGAGATAATCGAAGTTTATCTTTCAGATGGCACTTTTCGGTCGCTTTAAGACTCATGACCACGAATGCATCCGCAGTTCACTAGAAGTATCTGTAACGGTTGAGAAGGCAAACATATATAGGACAATGACGATGGCCACCTAAGTATACGCTCATGATAGGTCTGAACTCGAGGCGATAATGGTCGGCAGCACTCTGCCTTCAAAAACGCGACATGGCGTACTGCAGGTGCCTATCGGCGGAGGTGAGTGATGCACCTCGGACTCGAACTTGTCCTAGACAAGTTGATGCGATACAGATGCACATTTTCACGATCTCTCCACACGCACATTGGTACTGATCGTTCTCGATCGAACGCAGAGATTGCGACAGGCCCACCACTTTACATGGTTGGCTCCTGCAGCTGCTTGACGGAGAGATTAGACTTGGTCGTCGGAAGGTATTGATCAGATATCGTACCTGTCTATGATCGCAGGAGGGGCAGTAATAATTATCACAGATCCAATAGATGCCCATCGTACAACATCGTGGTGATTATCCCAGAATCATGCATGCATGCATCCCCGACCGCATAGCTTCCCCCCTAAGAGCGGGATCAGGTGGGATGTTCGCGCTGAGCATGCACTCAGGTACGATGTCATAATGAACACGCCCCAACAGCGACGTCTCTTTTGCCCAGGGTGTCCATAAGCTTCACTATCAGAGGCGAGCTAGCCGTCCTCCAGGCCACTGGAGACGAGAAATTGGCGTAAGATGATGGCCGACGCAGGGACGCACAAGAGTGAATGGTGGAAGACGTCATGGATGTCAAGAACGCGGCCAGACGCCAGCCGAGGCGCACACCAGGACGGCAGAGAAGAAGACGAGAAGCTGATAAGGGGAACGAGTATGGAGGAGAGAAGGACTGGGGCATGCGGGGCGGGGTGAGGAGGGCAGCAAGCACTGAGCGTAAGTGGACGCGTTCTGAGACGCCCGCAGTCACGTGGAGCTATATTTTGTGCCAGGTCTGCGCGGTTGGCCCTCCATATAAAGGCTCGTCTGAGACGCCATCCTGCCCCCAGCCTGCCCTCGTCGCGCCCAGCCACCCGCATGTCCTGCGGGCTGCGTTCTTCTCCCTCCCCCTACTCTCTGGCTGTCCAATAATACCACTGCAAGCGGACGGACACACAAGGCAGCACCGTATTCTATTAACCAATCTTCTTTCGCCCATTCCACTCGGGCCCCAGGATCGGCCTCCAACCCTATTTAATGATCGTCGCCTGCCTCCTTGAACCCACCGGGATATCTTCCACCTTGTTATAAGCCTCGCTTTGCCTTCTTCCACTCGAGCCACTCGCCATGTCTCTCACAGCTCTCCCCACCGAACTGCTCGATGCCATTTGCGAGCCACTCGCATCGAATGCATCTACTCTCGCCAGCCTCGCGCGCGCTTGCGCAGCTACGCACGGAAGCGCCATGCGCATGTTGTATCGCTCCGTCTCTGTTTCCACGTACGCCGGTAATCTTCCCGTTGTCCACACCCTTGCCATTCGCCCAGAGCTCGCACGACACGTGCGCTCTTTTGCTATCGCGTTGGACGATTCCGACGCCGTCCTTCGTCCGTACTACGCGCTGTTGCAGGCAGCTTTACAGCAGATGTCGCAGCTCGAGTCGTTGGAGCTGTACGTCGATTCTAGCGCGAGCTGGGTGCTATTGGACCTCAACGACCCTTCCCGCCTCGAACACTTTGCGTGCGCCTTCCCATTGGATCCGAATGTCACCGCCTTCCTGAGTCGCACGCCTGCGCTCCGCTCGCTGCAGATCGCCGATCCTGCACCGTCAACCGTCCCAGCCCTACACTCCATGCACTTCCCGCTACTCGAATCGTACACCGGACCTGCGTCACTTTTGCCTCTCCTTGCTTCTCGTCCACTTACGACGATCCATCTATCCGGTGACCTCAAGATCGAGGACATACCCCACTCCGGCAGCGCTCCGGGTTACCGAGAAGCAAACTCGCGAGAGGATGCCTATTTGCGTACGGGTCCGAAGAACTCGGACCTCTGCGAAGAGGCAAAAACGGGCGATGTGCAGATTCTGAGTGCTATCACGAGTACACCGCCTGCACTTCTGCTGGAGACACTCGCGCGTGCTTACCCGGGGCTGGTCTGCTTGAGACTCATGACCACCTTTGCATTCTGGCAAGCGCCCGATATGGTGAGTTTACTCCTACTCTGCCGTAACAAGACCAGTCTGACACTCACCCCGTGCAGACTTTGTATTCTCGTATCGCGGACACACTTGCGTCCATGTCTTCCCTCACCGTCTTTGAACTCTCCGGTATGCACTGGGAGTCTCGTCCAAAATCTCCCGGGAGCTTGCCGGCCGTGGGTGGAGAACGCAAAGAGTGGATCTCGCCACCTGTTACACCCCGCGCAGCGGAGAACCAGGGGGAGGCTGAGACTTTCCTAGAAAACCAGAACCAAAACCTCGGATTCGGGGAAGCTTTTCTTGATTGGTCGTATTAGGGCTGCGGAACGACCGCTATAAGTCCCGGAACGACAGTATGCGTCTGGATCTCTTTGTGCTACCCCATTTCTTGTTCTGTTCGCACTATACCCTTCCCTGTGCTCGGTTGTCTAACTTATTGACCCTGTCGACTACCTCCTATCACTGCCTATCCGTGCCCTCCAGTATATCACCCATGAGCCTGCATAATTCACTTCAGTGTCAGAACTGGTATTTTTCTCTGTCATGCTCTTTTCTGCATGCCCCTCTTAGGGTCTTGTATAGCATTTCTTGATCGAATCTCATGTAGCTAGCACAACATCCGAATATGCGTACGTAGGTATAATATGGTAATCATAAATTGGATACTTTACAAGATGATACCAAGGTGTATCATAGCGAAAAATGTCTCCCAGTCTAATCCATGGGAAACGCTCGCCTTCAATAATAGCTCATCTCGTCAACATGCGCGATTAGCATCATCTATATTTGTTCCGCCTTCAACGAAGACGAAGTCGGCAGAGGCAGTAGGAGGAGATCCATCCTGTCTTCAGCCCGTGGACCTTGGGCGTTGCATGGCACGAATAGTGTCTTTCAATTTGCGGCGCTCTTGACATTCTACTCATCCCATATCAGTGAAGGCTCAATCTACATCACAAGTCAGGCCTGCCCCAGGAAGCCCGCACTCACTCGGTTTGTGAGCTTTCCAATCCTTCTTCTGACATTCTTGACCGCAGTACACTGCATCTTTGCAGGCGCCGCAGCATTTGAATTGGGCCACAGTGGTCTCACGCCGCCCACACCCCGGCCTCGAGCATGTCTTGAGTACGGCTTCTTTTGCCACATCACCATCTGCCCAAGCCCAGACGTCTGGGACCATCCACAGATCTTGCGTGAGCCAGAGATAGTCGTGCCCCTGCTCAGGTCCATTCGGCGTGCGTGGCAAGTGATTCAAACCGGCTAAGCACATTCAAAGCGCTCGGTCAGCAAGTTGAAGGGAGCGTTCCTTACTGCACCCACCGGGCTGTTCGGCTCTGGCCAGGATCTTTCGCAAGACGTGCGGGTTCAGCTCGGCTGCAAGTTTCAAATACTGTCGCGCAAGTTCGCAGTCACCCCAGAGCTTGAATGCGGCGAGCGCAGCCGGATAGATCAACGATGACTCGCAGTATTTGAAACCTCCCAGCCGTTCTTGGGACAACGGGGTCTGCGACGGAGGATCGAACTTACAACCGCCGAGAGGAGGCGGGGTGCCGGTCCGCATCGTCTCAGGCTCTGTCCAGGCTTGACAAAACGAAAGCGCATCCTGAATCCGTCCAGCTTTAATAAGGACAGATCCCATCCAGTCGCGCTGGCCCATGTTATCTCCTGGGCACAGACGCAGGGTCTCAGCGATGGTATTGCTGCGCACCGTGTCAGCGAGATAGCATGTGGCGTTTCAGTGCAAGAAAACTCACGCCGACTTTGCGAAATCCCCTTTCTCGAAGCTTACGCGGATGATGGCCTGGAGCACGCGCATGTAGGGCCGTGTCTCGATGAGACCCCAGAAATAGCCGACTGAGTCTCCATTGTCATCGAAAGCGTCAGGACCGAGGGTGCGTAGCAGATGTGCACGGCCTGTCACCAGTGAGAGGCTTCCTCACATCCCACAGTAGATATGTTACCTTTCTTCTCCGTGTCTTCGAGCACGTTCAGAGACATATCCATGTTGGGCATAACAAACGCCAATTGCACGGCGGCATCGAGGTTGTTGGGATCCTCCAAAGCCTTCATCAAGAAGGGAATGGCCTTCTCCGGCTTCTTCTTTCGACACAAATCCTCGGCCTTGTCGAGACTGTGCGAAAGAAAACGCGATGAGTATGCGAATGTTAATATGTCCCTGTTAAATGCGCTCGGTTCACGCACTTCTTTTGTGCTTCTCTCGAAATCGTACCTCCCCCTACGCCATAGAGGCTCTCTAAGCCCATACGTCTGTCCATGGTAGTGCTGATGACGTTGCAATCAGAACAGCAAGGGCACCGGTTTCAGACCGTTGGACTCGACGCGTCGATATATATGTTGCATCAAACACGGTGTGACATTTCACGTGGGAGTGACATCATGGCGATCCTCCGCGTCTAATCGCACGTGCTTCTCGCCGGCCTATATGAGGCGGTTCCTCGTGAGCAAACTTCTCCCATTCCCCACAACGTTGTCCTACGCCTCATTGAGACCGTCAAACCGACCCATCTTGAGCAGAGGCCTCATCGTCGTGGGATATTGATCCCCAATGTCCTCGTTTGAGGCTCGCAGTGTCTCTTTAACCACCGCTTGCCATAGTCTGTGACATATATTCTCTTGCCATGGTATCACATATCGACACTGAATATATTTTCTCATCAATCGGATCATCCTTAGAGCAAGCACTCTTACTCGTATGTCGAAATATATGCTCGCACCAGGCGTGCGTATCAGTACTATCCCCTAAGGTAGAGTACGGATAATCGTAAGAAAGCCCACACCAGTCCAACCGAACAATACACGCTCGTCAGCATCAATGGCAGAAATTCCAGCGACGCCGAACTTTGACGCGTGGCAACTGGGAAAAATGTTACGAATGCTTGCAGCAGTATGAAGCCTGCAAGGTACAATTTCTCCAGCCCGTCAATGATGACGAAAGGAAGAGACCGAGGAAACCTGAAAGCGTGATGTCAGACGGCGCTTTTCGCTAGCGACTCTAATTGTAGAGACACTCACTCGTAAACGCGTCGATGCAGTGGTATAAATATGAAAATAGCCCATGTTACGGAGTAGATTACTTTTATGAGCGTTTCTGCCACAGAATGATTAATGGCACGAATCATAAGACTGGATCGCTCGCTGACCTGGTGCAGTGAACAAGAGAGGGAACAGAGAGAAGATTCCGGCAACAGAGGCCAGCAAGAAAGTTCTGAAGTATGCGTGATTCTCAGCGGCCAATAAACTGATTGAGCAACGTCGTGTGTCAGCTTAGGGCAGCCAACAGCTCAGAACACGTACCTCAGTGGGACCAGCACAAGCAAGATTGCTTTCTCATGGACATGCCAGCCAAACATAAAGGATGTATATCCGCAGAGTGTGAGCGCCGTTAAGAACGATTTATATGTAGGTGTTCTCCAGAGTTTCACTAGATAAATCTACAAGATATATCATCCCGTCAGATAAGCAAATTCGAGCACACATTTTGAGGGAGAAAACACTGACTGCTTGGAATGCAATGGTGATGATGAACGTGTGGATAGGCTTCACATTGGGTATAACGGCAAAGACAGTATCGCCGACCAAACCACGGGACGTCGAAGCAACGCCAGACGAGTTCACAGCTAAGCTCTGCAGTTGTCCACCTCTAGCAACTATGACGGATTATCATGTTCAGAGTGCAGACGTGTTGTGCAACGAACCCAGAGCAGACTTACATTTGAGCAGGACTCTGTCCGCCGCTGTAACTAGTGCCCATGCATTCGGCGCCCAGTATGCATGGTTAAGCCCACGGGTAAAAGGAAATAGTCTGCTTAGGAGTTGAGGTAGCTGGCCCATCAAGAGGAATGGCCCAAGCGAGACTAGGAAGACAAGTATGACGGCATTCGCAAGGGCGATGAAACGTGCAGGAAGCAGCGCGCCTGACGGAGACAAGCAAAATGAACGCAGGAGATAGATGAAATATGCGGGCTGTAGCCGACATGACCGTCTGTGAATTCAACTATGCTAGAATATAGTCAATGTTCAGGACGCACGGCGAGGTACATATAGATGTGCTTGAAATTCAGGAGAACGGCGAAGAGAAATCCACTTGCGAGTTTGTTGTCCTATGAGCGTGGTATGGCTTCTGGTGAGCCGGCACTGCAGGCAAGAGTGTTCAGCGGACACTCACGTTACGCGCCATGAGGATGGACCACAGCAGGATTCCGAACATGAAGCCGTTGTACTGGAAGTGGATGTGGTCGATGATGAGAAAGCCAGGGTGAAGAAAGAGAGACGCAGATATAATTCTCTGTGTTGTTGGATCAGTAGCACCTCGAATAAATCTATCGTTCGTTCAGCGATAGCATGACTACACTTTTCCGTGGAACAGCACCTTAAGACGGCAGCGCCGAGTACGAGTTCGGTCAGAATCACGGTAGTGCGTTGATACGCAACAACCGACCACGCGGCGTAATTCAAGTTGTTTAGGTCGACTATGCGAGGGTCGATGAAGTATGCGGGTATCGACATGAGCTTCTCGAAGTAAGCGAAGAATGGAGGGTAGTCCAACGCTATAATAGCATGTTAGACTCCTGGGGGCAGCACTTATCGATATTGCGTGCTTCTTACTCCACTCAGATGTTGTCTGAACGATGCCTCTTTGTTAGGGCGATATATTCAAGTGGTGCGTACACATACATCGTAATACCACTTGGATATGGGTAAGGAGTGCGTGATAGATAACCAATTCCTATGCACTTCAAAGTCGGTCGACCGGCTATATCCCCCAGACCGCGCAATTGGCACGCAGACTCTGTACACAGATATATACAACGTACTAGGCGGGAAACAGGAGGAGCTTGAGACATGTCGACACGATGAGTATGTCCCATTCTGCGGGCTCTAGGTGTATCACAGATCGCCAGAGGGAAAGCTTGGGCATGGGCTTGGCTTCATCATGCTCTGGGATTGTCGCAGGATGAGAGGGCTCGCCGTCGGGGAAAGTGCGAGACGAAGGGGAAGAAGGCGTCGTGGCTCTTGATCGCTGCATGCTGGCAGCCGGCGACCGTAGCACAGGTTCCACGAGCAGGGTTCAATACTCAGAACCTAACGTGGCAGAAACCAAGCAGTGCACAGACAAGCAGGGCGACTAATGAGAGCGTTATAAGTCAAGTGTGGCAACACGAGATCGGACACGACACTCGATCGTTGTGCATTCGATCTCCGCGAGTCCCCTCTCCGAAGCCACCATCGTGCATTAGCCTGTCTCTTTGCAGCGGTGACCTGCTTGCCAATGTGGATATCTGAACCCTGAACCACCCAACGTATACACCAGAAAACTTGAGGATCCTCCACAAGCCAGTGTGCCGCTCGTCATGAGCGCACAAGTTGCCGTCGCTAAAACCACCGAACAAGCTGCGTACCAAGGGTATGTGTAATCTTACCGTTTGTTTTTCCGGCCTGACCTGCAATCGTTAGCGGTGTTCTGGTCAAGCTCCTGATATTCAGTGCTGCCCTCGCCATTGCTCCTGTCGCATCCTACTTTCTCTCGAAGGACTACCTCTGGGAAGGTACGTTGGTCAGTCAATTGTGTTCTGCAGTTGGATCATAAAGTCGTTACAGGCAACACTACACTGGCAGCAATCACCGCCATCATGTCCGCAAACACGGTTTTAGTTGCGTATATCGTCATGTCAATACGCGAGGAGCGACTTGCAACGGTGAAACCTGCCACCTCGCACACCACTGAGGAAAGCAAAAAGGATCGCTGACCCTACCCTGATACACTTGTACAGTACTGCATGACTTTTAAATCTCATGATAGCATGTCAAATATCCTGGGTCACTTACGAATCAATGACGAAGCAGACTCAGATTCGTGACGCTCAATGGCAGGTGTCCGAAGATAACAGATGCATTAGGAATGGTACTACACGATAGGGTTACATTGATGTGGTATGCATACTATGGATGACAGATCTAGGTTGAAACACAGTACAGACGGCGCAGATGGGTGGTGCAGGACAACATGAGACGGGTGCATAAAAATAAGATAAGCGACGACGAGCGGAGGGCATCTAGAAGTCTTCATCGAGAGAGCTACGCGAACAATGTCAGAACCAAACGGATGTAAAAGCAAGCGAGGACTTACAAAACTTTCGAAGCAACTTCCGACTTCGAGCTGAAAGCAGACGCGTTGACACCCGCCTTCGCGTAGTCCGACACACGCTTCTCGAAGAAGTTCGTCTTTCCCTGCAGCGAGATCATGTCCATGAAATCGAAGGGGTTCGATGAGCCCCAGATTTTCGCATGACCAAGGGCAACAAGCAGACGGTCCGCAACAAACTCAATGTACTGGCACATGAGCACAGAGTTCATGCCGATGAGTGCACAAGGAAGAGCATCTGCAGTAGAGTGAGCATGAAGATGTCGAACAAAAGCAACGCCACGTACCAGTCAGGAATTCTTGCTCAATGTCAACCGCCTCCTTGATAATCCGCCTGACGACCTCCGGGTGCGGCCGCCTCTTGAGGTGGTTGAAGAGCAGGCATGCGAAGTCAGTGTGCATGCCCTCGTCACGGCTGATGAGCTCGTTGGAGAACGTGAGACCGGGCATGAGACCACGTTTCTTGAGCCAGAAGATCGAGGCGAAGGACCCAGAGAAGAAGATACCCTCGACAGCGGCAAATGCAACCAACCTCTCGGCGAAAGACGACTTCTTGTCCGAGATCCAACGCAGAGCCCAGTCGGCCTTCTTCTTGATGCAAGGAATGGTCTCAATAGCATCGAAGAGGTGCTCTCGCTGCTGCGGATCCTTGATATAAGTATCGATGAGGAGCGAGTACGTCTCAGAGTGTATGTTCTCCATCATGATCTGAAAGCCGTAGAAGCATCGTGCCTCTGCTGCCTGGACCTCATTGGAGAACCGCTCGACAAGGTTTTCGTTGACGATACCGTCAGACGCGGCGAAGAATGCGAGCACATGCGAGATAAAGTGACGCTCATTGCTGTTCATGCGGTTGTTCCAGTCGTGCATATCCTTGGACAGGTCGATCTCTTCGACGGTCCAGAAGGAAGCCTCGGCCTTTTTGTACATTTGCCAGATCTATGACAAAGACATAAGTCAAAGTAGACACAGAAAGACAAAGCCACCGACCTCGTGATATTGAATAGGGAAGAGGACAAAGCGGCGTTTAGACTCCATCAAGAGCGGCTCCATGTCTGTACATCCGGTGAGCTTGACCATGCGCCACAACAAGTCTAGAACACGTACTCTCAGGAAGGTCAACCTCGCCCACCCATTGGTTGCGATACTCGTCGAATTCATCCTCTTCCTCATCCTCAATTAGCGATTTAGGTGATTCAGCCTTGCGCTCGTCGTCAATCAAGTTCAGGGACGGGAGCTTGTCCGCCTTGGTAGGCGACGCGAGTGACATAGCACTAATAGCTGCTGCAGCCTAGAAAAACGACGCGTTAATGTGACTCTATGTGACGCGTCGCGACGCGTGACATACCTTCTTGCTCGGCGTAGGAGCAGGAGAGAGAACACGAGGAGGAGTGCTCATGCCAGCGACGGACATTGTTACAGGTGAAGAAGATATAAGAGTATGAAGATCTCGGCAAAGAGTAGAGCTGGTGGGCGGTGGTAGAGAAAAGAACAGGAAACACGGGCGGCTTTATACTGTTTGGCTTGTTGGCGCGTTGTTTGCGTGGTTCAACAAGACGCGTCGCGTCGCGTGTAATTAAACAAAGCGTGTTCTCACGTGATCGTTGTAGCCACAAAGACGGATCGCTCTGATTGGCCCGCTTATTAGGCGCGCATACCTAGAACTGGCAAAAACGCGACCACGACTCACGTGCCGACATCAATCACGGTCGCGAACTTTTCACCGCTCGCTCCACGCGCTGACTGAGCAAGAGAGGCAAGAATAGGAGGCTGCACTTTGCAATAGAACCACACGAGGCCATCTTTGATTTGAGTACCGCCGTGCTGGGAATTCTTCCCCGTCAATATCCGCCACCTAAAGCAGCCACGCGATGCCTGACGGTGGATCCACCGAACAATCTTGTTCTAGACCTAGTCAGACTACAAAGGTTATAAAGGAAAATGATGCGTCACGAACACCTCCACGCTTTGTCGGTGAGGTGGACTTACCTGAACGTGAGTGATCTCAGCATGAAAAAGGAAGTGGCATGCACACCCGCTGATACGCTCCCAGACCTAGAACCGCTGCTCACGGAGTCCAAGCGGCGCTTTGTCTTGTTCCCGATTCAGTACCCAGAGGTTCGCACCGTCCACCACATCCGCATTACCATCAATTGACTTTTCTGCAACAGATATGGCGCATGTACAAGCAAGCCGAAGCATGTTTTTGGACGGCAGAAGAGATTGACCTTTCGCATGATCACTGGGACTGGAACGACCGCCTCAATGACAATGAACGCCACTTCATCTCACACGTGCTCGCATTCTTCGCCGCGTCTGACGGTATCGTCAACGAAAACCTCGTCGAGCGGTTCTCCAATGAGGTCCAGGTAGCAGAGGCACGATGCTTCTACGGCTTTCAGATCATGATGGAGAACATACACTCTGAGACGTACTCGCTCCTCATCGATACTTATATCAAGGAGCCCAAGCAGCGTGAACATCTATTCGACGCGATTGAGACTATTCCCTGCATCAAAAAGAAGGCCGACTGGGCCCTGCATTGGATCTCGGACAAACAATCATCTTTCGCCGAGAGGCTGGTCGCATTTGCCGCTGTCGAGGGTATCTTCTTCTCTGGCTCTTTCGCGTCAATATTCTGGCTCAAGAAGCGTGGTCTAATGCCCGGTCTGACCTTCTCGAACGAACTCATCATTCGAGACGAGGGCATGCATACCGATTTTGCATGCCTACTCTACCATCATCTCAAAAGGCGGCTGCATCCATCAGTAATTCTCAAGATTGTCACCGAAGCGGTCGCAATAGAGCAAGAATTCCTGACGGGTATGATGGTGACTTCATTGTCGGTCAGAATTACGGGTATTGACCTGTGTATCGAATGCAGACGCACTGCCCTGCGCTCTCATTGGCATGAACGCGCGGTTAATGTCCCAGTACATCGAGTTCGTCGCCGATCGCCTTCTCGTCTCACTCGGAAATGAGAAGCATTACCAAGCAACGAATCCCTTCGATTTTATGGACATGATCTCCATGCAAGGCAAGACCAACTTTTTCGAGAAGCGGGTATCCGATTACGCCAAGGCAGGCTTGAAGACTGGCACAGACGCCCCTGGGGCAGCCACACACAATGCTAGAGCCTTGTCAGTTGTGCTTTCTTTTCGGAATCTACTGAGACTGATATTCACTTCTTACCAGCTCCCTCGATGAGGATTTCTAGATATGACCTCTCTGAAGCAGCGAATCAGCATCGTGTCAGGCGACAATCGCCCGAACGACAATCGCCACTCACTTTCGCTGATCCGCCTCCGCACGCCAACGCGCTGAAGTGGCGTACCGCTTGATCTTGCTTAGCGTTGTATCGTTATCCTTTTCTCCATCTTACCTTATCTTACTGCAATGTACCGCTACTCAGTCTGTCATCGCAATTTCCCGCACAGATTCTACCTTCCACTTAGCATGAAAACGGGACAGTGTAGAGACACTACTTTTAGTACACAAACTAATGTCATGAAATAGACTAGAGCTACATATATGTGCCGAATAGGGCAGCACAAAGCGAATGCTGTCAATGAGGGGTCACTTCTTCGCTATGTGGACGACTGTGAACTCTGTTAGTGCGCGTGTGATTCCACAGGCATTGGGAGGGCGTACCATCCTCATCCTCCAGCACATGTTCCAAGCCGACTTTCTGGCCTCTTGCATGCTTCGCGCTCGCGCCCCAGACAATTGCGCTGTATGCCACAGGAATATCAGTATACATAGGGTACCAACCCACTCAATGTATGCGCACTATTTCATCTGCTTGGCGATCTCCTTGTGAATCGCGCTACAGAAGTCCTCTACGGCAGACTTCCCTCGTCTCAGCACAACTGGCGAGCTGTAGTCTGGAGGTGCACCGCGAGGCTTTGTGTATACCCGCACAAGATCCAGTCGCCGCCACATTATGTCCATGAGCTCGTCGATGTTGAGCCATTCACGAGAAGATATGGGAACACTGTTGGGTATTTTGTATAGGAGGTCCAGTTCTTCAATCGAAATGGCATCAATCTGGCTGATCGTAAGCGACGTCGAGGTCGATACATGCTCCACGAAAGCATACCTTGTTCAGCACCTGTGCACGGCAAGACATATTAGCAATAAGTCATCGACTATTTTAGTAGGACGCACGTATATCGCGGGGATGTACACCCTGGCAAAACAGATTAACGCTCTGCAGGCTAACATCCAACGGATGTCTCACCTGTTACCCTCAATGACGTCGACAAGGTCGTCCGCGGTAGCATTCGGCTGTCGTATCGCGACATCACAGTTGCTCAGCTTGTACTCGCTCAAAATCGCCTTGATTTCATCATGGTCGATCTTTGTCAGGGGTACAGTATTCGTTATTGCGATGCCGCCCTTGTCTTTCTTCTTGACAGTGATTGCTGGAGGTTTCTTGTTTAGTCTGATGCCGAATGCCTCAAGTTCGGATTCAATGATTGTCTTGTCACCGAGAGGCTTGAGCACGTCGAGGACGATGAAGATGAGGTTGCATGTGCGCGCGACTACGGATGATCCTCAATGGTGGTGCGCCTAGAGGAGATAAGGGAGCATACCGGCAATGACTACGACGCGTCAGACATTAATGCACCTCAAGGTGATTTTTCGGACATACCTTGTCGACCTCTACCTCGGCCGTCATTTGCACCCTCGATGATACCAGCTGGGAGACACGTTGAGATATGCATCTACGGACGTGGGTAATAACGCATACGAAGATCAAGAATCTGAATTGGAGCGCCATGCACTTTCAGCGTTCCAGGGACCGTTGTGAGCGTGGTGAAGTCGATCTCAGAAGTCTCTGAGTGCGTGCCGGTGAGTTTTGACATTAGGGTCGACTACGAGCCATGAGCAGGTGCGTGAGTATGCGAAGCCTTGTCGTGCACTCACCTTGCCAACCGAGGGGAAGCCGACGAAGCCCACTGACGCTATACCGGTCCTGGCGACATCGAAGCCAAGGCCGCCTCCACCACCACCTCCACCCGTCGGCCCGAGGAGCTCGCGCCTAAGCTTCGCGAGCTTGGCCTTGAGCTGCCCCAGATGGTAGCTCGTGGCCTTGTTCTTCTGGGCTGTGATCGCCGTGTAAGAGGGAAAACGGGCGCAAATGAAATGCAGGACATACTCCTGGCCTGGCACACTCGATCAGCAACTGGACGAAGGCTTAGCTAGTGAACCCCGCGCACCATCTCATCTTCGACTTCCTTGAGGGCGCCATGTGTCAGGTCAGAGCAAACTGCATTGTTTGTGTGCGCACCTTGATCTTCTGTACAGTGGTCATGGCTGCTGTATTGAAGGATTGTTTTGTGTCCGGAATAGGCAGGTGGAAGTAGAGTAGAGAAACGGGCGCCTGTGTGGGCGGCTAACGTATAGCAACTGCGGCGTGCAACGGATTTCCCTGTCCAGCTTCCGTGCCAGTGCTTGTCTCCCTCCTCCCAGGTCCGCCTCTCCGTCTCACGCCTCCAGTCCTTGTCTCCAGCCGCTCATTGCTCCCCAGTGGCTGGCTGGTCCCGGCGCTGCTCCCTCATCGCGGTCCTCTCGTCGCTGCCTTTCCTTGCCCCCGACCAGACACTCATTCCTTTACCACGCTTGCTGAACAGTCATGTGCGGTAACTCTACTTGGAAGCGAGAGGTTGTCCCCGACCATAAGGTGAAATTATCGTGTCTGTTTAGCTGTTGATCGCCTGACCATAGCCGCTTAGTTTGACTTCGTCGATACTCGGGACTTCACTGACCATTCATGTGGGATGCGAATGAAGTATGTAGAGTCTGTTCCCTGTATACGCATGAAGCTCATGCTTCGTTCATGACAGATACCTGTGGCTCTACATCACTGTCCTCATATCGTTCCTGGTCTACATTTCCGACATCTTCACCGCTGTGACCATGTTGACGTCCAGTACATGGTCGAACGCGATCTACAATAGTTGTCCTCCGACTGAGGAGAACGGCTGTGTGTACATTCCGTTCAACGTCGGCAAGTGGCTGTTTTTCGGATGTATTATCGCCTCATTCTTGTTGGTGCGTCTCTCAAATTATGTTAATGGTGTGGACTCTAACGGTCATCAGTTGGCATATGAGATGCGTAAAGCGAAGAAGATCATCGCCAGTCGCGATATCTCCTACGCATTCACGAACGTTCTGGCTAACAGCTACTACTCACTACGTGAGTGTCGCCACTTATTATGTTGCGGGCCTCTCATTGCAGGTCGACAGGGTCTTATGATCACTTCTGTTTCTTCAACCACATTTCGAGCTCCACCAAGAGGATGGATGACTTTGCCTTCTTCGTGTTCTTTACCTTCAAAGGTGAGTACGCATGTATAGTATCCTGTAGCGTGGCTGACCTGATGGCACTGCTCAGGTTGGAAGCGGTTGATATTCGCGGAGGGCCCGCGTCAGTCAATCAACGCACTCACCTTGTATGCTCTCTATCTCTCGAAGGAGGACAAGGGCGCGTGGTACGATGTCGACAAATACTTCAGCGGCAATTCCTACATCACCATTGCCCTGACCATCTCCACTGCCTTCACCACGCTCATCTTCGCCCTCTCGCTCATCATGCTGATAGCTGCCGGTATATGCTATGTTCCGCTGCTTTGTTACATTCAGGGAAATCTCAAGGTGGGTTAGTTAGTGCAGCGGACTTCCCCCCTTGATAACCTCGTATTTGTAGGAATACTGTTGCTATAAGGTCGACAAGGTAACCCTTCGCTAATCTGTGTGTGATCGGAAACTCACACCTTGCATGTATACAGCGTATTGCCGAGATTATCAAGCGGAGAAACAAGCAGCGTCTCGCGAAGGCTGCGGCTCTTGCTAAGAAAGAGGCTGCCGGTGACTACTCCCACCTCAAGAACAAGAAGGGAGAGTTCATCGCGAAGCCGCTTCCTCAACCAACGCTGCCCAACGTTATGCTTGACGACGACGACGACAAGGCTTCCATGCGCACGCGTGGTCCGGCCCCAAGTGTGTTCAGCGGGCAGAACGACTACTACTTCGAGCAGAAAGGCGCCGCGCAGTTCAGCCCGGACTATAACCCGGTCGACTATCCTCCCATGCCGACCTATAACCAGCCGTACTCCCAGCACCACCAGTACAGTTCGTCCGTGGGCACGTTTGAGGGGGACCAACATGCCGCATATGAAGACGACTACGGCAGCACGGCCCACCTCACGAGCAGCGCCGCGCCGTTCGCGCGGACAGAGCCTGCGCGGGGGATGAACAATCCCTACAGTATGTACAGCGAAGGGAACGGTGCGGCCCCGCTGGACCCCGAGTATGCGCACCCGCAACCCGAGGCGTCATCGGGCATGGCGTATGATCACCATTCACCAGAGTACCAGGGCCACTACCACGGAGGATATGACTACGATGCAGGGCAGGCTCATGCTGTGTAGTCATGCCTCCCATTCCTTTCTTTTCTCGTGTCTATATATCTTGCACTTTTTTCATATATCTGGCTTGTTTGTTCTTCACGGGCATCATCCTCTAACTTACCACACAGTCAATTCATTGTACTCTTAGCTTCTGCATGATGGACCCGTATGTGATCTCGAACTGTGCGGCTTCAGTGGACTTGCATTGTGCAACATGGAACACATTGGCATAGGACGTGCTATTTAGCACATTGTTACTTATCTGCGACGGTGATACGAGAATTTCTCCACTGTTCTCTTTCCATGGCGGCCTTCTCAGCTCTCCAGGCGTGATTTCGAGGAGCTGCTGGATCAGGGGCGAAATGCTTGTGCAATGGACCCCATCGTTGCAGGGGCCAAACGATGAACGAAAGCTTAGATTCGATAAGTGCAAGGGGGACCTGTCGGAGCAATTAAAGCGAGTGAACGACCGAAGGGCATTCAAAGAACGTACGGGTCCAAATGTGTTGCTGTCTTCCGTATGGAATGATTCGTCGCCTAGAGAGAATCTGTTACACGTATATGCTGTCAAGTAAAGCCCACTGTGCTCACCTTCAACCCAAGCGTGTCCTGGCGGAATGCGGACTTCTGCGTCAGGATATGGTGGTAGTGTCTTTACCTGTCCAGACACAATGAGCGCGTAGCTGAAGGTTCATAAACCTGTCTTACCGTATCGCCTTCGAGGGCTACAACTCTCTTCACCACGAGCTTTGAGTCTGCCGGTGACCTAGGCATACGTGAGACAAGTCCACAAAAGCCACTCGCATTCATTAAAGATACGCACTGTAGGGCTACCACATCCCCTCGCTCATACTGCCGCAAGACACGGATAGCAAACCGGTTGAATACCACGATGTCTCGCCACGGCGACGAATCCGGATTCAGCGTTGGCTGGCTAGCTGCAGAATCAACAAAGCGCTTCTTGACAGAGTCCTTGCACGACGGACCTGCATGCTTCTGCCCTTGACCGATTTCAGGGTGTAGAAGTATTGCACGAAGATGACGCCGGTCGGTAGCCAGACTAGGGTCGACACCATTGACTTTAGATTCTGATGGGTGTTCATGAAGTCACGACATGAATGACGAAATGTCTTGAGGGCTCGCAGCATGCTGGGCAGGACTTGCTGGACTAGCTGAGCTGTGGATGTCGGAACGCGACATTTAACGCATTCGTTAATTCTCCGCGGCGCGATCGGCCTTTTGATGGTCGATCAATTCGTGAAATACAATCGTAGATTGTACTGAAGGTTGCAAATTCCAACCAGCCACTATCGTACACAATACGCATTTCATAGTCATACACGAGGCTCCTCGCTGCAAATCGCAATATAGAGTGAAGGAAAGCGCTCAGAGAACATGTGCGAGATGCAGCACAACATTCTTAGCAAGTTCTGGGCCAAGTCCATTCACTACTGTTGAGATCGCCTGTTTCACCGCAGGTCGCCCCCAACTCGGAGATGTCTGGAACTCACGCGCATGAGAAGACAACACGCATCAAGATGTATTATCATCCTCACCGTCACCGGGACTACGACTGCCCTGGCATTGTGCACTTCCAATAGCATTACTTCTGGCAGGATATCATCGATATCGCTGGTAGCCTCTGGATAAATCAAATCAATTGAGACGCGATGCATGGAATGTCAAATTCTACAACCTTCTGTAGCAGGTGCTTTGAGATTATGCTCCGGGTGAGCGAAGCTTACATAGTGAAATTTATCGAGTAGGGGACGACATGTCTCCAGGGGATACCAGGTATATTCCTCTGGGTCGGCCAGATAGGAAGGGTAGTAGTCCCCCTTATATCGCATCTTCTTGCAGGAGTGTATGTAGAATCCTGTTTATCAACGATCAAAAAGGTTGTGTTATTAGTACTTGCACGAGGCCCACTCTGCAGATGGACCCACCCATGTACAATGCCTTCAGGTCGACTACTCCGGCCGTATGAAGCTCTTTCGCCAATGATGCCTCTCGGAGAGCACTTAGCTATAAGGTACGCGTCATTAATACGTCTCCAAAATGCCCATGCATGGTACATTACCTTTCCTAACGAGAACCTCTCCCACTTGATATCATACATGAAGTACACACTGGATACGCAATTCGGAAGGATGTCGATGACTCCGATAGCAATCAATTCACCGTCTAGCCTGTACATCTGGTGGTACGACCCGTACTCTCGCGGAAGATGGTCTGGGCGTGCCCCGGGGTAAATGATAGCGTCGCGCTACAGGATTGAAACCTTTAGCGTTGATGGGGCATAATAGAAAGTCTGCTTACATGGAGAGGCGTCTCGACAAGGAATCTCTTGAAGCCGCCAGGGGCCTTTTCCTTCTCATGGTGGATCTCTTGTTGGTATTTCTGATACAAGACAAACTTCTCTTCGGTGAATGATGATGGCTCCAGGGTGACCTGACGTAAGAAGGCAGTACTGTTACTTAGAAAACATCAACGTTCGGAGCGCGCTGCATACCTCGAACTTATGTACTGGATTGTCGCTGGTACAGACGCTGTATTCAGTCGAGTGAATGGCCTCTGACAGCGAAAACGGCGGGTTCTTCGCGCTAGCCTTTCCTGTCGATAGAGCTTCCCTGGCTATCTTCAGCACCTCATCGCACCTGTGCAAATATGCTACCTACTTCTGAGACGCAGCGTCAACGGACCTGTCTCCATGCAGCACAAACCGATTCCAACTGGTGGCGATGAGCTGACAAGGCGGATACCGAGGAAGTTCGTATTTATTCACCGACTGATGATTTTTCTCTGGCTCTTTGAAGGTGAAAACTTGAGGGCATCGAGTCTAAATGATTCTAGCAGTCAAGGCCTCGAACGGCGTGGCCAGTGATGCAACTAACTTGATGGTATATGCTGGACAGCACGACCGCCTGAGGTCCGGCTTGTAGCAGTACGTTCCGGACCTCCTCCATCCTCGGTCAATCATCTTCTGATAAACCTGGAAATGGCGGAAATAAGAGCCCGACGAATGTAGCGAGTCAGCCTGAGGGTGCCAACTGCTACCAATGGACAATCATGCTTGCCTCACAAGAAATTTGGGTTGGTATACATTCCGCCGCGTGCCAGCTGGACGCCGTCTCACTACACCGCCCAGGAGGCGAGCAATACCCACATGTTGAATTGTGAGGCGTGAGCGGCGACAATATGGTTTGAAATACCATCCTATCATACGTATAATAGTCGTAAACACATGAAGGGATACCAGGAGGCAGCGCACCCTCTGAATCGTCCGGACGATGATGAGACTCGCTGCAAAGTTCCGTCTCAGACTATGCCACCGATTGACAAAGCTATGTCTTGCTTAGTGCTGAAGCGCTGGAACCTCGGCGGTCCCTACTATCAACGATCTCCGAGTCAGCTCCTGATCTCCGCATCAATCTGGGAGTCGACAATCTAACAACACGGGTATTTGGCGAAGACTGCCTCTGGCGCGATGTGAGCGAAATCACGATCATCGCCCGCAAATCTACATAGTCATAAATTGTAAACAACCACCAGACGCGAGTCCAACTAAGGCATATGGATACATGATTATAATGACACCCGAAATGATGATATTACAGTTGCGTGAAGGGAGGAGAGCAAAGCAAGTCAGAACAGTGGTCAATCCAGATGTATCTGTCAGTAAATATGGTCCATGCCTCAGTCTAACCCCAGCCGTCCCATCGTCCGAAACGCCGGAATTCCTGTAGGGCACACTCACGACTCTCCTTCCCTTCCCTCTCGCGCTCGCGCTCCTTGCCCTTGTCAATACGGGTGCCAAAGGACGAGACGCTGCCAGATCGGGGACGCGTCATGGATATGGCGCGGATGCTGGGAGGTGACGCCGAAATCACGGTGCCAGAAGTAGGGTGATGAGTCGGTGTCGCAGACTTCGGCGGTATAGATGATCTAGGTAACGAGAGGCGGTACCAACCTCCGGTGTATGTTAATGCGATTAATTGATGCTCCATCGCGCCTTGAGATGAGTCGTCCTGATTATTGGAAGGCGCCTGTATCCACCCTACGACGCATTTCTCCTCATCGATGTCGTCTGCAGTAGGGGGTCTCGATGGTGGAGCGGATAGGGATATATGTGATGATTGCGATGGTATGTGATATTGTGCGTAGGACCACTCAGAGTGAAAGTATGTCGGGAGGGGTATAAATGGCTTGAGAGGCGAGAAGGTAGATTGTCGATTCCTTTTGGGTAATCAGAAACTGTCTAAGAGCTGTGATGGATGAACTTACGATGATCCAGACCCTCCGACGAGGGAAAATACATGTACAGTGCCCTTGTCGCTCCAGACGCACACTTCCCGTTCATCGGGACGGAATGCTACACCATAGATCTCGGCCTTATCACTGCCTCTTCGCAGCTCTCTAACAAGGGTGCCTGTCGTCGAGTCCCAGACGCGGATCAGAGTGCCCCGTTCAGAAGTTGTCGCAAGGAAATGACCTGATGGAGGCACGGACAGAGTATTTAGAGCTGTAGTATGGGCCGCTATAATAGACACTGGGTGCTTCGTGGGAGGGGGTGGAGGTGGTCCAGGCGGCAATGACGATGGCGGATCCAAGGACTCTGGAGGAGGGCATGGCGGCAGGTGCACAAGCTGTACATGTCCCATTTGACGCCCCGGAATAGCAAGCAGGGTTGAATGTGTAGCGGTTGCGATGGCAAGCAGGCCTGTCAATGCGCGATCGTATACATCTCGTCGGTACGCTATCTCTCATAAGACAAGAAGCAGAGCTCACCCCGTGGATTATCGCATGTATCCCACTCGCCATACCTGGATATCTCCGTTCCTAGCTTGAAGACTACTACTCTTCTTCGCAGCGCGACCGCGAGCCAGCCCCGTCTGCAGGCAAGTCCTCTCACCCGTTCCCTGAACTCAAGCTCGGCAACCTCCCGCCCGAGGGCATCGTCCCAGAGAATAGCCTTGTTCGGCGGGTAGCGCGGGCTGCGACCACCTCCGACTAGGAACAAGAGAGATGATGTATGTAATGGTACCACCATACACAGGGTGCCGCCTGTAAGCTCTACTTCTCTGGTCAGCAGGTTGTATAGAGACCGGGCGGAGATGATCATCGTACCTCGCTTCCGGAGTAATTGGAGAGGCCATGCACGATAGACTGCGAAGCCGGCCTGAGTGGAAGTAGTGAAGATATGGCAATCTGGGTCGAAGCGCACGTCAAATATGAGGACCGGTGCTGTTGAGCTAATCGAATGGCGTGCCAGATTCATAGGTCTGGAGATGGTTGAGAGAAACTCAGACCAGAGGAAGGGGGTCCCGGCTGCGATCGTGCAGGTCCCATGCAGCAGCCGCACGGGCGTCGAGGAGTATATCAAGGTCACGTTATACGCGAGGTACGGGACCGCTGACATCCTGTTCTAGCCATGGTTACCCGCGGGATTGAAGTACAACGAAGACAAGTACAAGATGCAGTGGAAACCCTAGAAAAAATACGTTCAGTACATACTACATTCACCAAGCACAACCTATCCTGCTACACGTTCGCTAGCGAAACAGTGGGAATACAGCTAAATGTGTACATAACCGGCCATTCATTCAATACATTCGTCCATGTGAAATCGCGAAGCCTGACATCATCATCCGGCCCAGTCAGCCCCTAGAATGCGTCGAGCCTACGATGCTTGCCCCCGATGCGGAATAAACTGCAGCAGCGTACGGGGAAGACTGAACGCAAGTCGAATGAGAGGCGGAGACCTGAGACCGAGGCGTGCTGTTATTCCCATTCCATGACCTCGGAGGCTGCAGGTCCACCGACGCAAGTTGTTGGCGAGCCGCCTTGAACTCCTGCTCCTCCAACTGGTTCTGGGCCACCAACGCAGCCTTCGCCTCCGCCTGCCTTTGCAGCTCAGCCTCGGATTCATCAGACAAGTAATCCGTGAATCCTCCGTCTGATATGACCGTTGTCTCCGAGTTGCTCCCGCTGCTGCTGCTAGAAGCACTTGAGATGCTCATCGACGCCAACGATTTCTCGACAATGCTAGCGCGACGCTGCAACGGAGGAGGCGCCGTGCTTTGGCGCTCTGCAGCTCGATTAGAAGTGATTGGAGGTGGTGACATCCGGTTAGGCGGCTGCTGAGTTTGCTGGCGACGACGCTGAGGTTGAGGTTCTACTGGGATTTTATTGGCGGGCGTGGCTGGAAGCGCGGCGGAAAGGGAAGGCCGACGCTCGACGTTACGGCGGGACAACGAGCCTCCTAGGTCCACATTCTTATGGCCTGGCGAGTGCTGCGACGCATTCACCGACTCGGAGCGTCTATCACCATCTGTGTTGGAACGGCGCGGGGGAGGCTGATATTGATCCATGGGGGATCGGCTCGGCAACGATGACGCTGTTCCGTCTCCATTTACGTTCGCGTTTCGGGTCGTATTGTTCGTGAGAGCCGCGGTAGCCTGTTGTGGACTGCCACCTGAGCGTCCTCTAACAGGGATCGGCGCAACCGGTATACGGGCAGAAGTAGTCTCCAACCTCGTAGGGCTTCCAATTTGATGGCTGGCGCGGCGCGACATCGTCGGCGCGAAGGTCTGAGTGTTCGAAGCGCGCGCACTGCCCCCAGGACTGCCAGACCCGCCCTTGCCCGTAATGCTGTCTAGGAGGGACTTGATCTCCGGCGGGATCGGAGTGCGATGGACAACGCTGACGGCGGGCCAATCTGCGGCGCCGATGTGCCTCTGCTCCTCTGGCAGAGGTGGTCGACAGCATCCTGGCCAGCCCGGGTTCTGATACCCAGAAAGCCTCGCTGGTGGGTTTGTGGCGGCCCACTGTTCTTTCCGTTAGCGTCGATCCGATCGCCAGAGATCCACACAAACAATCACCTTGCAGAAACCACACCCGCTGAACGTTTGTACTGTCAAACGCTTCAGCAGGGTCCTCATTTGTGGCGTCGACCCAGAAAAGAAGCTCACCCTCGGCGTTTTTCAGATACACCACGTCGTGTCGGGGATGCAAAGCCCTATTGCGGCAGACGTCCTTGATGTGGGGGCACCTGAACGGCGAGAATGGGCGCTATGACTGGGGACAACGGGAGAGAGAGCTACCTGACGTTGCCGATCGGCTTGAAGACCTTGCACATCGGGCAGACACCCGTTGCTTGATCAAGAGAGCCGTACGCGTAGCACATACTAGCGAGATGGAGCAGCAGCAGACGAACAGGGCAGGAGGTGCCGCAGGCTGGACCGAACAAGAGGTGCACTATAAGAGGGCTACAGGGCCGTCTCCGCTGAGAACGAACTTGAAGAAGGGATGCATGCGGTTCCTTTTCGTGTCGCTGATCAAGTGCATTTAGGCGGATCAAGCGTTTACAACGATACCACTGGTCTACAGTGAAGCGGGGTAGGCAGAGCTGGTCTGCGGTCGGTTCTGGCAGGGATCGTGGGGGTTCTACGCAACCTCTGGTCTACCATGCTTCGTTTTCATGTCCCTGCAGCCTCGAGGCTGCATCGTGGACAGAGGGCAATTAAGTTCTTGTCGGATAACCCATTAGTTCCCTTGTTTGCACTTGCCTATCTGGGGTTGTCGATAATCAAAATGCCTATGACGCGCTCCAGGCGCTGTGTTGCACCGCTTGGCACCGCTCGTGTCTGCACCCTCTTGTAACCGACCGTCTCCACTCACCTGAACGGCTAGCGCGCGCAACACACGCTTGATATCATGGGGAAATCACAGAGTAAGCTATCACCTGAACAACTTGCGGATCTTCAGAAGCACACGTACTGTATGTTGTTCTCTATATCGCATTACGACAGGATTTACCGACGTTGTAAAGTTGATAAGCGGGAGCTACAACAATGGTATCTCACGTCATTCGTTTGCCGCCCTCTTGTCACTGAAACATCAACAACGACGACAGGTACAAGGGCTTCCTGAAAGACTGTCCGTCTGGCCACCTGGACAAGACCGAGTTCGGCCGGATTTACAAGCAATTCTTCCCCTTTGGAGACCCCGGCGAGTTCGCGGACTATGTCTTCAATGTCTTCGATGAGAACAAGAATGGCACAATTGACTTCAAAGAGTTTATATGTGCACTCAGCGTCACGAGTAGAGGAAGGCTGGATGAGAAGCTAAGATGTGGATCTTACGCCACGTCCGCAATGCTGTTGTCATTGACGCGTTCTTTTTGCAGGGGCATTCCAGTTATATGACATCGACGGCGACGGCTTCATAACATACCAGGAGATGCTCAAGATTGTTCAGTCAATATACAAAATGACTGGCCAAATGGTGAAGCTCCCGGCGGACGAGGACACACCAGAAAAGGCAAATTCGGTCGCGTATCATTGTTGCACACTACTAACCTTTGTCATAGCGTGTGGACAAGATATTTAGAAACATGGACCGCAACAAGGATGCCAAGCTTACGTATGATGAATTTGTAGAAGGGAGCAAACAGGATCCCACAATCGTACAGGTTTGTCCAGAAACTTATGTTATGCGAGACATAATCCTTGACCGTGCTTCTAGGCCTTGTCATTGTATGATGGTCTCGTATGACATGGTTACTTTACTCTTATGCTCATCTACCACTCGTGATGGCCGTGGACTTCCCGTTTTGCATGTCCCCTCAAGCCCTGGACGGAACCCACGAGTGCGTGGCTGTACTTATAATCATCACCTTTCGCTATCAGTTTGCTCTCCGGACACATGGGTTTCAGAGGTTGTAGGAACCAATTGTACTTCTATCTCATGTGTAGAAGACCATTGTACTTTACCACCCCACATTTACTCAGGACACCTACCAACTTCCGCATAAATAGATTAATTAATGACATACATGCGTGTACCGCCTGGTAGATACACATAGGTCGCACTAGGACAGTCGACCGTACTTCTTCAGGATCCGTGTCTCGACGTCTTTGCCAACCCATTCGTACAGACCTTCAGCGAATTCCAGATTATCTCGTTCGGCCTTGAACGATTTGTTGAAATCCTGGGCTTGTGGCGCTTGAGGAGCCGCAGCGGCTGCTGCAAACGGGGTGGTCATGTCGCGGGACGAGTCGGCAGCTAAAACAGACAGATGTTTGTCAGTCAGTGATAGTAGAGTAAGAGCATGTGTCATACAGTTTTCATTTCCGAGTATGAGGCGATACAGGCCATTCAAGCCGAAGAAGTTAAGAAAGTACCAGGAGAGCGAGGAGACCCAGCGAACATCCATGTCAGGGGTCTCCACGCCGCGTTGGAGCATAGACTTGAACCCCAATGTCAGAGGGAACGGGAGCTTGACTGAGGGGTCATACGTGAGTCATTTCTGGGCAGCATTCCAACGTACAACTTACTAAGTACAAACCCCTGGAAGAAGAAATTGATCCAGCCCATGATGACCATCTGGGGTACCATCATGACCATCTGCGTCTTCATACCAGCCATCATTCCGTCCATTTGCGATGGGTCCGTGAGTGGATTCGGGGGAGCGGACGGCGCGTCGCCTTTCGGTGGTCCATCCTTCAGGTAAGTTCCGTCGACGAAAGCCTGCGAGAGATGCTGCGAGATGGACCGGTATACAGATGGCGGGACGGGGGAGTTAGCGGAAGTGGTACGCAGTATTTGCGCGCGCATGAGGGCACGTCTACGCGAACTGTCAGCTAGGACACGCACCAACCTCGGTAGGACAGACTCACTGCTCGCGTATTGCAGCTCGTGATAGCTTTTTCGGTGGCGACTGGAGGAGGAGAACAACGTAGTGTCTTAGCACTCCCACTAGAATCTACGCGCGAACTTGGGTCAATTGACATGATTTCAGAGTTACGCGATCTTGAACCATACCATGACCAGTGTAATGGGAAATAGGACCCAGTCGCGGATCTGGGGATCTAGGTACAGAGAAGCCCTGCAAGAAGTTCAGTTCAGGTTTCCTTGAGGTAGCGAGTCGCATCCAGACATACGCAGAGCTCGCCATTTTGTGCGTCGCGGGTGATGTGGGCTGGAGCTCGCTGTCGCCTCTGTCGAGTTGGCTGAAGCACTAGAGGATCTATAAGCGCCTATCCCGAGGCCATGATCGGGCCCGGCGCCTCGGCATATGCTTATACCTCTGACCATAACCATTGTCCTCTTTCCTTAGTGCATCACTGATGTCCTTTACTGCTCATCTCGCATACCTGACCGGATCCCAAGAAGAATCGTCTGACAGCGACCGCCGCGCGATCGACGCATGGACAAGGTTAGTAGTTTTAGTTGAGCGCGTTGCGTCGGCTCACTCGACTGTGGACAGACTTGACACAAAGAGCAAAGGCACGCACCCCATAACTCTATCACGAAATATTTCTCTTAAGCATAGGTTGTAGCTGCTGCAGATCACATCGCCAGCGACGATCTTGAAGCTGAGGGGGGTTGGAGCTCGGTGCTCGAAGTTTACGGTAGTCAGGCAAGCTCTTCTAGCGGACAATATTCCACAATAGTATCCAGGCTGCTGTCGTGTGTAAAGTCTAAGATTGTACCCATGTGTTCCTCAATTCACGTCATTGTACGAATCTTCAGGAAGCCAAATATTGAACCTCTAATACCGTCCCTCCTCACTACGCTCTCCTCGGAACGACAAGATGACGATATCTCTGGGGAACTCGTCGAGGCTATTGGTTTTGACAATATCGAACTAGCAACGGACATCTTAGTCAACCGTCGCCAAATTGTCCGAGAAGTGAGTTGATGCACTACTGTGTATATTAATGAATTGACGTCGTAAAATCACCTTTAAAGCTAGAAAGCGTGGTAAAGAATCGAGCCACGTCGAGACCTGCCGTCATAGGAAATAGTAGAGCTTCTGGGTCTCAAGGTAGAGATCACATTCCGTGCAATATGGCCACGCTCGAATATCCGCTGAGTGTTTACCAGGCGTCGGAGACATCGGCCTTGATCCTGAACAGGCTAGAAGGCGGATAGAAGAGACCTTACGGGCGAACGCTTCCCGTCCACTCTTTACTGGAACAGCAGTAGGCTGACATTCAGTCTCATTAACCGCTCGCGATGTTCACCCACATTCAGGATAACGCGCCAGAAACACTGCCACATGTATACACATCCTCGTCGATGGTCCAAGGCAATGTTCTTTCTCATCTCGGCACGAAGTACATGTTGCCACTGGGTACAGTTCGGCAGGATTATGAAGTGAGTTTCTTAGGCATTGCGTAGTTGATTGATAAACTCAAGAAGTTCTCCTAAGGATTACGAAGAAGTTATCTTACCCCCCGCTAATGCTGTTCCTCCCCGCGCGACCGAACGACTCATTCCTGTGACTGAGCTCGATGATCTCGCAAAAGGGTCGTTTCCGGTGGGGTTCCTGCTTGTATAGCGACCAGCATACCCATAATAGCCCAACGTTGCAGGGGTACACTTCATTGAACAGGATACAGTCTATTGTGTATCCGACTGCATACAAGTCCAACGAGAATATGCTTGTATGCGGTCCGTGGTTTTGGCTTTTGGTTGAGTTTCCAGGCTGACCCCTTCTTTTAGCTCCCACCGGCGCTGTCAGTATGCTTGTGACTGTTACACTATCAGCGGTCCCGCTTACGCGCGCCATGCATAATTCCAGGGTAAGACAGATGTCGCTATGTTGGCCATCCTACGCGTCTTGGACCAACATCGTGGTCCCGCGAAGGGCTCGTCTTCGTTAGCCTCGACCATCAATCGAGATAAATTCAAGATCATATATGTGTAAGTAATTTTGCTGAATTCTGGTCGTTTCATGGAGTATCGACAACGACGGATGCATAGCGCTCCTATGAAAGCGCTCGCATCGGAAATTGTGCGAAAACTTGGGAGACGTCTGAAGTGGCTGTCGATCACGGTCCGAGAACTCACAGGTAGGTGCCGATATTCCGCCATCGGAGTAACGTCATGTATGGTGTTCTAGGCGACATGCAGTTGACAAAGAAAGAGATCGCCGAAACGCAAATTATTGTTACCACTCCAGAGAAGTGGGACGTAGTCACTCGCAAACCAACCGGGGAGGGTGAAGTAGCATCTGTAAGCTCAGCTAAAATATATAATTGGAACCCCCGTAGCTCATGGTGCGGCCAGACAGTGAAGCTACTCGTCATCGATGAAGTCCATCTTCTCAACGACGACCGTGGTGCTGTGATAGAAACTATCGTTGCTCGTACCCTGCGACAGGTCAGTCAGCCTATCGTTTTATATAAGTCGACGGAATGTAACTATTGCATAGGTCGAGTCCAGTCAATCTGTCATCCGCATCGTGGGTCTGAGTGCCACTCTGCCAAACTATATCGACGTTGGCGATTTCCTGAGGTATGCTTGATATTCAAGGCTCTTTAGGATCTCCGCTTATTCGTGGAAAGTGTGAACCGATACACTGGGCTTTTCTATTTCGATTCATCCTTCAGGCCTGTTCCTCTGGAGCAGCACTTCATTGGAGTGAGGGGCAAGCCAAACAGCCAGCAGTCACGCAAAAATCTCGATCGAGTCACATTCGACAAGGTCAAAGAACTGGTGCATGAGGGGCACCAGGTCATGGTTTTTGTGCATGCCAGAAAAGAGACAGTAAAATCAGCGCTGGCGCTTGAGGAGGCCGCCACGGCCGAGGGCGTATTGGATGAATTCAGCTGCGAAGATCATCCTTCTTTCTCACTCTTCCGCCGTGATATTTCCCAGTCCAGGAATAAGGAGATGAAGCAGTTGTTTGATACTGGCTTTGGGATTCATCATGCTGGCATGCTCAGGAGCGACAGGAACATGATGGAAAGAATGTTTGAAGCTAGAGCAATTAAGGTAGGGCTTCTGTTTCCACCCTTTCATGACTGAATGGTTTTTAAGGTTCTATGCTGTACAGCCACATTGGCATGGGGAGTAAACTTGCCTGCACACGCTGGTCAGCTCTGCCTTCTTCTTATATTGCTCCATCATGTCTGATAAGATATAGTTATTATCAAGGGCACTCAGGTCTACGACAGTGCCAAGGGTGCATTCACCGACCTCTCTGTCCTAGACGTCTTGCAAGTGTTTGGACGGGCGGGTCGACCTGGATTAGAAACCAGTGGAGTTGGGTTCATTTGCACAACTAACGACAAACTAGACCACTATCTCGATGCTGTCACCGCTCAGGTAAGGGAAAACCAGCGTGCCTGTCTAAGGATCTGCTAATTCTACTTACAGACTCCAATCGAATCGAGGTATGTGGTTTCTCGCTATGGAGAGCTTCTTGAGACAAGCTGTGTTTCAGATTTACCTCCGGTATGATCGACGCTTTGAATGCGGAGATCGCATTGGGAACAGTGGCTAACGTGCGCGACGCGGTGCAATGGCTGGGATATACATACATGTTTGTTAGAATGCGCAAGAACCCATTCCAGTATGGTAAGAGCTGAACAAGAGCCACACGATATTGCACAAGTATTGACTGTGGTGACAGGCCTAACGCGCGAGCAAGTGCAAGATGATCCATCTCTAGGTGCCAAATGTGGTCAACTTGTTCTTGAGTCGGCCTCAAAACTCCAAGAAGCACGAATGATCACCTCTGACAGTAGCAAGAATTTCACGATCACAGACCTGGGGCGGATCGCTGCTAAATACTATATCAGACATGCATCCATCGAGATCTTCAATCAACTTTTCAAGCCCAGGATGTCTGAGGCCGACGTATTGGCAATGCTTTGCATGAGCACGGAAGTGAGCCTATGATCAGATACGTGCCCTCAAGCGTTCGCTGACGTTCCCAGTTTGATCAAATCCAAGTTCGAGAGAACGAGGTCAAGGAACTCGATCAGTTGATGAAATCTGAGGAAACAGTACCATGTTACGTGAAAGTACGTCTCGTCTCGTCTAGTTCGTTGATATTCGCCGAATGCTCAGGGGGTCAAAGGGAGGCACAGATACCAGTCAAGGCAAAGTCAATATTTTGCTTCAAAGCTACATCTCTGGTCGTAGACCCGATGATTTTGCCCTGGTTTCCGATCAAGCTTACGCGGCGCAGAATGGCGGTCGCATCGTGCGAGCTCTACTCGAGATCGCAATCAGCCGAAAATGGGCGAATGCGAGCTCCGTACTTATGGGCATGAGTAAGGCGATCGAGAAACGACTCTGGCCGTTTGAGCATCCACTCAAACAATTTAGCCTCAAGCCGGATGTTCTCTACAATCTCGAGAGGTGGGCGGACGAGTATTCGGTGGCAGAGCTTGCTTCACAGACCCCAGACGAGCTGGGAAAGCTAGTTCGTCTCAACGCGGACCATGGCCTAGCGATACGTAATGCGGCGAAGCAGTTCCCGACTGTTATGATTGACTGCAAGTTACGGCCGCTAGGCTTCGACGTGCTCCGAGTTGCGGCACGAGTTTCAAGGGACTTCAACTGGAATACCAAGATTCATGGACAGATCGAACCATTCTGGTTGTGGATTGAGGATAACGAGGGTTTGACTATTCTACAGCTCTCCCATCTCGCCTTTCGACAGGACGTAGACGCTCTCGACGTCGACTTCGTTATTGCGATACCGAACGGCAAGGCACCTCCATCTGTCACAATACGCTTTGTCTCCGACAGATGGATAGGAGCCGAAGACGAAGTCGCTGTTCCCTTGGATGGCCTCATCATGCCGTCTTCATCCGAATGCCATTCGCCTCCCCTCGACCTTCCTTTCCTCCCGCTATCAGTGTTGCATCAGCCTGCTGTTGAAAAGGCACTGTCCCGCCACATACGAGGTTTCAATGCACTTCAGACTCAGGCTCTTTGGAGTATCGTGAGAACCAAAATGCATGCATTGCTATGTGCTCCCGCGGGCTGTGGAAAATCGATCCTTGGCCAGATGGCAATATGGCAAGCTTCCCACCAAATCCCATTTCTTTCTCATGCTGATATCGTCTTAGGGAAATTCTACAAGACGCTCCTGATAACTCGTGGGTTCTAGTGGTTGCTCCTCGCCGTAGTGGCGTTTTCGAATTGGCCGCAGAAATGCGCGCTGTGTCGGATATTTTGAAGGTCTCCGTGTCGGTCGCTACGAGTGAGACACTCCTCAGGCCTGTCAGCAGCAGAACTGTCCGACTATCCAGCGTGGCAGATCTGCAGGCTGCCATGGGGCATCGACAAGCTGGGAAAGACGCGCTGTCTAGCTTGATGCTCGTCCTATGCGAGGATCTGCAGGATTTGGATGCGACCTACGAGCTCGGGGTTTCCCTGCTCCTGCATGCAACGCAAAGCCTTCCAGTTCGTTTCATAGGCTTATCGAGCTCGCTCAACGATCCATCCGACCTCGCATCGTGGCTCGGCGCCGACCCATTGGCTTTGCATAGTTTTCGTCCCAGCGACCGTGGCCAGTCGTTATCGGTTCATATCCAAACTTTCACAATCCCTCAGTCAGCCGCGCTGTTCAAAGCTATGGCGAAGCCAACTCACACGGCTGTTCAGGGTACTCCAAAGGAACCGTCGATCGTGTTCATTCCCTCCCGTAACCAGTGTCGATCGATAGCACACGATTTGATGACACAATGTGCACTAGGATCGGGAACGGACAGAGGCTATCTACCCGACGACGTGCCAGCGCAGTCGCTGAAAAACATTATCAATAGACTGCAGGACCGTGACAGTTTGGAGGACTTCTTGACGCAGGGCATAGGCTTCTACCACGACGGGATGACGAAGACAGATCGCAAGTTGACACTAGAGCTCTACGCAGAAGGCATGGTGCGCGTCCTCATCGTCCCCCGGGAAGCGTGCTGGCGGCTGCCTGTCCGAGCGGCAACCGTCGTGGTCATGGGTACGCAATACATCAGCGGCGAGGAGCGGCGGGTGCGCGACTACGACCTCCAGGAGCTCGTCCGGATGCAAGGACGCGCCGTGCGACATCATGGTGCAGGCCACTTCCATCTGTTTTGCCAGGCGGAGAGCAAGGACATATTCATCCGCTTCCTTGACGATGGTCTCCCGCTTGAGTCAAAGCTATTAGAGACAGGGCTGCTAGAGGCTTGGTACCACGACCGCCGGAAGGACGGCACTATCGCGGACAGGCAGCAGGCAGTTGACGCGCTCTCGTTCACTTTCCTTGCGCGGAGACTGAGTAGCAATCCGGTCTACTACGACGGGTCGTCGACGTCGGTTAACGAGCTGCTCTCACGCATCGTGGACAGATTAGAGGAAGGCGTGGCAAACGGTTGAATATAATGATAAAGGAAGTGACATGATCTATAGCAAGCGAAAGATAGTACAAATATGAAGAACACAGGTAAGGTATATGCAAGAGGACGCGAGACTCCTTTTTGTTAGTGGTTGTCAACTTTACTTCAAGTATTTTTTGAGAGCTTGCAGACGGTCGGCGGCGCGTCGCAAAGTATCGACGTCCTTGCAGAAGGCGAAACGAGCATAACTCTCGCCAATCGAGCAATGCTCCTCGCAGTAGAACTTGATCACAGATTATTTGGGTCAATTGCATGTGCGCTGATACAAACTGGGTATCTCACCTCGCTGACGGGGATCGAAGACACGCCAACTTCCATAGCAATGAACCAACATGCCCTAGACCCGCGTAAGAAGTGAACAGATTGCAAACAGGTAAGCGAACTTACCTGAAGTCTCGTCCTCTGCCACGCACGCTCTGGGGGAATGGGTAGTCCTCAGGCCATGTGACGTTGGAAACGTCCTGAAGCGATTGCACATCAGGCGAGCTGAGATCTTAATGAAGCACCATACATACCAGCAGGACAAAATAGCTGCCCTCGGGCTGCGAGTATTTCATGCCAAGCTTGTCGAATCCCGCGGTAAGCGCCAGGCGCCGCTCATCATACTCCCGCACTTGCTGTGCGAAGAAGTCGCGCCTTTCGACCTGCTCCAGACCGGCAGCGGCAGCCTCCTGGAACGGTGAGTTGGTACAGAACACAATGCGTGTCGTGGCGGCCAGCGTGGGCCTGATGATGGACGGGGGCCCGATGAGCCAGCCAATGCGCCAACCCGTAGCAGAGAACAACTCTGTTGAGGAGGCGATGAATATTCGCATGGCGAGGAGACAGATTATGCCTTACTCCCGGCAGAGCCAACTGTGACAGTGCGATCCCACATGCCTGGGAGTGTCGCGATGCGGACGTGCTCTTTGTTGTCGAAAACAAGGAAATCGTACTATTGAGCAACGTTACTTGGCGTCTAATGCGATTGATGTGCCGTACGAATACGCACCACTTCATCTGCCATCACAAGCAGGTTGTGCTTCTCAGCGAGGGCAGCGATCTTCTCGAGCTCTTCACGCGTGAAGACCTTGCCGACAGGATTGTGTGGGGTATTTACAATGATCATCTTCGTGCGAGGCGAGATCGCGCGCCTGGACAGCAGATCCGTCCGGTCAATCATGACATCGTGCGACAACTTCGGAACACGCACTCCAGCTCGTCGAAGTCGATCTTCCAGTCGTCGCTCGTGGGCTTCTCAGCCGAGAAGTCGGGATGGAGGGGCACGAAAACGGGGACGCCACCGTTGAAGGTCACAGACGGCAGATACTGGTCGAAGAACGGCTCGAACATGATCACCTCGTCCCCCAGCTCCAGGAAGGCGACAAACACGGAGTACTGTCCTGTCCAAACCGTTGAGAGTAAGGAGCCGCATGAGATACGTGAGGCTCACCTTCGTTCGCCCCACTCGTGACCAGGATCTCGGACTCTACGTCGAGGTTCCGCCCGAGCTGAGGACCGTATACATCTCTGATCGCCTCCCGAAGGCGCATTCGACCTTTCGGGTGTGAGTAGTGGTTAGGGGCGACGTGGTTCAAGGCCTCCTCAGCCGCCTCTTTCACCCACGTTGGGGGCGCAAAGTTCATGTAGCCCTGCCCTAGGTTGAGACAGTCCGCGGGCAAATTGGCGGCACTAGGTGGTCGTCGTCTGACTCGGCACGCTATTCATCTACGCACACTACGTACTTGAAGATGGACCACACATCTTCGGCCAGTGCCCTGCCTTCCTTGAGCCTCGATGAGAAGGGAACGAGGTTGGAACGGTCATTAGACTTCTTGAGTCCGTTGAGCGCGGTGCTCGAGCCGTTCGTGTAACCCGTGGCAGCAGCAGGAGACATCGCGAGGGATGCAAAAGTGTGAAGCGAGCGAGCAGGGAGTGTGTGGAGTCTGGCGAGTGAGTGAGTCAGATTGAACCCGGCACGTATGACCATCTCTTGGAAATGGTATTAGCTACAATCTTATATCCTGATGAGCGTCTGCGAGAGACCGGGTATTTCGTCGGGACTTGTGCTCAGCATTTTTCTCTGCCGGGAGACCAGGGTGACCGTGTTGCATATCATCGCGTGAACTTGCGCATATGTGCGTGATTGGCTGCCGTAAGGCACTCGCTCTCCTCACCGCCCGCTCCCACACATCGACTCAGCTCCCAGCGTATCGCAGCGCCGTGGGCTATGTTCATCTAGCCTGCCGTCATGCTGGAATGAGTTGAGAATGACGCCTCTGACAACCGCGTACTCATTGTCCCCTGACGGCACCGTGGGTTGTTGGCCAGTCCAGCTTTTGCCATTATCGGTGGCTACCATCACAATTCCTTAAAAAGCTTGTTGACTTGTTATTACCATGCTTTCTTCCAGTTCAGTTCGTAGCACACGACCTCTCTGAGGATGGGAATAACGTTTCTCGATCTCTCATGATCGTGTTGCATTATCAGGCAGTGTCACGTCAGCTAATCTCTTGCCAACACACCGCTGTGAGATTCTCAATCTCTCCTGCGGACCTTACCCGATTGATGTCTCTAATCCATGAGTAATATCTCAAGAACGGCTACATATTTTCTCAGATCGTCAAGTGTCCGACAGTCGCGGTTCAAGCACTATCTTCGACAGATCTTGGGAAAGTCGAAAGCTTTATGGCGTCTCTCACTTGCGCTCTTCTATGTCAAGTTCGCCATAGCAGAGAGACTTGTTTCCCGTCACATAGCATAACTTGTTCCCGTCAGCATCTCAAGCGGAACCGCATACCGCATCTTTATCAGGTGGCTGCGTTGATTGTTTTTACGTTGGGCCGGAGTAAACCTCTCGTAAGTGGGAACCCTGTCTACGGCCCACTTTACACAATGTTAGACTATCAAGACCCTGGTAGCAGGACTGAATACTGTTTCAGGGTCAGCGTCAATACGAACCGCCACCCCCCTGAGCGTGTTGATGAGCGCTGCACGATGGTCACGGTGCAGATGTACCGTACCGTTCATAATGTGTTTAACATTGTGTTCAAGTTCCCTACTCGCATTTTTCGTGATGCATGAGAGCGTGAGTCCATGCTCGAGTGACCGTATGTAATTGACAGCCTGTTCTCTTGAGAGCATATTGTGACGAACTTTGGAAGTGGGGTTCAACATTCATTGCTGCTCATGATATTGGCTTGCCTTTGGTTTATTCAATTGGCACGGACGTTCCTCATGCCTCATCTACCCTATCACGCAGGTTGTCGTCGTGCGTTGCGGAGTAGGAATATGGAGGAATACTAGTACGATTTTGTAACGCAAAGTGTTGGATTGAACAAGTCCGAACTTACTTGCCGTTTCGAGTTGATGATCGGATTACGTAACACAAAAGTTAAGTGAAAGATGACGAGCATAGAGCAGACTGATCGTGCGTGCTCCTGTGCTTGGGCTTAGCATTTCTCTTCAATATCCACTCTGCTGGGTGCTTTGTTCTCTTGGACTATTTTGCATTATGGCAGACGACTCTGTCTTTATATATGAACCCAGTGATGAGTGCGTACCGCTTTACTTAACGCGCCGACTCCGTTCACAGGAGTACGAATAATCAGACTCGCGAGCAATGCTGTCCTGGAGCAGACGGCGGAGCATGCATTTTCGGATGACGAGGAATTTGTTTATCCTGGCGCGGATCAAGAGTCAGAGACACCAGCAGAGCCAGCACCAGCAGCTATGCCAGCAATACCAGAAGAGCCGGTCGTGGTAGCAGCCGTCACGGAATCGATAACTTTAGAGGTCCCACCAGCAATACCGGTGGAGCCGAAATCCGAACGCCCATCGGTAGCGGATTCTCCTGTTCCTGCGAAGCGTCCTCCGTCGCCAGAGCAGTTGGAGGCTCTTCATGCGGCAGCAACATCCGGCGACTTGAAGCGCGTGCAGACCGTGTTCACAAAAGCGGTACATCATGGTGACGTCGAGAGTTTTGCACTCGCCAACGACGCCCCCTCGCGTATTGGCCAGACTGCTTTGCATGCAGCATCAAGCAGGGGATACCTAGCCATCGTGCGGTGGTGTACGTGTTTGTGTATGAGAGCCGAGGCATAGTATTGATCCCTTGTCGTGCACACAGTGGTGGAAGACTGTGGCGCTATGCCTGATATCGAAGACAGGGAGAGCGAGGTATTTTCTAGCCTTTGAATACTGCCGTGCTATACTTATTCTCACCCGAGACCGCACTGCACAAAGCCGCGCTGAACGGTCATCTGCACATTGTGACCTATCTGCTACCTGACAAGGCCGATGTACATGCACAGGACGCTGACGGATGGACCGCATTGCATAACGCGTGCTCGAAGGTAGCTTACTTACTGCCTTAAACGTATACCATCTTCTGACACCTTGCAGGGATATCTTGATATTGTACGATGGTTATGCGAGAACGGAGGGGCAGCTGTTGAAGTAGATGGGGTACGAGGGGTCGACACAAGGAGCAAAGGAGGCTGGACGCCTCTTAGTAAGTCCGAGCACTCAGATTTTGTGTTGTCTATCTCATTTGGCTCTTTAGTGAATGCCGCTTCCAAGGGGCATCTTCCAGTCGTACTGTATCTCCTAACGAAACAGTCAGCGGATCCATTCGTGAGGAACAACTGGGGGGAGACTGCATACGACGTTGCCGCAGCGGTGTTCGAGGTGTGGATATGCGAGGTGAGTGCCTTGGCGAATTCCAGGATCAGGGGTCTTGACGTGGTTCCGTACAGGTGCTACAAAAGGCGGAAGCCGAACGGTGGCAAAGCCCTACTATGCCATATAATCCTCTGGCGGTCCATACTACAGTGCCGCTGGTGCTGTACGAAAGTCAACGACTCGACATGCGCTTGAAGACGCTCGCGGTATCTGGCGGGCGGCCCAGATTCTCTGCCTCCGGTCTCGGCAAACGAGGCAGGCGGGCGCCGTTCGAGCTCCGCTTGCCTGCGCCTGAGCAGACTACTGGAAAGAAGGAGATTGCGGCGTGGCGCAGCGACGTGCAATTGCCGTTACGAGAAGACCCATGGACGTTGCCGCGGCCTGGATCCTCGAGGGAGGGGACCGAGCGGAGTCATTTCTGGCTGTATGTTCCTGCCATCAGTCGTGTGCCTCAACTGACGCAGTATGTCGACAGATCTGATTGGACATTAGACGTCACCCACCCCGGTGTCGACGCGGAAGATGGGTGGCAGTATGCACATAGCCTTGATGATCCGGATGAAGAGTGGACAGCGGAACAGCCGCCTCAGTTGGAGCGTCTGCTTAGTGGCAACGGTACAATGACCGCTGGGCTCGGTAGCAATAGATCTCGGAGTAGCAGCGGTGCGAGCTCGAGTTCTGCCCCGCGCCGCGACGCCAATCCCCAGTCATGGGCGCGCCGTCGCCGTTGGGTACGAGTCATGCGCCGCAGGTTGGACATTCCACCGTTGCCTTTCTTGCAGCCCAACGGCCAGCTGTACCATGTTGGGCCAGACGGCACGATGATTCCCTATGAGGAGCACGACGACAGTGACTTCGGTGATGGCGAAGGTCAGGAGCTGAGCGCTATACCCAGAAGCGTGCTGTCATCTGCGCAAGACTATGTGGCGAGAGCACGATACCTTGCAGGTACTCAACATGGAGATACGGAGTCGGTCAATGGATTTAATTCTGCTCTGGAAGCACGGAGAGCTATTGCTAAGCTGGAACGCGCGACCACAGAGTTGCGCCAGGGCATTCTCAGTAAGTCACCATGATTTATACGCCAGATCATGATCTCACTCTACCAGATGACTCTGACGTTGAGCGGAAGACGCAGGCCGAGGTGCTCATGAATGCATACAGCCGCGAACTGGAGCGGAGGCGTCTCGCTGCCGGCGCGCAAGGGCTCCTGTTGACAGAAGGTGGTACGTTAAGACCGAGCAACATGCCTGTCCACCGAATTAACAACTTTGTTCTAGAGGACGACGAGATCGATGATGATGACTCGGACGACGAGTTCCACTATCCGGGCTCGGAACCCGTCCACACTCCGCGAGCACCCTCGATTCGGTCGTCGACCACAGACTATTTCGCTCGCTCAGGCTCCCGAGGTCCTACAGATCTCACTCCCCATCTTTCGCAAGCACCCGAGTTCCGCGTCCCTACTCACGAAGCACCCCAGAAAGTACTCACGCCGAGGTGGACGCCGCCGACACCCCATCAAATTCATGCACAGTGGGAGAGGGATGATTCTGTCAGCGAATGTCGCGAATGCAAACGCAGGTTCAACTTCCTGACTCGTCGAGTAAGTATCATGGAAAGTAAACCTACTGGCATTACTGACCTCTGTTTGCTTCTAGCACGTAAGTATCACACAGTCGGGCTCCTTCTGTATTGCTGATCGCTTTGCAGCATTGTCGCCGGTGTGGCAAGATTTTCTGTGATCGGTGCTCCTCCTGGCGGGCGCTACTCGACCCCTCGGACGTCGTGCACGACCCGTCGTTTCCTGAGACGCCCCATTCGCCCACAACGCAAAGAGTGTGCCGGGCCTGCTATGAAGAGGTGACCGCGAGTGTTCCGAATGGCTTGCAAAGCAGTCGAACGACCTCGATGGAGCGGATTGTCATTGACCAGAGAAGGCTTACCATCCCCAGTCCCACCAGTGGGCACACAAGCTCGCAGCTGAGTGACCTTGCGGAGTATGTGTCACTCATAAATGTGGTCTGTACACGCTAACGCATCGCATGCAGATGTCCGGTCTGTAATTCCAACTTGTCCGACCTAGGGCCGGCTGCGGTGCAAGAAGCCCATGTCAGAAACTGTCTAGAAGGCGGCAGTGGAGCCGCACCGCAAACGGCCAAATATCTAGTCTACAAGCTGCCTGCAGAAAGTGCTCTAATCGGTGTAGAATGTAAGTTATGTTTATTGTATCCGAGGATATATGCTCATGGTATTGTGACGCAGGTGCGATCTGTCTTGAGGAGTTTGTCAAAGGTAAGGATCATGTAATTTGGGTAGAATCCTCGCTTATGGCCATTTCCAGGATCCACTGTCGCTCGTCTCAGCTGCTTATGTAGCTTCCACAACGGTATGCGGGTCTTCTTCACACGAGGATATTATTTAACAGCTGTTCTCCAGCTTGCTTATCGTCCTGGCTCCAGAGGGGAAGGAGTTGTCCTGTTCACGCTCGTTAATGGTGGTTCTGCCTTGTGCTTGCTATATCTTGCCGCGGATTTTGTGCTATTGTCACACCTATGGATACCGATCATGTTACACATGGATTAACTGGATAATCTTCCTATTCTTCTCTTGGTATGGAATACGGAATCCTACTCTCATCAATGCGTATGACGCTCGAATAGTCTTCATAATAATCTGGCTCGATAATGTCCTGACCCTTGATGCCGTCGCTCTGGTCATCCTCAAACCAGCTGGCCGGGTCATCGTCGTCTTCATCGTCATCCTCCTCCTCCAAATCGGAGTCCGTAGGTTCGTAGCTCCTGGCGGATTGTCAGTGCTTGCTGTGGGCATATGCAATGTCATCACTCACATGAAGGCCCACATCCTGAGATCTCGTTCTGCCCTACTGAGATGTTCACCGGTGGGAGACAGGCCTTGCCGCCTTCGCCTCTCCTCACGTTCCTCCTGCCTCTTGCGGTCTGCCTCATGTGCCTCTTGCTCGATGCGTATGGCTTCCTCGAATGTGAAGCCTTGAGAGCCTTGGTCTTTCGGAATGTGCGCTGCCTGCAGGACCATATAGTCAGCAAAGCTTTGAGCGAAGCAATCCTAATCTAGCGACGTACGTATTTCGCAAGTGCTCTCTGCTTCGCACCTATCGCGCGATATTGCGGGACGGAGTCCACCTTCATGGGGTCCTCATCCTGTATGGAGGTCTGTTGCATCTTGGTCTGTAGGTTCTCCATGCCTACGAGCTCGACTAGGCGAGATTCAATTTGAGCCTGCTCAGCCGCCATGCGTTGCGCATAGGAGGAGGAGGAGGCTGTCCTGTCAGTGTGGGGTTCAGATCAGACTGGCTAGCATGGACGGTTCACAAACGACGTACGGCTCTGCGAGGGTCTTCGCGTTGCGTGCATAGCGGTCGCGTAGTTCGCGGGCACTCATACGCGAGATCGGGGTAGCATTTGGCTTGGGCGGGATGAGGAAGCCGGGCGGTGCCTGTCTGTGCGGGCTCGCGGGCGGTGTGGCCCTAGAGTAGCCGTTCGAGGATTGCATTGGTATATGTGTTTGTCGGGGGGATGTGCTTGCTGAGGGGCGATGGAATGCAAGAGGGGTAGAAGAGGCGCTTTTATAGTGGCCGTCTGCGCGCTAAGACGAATGAGTTGGGCCGCCACTGACGGCCTGTTATGGTATATGATGTCGTATGCAGTGATCAGAAGATCCCGGACAATATCGCAACTCAAGTGTCTCACTCGCCCTGACAACCCGAAGGTCCAAGAGCCAGTGCCATTGTTCACTTGCGCCACTCCTGCTGTGCGGCATTTCTTGTCATTTGTGATGGTCAAGGCTTGTTCGCGGCATACACAGGTGCAATCTCGGTACAAATACAACGACTAGTACTCTTCTCTCGTCTCGTAAGCATTACTGCGCCCCTCACATGTACATATCCCCCTACAACATCCGATCAGCATTGGGCTGCCACAAAACACTAGTACTCACTGCTCCCGGAGGCATTGCTTCATCATTATCCGGGTCATTCATGCTTCCTCCTCCCGGCATGCCCCTAGGTCCACCGAGTGGTCCTCTACCAGGTAATGGACCACCAGGGAACGGTCCAAGACCCGGACCAACAGGGTCGAACCGCGCTCCGGGTGGTGCACCCATTGGCGGGAGGAATCCGTCCCCGCCCCACGGTCCTCTTCCACCAGGGAAATTAGGACCCCTGAATCCACCACCGAAGATAGGGTGGTTGGGCCCAACGTACATGCCGTCCCCAGCATTGCCTGGGAAGAGCGGGGGAGGCGCGAATGGGTTGTGAGGAATGGGATCAAGGTCGCGCCTACCAATGGCTGGTATTCCCTGAGGAGGGTTGTACAGTCGCGAGCGGTCAGGCCCATAAGGAGGCTCAACGAGACTGGAGCGAGCTGGAGGCGGAGCTTCCGCTCTTGGCTGGCTACCTCCAGCGTTAGTGGACGAGTCAGTTGACTGCTCTGTGTAACCCTCCTTGCGCAAACCGGGAATCAGTTTTTGTACTGTGGTGAGTTGAAACTGCGACACGAGGTCGGCAACTCGATTTGAAGAAATGAAGCCATGTACAAGAGGCTGAGCATCAGCAGCTGTGGCGTCGTGCGGGAAGAACGACGGTGATACGAAGTCATTTGTAGAAATGTCGAGCGTAGCTGCCTTGTCGCTCTGTTCGCCAGCGCGTCAGTCCAGAGTATGTTTTCAACTAGGCAGTAGCGTACCTCTACAGCGATCGAGTTGATCAGCGTGCGTGAGCCCAGCTTCACCACCTTCACCACGAACTCAAGGCTGCTCTGTTCATGTTTGTATCTGAATGTGTAGTTTCCAGGCCCATGCTGGTTCCATTCGTCGGGAAGGACACTGTTCAGAATGGAACGCGCAGGCGACGATTCGTCTACACCGACCAGGCGGAAGCCGAGGGAGACCATGACAGTATGAATCAGCGCTGCGAGGCCATCCTGTGGCGACTCAAGCCTCTTCCTTGTCGGGGGAAGTACATTCTGCAGCGCAGAAATGAGCGCAGACGGGTCGAGTATATTCTTGCTCATCGTGGTCGCAGACGAAGCTAGTTGTACCCGATGACGATCGACTCGACGCGTATACGATCGGTGCCACGATACCATACAGGGCAATGGACAAACACCTGCCAACACACGCGCCCAGGCTCTTTCATCAGCACCTTCACCTTCCCGCACCTTCGTCGACGCTCGAGACAGCGTCCACGCCCATCTCATTCCAGAACCTCAGCGATAATGGCGCGAAGAGACAGGTCGTATTCGCCGGACTCTCCAAATAAGAGGGTAAGACCTTCCCACCGCTCTTCACCGCGGTCTCCGTCGCCGACCAGGCGCCATGCCCAAAGGCCCACTAGGTCGAGGTACGACGACGACAGAGACCGGGATAGGGATAGAGACCGGGATAGCCACCGTGAACGAGACAGAGACAGAGACCGATACCGCGACGACCGGTACCGTGATGACAGACGGCGGGACTATCGGGACGACCGCAGAGACGACCGTGACCGTCGGCGGTCTCGCTCACGAGAGCGAAGGGACCGTGAAAGGCAACAGTCTCCGTCGCGAGCGGTCCCTGCGCAGGAGAAAAAGGGCGAGACACCGCCTGTTGAGGATGAGAAGCTGAAGTCAAAGAGAGCAAAGTTAGAGGCATGGAAGAAGGAGCGCGAGGCGAAGAAGGCGTTAGATGAGGCCAAGGCCAAGGCAATGGCCCTCGCCGGGAAGTCTGTTCCAGGTGCGTACTGCCGTTACGCTCGCAGAAATTCGGGATTTCACACCACTTGATCGGTATTGCCCCAGTTCCTGCTGCTACCGCTGCCGCGGTACCCGCAAAAACGACTGTGCACCTCAACCGATCTGCACTCGGCGGCCTGGGGCTGAAGGGCTTGCCTTTGAAGCCAGATCTGCTCAAGACATCCAAGCTGAGTGCTCTGGACGACGCCGTTGAGACGAAGCGCAAGCTCGAGATGTTGGACCTGCCCGAGGTCGACATGACTATGGATCCACTGGCAACCGTGGGTAATCTCGAGGTTGACGATGACGAAGAGGATGCATCCGGCGCGACGCCCCAGGCAAAGGTGAAGGACGTCATAGTGGAAGACGAGGATGATGTCGATCCTCTCGATGCTTTCATGTCTGGCGTGAAGGAGGAAGTAAAGAAGGTCAACATTGAGGACCTCAAGAAGTTGAAGGCCAACGACAGTCGTGTCCGCCTTGACAGCGGGACTCTGGACGATGGCCCTGAGGATGTTGACGGTCCTGAGCTTGATGAACTAGATGCAACCGAGCTCAACCCAGAAGATATCTTGGCCTTAGCCGCTAAGAAGGCGAAGAAGAAAGACCTTGCTGCCATCGACCACTCGCGCATTGCCTACGAGCCCTTCCGCAAGGAGTTTTACACTGCACCCCCGGATATCGCTGCAATGACCGACGAGGAAGCGGATCTCCTTCGCTTAGAGCTAGACGGGATCAAGATCCGTGGCGTCGACTGTCCTCGTCCTGTCACAAAATGGAGCCACTTTGGTCTCCCAGCGAGCTGGTGCGTCGTGTGCGTCAAGGTTGCATACAATCATGTTAACAAAATCGGTTATGTAGTCTAGAAGTCATTAAGAAGCTTGGCTATGCAGGGCCTACGCCGATTCAGGCGCAAGCCATTCCCGCCATCATGTCCGGGCGAGATGTTATTGGTGTAGCGAAGACGGGTTCCGGAAAGACGATTGCCTTCCTCCTCCCTATGTTCCGGCACATAAAGGACCAGCGGCCATTAGAGCAGATGGAGGGACCTGTCGCCGTGGTCATGACCCCGACACGAGAACTGGCTGTGCAAATTCATCGGGAATGTAAGCCGTTTTTACGCGTCTTGGGCCTGCGAGTGAGTCCATTCTGATATCGTGATACTGGAACGTCCATTGACGGTCGTTTCGCAGGCTGTATGCGCGTACGGGGGTTCTCCGATCAAGGACCAGATTGCCGAAATGAAGAAGGGCGCTGAGATTATTGTGTGCACCCCGGGACGAATGATCGACTTGCTGACCGCGAATTCCGGCCGTGTTACCAACCTCAAGCGCGTTACGTACCTCGTCCTCGACGAAGCCGATCGGATGTTCGACATGGGCTTCGAACCTCAAGTCATGAAAATAGTCAATAACATTCGGCCAGACCGCCAGACAGTTCTCTTCTCTGCAACGTTCCCGAGGCAGATGGACTCGCTTGCGCGGAAGATTCTGCGGAAGCCCCTTGAGATCACAGTTGGCGGTAGGTCCGTTGTAGCGCCGGAGATCGACCAGATTGTTGAGGTGCGGGATGAGGAGTCGAAGTTCAACCGCCTCCTCGAGATCCTGGGCCAGACGTACAATGAGGACCCGGAGTCGAGGACGCTAATATTCGTCGACCGCCAAGAGGCTGCGGATGATCTTTTGCGCGAGTTGCTCCGCAAGGGGTACCTATGCATGTCCCTTCATGGCGGCAAAGACCAGGTGGACCGTGACTCGACGATCGCGGACTTCAAGTCGGGCGTTGTCCCGATTGTCATCGCGACCTCTGTTGCCGCAAGAGGCCTGGATGTCAAGCAGCTCAAGCTGGTCATCAACCATGACGCCCCAAACCACATGGAGGACTATGTCCATCGTGCGGGCCGGACAGGTCGTGCCGGCAACAAGGGGACGTGTGTCACGTTCATTACCCCGGAGCAGGACAGGTATTCTGTCGATATCTATCGAGCTCTGAAGGCAAGTAATGCTAACGTCCCGAAGGAGCTGGAAGATTTGGCCAATGGTAAGCCCGCTTTCCCACAGTTTGCACCATATTCTTATCGGTTTGCGTCATCACAGGCTTCCTCGAGAAGGTCAAGTCCGGCAAGGCTAAGATCGCCGGCTCTGGATTTGGTGGCAAGGGGCTTGACAGGCTCGATCAGGAGCGCGATGCCAAGGAGAAGGCAGAACGCAAGGCGTACGGCGAGCCAGAAGAGGAGAAGGCCGCCGTTGACGAGCCTGCAAAGGCGGCCCCGGTGACCGACGATATGACGTTCGGCTCGTTCAAGGTCGAGGTCAAGCGCGGCCCCGCACCAGACTCGTCCAAGGGCCTTCTCGGCGTTGCTGGGGCTGCCGCGGCAGCACGCCGCCTCGCCCAGGCGAAGGAGGAGGAGAAGATCCAGAACTCGCTGCGCGTGGCGGAGGAGGCCGCCGCCCGGGCGGGTAAGGACACCGCAGCGCACAAGCAGGCGCTGAGCGTCGTCGCGAAGCTGAATGCGCAGCTGCGGGCGCACAAGCTCGTCGCACAGTCGCAACTGCAGCACGAGGAGCTCACGGGGAAGAAGGGCGCGGTGGACGCGACCGAGTTCCATGCGATCATACCGATCAACGACTACCCGCAGAAGGCGAGGTGGCGGGTCACGAACAAGGAGACGATGGTGCAGGTGCGCCGCCTGAAGTCGCTAAGATTGCGAGCTTGATTACTGATCCGTCGCCAATTAGCTCATCGACATGACTGGTGCATCAGTTACCAACAAGGGTGAGTCGCCGTGGGAGGTTGTGCTTGGCTAGCGAGGCACTGACACGCTTGACAGGCATTTACTACGAACCGAGCAAGGAGCCTCCGCCGGAAGGCCCGCCCAAGCTGCATCTTCTCATTGAGTCTAATGAGGAGTGGAGAGTGCGTGTTCCCTTGGCTTCCCGTTTGTGGCGCCTGGCACTGACAACATGCTGGAATGTGCAGGTCGAGCAGGCCGTGCGGGAGATCAAACGTCTGCTCGTCGAGGCGTCTGCTGCCGCTCTGCAGGCTGAGATGCGTAATCCGACGGCTACAGCTGGTCGGTACAGTGTCGTGTAGTCAGTTGTTGTATCATGTGCTCCATATCTGCCTGTGTAAGTCTGTCAAGCTGTGAATGTTGCGCGACACTAGTCATTGAGCCATCTGTGGCGCTCCAATGCGGTCTGTACCTGCCACCTCCCATGCACTATTTCGGAAGGCACAATGTTCGAAGGGACGGCACAGAGAATGAACAAGCTGCCACCAGTGATCGAGGATCCTGATCTATGCACCACGTGGGGCTGTCTGGTGGACATTGACAGACGGGCTCAGGAATGTCATAGAAATTGACTCACTGTGCACACAGCGCCGTGCCTCTCGGACGCATACACACGCTTCGCAATGCCCCCAGCCATTCCCACTGTCCGGCCATGTTTCCTGCTCAAAACTCTTGCTTGTCGGGGATGTGCACCATTCTGAGCACATCGTGCCGTGCATCCAGTAATGAATTTGAAATGGGGGGATAAGCATATAGTGGGCGCTTAAATAGGATCTGAGCGACAAATTGGGCCGGTTACTTCTCGCTCTCTCGTCAGCGGGCAGCTGCTCCGTTTAAGTATATCAAGTATGGCCTTGCCCTGATCTCACATCGTCGGCGTCCCCTACTCCCTGTCTCTGTGCTCTACCGTCATGTCCGACAACGAGCATGCAGCCTCGGAAACCAGGGCATCGAGCGTCAAGACCGCCGCTGATGTCGCGGCGCCCAGCTCCAAGAACCACGAGGCGTTGGGCGTGCCTCAGTATCCAACTGAGCTGAAAGGAGGAGAGGGCGAGTCTGCCATCCCTGAGGACAAGAAGGTTTGCTCTCAGCGCCAGGATGATTAGCGCGCCTACTCACAGTCTATCCAGGAGGAAGCACTAGAGAATGAGGAAGACGACTGGGCACATGACCCCGCCAATCCTCGCAACTGGTCCTTCAAGAAGAAATGGACAATGACCGGCATCGTACGTGCACATCATGTATCCACGACGGTATTCATATCTCAACATCTTCTGTGCACGGCCAGGTCTCACTGTACACATTCGTCACTCCCCTTGCCAGTTCCATGATGGCTCCTGGTCTGCCTGAGATTGCAATAAAATACGACATCACTAGTGCCACCGTCGTAGCATTGACTCTGAGTATCTTCCTGCTTACCTTCGCTCTCGGGCCGCTGTTATGGGGCCCTCTATCGGAAATGTATGGGCGCACATGGGTGCGTCATGAACAGCGTCGTGCTTGAGGTCGCCCTCACGGTTGAATGTGCAGATATACCATGTCTGTAACCTCATGTTCCTCTGCTTCAACGTCGGCTGTGGATACTCCAAGAATGTCGGGCAGCTGATTGGATTGCGATTATTAGGTGTGTCCTCGTGCTCCCTCCCGTGTCGAGACGTCCTCACCGTCATTTCTTTCCGTAGCTGGGTTCGTGGGCAGTGCGCCGATTGCCTGTGGAGGTGGCACCGTCAGCGACCTCTTCTCCGAACGGGATCGCGCATCCGCTATGGCCGTCTTCTCGCTCGGCCCGCTCATCGGACCAGTCGTCGGGCCCATAGCGGGCGGCTTTATCACAGAGACAATTGGCATCAAATGGATCTTCATCGTTATTGCCGCGCTGTGCGCCGTCGCCGCGGTCATTGGCATTCCCTTATTGCGCGAGACATACGCCCCAGTTATCCGCCTGCGCCTCGCGGAGCAATCCGGGGACCCGGAGAAGGCGGCGAAGGCACACCCGCATCTGCTCAAGGAGCACGGCAGCGCAGCACACCGCGTCTGGGTAGACATTAGTCGGCCGTTCATTTTGCTCACGCGCAGCTACGTCTGCTTCTTACTCAGCTTGTACATGGCCTTGTGAGTAATTCTGTTCTTTTCGCGTGCGAAGAGTGTCGCTGACGGCGTATTACAGGATATACGGTTTGTGCTGTTTCTGTGCGTTATGAAGATTGTAGCTCACGTTTAACTGCAGGGATCTACTATTTGATGTTCACGACCTTCCCTCGTACGTGACATTTTCTTTTTGTGTCTGCAATACGGCTGACGAGTTCCCTACAGAGCTCTTCACGGATATCTACCACTTCAGCACTGGCATCAGTGGTCTGGCCTACATCGGGCTTGGGCTGGGCTTCATGTCGGCTACCGTTGTCGGAGCTGGTGTCGCCGATACCGTATATAAGAAGGTGCGCGTCAGGCATCCGTGCGAGCATTAATTACATATTTACCGGACTATTCGCGAATGCAGCTCGCGGAGCGTAACGGCGGCGTAGGCAAGCCCGAAATGCGTATTCCCGCACTCATTCTGGGCTCGTTGTTCGTGCCCATCGGGCTGTTGTGAGTGTTCTGGTGCATGTGCATGGATATCTGGACTGACATTGTACATATAGCTGGTACGGCTGGTCAGCACAGGCGCAGGTCCACTGGATTATGCCCATCATCGGTACAGCCATTTTCGGTTTCGGAATGATGACCAGTTTGTGAGCAATTTCCCGCACGGGCTGCGTTACACGGACTGACTATGTCGTGCAGCCTACCCATCCAGCTATACCTAGTAGACACATTCCAATATGCTGCAAGTGCATTGGCCGCGGCTTCCGTACGTGATACTGTCCTCTCTCACGCAGGATGCCCACAGCGGTAAGCTGACGCGCACCCTCTTTTCCAGGTTTTTCGTTCCATGCTTGGTTTCGCATTTCCTCTATTCGGCCAGCAGATGTTCGACGCGTTGGGCTTCGGCGGTGGGAATTCGCTCCTCGCTGGCCTCGGGATCGTGATCGGCATCCCGTTCCCCATCTGGCTGTACTTTGCGGGAGAGCGCGTACGCGCGAACAGTTCCCTCACTCGCCATTGATACCTCCCCGATGCCTGACACCCACGAACGCCACGCCCCACGAGCACCGTTTCCTTTGCATGAGGGACTTCGACAACTTTATATACACACATCTCTCGCAGCGTTGACACCCGACGCGTCCTGCACGCTCCAGCGTAAATTACACGACTTTGCATGCTACAGCCCGCTTACTATATTGCTACATACCACGATTAGGATACTAATGCATGAGTGACTTCCAATACATGGAGCTGTACTCCTGGCCCGTCATATTGTTGGCTCACAGTATCTCTTCAAGGCGCTATAGCCAAGTGGTTACGGCGACAGATTAGAATTCAGGGTTAGAATCGCAGGATTCGAACCTGCGCTATCTGTTCCTCTTCGAGGGCGCAGGTTCGAGTCCTGCTGGCGTCGCTTTAATGTACTTTTTGCGTTATGAACTCGTTGAGGCCGTTCTGAGGTGATTACGCGACGGAAGGTAGGGAGGAAGGGATGGTTGAGCGCCATTCATGAATTGTGGCGCACCACGCGTCGGGTGTATAAATTGCACCTCACTACAGCTGACAATACACATAGATATATCTTTACCAAATGAGGTGCGCTAAGCACAGTAAGGCATACACAGCAACAGTCCAAGAGTGATATTATACACGGCACATAGACCCAGCATCTACGATAGGAAGTACACTGGTTTCACCGCTGGCCGTTCACACCAAACCCTTTCTTCAGTCCAGCTCCAACCCCGCTTTCCGATGCTAGTCGTACACGCTTTTCTACATCGTTGACCTTGAACTCGACCTCCTGTGCTGCACCATCGATCCACACAAGACTTTCGAGATGGCTGTTAAGGATTTGCGCGATTTGACCCATCGCATCCTCGCCATTGTCCTGCGTCGTATTGTCGGAAGAAAGAGCGAGCCCGTTCACTGCATCAATCATCTGTGCGAGCGAGCCCGACAGGTCATCGAGATGACCGTGTAGCTCGGTTGCAAGCATGTAGCTGGAGAAACTGGTCAATTCATAGAGGGCGACAATAGGACTAGACCACACACTTCTTATCACGCTCCGAGTCGGCGGGACCCGTGTCCAAGGCTCGAAGGTTGCCCCCTTGCCCGCCAAGAATCTCTTCTGTTGACCTTTCGTAAGCATCGAGTGTGGCCGCGAGATCTTTCTGCTGCTGTTCTATGTGAGCCAAGGATTGATCGATATCGTTCTGTTCTTGCTCCGCCGCCACGAGATGCGCGTATAACGCCCCCAGCTGCCCGCAAACAATTAGTCAAATAGAACACGACTATCGAGGCACCCGTACGTTGTTGCTGTTTTCGATAAGAGCACGGTCCCACACAGCGATCTCCCCGGCAAACTTGTTGAATTCGCGAACATGGCCTTCGAGGTCCATCGCCCAGCGGTTGACAATTTCCTCGATCGACTTGCCTCGGAGCATTGATGGTGGCGGAACTGCGATTGGCGGCCCGCTGGTGCTCGGTGCGTTAGATGTACCAGCCTGCGCACCTAAAACGCAGATGTTGTCAGACGACCCTCCAGCGCTGTAAACAGAAGTCCTACTCACCGGTCGACTTGTCACTATCCTTCATAGCACCGGCCCCAAGAAATGAGAGACTCGACGATGGGGCTACGGGAGGCATTATCAGAGCCGCAAAATGAACGACGACGAGAGTCTTATACCTGGTGCACCATCCTTTTTCTCGGTGGAGCCAGCTGCATTGTCCTTGTCTTTGTTCGGAAAGAGACTGAACGGCAATGTACTGGGAGCGGCTGTCGCTGAAGATCAGCTTCTAGAATCATTACAATGAATCGCACCCACACGTAGCAGGGGCATCTTTTTTCTCGCTGGGCTTCGCGAAGAAGTTGGGAATGGCTGATAGGCATACCGGTCAACATGATAACCTGACATGACATACGCGATGTCCTCACAAGAGCCAGATGAGCTTGCATCCTTCGACGCTGGCGCATCCTTATTCGCGGTATTCGCGGTATTCCCACCGAGTGTGAAGGGTGGCAGCGTGGGCGGCGTAAGGGTGGTAGTAGGTGCCGGAGTACTCGGCTTGCTTCCTAGCGAAGCGCCACCGAAGAGCCCTCCAGATGGAGCTGATGTCGTGGTCGAGTTGGTAGTATTGGAGGAGCTCTCTGCAGGCTTGGGTACCGAACCAAAAAGACCGCCCGATGTGCCTGTTGCAGGTGCTACGAAAGATAATTAGCGAAACCCTTCTCTAGGGACCACGATACATACTTGTTGTAGACGCGGTGGCCGAGGTAATTGGTTGACCAAATACTGTCATTGATTCAATATTTAAACATACTTAGAGGCTTGCGCTGACGAGCTCACAATTGAGAGTTGCAGGTTTAGCGGCTGTAGAGCTCGCTTGTTCCGCCGGCTTCGCACCCAAACCGCCGAATAGATTGGTTGTGGGCTGCGTACCTGGTGCGCTCGAGGCATTCGTCCCTGATGAGGTAGCAGGAGTCGACCCAAACAGCCCACTGCCTGGAGTTGCAGTCGATGCTGCAGTGGCATTGGCATTGGCTGTGTTGTTCGCAGTACCAAACAAAGCTCCTCCTGTCGTAGGAGTAGTCGAACTGGTAGCGCCTGCGGCAGGTGTGGCAGAAGTAGCGTTGCCCAGCAGACCACCACCCAGTGCAGATGTAGCCGAACCAGTGTTGCCGAACAGACTATTACCTGTAGCAGGGGAAGCGTTTCCAAATAGCCCACCACCGGGTGTGGTCGAGGTTGTGTTGCCCGAGATGCCACCCCCGATGGCTGGCGTCGCACTGGAGGGGGTACCAAAAAGACCAGACCCGGTGGCTGGTTGTGTCGTCGCATTGTTATTTCCAAAAAGACCAGACCCGGTGGCCGGTTGTGTCGTGGCGCTATTATTTCCGAAAAGACCAGATCCAGTGGCTGTGGCTGGTTGTGTGGTCGCGTTGTTATTTCCGAATAGCCCAGACCCAGTGGCCGATTGTGTCGTCGCACTGTTATTTCCGAAAAGACCAGACCCAGTGGCTGGTTGTGTCGGCGCGTTGTTATTTCCAAAAAATGCAGAAGCTGGGGTTGGTGCTGGATTCGATGAGCCGAACGAACCACCACTAGCAAGAGTGCTTGAGGTTGTTCCTCCTAATAAGGACCCCCCACTAGTGCTTGGCTGTGTACCTCCGCTTGTTGAGCCAGCTGTACCTTCAAATTGTGAGTGACAAAATGAATGGCCAGTTCTCGCACTAACCTCCACCTCCGAACAAGGGGCCTCCAAATACATTCGTAGTACCGGAACCTGATGTGGCGTTATTTGTCGGTGGTGCCCCTAGAGTGGATCCACCTGGTTGTGTCCCTGAGTTGGCGTTTTGCGAGAAGAAACTCATGATGGGTACGCTAAGCTGCGTGTATGAAGGGAATGAACAAGGCGACTCGAGGGTCGAAGACGACTCGCGGCTATACGCGACGCGCGCACGTGAGACGTGCCGCCGCGTCTGTGGCCACGATCTGAATTTGTGAATTTGAAACGAAGTCAGAGCAATCCATCCGTCATGAGGCTCACAGCTTACTAGATCCCTCTCACGAATGCATTAATTATAGCATCGGTTATAAAGAGTCTTCTTCGAGCACACAGCCGCGTTCGACGTCCACACTATGCCCGAGTCCTCTAACGACAACGCCAGCTCCTTCAACTCAAATGACTCTACCGCTGCCAAGGCTACGTATCTCGCCCTTCAGTCCACTGACCGCTGTCTTCCCCCAGGATGGACCATGTACATTCACCCCCGTGGATGGGTATATTTCCGGAGTGAGGAGTACAAAATTGTCTTCGACGAAGACATACGGGTCCCTGAAACTCTAGAGAGAATCACAAGTATTTGCATAAAAGAGAACCTTTCACTCTTATCTGGAGGGCAGGAATTTTGTATCGCTGGCTTCAACTCGAATTCCGCTCTCTATTTAGTCATTGACCATACTCAATGCACTGCGAGATATGGCTTTGAATTATCTTCTGCAACCCAACCTATCCATAACATTCCGCTATCTCGGGGTAAGTTATCCATGCCAGTTCGAGAACTCTACTAAAAGCCAAGATGATCAGTGCTACGCCATCGACAGCGGTACTGGCATTTTGTGTCACAGCATCCTACCCACGTCTCGGTTCCTCAAGACATGCTCATGTACACGGTGGATATCATCAAGTCCTATTATTTTGGTAGTTGTTCTACTTTGTCGTTTTCGCTGGGGTTACCTCTTACAAGTGGATAGATAATCTCACTCAAGGCACGAAAAGCACCGTCCCGTTCACCAAAGCGGAGTGTGAGGAACTCCTACGTATTCTCGACGTACCACACTGTGGGTAGCCAGTCTGTATTTCGTATATCATGGCCTGACCAGCTAGCTATGTCTGCTTAGATAACACCTCAGACCGAAACATGGTTTCCACAAACATGTTCATCGCATGGATACTAAGAGAGACTTGCAAGTGTCCTTCCTCTTTACGTGACATTACGTATAATTTATGGGATTATAGACAGTTTCCGGAGGGCGGAGCGCTATGGCGCGCTCACATTTCAGCAAACAGAGATGCATCGCCAAAGCACGTTGCGCCCGCATTTTGTCTGGCAAAGCTCATCTAGGACGTCTCGGAACTGCTTATGGATACTAATCAATGGTCCATTATTTGGTATTCCGTACTCCTATCTTGAGAACGTTCAAAGAGCTAGTGAGTTTCAGGGACGTTTGTCTAGCCTGCATCAAGCCTGGCAAACGTACACCGACCAGCTTACGAAAGAATATTCTGATTTTATCCTAGTCGTGAGTGCCATCTATTTAATCTCGCAGTAATTTGCTGATACTCCTTTATTATATAGTCTACCGTACTGCTTTCGTAAGCTGTGTTGCCTTCGGGTTGTACAGCCATCGTTCCTCTAACCCGCTAACTTTTGAATTCACAGAGCTACGGTGGGTCTGCTGTCTGTAGGGAATATATATCAGATGGCGAGAGTATGTGCCATCATGTCCGCCTTTGCGTCATTAGGCAGCATCACCACCGGTGTGTTTTTTGTATGGCGGCACCAACACAACACCAACCTATCTTCTTCACACACGGTAAGTCACCATTGACTGTGTTGGAAGTCTTCACTCAAGAAAGTACCGAAACAGTTCGCATACATGAATAATGCTCGCAAGCAAGTCTTGGGGTTGCCTGGCCATTCCATCCTCCTCAGCCTCCCCGCCGCTCTACTAATGTGGTCATTGATTGGCTTCATGGTCGCGTTGTCGGCTTATTCGCTGCAAAGCGTCACAGACGGCAGCATGACGGACGTCGCTACAACGTTCATCATCTTTGGAGTCTTTTTCTTGGTCTTATGCTGCATGTTCATGGCGGTATATACTTTCTCTTTGATGTGGCGATGGCGTGCTGGCTCATCACCAGTGAGCTGCGTCAGGAGGCTGTTTCGATAGAATATTGCGTGTACATGTGTGAGTGATGGTCATGTACGTGTACAGGGACATGGTTGTGGCTACAAGTGTTATTGAATATCAAGTCGATGAATGTGTAGCCAGAATTAGCTAACGATCCCTTCGTTCATCCGAGTCATCAACCATTCCTTCCATGGTCGACCAGGCTCAACCTCGGTGGTCTGGTCCAGCACTTCTTGTCCAAACCCTACCGGTGCGATGTTGGCCATCATTTCCTTCGCGCATGAGAGCGCAACCAGGAATGCGCCGAGCGACCCATGCTTCACGTTCATGTCGTGCGCGTACTTTAGCTGCGAACGCATCTCTTCCGTCTTCTCCGCCGCGAAGTCTTCGTGCCGCATAACGCTGATGCCAGTGACATAGAAGAGGGTCTCGACACGAGTGGAGCCGGGGCGCGGAAGGACGTCGATCACTAGCATGTACCGCTTGCAGCGGGTTGGGTCCGTGGCAAGGTCGAGGGCCCGCGGACCTGCCTCTGAGATAGAGGGTCGGTGCTTCTGCGTGAAATCGCGGAGAATTTTCAGCCGATCGGTTCGACCGCCTTGGGCTTTCTTATTGATCTGGCACCTGGCCTTATGGATTGGCCAGGCTTCCTTCTGACACTTCCTGCTCTGGCGTGCAAATGAGAACGTCAGACGCGAAGTGAGACGCATGCCAGTAGCTCACGCAATAGAAATCGACTTTGCAAGCACCGCATCTATGTAGAACTGCTCCGTCTGCTCGGGAGACAAAGCAGTTTTGACACTGCATGGCTTCCTTGCGTAACTTCTCTTCAGGGTCAGATTCATGATGGCGGGTGTTGGGAGGAGGCGGAGGCGGAGGAATAGATTCTTTTAAGCCAAGTTGTTCCTCCAGTCGGCCGCAAAACTCTTGAGCCCAATCCATATGGAGTTGCTTTGTGACAGAGTGGGCATATGCGCCCACGCAGGGAGGGATATGACTTCAAGATAGTACTTTGAGTTTTGATCCCATGAGTCCTCAAGACACCCTTGACGCGGTCACATGATATCAGTTTAGCAGTATTAGGGACGTCGCGGTTTGCCACTCATCGCTTGACCTCAATTCACTTAGCCTAACCGAAGAGCATGGACAGATCATTAATACTACACTACAAGATGCAACGTAGTGTTACACAGAAAAAGAGTCATCTGATCGTGTCGAAGAGGTTAATGATGTTGACTCTGAAGGTCGTTTGCCCAATGTCATGTCTAGTCTTGTTGCAAGTAGCAGAATTTCTTGCTCGAGGCTATCAATTTTGGTACGTCTGCAAGCAATACAGATTAACGAAAGGAAGGAGCGAGAAGGACTGTCACATACTCCTCATTTGAACGTTTGCCGAGTTCAAACGCCTGGGACACACCCAAGCTCTCCCGAGTTCGTGTTAGCCTCATTTGGTACTGTCGGTGCCTTTCTTGCAGCTCCTTGAGCTGTGGGGTCAGGCGGCCTACCTCCTTGCGTAGCTATTGCAATATACATTGATCAGTATGCATACTCAATGCGCGTTTTAGGTATCCTTACCATTTTCGCTCGGAAGGCCAGTGACCGAGGATCATATGTGCTTGCGCCGACGACTTCTTGCTTCATCCGTCTCAGTTCTTCGAACCACTTGTTTTCGGTCTCGCTGAGCTCCGGGGATGCTTTGTACATCAACGACCGTAGCACCTGATCTGCTCGCGATATAAGCGTCTTTTGAGCTTGTTGCAAGTGTTCCACCTTGGCCTTCCTGACCGCTAGCCAAGGACCCTTCAGTTGTTCGATCCTTTGCGACATCTTGTAGCAGGTGTCGCGTTGTCGGGTGAATTCATTCACCTGCAACTTAAATCGCATGAAACCGGTATTATGAGCTAGATCGACTTGATCTATATGCCCCATGAAGGTCTCGACCGTCTTGCCTAAGCGACGCAACGAGTCCGGCGTGAGCACGAACTCGCTCGGAGGTGTCAGGGATAGGGGAGGTGGTAATCGAGGGACGGGTTGTGATAGGATGGGAGGGGGAACATAAGCTTCACTGCCCAGGAGACCCACATACAAGGAGTCATCGCTTGATCCCTGGAGAGGCTTTGGCGAAGGTGTCTTCTCGGGTGTCGAAGGATTTGCCGGTGACGCCGAGTACGGAGTTTCTGATCGGAGACTGAGAGGAATCACTTGTATTCGCATAGCTGAAGTGAGGATGAACATGCTGTACGTCAGATAGATATCGGTTGGAATAGCGACGGCTACTATCGGACTCGAGCATCTATTAAACACCCGGTCAGACCAGGACAGCTGAAACAGGGAGTGAAGAAATCTTACTTTCTCTCAATCGAGTACGTTGAGAACAACGATTGTACCTCGGTGCCCTTACAATGCTGCAGCGATGACTCTATATCGCTGCCTTCACTAGCATCGTTGTGAATTGCGAGGGCAAGACTCCGCAGGAGGCGGCCTAGCTGTAGAGCGTGGACTCCAAACGCGTGATGAATATAAACAGCATCATTGTGGATAGGGTCGAGCAGAAGAACAGGGTGATTGTCCTCTAGAAGTTCTAGAAGAATAGAATCGCCTCCCGGTGCACTTGCGTTCGATAGCATGGTCACGAGCCCCAAATCAATCGTCTCGTATGCTGCAAGCATCGGGAGGTCGCTATCCGGATGCTGAGATGCGTCAATGAACGTGCATGCAAGGGCAGTATAATGCTAGTCTTACCTGACTCTGCTCCCAGCAAGCCTCAACCTTCTCAACATCAAGATAAACATCCACCCTTCCATCTTGGAAGGATGAGAGGACGACCCCTAGTCGTTCAGTTTCGCCCTCGATGGCTTCTTCGACATCGCTGCCGAACGCCAGATACACTATATCCGTGGCGTCCCCACCTTCACTACCCTCGAGGGCACAAGGGGACGGTTGCAGCAAGAAGGGACCTTGCCGCACGGGAGGATTCTTCACGATTACTGGTGGATGCATCGGGACAGAACGCGACACAGAGGTTGGCTTGACCCCCGGAGGCAACTGCTTGAGAAGTGCAGTGATAAATTTGTGCTGGTATTCATACATGCTCGATAGTCCGCTAGAAGAAGTGCCTTCCCCTTGTGACCTTGATAGGAATTCCTGTTTCGCCGCAACGAAACATTCCAAGGCGTATACATAGGACGAGGGAATAGCACTACGGCCGACCTAACTCAGTTCAGAGAAACGGTATGCAGATTATTGACTTACGCGTTCTTGGGCATATATGGACACATGGCGTATATGTCGCCACTTTTCATAATTGTGTAGATGGTCAAGGGGCCCCAATCTGCCCTTCCCTTCCCGAGAGTGAATGACGCAACCTCCCGTTCAGAATCGTCCTGTGCAGCGAATCCACTCTTCCTCTTTGGCGGTACGAAGGAGAGGACCTGTTGTGGCTCTTCCGCATCAGTGGAGATGTCGTATTCGCTGCAAGTTGTGCACGTTTATTGACATTCTCTAGTCTCAAAATATGAGCGACATACCGCAGCTGCCCATCTGTAGTCATCACTAAAAGAGTGGTACCACCGTTTCCCCATGGATGCCAGTCAATCTTCGCGATTGGCGCAGAATCCTCGCCTGCGTGGTAATATTGTCCAATTGGTATTGACCTGCCGTAGAGCACAATGAGCCCAGTCCTAACATGTAGGTAGCACAAAGTGACAAGCGTACTTGCACTCAATTGTGGCAAGCGATGGCTTTGCGACGCCAGCACGAGGTAACACAACCACAGCTACTTCGTATGCACCTGCCACAGCAAGCAACCTTGGTATAGGGCTTAGAGCAATTTCGTGGATCTCAAATTGGATATTCGAGGTCTCCAGAATCTGACAATAAGCTGAGCTCAGTGTCAGTTTGTAGGAGACGCGAGAATTCGCATACTTTGAATGGCTTGGGGGGACTCCCGCCAAGTTTCGGCTCAGCCAACGGCGCCATCCGTATTTCGCTGCCGACGGCCACAAAAAGCTCATTATCGTTAATCACCATAACCTGGCGTCGTTTGGATGGTGCCGGCCCATCACTCCGGGCATATGTATGCGCGGACCTCGACAGAGAATTGAGCGAGAGTTCTAAAGATCCCTTGCCCTTGCCGTAAGCCTCTGTGGGTTTTGGCAATGTGAAAATGGGGTGGTCGCGGAGTAGCTTATTCCAATCAATATCTTTCTCCATGAGATTACAGAGATCGTCGGTGGCAGTGAGAAAGCGAGAAAGATGGAATATGAGTTCCGAGCCTGAGACGCGTTCTTGTCGCGGTCATTCAACGACGCGCTCATGGCCCAATATGGGCGCCATTCGCACGCTCACGCGTCGCATGCGTCTCGCTCAAGCTTGCGCGTCCTACATGCACCTCTGACTGCCGGGCCTTTGACATACTCCTGCTTTCCCCGTCCACCAGCTCTCTGAGGCCTCCGACATGACTTCTATTGGAACGGGATACGATCTTTCAGCCAGTACCTACTCTCCAGATGGCCGCATCTTCCAGGTATTGTTCTCGGTACGCGTCATGGAATGTAGCTTAGCATGAAGTTGCGTAGGTCGAGTACGCCAACAAGGCCGTTGAGAACTCGGGGTGAGCATCAAGCCCATTCTAAACACGTTGACCTCTTCTCACAGGCTTACGCATTCTCTGTCCGTTACGTCGAACAGAACGGCGATTGGACTGAGAGTCAAGGATGGGATCGTGATAGCCGTCGAGAAATTGATCCATTCCAAGCTTCTCGTGCCGGAGGCCAACCGACGTATACAAACTATAGACAGGCATATCGGCCTAGTAAGTTTCAGGCATTGGTTACCCTTCGCGGCGAAGCTAAATGCATCCTCAACCGCAGGCATCCTCTGGACTCTTGGCAGACGGCAGACATATATCGAATCGTGCAAGAGACGAAGCGGCCAGCTACGGAGATACGTATCGCTCGCCCATCAGTCTCAAGGTAAGCTGCAACCATTTGCTTTACATCTGCGGTCTGGTCGTTAACGCCCTCCCTCAGTCCCTTGTGGATAGGGTAGGGTTATACGTGCAGGCGTACACTCTGTACTCGTCAGTCCGGCCATTCGGCTGTAGTACCATTTTGGGTGCTGTTGACAAGACAGGCCCTATCCTGTATGTCATTGAACCCAGTGGTGTCGCCTACGTAGGTCTTTCTAATTTCACCGCTGGAGTGCTCACCCAACTGCCTCGTTGTATAGGGCTACCACGGCGCCGCGATCGGCAAAGGTCGTCAGCTAGCTAAGACAGAGCTCGAGAAGCTAAAGCTTGCGGAACTTTCGACCCGAGAAGCAGTCATCGAAGCGGCGCGAATGTATGTCGACCTACTATTCGATACATCTTCTTAGTCTCACCCTTTGGCAGAATTTACCTTGTCCACGATGATGCAAAGGAAAAGGATTTCGAGCTCGAGATGTCATGGATCGGCGACGAGACAAACGGCTTGCATCTGCCGGTGCCCAAAGATCTGCTTGAAGAGGCATCACGGAAAGCAAAGGAGGCACTGGAGAACTTCGAGTAGTAGGAACATCGTGTGCTATTTGTATTGTTAATGGACTTGCAGCATTCCCTAAAAAACGCACTCTGATGCTGACTGTCTTCCGGTTGAGCACAAAAAGGATAGGCAAACGTCATGATGTGCGGTCACTAAATGATCTGCTCTAGTTCTCGCGCTAGCTTCAAATTCGTCTGAATGAGTTTCTCCCTCGGAATCTCGGTCTTCTCCTCGCCCTTCTTTGCGAATGCAATGGTTCCTGCAGACACGTTGACTTGCCACCCCCGCTAAGTAGATGGTTAGTAAAATGACCCAATGCGTGTATAAACACCACATACCTGTTGTGCGAAGCTCAGAAGTTCGGACTGACTTGTGAAAAACAGTAATGTGGCAGCGTCCTTTATTGGCAAGCTCTCATACGCTGCCTCTTCACAACGCGCAATCTCGTTCCTTTTGGCGAAAGATGAATATAAGACAGACTCGACGCCAGTATAATCTTATACCTGATAGTTCCCATCAAGCTGTCCACAAAGAACTTGTACTCCTCTGCTGGTGCCTCTTCCCGTGCGTTCCAAACTTTGCTGTAACTGCCCTCCATGAGCCAACGCTCAAGGTTGACTGGGTGCTGAATGTAGGGGTTGGCAGTGAGGGAGTCTGCGGCAAGAGGTAGTGATTCAAGGGTCGTGTGGAAGTCGGCGATGCGGTTCTGGGTCAGGAGGCGGATGAGGTAGAGACCGCGCACGGGGTACTCGCGGGGTGAGGGGGGAAGGACTGAACTGTTGTGAAGGGTACAGTGAGTTCAGCGGAGGGCCGAAGGCGCGTGAAAGGACGCAAACCTATAATCATTGTAGAATGTCTGCAGTTGTGAGAAGTAGCGGTCGAAAGATGGTATATCTCGCGAGCGTATACTCCAGAACGCGCCGACTTCGAGTACGTCACCTAATGGCGTAAGACATACGTTAACTTCGTTTCCTCCGGGGCGAGGGAAGTCTGCATCTCACGAGCCATTACCAGGTCCTCGAGATTCTCGTCCCCAGAAGGCATCAAAAGGCCCGCTTCAATAAGGCCGATCTGCAATCACGGAGTCGACAAATATCCCAGCTACAGGTGTATATTGTTCAAGTACCTTGAGTTGTGCAAGCAAGGTCCCGCACTTTTGCAAGTCGCATGGGCGCGCAGTAAACGCTTGCTGCAGCTGCCTGAATAGAGTGACGAGTTGAGGGGGAGCCATCGCGATGCAGGTATGCTTTCGAGGAGGAGCCAAGGAAACCAAAGATAGAGAGAGGGACTTGTCTTGCGCGATGAAGAAGGGTCGTTGAAGCTGGAGACTGCACGCGCCCGACGCGCGTCGAGACGCGTCACCTCTTCAGCCACTTGCTCGATCACTTTCAGCACTCATCTACTCAGACGCGTCTACCATCGACACCGACCACCCTTACTCACCATGGAGGCCCTCAACGTCGACATCAACCGCCTCAAGTCGGGCGAAGTGAACCTCGGAGTACGTCGAACGCATGAGCTCACATAGCGGTCCACTCACGATGCCTGTAGACATCCATTATGGCGGTCCAATTCAAGGATGGCGTCGTTATCGGTGCAGACAGTCGAACGACGACCGGCAGCTACATTGTACGTTATCCCCTCAGGTTTGCTGTTTTTATGCTCATAAAGCGCAGGCCAACCGTGTCACAGACAAGCTTACCCACATCCATGACCGGATTTACTGCTGCCGTTCTGGTTCTGCCGCAGATACGCAGGCTATCGCAGACATCGTGCATTATCACTTCCAAGTATATTCGTGAGCGCACCAATCATACGCATATTGTTGAGGCTCTATGCTTAAGGATATCCCTCACAGACAAACGCATGGAGAGGCGCCCCCGGTGCACACAGTCGCCAATGTCTTCCAGAAGCTCTGCTACGAGAACAAGGATGCGCTGTCGGCTGGGATCATCGTCGCGGGCTGGGACAAGGAAGTAGGCCCCAGCGTGTACAATATTCCTCTGGGTGGCGGGCTGTTCCGCCAACCATGGGCAATCGGAGGTCGGTGCTCTTTCCTCCCAGCGCAGCATTGAACTCATTCGCGCGCAGGCTCGGGATCCACGTATGTATATGGGTACTGCGATGCAACATACCAGGATGGCTGGGACAGAGATCAGACAATCAATTTTGTCAGAAACAGTACGCCGACATTCCTCGGTAGACAAAGGCATTCCTGCTCACCTGTTTTTCACAGCTCTTGCTCTAGCAATGTCACGAGATGGCTCGTCAGGAGGTGTTATCCGGATGTGTGTGATCACTGAAGATGGGGTCGAGCGGCTGTTCGTTCCGGGGAACGAGCTACCGAAATTCTGGGAGGGCAAAGAGGTCCTTGGTGTTTCCGCGAAACCCAAGGGCGCGACATCCGTAGTGCCCATGGCTGTAGAAGTATAAGTGCATCTGTTATATCGGACATCTCTTGATCTTCTAGTGCGCACTCGTCGCACCGTGAAGTGTGTTTCGTATGTGTCCGGTATACAATGAGCGAACTAGCGGAGTGTACATGTAGTGTTTAAGTCGACTTCAATATCCACTCATTTGAGTCTTCCCATCCGGCACCTTCCCAAATCCGTATTCGCCATAATGCAATAGCCAGCGGCACTGTGTCCGCCCTCAAGAGTGTATTTGAGTCTGAGCATAATACACAGGCATGACTAGCTTTGTCATCCTTTCGGGCTCGTTGTGTTGATTGGATGGGTTGAGGGAGTGAATCCGATGGGTGGCACTGTGTCGGACCGCAAGTCTGTGTCACCGCCGTCTTTCTAGCCTTTTCCACGAAGCGTGACCGACGCTCAATGTCCAGCAAGCGCGAGAGAGATGCATGTAGCGTAGCACGATGTGATCGCGAAGGGAATAGGGAGATGCCATGATATAATGGCACTTTTGATTGAGGTAAGAAAGACGGCAGGATGTCCCCATCCTCATCGAATGCCTCTTCAGTAGTACGTAGTACTGTTGAAATAGGAAGACTGGACCGCATATTTGCTGAAGACTCTTCTGCCATTGGAGGCACTGCAGACATACTTGGCTCCGGTCTTCGTTTAGTGGTGACACTTCGGTTGAGTTGCGGAACTACCAGGACTGCGATGGCGTTCTCGCATGGTAACACGCCAGAAGACTTCATCTGCCCCCATTCAGCACGAGTCAGTCGTCGAAGCAAAGGGGCCTCCTGCGCTCCTTCAGGGTGTGCCCGCAGACGTTCTTCTAGGACTTGCAATTCCTGTAGAACACGCAACCGTAGTATGTGTGCAATGTGTCGTTCAAGCCAAGAATGCATGACCATGTTGCTACTAAGGCGTCTGTAAGAGCCTGCAATATGTGAGGCAAGTTCCATAGACCAATGATCCTACAAGGCGAAGCACACGGACCTCGCTCAGCAAGGGTCTCAATAATTGCTTTCCAGCATAGGACATAATGGCCTTGGCCGACCTTCCTGGGCTTGAATCTTGGATGCTCGACGCCGTCAGGTACCAAGATCTGAGTAGCTTTACCTGCCAATGGTCCGGGCAGCCGTACGGGGGCGAGCCGTACTAGAAATGCTTCACCAGCAATGTGAATGAAGGGAGCGCATGATCGGTCCACCTGACGTACCTCTGGGCAGATAGCGCTTGGTCGCGAAACATCGGCGTAAAGGAGTTGACAGCATACGTACTACCAGACTGCGCATGAGCAGACATGGCGTCAAGAAAGGCTACACGCACAATATGGACTTGCCCAGTAGCGGCGCTCCTCTTCGGACATGCTGCGCAGGTTCGGAACCTGCGCCTCATGGTCGCGCTTTTGCGAACTCCTCGACTTGGACGCTCTCAAGCGGGGCGCGGGGGCCTTATGTCGCTTGTACATTGAGAGCGCAAGGATGGGGTCAAGCGAGTCGAGCACGATGGACTGCGTGCGGCCTTCGGGAGAGATTGGCGGGCATTGTGGAGGATCTTGCGGCAGTAGTAGAGGTCTACGCTGCGGTCTTCGGCGAGGAGAAATCGGTGTTGGCTGAAGACGCACAGTTTGGAGGGCCTTGAGTAGTCGTGGCAGGAGACGAGGCATGAGCGACCATTTGCCGCCGTGCTCGCCGATCGACCCGACGCGCTAGACCAAGTTGCTCCCAACCGTCATCTGCGCCGCGGTGAACAATCCCGCTTTCATGCTCGTCTCTGTCGTGCACATGGCAATATGTCACGCTGTGTGCGCCGCTAACCATTCATATCGCCTGTACCTCAGTTAGACTCCATCGCACAGCATGATATACGGTCCTTACCATGCCTGGACGGCGTCTCTCGAGACTATCTGGGCTGATATCGAAGTCTATCTCAGCACTTCCTTGCCGCCCAGCGTACAAGCAATTTGATCTTTCGAGGCACGACACGATAGCTTGAACTCACCGGACCGCGATGCCCCTGCCCGACCCTATTAAAAGCGCATGGAGGCGTTCTCTTAGACTCCCTGACCTATCAGGCTCTTCGCATCCCAACATGGGGCTTGACATTGCGACCTTCTCTGCTCAGCCCATTACCCTCGCCATCATAGGTTGCGGGAGCCGCGGTACGGTGCGCGCAGTAATGTTGCTTTGACTGACTGTGCCTCCAACGATGAATGATATGCACTAGGCTTACAGTGCGTATGCCCTCGCTGAACCGACGAAATGCAAGGTCGTCGCGGTCGCGGAGCCGCGCCCTAAGACGCGGAAGTTCATGGCTGAGGGACATAGCGTCGACAAGACTCTCGTTTTCAGTTCCTGGGAGGATCTCTTGAAGGCTTCTGAGGAGACCATTAAGACAGTGGGCAAGCGGCTCGCTGATGCTGTGATCATCGCGGTTCAGGATCGCATGCATCTTGAGGTCACTCTGGCCTTCGCCGCGCAAGGTTATCATATTCTTTGCGAGAAACCAATGTCGACCACTGTAGAGGACTGTGTCAAGATGGAGGCTGCAGTGAAGAAGGCCGGTATCATATTTGGAATGGGTCACGGTACGATATTTCTGTCCGCAATCGATTGCCAATCTCATTGCTGTTGACAGTACTCCGCTACTCCCCCTACAACAAAGCCGTCTCGGAGATCGTTTTGTCTGGGAAACTGGGTCAACTGATCAACGTCGTTCATATCGAACCCGTAGGCTACTTCCATTTTGCCCATTCATACGTCCGGGGCAACTGGGCCAGAGAGGAGGAATGTTGCTTTTCGCTCATGACGAAGAGCTGCCAGTGCGCCTTTTCCTTGACTGTATAGTAACAATGCTAACTTGTTACAGCGACATTGATTTGCTTTGCCATTGGCTCTCCCCTGGGACTCCCACTCGCGTTTCCTCCTTTGGATCGCTTCTCCACTTCCGAAAAGAGTCTAAGCCCAAGGAGGCTGGGGAGGCTACTAGTTGCCTTGACTGTTCCTATGAACGCGATTGCCCTTACAGCGCGAAGAAGAGTATGCACAGCACGACACAATACTATTGCACAACATACTGACTTGTCTGGTGGCAGTCTACCTCGATCCTGTGGCCAAGGGCCAACTTGGATGGCCAGCGGCAACAATCGTCGACGGTCTTCCCGACATCGAGAACGTGACGTCAGCCCTCAGGCATGGTCGGTACGGCCAGTGCGTCTACGAGAGCGACAATAATGTCTGCGACAACCAGGTAAGCGTTCAAAACCGGACTTGCCAAGGCCCCAGAAACCTACTTTATCATTCCCAGATTGTCAATCTGGAATTCTCAAATGGAGCGACCGTGTCGTTCACGATGATCGCTCAAACAGAGCGCATCTGCGAACGGCAATCGCGGCTGCATTTCTCGCACGGCGAGATTGTCGGTGACATGAATACATTCACAGTGACTGACTTCCGCACGGGCACCACGACACGCCATACACCGCCGAGCGAGGGCGGAAACCATGGTGGCGGAGACATCGGTCTTATTCGTACGTTCGTCGAGGCCGTGCGCACCGGGAAGCAAGAGCTGCTGGGAACCGACGTTACAGAGGTGCTGAAGAGCCATCTGACGGTCTTCGCAGCGGAGAAAAGTCGTCGTGAGGGTACGGTTGTAAACTGTGCGGATTTCGAGCGCGAAGCAAAGGCCAAGTTTGTTTAAGGCTTCTACCCGACTCCCGTGTCCTCTTCCTTCCTCTGATGGACGCCGACTTGACTGTGTTGTGGTCTTAAACCTGTACAATCATGCCAAGTACTGCAACAACTTAGCCCTTATCATCGCGACACAAAAGTTAACCTTGTTCATCGCTTCAGCAGCCCCGCTGACGCGCCTGCCTCAGATTGTGACATTTGGACTCCGTCACAGTCCGTGACGGGTGATCGAACGCTTCGTAATACTATGGGGTGTATAGAGTTGCTCATGGCCGCGTTCGCAAGCCTCAGGTTCACCAAGCACTCCACATTTTTTCATGATTCTTGTGTCAATAGATGCGTTGAGATCTTCTTCACACCTGTGAATATTTTCAGTGCAATACAATGATTGTTACTTGTACCGGCACGAATCTGCGAGGACGGCTCGTTTTGAGGGTGTAATAGGCATAGAGTTGCTCAAATCGTCACGGCATGTCACCGCGACAAGTTCGCACTCCGACGCGGCAACGCCTGCCAGCAGCGAAACGAGCATGGTCTTGCAAACGCATCTGTGCGACGTGCCGAGCGGAGTCTAAACTACAGTCACATTCAGCCACAGGAGCAAGACGATCTCACCCACCATGCTTGTCTACATCATACCTCAAGTGCTTTGAAGTATCGGGCTTGTCGATAGACATTTATATCAATAGAGAATGAAGACTGAAAGCTTCCGGGGTAAAATTCTCATCGCATTTGGGCGAGATCTAGTTCAATATTTGTGTACACTGTTGTCAAAATGCCTTGTCGAGCATGCTACTCTTTCCACATTCATGATTTTATTATTCTGGTGCCATGGGGGCATCCATAGGGACTATATACACTCTCACTGATTTTTTTGGATTTAAAATAAAAATTTGGAAGGCCATACAAGGCGGTTTGAGCAACTCTATGCCTTGAGCAACTCTATACACCCCATAGTAGGGGGCAATTTGAATTTTAATCGGACGGATCGATGATTTTGACGTGCGGATCAAGTTCGTTCCGCTGGTCACCTCTACTAATTCTCAGACCCACTCAGCCTCAAATGTTCGAACGACAACATCACCCTCCTATACACTTTCTTCTCCCTCTTTTTTTACATATGGCCTCTCAGACCCACAATGATGATGCATTTCCAAGCACATCCTCGCTTCTGAGTGCCTTGCCGGAGCCAATTCCTCCGAGCCCAAACCGCCGCCACGAAGCTTCGGACCCGAAGGAGACTGTCCGCAGGAAGTCCATGCAGTGCCAATACTGCTTTAAATCAAGGTCTACTCCCGGGGTGACGTTAAAGATATGTGCTGGGTGTCATATTGACCATTATTGCGTAAGTTGGACGACGAGCTACTCTGCCCCTGAGTATTGACATTGCTCCTTGTCGTACAGAGTGAGGAATGCCAGCGCAAGGCTTGGCGTAATCACAAGAAGAAATGTAAAGACACACAAGATATGATGAGCTCGAGCGTTCAGGCTCGATGGCAGATCCTTTGCGACTTTACGAGGAAGCACCGTCCCATCTTGACCACGTTCGGGTGCCATGCACTCGAACTCTTCGAGAAACCCCAGCGTTCAAAGAATGAAGTTCTGGTGCTTTTCCTACACAGGCGCCCAGACTCCACTCGTGCAGAGACCGCTTTCTTCCTCGAGAGCGCTGAAGTGACGCCTGTCGACATGTTTCCTCCCGCAAAGGCTGCAACGCTTCGCGCAGAGCTCGCCAAGCCGTTCGCAGAGGGTTTTGATCCGAGCATTGTGGCAGGCTCAATACTCGTCCTGCTGTATTGCCTGGACACCCGGATGGCGAACGTTGTACGCCTAGGGGTATATCACGACGACCCTAGTTGTCGTTGTCTCCCACCGCGGGACAACGCGTGGGAGTCGGCTTTGAAAGACCATCTTAACCAAGGAATCGTCATGTAGTAACGTTAATATGTTCTCTTCCCTATGGGATGACTTTTAGCTGTGGTTGGTTTAGCTCATGCATAATGGTGCCTTGCTATACATATTTTACGGCGCTCATGTCTTAATTAGTACCTGTTGATTATATGTCGAGATTCTCCTCGCTTATCGCACAAACGGTCGATCGCAGCACTTGACAATTGGGCCTGGTGACCACATGCGCGCACAAGTATTCAGTATGCAGATCTACAGACCTCAGACCTCAAGTTTTCAAGGTGCCCTTGCGTTTCCGAATGGCCACATTCGGCTTACCATGAAAACATCACATGCCCACACGTGACAATTACTACCACTTTTTTCGTCTGCCCCCTCAAGATAGGAGGTAGCATTGGCGCTAATGTATGTCACGTGTAGTCACATGACTGTTAGGAATTATGTCTCACGCGCTGATTTGACGCCATTCGGACCGGGCGAGCGGAGCCGCCTATATCAACCAAGTTTGTTCTAACTCGCGAACTACAACGTAATTGCGTTACAGACGCATTTCTGTTTCGTGACTCGTGTCAAACCTGACTAGCTCAAATGCAAATTGGATTGCGCGCGATGTTGTCATTCTCCAAAAAATGAGCACTACACGTGTGACATAACAACATGTATGCATGAGCTTCTGGCTTGCAGGGTGCAATTCTTGGGTCGTGCCTTCAGATCGCTTGTTCGTCCGGCGACACGATCTTCCTCTGCTCCAGTAGAAGAAGACCTTCGACGCTGTAGTCATGGGTGCCAAGGTACCGTACGTAGTGTTCGGGTACGGATCTCTCATCTTCAAGGTAGGAGGCAATTTGGACCCCTGTCAGATGAAAACCGAACAAAGATATACCAGCCCCCGCCTCATGTCATTGCTCAAGGTGCGCTGCACATCCTTGAAGGATTGAAGGATTGGGACGTGATTGCCGAGTGCACACGACGTTTCTGCAGTCCCCGGATACTTGAAGGGCTACGTGCGGAGGTTCGCGCAGAAGTCGCATGACCACCGCGGTACGCCAGAGGTGAGCACGCGTGCGCGAAACGGCCTGCGGTTGATCATAATGTGAGGCTCGTCCTCGTCTTCGCCGCGGCGTCTTTGCCTGTAGAACCCAGGACGGGTGGTGACGCTCATCCACAAGGAGGACTGGGACGCGTTCTCCGGATCGGTGAGTGGCAAAATCTTTGCTGTGCGAACGCCCAGTGATAACTGTGCGTCGCGGCAGGATCCATTCCCTGACGACGATGTGGTCTGGGGTGCGTTTTGAGCCTTCGCGAGTTGAAGCAACGGAGGTGACGAGAACTCCTGTAGGCATCGCGTACACGATTGATCCCCAGTACGAATCTGAGGTCAGGGACTATCTAGGTAGTGTTCGGTCAACATGTCCTCTGTTTACATATGTTCATCGTGCTTTCTAGATTACCGTGAAAAGGTGATTCGTACTCCCTTGCGATAGACATCTAAGGTCTGAACGACCCTACCAGGACGGCTATACCCTAGAGCAACTAGATGTGTACGGCGTGGAGCACGGCCATGAGAAAGTCGTGATACAGAACGTGCGTATGTCAGCTATGGCATCACGATAGCAGGTGGCTCATGCAGAAACACAGGCCTTCGTGAGTTCGTGACAATGTCTCCTTCCCTGGATGCTTATATGGCTGGATCTGTAGTGTTATGTCGGTCATAACGACAATCCATCGTTCAGTGCGTGGCCTGTTTCATGAATCTCACCCCGCGTTCATATCACAGCATCGCCGACAGTTGGCTCGGAACCAATCGACGCGCTGGGGGAACGAATCTGGCAGTCTGTTGGCCCATCAGGTAGAAACAAAGACTATCTATACGAGTTGTCAGCCGCCGTGAAGCGACTCGCGCCGGAGTCGCACGACTCTCATCTGTTCGCGCTCGAGGTGAACTGGATTTACAGTCTACTTGGACCGCGTCATTCTCATGCGCACGGTTACAGACTAGATGTCGGGAGCTTGACGCGGAGAGGGGAGATTACGGTATTACGCAGAATGGTAACAAACCAAGCGCAGCTGCGGCGCAAGAGGGAGAGATCACGAAATAGCAGTCTGTGGGCCGTTCGGGATTTGCATATTGGAGCGCTTGCATGGTAGTCGCTGAAGAACGAATGTCGTACTCGGTTCACGACAAGCCAGCTATGACGAAAGTGTAGTCTGCCAACGCCCCCATCCATACCCAGAAGCCCGACCAGCCACAGCCCACGAACCCCTTCCAGCAGCTGGCGTGGTTGTCGAAATCCGTTCGCCTGAGTACCCGTGCCAGCTGGAGCGCCGCGAGCGTGGTCCCTGCGTAGAACAGCGAACCCTGCTCATTCAGGTAGCCGGCCAAAGTAATCAGTGAGATGCTGGATGCGGAAAGCGCGCTGAGGATCGGCCGTGTCTGCTCGCCGAAGAGCAAGGCAGTCGAGCGAATGCCAACTTGGACATCGTCGGTTTTGTCCTGGACGAGGGTCAGAATACGTATATGCATGGGGGGGGAGGGGCAAGCTTGTCTACCTGGTGGGCGTAGATGCTGTCGTACACCAAGGTCCAGCAGAAACCGCCGGCGTATAAGGGAAGAGCTACGCTCCAGTTCACAGAGCCTGCCACAGCGGACCATCCGAGAAGTGCGCCCCAGTTGAACGCGAGCCCTAAGTATTCGGCGTGCTCCTTCAGCTAAGTAGCACAGCCTACTCTGAAAACATGCACAGACCTAGGACCGCCTGAGGCCAATACGTCACCCGTTTCATGAACGGATAAATGGTTACGACGGAGAGGGATGAAGCTCCCAGCAGGATGCTGTAGGGAAGTTCAGTGCACTGCACGCGGCTTTCAAATGGCTCCTTACCTATACCAGTTAAACTGAGTGAGTACGGCGAGGCCGGCGCTCAGCTGCAGGCCCAGGAATCCGACGGCTTGAGGTAAGGATATATCACCTCGGGCCAGTGGTCTCTCTTTTGTCCTGGCTGTCGCGAACATTCGCCTGGGTCTCATGAACTTGACGAAGGAAACGTACCGACAGATTTGTCCAAGTTCTTGTCCCACATGTCATTGATTGTGCACCCCGCCCCTCGCATAACCAGCGCGCCAATGCCAAACAAGCTGATATACGTGAGCGGCGTCGTGAACGGCGTTTGCAGCGCGTAGGAGGCCATCGTGATCGACCACGCTGAGCAAGGCGCGCGACAAAGCGCGTCGTTCAGTACCATTCGGGTGTCTCAGAGGGCTTTCCGACATACTGCATGGGTAGAACAGGAGCAGGGTCCCGATGGGCTTGTCGATACGCGTCAAGTAGAGGTATGGCCGTAGTCTATTTGGAGCGTATTCCACCCATGACTTTTTTGCGGCTGGTGGGGACGACGATAGCGTCCCAGTCTGACGCAGGGCCACACGTCGCAAAGCTTGACTAGCAGCATAGGGACGGATGATTTTGGTGCTGGCGAGACGACCTGGGTGCGCACTAGCATGGATGTACGGGAGGATCCCCGCGCGCGTGGGTGCAGTGAACAAGTTCATGACGATCCAAATACCGGAAGATGCCGACGTCGAGCACACTGCTCACTGTGAAATGACAAGCTAGAGGCACGGTCGAGCGTATCATAAGGGGAATAAGTTTGTGCAACTGAGACGTATTGGTTGTGATCACGGTACGTAAAACAAAAGACTATGCCTGAAGGGAATACAATGATGGAGACCTATATAACCCGCACGCGAAACCTTCCTTTACCATTCCTTGGCCAGCTTAAATGACCAATCCCAGTCTGGAATACGCGTCAGTGAATCACCACAGTCGAACAACGCGCTTGCTTACCGGCATACACTTCACCATCATCGTCTACAACACGGCTACGGACGTTGTATGTCCCCGAACGCGCAAGCATGCCCGACGGAGACTCCTCAGGGTCGAAATTCTTGGTATACGCCTCTCCCTGGGGGTGTGGACCGTACGATCCCAGCATCTGCTCCATCTTGTCCACTGATCGCAGTTTTTGTGAACAGGTTGATCGAGAATGTCGCTATCACTCACCCCTCACACCAGATCTCTTGACGACTTGCATGTATCGGACACCCTATGGCGTAACAGAAGGTGTAAGCACGTCAGCAGCTGGAGATAGGCTGCTTCTTACAGAGATGATGGAGTGGTTTACTTTGAACGTGATGCGAACACTGCATACATATGAGATAAGTCGACATGAGTGACAGCTGCACACGTCAATGCTTACTTGTACTCCACTCCCTCCTTGATAGTGATTGGGTTCTTCTTGACGTTCACGAGCTGGGCAGGGTCCTGGATGTCCAATGATAACTTCCTGCCCGCAGGGAGAGTGGGAGATGCGAGCTCAAGGGTCACCACGGTGACCTGCAAGTCCCGGTAGACAGATTAAAACCATGCGTTGCAATCGCACGCAGTGCTGTGCATACCTTGGGTCCGACAGCTGGCGAAGTCGAAGCACCGGGCAAGATACCAAGGCTTGCTTTCCACCGAGCCAAGCTCTCATCCTCGGCATCAAGCTGCGCATACTCATCCAAGGACTTGACAGCAGCTGGCTTGTACCCTACGCTCGGTTTGCATAAGCCCTGCCCGCGATACGATTTCGTTCGCGCACTTACCGGGAGTAGCGGTGGGCGCGAAGTCCTCTTCCTCGTGGGGCTACGTGCCATGTTATTAAAATCCGCGTACATAATCGCCAAGTCTAAACTCACCGCCGACATAGTTAGAGAAGCTGATTGAGAGGATGGAAGGCGGATTGGGAGTTAGAGAGCAACGGCGATGCCAGGGTGACATTGCCATAGCACAGGGCCACTATTAATCGATTTCCCACGGCTGCTATACGGCCTTGGCCGAAATTGCATGGGTCTAGGAGGCGCCCACGCCAGGCCTGGGCTCGCACCGGGCGTCCCGCCTCCAGCAAGATCGCCAGCATCGCGGAGGCAAAGTCGTTGGTGCGCATGCCGATGTCCACAAGATCCCATCGCAGGGGCACGCAAAATCCGACACACCGGTCTCAATGCCGTACCGATCTTCGACAGGTGAAGAGCTCCACTATACCGATCAAGTAGTTATATATGCCTTCCTACGGTAGCCGACGATCATACAAACATGTTTGAACAACAAAAGAATTGGTGAGATTTAGTGACATTAGCCAGTGCGACGGCCCCTTGGGCAAGTCGCGACATAATAGCAGTATTGCGGCAGCGATGATCGTTATATCGACCAGCTGGCCTATGGCGTCGTGTTTTAGTCTTCCCCTCCGACTAGAATGGGGTGCATCCCATCTGCAGAAGATATCAGAAGGCGCAATATACGCAGCATGTTACTCACCGCCTTTGAACCAGCATTTCCCCTTGCTGAGGTGGAAGCAGCGCACGCCGCTTGGACAAATGTGGCCCTGTGAAGGGACGATCAGGAACGCGATTAGTGGAGCCTACGAGAAGTAGATGAAGAATCACTACTTGCCCAGCAGCACCTATCTCCATAAGGGCACTCTATACCTATTACCGGGTGAGTCGGATTCAGTTTGAAAACATCGACGAAAAACATGCCATTCTTCAGATAGTTGCAAGGTGCTTTCTTGGCATTTTTGGACAAGATGTCTAGCTGCTCTGGCGATAGGTACCACTCGTGCGAGTATTTGCAGTTCGCCTGGCAATGCCTCTCAGGTGTTGAACCCAAGGCCACACGTCAGAAACACTCACCCCCTTAGAGCATGTCATTAAATAGTGCTCGTTGCATGGAGGGGGAATCTCTGTGAATACCACATGAAATGGTAAAAATGGCTCAGGAGGACCAAATATGTCTACCTACGTTTATGAAGAGGCTAAGACCAGTTGTCAGACATCGTTAGCGACGCAATACGCAAGATAACGCACCTTCGTGGAGTCGATCGGCTTCGTACCATTAGCCTTACGAGCAGTAGCTATGGTCGAGTACGTCTCGGACTCTGGACTGATTAGGCCTCCATGGGTGGTAACGTTGTGTTTCAATCCAGTTAGGGGTATAGGTCCAGGCCGCCGCTGGACGTAAGAAGGCGCATGCAGCATAAAAAGTCCGTCGACTGGCATTATATGAACCGGGAGCTGTTGCAGAGTTTCGGGGGGTACGTTGCCTCCATGCAGAAGAATGACTTTGCCAAGTAGCTCCTCCTTCTCGAGCGCCATCAGCGTTGAGGTATAAGTCCCGTCATGGCCGTCTAAGGCGAGTTCATGAGAAGGCACCAGATAAACAGAAATTGTGCTCACCAGCAAAGAACACACGCAAAGTTTGGGGCAGGCGGGTATACGTCTGTAGGTATTCTGGGCGCGTCGTGGGGTAAATAGGTGAAGGGAAGGACGGGGAGACCAGCGGCACATACCTTTGATCTTCACATCCGTCCCGTCCCTCCCCGGGCCGACGTCCACCAAGTGGAAGCGAGGAGAAGCCTGACTCAGACCTGACAAGAAGCCCTCGAATTGTTCTCCATTGCAAATGCTTTCGTTCTGTAGGGCACTCAAGAGGCCCCGCCTGTTGTAGTAGACGGTGACCCAGAACGAGAGCCTTCCGAAGACCTGGGCCTCTTCCTGTGAAAGGTACTCTGCAATTGCCTTTGTAAGCTCTTGCGCCGCTTGTCGGCCTCCCTGTTGCCCCTGAACCAGTAGCGAGGGGTGAAAAATGTTCGCATCTCCATCTATAACGCACAGGATGAGGGGATGCTGGTCCTGGGACAATGTGTTAAGACGATATCGGGCCCGCAAGGACGACAAACTCGCCTTGAGGAATCCAATCGAAGAAATCTGCCTGTTGAGCGTGGCAACCTGCGCGTTATGCGCTTTTTTGTCTCGTTCAGCCATCTCAACTATGCCTGAATGGGCTTGCTTCCAAACTGAAAGTTCGAGCTCGAGCTCGGTCACCCGGGCTTCCAACTCCGAGTTCCTCTTGAGCGTCGCTGTAGAGAGGTCTACAAGACCAGAAAACACAAAATTTGAGCAGAGCGACACGTTTTCATTGCGGGTGCACTCACCGAGCACTCTGGTGAGGGCTTCATCCCTGATTGGCAGAACAATAGCCGAGTCAATTGAAGCTTTCGCGACCTCCGCGGAGCGACGCCACAACACGGTTAAACTCACCAGAGCTGCTTAGTAGTGTCTCCTGCCGACGGCGACGCCATGTATTATAAACAAGAGGGGGAATGTAACTTAGAACGTGCAGTAAGTGAGGGTAAGAGGAGAAGAACTTGAGGCCTTATAACCGCCGAGGGCATGATGCCTCCTGGTGCCAACTGCGGCTACTGGGCTAGATCCTCGCGCCGACTCCCTAGATGTGCAGAAGACGCGATGACTAGGCCGGCACACTGAGCAGTTGAGATACACACGAAGAGGGGCATCTGTGCGCTGTGCCCTTCGCAGGGCAACCGCATCTGAGGCGGGCTGGCAGCGCGCGGGGAGAACAATCGCATCCGTTCTGGTGTTCCTTGTTTCTCAATTTGGCTAACACGACAGCCACAATGCTCAACTCCGCCCATCGCTGATCTTCGACTTCCCGCGAACACAACCGGCGGCACCTCACACCGCGCAACCGCGTACTATCGCTCTCGCACACGCACACTGCGCCAATGCGCACGCCCCGGTGTTGGCACGGAAGACCGTCAGGGCCCATACGCAAGCCACCAAAACTCTTCTGATTTCTGCGTGTCAAGGGCGTGCATCTCACGTGAGGCGATACCCACAGGAACGGCTGATAGACACCTTGAGCTTCTTCGAGTCCCGGCGCTGACCAAATCGTTCCTCAAAGAGCACCACGTTCGCTCATGATATTGGCGCAAGCTGTCAGCGGACTGTTGCGGTAGGTACGGCTGGCCGCAACAGCAGTGCAGGTCGCCATTTTTACCGCCCTCGACAGCCCTTCAAGCTGAGCAGATGCAGGCAGTGGGCCGAGACCACCTACTCGGAGTCACTTCTGGTCCATTTTTCGCCGCCGGGACCGCGGTTCCATGATCAATAACACTGATTCTGCAGGCAGCGGCATATCTTAAATGAGACATACGGTCCCGAACAACTGGAAACGCCGCGCGAAAGGGAAGCCCTCTGTTCCGAGCTAGAGCTATGTACTTCCCCTTCAATGCGATCTTCGAGGCCATGGCCTCTCCTTACACAAGGGCTCGAACGTCCACCGATAGCATCCTCCACCATCGCACGGGGAACGGAACATAGACGGTCCCAGGCACGTATGTGTAGCACTCACGAACTACGGCGGTAAGGGGGCTGGTGCCTATCATGCCACCGCTTGTCTCTGATATGCTTCCATCGGTGCTTGGATTGGAAGTTAGGGAGTTCGATGTTAGATGATCACGGGTGAATATCATATCCCACGCCAGTGCATGCTCGTGCTAAGTTGTAGACGACTGCTGAGGCGGCCGTTCGTACCTGGGGCAGCAACTCGCGGATCTATGTGGTGAGCGTGGCCTCAATACTGGTGGACATATATCGGCGTACATGTTATTGATAAGTCACGCGCTGGAAGTGTTCGGTGATGCTGGGAAGGTCCGGGAAGGGTGAGTGCACTCACAGTCATTGAACTCTACTTAGTAGAATTAATGGCGGGCGTCAACCGAAAGCAGAGTGCGTGCCTTTGCAGTGAAGCTCAACCAGATGGACATACCAGTCGCTGCACGTGTTGGTCCAGCATCTGTTGATGATGAGTCGCATATGGACCGCATCGGGAATTTGACGGTGATCACTGCTGCATTGCGACGCGCAGTCTATCATCGGCGCGGGTACGTGGTAACGGATGTGCAACGTACAGATCGTGACAACTGCACGGCGATGGACACGAACATGTGCGTACCTTCAACTGAAATGCGAGCGTCCTCCAGCCCGAATCGTGTTGTCTCCGATCTGTAAATAAGCTAGGTTACACCGGGAGGTAGCAACGTACGATTTGCTCTTCTTCTGTGCGTCAGCGACAGACGCTCATACGCTGTCATGGGCTGCAGGCTGTTGGTGGTTCATCTCAACAGTCTGAAAACTGTCCATGTCGCAACACGACGATCGAGCGTCTACTTGCGCGGATATGCTGACTTTGTGGGACTTCATGAAAAGTCTCCGCAGAGCGATTTTGTATAGAGAGAGGCATGGACTTGCTAGACTTAGATTCGGGGTTTTGCTAACGTCGCTCGATGACGAAACAGGATCCATTTGAGACCACTTTGCAAGTCCTCCGCCCGTGGAATCGTCCGACCGCAACTGGTCTGCGCTCAGCGAGACATTCAGTCATAATCGCTTTGCCGAGTAGTCAACGGAGCACCCCCGGAAATGCAGTGAAGGTGAGGTGAGGCTGTAAGGGGGAGATCGGCAATCTAAGGCAATGGGCAAGACGACCAATTCCTGGCACTGCTTTGCCCGCGATGGAAGGTGGCACACTGTTGACTGCCGAGGAGATAATGCAGCGGTGGATGCCGACGGTATCGGAAGTCCATACTGGCGATCAGCAAAAAAGAGAAGGTGGCACAGGTATTCATGCTGGTTGCCCTCCCTGCTTCTTATGGTTCCTCAAAAAAAGGAGGGTAAGTGGCAACGCGTTCGAAGCGACTCCTCGGGCAGGAGGATGCTGAAATGTCGCTAGTATGCGCGTCTGGTGCGACGAACGTGGACTAGCATCCCGCTCTAGCCGCTACTCAAGTAGCTGGTCACTGGTGGCACGGACATTAACTCTCGGCTTATCCTGCCAATCAAGCGTACTGATGTGAACTCCCAGGACTGTTATCCGCCATCGCGGATGATGAGGCATACAAGATGTTACACAAGAGGTAAGCTCGGAGATATCGTTGGAGAGCACTCACGGCACACCGTCGTCATTCAGGCTTCGATGCGACAATAGACGTTCTCACGGGCGCACTTCGTGCAGAAGATTTCGTTCCCGAAGATAGAGTAAAACACGGATCTTCCACACCAGCGTTCTGTGTGGAACTGTCGTCACACGCTTTTCGCATTTTCGTGCTCCGTGGCCGACATGCGCTCGCTACGACCTCAAACGAGAAGAAGAGGAGGCTCTTACTTGGTGGAACTCCACCTCGTCGGTCGGCTGGCGCTTGATAGAACACGTACGGACACATGCAGGTGTGTCTACCCTCAATGATGTGATGTACAGGACCAGGATGTGTCAGGACGGCACCCGCTCGTTGAGAAAGCTTGTCTCAACCGCATTGTCCGCACGAATGCAACGAAGAGGGCGTTGGCATAATCTTCGCGTTCGTCTTTTCGTGCACCTGGCAAAATAATTCACGCATGCGTCATATGTACATAATGTAGCTTCGGAGCAGCTTCTATCAAGCATAGACTGTAGATCCGCCAACACGAAGAGGGCTACTGTGCACAATGGACGAGGAATATGTGCGAACGCCACTCGTACGATGTGGGCCGAATCGCTCGGGGATCTAAGCTCATCCCACGCCCGGGCAGTGCTGTGCGATGAGAGCCGGAGAGCCCGAATGCAGGGGCGTCGAGCAGATGCGTCATCGATAGTCGGGCCACCGACGCGATGACGGCGACCTGCCAAAAGGCAGGGATTTGTATGTTTTCGCAGAGAGGCGGCCCAAAGGGGACAGGCGTTGTGGGTGCATGGAGGGAAAGGAATGAGCCGGCTCACAGCCGGTGCCCGCCGTTGGCGGTCGTACCTGGCGACAAGATGCCAGCCCGATCAGGGCGCTCAATTTGCGCACCACCTCCCAAAATGGCTGTTGTTCCCGCCGGTCAAGCGCGTCATTTTCCCACGCGCACTACCTCCCGTGTCCCAGCCACCAAGAGCCACCGCCACGCGTCTGCGATGTCCTCTGACATAACTGTTGTATGTAAGGCGGCCGATGGGTTGCCTGACAATCTCACGCATTGTCTGTGTGGCTTGCAGCGCACGGCCGAGGACATCGACGATAAGCAAGCGCTGTCGCACATTGCACCCCATTTCTTCGCCTGCGAACGTTTTGTCGGGAACCCAGATTGGCGAGCGCGCCGAGCGGTATGCCGAGGTTAGCGTTAATCAGAGACAGCGATGCTCCGAGCGTCGCGCTGGATGCCGGTACCAGGACGGTCCGAAGTGTGGAGCGCAGGGCGGCGGGGGACGCACGCTACACATGAGCGATCAGGGAGAATGAGTTTACCATACTCGGCATCGCACCTATTCTCCCTTTCAGCGCCACCTCACACCGTGTGGTGGTGCTTTTGGGGTGTCTTTGCGATCATCTCTATTCCGTCACCGCCGCCCGCACAATCGCAGACGCAGACTCAGTGCCACTCGCTAGCTTCGCCTCCTCGCCACCTCGCCTTCGTCCTTGTCCCGTGACCATCCCCCGCTCCCCCCGGAGGAACCCCCGAAAGTTTGCACAAACATCTCCCAGAAACGGTCGATACCTGTCGCGTGTATGTATATAAGACATCCCCCCCTCCCCCGGACTGTTCCCCATCCGCACCCTGTCCTCCTGGTGCCTAACGATCATGTCTACGCCATCACTCAGTTCACACCACAGCCACGACGACGCTGTCTCTGAGAAGGGTCGCGCTGATGTCTCCTATACCTACGGCGTGGGTGACGACGATGAGATTCGCGGACTCCTCCCCTCCATGCGCGGTCGAAAACTGACCGCTGCCCTGGCCTTCGTCGCCGGCACGGGCTTTACGCTATTTGGGTGCGTCGCAGCCCCCTCTTGCACAAGGCGCTCTCCAGTTGACGCGACCTGCTCTACAGTTACGACCAAGGCGTTATGTCTGCACTACTTACGGCCAACCAGTTTGAGAAGGTGTTCCCCGAGGTGATAACGGGCTCCGGATATCCGGCGAACCATGCGACCCTGCAGAGCTTTGTGGTCGCTATCTACGTGAGTGTCAATTCATTTGAATAATTCATGATTCTGGGGTGCAGGTTTGTCCCGTCCGGCGTGGTGTCTCACTTGGCGCGCACGGCCGCATCTTGGATGTGCGGGTTGTACGCAACGGAGAATTCGTCAGCTGATGTTTTCTGGCGGGGAACCGCCATCAACCCCACGTCAGCTGACGGTCCGCTCTAAATTCGCGTCTATTTCCCCACATTCATCACGAAGCCCTTGACTTGCTGGACTGCGGGGGCGGAACGCCAGGACGGCCGCTGCTCACCTGCTTGATGCTCTCTTCTTGCTCCGTTGGGTGTTGGAAATTCCCTGCTGACCCTTGGCGCTTCAGGAAATTGGCTGCCTCTTTGGTGCCCTGGCGAACCTCTGGCTGGGCGACAGGTTGGGTCGTCGGAAAACAATCTTCATTGGTGGCTCGATCATGATTGTTGGCGCCATCCTGCAAACGACATCCTTCACCTACGCGCAGATGATCGTGGCGCGTATTATCACAGGTCTCGGTAACGGCCTGAACGTGAGTTGCTTCCGAGAAGTCTGCGGGAATCTTGAGATTGACAGTATTGGCGCCCCAGACGTCAACAGTCCCGTCGTATCACGCAGAGTGTTCACCAGCCGCGAAAAGAGGCAGCTTTATCATGGTTGAAGGCGCTCTCATTACATTTGGCATCATGATCTCGTATGTGATTTCTTTCAGCTTGTACCTCACAAGTGCTAATATTCTTTGGCAGATATGTACGTGTCCTATCATTTTGGTTTTTAGTATTCAAGTGCTCAATTTGCGTCATCCAACTCAGTGGATTGATTTTGCCTTGTAAGTATTGCAACCTAGAACTTCCCCGCCACAGAAATGCTGATATCAGCATTTAGCTATTGGCTCACCGGTTCATCGGCTCAGTGGCGGGTACCGATCTCATTCCAGATCATCCTTGCCCTCATGATGATCATCGGCGTCCTCTTCGTGAGTGTGTATGTTCCGTTGATCACGCGGTCTGCTGACCCTGGACCAGCTGCCCGAGTCGCCTCGTTGGCTTGCCAAGAAAGGCCGCAATTTAGAAGCTCTAGCCGTTATTGCCGCGCTCGAGGACAAAGATTACACAAGCGACTCGGTCCAGCTGACATATCACGGTATCCGAGAAGCCATTGATGCGGAATCGCGGTCGACGGACTCGGAACGCTCTCCCCTGCGCGAGGTCTTCACCAATGGCCGCTCGCAAAACTTCCGTCGCGCGTGTCTCGGTGTCGTCAACCAGTGCTTCCAGCAGATCACCGGTATCAACCTCATCACTTAGTAAGTTTGCTTTCATGCAGTGCTGCCGAGCCACCGCTGACCGCTGCCTTCCTAATAGCTATGCTACGCTTCTCTTCCAGCGCCTTGGCCTCGATGACGTCAAGTCGCGGATTATTGCGGCTGGTAACGGCACGGAGTACTTCCTAGCCAGTCTCATCGCCATCTTCCTCATCGACCGTGTCGGTCGTCGGCCACTCATGCTGTTTGGTGCCATTGGGCAGACGATCACCATGGTCCTCCTCGCCGTCCTTGGGAAGATCAACACGCCAGGGTGCCAGGTCGCCTCGGCGGTGCTGCTCTTCGTGTTTAACTCATTCTTCGCCATCGGCTGGTTGGGTATGACGTGGCTTTACGTGAGTCATATCTTCCCATAGGCTGGAGTTCAACCCACTAACGTGCGCCCCTAGCCCGCTGAGATCGTCGGCCTGCGGATACGTGCGCCCGCGAACGCGTTCAGTACTGCATCCAATTGGATCTTCAACTTCGTTGTCGTGATGGTCACCGGACCGGCCTTCAGCAGCATCGGGTGGCGCACCTATATTGGTAAGTTGCTGCTATCTGGCATTCCGATGCCTTGGAGACTGACTCGTTTTCAGTGTTTGCGGCGCTCAATGCGTTCATCATCCCCGTTGTGTACTTCTTCTTCCCCGAGACAAAGGGCCGGTCGCTGGAAGGTATGTCTTCCCGGTCTCGGGTGATAATCCAACGCTCACCCCCGTACTTGCAGACATGGACGTTATATTCGCCCTGGCATATAACGAAGGCGTCTCCCCAGTCGGCGTTTCCCTCAGGGACGACATACCTCCCGCTGGATCTCCGGAGGCCGATGAGATTCTTGGCGTGCGCCCGCGGTCGACTCGCAGCGACGCCGTCGATGAGCAAAATAAGCAGTAGATGCATTCTGTAGATGCATACCAGATGCATGCGTGTTGCTTGAGACGGGCGAGCCGGTGTACGATATGATTACCTCGCGATGCTTGACCATACCCACGAAGGCGACGATGCTCATGTTTACCCCCTCCGCAGGAGTGTATCAATATTGTTATTCTACATTACTATACGCGTTGTGTACTACACACTTGTCTCTTCACTGTGCAATGATACATTGCTTTGCTGACTGCAACTGTGTGCGTACGCCGGGATGGTCCTAATGGTCTTCAGCACACACCACTCGATAAGCACCTGAATGCACTCTAATTCTATTAACAAGAGTCGTTATGTATTTGTATCGCATTTGTACTAGGTTTTCTTGTGTTCAGTAGAACTAGCGAGCGCGGTGGTCAATTGTTGATTTGCGGATTCGACTTCTGTTGTAGGCTGGGAGTCGACTCGCTGCCGCTTCAGTGCGCGGTCGGTATTGAGGCTCTGTGTAATCTTAGGCGTCAGAAGATTGTGACCTAACCAGGCAGCAGCATACCTTCAGCTTCCAGGTTTTGAGCGTTTTATCGCGCTCTTGCAAACGCTCGCACAGCTGCTTGTGTGTACACCATTTGCGGTTCGTACCTGACTCGACCTTTTTGGCCATATTCGCCAGATGATTGATGGGCTTCATGACTGCGAGACAAGACGAGCAGGGACCTCCCTCTGGCAATATCGGCATCACGCATCGATCAGAACGGACGCGGAACTTGGTCCCTCGCTCCTCTACGGCGCAGATGTGGTAGCCCACAGAAGGCATATCGGGTGAGTGGCGTTGCCAGGGGTAGGTCTGGAAAATGTTATCTAGTGGCCAGTCAAGAGGGATCCCGCGACATGGAAGTCCCCTGTAAGCTGTCGGGTGAGGCACAGATGTAGACGGCGGAGGCCAGACTGAAGCAGATGAGGTGCCGGCGAATGGTATTACAGATGAGCGACCCGACAAGCCATCAGCACATGGCAAGATGCTGGACAAGTCTGTGTCGTCCTCAGATTCCCTGTGCAGACGGTGAGTTACAGATAGTTGCAATGGACGGCACCGGCAATTGAACTTACCAGCCATAAGCATACTTCTCCCCAGAAAAATCGACCGGCGTCAAGTGCCCCCATTGCACAGGGCTTGGCCGACAAGACTCGGGTGCCAACGCGTTAATAGTGACGGGTGCTTGTGGTTGAGGTGTCCGATCTGAAAATGAGGAAAATAGAGCCCTGCGAGCATTCTGTGCATTCTCCCTCTCTTGGCGATAGACAAATGTAGCGCAAGTGCGGCGGCACTTATTTCCGCCCATGTGGGCGCGCAGCGAGTGCAATACGACCCTCCTCGATCCTGTTGCCACCCACGTCTGACAACGCGGGCATCGCATCCTTGTCGTGCCGTTATGACCTGCATTATCCCATAGAATCTCTTCTCCGTCAAGCTTGACAGTCGAGGGAGCAAAGGTAGGGAATGATGTGCTAGAACCAACCGAGTCAGAGTAGGTGCCTCCCGTTTGTAGAGTAGAGGCGCATGTCATGCCGATGTAGTTCTCATGTTCCAGTGGCTGATTCGTGGTCGTGGCCGGTGTGACCAACACTGTCGTGTTCTGATCAAATAGGCCCGGATTGAATAATGGCGCAGCCATCTTCACGATAACTTGTGGCTGTTGAGTATATTCCCTTTCAATATAACTTCTTACCGCACGCTCTGCTAAGTACCCCGGGTGTCTTTCCGACAGCAACCCTTCGCCGCCGCAGAGTGCAGAGGTTAGTTGCCTGCTATAAGGCTACTGTTGTTCAGACAGAGGACAACACACGTCACGCACAAGAACTGTACACCACCAACCTTTGTAGTTTCTGCTGACAGAGATCCCTGTGTCAACTTGTTCGCGGTGGACACCTGCATCCGATCTTGTCAAGAACTTGGAAGGCTGAGACCAAACACAAGCATACCAGTTGTAAAGGGCTTATTTGCTTATGATGATTGCGCCGATAGACATCGAGCGTCGGGGTTAGCCTTGAGGTGGGGTGGCCACCCAGCTGTGACATGTCGCGTCGCGTCGCGTAAACGCGTGACAAGACGCGTCGTGTGAGAATTGCTTACGTCGACGCGTATTGGCGCCGCGCCGCGTTCTTCCTCCGCAATCACCGCGCAGGTTCTTCCCCAATCAACCTCTCCTGGTACCGGGCGTCACGTAGTCGTATTCTCTATGTCGAATATATACGCTGCCCTGCACGTGTCGCCTAGGAAGAAGCGAGCTCCTGCTGAGCTCGACGACGACGACGTCCTTACACCCAAGAGACTACGAACCGCGTAAGTAAACAATCTCTGTTTCCTCCATAGCTCATTGAACAACGTTGCGGTCGCTTGTAGCCCGCCTCCGACGCCGCCAGCTACTGTGACGCGTCGAGATACAGCAATTAAGGATGCCTCGTTCCCTCCTCCTCTGATGCGCTTGTACAACATTCAGACTGCGTTACAACAAGCGCTCTCGCATGCTCTAGCAACCTGCGCTGTCGCACCATCCGAAGACACCGGTGTTGTCCGCAATGTCTTGAATCATATGTCATTAACCACCTATTCCGGCTTCACCACAAAATTCGATGCGGACGAACTTAAACGGCTCTGCTGGTTGTGGGAATGGGACGGAGAGCAACTGCCTTCAGCTAAAGATGTGAAGGACAATAGAGACAAGTCTCAAGTTGACGATGATAATCCCTTTCTCGATGATCCACCTGTCATGTCGCCATCGAATATGACTCCGAAGGCAAAGACACGACCGGCCTCGTCCACCTCGAAGATTCCTATTAGAGCAACTACCTCTTCGACGGCTATTCTTGATGAGGACGACAATCCTTTCTTGGACAGTACGCCTAAGGCGAATGTGGCGATGAAATCGAAAGTTGTCAAGACGCCGATCAAGGACATCGACGAAAATCCATTCCTTGACACGCGCCCCCCTCGATCTCCTTACAAGACGCCGAGAGTGAAGGCTCAACTTGACAGCGATGACGAAAATGTCTTCCTGGAGAAACGACCTGTCGCGTCGACTTCAAAGGATTGGACCCGTGGTGCCATGGGCTTCGTGATTAGCCAGACTAGTCATTTCTCAAAGTCGCTCAACATGCGAGTGCCCGTGTACGGCGTCGGTATTGAAGTCGAGATGGATATCACGAAGGGCATGGGCGGGGGAATGGCGGCGGTCGCCCGATGGACAGCCGCGAGCGAAACTCGCCGAAAGGAAGTGCGCGTCAAGCTGGAAAAGTGGGTCCAGGTAGGTGTAATCATCCTGGTGGACGCATGCTCGACTAAAGCTCTGTTTACCAGCTGCATTTCGGTGAAATATCTGTCCCAAATATTCCCTTGGCAGATCTTCCTCCGCTGCCATCTAACAATAAACCTTCTACTCTGACTCGTTTACTCGCTTCATCCTCCCCTAAGTCACCATCTGCTGCATCTATTCTTGCTACACCTACATCGTCTACGCGTTCCCCGTTCAAATCTCCCACCAAGAAGGCGCATGATTTCGTCATTCCATTCCCTATCACGCCTTCGAGCAAGGCAGGCACTCCTTCAAAGAACACGCTTATATTCCCACAAACTCCCTCCTCCCGACATGGACGTAAGGATTCCCTCACAAGTTTGCTCACACCCAGCAGTTCGCGGTCGCCTTCGCGCGCGAGCCTGCTCACACCCAGCAGTTCACGCACCCCCTCCTTGTCTGGCCGGAGCACACCTTCATCATTCACGTCCGACTCAGTCCCGTCAACTCCGACTCACCAGCGCGGTTCGGATGCATTGACCGCACCCCAGACGCCGACAAGCTCGCGTCGCCAAGCGCTGTATGAGCGTGTTCGCCAACGCTCCCTCACGACCTCTCCTACGAAAGCGCTGGCCGTCGAGGGCGCGAGTGGGAAAATGACGAAAGACCAGCTCTTGAAGCTGAGCCAAGAGGAAATGCGCAGACGGTGTCTCCTGGGACGGCTTGGCGGCGTAGCGGAGAGCGTCTGGATGTGCGTTCGTCCTGTTCTAGTTTTCTACAGGCGTTGACCTCGATATTCTAGGCTATTCTCTAATCCTGGCGCTTCCACATCTGCACCAACCACGCGCAAACGACGAGCGCTGCCTATGTCGGAGGTCTCTGCTGCTGTGCTCAAGTCCTCGCCCGTCCCTATCTCATCCGCCGAGGCACAAGAATCACTGCAACTTCTAGCCAAGTTGTGTCCGTTCTTTCTGCGGAAATTGGACGTTGCTGGTGGAGAATGGCTCGAAATGCCCGCTCCTAACACGACTGCCGAAGTGGACGGAGTCGGGACGAGCAGTCCTTCCAAAATACCCAGCAGTCCGGGCCGCATCAAGAACAAGGATGAGAGCGCAAAGGAGGTGCTCACGAGAAGCCCGCGTCGGGTCAAAAAGGAGGGATGTGGTTTGAGGGAAGTGAGAGAAAAAATCCGAAGGGAGTTGGAGATGTCAGAATGAATTTATATATGTACCCTTGCGCAATGTAGTGGATGCTTAGTACTTTTTTTGTCTTTGATTTGTCACTATTCGTCATTGAACTTGTTATATATACTTGTACTGGGATTGATCGGATGTGCTTCTTGCCTTCGACCTCGGTCCTTTGTGTCCGTCAGATCGGGCGCAATATGTCGGCCTTAGGTGCTTGAAATCCCAGAAGTATTCCGGCGGCCTGCTTATGCTTTCACAAGGATATCATGACCGACGCAACATATTTTTGTACGCCATCTGCTGCCCTCGGCACTGTTCACTGGCCGACATTCGCCGTGCGCAATGCCGTGCATCCGGCGGACTGTTCTCAACAGGTCGGTTTGCTTGCTCATGATCAGTGTTCATGCTACTTCTATCACACACAAGCCGTATTTCAAACAAACTCTGTTCCCAACCTAGAGTAGACGAACATCACTACTACCAAGAGATATATACGGCGTAAAAGGGCATCAGTGCGGCGGCGTGGGTAGTCGTAAGGGCGAGAGATAATGAACAATGGTAGTGGCAACAACAGGACCTAACAGGCGCAAGGCGCGAGACGGGGACGGGGGAAAAGCGGGGTGGATTCTGTGGCTACAACTATGCGAACACTGATGGAGAAGGGTCAACGGACAACGGCCCCGCGCGTGGCGCGGGGATGCGAAATTATATGGGAGTAGTAATAAGACAGTAATGCAGGGGGTACGGGGACGGGGAGCGTGAATGGCAGGATAGATCCTTGTTAAGTGGATGTGGGACGGAGAGATGTGGCTGAGACTGGTGAGGCGTGCGTCTGAGGTATCAGCTGGCTTGGTTATCGAGCGCGAGGGACGAGCCTCCCCAGCGGCCGCGAGGCGAGAGCACGGGGCAGAGCGATGAAAGATGAGCTTGCAAATTGTCTTCCTCATGCGGACGGGTGGAATTGCACCGCCTTGTGCGTATGGCTCTTCAGCCAGCCCTTGAACGCGACGACCGCGAGCGCCCAGCAGAACGCGAGGCACGTTATCGCGACCCCGAGGTTCAGGAACATCATCATATCGTCCCGCTTCTGGCGCATCGCCGCGATCGTGAGCTCCTCGGTGGAGAACATGAACATCAGCCCGCCACATGCGAGGAAGAACGACGCGAGCGCCTCCGTCGGCGGGCGGCTTGGCAGGATCGAGCGCGGCGGCGCGAGCCAGACGAAAAAGTACGTCAGGCAGCGCAGCACCGCGAAGCCGCTCAGGAGGTAGCCCCATAGCATGTGGATCTGCACCTGGAAGAGGTACGTCTGCGCATGTGCGCTCATGGCTGCGCCTGTGATGCCGATGCACAGGGCGGGGAACGGGTTGAAGCTCGCGCCGTAGCTCGGCGGCTCGGCGACCGCCTCCTGCTCACGCGCAGACTGGGGGACCGCCGCGGTGCTGCCCGACGCCAGCCATCGTCGCACCATCTTGGATTCGATGCCCATGCCAACGAGGCCTGCGAACCAGAACATGACCGCGATGCTGATGTGCTGCACCTGCTTTGCCGTGTACGGGTCCCCCGGGTTTGCGCCGAAACGCTCCATCCAGGTATTAGTTATGCCGTAGACGAAGATGACAGCCGACTCGACGAATTCGGCGCTGACATAGTTGCCCGACGGCGCGCGGTTCCACGCCCAGCCGAGTTCAGAAAATGAGCCCAGGAAGCGAGCGAACGTCACAAGACCATAGCACCAGAAGATCCCGCCCTCTGACGGTCGAGGAAGTTAGCGAGACTCCACCGGGAAAGGCAAGCGGACATACTAATCAGGTGCGCCAAACATCCATTAATGTAGTTCTGACGGCAGCCACCGGTGTACGTCACAATCCCCGTTAACACTTGCATGAAGCCCGCGAAGACAAGAACCCGCTCGGAAGTGGCGAAGGCAATTCTGCCGAGCTTCTTGAGCGTCGACGGTTTCTTGACGCCAGCAATCCATGCCATGCGACCAGGGTATTCATGCAACGTGTCGTCCGAATGGCGCGGAGAGCGCGGACCGAACAGAGTGCGCTCGGACGCCGCGGACTGGGGGTACGAGGGCTGGCGGCTGTGGCGGCGAACATCATTCGCCCACTCTGCCGTCTCAGTATGATCCTCCTCGTCTGCATCGAAGACCGTGCGAATAGGCTGCATCGGGCAGTTCCGTCGCTCATGGATCGCCCCAGGCACCGTCTCGTCGACGCTGTCATCGGACTCGAGCTCCCTGACCTTGAGCTCAGCCTCGGCGTACTCATCGTCAGCCACCAGGTTGATGTACTCCGGGCCGTTGGCGAGGTGATGGTCCTCGCGTCCCAGGACAACGGTGCCCCACGCCGCCTTGAAGCCGAACCGCTCTTCGCCGCTCCGAATCGCACGGACATACTGGACGAGACGCACGCCCATCGTGAGCACGTCAAGGGTCGACAGTGCAACAGCGAAGGCGAGCCAGCCATAGCCTTGGCTTCCATGTCGCGCGCCCTCGTACCTGTGAACCTGTCTGAGCAAACCTCCGTAGAAAGTAGGGATCTATCCCAAGGACGAGACCCACGGCGAACGCCGTGGCATGAGATAGTGTGGAGCCAAACAAGCATTTCCGATCGAGCCATGAAATTGCTCCAGATGCTCATCGGGACTGAGCATATGCTAAGAGCTGGACCAAGGAAAGCTATATATAGAACGCGGATCCCGGCTGGTGCGACTTGATAGCATCGTAATGGCAGCCATGATGGCAGTCTCGGTAGCTTGTAGACGGAATGTGCCGGCGAACGGCAGGAATGCACGAAGACGGACCGTGAAGACAGGCCGTGCAATCGATCGCCAAATCCATAGAAGAAATCACTCACATGTTGGGGGTCAGCTTGCGGTACAACATACTTGAGCCGAGGCCGAGGGCAATGAATGCGTAAAAGACAATGACCGAGATGCCATGCCATGCGGATTTTACAGAGCGCAGTGCGATGCCTGTGAGAGTGTCTGTCGGATACAACCATCTTGTGGTAGATCAGATGAGAACTGACCTGCAGGCAGGGCACCGAAGAATGCCGCCATCATGGAGAGAACATGGATGGCCATGAGCCAGGGGTAGCGGTGCTCCCCTTGCGGAACTGGGTCCACGACGTCGATCGTCCAATATGACGGTGGAGTAGGTTGATGGTACATAGTCACCTCGGTCTCATTGAGGATGAGAAGGGGTGCGCCGTGCGCATGGTGGTCACCATCACGTCGACCGAGGACCTGCCCGAGTTGCGGCGCAAAATGGTCCTCAAGCGCGTGGAGGTCATGTGAGGCGTCGGCGAGGGCGCCTGCGAAGGCAGGGACGAGGAAGGGGAGGATGTGGAAGGCGCGCATGGCGGGGGCGGGGGGCGGCGGGGGCGGAGGGGGTGACGAAGAGAGGGGCGGGCGGCATGGGTGCGCGAGCTTAAGTATTTTCTGGAGGCTGACTGAGAACGGGGAAGGTCGGAGGAAGGTGGGCGAACGTCCTGGGCGGGCGCCTGGAGGACTGAGACTCAGCATCCCAAGCCTGACGCAGACGTGAGCCGCGCTGAGTCAGGACGTCGGACCCTCCTCCGATCCCCGGTTCGCTGCTCCTGTCCCCCCACCGTCCCTGTTTTAGGCCACACTCGACCGCTATGCACCACCCCACCCCCGCCATACTCCCCCCCGCCCCCGCCATACTCCCCCCCGCCCCCTCAGCGATGACGGCCAGCCCGCGCAGTCTATGGTCATCCGCCAGTGCCATCACCCGAGTCAAATTGGCCCGATCGAGGCTTCGTGACCTCATCATCTTCCGCATCATCATCCTGCCGCATTGGGCCTCCCGATCGCTGTCAGCCGCTGTTTGCCGTGGCCCCGCCGCGTCCCCTCTTGCGCTCGCATTGAGACTGCTGTTGCATCCGCCGTGCGGTGTCCCAGTCTCCTGTCACATACACTGCTGTAGAACCAACGCGCCATCACAATACGCGCTGATTGTCTGGGTCGTTCTGGTCCACGTCCTATGAGCACCCGGCTTCCAGTACGAGTACTCCCGGCTGCTCGGCCGCTGCCCTCCTGACTCGACGGTCGAACAAGACGGTCGAAAAACAAACGCTCATCACGCCCGCATCAGATTCGTGATGGTCGGCGTCCTTATCCGCTGTCACCGGTCACCGCCCGTGCATTCTCGTGTGCGCCCCGTTCCCCCGGACCAGGCCGCGCTCGTCTCTCCTAGCCCGCCGCCGGGATCGCGCCCTCGCCCGGGCCCTGTGCGCGCCCATACCACCCTGCGTCATGCTCACACCCGTCTCGACGCGCCGCGCCTATTCGCGACCGCCTCGCAAGGTCCACACCCAGCAGCGCGTTCTGACGTGATCATCTCCTGAATAACGCAGCCCAGAGAAACAGAAGCAACCCGCCGCTGCCGCACGCACATGTCTGCACATGCGCGGCCCCGAGGCTCTCCCGCGATCGTCGCGCGCATGCCAACTGGAAGCATCGTGTCTGGCTGGACATGGATGCAATCGCGCAGCGCCAGAACGGCGTGTACGGCGCAGGAGGCGGGCTCGCGCACACAGTACTAGTGTCCGCGACATAAGCTACAAGGTTTGCTCGCACGTTCCGCCTTCCCACCCCACACGACCAGCTCGGGGCACAGCTTACCGAGAACCCGTTGCCAAATCCGCGCGGGTCCGAGACGGACTTCCAATCTGCTAGTGCTGCTCGCACGCCGCGCGAATGCTGCAGGCTGGGCGTCATGATCGATGATCTGTCAAACAAGCCGCAACGGAACGCTGCGGCACGACAACTTATCGTGCGCCGATGTGTTGACGGACGGCTGCTTGGTGTTCATCAAATGAATCAGAGCAGCAAGCTCTGCTGTGGTCAGCGACTCCGCGCCTGTCGTCTGTGCATCCTTGCCCTGTCACTTTCGGTGGCGTTTGCCGCGTCTTCTGTAGCTCTCCCACGCGTGCTTCCGGCCGGCTTGACAGGACAGCGTCCTGGTCCTGGTCCCCTCAGGGCTGCTGGTAGTGATCCTCCTGCTGTCTTCTAGCGCTGTCTCGAAAAGCAGGCTCTGGGTTGTGCTAGGCACATGTCCATTGCGCATCCTCCGGTCATCACGACCACAAGATAGAAGGCAAACCAACGTGTCTCACCTCGGCGATAAGACATGCTTTCTGTGGATGGGGTTCGCAGCGCTTTTGCCTTCCCTCCTCCCTTTGTTTGTGCTCTCCAGGGTGCTGACTCCAAGAATACGTAAATTACAACCCTATCGGGGAGGCCTCGAGGCGCGCAACTTGGTCAACCGGCAACACCATCGCTGACTCAGGCGTCTAGAGGATCGCGTGTCTGCGTCTTTTGTTCTGTGTCCGGCACTTGGCGCCTTGCGTGCTTGGACGCGTGTGGAAGTATGAATGTGCGTACCTCTATGGGACACGCACGTTCCCTTGCGTTCTGTCATGCATCCTGCACTGTATCGGTCGTCTTGCGTCCTGCGATCGGCGTTGTATGACTGGCGTCCTGTGTCTGCTTAGTGCTGCGATTCTGCGTCCGCGTCTGCGTCCGCATCTGCATCCGCGTCTGCATCCGCGTCCACATCCGCGTCTATGTCTACGTCTTACGTGCATTCACTCCGAAAAAAAGTGAAAACATGCTTAGACACGGCGACGACCGTGTTCCCTAATTAGGTGAGCGTGTTCTGCATGTCACATATTGTGCAACTCATAGCCCTCACTGTGGCCCCCGCTGCACAGTCTGCATGAAGAAGGTGGTCACACAGGAGTGCCTACACTCATAATCGCCCGACTGCGCTTACTAAGCTGTCGATTCCTCTAAAGGTGTTACTTGTCCCCATTTGGAGGCGAGAAACTGGCAATCTTCCCAGTCCCGTGCCATGCCTCTCCACGGGACGCGTGCTTGCGCGACAGGTTCGCGTCAAACCCAGCAATCAATTTGCGTTCTCCCTCCTTGTAGCCGATAGTGATAACGCTCGCTGTCAGTATGAGTACTTGAGTGACTAGCTGCCTATCGCGCATCTTGTCCGCCGTCCTTCTCCTCTTCATCTGCCCTCTTCAGGCGATTCAATCTGAGTACAGGGCTCTCGGTAGCAACTCCGAATCCCCCGGCCTGCACCGATCGCAGATTCACGATGCTCACTTGGCGCGCGGTGCGCAAGTTCGTGTGGGGAGATGTCCCCGAGACGAGGGCGGAGCAGATCTTGCTCTTGAAGATCGACTGGTTCATCCTGTCGTATTGCTGTCTAATGGTAAGTGTTCGCGCCGACTGTTCGCACAGTTCGTGATTGAGATCGACGCGCAGTACTTTACGATCTGTGAGTACCGCGCTGGCGTGAGTGTTCGGCCAGCCATACGAATGCGTCCTTAGACCTGGACACAAGCAATGTGGCCAACGCATACGTTTCCGGGATGAAGGAAGAGTTGCACATGTATGGGACGCAGTATAATGTCCGTATTATATCATCGCATTCTGCGCGGACGGCGGTCAAACAGCCGTGTGACAGAAACTCAACACCATATGGACGTGCGGGTACATTATTGGGATGATCCCGAGTACGTCCCACCATTGCTCACGTCCCAGTGACAACTGAGGCTCTTGTGCCGGCAGATAATTTGATGCTTCAAGTCGTATCGCCCAGAATATGGTTTCCTTCGACGCAGATCGTATGGGGCGTATTGACGTTCTGGTAACGTAGATCCCCACTTGCTTGAGGGTGTGCGTGCGCTAAGGGGGGCGCAGCGCGAGCACAGTGAAGAACATCAACCAGGTGTGTATGAACTCGCATAATCTGGATTCATGTCTGAATTGCGTTTCAATCATAGTTGTATGCTATCAGGTTCATCCAGGGCGTGGCAGAGGCATCTGCCTTTATAGGCACGCATTACGTCCTGGGCTCGTACGTCAACGTTATATCTATTCTCTTCTCGTGCATGAACGGGACTGCGTAGGTGGTACAAGACTGGAGAACTCGGCAAGAGATCTGGAATATTCACCAGCTCAGGGCTGATTGGCACATTGTAAGCCTTGGTCTTGTTTCACTCGTGATCCCTTGATGCACAAACAAGATCAGATTTTCGGGTGTGCTCCAAGCAGCCGTGTATCAGTAGGTCACCTATTTTGCTACGCGAAGCCCGACGTTCAAGGAGGGTCATTGCAGAAACCTAAACGGGGTTTCGGGGCGCAGCGGCTGGCGCTGGCTGTGAGTTACGTCGCAAACGGCTGCACACAGGATATTAATTCGTGTGTCTCTAAGGTTCATCATCGACGGTGTGATCACGCTCCCGATAGCGCTGTACGGCTTTCTGGTCTTCCCCAATGTCCCTTCCACCACGACTGCATTCTACCTATCAGAAGAGGTCAGTAGATTCTGAGATGACAATGAAGTGGCGACCCATGATACTGACTCATTGGCGCCGGAAAAAAGGAACGGCGACTTGCTGTCGCGCGTATTCAAGCAGACAAGAAACTGAACGCTAAGGGGGCGCACGGCCAACTCAGCTGGGACCTGGTGCGAAGGGTGCTCGGTCGATGGAGGTGGTATGGCTGCAGCCTTCTCGTGCGTCGGCCGTTTTACTGCCAGTGAGGGTGCACTAACAATGGTTGATAGTTTCTTGTCTCGGGAGAATGCGAGAGCTTCGGGTCGAACAATCTGATGGGGCTGTGGCTCAAGGCTGTCGGTGGCTACACAGTAGAAGAAGTTGGTATGTCGACCGACTGCGTTGTGTGCGTGTGAAGGCGCGCATCTGATGGCAGACTCGCTATAGATTACTATCCTTCGGGGGTCACCGCTTTCGGCATCGTCTCGACCCTCGTCTGTGCAACATGGACAGATTCGACACGGTCGCGTGCGCGGTGGCCTGTGCTTGTGTGGATATCTGTTGCTGTGATCGTTGCCAGCATCTGCATTGTGGTGTGGAGCAGCCCGACAGGGCTGAAGTTCTTTGCGTACTGTAAGCTCGCACAATCCTTCGCTTTAATGTCCTTCATTTGACTGGCACCCCTGAAAAAAAGACTTAGCCGGCGCAAGTTACACCGGACAGGCGACGACGTTCACGCAAGTCTCAACTAAAGACTCTTCCACGACATTTGACTTACTGCCCCTTCGTAGATGGGCAAATCAGATTTGCGCAGACGATGATCAAGAGCGAGCCATCGTGCTCGCTTCCATGAAGTGAGATTTACTCTCTTATTCGTGTTCTTGAACTACTGACACGATGACTGTAACGTAGCATGTGGAACAATGCCGTCAACGCCTGGTGGCCGCTCATTTTCTATCCCGCGACTGATGCGCCCAAGTTCCGCAAGGGAATGTGGGCGATGATTGGCACCGGTGTGGCTACATTGATGGTGACTTTCTTCGTGTGGTACATGGAGCAGAGGGAGAAGAGGTCTAGGCTCGTGCTCGAGGAAGACGATGGAGATGGAGATGTGAAGATCAGCGAGAAGGATGTGGATGTAGAAACAGTGAGTGCGACGTAAAATGATTATTGTACACAGTGCATGGCACAGTCAGCAGGGGTCATCGTTCAGCGATCCCCCCTCTGCATCTTCACCCTGTTGTTCTGCGCGGTGTTTGCCCGTCTTCTCCGCTCTCCTAGATGTGCACCTGAGCGACTTGACTGGCTAGCATCCTCGTTCTGGTTTCCTCTCCCAGCACCGCGGGTGATACCTCTGGTTCACGGTAGGTGTATGCGTTCTCCGGGCATCACAAATACGGGACAGAAGGCAAGCCAGCGTTGTCCTACACGATAAGCATGCTTTCTGCGGACGTGATTTGGAGTGCCTTTATCCTTTATTGTGATCCGCAGGACATTTTGCCGTATTGAACGACCTGATATGTTCGCTGGATCACTTGCCGCGCATTATTCCCTTCAGGAATGCTAGTGTCCTTCGGCGAGTTGTGAAGCGATGCCGCCGCCAGGCCAAGATATGTCGTCACCGTACAGTATATATACAATTTCATATATCTCAGCCATGCCAGATGGGGTTTGTGGTGTGTAATCTGCCTAGCTGGTAATGTCATTGCTGACTCAGGCGAACAAAATTCGTGTAGGCTCGCGATATCGGAGCCGCGTGCGGCGCCTGGCGTCTTGCATGATCTTGCATATACACGCGCACGCGGGATTACGTGTCCGTGTGCCTGCTTCCTGCATAACGCGACCCGCACGTACCTTTGTGGTCCGTGTTCTTAGTTCATAAACAAGTCCAGTAGGAAAAGTAAGTGAGATTTGTTATAGCTGGTCAGTGCTTGCCTCCAGGGGGAGATGGAGTCCCGGTCTGAGTTGATCTGCCTCTGCTTTGGGGGCGCAAATGAATTTTATCTATGGTACGATTGCTGTAGTCTGGGGCTGACTCGGCTTCTGCAGGTGTACGATGCCGGCGCTCTGCATTGAGCGGTCGGCCGACCAGAGTAGCTACGCGCCGTTGTGTTGGGCCTCTAGAACACGGTATCGTTCGTTGGCACGGCTTTGAACATGTCCGCCGATGGTGCAACTCGTCGTCTAGTGGCCCGGCCAATTTTCAATGACGCGTTCGCCGGGGTAGTGAAACACAAGCGTTAACTCTATTTACCTCCCCATCTGACCTGTTTCGATAAAACCAGTAGATTCAAACTCTGGCCGTCGTCCAACGCTTTGTGTACAACAATTGTCAGACTATTGAGGAATGTCGCGGTATAACCATAGCTTGAGGTTAGGTTCAGGCACGTGATTTCTACCCCACATTCCATCCTCGGTGCCGGGGGCCAGGAGAATTTGGTGGTGCGATTCTGATCTGCTTGCTCCCTGCGGTGATAAAGTTCGCTATCTCATGCCTGGGCTATATAAGTGGCTGGCTACATATCGCGTTTCTTGGCCGCCATTCCTCTCCCCTTTTACCTAATAGCCTTAGTTGGCTCAAACAAAGAGGACTTTCGGCAACTCCGAGTCCGACGGGCTGCGCCGATCACAGATTCGCAATGCTCACTTGGCGCGCGGTGCGCAAGTTCGTGTGGGGAGATGTCCCCGAGACGAAGGCGGAGCAGATCTTGCTTTTCAAGATCGACTGGTTCATTCTGTCGTATTGTTGCCTAATGGTGGGCGTCCGCGCTGACTATTCGCATGGCCCGTGATTTGAATATTCTATGCAGTACTTCACGAACTGTAAGCACTGCGCATGAATGATTATCGGCCGCACGAACGCGCTGTCCTTAGATCTGGATAGAAGCAATGTATCCAATGCATACGTTTCCGGGATGAAAGAAGAGCTGCACATGTATGGGACAGAGTACAATGTTAGTAATTTTTCTCATACTATCCTGTCTTCTGACGTTTGAACCGTCGTGTGACAGAAAATCAATACGATCTTTACGTGTGGATACATCGTTGGGATGATTCCGAGTACGCCCCCTCGTTGCTCATTCAGAGCGGTGCCTGATCTCTGGTTTCTGCAGATAATCTAATGCTTCAAGTTGTACCGCCTAGGATATGGTTCCCTTCGATGCAGATTGTTTGGGGCGTACTGACATTCTGGTAATGCGCCTCTCTTTCTCTTGTCAGTCTAAATATTCTAATTAGGAATGTAGTTCGAGCGCAGTAAAGAATGTAGAGCAGGTGTGTATAGCCTCGCAAATCTGAGGTCATGCGTTTTAAAATCGTAGTTGTACGCTATCAGGTTCTTCCAAGGCGTCACGGAGGCATCCACCTTCGTAGGAACGCACTACGTCCTTGGCTCGTACGTAGGCGTTCTGTCTACAATTTTTTTATAGCTGACCTTGGAGACTGTAGGTGGTATAAGACTGGAGAACTTGGGAAAAGATCTGGAATCTTCACCAGCTCGGGTTTGATTGGCACATTGTAGGTCTTCGTCTCGCTTACCAATCACCTTTCTGTACTGATGCAGGGACCGCGTCTAGGTTTTCCGGCGTGCTCCAGGCTGCCGTGTATCAGTAGGACATTTATCTTATTACGCGGTACCGGATGTTCATCCAGGCATTGCAGACACCTTGGTGGAGTTTCGGGTCGTAGCGGCTGGCGCTGGCTGTGAGTTCTATCGCGATTGACTCCGTCCAAGCTATTGACTCCACCCATCTCCAGGTTTATCATCGACGGTGTGATCACGCTTCCGATCGCACTGTACGGCTTTCTTGTCTTCCCCAACGTGCCTTCTACCACGAATGCATTCTACTTGTCGGAAGAGGTTAGTAATTTCAGAGATGACAATGGAGGTGGCAATTCATGATACTTACCCATCGACATCATATAGGAACGACGACTCGCTACCGCGCGCGTGCAAAAAGATAAAAGGTCGAGTGCTGAAGGTATGCACGGCCGGCTCAGCTGGGACTTGGTGCGAAGAGTGCTTGGGCGATGGAGGTGGTATGGCTGTAGCCTTCTCGTGCGTTGACCACTGTGTCACCGTCGAACGGTTACTAAATAACGGTACACAGTTCGCCATTTCAGGAGAATGCGAAAGCTTTGGGTCGAATAATCTAATGGGGCTGTGGCTCAAGGCTATTGGTGGCTATACAGTAGAAGAAATTGGTATGTTCTGTTACTTGCAAAGTAAGTCCCAACTAACAGCGAAAGGGCTATAGATTACTATCCTTCGGGTGTCACTGCTGTCGGGATTGTCTCGACCCTTGTCTGTGCAACATGGACGGATTCGACACGATCGCGGGCGCGGTGGCCTGTGCTTGTATGGATGGTCACAGCCGTGATTGTTGCGAGCATCTGCATCGTCGTGTGGAGCAGCCCGATAGGGCTGAAGTTCTTTGCATACTGTAAGCCTTCTTGGTGTTTTGCTTTAGGTGCTGTTGATTTTGACTGGCATTCATGAGAAAAGACCTGGCAGGCGCAAGCTACTCTGGACAAGCGACCACGTTTGCGTAAGTCTTAATTTAGGACTGCTCCTGCTGCCCCTGACCGCCCTCTCCTCAGTTGGGCAAATCAGATTTGCGCAGACGATGATCAAGAGCGAGCGATCGTACTCGCTTCGATGAAGTGAGGTTTTCTCTCCCATCTGCGCTGCTATCACTGCTGACCCAATGACTGTAACGCAGCATGTGGAACAATGTTATAAACGCCTGGTGGCCACTCATTTTTTATCCCGCGACTGATGCACCCAAGTTCCGCAAGGGAATGTGGGCGATGATTGGCACCGGTGTGGCCACATTGATGGTGACATTTTTTGTGTGGTACATGGAGCGGAGAGAAAAGATGTCTCATCCTGTGCTCGAGGAAAACGACAGAGCTATAGACGAGAAGATCAGTGAGAAGGATCTAGATGAGAAAATTGTGGCCGAGTAGGAAAAATGTGTTTCCTTTAGATGTGCTAAATGTAGACGTTACCTCGACGAACTACCTGACATTCCAAGCAGCGAGACAACTGGATCAGCGATTTGCGTCCAACAACTGAAATGCTGCAAAGCAACGAACTGCGAAGGCTACCAACTACTACATGATCTGAGCCATATAATCACTGTTTTCCAGCGCAAACTGAAGTCAACTTCATTAACGAGTCAGTGATTAGGAGCTACGCAGAGCGAGATAACGAGCGAGGAAAGGCACTAGTGATACAGTGTGTAACATCGCAATTATAATGTTAACATCAAAATTCTCCAGACAGACACCACTAAGTCTCCCGTCCCCGAGTGTCCCGCAATGCGGGTGCGGGTAGCGTAATGTAAGTATCCAGATCGAGAACGGTATACACAGCGTGGAACATCGGAACAGACAATTGCGAGGCGCAAGAATGCAAAGAGGCCTAGTCGCAGGTGACTAGGGGAAAGCGTAAAGCACGGATCGTACAGGGCGAAGCAGAAGTCGGTATAGCTCGAGTGTGGACAGCTGGCGCCAGTGGCCGCTCACTCGTTCCGAACCTGAGAAATTGGGGGTGACTGTCATCAAAACACTGCACCTTTGCAACATAGAGGGGATGCACTAACCGTCAGCTGGCGTATCGCGGCCTTTTCGTCCTTCGGCGGGGGCTCGACCGCACCAAACTGGTCGGGCAGCGATTCCATAAAGGGAGGCTGCTGAGCAATCGGTTCCAACCGCTGCGAGTGCGATCTCACTGCGCTCGGTGAGCCCCCGTCCGACGAATACGCGAGGCGCGCAGGCGAGTTCAGCAGCGACGAACGCTTAGACTGGGCGGCGCCCTGGTCGATTGGGCTCAGACGTGGGTTCGCAGGGTTCACCGCGCTCGCGGGCTGCATGGGGTCCACGTTCAGGGAGATGGCGGATATGGGGCTCGGCGCAGCAGTCGTGCCGGGGTATGCGGGCGGGCTGATATCGGAGCGGGTCGCGCTAATGTCGAGAGGGAGGAGCGGCGGGATGGGCTTGCGCTGCGAAGGACGGGGGGCCAGCCCTCGCGGTTGGTACGAGTCTTCGTAGTTGTTGGCACGCGGGAGCAGCGGGGCGTTCGCCTGGTAAGCGCTGCGGTTGTAGTATGGATAAGGGCCGCCATCGTTGTACGCCTGGTTTGGGGCCGTGTACGACTGCGCGGAGTAAGCCGTTTGCGACGTGGACATCAATGGAGGCGCAGGCACAAATACGGGCAGCGCAGGGTAGCCCGTCCGCTCGTACATTTCGCGAGACGGACCAGTTGAAGAGGCAGCGTGACCGCTAGACGAGCCGTAGGTAGAGGGGCCACTTTGGCCGTTCTCGCCGCTGGCGCTGCCGCCCGAGGCGCGCCTCCCCGAGCCAGGGATGCCGTTTCCCTTATCGTTGGCCTTCTCGACATCGTGGCCACTGCTGAGCAGCTCATCCGACGACGGGAACGGAGTGAAATCTACTGCCTCGTCATGTAGCTTGCTCCGGCGGCGCCTGCGGATCGCCCATGTCGCAAGTGCAATAAACAGCACAAGGCCCACAAGAGACGCGGCCGTGATGACACCGACAGAAAGGCCTTTATTCTCCAAGAAACCCTTAGGAGCGGTTGCGGGAAGCGCTGCCGCAGATACGGACGCCGAGGAAGATGAAGTGGCCGTCGTGGTGGTCGCAGTTCGCGACAGACCGCCGGTCGACGCCCCAGTGGCCGGGGTGGTTGAAGAAGACGTCTGGGTGGCGGAACTGGTGGGCGACGTTGACGTAAGGGAAGTAGACGTAGATGACACCAATGAAGATGAGGAAGTCGTCGTGGAAGCAGCCGAGGAGGACGTCGACTGCGCAGTGGACGAGGGTCTAGCGCACGACGACATCAAAATCAGATGCAAACAAAGATAAACGCACTCACTGCGAAGTGGTCGCCGCGGAGGAGGTGGCGGCGGACGAACTGGTCAGCGTGATCGTTGAACTTGACGATGATGTCGACTGGCCACCCAAGCCAGGCAGGCTGATCGACGGGAGCGGCGGTAAGCTGAGGGTGGGCAAGCCGCCGAGTGGATTGTTATCGGTGGCTGTGGCATCGCCTCCGCCGCTGCAAAGGACATGTCAGCGAGCAAATTCGATTCGCGTACATTTGGCGAAGATGAGTGCTCACAGGATCCCGTTCGCGACTAGGGGTGATCGGCGCGTTAGTAAGGCGCGCGAGCGCGGCGAAGGTCGGTAGGGGACTCACCACCGCCAAGAAGGCCCCGCTCAGAGAACTCAGTGTCGTGTCTGTAGTTGAATACGCTCATCGTGACGTGCAGATGGTGTGGGACCCAGGTTTGGGATAAGCAGGACGGGAAAACGAGTGTGGGGGCGGGCTCGAGCTCGAGGTGGTATAGTCTGGGCGTCCTGGTCTTCCAGAGACCTAGGGAGGAAGGTAGTGGTCAAGGTCGGAGTGCCCGCGAGAATGGCCGGGTCGGTAGGTATAGTGCAGGCCACGAAGGAAGGGAAGCGAGGACAAAAGCAGGGGGGATAATAGCAGCTATTGCAGACGCCGCTCCATTGACGACACTCGGGCAGTGTGGAGAAATATGCAGCAGCCAGTCCGCGGGCGTGGCAATCGATGGCCATTTATTTTCAACCACGACTGATTCCCGTGCCCCGTTGGCATCGAAACATATCTGTTGCGTGCGTTTCCTCGGCCCTATTTAGCGGAGGAGCCACATCGCCATGACATTTCCCTTTTCAGGAATCTCTCCCTCGACAATGCTGCACAATCGCGTCACGTGGTTACAATAGGCTACACTTCCATCCCAAGAAATGGACAAAATACGATACACGACAGCAATTACAGCAAGAACTCGAACGGACCCCGTATACAGACAACCGACAATTCACCGGGACAGTCGCGAGGCAGGGCCATACGTCTGCCCCGCATTGCGCTCCATGATCTCCCGCAGTGGCCCCAATAGCCGGGTGAACGCATTTGCGTCCAGTGCCGCCACCTTAAGCTTCGGCTGTGCGGGTTCCGTCCGAACGACAGCGCTGACGGTGGCCGCGCGGGGCTCCAATCTCAACAGCGATAACTCTGCGCAGTTGCTATTAGTTCGCGTCATGATACACGGGCCAACGGACAAACCTCCGAAGTAATCGCCTTTGGTGAGGTGCCCGACCTCGGTTTCTCTCTTCTCGCCGTCGGCTGTCTTCGTCGTCTTCGTCACCACCGCCTCGCCTTCCTCGACGAAAAAGAACGTGTCACCCGGTTCTCCTTGCCGCACCACTGCCTCGCCGTCCCCATGCACGCGGCTGACGAGCGCGTCGGCAACCTTGCTGCGCTCACCCGGTTCGAGCGATGTGAGGAGAGGGACGGAGCACAGGAACTGCTCGTACATCGTGCGTCTTCTGTGCGCGGCCTTAAGGATGATCGTGCGGAACGTGATGCGGTCGAGTGACCACAGAGTCGAAGGCTCCATAGCCAAGACCGTCGCCGCACGCGGATGGCCGTACATGAGCGCAAGCTCCCCGAATGAACTGCCTTCCCGGCATTCTGCAACCTGCCTCCCAAAGTCCGGGTGGTAGCCCGGCTGCGAGAACTTCTCATATGTCTCGGCGGTGCCGGACAGCCAAGCCGGAGGCAGAGGCTCGGGGCGAATGAAGCAGTTTAGCCAGCCGTCCTCAACGACGTAGAAGAAGTCGCCAACATCGCCTTGGCGGATGACGACCTCGTCCTTGACGACGCGTATCTCGCGCATCGCACCGAGCACACCGCTCTCCTGCTCCTCATCCAAGTCGCGGAAGATAAAGTTATTGGCAATTGATGTGCGGATGCGCTGCATTTGATCGGGTGTTTTGGGGAACACAGGCAGAGGCTCGTCTATCTCGCTGTCGACGGCTATGGATTCCGCGCTGACAGAGGGCCGGCGGGCAAGAATCGTCGGATCGGGCGTATGTAGATAGTCTACGGGAGAGGGTGTTGTAGGACCATTTGCAAATGATGCAAAGGGATTTTGGAAACTCAGCGGCGAGGAGGGTGACTGCTCGTCGGGGTCGACCCTGAACGTCGGCGGCGTCGCCCTGTCGCGATTATCCGGGAGAAGCGCGTTCCCAGGGACATTGAGCGTGCCAAATGGGCTAGGAATCGACATGGAGTTATGCAGCGAGGCACGCGGTCTGGCAAACGGGGTAGAGAAGGGCGAGATGGGAGGGGGAACGGACGGGCTAGAGTTAGGGCTCAAGGGGCGGTCCATATAGTGGTCGGCAGGCAGCTCGCGAGCGTTAGAGGAGCGTTGGGCAAGGACATCGCGCATGCGGGTGCGCTGCTCCTCGAGACGAGACTGGAACCAGGTGGCGCAGAATTGGAGGGCGTCTCTGGGCTGTACGCGTTGCGCGTCGCGGGTGAGGTCTGCGACGAGCGACTCGAAGGTAGACATGTCGGACATATGGCCCTCGGGTGAGCCTGAGCCGCTTTTGAGGCGTTGCTGGGCGCGCGTGCTTTGTTCGGGCGGGATAAAGGTGGATGGCGAGTAGATGCGGTACAATCCCTGTGCAGAGTGTGGACAATGATCATCGAGACCCACGTGGCTTCCAAATACAACAGCCCGCGCGCCCAATCAGCTCTGCTGAGACTGCGAACAGCGAGCGAAGAGGGCGTTCGCCGCCCCTCGGGTAGGGTTCGTCCTGGCGACCTGTTTGCATCGAACATAACGGTCTGCAGCGAGCGAGATTGTCCGGTATGCCTTGCACGATCGCGTTTCCGTCGGCGACGTGTCACAGGCACTGGGGTCATTCCGCGTCACGCAGTCACCAGCCGGTCCCGCGAGCCGGATAGTGCCGTGACGTCACGCGTCCGGAGACTTCCACGTACACAGCGACCGACCTGCACATCGGGAACAACGACCGTCCAGTCTATTCAGACACTCTCCCCCTCCTTCCCTGCCGTTTCCGTCTCGCGCCATGTCCACAGTCGACCCTCTCGTTGAGCTTCGCATCGAGCTGCCTGCCTACTCACATTCCTTCACTGTACGGCTCGACTCCTCGGCCACCATCCATGATGTCAAGCGCGAGATAGAGAAGCTCTGCCCCGGAGGTCCGCGTCCGGACGGTCAGCGGCTGGTGTACAAGGGTCGCTTTCTGGAGAACGACAAGACGATAGCGGATATCTGGAAGGTGCGCGCGCAGTGCTGACTGTGGTGGGGCGAGCGCCATTCTGACACTATCTCAAGTCGTCCGACGACGCCCGCATTGTCCACTTGGCCGTGCATCCCTCGGCATGGACATCGACTCCCCCCGCCGCAGTCTCTTCATCCAATCCCTCTTCCAGCGCTCAGTCTTCAGCGTCTGCCCATGCTGTGCCGACTCCGACCACCCAACGATATCGTGTGCAGGCCCCATTATCTCCGCCCGAGACCTCTCCTCTGCGCCATGTGGGTGAGAAACACCAACGAGCTCTGCATATCCTTATGAGTGGAAACTCTGGGTCTGCCCCAACGGTGCCGGCTGATAATGAGCACCGCCGATCAGTGGCGATCAACACGCTGCGAAGCCATGGTTGGTCCTGGCCAAGCATCCTAGATGAGGAGTATCCTACGAACGGGGCTGCTGGAGAGGGCGTGAAGTACGAGCGTGTGGTTATGGAGTGAGTACTGTCTCGTCTACAGCGAATGTTCGTGGGCTAAACGATTGGCAACTCTGTCCAGTGGACAACCATATCTCTCGCTCACTACTCCCAATGCTACCCCCACACCCGCGCAACTGCATGCCTTGAAAGTGCTATCGGTCACATTCCCGATACTCGCTGCGCCGCCTCCTGTTCCCTACTATCCCATGCCTACGGCTTACAACGTCTCGTATCCGATGACCCCACCAACGAACGTGAATGAGCACCTTCAGCAGCTCGGCCTTCCCCCAATCCGACTAGTCCCTGGCCAGGTGCTCAACGCGAACGATCCGAACAACCTACCGGGTGCTGCTCCCCCGCCCGTTGAAATTCGCGCGATCCCCGTGCGGGCACTCATTATTCCATTGATCATGCTCGTCTTCCGCACCATTCTGATCATGTACTTCTTCTCGCCATCCAAGCGGCCACTGTTTGCATTTCTCCTCAGCGCATGGATACTCTATGAGGCATGGGGTGCGATTCGCGCTGTGTTCGGGAGGCCACGGGATCGACAGCGGGCGAATGTCAACGGCCAAGGCGGGGGCGCTCAGGCGGGGAACGGACAGGCTGCTGGTGGCCAGGGACGTCAAGCGCGGGGCGCAGGAACCGCCAATGCGAACCGTAGTCAGCTGCAAGCCTTCCTCACAAGCTTGTCTAATCTGAATCTCAGAGGGGAAAACATGGTCCTCGACAGTCACATACCTACGCGCCCACCGAGCATCAGCCATAAGGTGCAGACATTCGTGGGTTTACTGCTCCTGACGTTGTATCCTGCGGTGTGGGACCACCGTCGCGCGGCTCTGCGCAGGCGCGAGGGCCGCCTGCGGACGGAAGCGAACATCATCGCATCGGCGTCGCAGCAGAATGTGGAACCCGGCAGTGAGGGCGAGAGCAGGCAGCGGGCCGAAGACGAGAGCCGCGCAAGGGCCCTCGAGGCACATCAGCGGCGGCCAGTATGGGTCCAAGGGTATGTGCAGAGGGTACAGACGACGGATTGGGCAGACGACCTGTAGGGCGGGCGGTCCTGATTGGCTTTTTATGTCGTTCAGTGTATGATACTTGGAGGTTCGGATTACCATTTGTACACATTTGGATTTCTTTGATGCTAGTGCTCTTTGGACACTCTGTACATGTCTGGCCTTCTTATCCAGACTATAAGGTTATCGGCAGGGGCGTTGGCCACTGCACCTTAGGTCTGAACGTTGAACCCGGGGCATCCAGGTGCGGCATGGGTCCATGATTGACTTTGTCAATATGATCAAGTGATCGCGTTCCTCGATCACTCGCGGCCGCGACCGATACGCCTGACCGCGAGGTGACTTTACCCTATCTCGACTTGCCAGCGACGCCGGGTACAGCAGCAGGCGACACGCAGGCTTCAACACATACAACCATGTCCGACAAGATCCACGTCCTGCACCACCCGCTCGTCAATGCGCGGATGTCCCACCTGCGACAGACGTCCACGAGCGCGAAGGAGTTCCGTGAGGTGCGCCTTGCGCCCGATCTGATGCTTGTGCATCGTATGCGAGTCATTCGTCGGACCGATAGGGCATTCATGATATTAGCATGATGCTGGGCATCGAGGCCAGTCGTGATCTGGAGGAGGAGCAGTTTACTGGCGTGAGCACCATGCCACTGATTTCATGCATCGCGCTGACCGTCAGTATGTCTAGCAAACGCCTATAGGCACCTTTACGGGGACGACGATCAAGCCGCGGATTGGACTGACGCCTATCCTGCGAGCAGGGCTGGGCATGACCGACGCGCTGCTTAACTTGTTTCCGTACGTGCATCTCAGCGGTGTGCATACCAGAGCTATCGACCGAGTCACCTTCCTGTTATCAGCGCAGCGCAGGTGTACCATCTGGGAATATTCAGGGAGAAGGTAACACTGCAGCCTGTCGAATGTCCGTGAGTGCTTAGCTGCCCTACGTACTTGAGCTGATGCCAGACTAGATTATTCCAAGCTGCCGTCGATCGTGCCAGTAGACACTGTCTTCCTCCTTGACCCGCTCATTGCGACGGGTGGCACAGCATGCGCTGCATTGCAGATGCTGCTCGACTGGGGAATGCCAGGTATGGCTGTCACTTGATTCCTGCGTGACCAGAGTTGCTCACTATACGCCGCGTAGTCCATAAGATTAAGCTCCTGTGTGTCTTGGCGTCCAAGACCGGCCTGGATCGTGTACATGCAGAGTTCCCGAACCTTGAGGTATGTCACTCACAACATGCCCGATAGTGCTGTCACACTAACCGACATTTCTAGATCTGGGTGTCTGCCGTTGATGCTGAGCTCACGAGCAAAGGTATCATATCGCCTGGATTGGGTGATACTGTAAGTGAAAGGCTTTTGCTGAAGGACCTCTGCTGAGTGTTGAATAGGGCGATCGTCTGTACAACACATTGAGAGAGTGAAGCGAGTAGGTACCGCAGATGTAGTACCAAGTAAACGATCTAGTTGTACGATGCCGTTCCCCATGGTTGGATCGTGTGGTAGTGATTTGTATGAGATTTGTGACGTCATGCCTCTCATTCATCCTCTCATCTTGCCAAATGCGGTGAAGTCGCTGCCGTTCTAGGCTACGTGCTTGATTGCTCCCGTGAGTAGATGGTCTGCCCCTGCTAGGCTCAAAAGATCTATGGGCCTCTGCTGAAAACCCCCAGCACTCACTGCGGAACCCTCCAATTCGCGCACCAGATAGCCGCCCTCTCCCGAGCGATCTGTCTAGTGGGCATATTCAGCACTTTCGAGTTCGTATTTTTTAAATGCCCCACCTCCCTCCCTCCCGCAGCCTCTTCCTCCCGCGCGATCCCCTTCCGCGCGCTCACAAAATCAAGATCGATCTTTGATTTTGTCTCGTCCACATCACGTGCGCTCATAACGCCATTTTGTGCAAACTTAGTCGTGCGTCCTCTGCGAGCATAAAACATAACCCTCGCCAGCTCTCTGCTCCTTGACTCCTCGAAAATGGCAGCCAATGGGCAGTCTGGTGTCTCAACACCCATTTCCTCAACGACAACGCTGTCTGCGCCGTCGTCCCCGACTCTCAAGGCCCAGCTGCTGAAGGACATCTCCGTGAAAAGCTCTTTGGTATCGGCTTCGACCGTCATCGAATTCATCGCCTCTCGATCAACTACCAGCTCCTCTGTCTTTGTTTACGATGTTGCCGAACAGGTTGGCTTCGGCACACTCACTAAGTCGTGGGCCGGCGCGTCCAGTAACGAGGTTGCGTCGGTCGTGAGTCTGCAGACTCGCGCGGGTGCTGGCCTGAGCTTGGTCGGGAGGCTGTCCCAGGGGACGAGCAAGGATGCAGGTGCGGTACTGACGGCATATACCACCCCATCTGGACTGGCTGCTATGGTCCAGTCACTGTCCTTCCTGCCTGCTCCTACTCCCAGCAGCAGGCTGATCATCCAAGTCCCGACTGTGACCCCAGTTGGTGACAGCTTTGCACTGTCCCCGACTCTTGCTTCGTTTACCCCAGCTCTCGCTATTCTTCCCGAGACCTTTAGCGTCATCCTCTCAGCCACCCCGCAAGAGGCCGTTGACCTCGCCGCCGTCTCATACAGAGCGACAGACAGTCACGTCATCCATCTGTTCGACCACCACAGCTCTGCGCGCGAGACTGGCCATTCTCTGGTGCCTACGCTTCCGGAGCAGGAGCCAGGCCTCTCTGTCAAAGATGTTCTCAGCGCAGCCGGCTACAGCGCCTTCGACTATGCTGGAGACCAGGGCGCCAGGACGGTCGTGGTGCTTTTGAACGGTCCCCTGGCGCTGTCCGCGAAAGCACTTGCCTCTAAGGTTCACGGTCTTGGCGTTGTTACCGTGCGCATGCTCAGGCCATGGGATGAAGAGGCGCTACGGGCTGTCCTCCCACCCTCGGTGAAACAAATCCATGTTCTCGACGACGTCCCCACCGAGACGACTCAGGGTGTGCTCCACATAGACGTGTTTTCGGCTGTCCTAGACCCTCTCAACTCGACCCCCGTGGTCAAGTCGCACCGCATTGTCCCGGCACGCACGCAAGAGTTCGTCACGAAGCCGTCCGCGTTCGCGTCCTTCTTGTGCGACTTTGTAGCCACCACCGCTCCTGCATCGCTCGACGTGTCGGTAGCCAAGAAAGTGCTATTTTTCAGCACGCCGACCTCGCCGCTGTCTGGGCTGGCGCGTACGATTGAGCAGACGTTCATCGCGCCCAAATCTATCTCGGCGCGGTTGCTCACGGATCATGACGTCTTCTCGAAGCCGGGTGGTGTCACCGCGGAGCGATTGATCCTTGCGCCCAAGGACGATATGTCTGTGTCCGTGCCAGTGTCGATCTCATTGCCGCTCTCGTCCGATAGCGCGGGAGAGGCGAATTTTGTCGCGATTCTGGACCAGGCCTTGCTCAAGTCGCATTCGATCGTTGCTCACGCTGCCCCAGGTGCTCCCGTGCTCGTTGTCACATCGTGGACGGGCGCAGAGCTACTGTCAAATATCCCGGCTGATGTCTTGACGGTGGTTCGCGAGAGGAACCTGCGCATTTGTCTTGTAGACCCCAAGGCAGTGGCAGCCGGCACCGGTTCGCTGGATGCGGCGGCATTGGAAGCGGTCGAGAACCTTGTTTTGCAGACTGCCTTCCTCCGTCTATATCTTGGCCAGGCAGGCAGCAAGGAGATCCTGCTCAAGCTCGTTCGCAAGACAGCCGGCGAACTTCCGGGTGTTTCTCTAGAGCATATCGTCGACGGAGCATGGGATGGGTTGGTCGAAGTCGAGATTCTTGCCCCGGAGACCACGCCTGAGGCAGATGCACCCAAGCCTTCGGTGCTAAAACAGTTCACGTTCAATGCCATTGCTGTCGAAACCGACGATGGGGAGACCGTAGTGAACGGTGCTCGTTTAGCCTCTTGGCACGATGCCGCAAAACACATCATGTTCCCGTCCGCCTTCACGCCGACGGGCGTCACCTTCCCCTCAGAGGACGAACCAGTGCAGCACCCCGCGCTGCGCCCCGAGGTTCCGGAGCGCACCTACCTCGTCACCTGCACGGTAAACAAACGGCTGACCCCGCTCGATTACGACCGCAACGTGTTCCACTTGGAGTTCGACTCGCGCGGGACTGGCCTGAAGTACGAGATTGGCGAGGCGCTCGGCGTGCACGGGTGGAATGACGCGGAAGAGGTGCTCCACTTCTGCTCGTGGTATGGCGTGGACCCGAACCAGCTTGTGACGCTGTCCGTGCCGGGCACGGATGGCACGCGGATGCACACACGAACAGTGTTCCAGGCGTTGCAGCAGCAGATCGACCTATTTGGGCGGCCGGGCAAGTCATTCTACCCTGCCCTGGCTGAGTACGCAACGGAAAAGGCAGACCAGTATGCGTTGCGATTTATCGGCTCGCCGGAGGGTTCGGCGACGTTCAAGAAGCTGAGCGAAAAAGACACAGTGTCGTTCGCGGATGTCTTGCGGCGCTACGAGAGCGCGCGGCCGGGTGTGGAGGTGCTTTGCGAGCTCGTCGGGGATATCAAGCCGAGGCACTACAGTATTGCAAGCGCACAGGCTGTCGTAGGCGATCAGGTAGACCTGCTCGTCGTTAGCGTCGACTGGGTTACACCGAGTGGTAAGCTCCGCATGCATGTGTACGCCACCTTGTGCACTCACACGGCTGCTTTTAGGTACGCCTCGTTATGGACAGTGCACCAGGTACTTGGCCGGCCTCAAGGTCGGTCAGAAAGTGACCGTCTCGTTGCGCCCGAGTGTCATGAGGGTGAGGTAGTCGCCACTCGTTCCAAGTGTATTATCTGACCTTCTCCAAGCTCCCACCAGACGACAAGCAGCCGATCATCATGGCGGGTCTCGGTACGGGTGCGGCACCCTTCCGCGCTTTCCTTCAGTATCGTGCATGGTTGGCATCGCAGTCCATCCCTGTAGGACCGACGTACTACTACTTCGGCTCGCGTCACCGCTCGCAAGAGTACCTGTACGGAGAGGAGCTGGAGGCGTTCATGGCTGACGGGGTCATCACGAAGGCCGGCCTGGCGTTCTCGCGAGATGGGCCGCACAAAGTGTACATCCAGCACAAGATGAAGGAGGATGGGGTGGACCTGGCTAGGATGCTGTGGGATGAGCAAGCCGTGTTCTACCTGTGCGGGCCGACGTGGCCTGTGCCAGATGTGTACGAGGCACTGGTCGAATCGCTCGTCAAGCACACTGGGAAGGATGCGGTGGAGGCCGGCGCGTTCCTGGAGGGCCTGAAGGAAGAGGAGCGGTATGTGCTCGAGGTGTGTATCATTACTGCTTGTGGGCAAGGTGCACAGTGCTGACCGATTATTTGCAGGTGTACTAATTAGCGTTCATGACGGTCACGGCATACTAGACGAAAGCCACAGGCTGTCGCTAGAGTTCTGCATGTGCGATATATATATAACAGTGCACGGCCCACATAAAGGCATACGCTAGTGTGAGGTTTGAGCGGCATGAGCGCTACTCGCGGGACTTCAGTCGCGCTGCACTCGAGATAGCGTATAGCTCCTGCTAGCACAATACTTTACACTGGCTGCAGGGAAGTACCTTCCATCCATGGTCGATCCCTCGTTCATTCAGTGGTTTCCGCCACTTTGCCATGCGATTCTGGATCTGTAAGGGCCATCTACACGGCCAGCTGCGTAATCAATGGACCGCTAGTACTGGATATATAAGGCAGTCGGATAACCCTTTTGAGAGATGGTGATCAGGACATGCGATTAGTCCTCCTTGGAGTTGAGCGCGTCGGGATGGACGGCTTCCCGGTGGACTGTACGAGCGCTGAAGGTGATCACCATCCTGCTCGATGGCGAAATACGGCGGGATCTCCTCTTCTCAGGGCGGCCCGAGTTCCCGTTCACTCGCCGTATATCTTCCGCTGAGGGCGCTGAGGTTTTTAGCTATTCACACAAGTTCACCCATCCGCTGTCCCCCCGCTTGCCATGTCTTTTGCGCCCATTCAGACTGCTGTCCTCGGTGTCGGCCTCGGTGGTCTCACCTTCCACATCCCCTTCGTGCTCGCTTTACCGCAGTACTTCACCCTCCGCGCCGTCCTCGAGCGCAATCCCGCCCAGCCCGGAGGCAAACTTGCCGCCCGCTTCGGGCCCGAGGCGGCGAAGGGCGTCACCGTCTACCGGACCTATGAAGAGGTCCTCGCCGACTCGGAGATCGAGCTTATTGTCATCAGCACGCCCAGCGAGACACATTACGCCCTCGCGAAGCAAGCTTTAGAGGCAGGGAAACACGGTGTGTACCTCGCAGAAATCGCGCGATGCGGTCCTAAACAAGTCCCCCGCGACCTCAGTGCTGGTGGACAAGCCTGTAACAGCGTCCGCAAAGGATGCGTACGAGCTCGGCGATCTTGCGAGGGCCAAGCAGCGCATCCTCTACCCCTTCCAGAACCGCCGCTGGGACTCCGACTTCCTCACCCTCCGCAAGCTCCTCAATCTTCCCCCGTCAGATCCCAGATCTCTCGGCACCCTCGTTGAGTTCGAGTCTCGGTAGGTGTCCCCCCTCGTGTGTATTTTGCGTCGGAAAACCAACGCCTGCGTACCTGCAGCTTCGACCGCTACCGCACGGTGCTCAAGAACACATGGAAGGACCTGCCCATCCCCGCCAACGGCCTCACCTACGACCTTGGTGCCCACCTCATTGACCAGGCCCTGGTCCTCTTCGGCCGCCCGCAAAAGATCACGGCATTCGTCGAGAACGTCCGGGGGATCGGGCACAAGGACGTCGACGACGCCGTACGTCGAACTCATCCCCCCTTACTTAGCGTCCGACTGATGCCCGCAGCAGTGCACCATTTACCTGCACTATCCGGGCCTCCCTGCTGTGGGAAGTGATGTCCAGCCAGCCTCGCTGACGTGCATCCTGCGTGGGCACAGTCTCTCTGTACGCACGCAGCAGGTCCGCTACGTCGTCCGCGGCGTGCGCGGTACGTTCACCAAGGGCGGCGTCGACGTCCAAGAGGACCAGCTGAAGGTCATCCCGGACATCAAGCAGATCACGACATCCCCCGAGTACGGTGTTGAGCCAGAGTCAATATGGGGTTCAGTCGAGAACATCACGGCGGGCGGCAAGGTCGTGAAGGAAACGTGCGTTATATAGTCAGCACCATGCTGAGATATGAGGGAATGCTGACGCCCCCCCCCCCGATGACAAAACAGATGGCCGTCGACAGAGAAGGGGAACTATGCCGGGCTGTTCGAGGACCTCGCGAAGACGATCCGGGAGGGAAAGGAGCAGGCGGTCAAGTGGGCAGAGTCAGCGGAAGTCGTCGAGCTCATCGAGCTCGCATACAAGAGCGCAAAGGAGGAGCGCACGATCGTCGTCCCGCCGCGCCCATGGTCATGATCGCTTGCCGCCCTAACAGGACGCGGACTGTACCACAGGGACGGGCAGTCAGTCGGTGAAAAAGAAAGAAAGCAAAAAGTTGTCGTTTTTGATGTATCGGTATAATATTGCTGTTGTATCACGCGCATACGCACTCTCTCCCAGGAATACACTACTACGCAGCCTATCTGTCAACGCACCGGCTCCCATTAAGCTCCCGGCAGGACTCAGGCATGCGTGTCCGCATGTACAGAAGCATGCACCCTCGTGGATGCTCGAGCTCTCACGCCGTGCCGGCTCATCGATAGGTACGCAACACGGCCCTTGCCAGGTCCCTGTGGGAGCAGTGTCACACCAGAGACAAGCACAAGCACTGCACTTGTGTTGGCATCCCGTACATAGTGAGGACTGTACGCCATGTCGTCGAGCCCGATCAAGACCGCTGTCCTTGGCGTGGGCCTCGGCGGACTCACGTTCCACATACCGTTCATACTCGCGCTTCCCGAGCACTTCACGCTGCATGCGGTCCTCGAGCGCAATCCCACGCAGCCTGGAGGCAAGCTCGCGGCCCGCTTCGGTGAGGACATCGCACGGGGAGTGAGGATATGCAGAACATACGATGAAATATTGGGCGACGCGGAAGTAGAACTCGTCGTGATCAGCACGCCGAGCGCAACGCACTATGAGCTCGCGAAGGCCGCACTGGAGGCGGGCAAGCATGGTACGCAGTTATCAGCACCTCTCGCTGCAGACGCGGGCATGCGCGATCGCTAACGCATGTCGATCTCGCGCCGCAAACTCTCTTAGTTCTCGTCGACAAACCAGTGACAGCGACGGCAGCTGAAGCGCGTGAGCTCGGCGCGTTGGCGAAGGCAAAGAATTTGGTGCTGTACCCGCACCAGAACTGCCGCTTCAACGCAGACTTCCTCGCGCTACGCAAGCTGCTCGCCCTCCCGGCGGGCGACCCTAGGGCATTGGGCACGCTAGTCGAATTTGAGTCGCGGTACGCAGCCCAGGGCCGCTCGCTCCACGTAGGACAATATCAATGTCTGATCTGACGATCTCCGTGTCCGGCCGTTCAGGTTCGATCGCTACCGCACAACGATCAGGAATAGCTGGAAGAGCGTGCCTGCCCCTGCGAATGGCGTCACATACGACCTCGGCTCCCACCTCGTCGACCAAGCTCTCGTCCTCTTCGGACGACCGAACAAAGTCACGGCGAGGATCGAGAATATGAGGGGCGTTGGCAGCAAGGAGGTTGACGACAGCGTGAGCCATATCGCACCTAACAGTATACGACGCTCGGAAATTGATGGGTGGCATAGTTCACCATTGTGCTGCATTACCCGCCTCGAGACGCGACCACGAGTCTGCAGCCGACGTCGTTCACTGTCATACTCCGCTCGCAGTTCCTGTCCGTACGTTCTACCCAGGTCCGCTATGTCGCGCGAGGCATCCAGGGCACGTACACGAAATATGGGATTGACGCACAAGAGGAGCAGCTGAAGGCGATGTCCAGCCCCAGCGAGATTATGCAGTCGCCAGAGTATGGCCGGGAGCCCGAGGCGCTCTGGGGGAAAGTGGAGAACCTTACGGAGATGGGCGAGGTCGTGACATCGACGTGAGCTCAAGCCATGAAGACACCGTAACACGTTCTGACGCCTTGACCCTCCTGACATAGCTGGCCCTCTGTCGAAAAGGGAAATTATGCGAATCTCTTCGTGAATCTTGCAGAGACGATCCGAGATGGGAAGGAACAGACAATAAAGTGGGAAGAGTCGGCCACGGTCATCGAAGTAATTGAACTGGCATATCAAAGCGCAAGGAAAGAGCGCACGGTCGCAGTTCCTCCGCAAGAATGAGAGAACGCAACAGCTGGAAGTATGAGTCGCATGTAGGTTTTTTCTGTATTGAGTTGGCAGACATGGTGTACACTCAAAATAAACGCATTTTGTCTTCCCTTCCCGGAACTTCGCTGTACGGTGATTAATCCGGCTAGTTGTCGAATGGCGACTAGAAGATGCATGTGCAACATCTTGCGTCCGGCAAGCATAGTACAGCAGGAGAACCATGATAGATAGGGAACACCGCGCAGGCGTCATCGCCGTTTGTATTCGCATGGCTTGAGCACTTTGCCGTGAGACATCACCTGCTCCCATTCTTTCTCGCTTCTCGCCTTCCGGGCCACCTTCTTGAACTCGAAGAGCGTGAAATGTGTATTGTTGTCATCCTGCAATTCCATTCAACCCCTGAGATAACACCATATTGAATAATAGCCGTACCTTCGACTTCAGCCTAAACCCTACCGACGAGACGAGGTTCACGAAATCGTCCACATCGGTGAACCGGCTGGCTACCTCAGCAATCCTAAGATCACCACTGTATAGAGCGTATGGTCTCGTCAGGGGTAGTTTTTAAAAATAGGGCAAATTATACGCACTTTGGCTTTAGAAGTCGCCATGCCTCGCGGATGCATTTCGGCCAGTTCGTCCCCATGAGGCTCAGAGCGCAGACTACGACGTCAACAACGGCACCCTGGCCTTCGCTTGTGCCGTCGCGATCATCGGCACCATTCTCGGCACCTGGTAGAGGGATGTGGGAACAGATGTCCGCTTCAACTACGAATACTCCGTCCGAGACGAGGTCGAATGAAAGCACCGTCATGCCTTCGGGGACGAGCCCGCGTGCGAGCGCTGCGTCGCCACAGCCAAGATCTGCAATAACAGTCTTGGGAGGATACGACGACAATGAGGAAATATAGTGCTGGACTGGGTTGGTTGGCCAAGAATGTACTTGATGCCGGAAGCCAGTATGATACTGAAGTCCGTGCCCAAGATGACAGAGAATGAGTTGCACGTCAGGGACTAGAAGTTACCAGATAAGCAGCGAAGCGGACCGTACCTCTTCGTACACTTCGGGATTCTCTCGTATCATCTGGCGTGCTTGTTCGCTGTCGGATTTATAGAGTAGTTCATTTATCCATCTGTGTGCGCACGACATGAGAACGACTCGACTCAGATAAAGGCATGCACATTACCGGAAACGCGCACCCTCGAGGCTGTTCTTCATGCCGGCTTGAAGGACGGTAAGACCCTCCATCCCGTCGGACGTCGGTTTGGTAGGTTTCGAGGGCACAGTCGATTCCCGTTCATGTCCGGATTTGTTCGCATTCTTCTTTGCCTTCTTTGAGGGTTTGGGTGTACTCGAAGGTAGGGATGCAACAGTCGCGTCCTTCCTCCCCTTGCCTTTGGTGGACTTCTGTGAACGCTCCGCGCCCGAGGGTTGTGCACGAGGCGAGCTCTTGCTCGGCTCTGGCAAGCGGCGCTCCTGATTTTTTCCCTCTGTCTTCCTCTGCCTTTTCGGTGTTGGTTTCGTCGTGTTGGCTGCTCCAGAGTCTAGTTTCGCCATAAGCTTGTCGAAATTGATGGATGCATTGGACATTTTGTCCCCATCTTGTGGGGACGGCCTTTTCCTCTTCCTCGAGGTCGGGGCATCTGTGACAGGAGCAGAAGGCACACTCCAACCCGGAATGTCGAAGAGAGCCATGCAGAAGAAAACGGAGATGAAGCAGATAGTGAGGAGTTGGTGTGGCAGAAGGAGTTTCCGACTTGTGTATGGACTCGGAAGAAATCCGCGGACAAACACACGCCAACGGCGATCATCAGGTGGCGTTCCTTCCACAGTGCATTCGGCACTCGTTTCTACATATTCCAGGGCAATATAGCCACTACCCGGCAATCGTACACATGCTCGAAGCTCGTTACACTGTATCGCGCATTGATGCCTCGTGTGGACATCGCAACGGTCTTAGCACGTCGACGTCGCGGTACTACGAGCGCATCTTTTCACTTTTACGGGTGGCGCCCCCTCGCTAAAGCCATTTCTTTTCCAATTATTGTTCGTTTTGCCTGAACAGCGTCCTCGGTAAGCATTCCCAAAAAATAGTGATGTTCTTGTGGCGGGTCACCAACCTCGACGCACTCATTTTTGCAGAGGATAAGTACAACGTCCCTGGTCAGTAGTATCCGAAGACCCCATCCACGACATCCCCCCCCCACAAAAAGGTTGTCCACTCACAGACAAAAATGTCTTACAGAGACTTCGACGATCAAATGTCCAACGTGAGTTAGTCACTTCCGTCTAGCTTTCGATACATTGACGTGCATAAATGCACATAGGTATCAGACCCAGCGTCTCTACCGTCTACTGCCGTCTCAGATGACGGTGTTGTCGATGATCCAGTAAGTAGAATAGACGCATGGGGTAGGCTCAACTGCTTACTGGTGGTTTAGCTGGAACTTTCATTGCTGCAAAATATGTCTCTGAATCTCCGCGATTCCACGGATCACGAGCTGTGCACAGCTCCATTTTTTACTCGAGACGTATATGAGCTTGCTAGACCGCGCGCGAGTTTCCCGCAACGCGGCTTGTTGGGCTCGGTAATAGAAGTCTTGTGAGGCATACAAATGCTATTCTCTTATTGAGTTCTCGTTGATAGTTTTCGATGAATAGCGACAAAAACGGGCCCTGCAAAAACCACGAATGCAAGGACTCCAGAGTCTACTTCAACACCGTGAGTCTCGAAGTTCCACTCTAACGATACACAAAACTCAAGGAGCCGTAGAATGCACCATGTTCAACATTGGTTTGTGGAGTTCAAGGCTCCGGCAAATCGCACACCGTCTCGATTTTGCTGGAAAACATGCTCATCCCCAAGTATCCGAGCATTGGGGTCCTAGAAAAGCCGCTAAGTGGTCTTGTGCTACATTTTGGAGAGGGCGGCCCGTATACACAACCTTGCGAGGCCGCTTGGCTGGGGCTGTCGCGGATTGCCTCAGTCAAACCGCCGCGCGTGCGGGTTTTTGTGTCCAGCTCGTCCCTGGAGACCATGAAGGCCGTGTATGCGCCGCTTGGCGCAAACATCACTGTCGAACCCCTTCTGTTCAGCGAGGCAGAGCTCGATGCACAGGCCTTCCTTTCGATGATGGCCATCGGTGCATCTGATCATGTGCCGCTATACATGCAGACCGTCCTGGTGGGTGCATGTCTTCCGACTTACTCGTCCACGACTGATCTTTGTTCCCTAGTCGATCTTGCGCGAACTTGGTGAGAAATACACCTATCAAGAGTTCATCAACAGGTTAGCTGCGAAAAAGACAAAGTTCGTTCCCGCGCAGCTGGCTGGACTGGAGCAAAGGATGGCTTTGCTCGAATCTTTTCTGGACAAAAAGACCAGCCGAAAGTCGCGGGCAAAACCACCCAGGTTTGCTGCCGGCCAGCTCACCATAGTCGACCTGTCAGATCCGTTCATTGACCCTGCGTCAGCGTGCGGATTCTTCGAGATTATCACTCGGCTTTTCGTCCGCGCGAAGGTCGACACGGGCAAGGTGCTTGTCGTCGATGAAGCGCACAAGGCACGTAGTATCAGCCTTGCGTCGCGATATTTGTCTGATCTTGTTATAGTATCTTTCTTCTGAGAAGACCACAACAGGGCTCACGAAAGAGCTCCTGTCGCTTATTAGGCAGCAAAGACATCAATCAATGCGCGTTATCATAAGCACGCAGGGTAAGTTGTGTTCATCGTTACTCCGGGACTCTGACGAATTCGTGCCCCAGAGCCGACCGTTGTCCCGCCAGTCTTGATTGGTTTATGCAGCATAACCATTCTGCATCGATTCTCCTCGCCGGCATGGTGGAATCATGTCGCAAAACACATCGCAGCGGATGTCGATCACAACGAGGCGTTCGACAAGGTGGTGAATCTGCAGGTATGTGTGCCTCGTGCTTTAGTAGGCTTTCCCTGTTGACGCGGTGTCACGCATGAAGACGGGCCAAGCCATCGTGCTGGCTCCCGCAGGCATGGGTGTGTCCACCATACCGTCGACCAAGACCCCCGAGCGCGAATACAAGGCCTCGAAGTCTCTGCAGCAATTTGGGCGTAAGTGTGTGCTCATCAAGACCAGGCAACGGGTGTCCACGGATGGGGGCGCGTCCCTATTGGTCGTGGATGTCTGACGTGCAACTGGCTCCTCGCGTGGCTTGCTGCCTATATAATCTTGTACTATCTATTGGCTATATTGAAAGTGGTCGTGCGTCGCGAACCGTGGAAACACGAAGGAATCTTCAACGCACAGCATGTGGGTTGACCGTCATCCACGTATGCGCGAGGCATGCTAGTATGTCGAAGTCTCTTTTACTGAGACGAGACACATGCATAGTCCTACTAAGCAGTCAGCCGCCTTCAGCGTGGTGGGTGAATCCAGTGTCCACTACGTGATGAATTTCACTACAAACTTCACTAACTGGCCAATTCACCACCTATTAACTCATTACTTGGGTGAACGCTGTTTTTCATTCATGCGCTGGATGGAAGTCCGCACCTTGGTCAGTCACAGTGTTCAAAAGAGAATTTGGCTTGGTCGTACGCGCATGAGCAACTCGGGGGAGCCAATCAGATAAGATCACGACTTGAGAGAGGTTGATAGCCTCATGCTTGTTCCTCCGCTTCTCGGCCTCTAATATGCTCACGGAACAGCGAACATAGCGTCTCCGACGATACTCGTTCACTGACCGGCCTGCGGTCCCGTTCAGAGGGTGCCTGGACGTGCCGCAGCGAGATATCGACGTCCTTCAAGGTTCTTCCGAGATCATGGTGCGTCAGAGAACGCCCTCACCGCATGATACTGATCCTGAAGATTCTTTCAGTGCTACATATATGTAGGACAGGGCAATGCTGATAACGCTCGGCCCGAGCGCTCTCGGAGGTATAGAAAGAAGAAGCTACGAGAGAATGGTATCCTCACACCTCGTCGCTTTCGTCGCTACTCGGATCGACGCCATCCTGTTGTGCAACCATGGTAGATGCTGCGAAGCCGAGGATCATCATAGTGGGTGCCGGTATATTCGGTCTCAGCACTGCATACTACTTGGCCGAGGACGGTGCGCAACAATTGTGTGTTCCCTGCTCGCGCACGTACTGACCATAATACAGGATACAATGATATCACCATATTCGATCAGCATGCCTATGATTCCGACGAGGGATACAAGTTGAATCCTGGCTCGACCGCTGCTTCGGTTGACGAGAACAAGGTCTTCCGCGCGTCTTACGGCGATGAATTATACTATCAGCGGCTCGCGTACGAGGCGCGCGAGATTTGGAAGGAGTGGAACAAAGAGCTCGGTGCCGGCAAAGAGCTCTTCGTAGAGTCAGGCATGTTGCGAGTCCAGCATTCGACCTATCTGGACGACCTTGAGCTCCAGACGCTTGCCAACATGACGAAGGAGGGCTTGAGAGATACTCAATACATCGTCTCGGACGAGGAGGATGTCCGCCGTGCAGAAAAGAATGGTTGGGCTCACAAGCTTCTCAAGTTCCCCGTGCCAGGAACCGACGGCAAAGAGACGTTTGAGGCGGTCCTCGACACGACGGCCGGTTACGTCTTCCCAAGCAAGGCATGTGCGTATATCGCAGGCAAGCTGCGTAAGAGCGGGACGCAATTTGTTGAAGGTCCAGAAAAAGGCGTATTTGCTTCCCTACTTGTCGAGGGATCTGACGACTCAAAGCGGGCCATCGGCATCGTGACGAAGGATGGTAAGGAACATTCTGCAGACCTGGTCATCATGGCTTGTAAGTTGTGCTTTAGTTACCGCGGAAGTCATGTACTGAGCAGCTTTCCCTGTCCATACAGGTGGTTCTGCAACTCCCATGCTCGTGCCCGAAGTCAGTCGTGTACTCGAGGCAACCGCGGGCAGTGTCATCACAATCCGTCTCCCACCGCGTGAGGAAGCTCCAGAGCTTTGGGACAAGTACTCCTCTGAAATAACGCCTGTCATCATTGGCCATGATCCGGACCCGACGGGTAAGACTGTCGGCAGTCGCAGTATCTACTCTTTCCCGCGTACAGAAGATGGGCTCGTCAAGATAGGGTACCGCGTCACAAAGGTGCGTATATGCGCTCAAATGTGTTCTATGGAATGCGCATCTTATCACTCGCGTCGATAGTATACCAACTTCGTCAAGCTTCCAGGATTCGAGGAGCCTCTTTCAGTGCCTTTGCGTCCCGAAGTCGATGATACCTCTTTACCTATCACATCAATTGAGGGTATCAAGACCTACGTGTCGACTTTCCATCCCGACCTCGCTGCTCTACCCATTGCCAGGACGCGCTTGTGCTTCTATACCGACTCTGTCGACAACTCCTTCTTGATCGACTACCTCCCCGGCTATAGCGACACATTGTTCGTATGCACGGGCGGAAGCGGTCATGGCGCAAAATTTACGCCTATCCTCGGAAAGGTGTGTATAATTGTTCGTGTCTCAACCTCAGACATGAGAGCTCAATGACCCTCGCCAGCACGTCCGCGATGTGATCCAGAAAAAGCCCAAGACGGAGCTCACTCATCACTGGCGCTGGCGTCCAGAGCTACCGCTTGGAAATGGATTGGAAGAGGGACCTGCCGGCCCGAGGACCCTTGACAAGCAGAAAAGGGCTACGCCAGAGGACCTGAAACGTGCAGGCTGGTAAATCGCTGTGACGAGCCTGACTCGAAATTTCGATTGCTTATTTGTACTAGTAACGGAACGTGATACCAGGTGTTAGCCATGTACGTTTGAGTCTGTATAACTCGTTCTCTGGCTGCCGACGGTGATGGAACGACCTTGAACGACCTTTCGATGGGCGTCTTCGCGGTGGCGCGCTCACGTGTCGCGCACAAAGGCCATTAGCACGACGGGCGCATCTGTGGCGGAAACTCTAAGCCTTGCTTCAACTCGAAATTGCGCTCAGGACTCCAAGTTCTGGTCTACCTCTCAGCAGAAGTATGATAACACGCCGTCAACGCTCTAAGGAATCCGCGGAGAAGGTAGTGCTACAACGACGCAATGATCAGCGCACGGACAACCGCACGGAGCCACGAGGGAAGAACCTACTACTAGCTATGCGGGATAGTCTTGCTCGGTCAAGCATTGGATCTCGTCTTATGTCCTATCATGCCTCCCTGCGCAAAGACCTTCAAGACAGCCTCGGACACACTCCTGCTACTAGTAGAATGTCAATGCAAGATACAAGCCTGACGCACATGGCTCGACCACCCAACACCCTCCCAGCTTGTGACGCAGCTAAGGATATTGTCCACAAAACCAACTTCGAGCCCAGCGAACAAAGACGTGTCTCCTTCTGTCAAGTTAAAAGGATCGTGTCTAGTCGTCTTTCTCGATCAACGTCGCCCATAACTTTGTGTGGCACGCCAATGTCCCCCGACTGCGTCTCACATACTCGAGCTGCGACTACCTCTGGAGACAGCACTGCATCTTATTCTACGGCTGAGTATAGGACGCCACCTTCGACGCCTCACTTGGACTGGGATCTCTCACCCGGCTCACTTGACCATGAATTGTATCATCGGAATCCAGAGTCGGCTGAACTTATCCGTGAAGGCAAGAGACCTGCCCAACCCACGGTAGGCATAGATGCACACCTTTAGTGTATTTCTATGATTGCTCATTGCCATCTTTGAAGTCCTTTACAGAAGACTCTGAAGACGAGGACACTAACAGCGTATCTGAAAATGATAGTACGCAAGCAGAGCCAGATCATAGCATTATACATGAAGACGCCTGGGTTGGCATGGGCCATGTACTTGCAATCAGTCGCAAGGAGCGCCGCGCCTCAGGTCCCCCATGCGTTCCTGCGGGCGAATATTCAAAGGTCGCGATAAAAAGTCATACGGTGTGATCACTACACTAACGTCGAGCTACAAACAGAGCAGAGAGTCGTGGTTGGCCATGCATGCTGGCTTCATAAGTCCAAATCGTGAAGATTGGGCATACCGTCGTTGGCGGGCATGGCATGAGTGGCTCGATCGGCAGGAGAGTAGGTGTCGAATGAACAACATGTTCGCCGATTCCATCTTGGAGGAGCAACACCCGCTGTCTGACTCAAGGACAGAAGACTGGTCCATACAGCAGACAAGAAGGTAGCATCTATACCTTCACTGCAAGATTCGAAGCTAATGTATGCGCTATGTCACGGGCGAAGCGCGGTGATGAAATCCTCGCGAGTATCGCGCAGAACGATCTAATGATTGTTGGGACTGGGAGAGGGGTAGGTCGCAATTGAACTTGATATCTCGTTAGTTCCTTACTTCTGTATGAAACTCTAACAGTCAATCGCGGTTGGAGATCTCCAAATTTTGAATCTTCGCGCAGCACAGTGCGCTGTATCGGCTTCCGAGGAAGGCTGAAAGGTTATGTAAGCGATGTCTATGTATACGTCGTAATCCTACTCATAGCATGCCCTGTTCGCTGTCTTGTTTAACCAATGATGTATACTTGTACGTTGAATGGATCTCTCGATGTGTCTACGAATCACCGTCGAATTTGTCGTTTGTGATCGTCTTTTCCTATGTTCCGACATGGCGAATACTCTCGAAATTTGCGGCAGCCTAGGTTAGCTGCCAATCTCCGAACCGTTAGAAGAGGGGATTACGTGCGGGAGCTATGTAGATACATTTATTTTCATACTGATCATTGAGGGAATACATCGGCGCCTGAGATCAACAATTTTGTTTGCTTTTATTGACCAACAATCCTCCTTACTTCCTTTTACGTCCCACGCACACCATGGCTGCGTCTCATACAGACTCAAGATTTGCCGTAGACGCGCGATTCGCATCCTCCCCTGAGGCAGGTTCTTCAAAAGACGTAGCTGACGACATCCGTTTTCAACAAAGCGAAGAAGAGGAAGAGGACCAGGTCTCTCAGGACGATGCCTCGGTCGCAGGCTCAAACGATGGAGTTGATGAAGGCATGGATCCGGAGGGCTTCGCTGGACCGTCTCAGAAGGTGGTGAAACCATTGACACCAGAGGCTCTGGCGGCCTTCAAAGCGGCGCAGGAGAAGACCGGCGTTGTCTACATATCCAGGATACCACCTGGCATGCGGCCCACAAAAGTGCGGCATATAATGAGCGCATATGGGGAGGTTGGCAGAGTGTATTTGCAACAAGAGGGTACGTATTAACTTTTACTTTCTTGTACCACCAAGACCAACGAGTCGTATTGCAGACCCAAAACGAGCATATCTTAGGCGAAAGTATACCTCCACGAAGAAAGCGCACTTCACGGAGGGTTGGGTAGAATTCAAGGACAAGAGGGTTGCCCGGTCAGTTGCTGAGATGCTAAATGCGCAACCCATTGGAGGCAAGAAAGGAACGCGATGGCGGGATGACGTTTGGACCATGAAGTATCTGCCCAAATTCAAGTGGAATATGTTGACAGAACAGATCGGTGAGCATGCTGTGTGCCTGTGTCTCTACTCAGCTGTTAATCACAATTACAGCCCATGAAGCTGCGATACATTCGGCACAACTGCGAGTCGAGTTGTCGCAGTCTCGCCATGAACAACGAGAATATCTCAAGAATGTTGAACTGGCGAGGGTCTTGGACAAACGCGCGGAGAGGAAGCGCAAAGCAGAAGGGTCGGAGCCATTAACGGAAAAGGAAACCTCTGCGAAAGCGCCCGCAGAACCCAGCGCGGCAGACGCAAGCGCTGCAACAAACAAACCTAAGAAGAGGCAGAGACAAAAGATGGAGAATTCTGGCGTCGATAGGCAGCTTGATAATGTACTACACAGCATCTTCTGACTCATGGAATACGATTTTGTCGTCGAAACTCACTTATTGGTCGAATTTGGAGAAACAGCGACGCGTTGCCACACAGGATGCCGCGGAGTGTGCGGAGTTTGAATGAATGGCTTAGGTAGCCCGTTCGCCCTCTGCGTCTCACCATCGCGAACACATTGAGCTTGTCTCAGCGAGCATCGAGAACTGCGTGCTCGTTGTTGTGTGTCGCGTCTCAAGAGGTCTGTGCTTCCATCATGCTCGCCTACTCTCTCTCACAGCTATTGATGATCAGTCGTCGCGTTCCTCGTTCTCTTTTCTCTGCCTCAGCTCTTTCCTCTGAACATGTCATCTTGGTCTGGTTCTGTCTATCCTCCTCCTCCACGTGGACGTTCGCGTTCTCGATCTCCATACCGTGGGGCTTACCCTCCGCGACCTGCGTATCCGGATCCCGCCTACCCCCAGGACCCGTACCGCGCCGACTGGGAGGCCTATGATAGGGACAGGGCATGGGCCAATTACGAAAGAGAGAGAGCTGCGTACGAGTATAGCAGACGTGGCAGGAGTCGCAGCCCTCCAGCTGAGGAAGGTAAATCATCATTGTTGTTTCGTATAGTCATAGTGCGTAACATTGTGTTTAGCTGGCAGGAAGCGCCGGCGCTCTCTGTCGCCCTGGGATCGGGAGAGGTTCGAGCCAAGGCCTCGGTACGGTGATGACTACGGTACGCTGTGGAACGTCGCGTTCTGTGCCGTATTACTTACTCTTGACTTAGATACCCATTCTCGTGGGTACGGTCATGCGTCACCCCATCGTGGTTCATATCCGCCTCCGCCTCCCTATGGTACCTTGCGCCGTGCCCCTCCAGATCCTCATACTTTCGATTATCCAGCTTCGCTTAAACAGTACGCGGAATGGTTTCGTTACTATTATCCTCAGCAAGCCATTGAGGAGGACAATGCCGACAAGGCTGCTGAACAAGAGGCTGGAGACGGTTCGAAACCTCGTAACGGCATTCGGTCACGATGGGAAAAGTATAAAAAGGACTTCGCCGCTCAACAGGTTAGTGGTTGCTCCGTTGTCAGACAACTTGCAACTGAAGGCATTTTAGCTTCAACGAATGTTCGAGCATCACCGCAAATCTCCTTGGTTCGCAGAGAAATACGAACCATCTCCTGAGTTTGTGCAGCTCAGGACACGAGTGCGCAAGGTTGGTTGGCGAAGGAGAATAGACGCCTTCGTCATGGACCTAGAAGCTGGCAAGTTTGACCCAGACGTGGACGAGCCTGAGCAGGAAGCTGCGTCCCCTGTTAAGGAGACTGCCCCTAACGGAGAGGCTGCCGTCAATGGCAGCGAGAACGGTGGCATGCAGACAACTCCTGCTGAGGAAGTCAAGCCGAATGGCGGCGATGACGACATGCAGTTCAACGGCGAAGCAGAGGACGAAGCTGGTGACAATGAACAGTCGCGCCTCGACGCCAACGGTAAAGCATCTGCCAATGATCCCAAGCGTGGTAATCGCGGCGAGGAGATTTCGGTGCAACCAGAGGGCAACCAGGTCATGATCCGAACTATTCCTCCTGACATTGGCCGAGTAAAGTTGGAAGAGGCAAGTGCTATTTCCGATCATATCTCTTTGACGGTGAATGATGACACTGACTGGAACGTGCTTAGGCGTGTGGCAAGATCCCTGGTTTTGTCTATCTTGCCCTAGGAGACCCTCTTCAGAAACGGAACTACTACCGCGCTGGCTGGCTAAAATTCCGTGAAGATACTGATATGCCGTCGGTAGTGGCAGAGCTTTCGGAGAAGAAGGTTTGTTGCCTTGCGTTGTTGATGTGTCCCCACTAATTCCTCTGGTATCAGATTGAGGGCTTCAAGCTACACGTTGCGCACATCACCAAGCCTTTCACTGGTCGGGTGCGTTACGCGCCTGAGGTTGCGAGCAAACCAGATCGATTGCGCAAGGACCTTGAGAATGCCAAGACTCTGGCCGCTTTGCTGGAGGACGAGTACGAAAAACTTCGGAAGATGAAGGTCGAGAAGACTGACGTAAACGGGACATCAAATGCCATTGGTGCTGAGAATCCTGATACAGTGATGACTGACGCGACAGATGCTGAAGAGGATGACCCTGAACCGAGGGAGCGCGGGAGCGAGGCAGTGGAGAGACGAGTTGAAAAGATCATGGCCGACTTGCGCGACCAAGGTCTTGTAGATGCGTCGGACGAAAAGGCTCTGGAAGCGAAGAAGGTCAGGTCTCACTAATACGCTCATGATTGTCGTGCGACTGACGGTACCTGCAACAGACGGTAGTTTCGCTCGACCTGTATCTTGCCTATCTTCGTGCTGCCTTTCACACATGCTATTACTGCGCAGTTGTTACCGATCACATAGAGGAATTGCAGCGCAAATGTGTTAAGCATGTAAGGAAGCCTATGTCGAAAGCTCTTCTCCAAGAAGTGAGAGCCGCCGAAGCACAGAGGGCTGAGCGCGAGCAAAGAGCGGAAGGCGAGGGAGATGAGGAGAAGCTGAAGGAGAAGGATGTTTCCTCCAAGGAGAAATCGGAGAACCGGGATTGGAAGAGGAATGGTACGAGTTGCTTTTACGTTCTGTGATTCTTGACGTCACTGAGCGTATCACACAGATGAGCGATGGCTGGAATGGCTTGATTCCAAGGTTGCTCTACTAATCAATCGTAATGGCGTCGATCCTCGAGACTACGCTGGCAAGAGCTACGAGGAGTATGTAGCATGCTGCGAGTGATGCTTTCAATTGACTGATTTCCTCGCAGGGAGCTATCTAAGGCGGCTGAGCCTCACATGAAGCAAGAGGACGAAGGTAAATTCCGCTGTAAGACATGTCAAAAGCTCTTCAAAGCTACGTCATTTGTCGAAAAGCATATTGCCAACAAGCACCCAGAGCTTGTCAAACACCTTGAAGAGGTGAGCGACATTTAATTTATCACGGGCAACTGATGATGACAGCCTTTTCCATAACAGATTCCTTACTTCAACAATTTCGCTCTTGACCCTCATCGAATTCAGCCATTCGCTCATCCTCCTCCTACTGCTGGCACCAGCCAGGCGCCACCACCCCAGGCATATGGCCTCCAAGGGCCTGCTTACCCTGCGGCAGATTATGGTCGAGCAGGACCTCACCCTGCACCGTATGGCGGATATCCTCCTCCGCCCTACTCGAATGGCTACTGGGACCCATATGTCTATCCTTACCCTCCGGGTGCGTATCCTACGCCTCCGCCACGGCGAGATGAAGGCGCGTCAGTTCGACGTCTAAGCGACCGTATTAGCGGGTTTGCCCCTGGTTACGAACACACCGTGGAGGTTCCTCCCATTCCAGCATCAGCGGGGCTTCCTGCTAAGCCTGTGGCAACGCTCGAACCGGGACCGGGTGGTCGAAGGGGTGGGCGTACCAGCGTGAGTGGTCCGCCGCCGCCGCCGCCTCCCGATGCAAAGGAAGATCCTAGAGCGTCGGCCGGCAAGAAGGTTAGCTATCACGATATGGACTTGGTTGCTGAGGGAGACGTTGAGCTTCAGTACTAAGCTATGTATTATGTTCCTTGGAGTGTGTTGGTGTCGCATTTCATAATGATATTCCTCATGGTACATGCATGCCCCGGTTAGTGGTATAAGATTGTTCCCGATGGAATGGTTGGTCCTTCCGCTCATTGTACGCGTCCTGTTTCTCGTCAACCTCTTGAGAAAATGGGGTCCCAGTTCTGCGATTCGGGCTCGGTTGGCGATGGTGGACTGTCAGCGGGGGTCCAGATCGTGCTCTGGAAGGTGAATTGGAGGCGGAAATTTTGAGCTGCAGGGCAGCACGGAGCTCATGGGTTGTGCGATGAAATGCATCCGGTTGGATAACGACCGGGAGCAGAGCGCGCAGCAGAACGGGCAGTGTTCTGCCTGCGTTCAGCCTAGTTTCTGCCTGGAGAAGGTACGCGGGATTGGTCGGCGTCTACGACCGGGCGTGTTTGACTATATTTGTGGGCCGCTCCCAACTCGGATTGACCGCCCTCTGTACTCAGTCCGCCGCCAGGTCTCTGGCTCCGTCCCTGTCTTCTCCTTTCCCTTACCCACTCCTCCTCGCCATCCTCGATTTCACTATCTGAGGACTTTGCCTTCGTGTCTGTTCCGCCCGGCCTCTTCCCCCGGCCCTTGGTGATGTCGGGCAGGGGATTGCCTGCCGTGCTCCTTCCGACCGTCACTGCAGTTCAAGCTGTCGACGAAGAGAACATCGAAGAGGGCGTGGTCAGGGTCGAGCTCCCGCCTGCCAACAAATTCGAGTTCGCGTGGCCCACAGAAACGCCGCCGACCGTCCCGCTGCCGCTCACAGCTGAGCGCCCTGCTGGTGTGTCACTTAGTTCTTCCGAGGGCGAGACAGACGTTTCAGAGGAGGAATCCAGTCCTCCAACCCGGAGGGATGCACTAGCGGGAGAGGGCGACGACTCCGAGTTCGTGACCCCAACTAACAATATGGATTCAGACCAGAATCCTCTCGAGCAGGCCGAGCACCTCCCTCCTCTCCCCCGATTGTCCAGAGTACTCTCCATGCCCGTACCGTCTCAGCTAGGGTACCTTCGAAATCCCCGACGCCTACCTTCGTCTCCCTCAAGCGATTCGCCCATCGCCATCGAGCTACCACCCGAATATGCTCACTTTCACGAATTCTCGCTGGAGCTGGCGGACTCGGTCCAGATGATGATACAGACGTTGCTACAGCTTTCCCCTCCCCAGGTCTTGGATCCAGCGAAAGAACAGTTCAGCGCATGCTCCCTGTCCATTCCGACGCCTTCTATATCTGCCATGTTTACATCTATGAAGAATCTAAACTACATGTCTGCCAACATGTCCACCCTTAGTCTCGACACACATGTACAGCAGGTAGCATCGCCAGTCGATCTGGCAGGCATGCCTGTTGTGCATAACGACTTTGACGTTGGCGAGATGCTGCAAAGTGTCGGAGATGCGCTAAGTGGGATGGCAGCGCAAGCTGGCGTGGACCTCGTCTTGTTCCATGGTGATCTGGGTATGAAACACGTACCAGTGAGGGGCGATGAGAGCGGCATATCATACACGCTGTCGCATGTGAGTTGGATCGGTAGGTCGCTATTTGTGTGATACTGATGTTCCTCCAGGTCATACGCCAGCTCATGGGTGTGGCGCACCCGGGCGACACCATAGAGATGGGTTTATTTATTGAGAAACCAACACATACCTCCGATTCTGCTAGCTCAGATACACCTCGCCAGGACTCAACAGGACAGTCCTCGCCCATACACGAACATACCGGTCCTTTACGATGTACTTTTCACCTCATGCATCGATACGCCTCTGCTCATTCGACAAGAAGTGGCGCAGGCACATCAGAAGATGGCAGCGTTCCAAACTCACCTCCTTCTTTTCGGACATCACCTTCTTTCAAGACACTCATATTGCGACGACTACTACGTCATGTCGGTGCCTCGCTTGAGGAGGATGTCCCGCCGCGGAGCTTCTCCGCTGGGAAAACCTATGCTCTGACAGTGCAGTTCGAACGCGGATCCCCCTCGGTTGTGGACCCAGCGGTTGGTGCATCGCTCGAAGACACAGTATACCAAGGCTTCCCGGACTTCAAGATTTCGCACGAACCAACCCTTGAGCAGCTGTCACAGTTTGCTGAATCGTTGAAGGGTAGGAAAGTGACGCTCTTTGCGCATTCGAAGGGGTCTTTTGCTCAGCACCTCACGAGCTATCTGACGGCGTGGGGTTTGGACGTTACACATGTCTCCACCGAACCAGGTGCAGATACGCTCCCTGAGCACGTCGAGCAAGTCCCTGAACCGACCTCGAGTCCAACTGCGAGTCGAGAAGAGCTTCCGTCCGCGTATCTAGACCAGTCCTCAGCGCCGTCTCCATCAACCTCACGGCCTGCTGTCGCGGACGCGTTGTCCTTCTGTCTTATTGACGACGATGTCGCGGTCCTGCGGTCTCGGTTGCAGAAGGCTCGTGCTGAGCAGGCGTATCCGCTCCATCTCAACACGCGGAAACGACCTTCCTTGGCAAACAACCACCGACCGCGCTCGTCGCCGCAAGTGGCTCGGGTCATGGGCCTCACACCCTCGACCTCAGCGCTGTTCGCCCCGCCCCCTGTCATCGTGCACTTTACATCCCTCGCGAACTTCAAGCTGGTCAAAGACGTCATCCAGTCCATCCTCATGCCCGGTGCGGGCAACGCTTCGCGCGTACCGGAGGTCATCGTCATCCCCAAGCCCGCCGGCCCTCGGCGCGTTCTCACAGCGTTGCACACCGCGATCACCAAGCCGATCGTCGACCCCTTCTTCTATCCCACCGCCACGTCTCCCATAAGCCCAGGGTTCCCCGCCATCACCCCGTTCTTCAACGTCTCGGGCCCGGCCAAGTCGCCTGGCGCCCGCTCGGCGACCAGCGTGCGCACGGCCTCGGACAAGTCGGCCAGATCGCCAAAAGAGCACACGCCGTCGTCCCCGCGCGGCGTGTCGGAGACCATGGAGTATTTCTCCGACGCCGCTGCGAGGCTGGGCGCGTCTCCTGCGTCGGGGCTCGTCATCCAAAGCCCCGATGGCCAGCCTGCGGGCATCTTCTTCCATCCGAAGGCCAAGGGCGGCGGGAGGAGCGAGAGGACGACGACACCGCAGTCGGAGCGCACTGGCACCCCGTCAGACCATCCCGGCCGCTCAAGGGGAGTTTCCTTCCGCCGTACGGCTGATGAGGTCAAGTCCGGCTCGTCTACGCCAGAAGTTGCAACGACCCCACGGCGACGCGCGGCGGCAGGGACAGACGGTGATGCCGGCGCAGATGTCCAGCCCGTCGAGGGCGCGCCTTCCAAGGGCAAGGGACGGTTGGCACCGCACCGTGGTGAAAGCCTCGTCACCCTCGGGCCGGCTGGTTCGCCTGCTGGGGAGTCGCCTGCAGCGGCTGGTCCCCCGCTGGCTCCGCCGAGGAAGCCTACACAGCCTGACCCCCTCGTGCGCCATCCATCTGACCCGCCCCCACCGACGTCGCCTTCACGGCCGAGTCCCCAGCCAGGACGCCGTCTGAGGCGACCCAACATGGATGGCCCGTCAGCCTCCGCGCCTTCTACCTTGCAGAAGAAAGGGAAGCCGTCCGACACGAATATCGTCCCGCCAATCAGCGTGCTCATCGTCGACGGTGCGTGCCGTGTTCATTGTTTACGGGAGCTGGAGCTAACCTAACCTTACTGTATGCCTGCCAGATAACCCCATCAATCAGACCATCCTGTCGACCTTCATGACCAAACGGAGGATCAAGTATGATGTCGCAAAGAACGGCGAGGAAGCGGTGGCGAAATGGCAGACGGGCGGGTTCCATCTCATTCTCGTGAGCGTATCTCCTCCCTAATCTCCGCCTCTTCTCATGCGTCTGGCGTAACCGTGTTTAGATGGACATACAAATGCCAGTCATGGACGGTATCGAGGCCACGAAAGAAATCCGAAGGATGGAAAAGTACAATGTATTGGGTGGCTTCCCTTCGACGCCGCAGTCCGAAGGCCAGCGGACACCGTCGGAAGCGTCTGCAACCGAGTCACGGTCGTCGACGATGTCCACGCCTCCGTACAGGTCCTCGGTGATCATCGTCGCGCTTACGGCGTCGTCGTTGCCGAGCGATCGAGTGGCCGCGCTGGCCGCCGGGTGCAACGACTTTCTGACGAAGCCGGTGTCGCTGCAGTGGCTGAACAGCAAGATCATCGAGTGGGGCTCGATCAAGGCGCTGCAGATGTGGGCGGACATCCGCCCGGATGTGGTGAAGAGCATCTCGTCGGGGCAGGCGGTGCAGGCGCAGAACGTCGCGCGCCGGCTGCACGTCCCCGAGGGACGGCTGACCCCGACGGGCTCCCGGAGTCGGTCGTCGTCCATCGCGCACAGGGTGCCGTTTGCGGACGGCGCGGGCGCCCTCGCGCGGAGTCTGCTGGCAGAGAAATCGGCGACGCCGAGTCCGCCGGTGCAGGATTCCGACGAGTCGCCCGGCGCGTTTTCCAATACGTCTGGGGGAAGTGAGGCCGTGCCGACGGTGGTGGCGCAGGGTGAGTCAATCGTGTTCTTGTCAGCGAAGGCGGCATCTCATCGATGATCTGCGCTTGTCCTCGGCGGCAGATTCGCACGATCTGGAGGTGGGGCACGCGGTCAACGGAGGCGCGCCTGACAGTGCCGGTACGTAATGCACGCGTAGTGTTGTGCATATGTCATTGGACGCTAACGCGGCTGAAACAGAAGCACCGCCTGCCACAGACTCGTTTTTCCCCCCTGCCGCAGACGCGTCTGCTCCCCCGGATGCACCCAAAATCGACAGTCAACCTGGGGCAGCAGATGCACCTCCTGCCACTCTCTCGTTCTTCCCCCCTGCTGCAGACGCTTCTGATCCCGTGCAGGCACCCAAAAACGACAGTCAACCTGGGGCACAGGCCAATTCATCGGGACTATCCGCAGACCTGGCAGCAGCGGACGTACCGGAGTTAAAAGATGCAGCAGAAGCTGCAGATTCTCCGACGGCACCCAGCAGTGACGAACGGCCGCCCGCGCCGCCTCCGCCGCCGGAACCACAATGACGGTACGGGGCGACTCTTGGGTTGTTTGCATGGTTTGCACTTCCCTTTGTATTACCCTTCCTGCCAAGGGTCGCCGGGTTCTTTCATCAATTCTTTTGAGCGTATATTATTGGGGTTAATTGGGGCGTCTTCCGCCGTGCTTGTCCTTCTTGGGTTATCATGTTTGGGTCATATGTGGTGTTGCGCTCATGCAGATATCTTCCATTGCTCATTGTAATCACGGCTTGCAGATTTGGGGCTCTCAGGTGGACGTCTTTACTTGGGGTTTCGTGTGGGTTTTTGTTTTTTTTCGCGCCATGCATGCTTTATGGCCAAAGGGCTGTGGCGTCTCTTTCCCATGGGTCTGTACAGGTACAAAGGTGGTTTGCTCACAGGTCAGTACGCTAGACATACATCCGCATACACGAGGTGGTATATCATTATGACCGTTTACGATACACGATGTCTATTAACCGGAGCGAAACTAGGTTAGCTTCCATTGGGCGAGAAGGGGTGTCGGGCATGCAGGGGTGCCCGGGGCCTGGGATGAGTCAAAGGTGTTTATGCGGGCGGGAGGAAGACGTTGAGAAGATCAGCGCCCCTGGTTCGCGGGACGCCGATATGCGTTGACCGCGTCGGCTCACGTAAGCGCGATGGGCGTCCGATAGCGTTGTTGGGAGACTGGTAGTATTAATATTTATATTACTTACCACAGGGCTCGCTCGTGTTCCGCTTTCATCGTCGCGGTGCTTGGAAGCCACACGAATCCAAATGCCACCGCTGACCGTCGTGCGCTGACAGGGGGCTTGCCTGGGCACGCTCCCATGCCGCGGGTTCGCGAAGTACAAGTGGAGAAACGCTCGCGGACGGCGATTGGCCGCGCGCTCGAAAGCTCCGCGAAGGTGCACGGCGGCGCTGAACGTGTCTCGACGAGCGGGGAGCGTCGCGGGGGCAGGTTGTGCCCATCACAGCGAATAGATTCAGAGCAGAGATCATCGCGCGCAGTGACGCATGTCCCGCATCGCGTACAAAACAAATGTGCTCGCGAGGGGCGCTGATGGGGGCGATTGGCTGCAGGGCACGCTGCAGACGGCTGCAGATGGGACAGTGCACTACGGACAGGCGTCCCCTGGCTCCCGGAAACTCAAGATGCGTGGGGGATGCCATATATGGCAGCCCTCAAAATGGATAAGCGGACTAGCAGCCGACTCCGACAACCACCTTCACGCCCGTCTTCCTCTCCTCCAGACCCCCCTTCCTCTCCCCACCATGGACGTGAACACCTTGCACCACGACCCCCACGCCCACGGCAAGCGCACCTCCATTACTGAACTCCTCAATCCCATCAACGCACCCCCCAGCGCGCTCGAGCCTCGCTACCACCCAAATCAGCTACCCCCTCTATCTGCCGCGTTCATGGGTCCCCCACACGCGCAACCCGGCCAGCCCACCGCACAACCCTATCCGTCGCCCATGAGTGCCCCTGCATCTTTCAGTCTGCGCGCGGCAAGCTGGGATCAGAGCGCGAAGAATGACATGGGCATCCACAGGCCCGACTCCGATCCCAGTGCATGCCGCTACCCTTCGAACGCCGTGCAGCATCCGATGTATCATGATGCGTACGTGAGGCCCGTACGTCCCGGCGAGGAATCGCCCGCATATAGCATGCAGTCTCCTGGGTGGCACAATTCCCCCGAGCCCGCGAACCAGGCGTACGTGCCATCGCAAATGTCGCCTCCAATGACCATGTACTCGGATGAACGCACAGGTGCGTCCTGCCTGCTATGACCTTTGAGCTTCTATGAACGATTTTCATATCCATCAGCCATTTCGGGAGAGGCCATCCAAAAGAGTCCGTGCCTGTCCCGCGTAAGCTATGCATGCCGGCACTCATGTCGTTTTGCAGACTATCCCCAGCAGCAGCCTCACGCGCATTACGAGCAAGACATGTCGGCTCAGCCGCCATACGCCGCCGTGAATGGTTACTTTCCCATGTTGTTGCAGGATGCGGCCTCTGCGTCTAACCCTTCCTCTCCAGCCTGGCAGACAGCCGAAAGAGCGTCTGTCCGCCTCGCTGCTCGAGGGACCGTGCCGATGCCAATGCAGTTACACCCTCAGCTGCAGCGGAGCCAGGCATCTCCTCCCCAAGCGTATTATTCGGCGCCCATGGCCTTCGCCATGCCGTATCCTACCCCACAACCCATGCCAACGCCAAAGAGGCAGCTGGAATCTCCTGAAGAATCTGACAGCAAGTCAAAGAAGTCGAAGACGCGATCAAAGGTGACCGACAATGCTGGTCAGACTTTGCTCACACATCCCGAGCTTCGTCATCCTCATACATTTGGCAGCTTCCTCGCGGCGCGGCTACAACGCTAAGAAGCGCAATGAGGCAGCACAGATAGCGGCACAAAATGGTACGTTCATTACGTATCCCACACTGCCGCCCCCTGTGGGTATTCACGCGTTGTGTAGCGCAATTGATTCCTTCCGTATCGTATGCTCACGTGTCAAGTGAAAAGGGCAAGGAGAAGGCATCGTCTGGAAGCAGTGAGTTAATCCTACTTGACATGTTAGTCCTTGTTTTCACGCTAATTTACCCAGGCCCAGGCACCATGAAGCTCGTCTCGGACGACGGGCTGCCGCACCCCGAGGCGTCTGGTCCTTTGCATCCCGAGCTTCAGTTTGCGCGCTGCATGTCAAATCGCTATCGATCGGAAGAGTTCCCCCGCTGCGTCTCCTGCACGCGTCGGTGGGCGGGCGACACTTGCCGGTTCCAGGGCATCCGGTTCTTCCTGAAGAACGACAAGAAGCACATCGTTGGCATCAGCTTTGTCGAGAGCCAGAAGCCCGACTCGCCGACTATGAATTTCCCGCTAAAATGGAACATTCCCCTCGAAAAGAGCCACATCAGGCGCATTAAGGTTGGTGCCTACGCACAGATAACCGCCCGACGTCCAGTTGGCTCATGTGCCGTTAATATCTGTACAGCGGACGGTGGCCTCAGCGCTGCTCCAGACGCTAAAGAAAGAACTCGAGCACCTCAGCTTACCTGAGGTCATCCGCCGCACGCGGGAGAGCGAGGTACGCGCGACATGTGGTGCGTCTACACGATGAGGTTCACGGAGTTTCAAGCCTTACTGATGCCGTCATTGCAGACACTTGCATGACCTCTATCTTTTCAAGCAGCTGGATGTGCCGGCTGTGCGGCCGTGAGGCTTGTGCCGAATGTTTCGAGCAGGTCAAGGAGCTGACCATCGACCGGGACGGCGCCCCCGATGCTGAGATCGCTGCGCTGCAGGCGCGCCGGGAGCGACATGCGCACGTCAACCCGTTTTTTCTCTCCTGCACCCGGCGCAACGAACATCAGGCCAAGGACTTCTCGCCCATGTCGCGTTTCTGCCGATCGGAGCTCGAGGAGGCGATTACCGAGATGGAGGCGCTGCTGCAGGAGAGCGACCAGGACGCGCTGGCCCCAGACTCTGGCGCGTTCAACCCACCTTTGACGGCTGCGCGTGGCGACGCGTCCGACTGGTCGATGCCCGCGCCAATGTCAATGTCCGGCCGAAGTGCGGTTATGCTTCCCAACATGGACTACCCAGCGCCGCGTGGGTTCTCAGGACCAGTCAATGGTGGCATCCCGCCCGATCCTTCATCATTCGCTGCCGGCACGTTGTCCACGCCGCAGTCGGCGGCAGGCTTCTCGAGCATCCCGTCTCATGATACGCTGAGGTTCGCGGACTCGCAGCTGACGGACGACCTGTTCCGAAGCGTATGGACGAGGGGCGAGCCGCTCGTCGTGACGGGCTTGCAGCAGAAGTTCCGCATACAGTGGACCCCACAGTACTTCACGAGCAAGTACGGCACGCAGAGTTGCCTCATCCTCGAGTGCCAGACCGACCAGAACAAACGCGTCACGGTAGGCGAGTTCTTCTCGTGGTTCGGCAAGTATGAGGGCCGCAGGGACTGTTGGAAACTGAAGGTACTGTAATCTGTTATCCATCGTATTGACTGACAGGCACTGATGTCTCTCTTCTGTAGGATTGGCCGCCAACGACAGACTTCCGCACGTCGTTCCCGGAGCTGTACGACGACTTTGGCAATGCGACGCCGGTGCCGAACTATGTCAGACGCGATGGCGTGCTGAACCTTGCCTCGCACTTCCCCAGCAATACGGTCGCACCTGACCTCGGTAGGCTCATCGTGTTTGACTCATGTTCGCCTGGGTGTTCATCCGAGTGTCTTCTAGGTCCGAAGATGTACAACGCGATGGCCTCGTTTGAGTCGCTCGGCAGCAAGGGCACGACGCGGTTACACATGGACATGGCGGACGCCGTGAATGTCATGTTGTATGCGGCTGACACCCCTGACGGGCGACCCGGGTGTGCCGCGTGGGACTTGTTCCAGGCGGAAGACTCGTCAAAAGTGCGGAAGTTTCTCCGAAAGAAGTTCAAGGGCCAGTTCCAGCACGACCCGATCCACTCCCAGCAGTTCTATCTGGACTCCACGCTTCGGCAGGAACTGTTTAAGGAGTATGGTGTCAAGAGCCATCGCATCTACCAGAGGCCCGGGGAGGCTGTCTTCATTCCCGCCGGCTGCGCGCATCAGGTCAGTTTCCTCTTCCGGCCCGATTATCGATGTGCCAGGGCTGATCTGGCTGTCCGCGAAGGTGTGCAACCTCGCGGACTGTATTAAGGTGGCGAGCGACTTTGTCAGCCCAGAGAACATCGGCCGGTGCGAGATGCTGACGCGGGAGTTCCGCGAGCAGAACCAGTCGATGGCGTGGAAGGAAGACGTCCTGCAGCTGCGGACGATGATGTGGTTTGCCTGGCTGTCGTGCTGCCGCCAGGAGAAGGACATGGACTCGTAACGGGAGGGGACGCTCGCTGTGTTATATTGCTATGTTGTTCGAGCCGGTGCTCTGCATTCACGGTTGCTTTAATTCCTATCCTGCCCGCGCACGCGTCTAATCGCTGTCTGCATGTACTGTGTATTGGCTCTGTTGTCCGGTTCGGCCCCATGGTCTCGTACAAAGTAGTGACATTGTATATTGGATACATACATGACTCGGTGAACAGAATACAGACTAGCATATTTTCGGTGGATACAGCTTTGGGGATTTGTGCCTCACATGGGGCGGACATATCATTTCGCTGCAGCAGAGAACATGGTGATAAGATGGGATTGCCGAGGTGCCTGCTCGCGTGCTGGAGAGGGTGTGATCGGATGACGCGAATAACATGAATTTGTCTGTGTGACGTCGATCGGCGAGGTTGTCTGACAGTGAGTTCAACAGTCACCGCCCAATCTCTGTTGTCAATAGTGAATACGTGTTGCCAGTTAGACGAGGTATGAACGAAATGAAATGACCACTATCGCGGCCTTTCATCAGAACCTTCACGGGCGACAGTCAACAGGATTCACACAGACTCCACACAGGCCGGCTGAGTGACGTGGTAACGTAGCCGACGAGGGGATAGAGAGGGCTTAATTGCGTCAGGTAGTAGTCATATACCAGGCAGGAGTCTGCATCATACTATGTACTCATTTGACAACTTTAAAATGATTCTCCGGCTTGGTGATATGGAAGCCAATGCCCCGCTGCACCCTACCCCGTCTCATGCCTCGGGAGATACGGCGTAGTGTACTAGGCCCGTGGAGCCCAATGTTAGGAGCCGCTGGAAGCTCGTATACACTCTGCATTACCTACGCTATATGGGGTTTGAACCCGAGGGGGAAACAAGATCTAGGAGCCAATGATCTATGAGAAGACTTCGTCAGTGGCGCCTCGAGATGCTGAAACACCGACCTGCGGGACGGCGGCCCCTTTTACCTCGATGCAGAAAGATTCCCATTCCCATGTGTACTCTGCAGCCGCTGTAGGCGTCAGGGCCCGCGTCCACCGCAACTCCATCAGTCGTGCTTTAACTTTGAGACACTGGGCGATTGGGGTCGGACCCTATAGATATGCCTATGCCGCCCCGCGATGGACCCTGGGTCGGAAATTCTCATCCGTTGCCTGATGATCATGCCAATGTTCGACGTCGCCGTTGATGCATCGGCGTCAGTATTGCTGGATTAGTCGCTGCCGCAAGCGAGATGATACCGGTGCCTCCTTGAGAAGTGATCAAGATTTAGATCCGACCACTGGAACAACTGTTATCGACCGCACGTTTAACGCCACGGCACAGCGGCGCTACACCAGTATACGTTGGTGTCCTCGCGAGCGAACCACCGTGTGATAAATCCTCGGAGCCCGCGTATTTACCGCAGGTTCGCTGCGAGCTTTATATAGACAACTGACCCTGAGCGGGTCCAATGTCTTCTCCCGCTAGCCTACAATGGAAAGTTCTCTCAAGGGAGGATACCGCTGCCGGCTTGCTGCAAGGGTCTGGTCCTGTCTTGTATTAAATCCGGACCGGACTGGAAACTCTGCGTCAGTGGATCGGCTCCTCTACGGGTCGATAACACAGAATAGACATGCCGCCACGTTTCGAGGTCTCATGCAACAACAGCAAGACGTGCCCTGACATCGCAGTCGTTCGACACAGCTCGCATATTTGTCGGTACTCAAGCGGCGCAAGCTCCACGACTCACCGCGTGCAAGCAAGATTCATTGCGTGGCATTTGGGAACCCTGTGGCGCAGAACTCTGGTACAAAAGCGACGCTTCGCCCGTGGAGCTATAGGATCCACGTACAGCTAGATGCGGGTTGACAAGGCTGTCGTCATGGATGTGTTTGTGTGAAGGTGTCACAACACGCGTCCAGATGACGTCTAGGGGCCCTGCCGCTGGTCAAATGCATTTATCACCTCTCAGGCCACAATTTTCCGAAAATTTAAAACAGGGCGACGGCAAAGTCAAGGACGCCGGCCTGTAAAGCGCGGGCTTGCGGGATGGCTATCTTTGGAATTGTTATAAAGCTGTGCGACAGATGGTATGATCAAGTGAGTGGCCGGTATATCTCGGAGAGCTTATGATTGATTGTACACGCGATGTCCTTAGCCAGCCTATCAAAGACCACTAACCTTTGTAGGTACCTGTCTTCCATGGCAGACCAATGAAGATTTAATACTTCAGGGACCATGATCCAAGAACCTTGGGTCGGACCCCTGCTGAAGTGTTATCCTCTCCCACACCACCTCAATGCCGGCGGAAATGACGATCTGAACAAATATGGTCACTCTCGGCGAAGAAGTCAATGTGACACAAAACACTTGCATCTATGTATCCGGCAGATTTATCACGAAATCATGAAACGGTTCCACAATATCGCTAGACGCGGATTGGGCGGAATATAATATCAAACATCCACGGACCCATTCTTGGGTGCGATTCTACGCGAGCTTGTCAATGCTGCCGCGCCTTCTGTAGGTTCCGTGCAATATCAGCGAAGCAGTGGTATGTCAGCATTGACGATGAGCCTTTATGACATGCCACTAGTAGCAGGATTCTTGTACATCCTGATGTTGACCAGCGACTTGGCGTCCCGTAGGAGGTCTCTATCTTGCAAATTGCTGCAAGATTAGGCTGTATTGTTAGCAAACGGACGGAGCCAAATCAAATTGGAAGGATTTTGGATTCAGCGCGGATCCAGTACAGAAATGAACCTTAACAGGAAGCGCAGGGTTTCCTTGGGGTAAGAGTTTCTTTGAGATCCACAACGTGATTGGCTCACGCCCACATCCTGGTTGGTCCTCAGTGACAAATACTAGTATATGGGAGAATTTTTACCATCAACATCGTTATAAATTTGGACTCAAAGTTTGAACGGTCGCCAGTCGTCTTCACCTTAGTAGCCTACTTTATGAAGTCAGCGGTCGGACCAAAAAGGACCATCAGGCGGAAGGCAGATAACGGATCAAGACCTCGTGAACGCGATACACTTGTGTGTGCCGGGCGCGCATGTAATAACTTTCTTGCCAACTCGCCCCCAGTGTCGTCTGGATCCGCGGTTCCACATACAGGATGCACTTCATCGGTCGCCAAATTGTAGTACCTGTATTTAGACCGGCTCATTAGTCAATACAAACATCGACGTGGAAATGCAAAAAGGTAAAATGTGAGCTGTAACAGTATCATCGAATTTACATACTTCAGTGTGAACTTGAAACTTGTTGATTGTCCGAAGACGCAAGCGTGATGCCAGGGTCATCGGGTTGTAATAGTATCAGAATGTCACGGAGTTGAATTGAGGCTGATTCCAAGATGGGAGTGTGGCCACAACGTAAATCGCTGCGGTGTCAAGCTCTGGCGAGTTCAGATTGTTACGCTCTCATAGTGTAAACGCTATCTGTTATCATGGGACGACGTGCTGTCCTGTCCGAATAAAGGAAGTCGGACACGACAGGCGCGACCAGTTCATCTCTCTGAGCTTAGCTTTCGTGTATCTATAATGGGCCGCGGGAAGGTGCCCACCAGCTTGGCAAACAACGCCCTCTAGAACAGAGGCCTCAGAAAAATTAGCTTTACGGTAGCGAAGAGAAGCCAATGTATATGAATATGCCATACAAATCCAGCAGTGAGGCTAGAGCGGACTCTGTGAGTCTCAGCGACGAACGTCGTGTCGTGCTGCGGACTGTAAGACTCACGACTGATGACGACCGGCATACTGGCATGCGCAGTGCCCATACGGATGCCGCCCGTTTATCAGTTGGCAGAGACGACAACAGTGACTTAATCTTGTCAAGACAAGGGGGACGAAAGGATCTTTGAAGTATGAGCGTCATTGTCGTCACGAGAACCAGACTCTAGATTGGCAGTTAGCCAGTGTCCATACACTCGAGGTTTTAGCGAATTTGTAGTGTAGTTGAAAGCTTGTTTGAATGATCATGATAATCGCGTCGCACATTTTGCAACTGAAGGCTAGACCCGACGGACCTCCAGCTTATCACACCCATGAATAATTTCCGGCAGCTTGAACACTGACAAGCACCCTGGGAACGTACGTAGTTTGCAGGAAGATTACGGGGCCCGCTTAGTTGGCACGTATATCTAATGCATAGCACGTCAACGCGTCATCGGTCGGGTTGCTGACAACGCAGACGTACCTTGATTCACGACCATTGCAACCATAAAGTTATTCACTTAATGGATAGAAGTGCATTATGGTGTGGGATACGTGTACGATATTCAAACTTAGTGAGCGGTCACATTTCCTAGAGACAGATACACAGTCCAGAAAGGCAAAAGCTCGAGGAGATTATGATGTGACAATGATCGAATCAATGAAGAAGCAAGAAGTAATGAACACCTACTACTGGATCTTTCAAAGCTCACGGACTCGCAGGCTGGCTAAACATAGCCAAGAATTCTGTTGCATCCGGCGGCAACGATGACCCCTGCGAGCTGCCCAAGAAGCTCGCCCCGGCGTCGATACCAGGTATCCAGTCCTCGGCGACCTCAGAGTCGTCGATGGCCATATGTTCGGGAACGTCGTCAACAATTCTTGACGATGGAAGAGTCTCTCCTTCGGTGGGGGATAACATGTAGCAGTATCTCGGGGCTCCTGCAGCTGGGGGCGCAACTACAGCGATGGGGTTTTCTACAGATGACCCAGTTGATACACCCACAACTACGGGCCCGTTGACTCCAATTGGATTATGGGGCGCATCGTCCGACTCAGGTTCCGTTTCAGATTCGCTGTCATTACCCGTCACTGGCGGCGGATGACCTTGCTTGGGGGGAGCGGCAGCGGCAGCGGCAGAAGTGGTGTGATTGCTCGGAGAAGTGCGATCAATTTCCTCGTCGTCCTCTATGCAATCGGGGACGCTCTGGAACATATTGCGGAACTCGCGCAGCTGAGTGGGCATTGCGGAGGTGCTGATGCTCTCTCCTGCACTTGACTCGTCGAACGACACGCCAAGGATAGCGGGTGGGCAGAGAGGGGAGCTCATGAGCTGAGAATCTATACCGTACGATGCCCGAGCGTTGGAAACAGGAGGCTCGGGGATTGATGCTTGCTCGCCATCCTCTAGGCTTGTTGGGTTCGTACTATCATGGACACGTAACTTCACAAGGTGAGGAAACCTGAACCGGACAAGAGACTTACTTCAAAATTGGCGTCTCGTACCGCGGACGATCCTCACTGGGGCACCACGGTGGCTCTTGTGCGACCGATTCCGCCCTTGATTCCTTCTCTTCTCCGGCCCCAAAATTCCGTGAAGGCCGGGGAGAATCCGTCCAGGGGAAAGAGCCTGCCTTGTCAACCACACCGGATAATGCCAACCAAGGTCCTCTCTTCCGAGTAGGCGTCCACATCTGAAGCTCTTCCTCCGAAGCTTGCGATGTGGGCACCACCTCGTCATGAGACGCTGGATGGATTCGCGACGGTGTCATCACGAATGGTGACAGTTCGAGCTCTTGACTCTGAGAGGTGGCAATCACTTCGTTTCCATCGCGGTCAAAGAAGATAGAATGATGCGCCAAAGATGGGCGAGATGGAGTGGATGGACTGAGGTCTGTGAAGTCTGTGCCCTTAGACAACGTTAACTCTTGCGTTTGCGAAGAAGGAACAATGTCTCGAGAACAGGGTGAGGATGGCGGATGCATGTAGCCTCCATCACGCTTGTCGCTCCTGCGCATAGTAGCGGGAGAGCGGAACGGTGTCCGCACTGGAGTATTGATGGGATTCGGCAACGCGAACCTCTCAGAACTAGAATGAGACTTATTCGGAGTCGTTTGCGTTCGGCGAGGCGACAATGTGCCATCACCTTGCGTTTGATTTAGCGTGGGTGCTGGAGCAGCGTGTTTTTCTGCAGGACGTCTATGCGGGCTAGGTGTTTTGGGAGTCATTGGTGCATAAGTCTCCTTGAGGTCCTGCCCTACGCTAGACAAAGGCGCCACTGGTGATCGCGATGCAGGACCTGGGACAGCTCGAGAGGTGTCCACCATACGCGAGCGCGGATTGGTAGCAGGCGGCGTCGGAAGTAAGCTCTCACCAGTGTCTTTGTCTTTCTGGTGATCTGCCGATGTCTGTGCCCGCGACAGCACCCCACGCCGATCGACCGGCCCTGGGGCTTTGTTAACCGCAGACGATTCTGGACGGTCATCGCATGTCAAGTCAATCACATTATCTAGCAGTGTAGCATGGCCTGATATATTGATTGTTCGTCCATTAGAGGAAGGTGACTCATGCACAATGCACTTTACGTACCACCAATGTCTGTACTGCCCTGCTCAGGTAGTTTACTCCCTCCTTGCCCGGAGAGTTGTTTGCAGGTTGTCCCCTGAGCCTGACTTCCGGACTCCTTGTTGTGTCCTGGACGCCTCTCACTCGATCCCTTGCCTTTCTTTCTGGGTGGAGGACTATCCCCTGGATCCGTAACACGCTCGCTGTTCCTCTTGGCTTTAGAAGTCTTCGATTGTGACCCTCGCGAAAAGTACGACGCGAGTGGAAGCTGCCCTCCTGATAAAGAGAGGTCCATGCTTCGATAGCAGAGTGCTTTGCAATTGAGACTCGCCGGCTTCTCTGGGCGGCTCGTGCGCGTGATAGCGACGCGTGTCACGAGTGCGCGTCGTTGATTAGTGTCGGAGTGAACACGCTTTCAAACTCCGAACCGCTACTTACTCAAGGCGCGACTTGGCGAGCCCTATGTATCTTCAATACTCCCTTCACCCTCCACTCCCACTACACAATTCGCTATGGCTGTTCGCGAACCACTTCTAAAGAAGCGTAAGCTCGTAAACGAGCAGAAAGAAGATCATACAGACCGCGCCCCAGTTTCGAACCTCCTCATCAAGCGGCTATCTAACAGGGCAAGACTACCGACGCGCGGGTCGCCTCTCGCCGCGGGCTATGACTTGTACAGGTACGCGATGCAGGAAATGGTCATATTAACGCGACAAAATTTTGACTGACGGGACAGTGCTGAGAACAAGCTCATTCCGGCGCGTGGCAAGGCTCTCATAGATACCCAGCTTTCCATTGCGGTCCCCGATGGGACGTACGGACGCGTCGCGCCTCGCAGCGGGCTTGGTACGTTGTGGTTCACTAATTCCAACTCTGCTAGGTCACACTGACGCGCTTCCCGCTACTATAGCATCGAAATTCATGATTGACTGTGGCGCCGGCGTCATCGACGGAGACTACCGAGGTACAGTTTTTGTCCTTCTGTTCAATTTGTCAGACGAGGACTTCCAAGGTTCGTGCCACTCGTACTCGAATTGCTTCTCAACTGAGCTCAGCTGATAATGTTACGTAGTGGAGGAAGGTGATCGCATTGCACAACTCATCCTTGAGCGCATCGTGACGCCAGAGGTTCTTGAGGTCGATGTAAGTTTTATCAAGCTCTTACGCGCGAAACACTTATTAATAGTAACACCAGGACCTGGACGAGACGGTGCGAGGAGCAGGAGGCTTTGGTTCCACTGGTGGACACGGCGCGTTGTAAACTCAACTATGCTGTATTTTGTAGGACTTTCTCGCGAGTGCATCCCCACTGTAACATTTCATTCCCCTCTGTATCATCAACTAATTATACGTTCTTATATGTTCTTAATTTGAAATACTATAGAAGTGTATTGACATCAATCACTGCGCATATGAACATCATTATGAGAGCGTGTTCGAATCGGAGAAGAGGACATCTACTCACTGGCACCTATCTGACCTTGTCAGCATCCACAATATAAAGTCCACGTCTGACTCTGGATGAATGACTTAAAAGCTTCTGGTCGTTAGGATCCTGGCTTCCTTCGGTGGGCTGGGGACTTTCATCCAATTCAATCCCTGTGCCTTCAGCCCAAAGGCGACCGTCGGGCACACCAACGTCGTCCGCATCCCCAACCTCACTCGTGTCTACCAGCTTCACTGCCTCGACCAACCTCACAAGACCTTCCATCTCTCGCGTCAATTTTGTATGTTCCGGCGTGCCTTCGACAGGTGGTACGAGAGCCGCCAGTTCATGTAATCGTTTGAGAGTCGATGGTGGGATTGTGGGCTTAGGATATGAGGACAGGAGCTCGTCGACCGACCATGTTGGGCGGACAGGGATACCGCAGGCGTCCGTCTCAACGAGCTCTGTATGCAGTGTAGACTTCTCCCTAATATATCGTGTTATGGGCCGCCATTGAGCACAGCGCAGAGGAAGTCGTCGGGTGGCGGCTGCATGCATGGGGTGACCAGAGAGCGATCCCGGGCGTCTGTGTGGCTGCAGGAGTGAGCGCCAGGAAAGGCAAGTACTCTTCCCAGCCTTCGTTTCCGCCTCAGCATCTCGTTAAAATCCGGCCGCCGGGCCTCTTGCTCTACTTCGAATCATACGAGTCCTGTAACGAGACAAGGCTTGCTACAACCGCACTCGATATTCTTTTACCATGTCATCTGCGGTAGCGGCCGCCCTCAAAAAGCTCCTCCCGAAGCAGCTGCCACCATCACTTTCGTCCCGGCCAGGAAACCTCTACGAGGTCTTGGCGCGCTACCCACAAGACGGCATCGGGCAGAGGATACACCAGACGCGATGGACTGCGAAAGGGATCTCAGATTGCTACTGGGAGGTGACGAGGACCAAGCTGAAGCTTGAGGGGATGCACGGGAAGGCTTGGGGCGTTCTGACCTGGCGAGGTGTGTAAAGTAAACTTTACTACGATTCACCATGCACGCTTACACTGCTCCCGGATGCGCAGGAAAGCGAGTGAGCGAGCAAGAAGAGAAAATCCCGGGAGGGCTCAAGTACAGATGGGCGCAGGGCGCATCCCGAACACCGATTGGACGAGTCTCGCCCTCGTCCTCTTCATCATCCTGACCGTTACACCCCCTTTAGTACACATTCCCAGTAATTGCATCGCTCTCTGTCCCACTATCCTGTTGCTTACTGCCCGAGAGTGTACGTGGGTATGAAATACCGTTTGAGCTACGAGCGTATGATGAACCCTATGACCGCATCCTCGCCCTGTGCCTCTGTGGCTGTTTCACGCAACACTCTGGGGTAATTCAGGAAGGTACTGACACCCCAGCCTAGCGGCTACCAAGAATCATATGTCCGCACACAGACGTGGGAATGCCATACATACCGCACGTTGGGCGCTAGTCATACCGCTCGTCTTCCTCGATCCCCCAGTCTTCATCCCACCCTGGTGTCTTGCCCCATTCTATTAGACTGATATTATCTTGTTCTGCATCCGTTAAATACTGCGTGAAAACACGGCGCATCTATGGATTCAAAGACGCTAATAGACGCACAATTCGACCGTGCGGTCGAGATTGTACAGAGTCTGCCAAAGACGGGCCCGATACAGACCGGCTACGAGGAGAAATTGACCATGTATAGGTGCGGATCTGTTCAGCCCAGTAAGATCTCGCATCACGAATTCAATCGTCCTCGTGTACAGTCTCTATAAGCAAGGTGCTTCGGGTTGCAACGCGCTTGCTCCGTTCCGAGCTCGCCTGACATGAGTTGCAGCGACTGTTGGAAATGTGCAGTCACCACGGCCAAGCGTGTGGGATATGCTGGGCCGTGCTAAGTGGTATGTGGATTGTGTCATCCCGCCACTGGCGTGCTCATGTGACAACAGGGACGCATGGGCAAAGCACAAGGACCTTGATTCATACGAGGCGAAGTGGCTTTACGTCGAAGCCTTGCTCAAAGTAAGCCATCACGACTCAGCTGGCACTTATGAAATTCACAGTCCCTGCTAGGTTCTACGGCGATACTCTGACAAGACGGTGGCGATGGACTTAGTGCGGGAATTGGAATCGTATACAGGCGATCCCTCCAATATGGTGATGAGCGGTACGCATTCCACCAACCCTTCCTTGAGGACGGCGCGTTTACTCTGCTTAGGCTCTATATCACGATCCGCGGGCTCTAGCTCCTCCGGGTCCACGGCTTCCGACGACGACGCGCCTGCCGCCTTCCAGCTGGGCGCGTTGCCACTCCACCTCCGCGGCACACCCTCCGGTCCCTCGATGCCCGGGCAGTTACCTGACCCGCGCCTTGACGAGAGCAGCAGTGACGATGACGACGAGGCCGATGACGCCGTCCCGCCCGTGCCCTCCGTCTACGCGCCCAGCCACTCTGCGCGCCCGCAGTCTTCCCTCTCCTCGCGCCGCTACCGCACACCCGTCGCAGGCTCCGCAGTCCTCTCCCCGCCGCCCGTGCCCGCGATGCAGCCGCTCCCTGGCTACCATACCGAGTCCGCGTTCGCCGAGCACGCGCACACGCCCGCGGTCTACCCCGGCCAGTATCAGGACCGCTATGCACGCTCGTCCGCGACCGACCTCCCGTCGTCGCTGACGTCGTATCCGGTATACAGAGCGCCGAGCCAGCAGGCGCAGCGCCGGCCGTACGCGGCATACGCGGGTGTTCCGCAGCGCCCGGCGTCCCGTCCTACGCTTGAGCGAGTGCTTGAAAACATGCAGGCCACACTCGCGGCACTCACAGAGCGCATAGAAACACTGGAAGAGCTCGCGCATCGTTCAAACCCATCACTATCAGCTCCTGGGCGCGTCTCGCCCCGCTGGACAGTTTCATCGTCCGCCGCACGTCCTAGGTATGACCTGGACGACATGGGCATGTGGTCTGTCGTGATGCGACCCATGGCTCGTGTCATTAACCTGTTGCGATATGTTCTCTCGTTCTTGGCACATGGGAGCCAGAGCCGCTCACCTGCTGTTGTCGTCGTGAGACGATTATTCCTGGACATCTCATTTATGCTTTGTATGCTTGCTGTGACAAGAATCGCATGGAGGCGGAGCGGCATGCGGAGGAGAGAGGTTATGTTTGCACTGGGTGGCCTGTGGCGCGCGGTGGCAGGCGAAAGGCCGCCACGGAGACTGGTGGACCGAGGCGTCTGAGGTCTGTTGATTGTCACCTTGCTTCCATGGATAAATACCACTCGCTTCATCTTATGCTACAGCACAGCGCAGTAGGCGATCCAAGCTACACTGCGCGGATAGTACACATTCATATGCATCTGCTATGGCTAAGGTTACAATCACATCTTGTATCGTTCACGTCTACAATTTCTGCTTCGGATCCGGCCAAGGAACTCACGACATGTCCACAACGCAACGGATACAATTTCCCTGCTGTAGATCGCGCCGATGCAGATGAGCGGGACGCTTAGACAGCTAAAAGTATTTTACGTACGTGCATGTCGCCGAATCCTTCGTTAATCTCGGCAAGCGTGCGGTGGTGAGTGACGTATTCGTCGACCTTAACCTTGCCAGCCAGGTAGTCTGCACGGACAATCAGATCGCGGTGACTATGAGCAACAAGGACAACGAAACCTACCTTCCACGAGCCCTGGGAGTTCCGTGCGGCCCTTGACACCACCGAACGCGGAGCCGCGCCAAGTACGGCCAGTAACCAGCTGGAATCTGCAGCCAAGACATTTCAACGACTGGGCGAGATAGAACAACAGGATGCGTTACTTACGGACGAGTGGAGATCTCCTGGCCGGCGGCGGCGACACCGATAACGGTGCTGACGCCCCAACCCTTGTGACAGGCCTCGAGAGCTGCACGCATTACGTGGACCTACAAACGCCCTCAGTAAGATCATGGAATCCGCGCACGACCATGGCTACACGCACGTTACCCGTGCAGTCAAAGGTGTAGTCCAAGCCGCCGTCGGTGATTTCAACCAGGTAGTCCTGAATCCTGGTGCCCTCCGGAAGCTGCGCGGGGTTGACAAAGTCCGTCGCGCCAAACTTCCGCGCCCAGGACTCCTTGTTGGGGTTCGTGTCGACAGCGATGACGCGTGACGCTTTGACAAGTGACGACGTCGCGATGACGCCGAGACCAATCGCACCGCACCCGAAAACAGCAACGGTGGACCCCGCTGTTTGCGGTGTCAGTGTATCTCTATGTAGAGAAAGAGAAGCACACACGGATTCCAGGTTGCTTTACAACAGCGCCCCAGGCGGTGGTGATACCACAGCCAAGCAAACAAACACGCTCAAGGGGTGCTTTAGGGTTGACCGCCACGACGGATACGTCTGCAACGACGGTGTATTGGGCGAAGGTCGAGGTGCCCATCTTGTTATGGGTGCTCAGACTGAGTCCATCAGGAGAATATGGATGAAATATACTTACGAAATGGTGGATCTTCTGGCCCTTGCAGGTGAAACGACTGGTGTTATCAGGCATCAAGCCCTTCCCTTGGGTGGCCCGCACTAGAGATATGTATGAGCTTTGACGATTGACATTGCGACGATGGCATTGGACCGACCTTTGCCACACAAGTTGGTCTTGCCGCTCTTGCAGAATTTGCATTCACGACACTCTGTTACAGCGTGAGATTCGACGCATATACCCTGTTGACACTGTGCATACCGGCAGTGTAGAGAGGAATGACATGATCGCCCTATAAAACGCTCGGACTGGCGCATATATGAGCAGCAACTGGGTTTACTTACGACGGAGACGCTCGTGACGCCCTCACCGACAGATTCGACCTGGCTCGATCATCCATCAATGAATATGCGCGTCGGTAACGTAATGGCAGCAACGCACGATGCCTCCGCCCTCGTGTCCGAGGATAACCGGGAACAGGCCCTGATCGTCTGTCGTAAGAGCCGAAGAGAACTGCAGAAGACGGGGAGTCGGCGCACCTCAGGGTCTTTGCCGCTGCGCGTGTACTCGTCGGTGTGGCAGATACCTATGCGAGCGTCAGCGAGATGCGCACACACTGGCGCGGGGACACGGACCGGTGTAAAGGATGTGGATGCGGACTTCGTGGGGGCCGGGCGGGGCGACCTCGACCTCCTCGAGCTTGAGGGGCTCGCCAGCGCCCCAGCAGACGGCGGCTTTGCAGGTGATGGGCTTTCCGACGGTGGACATGATGGCAAGGAGAGAGAGAGGGGGACGGACGGTTGAAGGACGGCAGCCTTATAGGATTCGCACTCGTGATCTTCCGGGACTTATCACTTGACCATCGCTCATCCGTGCGGCTTGCTCAGCAGTGTATACACTCCACCATTAATTACCCGCCCGTAAATGTCCTTCACAAATCTCTACTACAAGCGGGTGAGTCTCCTTCCGCGTCCCAGCGACACAAGCTCTTCGACACAGCCCCCAGGCGGTCGCGACTGCCCGGCCCTGCTACATCTGCTACAAGCCGACGACCACCGTGCTCGCCACTATCCAGACTATCGATTTCATCTACGTGTGTGACTCCCACCTCTCGGATCCGGGCTTCGCGAGTCAGGTGGGTGAGGCCAAGGATGGCATTGGGGCTGGCGGCGCGAAGATGGGGCTCTCCCCAGATGAGATCGCGAGGGTGAAACAGGAATGGGAGGAGCGTCAGAAGAAGAAGCAGGGGGAGGAGAAGGAGAAAGGCAAGGAGAAAGAGAAGGAGAAAGAGGAGAAAGAGAATGACAAGGATAAGGCGAGCTCGGACAACGGGGACAAGGGCGAGAAGAAGACCGAGACAGGCAGCAAGACCAGCTCGAAACCTGCCTCGAGCCCGAGTTCTGGTACGTCGACTCCCTCTCCGACTGCGAAACCCTCGCATGAGCGATACACACTACATCGTGACTATTTCGCGATGCGCCTCGCCGACCATCGCAAGCGCAGACAGGCAGCTCAGACGAAAGAGCTTGCGCCTCGATTGCCTGGTGCACCCAAGGCAGCCCTGCCTGCGGCCCCCTGACGCTGCAAGGCAGTCATGCATACATGTATGTCGCTCCATGTGTGAGTTCCCCGCTTCTGATGCACTCTACATCGCTTAACCCAATGCGTGCCTACATAGCCCGTCCAAATTTGCTTTCGTTTCCCTTAGCTGCTTTCGAATATGCACCATGGATTCTGTACACTAATGTCAAAATGAATCAGCAATACCACGACGTCATTTGAAGGACAATGAACTGAGTAGCTCGGGCCGCTTTAGCTTTTTATCCACAGCCCCTACGGCGTTGCGATCTGTGGATACGACCAGCCTGTCACACGGTCGCGTCGTCGGACATGCGTAGGAGGCTAGAAGCTGCTGACGATACTTTGAGCTCGATCTATATCATGGGGCGCCGCGATACGTCGGTGTATATGCCATCACATGAGAGTCAGGTGAGCGCGTTTACTTCCGGCGCTTGACGCGTTTTCTCCCGAAGCGGTCCTTAGTAAAGCTTCATTCCGGTGGGCTCCTACACATAATGCACCGCGAAGGACCGAGGGCAATCATCGCGGCTCTCCCGGCGATGTCCACCGTTTCCTTCCGAGAGCTGATGTCCTTTAATATTGATCTAAATAATACCCTGAGACTAGACTGAACAAACGTACATCAGCCACAAACAGCTACTTCCTATACTGCCCGACTCCACGGGCCTATCAAATTACTCTCTAAACGGATTGCAGTCGCACACTGCCGCGCGCACCGCAAAGCTCGCGACGCTCCCCAACGTCAGCCCGCCAACTAAGCAGAAGCTCGCAACCGTTGCTGCGATGTCCACGTCCTCCGCACGCCCCTTCAGGCGCGGGTTATGAGCGACGGACGGCGCGGCGACCATGCACATGCTCGAGATGTAGCCGTTCGACACGCCGAAGAATAGCAGGACGAGCATGAAGAGCACGTCGGACGTGATCACGGGGCCCAGTGCCGTGGGGTGTGCCCACTGCACGTTGCACAGCAGGAAGAGAGGGATGAATAGTGTGCGCGCCAGGGAAAGCACGAGCAGCTTGTTCGCGGACCAGATGAGGAGTCGTGGTATAGAGCACACGCTGCGGCCCAAGAAGTCCCCAATGTTGTAGACAAGGAAATGGAATGCGCTGAAGAGGAGCGGATGTGTTGCAGGATTGGTCGATTGGATCGAGACGGTGATCGGAGGGAAGACGGACTAGACGAATATTAGATTGAGCTCCGGCAGTCGAGAAGAGGGACTTACCAGTGTTATAGCGAACACATAGCCTACTGCAAAATTGTACGGGAGATTCAACTTCACCATGCGTAGGATCTGGTCCTTCCCACTGGTCTTGCTGTTGTGAGATATACCTGTGGTTAAGCCTTGCGTCTCCTCCGCAAGAGAGTCGGTAGTTGCTCTGGGTCGGCTCCGAGCCACCAAGGTTTTGTATGCAGGGAGAGTCATCATCCAGGCATGGACGCCCTGGGTGACGAGCAGGAATATGGTAGACAGCCCGAAGAACAGGGCGGCTGATGTCTCTTCTGGTGTTCGCGAAGAGGCGGCTTGTGTTGGAACTTCAGGAATGTCTGACGCACTCCGCACTGAAGCCGCGGCGCTGAGCACTTGTACACCACTGACGGCGACGCCGACGGCTGCTTGCCCGGACATTACAGCCGCCATCGCCGTTGAACCGAATAGCGACGCGACAGCTACCACGGCAGTCTGGAGGTACGAGCCTACAGCCGATTGCAGCGCACCATTGAAGAGCACGAATGCAAAGAAGACACCGGGCGACGGATGTACCCATGTGCTGACAGTGAAGGTTGCCGTGAGGAATGCCAGACACAACAGCGAGAAGAACACGCGTCGGGAATTTGAAGCCTGAAGCGCGTGTCAAGGAAGGGAAAGCTGAGGGCGGATGCGACCAACCTGTTTAGCAGTAGCGGTCGCGTGAGCCAGAAAAGGGAGATTGGATATCATGAAAGCAGCCGATAGGTATGAGCTGAACGTGCTCTTCAGTGGTGAACTCTCCAAGCGGGACAGGAAGTACGGTGTCGCTGTGATCACGGCTGCATGATTCACATATATATGAGTATCCCCATACAGCAGCCTACGACGACGCGAAATACTCGCCATTCCATGGCAATAGTACCGCACAGCCAAGTACGAAGTGGATCCAGCGTATCCTTCCACCAGCTTCTGCTGGTGGCGGACTCAAATCGTCTAGGACATCTATGTCCTCGCTATCCGTGCTTATTTCGAGAGACGGTCTGACAGGAATAGCTGCCACCGGTGCTTGAGGAATAGGTCGATATACGGCCTCATAGGCATGCTCCGACGAGCCCGTTGAATGCTGCCTAGGCATGGTGGTGCAATGTAAGTACTGTAGAATAGCCTACGGTGGGAGTTCACATGAGAATAGCAAGTAGGTGTGCGCGGGGCCGGAGCGCCATGATAGACGCGTATCGAAAGAGCTGTCCTCCGCTTGATCAGCGGCCGCCACTCGATCAAGCTCGCTTTTTATGGAAGGTGTAGTAATTGTAGCTAAGCTGAGGTCTAAGTCGCTCGAGTAGCTACAATATTTTGATCATATGCTCTGCAGAGACTACAGGTAATTACAGGCGACGATGCATGCGGAAAGCGCGTGTATATATCTACGAACCTGAACAACAGTACTAATATACAGTATCAAATACAGTGAAAATCTGCGATGTCTTCGTGATTTGTCCGAATCTACGATACAATTTCCAATACAATTCCTAAGAAATCAGTTAGCGAGTGCATCGCGAGCTACAATAAGACAACCTCACCGGCTCCGATTGTCTCTCCCTCACGTCTGATGAGAATCCTTCCCATGTCTTTGTTCACAGCAAATGGCTCTAGAGGGATTTGCTGCGACTTGGGAGAAGGGCCGGTCGTTGTCGTGTTACGGAGGGTAATCTGCACCTCCGCCGATACATTTTTCGCGAGCACTCTGCATTATATGTCAGCCAGCATATCTCCAGCGGAAAGGAGCGGCAACTAACCGAGGATTCTGCTTGGCCACTGTGCCAGAGGCCCGGTCAAGCGTACATATGAGTTTGGTGACAGCGGCCGGAACGTCACGCGAGTGGTGGAATAATTCGACCTACAGTTAGAGATTGAGTCAGGCTGGGTGATGCACCATTAGCTGCAACGTACAAATGCTCCAGCTGTGATGGGGATATCTATGTCGAATATTATGACTCTGGCGGTGAAGACGTTGGCCAAAGGTACCAGACTATTTGGGCGACACAGAACGCTCCCAATGAGGAGATGGATGGGATCAACAGCGGTGAGATAGAGTATGACATTCGAACCATCTGCTGCCCAAGGGAGCACTTTGTCGTCGCTTTCGATGGCTGCACAAAGTCTGTCGTAAGCGGAAATAACTCAGAGGAATAAAGCTTACATTTGACTACTGCCGTGCCATCGCCTGGAAGTATACGCAACCGCTCACCAACTTGTACTACTCCGCCGCAAACACGTCCAGCGACGCCGGTACCCGAAACTTGTCCCCTGAACACGTTGGATATCGGGAACCGAAGCGGGGCGGTGACGTTACGGGACGGGGGATCCAGAATATCTGTGGGAGGTCAATATATGAGCGCACAACCTCAGTTCATCACACACCTAGAACGTCGACTAGCGTCGGCCCTTTATACCACTGTTTAAGTGGCAGGGCATCGGGTCCTTCCCGGGCGGTGAGATTTACACCAGCCATGGCGCCCACAGGGACGAACTTGGTCTTCGAGGGATGGAACCCCGACTGGACCAAGAACGGCTTGAGGGAGCTGCAGACCTCATCGTACCGAACTTTCGACCACTCTACCTGTAGGATCTCGGACGTCAAGAAAGTCGACACGAAGGGTTGCTACGTAACCCACTTGATCTAACTTGTTGATAGCCACAATGACCTGACTGACGCCCAGACTGCGAACGAGCAAAAGGTGCTCACGGGTCTGGCCGCCTCTTTGGAAGCCCGCCTCAAACTCGCCTGTGGCTGCGTCCACAACAAGAAGTGCACAGTCGGCTTGTGAAGCACCTGATATCATGTTGGGTATGAAATCTTTGTGTCCAGGTGCATCCAGAATTGTTATCTGGCGATGAGGTGTCGCGAGAGACTGCAACGCGATGTCCATTGTGATACCTCTGTGATGGTCCAGCTATTGAGGAAACACCGCATAAGAAGGCAATTGAAGCACTGACCGTTCTCGCTCCTCGGCTGTGCCATCCAGCTCCCAGGCCCAGCTGAAGCTACTCTTCCCCATCTTGCTACTTCCGCGTTCGTTGGCCACTCGTTTCTTCTCATCCATACGTCCTAACTCGTATAGCAACCTACCCATCAGCGTGGATTTCCCAGCATCGACATGGCCTATAAATGGCAGGAGTCAGACAACAATGTCTAGGTGTAAGATATTTGTACCTATGACAACTAGGCTCAAAGCACGTTTTTGATCGCGTTCCTGTGCTTCATACTCTTTCTTGACTTCCTCTATCAGCTTCTCCAGGGCTAGTGTGGCTTTAGGTGGTTCTTCGTCGGGAGGAGACGGCGGGCGCGAATCCAGATTGAGCGCAGACATATCCAGGTGGCGTTGGTCCGCGGCTCGTATGGACGCGGGTACGCTTTTCGAGGGTGTCATAGCTACACCAAAGAGTCGGGTAGGCGAGGCCGCTCTACTCCTGTTTGGGGTACCTGGCATGCTCCTGTTTGGGGTCGTCATTCTGCTCTTTGGTTGAGTTTGCTTCTTAGAATCCGCCAACTTTGCAGCCTTTTCCCGCTCTTTGGCAGCTATTAATACAGATATATAAAAATAGTTAGCACACGGTCAGTACATGTGAATTACACGGCGGAATCAACAGCAACAGGACGACTAGGTGAAGAAACGGGAGGTGAAGAACGAGCCAAACGAGAAGAAGCGGAAGCCGAGCGTGATGCCAAAGAGGTTCCGCGCCGTGCGTTGAAGACAATATCGTCCGGACTGGGGACATCGAAGCCAAAGCTGCTGAGTGGAGCCAACTCTGTCACTGCAGGTAGCATGGTTTCCCGTTTCCGTGAAGGTCCGCGACTACGCTCGCCATGAAAGCTAGTAGGGGATACGTCCGTCGTTCGATATCTTGGTGAACGCATTCCGTCGCGGCTTTCGGTTTTCCTCGAACCGGACGTCAGTGACTTGTCTTCGAAAATCATGAGAGAAGCGTCATCCACGAGAAGGGAAGCGAAGGCCGACGGTGACGCACGAGAACGGGTAGCCTTTGGCGAGAACAGCGGATTTTCGGGCTCCGGCTGAGTTTCCTCAGGTAAAGCCTCGACTGCAGACTTCTTGTGAGCATTCCTGCTCTTCATCGCCAACTTCGACTGTCGCGGCTCCGATCCGGATCGCTCAGACTGCGACACAGAAAGGTCCAGCTTGCGCGATGGTGGCAATGCAGATTGCACGGGCGTCAGGAGACTACTGAGACTCTGGTACGATGTAGTGATGGCCGTAGTAGCGGTGGGTCCATTCGCGATCGGGTCAAGATATTGGGTGCGGGTTTTATGCAAAATTATGCTTGGCTGTGCCGGCTTCTCGGTCTGCTTCTTCGGCTTTGGCATCCATGGGGATTGTTGTGTCTTTGCCTGCGCTTGCTGAACCTTGGCTTGTGCCAGCATGGCAAGCTTCGAGGGCTGGCGGCCATGCATACCAGCTGGAGATGGAGCTTGAGCTATACTCGGAACGGTATGCTCAGGCGACACGTCGGGGGGCGGATGAGGAGACGCATACGGAAGCTCCGGTGTCGGCGGTATCGACTGGATGAGGGTTACACCTCGCGGAGTCGCGCTACGTGATGACTGTGGAGACCTAGGCGTCTCAGGCGAAAATGAGGGCTCACGAGAAATAGGTGTACGAGATGCATGGGAACGGAATGAGGATTGTGGTGGAGAGCCGGGAACAGAGTGTTCTGACAACTGTTCGGTCTCTCGCTGCGCCATTGCCGCTGCACGGTCCATAGCTTCGAGTTCCATTGCTGTCTCGACGGCCCGCCCGGCGATTGACGACAAGTGGGATGATTCAAGTGACAACATGGAAGTCGCGGCAGGTCGCAGAGCAGGGTAGGTGAGTGTGGATCCCTCGTCCGAAGTATAAGACCCCGAACTGAGACTGCTGACACTTGAGCGACTACTAAGAGCAGATCTAGCGCTAGACCTAGAGCTAGCGAGTGCAGAAAGCTTCGACTTTGTGGACTTTGCCTCACTGGCGACGCGTACCGTTGACTTCTTCGTCAGCAGTGATGGAATGTCTGGAATGGAATCAAGGGATGGCAGCTGCACGCCCGAGGAGCCAGGAGGCGAGATTGAGGTGGGAGTGCGAGTCGCAGATGGCGTCACGGATGGAACTGACTCATGATAGGAAAGGTGGTGTAAAGCTGTGAGCGACGGAGACGGGCCCACGTTATTGGGGCTCATTATTCCGCGTTCTAACCCGGTGTCAGCCGGCAGCACAAGCTTCAGCTCGTGTATGCGAATACGCACCTAGCACCTGACCATAATCTGTGGTACTCGCGAATGAAGTGGCATATGACGATCGAGGTAATTCTGGAGGTGCCAGGGCCTTAGGTGTCATACTCCCTGCATCACTGGACTGCTCTGTTTTCTCAGTGATGGTGCTGAGCTTTCGCCTGGGTCCATTAGAGGAACTGGATTCCGAGTACTCGTAAATCTCCTCTGGCTGGTTTTGGGCTAATCTGATCAGAGGTATGTTTGACCTTCCGGAACCGGAGAGGCCCGGTCCAGAGTAAACTGGTTCTAGACCCATGTCGTCTTGTTCCTCTGAAGGGGGAGGCGGCAGCGGCTTGTTCGTGAACTCTGGGGAGATGGAAGCAATAAACGTCGACGTCTTCAGGCGGCGTTCGGGGACAGAACATTTGGCACCTTCTCGTTTCGACACCACGAGAAAAGTAAAAATGGCGTACGAAGAAAAATATGTTATAAGAATGGGGTACGGAAAGAAAGATTGTACGGGGGGAAATAACAGAAGGCGAACACGACCTTAAATAGGAACCCACCTTTACGTTCCTTCGCTACTTGTTTGCGTTGCTGCTCCTCTGTAGCGCCTGTCAATACTGGATAAATACCATAGGGTTGTCGTATACCTAGGAGCCAATTGACACTTTGCTGAACATCATATTGGTAGTAATGCAAGGTGTCTTGAATGTCTCGATCGGTGATTCCTGAATGCTCTTGAGAGCCGATGACTACCCTGACTTCCTCAAGGCCATCCATCATTGTTTCTGCTCGGGTACTTAGCCGGTTGTCTCCCGGGCGAAGGGAAGCTTGTACCATATTCTGCAGGAGAGAGGTCGTCTTCTCCACCATCCGATAGTACATCTTCTTGAAGCTCCTCTGCCGAAGGAGCGTTCAGTCCAAGGCAGATGGCACCACTGGGCTCGATCTCACCGTTGACATTGATATTGCGTACAAAGCGGTGTCGGGACATCGGATGATACAGTATGCAACAAGGGCGTTTACAAGATAAATAAGACGGCGTTCGCGTCTGAAGTAATAGTGGAACCAAGATGAACCTGGGCGCGCCGCAATGAAATGCCGTCACGTGATTTCGCGACAGACGCGCGAACAAAGGGCAGACCGGCTTGAGACCAACAGCGACCTCCAGCGGACACACCCCTATTCCCACTCGCAAGGATGTTCTCTCTGTCTGCACGTACCTCTGCCTTGCGCTCCGCATCGCGCGTGAGTCTTTGATATATTGGCACGCATGGTGAATCTGACCTACTATCCATCTGCAGACTTTCTCAACCACTCCTTCCCGTTCTGCCGATGTTGCAAAATTGATGCTCATAGGCCGTCTGGGAAAAGATCCCGAGCTCCGCTCCACGAAAAACGACAAAGAATACGTTCAGTGCGTTCCACGTGTCAGATTGCAGCGGCTTCGATGGGCTGACAGGAAATTATCACTGAAGGTATACTGTTGCAACCACGAACTTCCCGCCACCAACACCCAGCGCTGACGGCTGTGGGTATTGTCGTCATGTTTATAACATCATAGAAAGACTCACGCCCATAATTTTTGTGACAGCACGCGGTGAGGCTAAGACAACATGGCACACAGTTTTGTCCTTCAACCCTGGTGTCAACAACTACCTGCAAAGGTTGAAAAAGGGGTCTCAAGTGTTTGTCGAGGCCAACTTCGAGCTTCGCGAGCCCGACCCCAATGCAGACCCCGACACCCCGCAGGGGCAACGCCAAATCTTCTTACGGCATGGTAAGCCCTTGACGCTGGATACATCGCAGCACACAAAATTGATTCGACTCTAAGAAACTATTCGGGTGTTGAAGACGCCGAGAGACGTGAGCGAGTCTTCGCGGGAGGAGGAGAGCGAGTCTTAGGTCGAGAATCCACCTTTACATTATGCTTTCCGTTGGAGTGCTGAGGTCTTAGATACTAATACACCCCTCATCCTAATATACGCAGCAGACCTAGCGATCGCGCTCGTCGTTATACTCTGAGCTGGATCTCTCCCTATACTCCGAGCCAATTTGCATGCGCAATACGTTGGAAGACGGTTCAGTTTGCCAAGCCTTCAATCATAAAGATGACTCCTTTAGTGTCAACGACGGAAAGCTCAGTGTAAGGACCCACAGTGCTTTCCCGGATGGTGCTTTCTCGGATTGTGTTCTCTCGAGCTGCTGGCACAGGCATCGGTATTGAACCCGACATAAGCGGGGCATCAGTACTTTCTCTCCTTTTCTTCAAGTAGTCCCTGACAGCGGCGACAACCAGCTTATGCCAGAAATATCAGTGGTCATCCCATCTAAATGGATTCATTGTCGACACGTACATGGTGGTCGTCCGCACTCGACCCCGAATAGCATGCGACGATTGCAATTGGACAACAAGGAGCATTCTCGTCAGCTCATTCTCAGCCTTTTCATGCCATCGGAGACGTAAAACGGGTTACCTCCAGCCATATTGGAAACGCTGGAATGTAGGCATGAATATTGTCGCAGAGATTTAAACTATGATGTCCTACCTCCTCCATTAATTCGGTATTCGCCTTGGATACCTATCTGTTTTGGTGTCTTGCCCATGGCACCCATGCCTTTCTCCACGTAGTAGCTTGAATGACCCGTCCGTCGAACGACTGCAATCATTCCCTACCATCGTTGCGGTCCCGTGGGTTCCAGTGCATGACGCAATGACCGGAACATATACGTTCGAAGTCCAGACTTACCTCAATGCAGGTCCAGCTATCGAGACTGACATCCCCGACGCCGGACAGTCCCCCAAGGTCTCCAACCGTACAAGCAAATAGCGTGTGCCCTGCGATAGTCTGAATAGAAATAACAAGTCCTTTTCCCTTCCCATGCCGCGATGAGGCACGAAATCGTTTTCGCAGAGAGAGGCCCAGTGTCACGGCATCATTCGCTGTGAAGAAGGAGAAGCGGTAGCTGGCTTCTTCGTTTAGTGTCTGGGTGGCAAGCTCAGCGTCGCTGGGGGGTATGGGTGTGTTGAAGCCGTTGAACATCCTCGAGTGTGTTCTTGCAATTCTCGATTCAAAGTATCAGCCGTAGATCGTGCCAGGGTGGTTGTGATGATGGAACAAGAGAGCCTCAGACTATATTGTACAGTACGTGAGGCACATCTGTCACAACATGCGGAGAAGAGCCAGACTGGAAGACAATACACGAGGCAACCAGCGACAAAGAACGTGTTTGATTTGTCCACAAGCCATCCTTACGACGATACATTGAGTTCTTCCATTGTTAGCTTGACGGTTTGGTTGGGAACCACGGCCGGATATTGCCACCAGACACGATAACTGCATGGCAGGAGAAAGCGAAGGCCCATAAGACAGGATCCAGATTGCCGGTGACTTCAGTCGAACGCACCGCGAAAGTCGCTAGCAGTGCTCGCTCACAAGAAGCAGGGCACATTCACAATAATGTCCGCTCTATTGTACGAGAATACACTAATTGATATCGAGGCAAGGCAGTAGCATGCTGTGAGTCGTGATAAATTACACAAGCTTCAGACAACAGATCGCATACTCTCTCCCCACTCCGCAAACACGTTCGCCGCCCCTCAGAAAGGACTGCGGCTCACGCTCCGGCTGGTCGTGGTGCTTTGCGCGCGGATTCGGCTACTCTCGCGCGTGCCAAATGCAGGCGATGCGATGGGCCGCCGCCCCTGCGCAGCCTCCTCGCCCACCCAACTTACAGTCCGAAGCCGGCGCATGGACTCGGGCGTCGATGGCAGACGGCGATCAAGATCACTGTCTCCAGATGTTGGGCTGAGCAAGAGGACACGCTATCCGGCATGATATCAGCGCTGTGCTTGCCAACATGATGGAGAGAGCCTCACCTGTGCGGGCGAGAGACCATACATGCTGACCATGCTTTGTCTGGGTCTCAGTCCAGGAGACGAAGACGGCGTTGTGATATCCTCCGGAACGACGAGCCTGACATGGTTCGCACGGCCCAGGCTGCTGGCGTTCGACGCGAGCCCTGCTGTATCGCCGGCCTCAGACTCGACGTCGCGGACCGTGCTGCTTTCGTCGTCTATAGGCTGTGGGGAGCCTGGAGATGGTGCCATCGCGATGATGAAAACCCCCGCAAAGGTCGCGGCGCAACCGTACAAGAATGTGACGATCTGGTGGAACGTCGCCTCGATGAAATCACCGTAGAGGAGGGCGGAACCGACGATGGCGGAGAGATTGAACAGAACGAATTGAGTGGGTACGACAATCTATGTATGTGCATGTGAGAATCTGGTCCCGCAATCATTGTCAGGTAATGCGCATATTGCTTACTTTGCTATCAAAGCGCATTAAGGCACGGTTCAAGTAGCGAATCTGGCCTACACCTGTCCCAAGGAGGACCTGGTTGTGAAATGTCAGAAAACGGTATAGTCATGGTTCTAAAACGCAGACCGCGATAATTGGGTACGTCACCCACTCAGTGATGACTCCCAGGCCCTTCAACGTTAGCAACGTCGAAATTGCTTTTGTGGACAGTACGGTGAAACCGCCTGTATTGAAAACGAATGAGCAAGAAGCTTGAGCAGTACGTTAGTCACCTCTCACCAAAGAGGGCACATAGACCGACGTCAACATAGACCCATCTTTTGCCAGCTTCTCGCTCAGACAGCAGAGACAAGAAGATAGCACCTGCAATATAAACGACTGTATAGATCAAGAAGGGACGCTGTGCGACGGCATGTATGAGGCCTGGAGCGTCCAATCGTACATCGGATGTGTTTGAAGACAACACGACAGTAACAGCACCGAGGATGGCAATAAGGATACCAATAAAATCCCGCTGTCGTAGAATTATTGAGAGTGAACATCTCGCAGAAAACTACATAATCATAGAGAGCCACCTTGCGGAAGCGTTCTTTGAGCATGAGGGGAGCAAATATACAGTTTGCGATTAGGGCAAACTACAAAAGATGTTCGTGAGCTATCTGTATGTATGCGTCGTAAAACACAGCTCGCAACTTACTGTACCTAATGGCGCTACGATAGAGGCCGGGGCGAAAGCATAGGAAACGAAGTTGCCCAATTCGCCTATGTTCATGAGGACGAAACCGAGCCACCTGGATGATCACTCTACACACCTACAACGCCATAGACATTCTCCGCACGTACCACAACTTCGATTTCAGATAGTCTCCCTCACTAGCATCACGTTTGTCTGCCTTGGGCGGGACGTCGCGTCGCGTGGGAACAACTTCCACAGGTAGCAGGGCATGCGTGACAGCTAAGTGAGAGGCGTCTGCATCCCGGTATGGATGATCGTCGTCCTTGCGCAAGAATAACCGTGAAAGCACATGTCGCTTTTTCCTGGGACGTGCATGGGTAGTATGTGGAGGAGAATCAGTGCCATAAGTACTCGACGCTGGACTATCGGGGACATCTAGAAGGGGTTCGGTCTCCAAAATCGTGACAGTATGTCTCGGAGAGCGTATAGGTTGTGCGTGATGAGTGGCTAGTGAGTCGTTGTCTCCAGGAGTAGTGGGAGACTGGCTCTGAAGCTCCTGCTCCTGTTCGCGCTCGCGCTCAAGCCGTTTATGAGCGAGTTTCTGGCAGTTGAGAGCCAGCGAGATGACAACATTGCCGGATATTGCGACTAGAATGCCGACAAATGTTGCCTGCGAGATGTGGGGAAGCTTAGGAAGCTCGCCGGGACCTGTGTCTGGATCGTCGAGAGATAGGAAAGGTGCGGCGCCGGTGAGTGATATCGACATTGTTGTACCAGACAACAAGAAAATGGGACGGCTGAGGGCGTCGCACGCGTTCAGAGGGGAGGGGACATCGTGGAATCCTGCGGTATGCGGACTGCGAACTCTGTCCAGCGTCCACTGCCACTTCTCCCTTGCAAGACCGCGACGGACGCACGTGCTAATACATTGATCTCGATCGGCGCGCCTCCAACGGGCGTACCGTGTCACTCACTACAACCTCTCTCCAGTTCGATATTGTTCCCCAACCCTCACTAACTCACCTTCACGAAACAAAGTCCACTGTTCTGAGATGCGGACGAAACACACACCGCATTCTCTCCCTGCATTTCCTGTCTACTCGTCCGCGTTTCTGTCTGCAAACGAGCTCGTACTTGGTGGCGGCGGAGGCCAGTCCAAGACAGGCATCAAGAACAAGCTTGTGTGTGGAACTCTTCGAGCGCACAGTCCTAGCGCTGAAATTGCATTTAGAGGCTGTACCGCGTAGACAGTGATAAGAGCCTAGAACTCCTACATGAGCTCGAATTAGAGAAGGGCGAGGATGCACCCATGAGCATGGCTGCACATCCGCAGAAGGCCATCGCATGCGGTGTCAATAGCTCGGCAGAGAATCTGAAAGACGGAAAGAACGAGAACTGCAGAGTATACACCGTCAAGGAAGACAAGTACGTCTTACCCGTTCTTGCCCGTCTTTCTCCTCCCGACGCATTACGTAGAATCTACCCGTCCAACACGCAGAGCACACTTGAGCTAGATAGCACGGAAGACGACTTTCAGGTATGCCTACGCGTTGAATCAGTGTCCCAGACTGACACGCTAATAGAAAGTGACCGTCTTCTCGCCGACCGGGAGCCTGCTAGCCGTGGCTGGTACTCATGATGTGAGTGGCATACTATGTGGTCTGGGAGATCCCTGCCTAACCCTTGTGACAGCTTTCAGTCCTCCATTACCCTTCTCTCTCCCTTGCTGCATCTCCTATACATATAGACAAAGGCGAGATCTACGACGCGACATTCTCTTCCTCCACTGTTAGTACTCTTCTCCCCCACCTGTAAGCTTGTACCCTGACGTCTCTGTAGTTGGTCGTTGCTACTACCGTGAATCTTTTGGTGTATGCCCTACCCCCTTCGGATGCCGATGCGAAGAGGGCCAAGGCCTATGGGAAGAAGAAAGAATCCACCCTTGCTAAACTCGAGCTGCTGAAGACCATAGACCGTCCAACGCTCCCAGGCAAGGACGCGGGGAGCAGCTTCCGTGCAGCACGGTGAGTACTTACCCAATTTCTCTCACATATCCACTGTATTTTGATGATGACGTACAGATACCATCCGCACGATGAGAAGGTCTTGTACACCGTCTTGAATACTGTCCCACCACGCACACGCACGAAGTCATCTCCGCGACGGGCCTTTGTGTGCAAATGGGACACAGAGACGTGGCAGGTCACGAGAGTGCGCAAGGTAAGTGACAAGGGGCTCACCTGCTTCGATGCGAGGTACGTAGCATTCAGCGCACCTAAGCAGACATGCCTTACTGATGCACTTCTCCATTCGGCAGTCCAAGTGGCAAGTTGCTCGCCTTTGGTTCGTCGGATTACACGGTCGGCATCCTGGACGCACAGACACTTGCGGTGAGCATGATGGTGTCGTCCAACCGCTACGATACGCTCATGACTTGTTCCTTCTAGCCTCTCCTGTCCATCCTGAAAGCACACGACTTCCCACCTACCACGCTTCGTTTCAATACCTCGTCGAATCTACTCGTCTCAGGCAGTGCAGACAACACCGTCCGCGTCGTGACCGTTCCCTCTAATCTTGGTGCTATCTGTGAGTCTACACGATCGCATTCTTACGTGAGGATCACTGATTGGGGGTAATTGCAGCTTGGAGTTTCTGGATCATCATTTTCCTGACGTTGCTCTCCATTATCCTCGCCTTGCTCGTGCAACAATTGCATCTTCTCGACTGATCTCAGTCCTGTACAGTGTGTCTCGTTATGACCCGCCACATCATGTCAGATTTCCGTGCAGCAGCGTTAACTTATCTTATGTCAGTCTGCATTACTGGTACAATACAATACACCGGATAGATACGTCAGCACAAGTCCGTCTCTCGCCCACCGGGCGTCCGCCTCAATCGTAGTCCTCTTCCTCCACAAGCTTCCGCTTCACCCCGTTAGTTGCCGCAGACGGGCTCGTAGCACGCACCTCCTCCATCGGCTCGTCCGCGCTCTCTTCTTCCTCGTCCCCGCCCGCGAACAGCCCGTCCTCTTCCTCCGCCTCGCTGCCCTCCTCCGGCGCTGCGACGCCCGGTGTCATCATGTCCACGTCCGACGGCGTCTGCAACGCGCCGATGGGCACTATGGGCGGCGCGGACGTGTCCTGCAGTTGTGGTTGCGCCTGTGGCTGTGGCTGCGGTTGTGCCCGTGGCTGTAACTGCGCTGGGATGGGTGCGGGCTCCATGTCCTCGTCCTCGTCGTCTTCGTCTTCTTCCTCCTCGATTTCGTCGTACTGCGGCTCATTGGGTGGTGGCTTGTTCGGCACGAGGTCGAAGTCGACAGAGGTGAGACATTCCGAGGGAGGAGGGAGGCGCACTCCGAAGACCTCCGGCACAGGAGGCAGCGGGACGGAGTTGGTCTGGGTGGCAAGCGAGAGCACGTACTACAGTTAAAATGAGCATCGTTGAGGTCATTCTCTCGTCTCTGCCGAAGCCTTTACGACGCACGTCTTTCGGGACCCTGCCACCAAACTCCCAGCCGACCCGTGCTTGCACGGCGAGGGTCACGTCCTCCAGCTCTACCTTCCCCGAGTGCCCCGCGTGTTCAGCGTATATGAGCGCATCGGAGAGTGCCTGCGTGGCATAGCGGTGAGAGAATTCCAGCAATTGATGTAGGACGCCGGGCTGCGCGTCTTGGACGGTGGGGGCAGCGGCCAGCAGAAGTGCGATGGCTCTGGCTGTAGGAGGGAGGTTGTCCGCCGCGTTTGGTCGTGACATAGCTGAGGTATGATGATAATCCTTAAGCACGTATTATAGTGTTGCTTAGTGTGGGCCCAAGGGATGCTGACTGGGTAGTGAGACGCAAATGTAAGGAGTAGTGCACAGGCGCCCGCACGAGTGCGTTTGATCGAAGACGCGTCGATCTGAATCGAAGATCGCATGCGTTGTGGCAAACTCAAGATCCCGGTGTGTAGGGAATACATTGGAGTGTGGGCTAGTTGCATTACCCTCAAGAATACATATGTAGCACAGTAGAGCGTAGCTGTACGCATTGATATTATGTCGCATTGCAATATCCACAAACCGATAGATGTCCGTTTGTAGCCCCCCAGTCTATGAATTGCTCACAGCAGGCAGAAGTTCTCGGTTCTCCAGCTCCTTTGCCGCTCTGTCGTATGGCGGTAGGACGAGTGCATCACCATCGCTGACCGTGCCGCTATCAACCGGCTCCTCCACGGACCGTGCCTCAGCCTTTCCGACCCTCGCAGCCTGCGTGTTCCTCAGCAGTTTCCTGCCTCCGCCGTAGAAGAACACCAAAGAACCGCCGATCACCCAGTGCCCGTACCATGCCAAGCGCGACCATGTCAGCAGGGAATTGCGCACAGTTAGCAGCATGAATGGTGGCACGGTGTAGTTCAGGATGAGGATTGTGCACGCGATTCCAACGATATCGTACATGCGCTTGAGCAGCGTCTGCGGAGGCGGAGGGGCATGTCGCTCTGCGACGTATGTCGAGGGGAGGAAGAGCGGACGTAGGTGCCGTCGGCACATGCGCTGCGCTGTTTGCACGAACCCACCAAAGAGGAACGTCAAGTAGTAGCCGCCGGCGACGCCATGCTGCAGGCACGTCAGTTACGGGCATGTTCGCTGCCAGGCTCCAGAATGCACTCACCCAGAATGCACTCGTTGTGAACGTGAGCATGCTGCTTCTGAATCCCGGTTTCTTGCCCTTCGGGGTCACCCGTTTGTAAATGCATTCTCTGAGCCAGACGTTTGTCTTGATATTCCAAGAATCAAGGAGAATTTTGAAGTTCGGAGCGAACTCAATGTTCATGATGTCCACGTTGGCAGCACCATCCCAGCGCGATAGACCCGATGCAGTCATGCCAGTGAAACCTAGGCCAGTGAGGATACATGCACCCTGTTCAGGGAGAGTCCGTTAGAATGTCAAGATAATTAACAGCATGATCGGGAACATGCCTCGGCCAATGCCCACACGGCATAGTACTTGGTTCTTTCAAAAAATCCACAGATCTGTAAGTAAGCAATTCTAGACATGCGCTCAGATCCATACACTCTTAATTGGACTGAAGAGCTCACCGATACAGAATGCTCTTCTGGGCGAACCACGCTTGAATAGTCACAGCAAAGCTGAACGATCCGCTGAAGAAGACGTAGAGACCCAAGAACATGAGGCCAAGCATCATTCGCCTGTATGCCACGCGCTTCCTGCCCTTGGGGATGAGTTTACGGCGTTTCCTCCCTAGGTTCAGTTCGTCGGCCTTGAGTGGCATGAACATGGTGCCATGGATCAAGTTGTCATAATCTGTGTATTCGAGGGATGGGCCGACAAGGAACCCGGGAAAGTAGAAGCTGCAGCGAGGACATTACTGGTGAAGATGTTGTCAAGGCAGCTGCACACGAGCGTGACAAACTTACCCGTAGCCAACGAAAGCAAGTAGAGAAGGGTACTCGACTACGCGTTTTTCTGTTTGCCATTTATCGAGATCCTGTTCTCAAGATGAGCACTGTTCTCCATACATGTCTGTACATGTCTACCTCTGCGGGCCTCCGGCCATCTAGAACGTTCCATGCGAATGTCGTGAGTTTCATAGTAAGCACCATCTGCGGGCCCGTAATTTCGAATGTCTCGTAGCTCAGGGCGAACAAGTGGCGTATTAAATGACTAGAATCTATGAGTACTAGCCGTATCATTCCAACGCAGAAGACTTACTTGACTGTCAGATGACCCATGGTAATACTTAGGACCACGGTGATAATGTTAGTACATAAACGACGCGATCACAATCCATACGCAGACTGACCCGAACACAATCCATGGCATTCGGGCGGTCTTGACATTTTGAGCGACGTAGTACGTCAAGAGTATATCCGTGAGGAGCTGCACATATGCAGACCACATGTCCATGATGGCAAGCAAGAAGAAAGAGGTCACAGCAAAGTTAAAGAGATGCCGTAGATCTGGCCTCGAGACAGGGACTCGAATGAAAACGCTACCCAGCGGATAGGACACCAGGAGGCATGTTATCAGCTATTGGGGTGATGCTTAAGCCGGCGCACGACAAAGACCAAGCATAGAGCGTCTCACCTTCACTTGATCCACTGAGGCACCCGCGACCGAGGCCAGGGTGTCAAAGAGGTTGTCCATTTTGTAGTTCGTGCCAGAAGATACTTCAGGCCGATATTGCGAGTAGTAATAGAGCACAAATGAAGTACAAGAGCTGATTGTTTTGATGTTAGCAGAACATACAGCCTGCAGCAGGTAGCTGCAGGTCAGGAGCAGACGCGTACAAATTAATACGTCACAGTTGAGGAAACAGGCAAAATACGCGCGCTTTAATTTGGGTCACGACCACGTGACATCATTCACCACGTCACCGCGCGCGACGCGACGTGAGTCTGCTCAATTTCAGCCACTGCAGGCGTCTCGAGTTCGACTTTCTTGGCCAACGTCTTGCGTGGTACCGAAATGGAAAGTCCTCATTCGTAGACAACACGACGCATAAAGCATTGTCAATGGCAATCGGCGACTTCGAGTCGTACACAACACTACGCTACTATTTACTATGAATATGTCTGGGAGGCTATCGTACAATAGGAGATACACGCAGAAGGGCAGGAGAAAGAAGAAGATCCAGCGTTACTCCTTCGAGAGCGATGTCTTGACAGGATGGTCGGATTGGAAGATTCCGTCGATCTCCTCGAGATTCCTGTGAGTCATAGATGAGAGTATGTTTGGTCAACTGGCTCCGTTATTACTTACCGTCCTTTAGTCTCCACGAATGTAAAGTAAATTACAACAATGCCTAGCGCGTCCCAGCATGCGTAGAACAGATAGAACCTGTGCCAGCATGGCTTCAAACCATTTCCGCATAATAAGTATTACAGAAGCACTTACCTCCATCCAACGTTGGCGATAGCAACGGGTGGAAGATATGTGTTGAAGAGACCACAAGCATTGACGAAGAGATTCATCACCGCCAGGCCTTTCGCACTGTCGTCACGTTAGCATGGTTCATCGACGGTCTCGAGGGAAGCATACCGGTTATTGTATGACAAGACCTCCACGGGGTAGAGGGATTGCATTGGGGTCCACACGAACGAGAAGACTGGGTCAGAGATGGATTAGATGATGGAGATACGCCTGCCAGACGACGCTACTCACCGACCAGGAAGATGTAAAGGAAGGCGATGCCAACTGACCCCGCACTCGTATGTGTAGGGGTCAGTGCGGTGCATACCTATGTTGCTGTCAGGTAAGGTCGATTTGTGTACAGATTGACCATGACTTACGGTAATAACGATAACAGATATTGCCATACCGGTGGAACTTAACATCAATGTTGGTCGTCTACCCCATTTCTCTATGAAACGCAGGCCAGAGAGTGCGGAGATCATCATGATCGGTGTCTGATTGAAGATTTGAAATTGGACCTCATACAAGTGAACTCAGATAAAGTTACCTGAAGAGCATTCAGCATGAGGACCATATGTTCGTTGGTCACTCCGGCAGCTTCTACCTGTTTGAGCGAGGCATCAGCATGCATAGATCGGAATAACAACTACGCTCCACGTACCATGAGTGGGAAGTAGTAGCTGGTAGGAGGGAGGTCCCACTGCCCGAAGAAGGCAATGCAGGTCACCAAGAAGAAGCGGTGGCGGTCGGATCGGGTGCGGATAAGACCACGGATATCCCACCACCTGTTTCGGCGTCAGCTTCCTCGTTAGACCAGTATGTACAAGAGCTTAAATACCGCTTGTCCGTTCCGCTCTCCACCTCGATGACCTCCTTCATCTCCCTCATCTGTAGCTGCACGATATGGCTGTCGACGTCGCCGTCGCTATGATATCGTGCCAGCACTTCGCGTGCTTTTTCGTCATTTCCTTGGCCCATGTACCAGCCTGGAAGTACGCAAGACGCGTCAGAACGGGACGCATTGACAACAAGCTCTTACTCACGCGGCGTCTCAGGGATGAACCAGATAAACGACAACACTAGCACGGATGGCAGGGCTTGTAGGCCCATGGGCAGTCGCCATTGGATGTCCGGGTTGCCGGGAACATATGACAGCCCAAACTCAATCCATGTTGAGATGATCGTCCCGAGGAAGAAGTTTGCTTGGTAGCTGTCCCGTAGCCGCGATCAGCACGGCAGTGATTCTGGACATAGTTCATACTTACGCGCCAGTCATTACACCGCGGTATGCTGGATGCGACATCTCCACCACATATGCCGGGCCTATAAAACGGGCAACATGAGAGCAGGAGCCTCGGGCGGCAGGAATTAACAATTACCGGCTGTCTGTGCAATGACCGCACCCAGGCCCAGCACGACACGACCAGCAATGAGGTAGTCGACACTTTGGGCCGCCGCTTGGAAGATCGCACCAACGAGGCAAATGAAGGACCCAATGCCCATGCCGTATCGGCGACCCCATTTGTCGGAGATTTGCCCAGCACCAAGCGATCCCACCTGCATGTTCCGGGCACATGTAAGATGGGACAGAAGGCGTCTGACGGCAAGCTAGTTCCGTACCATATTGCCAATAACGTAGGAAGCGGCGAGCAGGCCCTGCTTCGAACCGCCGTGGACGGAGAAATAGGTTTGGAAACTGGTCATCGCGGAGGCGCCACCGAAGGTATTCGAATCGAAACCATTCGTCGCCGAACATAGGTACGCGACGAAGACGATAAGATAGAGCCTGATCATGCTCCGTGACCATGGATCTGCAGAAGCGAGGTTAACTTCAGCACCATGGACAGCGTTGTCTGCGGCGTACCTGGCTTCTCTTTGGCTAGCACAGCTGCTAGCTCAGACTGCACAGGGACTCTGGACTCAAGCTTGGGCACATCCTCCTCGGACGGGTGTTCGAGGTGGTCAACATCATGTACTTTGTCCGAGGACATCTTCGACTCGTGTTTGGTAGGTCGTATCCCGTCGTGAATGTCGATCCCGCTCGTGCAGGGGAGAGGCTTCCCCGGATATGAAAAGGCTGTCGATGGCCGGCCACGGCTACGCGCGACGCGCCTTTTTAACGAGACTGCAGAGCCTAGCTCGTCATCCTGCTATTCGGGGTGACGGCGTACCGTGCATGCTAGGGTCGAGTGGATGGAGGTCGAGGGCATCTTACCGACATTTCCCCGGCACGATTTCCCCGCACATTACCCCGCAGGGCTGGAAAGAAAATCACCGGGGATCATGCTGCGCCCACAGGTTGGAGCACCGACGTTCGCCCGTGGCGCGTTTGTGAACTTCACGGATGAATTTGATGGCAGATGTCTTCTACACCTCCTGAAAGTCTTGCGCTTACCGTAGTAACCGTTCAGTAAGTGTCCATGTAGCTGAGTCCATACGATCTGCTAGGGTGAGAGGGCGCGGAGACAACGCGAAGCGACAGAACCAAAAGAGGTCACAAGACCTCAGGCCTACTGTACACTCAGTCAGGTGTGCGGTCACCGGGCTGAACGGGGCAATGCCGAAATATCTGGATTGAGGAGAGCAGACGATCAAGGTCAGCATAGTATACAAACAACAGGACATGGGGTCAACCAAACCATACCGGGACGGTACAGGAGGTATTTGCAATCAGCTTAGCTTCGACCTCGGTCCCGACTGGAGTGTGCAGCGGAGATGAGCAAACACAGGATTGAGCCGAAATGAGAGGTGATCGGCGCAAGGTACAGCACTCGCTAGGAACAGCCCGTGAAGCCGAATTGTATTTATGAATTGGAATACTGTGACCAGGACCAGCCACACACATTGAATGCGACGAGTCAACTCAGCTTTTGCATTTCTATAACACAAATGCTGTTATGGAGACCGTCAACGGTAAGAAAAATCTATTCAACTGCCGTCAGAATACATTGTGTTATGACCTGCAAAATATCATCAGTTAGTCAATCTGTGCCTGCAAATAAACGGGATCGGTCTGAACGTACAGGAAAAATAACAGGGGTTGGATGACTGGATCCTCTGTGCAGACATGGCGAGAACGGATAACGCGTTGAAAAGAAAAGTATGGACTGAACCACCATTAAATCCAATGTTGTTTATAAACCAATAAATACAGCAGCTGACATTGAGAACGAAATTCCGTACACTAAAAGCAGCCCTGTAGCGAAGCGACTCAAGCGAACGTGACCCAACTGCGATGGACATGACACGTCGTGAAGTAAGAATGTGAGGGTACATTTCCAAGGGTTCGGACTGTCGACCTTCCTAACGAACGTCACGGCATCCCTGTGTCTGCCTCGCGGACCACGAAATCAAGGGTTTGTCTAGAGTCTGCAGTGTGCGTGGGAGCCCAGAGTGCATTCAGGTCGAACCATCCACCGAACGACGGCGGGGCTGTGTCCTTCGCAACATGTATGTCGGCCGGCATGTCCACATGCTCGAGGCTGAAGTTGACGATATCGTTGTCGGGGCGCATCCCAAACTCCATGTGCGGGCGCATGGATGCCAATTCGTGCATAACGACATGGCATGCCATGATGAACAGCAGCAAGAGCAGCAGGATTGTCGCACGCGCATGCGTCTTGCAAACCGAAGGTGCATGCTCGAAGTTGGGCTGAGCGGGCGTAATAGGTAGCTGAATCTGCGAGGGCAGGCGGGGAAGCGAGGGTACAAGCTTCGACATCCGTTGCACCAATGTTGGCTTGGGCGGGGGCATTAAGAAGGCGATTGAGTAGTCGCCATCGTGCGAGGGAGACGATGGAGTGACAATGATCGCGGGCAGAGGTGCCTTTTCAACCACCAGGGGCAACGATAAATCTTGTGTGCACCGGCGCAGCTGGTGGTAAGAATACGGCAGGCTTACGCAGATGAGCGGCACTCACCAAGAGGCGCCGGGATGAGTGTGTAATCCAGGCGCTGAGGCAGGCGGTGAAGACGCGGAGGACCTGTGACAGACATCAGCATGAAGACTGGGAAGACTCACATATTTGGCAGAACACGCACCACCTGAGCGACGCATGCTGAGAAAAGCTTCTGAAATGGACCAAATGGTGCGGGTGAATGGAGTCTATGTTGCGACACGGAATATGCTGCAACGGTGCTCAAGACGCGACTGGGTCGGAGCCGAGAGCAAGGGCCGAAATGAGTGTGGGTTAGAAATGAGTGTGGGGGTGCAAGAACAAGTCAGAGATGCGAGGCCGCGGATGTCGCAGACAGTGAAAGCGACGGGGGCAGAGCGGGCGGCGAGGAGGATGAAGGGACGAAATAAGGGGAAAACGACAACGGGCGCGACGCTGCCCACGGCGCCAAGCCACTCCAGACCTGCCAGCCATAGCCGCCATCAATCCTGCCCGATCAGGCAACCCACTTTTAATCCCGCCAGGGAAAACCGTCCACTCTCTTTGCGGCCACCATGTCCCTCCTCGAGTCCCCGTCCTTTCAGTCTCTCTCTGCCCCCATCAAGACAGCGACGCTGCCAGGCGAGGCTTATGTCTTGTCCATAGTCTCGCTGCCCTCGTACTACGCCATTTCTGCCTCTTCGCCGGACGATAGCATCCATCTCTTCAGCAAATCGCGTCTAGACAAGGTGCAAACACTCACGAAGCATGAAGGCCCCATTACAGCACTCCGATCTGCACACAATTTCGCTGGGAGTCTGACACCGGTGCTCATCTCCAGCGGCAAGGACGGCGTGGTCCATGCATGGGACGCACGCTCTCCAGGCCAGCCTATAAGTGAGCCGATGACCCCCGCACGCGCCGGGATTGTGACTGAACTCAAGCAGTCATTATGAATAGTGACTACTCTGCAGGCCGGCAGGCCCCGGGCTCTCCTTTCCTGTGACATTTCCGCAAATGGCATGACCATTGCTGCCGGGACAGAATTGCAGGGCGATGATGCTTCGGTACTCTATTGGTGCGCGCACACCTTAAAACCCCATAGCGCCTACTGATGTTTCTACAGGGACCCGCGCAATCCTGCTGCGCCACTTCGTGCCCATTCCTCCACTCACTCCGACGATATCACTGCTGTGCATTTCTCTCGCACTCACGGAAGCCTGCTCCTTTCGGTGTCATCCGACGGTCTTGTATCCACCTCAAATTCGGATGAACCGGACGAAGATGAGGCAGGTCTGCATGTGGGCAACTGGGGATGCAGTATCGCGCAGGCGGGCTGGGTACACGGACAGTCAGGATTGACAGGCATCTGGGCATCGAGCGACATGGAGACATTCAGTGTCTGGTCCGGCGAAGTCAGTATCAGTTTCTGTATCTGCAATATCACAAAGGCTGACGTGTCGGCACGGTACAGCTCGATTTCGTACAGGACGCAGACGTTCGGCAGCCATCAGTACACACTGGAGAGCGAACATGGGTGACCGACTACTTCATCGGCGCTCACAACAACTCTTCTATTCCCGCCGGAGCAGATAACGACCTCAGTCTGTTCCTTGGATCTAACGAGTGAGTGCGCTTTATATCACGGGGTCATCCGAACAAGGTCTTTAAATTGCTATTTTCTCAGAGGAGACATAGCTCTCGTATCGCGCCCTACATTCGCAGACGCGAATGCACCCTGGGTGCTCTCCCAAACATGGCTGACTGGTCACTCAGATGTCGTTCGGTCTTTCCTCTGGGACGAAGAGGTATGCTCGCGCAGCTTCTGCATATGATAATTCCGCTGACTGTCGCTACTTACCTAGAACAACGTCCTTCTGACTGGCGGTGAAGACTCGAAGCTCAATGCTTGGGTCAGTCCCCCGCGGGCCAGCGCGTCTACAGTAAACGCGAAACGCGAAAATGACGATGCCATGGATGTCGACGAGGATGAAGGTATCTCGCACAGGAAGAGGAGGCGTTCGTGATACTCTTTGACAGTGTTTCCTATCGGACGTATCCAAACAAAACATTGAAGCATACCATTAGATGCAACTCCAAATGACGTAATGTACATGTGCCCCAGAGTCCCAGTCCTGTCGTGATCGCGGAAAGTAGATCACATTCTGAAGACACCAAAGCCCTTAGCGTCGCCGTCCCAGGTCGCGAGACCACGACTGCCTGCGGCACTTGTACCCCGCTCTCGTGCTGCGAGTGCAAGTGCGAGGCCGACCGTATCGCGCGTGTCAGTGGGCTTGATGATACCATCATCCCACAGGCGCGCCGAGGCGTACAGAGCGGTGGACTGCTCCTCGATCTCGGCCTTGAGGCTCGCATGTTTAGACGGATCCCTGTTAATCAAATGGAATATCAGCGCAAACAGGACACAGCGGAGAGGGACACGCACTTTGAAACGGTCGTCATCACTTGTGACAGCTGACCGGACCCCATAACAGAAACCTTGGCGTTCTATTGCAACAGTGAATAATTTAGGGCGCGCGGCGAGATCGCGAACGCACCGGCCACATCCAAAGGAACCGGGGCGAGTACTACAGCAAATTGATCAATATCAGCTCAGCTATGACTGCAGATATTGGACACGAAGCTCACAGCACGTCCACACATTCCTGCCTCAGGCTGTTAGCGAGATATCTCCAACGCCAATAACAACTCGTATGGTATGCTTACCATAATTACCCGCACCATAACTCCCACCCACGATGACGGTGAGCTTCGGGACGTCTGCACACGCGACCGCGCGCACCATCTTGGCGCCATCCTTCGCGATGCCACCGCGCTCGGCCTTTGAACCGACCATGTACCCCGTCACGTTGACGAGAAACAGCAGCGGGATGCGCCGCTGCGAGCACAGCTGCATGAAGTGCGTCGCCTTGAGCGCAGACTGTGAGAAGAGGATGCCGTTGTTCGCGACGATCCCAACGGGGTAGCCGTGGACGTGCGCGAAGCCCGTGATCATCGTCGTGCCGTACTCTTTCTTGAATTCGCGGAACCGGCTCCCGTCGACGATGCGTGCGATCACGTCGCGCATGTCGAACGCCTGCCGCAGGTCGGTGCCGACGATCCCGTGCAGCTCATGTGCTGGGTAGAGCGGGTCCTCGGGGATTGCGGGAGGCTGTTCACGTTCCACGGGAGACCGTTCGTAGCAGGAGCGCGGGAGGACTCACCGGGACTTCCTGGCCCCCGGCTCTGCCCAAGTCGCCTACAATGCCCCGTGCGATGGCGATGGCATGCTCGTCGTCTTTCGCGAGGTGGTCTGTTACGCCGCTCTCGGACGAGTGCATCTGACCGCCACCGAGGGTTTCCTCGTCAACCTCTTCTCCTGTCGCAGCTTTGACCAAGGGTGGCCCTGCAAGGAAGATGCGCCCTTGGTTACGCACGATAATGTTCTCATCCGCCATTGCAGGGACATATGCGCCACCTGTGAGGGGCCGTGTTAGGGAAGATTCATGAATAACGAATGGGATGGTGATTGGATAAATATGGGTTCCACGCGCGCAAATTCGGCAAATTCGAAGGAGAACTTGTTAGCGGCCCAAATCATGTTCTAGCCAGCCCAATAACGATAGATCTCCTGGAACGAGACACAGGAGGGCCTATACATTATGTGATGGCGCCACAAAGTCGCCGCAAGGGCTCGGCGGTAAGTTCCGTATAACTGCTGTCTATGTCTCATCCCAACGCCAACTGCGAGGAGATTCATCGTTATTGGGATTGCTATCATCGTTAGCTAAATGCGCTCCGTGGCCCGTCTCGCGTGACTTTTATGCACTCCACTGACCTGCGACTGAAATTCCGTGGACTATGGCAATCTGCGGGATGCCCAAGGCAGACATCTGTGCCATGTTGTAGAAGATCCGCCCAAAGTGTTCCTTGTCTGGGAATACCTATCCAAAAATATGAGCATGCGCATCCATCCCGATATTTCACATTCTTACATTGGCTTGATGCGGTAGCGCGGCACCTCCAGATTCAACTGTTCCCGAAGTGCGGGTCAGACAGCTACTAGCAACTGCTGTGTAGTGACATACCAACGTAGACACAAGGCAGGCCGTGCTCTCTAGCAATTTCTTGCGCTCGCAACTGCTTCTTGACCTAGGCGGGCGTGAACATTATTGATCACGTCACACTAAGATCGCGAAGGGCACCGACCGTGAGGGGGTAATAAGATCCACCCCGGACGGTAGGATCGTTGACTACAATGACGCATTCGCGCCCAGATATACGACCTATACCGGTAATGATGCCTGCCGCAGGTACATACTCTGAATATACGTCATGGGCAGCCAGGGACGAGAGCTCGAGAAATGGAGTATGGGGATCCAATAGGAGAGACAGTCTATCAAGAATGTTAAACGCGGTTTATATTGACTGTTCTGCACAATGACCTTTCTCGAGGTAGCTTCTTCCCGGCTGTTCGCATACGCTGGACTGCCTTGTCTCCTCCGCCCAGTCGGACGTTGGCCAACTTCGCGTCAAGGTCCGCAACTAGGGCGTCCATGGCTTCTGCTTTAGCGACAAATTCCGGAGAAGACGTTGAGATCAGGGACGGCAGGACGGACGGGTGGTAAGCCCTCCGTAAAACGGTTGAGCAGCACCATTGTCGTGAAAGTCTGGCTTGTGCAGCTAGACGCATCCCGACAGAGTTCCCAGATGATTATATATCCACTTGTCGTATAGACCAGGCCGTGAGCAAGCTTTGAGGGCCAAAAAGGGCGGAGTAAGTTGGGTCGAAGGCAGGACAACCTCCTGAGCTCTCTCACGCCTTCAGTACATAGGCGGACCTGATGGCGGCTCCCGGAAAACGTTCACATGTGGTCAAACGGTGCCACTCGCCAAGCAACTGTTTATGGGTCCGCCCGAATTTCGCGAATTTGGAAGTCGCTACCCCGCATTTAGCGTCGCGTGCCTGAGTCTAGACCCTAACCTAGGGTTGTGGACGTTTGTCCTGAGCGCTCAGCTCCTTTCTCAATACCACACGCACGTATTTGGCTAGCTATGAGCGCGCTCGCGAACGAACTCTTGGCGGATCTCGACGGTCTCTCAGAGGGCGAGGAAGACCAGGAGCAGACAGAACACGTAGAACAGACAGAGCCACAGGCTGGTCCTTCTAATGGCGTCAAGCGCAAAGCACCATCCGACGACGAGATGTCTGAAGGAGAAGGAGAAGCCGAAGGTGCGGAAGAGGACAAGCTTGTCGGTGGACTTGTGCTCGAGGGCGGGATAAAGCCCGCGGAGGAGCTAGATGTAGAAGAGGTGCAGCGAATGGAACTAGGAGGCGTAGAGGACGTGCGGAAAGTGGCGAAGCTCGACGGCAGCAAGCGCATGAACGATATTCTCAAGGTTCGTAATTGTCTGATGTTTGAATGTAGTCATGCTAATTTCCTGCGGTAGGAAATCGAAAAATACCAGGCGAATCCAAGTACACCGGAGCAGATGTTACAGCCTGCACACATGAACCCAGAGTACAACCTGATTGTACAAGCTAACAATCTGTCTGTCGACGTTGACAATGAAATTCTTGTCGTTCACAAGGTCCGTCATTATCTGTTCTGCACTTGCTGAATCCACCAACGTGTGTCTTGCTCAGTTCATCCGAGATCACTACGCACCCAAATTCCCTGAGCTGGAGCAGTTAGTCGGTGATCCGGCCATGTACATTCGATCCGTGCGGGCATTAGGAAATGCTGAGGTGCGTCCCACCTATGCCTGGGCGTTTTCTACATAATAATTGGCTTCTCCAGGACCCGACGAAAGTCGACCTAGCCGGTATCCTACCGCCTGCCATCATCATGAGTGTCCTCGTCACCGCAACGACCACGTCCGGACAAACATTGTCAGAAGCGGAATGGCAGACTGTTCAACGAGCTTGTGACCTCGCCGATCGCCTTGAGGAGGCGAGAAAGAAGGTACGCCACATCCCTGAGATGTTTCCTGCATATCTGACTCTTAGCGGTCCAGATTTTCATGTACGTTAGCTCTCGCATGAATATTCTCGCACCGAACCTATCAGCTATTGTCGGTACAACTACAGCCGCCAAGTTGTTGGGTGTCGCTGGAGGCCTTGGCGGGATTGCAAAAATGCCAGCATGTAACGTCTATGTGCGTAACGGCTCTACTACTTTGCTTCTTGACCCCAATTGATGATCTGCATGCCTGATAGCTGCTGGGAGCCCAGCGGAAGATCGCAGCGGGGTTCTCTTCAGCAACTCAGCGCCGTCATACTGGGTTTGTATACCAGTCTGAGCTGATCCAGCAGACACCTCCTGAATACCGCATGAAGGTTCAGCGGACTGTGGGTGCAAAGTGCGCTCTGGCTGCCAGGATGGACCTCGAACGACAGCGCAGAGACGGTGAGTGTAGCCATACAGTCGCCATTCTGTGTCCTTACTCATGGATCGCGGTGGTTGTCACAGGCTCATATGGGGAGGAGCTCCATGATAAGATTGAGAAACACATTGATCGGCTCGCCGCGCCGCCTCCGAGCAAGATTGTGAAGGCGTTGCCGATACCCAATGACGGCCCGAAGAAGCGACGTGGAGGCAAACGGTCAGCCGCCAGGCACACTCCAATTGGTGGATCTACATACTAACGCGCCGGTTGTTATAGGGCGAGGAAGGCCAAGGAGGCGTACGCGCAGACGGAGCTTCGCAAGCTCCAGAATCGCATGGCATTCGGCGAGGCTGAGGAGGAGATTGGCGCGTTCGACCAGACTAAGGGCCTTGGTATGATTGGCTCAGGCAAGGTCAGGGCGGGCGTAGGGGAGGCGAAGAGTCGAGGTAATTGACCCACGGCTGATGCGTGCGGCTATAGTGCTGATCTTCTGTGACCAATTCAGCCAAACTGTCGAAGGCGAACAAGCTCCGCACCGCAGCGTTGACTAGAGCAGGGCAATCTGGGACTCAAACACAGATGTCCGGTACTGCGACCTCGTTGACTGTCACACCCATACAAGGTTAGTCAATCAACTGCACTACATTCATCACGTCTCCAACCTATCACTATGCTAGGGTTTGAGTTGACCAACCGCGCTGCTGCGGCACAACGCGTTAAGGAGGCGAACGAGCGGTGGTTTGCGGGGGGTACCTTCTCATTTGTTGGGCAGAAAGGTGCATGAGCACCTGTCTTAAGGCCTTCGTAATGACTCCCGTTCTTCCGTAATGCATGCTGTGTGATTTCATCGTGGCAACTCCACTAGAATAACACACTATCCTTACATAACACAGCACTAATCATACAGGGGATAGATAGGTATGTAGCTAATGCGAAGAATGGAAAGAATGGCACGGCGAGAATTAAGCCGAAGGTGCATGCGCAGTTGCCGTGGTCTCCCCAGTCACTGCACTTTGCGTAACATCGATGAAACCGGCTTGCTTGGGGTTAGAGGCGGTGGCCCGCTTTGAGCGGTAGTCCCGGATAGCAGAGCGAATGGCATCCTCTGCAAGCACTGCACGACATGTCAAACCGGAAATAGCGAGCAACAAAAACAAAACGGCTTACTTGAGCAGTGGAGTTTAACCGGCGGCAGACACAACTCCTTTGCGATCTCCGTGTTCTTAATTTTCTCGGCCTCCTCGAGCGACAGACCCTTCACTCGCTCCGTCATGTAGGAGCTGGAAGCAATCGCACTGCCGCATCCGAAAGTCTTGAACTTGACATCGGAGATGATGCCGCTCTCGTCTACTCGGATTTGGAGCTTCATGACATCTCCGCAACTGCAAATACCGTCACTAAAGAACCTCATGCTGTACACAGGATCGTCACTTACGCAGGTGCACCGACGAGACCAGTGCCAACATCAACATCGTTCTTGGGCAGAGATCCCACCTACAGCGCAGAGCAAAGTTATCAGATAATGTCTGGAACCGCCCAGACCGAAACATGACGCACATTTCTCGGCTGCTCGTAGTGAGAGATGACCTTCTCGTGGTATCCGCGAGCAAGCACCGGCCTAGCCGCGATGCGACTGGCGCGGGGGGCAGCGTTGAGAACAGTCTTGGTGAGGGATGCGCGCAACATTGTGGGTGAAGATGTGTGAGCGACTTTCAGAGGGACGAATGCGGCCGGCCGTATATACATAAGCCTTCCTGGCGGACTTTGAAATGGCGGAGACTCTGTCCAATGCTGCCCCGCCATGCACGTGACCTGCTGACGTAAGCAGGCTCAACCGCGGTTGTGCGTCAGTGTACGTCGCGCTGCAGGTGTACGTGCCACTGCCAACACGAGAACTTTGCCTTAACACTCTATACTGGACTTTCTGCATCACGACTCTTGAGCGCAATGTCTGCCATGGACACGCCATCCTCGTCGCGACCACCGTCGCCACCTCTGCGCACAGCAGATATGCCAACAACTGGTCTAGGGTACTTCTCCGTTCCGTTCGAACGATTTGCGCGAGATGAAATCGCGGATTGGGCGGGTGGATTCACTTTACTCGGTATGTCAACACATCCTTGTGCCTGTCTAAATAACTCAAACTTGCTGCGTAGACACAATGGAAACCTATTTCGATTCGCGACTCGATCTACTTCAGCGCCGATTATCGAAGCAAAGCGAGCGGTTGAAGATTCGGGCAGAGGAAACTCTCAATGAGATGTTCAAGAAAGATTTATTCAAAAGGAGACCGTCATCGAGTACAAGCCAGCAATTTGAACGCGATATGCAGAAGTTCAAAGTAAAGGTTGTGCAATCCAGCACTGCTTCAGTGCGCTCCAATCTGAACGATGGCACTAGGTTTCATCACGTCTGATCTCCCTCGCGGCCGCCTGGCACACAGCGAACGTTGTCCGGACACGCGAAAAACTGACGTTCTTCTGGGGCGTGATGTCTTTGCTATTCACGTCCTTAATGTTTGGCATGGCGCCAGAGTGCGTGATGCAGCACGCACCCTCTAGGATCGTCGCTAATTGAAATTTGTGACAGGTGGATACACGTCGCATATACTCTGCAAGCAGCATACTACCTTCCCATGCGGTTATACTTGTACAAGAAGCGAGCATGGCACTACTTTTTGTTCGACTTGTGCTATTACGCCAACATTCTCAATTTTGTGTACATCTGGTTTCTCCCCTCGAGCTCGGCCCTATTCGTGGCCTGCTATTGTTTATCACATGGATCCCTTGCTTCCGCCGTGATCACATGGAGGAACAGTCTCGTTTTCCACGACTTTGATAAGGTCACTTCGCTATTCATCCACGTCTATCCGCCGCTTACGTTCAGTGTCATTCGGTGGGTGTTCTGTCCTATTAGGGACCTCCGTATAGTCATCTTATCTGATAATAGACACTTCTATCCCAACGCGGAGCGCCGCTTCCCTGCCCTGTTGGAACTGGCGCACCTTCAGCCTATGAGAGCGATGCTATTGAGCGGGATCATCTGTACGCACGAGCGATTTACATACTCATGTGATCGAGCCGTTGATCGAAGGCGCCAGATTTGATATGGCAAGGACTCTACTGGAAGGTGAGGCGTTCTGCACTGGGCGGGAGTTCTCGTGACCTGACTCATATTTGCAGTTTGTCCTCGTCGATCGCCGGACCAAGATTGAGTCTGGACAGCGTACAACTTCTCTTACCTTCCTGCTGAATGACAGGCGAGGCGTGATTGGCCGTGCGTTGGCTAGAGTTCCACGCCAATATCGGGAACTTGCATTCATGGCAGGACAGTTTGGTATGGTTACAGCTACCTGGTCTATCTGGTTCCTCACTAAGCTCCTTGCTCGTAGCGTACACTGTCCTGACAGAGCTGCCTGCCGTCTTCCTCCTCTACGACAGTTCATTCTGGAGTGGTACATTCCTCATCTTCATTTTTGCCGTCAGTGTCTGGAATGGCGGCGGGTTCTATATTGAGGTCTTTGGCCGAAAGTATGTATCCAGATTTTGGGCGTTCGCTCCATTGACGTTTCCTTCTCGTTCAGGTTTGAGAAGGAGCTGGAAGCGTTACGCAAGGAACTTGCGGATGCTACATCTCGGTCTCAGGGATCAAGTCCCATCCTTGGCCCACAGAGCGATGACGACCTGTCCACTGTTGCTGGATCACCTGATATCGTAGCCAAGACTTTGTCTCCAGAGATATCCACTACGGATCTACCCCTCGACACTCTTACGAAAGCCAACGGACACACTCAGTAGAGAATGTGTATTGCCGCCTTATAGACTCATCCGCATACACATGGGTGTCCGGAATGCCCTCTTCTGATCCGATTTATCTCCTAATCTTATGTCCGCGCTTTTACGACCTGCCATGCCACCCTTACTGTACCATCCGCCTCTCCTGTACCCGGGATAAACATGTAGACGACTTGTTATGATAGTTTCTCGGATGGATGAATGTTATATTGCTGCCAAGAAGGGAGGAACAGTGATGCAGGCTTTCCCGCATCACGCACAGCTAAGTGTCCTATTGGTTGAACGTGGAGTACGACCGACGCAAGCATGGCAGAGATGTCTCAGCAATTGAAATCTTCCCAACGTTTTCCACTAGTGATCCATCCGGCGAAGGGGCTACTACAACCCTGCAGGACATTCTTTGCTAACTGATACACCTTAGCAGACTGCTTTGCTACATAGTAATTTGCTCTAAGAACGTCCGTGAATGAGAGTTCGCGGATTTTGAAGACCAACGCACAGTGGGGCTGGCGGCGCCAGTTTCTCTGCTGTCTGTTGGTATAACTGCAAGAATGAGGCCTTACACAGCAGGGGTCTAGCACATGATTAGAAACCCATAACAACACAAAGCTGATTTCAGGATATATACCTAAATTTGGGATTACAACGGTGCTTGGGGGATATGCCGCGCCTCAAGCCATTGATCAATACCTCGTGTTTCGGAGAATCCGCAATCCAGCACACAGCTAGGACATCTGTTTGAGAAAAATGCAGATCCCACAAGAGGCGACATACAATCATTGCAGGAGGATGACGCTTGCAGCACTATGCGGGAATGCGGAAACGGAATACGAGTGAAGTGGATCGTGGGGCGATTGATCCTGAAGCCACTTGGAAGCTGTCCTGCTGCGGCGCATGATGATAAAAATTTTGGGACGTACAAAAGAAGGTTGAATGTGGTGTGAATGCTTACAGTCCAACGCATCAAGACGACCATGGAATGCCCTTTGACATTCTTCTAGGGTCATATCTTGCCTGTGCTCCTCGACCTCGCCGAGAATGACAGTCGAAATATATGCCGGCCGTAGGAAGTGAGATCCGATGGCCCCTTGTATACCCAAGACGTTCCACCGAGCAATTTTATCGCTGCAAGACATGCATATAGTAGGAGGTGAGTCTGCGCGTCCGGGCTTGGTGCGCAAGACCCCATAAAGCGAGTAGTTGTCTCTGCCTCTCGATGCGACATTGGGCAAAAGCTCTGGAAATTTAGTCGAGTCCTTTAGAGCTGCCATCTCTGTATCCTGAAACGAGGCCAGAAAACGAGTCGAGGCATCACCGCCTGATCAGTCTATTAATTGGGACATAAGAGCAGGGAAAGAAGCAGAAAGCTCACATGGGACAGTAGAGATGTACAAAGTTATTTCTACGTTATCCAACAGCTCGAACATATCATCCGTTGTCTTTCGGACCCAAGGCGAGTCGTGTTCACCAGAACTGATCCTCTGGATCTCTTCCAGAAACCAGCGCTGGGCACCCCTGCGAGCGAGAACTTCTGCGTGGCTGTCATGTAGCGCGTCTCCCTCCTCTGTGAATTTCTCGGTTGGGAGGCATTTCGAACCAGTGGCAAGAGAGATGACTTTGAGGGCTTTTCGACGAGAAAGGACAAAGGAGGCCACGATCGTGTATTTTCCGTCCGGCAATTTATGATGCAAAGAGGTATAAAGCTCTATGGCTGCGCAGGCGATGGCATCGTAAACGTTGTCTGCCATTCATGTGGTGGCATTATAGAGGTTGTCGTTGTGGGTGGTCTGAAGTTGTGGGTCCGGAGAACTAAGATCTGATCGATACTTGGAACGGTGATCGCCGAGTGACGGTGTGGACGCTTTGAGAACTCAGGCAAGTTGACCGTAACATCGAGGCCTTCATTTGAATGAAACAAGGGGAAAGTGTGTCGTCACAGAGGGTGCAGGTAGCTTGCGACGACTATGACGGAGAAGATCGCTGATTTGTTATTCGACACGAGGAGACGGTGCGTGGGGATGCGTGCAGGAGTGGCGATGGGCACTCTCCTTACATGTGCATCTCGACACCATGACATTTGGCAGTGTACATTACACTTGCATGCGTAACCAAAGTTGATCCTACAATTACATACGAGTAATAAAATCTGCGCCAGACCATGTATACAATAAAGGTAGAAATTTCAAACGGCTCTCGGTCCCATGCTTTTAGTCATTGTTTCTATGTCAGGCAGCAACACGCACTCAGACGTTTGAAAAAGCTCAGCTAGAAGAAATAATAGGCTGCCACGTTCCGACGGATATCTCTTCAAGGTGATACAAGATCACGCGGTCCCAGGATACAGGAACCATGTTGGTCTAGAGCATATAAATCAGTATCTCGATTCGTATTGGTCACGTCTGGAGAGTGGGAACTCACTTGAATGAAGTGCACGCATGCTCGTGCTACCCTCCTCGCCAGCGTCTGCAGCTCGACACGGCCATCATAACCGTCCACAGGCAACTCGTACGTCATCGACGTGTAGCCCGTCCACTAAACACGCCGATGAGTCACTTTCGAGACTCAATATGCGATGCCCAACTACTCACCCGGAGCTTGAGAACGATCTTTCCCCTGTGGTCAGCATTCAGATCGTAGATCGTGTACGAGTCGTTTCCAGAAAGGTGGGCGTTCGACATGGCCTCGCCGAGGGTGATTCCGGAGCGGAAACCACCCTTGCGCTTGAACTTGATGAGCGTGCTGCCCATGCGCCGATAGCCATCGGGATGCATGCGCCGACGAGACATCGACGATCTGCGGCGGTTCATGCGGGTCGCGTGAGGTGTCCCGTAGGCGGAGGATGAATATTGATAGTGTTCAGGGAAGTACGAGTCCCGATAATTCGTGTCATCGTATGCTACATATGACCTGTATCAGCATCGTGTCCCGACGCAAGAGGTTTCCGACACTGACCGTATTGACTAGCTGTGCGTTGTGGGGCATAAATAGGGTAGGTGGTTTGGGGATACGTCTGACACTGGAGTCAATTGAGGGCTGGAATGTCGGAACAAGCATGCGTACCTCTCCGTACACGCCCGGGGTTATCGCGGCCATCGGTTGATCGTAGGCGGCGTAATCGCCACGAGGGTAGCCGTACTGCTGCCCATAGGACAGGGAGCGGTGAAGCTGAGGGTATGCCTCGTACGCAGGGTACGCCATGGCGGGCTTGCTGGAATCAGAGCTGAGGTGATTGCGGGTTTCCCGGGGTGCTTAGGCCCCGCGCGAGTACATCTTATAGGGTCGAAGACATGGCCCTTGAGACACCACATTTCACTCGTGAAAACGACCCAACCTCGAGGCCGTCCAGAGGGGAAGTTTTGCGTCTGAGACTACCGATCGATAATATAGGGGTTGCTACCGACACGATTGGACTTGCGATATTCGCGCGCTGGTCCGCAGGTGAGTAGAGTTAGCAGACCCTCTACCCTGTCTCATGACGACAGGAGTCACCAGCCAGGCTCTTCTATTGATATCCTGGACCTTCTGGAGCCCTACATCAGTTGTACACCGAGTACGTGTATCGTGTTTCCTCATTGACTACGTCAGTGATTTCTACTTGCATGTGTCGACCGGGGCGGTCTTCGGATATGACAAGAATGCACGATCTGCGTGCAAGAGCTGCGCAAGGAGCCATGACTCCTGCACGTGTGAAGTACCTGAGCGGAGCGCGGCATAGTAAGGAAGCCGCTCCTCGGAAGCCCAAATGACATATAGGAATACATTTGCCAGTGAGATTGAATTCCGGTGGTGACATTGTGCAGGATCTTCACGCTGTGGACATGGTGCGCGCATCCTTGGTGTTCGGGAAACAGGGTGGCTTAATGAGAGCGAAAGAACCACGCCTGCGCCTTCGCCTGCTTGCTGCCGCGATAATAACGCACCCTGGCCGTTTGCATCTTGAACGGCACTTCAGCATGGCGACGCAAGAGCGCCGAGGATAGAAAGATGTTATACAACCAGGTATGGACGGCCCACAATCTCTGATTAGAGGAGAAAGCACTCCTGTACAGCCGCCACTGTCGAGATGAGTCGCAAGGGAGGACAAGACGGTAAGCCCAACTAAGATCTCGATCGCGATCATAGCGGGTTTTGCCGGTATGCATGATGGCCATGAATACGTTCTGCTGAACATCAGCCTAACCACCTGGGGCCCGACGTCTTGAGAGGTTGTCCAACCTGGACATTATTTCTCGTTATTTCTGAGATACTTACATGAAGGAGCATCATCCAACGACACCCAGCTGACTTACCAGCACCCGAGCTTCCGTGCAAATACCGACGTCTTACTAGAACCACTCGATGTAACGTTATGTCCGACCTACTCAGCCCAGATATTCGCGAGCCATCCTCCCCTGAGGAAGATGGTAACCTCAAGCAGAGTTTAGAGATTGACATGAAAGCGCTCGTGGGCGATGCAGTAGGAAATGTGGGTCTGATCACTGAAATTCGGCCCCAATGCATGTCGTTTTCCGTCCTCAACTACGTTTTTTGAACCGCTGGAAGCCGCTCCATTCCATGTACTTATGTTTAAGAACTGCGAAGGCTGACATCATGAATCTACTACTACCTCATTAGATGAGTATTAGCCCATCAAGCCGAGATGTCGTACTAGCTACGTACGTGTTCAGACCGACCCAATACGTCATTTCATCTCATTTATGTATGAAGGCGCAACGGCCTTTTTATCATTGACCTTGAGGCTCCTCTCAATGTGCCACGGTACGTTACCTGCGCAACTCGTCTGCGAAGCGACTGATCTCGTTGCATAGCTTCCTCCCTCAAGGAGGCACCTGGGATGTCGCGGATGTACAATGGAACCCGCATCCTTCTCGGAAAGAGTACATTGTTTCGACATCGAATGAAAAGCTGTGCGTCAGAACGATGGGAAATGAATCAAACTAACGGTTGAGCAGTTTGATATGGAACCTCTTCTTGACCGGGAGAACCTCTATTGAACATGTTTTACGATCTCATTACCGCGCCATCACCGACATTAACTGGCACACTACTGAGCCTGACACTGTGGTCAGTACAGGTATCGACTCATGGCTGTGGGCTTGGGACCTCCGTGCATCTCAAAAGCCAGTAATGGGTAAGTGGCGGATGCGTCTGCCCGTTCCGCACGTGTCACTAAATGGGTGCCGATCAGGTCTGTGTGCATTTGGCTGTGAGTATGTTCTTTGTAGTGTGATATAGTATTCTCCCAGCTTAACGAGCGCCAGGTGGTGGCACGCAGGTCAAGTGGAACCGTCAAGATGGACATCTGCTCGCGTCCTCCCATCAAGACGAAGTACTCCTGTGGGATAGAAGAGTAAGTGGACCTTTGGGTACCCTTACAAAGCATAATTTGTGGGCTCATTTGTGTAGAAAGGATCCTTGCCTATCTCGCGTATACAAGCTCACAATGCGAAGATATACGGGATCGATTGGGCGCATGACAGGCGGGACGAGATCGTGACCTGCTCTCTGGACAAGTCAATCAAAGTCTGGGACACGCAGACTCTAGGTCCAAAGCTTACCATCTCGACTATGTATCCTGTATGGCGAGCTCGAGACTTGCCTTTCGGTCGGGGCCTACTGAGTCTTCCACAAAGAGGAGAGACTGCTCTAGAGATGTACAGCCATGACACCCCTGACAATCCGGTGGAAGTGTTCGAAGGTCACGAAGATGTGGTGAAAGAGTTCGTATGGCGGCGGGGTGGACATGGTTGGTGGAATCGACAGGTTGCTTGGCGAACTATTTCTGACTGCGCGCAGACTGCTCCGGCTTCCAGCTTATCACTTGGTCGAAGGACAAAACGCTACGCTTTTGGCCTGTTGATACGGAGGTTATGCAGGCAAGTTTCCATGTAGTATATGAATGTCAAAAACCTAAAGACCCTCCAGAAAGCAGGCAAAGCTCCGCCCACACGAGCGGCTTCAGAGCCTCACCGCAGAGAGCTGAAAGTCTCCTTCAGTAATCCTCCGGTTGGCACTGACCTACCACCGGCACTCTCTGCTCCTATCGGTTATCGAGGTATCCTGGCCGAGGTCCGGGCTCCGTTCCCGCCGCGACCCGCGGCAAGACTCAGCACCGGGCGGCAGGACCGGAATATTACTCGCCCCCAGTCCCAGGACCTGGACAAGGATAAGTCGGTCGCACAGTCCAAGCCCATTCCAATCACGCAGGAGAAAGGCAGAACCATGACGCGGGGACTCCTCGGTGGGCGATCGGCACAAATTAACACGTCTGCCTGGTTGTCGAGTGTCAAATTTGGCACGAAAAGGGACGGGAGCTCCGGACCAGGCAGTGGGGCAGAGAGTGGGGAGGTCTCCCGTTTCAGCTCGTTGTCGCGGCCGCCGTCACAACCAGATTCGTCTGGATCGCGCATAGTAATCAATGTACAAAAGGACAGCCCGGTAGGAGCGAAGGGTGAGGATGGGAACAGAGAAGGAGAGGTCGGTCAATCGCTACAAGAAGAGTAAGCGCATCTCTTGTGTCTTGAGAACGGTCGTATTAATCGCACTATTAGAATTACGTTCGTCACCAACAAGCTGGCTACTTACAAGGTCAAGCTAGAGAGGGTATGTGATTTGGTTCTTCTGGAAATGCAGGTTCTCATTAGCACCATAGGCGGAATGGAGCAAGAAACCTACGTGCACCTTCGGTCTACATGGTCCCTGGGGCGACTCAACCTCAGTCTTCATCCGAATTTCTTTCACATTTCCCCGCGATTATCCTCAAGCCAAGCATCCATACGGCACTCCCAGCGTGGACTTGGAGAAAAACTCGCTCATCTCAATGAAAAGTCGAGCGTTCATACTTCGGCGGCTGCGCGCCATCCGAGAGAATGACCGACCTTGTCTGGAAAAATGCTTACGCTTTCTCTTATTCGGGGACGATGAAGAACGCATCAATAGGCATCCAGGAATGGATTCTGAGTCTTCGTCGGATGAAGATATACCGTCAATCGCCCGTACTCGCAAGGACGCCAAGCCCTTAACAGTGCGAAGAGACAAGAATCTGGCAGAGCCACGCACGTCTCAGGGAGTGTTCGGTCCGCACGGTTGGAAGCTTGTCCTGCTGATTGTGCGAGTATCTTGGCTGACATGGTGGGTCGTCTAGGCGAACTCGTGTGTTTCTTCCGCGCACCACCTCGAATCGTGCGGAACATTATGCGGGAAATCTCTGTATCGCCGTCTGTTGCAACTCGACGTACAGATGCTGCTTCACGCCAATTGCGCTCTCCGTTTGTGCTGTCCGATGCGGTCCATCGACTGGCCCATGCGGCACAGGACCGAGATGCCGAATCTGTGGAGACTCGACAAGCGGAGGATGCTCATAACGTTCTCCGGATTGTGGCAGATCTGTTCACATTCTCGCAGCAGAAGCCAAGAAGACTCTCTGAGCACTCCCGACAGTTTGAGGACAAGGGAAAATACTCGCTGCTCCCGACGCGCAGCACAGTGTACATCAAAAATACGTCCGGCCTAGTGGGTATCGATGTGGGGGCTGCTCGGGACTATTCCTTGGCGGTAAATATACCCTCCAACTTTTGCAGGATAAACGCCCAGATAGCGAAGAAGAGAGGGCGTGCCGACCATGAACGCGTGTTCAGGCTTCTGGAGGCTGTTTTTAGCGGCGTCGTTGGTCAAGGTCCGCAAGAGCTGTTGTCACGGAGTACTATGCGTAACGTGCCTGCCATCACAATCATCCACAACCTGTGGGTCATGATCACTGCTTCAATTGAGCTCCTTCTGATAAGCCAACAGTTACTCAGATCTGTCGGCTCAAAAGGATATTCAAATGCTAGCCATGCTGTCAGTGCTGTTATTACATGTATATACTCCAGGCAAGTTCGCATCAAAGGCTAAATGTCGCAGGAAGCAAACGTTGATGTGTCCGCATCCAGTGAATAATATTAAGACCCAAGGCAGAACTGGTACTCCAAACTACAGAAGATCCCTGGAGCGTCGCAATTTATCGTTATCCCCTATTTGGTCTCGAGATTCGCCTTCTCCAACTTTTCAGCCATCGGCGCCACCTTTATCATCGCCTTCGTCTTCTAAAGGGTCTTGGTCAAGCCTCTTCAATACAGGCAGTATGCGGCAACTCGTATCTAGTATGCTATGTCGGCCTGCTGCTCAATACTTGTGCTCATTTAAAGATACAGGTTCTAGATCCAGAGCGGCGATCCCGGTTCCGGAGGGCACTCGCATCGGGCGTGTGCGTTCTCAACTGTCCCAAACCAACAGCCGAGAGCCGTCAATGCAACCGACACCTCCGGTCGCAAAGTCCTGGTCGGAGGCTGCAGTAGTGGCTCCTGTAGGATCGGCCGTGACGTTCTTATCGGCCGGACACACACGACGACCGACGTTCTCTCAAGTCGTAGTAGCTCGCTCGTCAGCCGCGGAGAAAAGACGAGTTGCTGTTAGTCTCCCCTTGGAAGATGACTCCCCTGCTATGTTAGTCTCCCCACTGGTACTACAATCTCTTACGATTTGCTGAATCTGCGATAGGACGACGTTGCACTCACTAATACACACTCAACTTCTCTGTCACATCCTTGCATATACTGACGTGTTATTGTCCTGGAAACTTCCGGAAAAGCGGGCTGATCTGCTGAAAAGTGTGGAGGCCGCGATCCATTCTGCATCCTTCGATGCCACGATTATCAATAGCAAACTCTATCGGGATCGCCTGGGTAGATTCATTCAATCCTATCCTCTCTGATGCCTCGACTCACACCAGGCGTTCTAGGCTACGTCCATGTCTGTCCTCATGGAACAGCGCAGGCTTCCTCGGAAATAGGAGATTGTCCCAAGTGTATCGGTCGAATGAACTCCCCACAATGCTCAGTGTGTCGTTTACCGGTCAATGGTCAGTACTTTATCCATGAACCTAAATGTGATGTGATGTAACACTGAGCCCACACAGGGCTTTCATACGCATGCTTAGCGTGCATGCATAGCGCTCATGTGGCTTGCCGGGATGCTCGGCAGGACGACCTGTGTCCCTCAGGGTGCGGATGCCATTGCATTCGCATCGCAAACTTCTCTAGGCGGCGCGCTTGAGTCTGACGTGTTAATACCCACGCATATGCACAAATAATGCATTAGACCAGGAAAATGGTTATCTACTGCGAAGCTAGCCCTGCTTAATTCCAATATATTCATAAGTGCACCAATATATCAAATGAGCGCGATCAAGCCAAGGCTTCAGAATTTGCTGATCTCGGAGTAATTGCACATTCAAACGGGCATGCATGGCTGTTAATATCTGAAGTTAACTCCCTTGGCATCTGGAAACCTTCAGATCACTTGCCTGATGGCTCCTGGCGTATAATTGATGATAGGATCTATGACAGTATTGCCCCTCTTGACTTTTGCGATGTTCAGAGTTGCCAATGACCTGCTACAGAACAGGAATAAGGTCGCCTCAGCGAGTCGCATACCTGTAATGACAGTCGCCACATAATTATCGAAGCGACACTGCAATCGAAATTGTTCACAAACCCGGGCAAACACTAGCATAGTAGAGGTCACAACATGCAGGAGCTCAATTTTGAGACAAACGCACCGTCTGCCGTACCCAAATACGTATTGACGTGGGTCTGGCTCTGCTGGTCTATCTCCTTCAGCGATGAATCTGTCCGGATTGAAGTGAAACGGTTCTGGATAGGTACTAGAGTCATGCAGGAATTTCCTAACAACACAAATGAGGACAAGTACCCGGTTGAATACTGAAACAAGATGACCTCACCAGATGTTGGGAATTATGACAGTACCCTTAGGTATGAAATACCCGGCGTACACGTCGTCCCTGTTCAGGCGACGAGGTAGTCCTACAAAAGCGTATTAATACCGGTGCGTGGTGGACCACACGGTAATGCTCACCCAGTGGTACCGCCGACTGCCATCGCAAGACCTCCAGGCACAATGCATGAATGTATGGCAGATGATCCCTGTCTGCAAGGACAGGCAGTCTGTTACGACCGACCACGGAATCGAGCTCCCTTTGAGCTTTCCTTTGGACTTCTGGGAAGCAGGTCATCGCGAGGAAGAATGTGTACACCGAAGAGTGGGTCTAGTGGGTGTACAAAGTTTGGTATGCGTAATAGTCTATATAATAAACGGCACGCACGGTATCGACACCAGCTGTTTTGCACGAGTTTCCTCAAGGATTAGGGCATGTCAGCAGGCCACAACCGCAAAGACTCACCACCATAGAGAGAAGCCGCTGCGTCCTTTATCAACAGCTCTCCGTGGGAGTCAGGTTTCGCTTCCAGCAGTGTCGACGTGAAGCTTGAGGTAACAGTTCCAGTAGACTGCAGGTAAGCGTCAATGAACCAATGTACACCGGTGCAGATTCAGGTTACCTCACCATAATGCGTTTGGTAAATTCGAAAGGTGCATCGCACATTAATTTCAGATCAGCTGCCCACATGCGGGCCTTTCTTTTCCACCCAGCCCCTGGTAGCCAGCTTGGCCAAAACCGTACTTTAATCGGAAGACAATCAGCCAAATCGTTATTCAACATATCTAAGAGCACGCACATAAAGGGAATGAGTCCACAAGAAATGCCCCAGGTATGAGGCCCATAGACAATTCTTCCATTGCTCGCTCAACAGTGCCGAGTAACTTGTCATCATCGGCTTCTACCTGATAGCCATATGCGATCTTCAGAATAATGGAACCGGTAGTTCTGTCGCGATGTTCAATAATCATTCTCAACTCGGTTACAAGAAGCCCAGCTATCTACTTACCTTCGGATTTGCTGTGTCAGCGATTCAGGATGTTGCAGTAGGCGGGCCAAAAAATATTGAACCTCGTCTTCGATATGATGTGAGAGATCGCGTATGTGTGCATAACTACCAATTGCAGTCGACATCAGGCGACGCATCCCCCGGAGTCTTGGTCCGAGGGATTGAAAACCGGCAGTCCGCTTCCAACCCATCAATTCTCCCGACATTGTCATGTGCGGGCGATCTGAGTAGAGGTTGCTACGTTTGTCCAAAAGCTCGGATGCAACGCCAGAGTTGTTCAGTATGAGCATCGACTGTCCAAAAAGCTTGATATATATTATATCTCCTAAACACCGCATCGGATACATGAGGTCACATCTTAGCGGACAATATCAACTACTGCTCACCCCATTGCTCACCCCACGCAGTGAAGGTCTTCCATGGGTATACAACTGGCATATCTAGGATGTTCCCGACGATCGGCCATCCTGGCGGACCAGGTGGAAGGCGTTTACTCCGACCATATGCCAACGCACGGCCGAGAAGTATTAGCAATGTCAGCGCCGCGATGCTAATGAGAAATAAATGTGAGCTCAGCATGCTCGCTGGAATACTTATGTCTTGCTGTCGAAGAAGATGATATATGCCCTCACTGAGGCGCGTGTCGAAGATGAGACTGTGTCAAACCTTCGTGAGGCGCGTGTCGGAGATAAGGTGGTGACTAAGAGAGTTGCAAGTCGTATCTGGCTGTCCAATGGGAGTGCTCGCTGACTTCTTGTTCATGTGTCTCGGCACAAAGTGGAACAGGATTGTCGCTTCCCGTGCGGATAGGGATACCATAATCACACAGTGTTGCCTGTAGAGTTCATCGGAGGTCCGAGAATGAATGAAGCCCGATGAATATATCGAGGCGCCACTCACCGACATGTGGCGTTCAATATTAGAAAACAAGGAAACTAGGACACGAAGTACAGATATTCGAATGGCAGATCAGAATAGAAGGTTTGCGCCGACGATTGATGTTTATTATGTGCACCCGCATAAACTGCCCTCACAGGGCGACAGTGTACAAAAATGTCCACGACGTTGTGCAACCCTTTAAACAGCCTGCGGCGTATCAGTTTCAACACTCGGCGGTCACCTCTCCCTCGTTTCGTGCATCGCCGTGATCAACGCCTCAGCATTTGCTGATCTAGGTTTTATCGAGAACTCGAAAGGGCGTGGATGACTATCATATATGTGAGCAGTGGCCATCGAGTCTAAACAACAAGGCACCAGACCTGATTGTCCCACTCGTGTAGTCGATCACGGGCTCTATCACCTTTCCATCGCGCACCACCTTCGAGATGTCAAAGACAGCCAAAGACATCGCGCAAGAGATAAACAAGGATGCATCAGCGAGGTACATCCCTACCAGAGCCATTAGTGAGTTGCCGTGCAGCAAGATGGCATCACACACCTGGACATATGCTGTGGACTCCGCGTAAGCACACAGACAAGCAAGAGGAGCTGGCTACTCACCGCCTTCCAAAACCGAATACGATCTGACGCGGATCTTTCTCTGCCGTCTTCCCGGGTGATGCTATGAACCTCTCCGGCTCGAAATCGAACGGATTTGCATAAGTGTCTGGGTCGTGCAGAAATTTCCTATGAGCATGCATACAATCGAAAACATGCAATACTATCAGAATGCTGTTCAGGAAGAATGGCAGAAATAACATACCAGATGTTAGGGAATACTATAGTGCCTTTCGGGATAAGGAAGCCTGCATGAAAGTCATCCGCTACCGGACAATGAGGTACTCCTATATAATGATGATCACAATGGAAGTCTAAGGACACTGTGAAATTCACCGCAATGTACCTAACGGGGCGACAGGTTGCCATCGGAGAACTTCACAACAAAGAGCAGTAACAAAAGGCAGTTTGTCACGATCCGCGAGAGTAGGCAATCTATCGTTGCCAATGACAGCATCAATTTCTGCTTGGGCCTTCCGCTGTGCCTCCGGATAGCATGTCATAGCCAGGAAAAACGTGGATATTGCTGAAACTGTCTATTCAGACCGCGTAAGGATCACACCATTGTGAGCGATGAATCACGTACCGTATCCGCGCCAGCTGAGCAAAAGAGATAGTTTTAGATACACCAAATGGGAATATAGGCAACTTTGAGAATACCGCTGTACAATGAGAATGCCGCGTTTTTTATCACGATCTCTTTCTCCGGGACCGGGTTTGATTCCAGATGGGTGGACGTGAAGCTAGGAATGGCAGTCCCAGCCGACTGTGAAGCGGGGGTCAGAATATTCTCAGATGGGCGTGCTACACCTAATGGTACCATTTGCTGTTGAGTGAATGCATACGGCACGTTGCATGTCATTTCGAGGTCGTCAGCCCAGACTTTGGCCTTTTTCTTCCAGCTAGCTCCGGGCATCCAAGCCGGGACGTGTCGCACTGAGAACAACAATTCAAGTACAACTTGCAGTTATAATGATATCATGGACTCACAGATGGGGAACGTGTCGACCAAAAACGCGCCGGGACGTGTCGAAATGGAGAATTCATCGACTGCCCGATCGACCAGGTCGACGAGAGGGTCGTCACCTTCTTGAACCTCGTATCCATATGCCATCTTGAGAATCACTGCGCCCGTTGTTCTAGGGACAGAAATAAGCTCATGAGTGAACAAGTATCTATAGAGGAGAGTGGTGCTGGGCGTTCACTTACTTCCGAATTTCCTTGAGGACCGAGGTAGGTTCACGAAGGATACAACGCAAAAATCGATGCACCTCATGTTCGAGGTGCAGAGAGAATCGTTCAGTCTGGCTTCGGGTACCGATCAACTGAGAGAACAGCTTGCGTGTTTCGCGAAAGCGTGTGCCGTAACGCAGAAGAACCAGGGTCCTATCCCAACCAACCATTTCTCCTGCCATCGTGATGGCCGGACGATCCGAATAAACATTGCTCTTCTTCTCAAACATATCATAGGCGTGCTGAATCGAATTGAGAATGACGATGTGTTGCCCGAATAATGTTACGGAGACAATATCACCTGGGTGATATGTTACAAGAGGAAATACGGCAACGTGAGAACGATAACACTGACCCCATTTCTCACCCCAAGACATGAAGGTGTTCCACTCATTGGTGGCAGGCATATCGAACACATTACCCATCAACGGCCATCCCCGCGGACCTGGGGGTAGAGGTCCTCGGGCCGATTGTCTACCTCGGTAGACCACAAACAGCAGCGCCACTAGCAAAATGGCGGCCCCTGTATCCAGAACAAGAAAGAGTCTCGACATGAGCAGAAGTTCAGATAGGTCAGATTGAGTACCTCAGTGTGAACAGAGGGCCACTATATAGGTAGACGTGCGCTAAATTACCCGAGGAACGGCTGAGGATCTGCCCGAAGTACAGCAATCATGCCGACAGCTGGACAGACTGAGAATTGAATTGTATCCACTGTGCATTGATTAGCATTGCCATTGATTTGCATATGCCTTGATGACTTTCTTTGCATAGTGTGTGGAATGTAGGACGTGAGATGGGCCTTCATATCATAAAATAAGGAACCTACAAATGTTTGCAGCGACGAAATGATGGACATGGCCCTCAACTTCCAGCGATTCCACACCCTCGGCGGTGCCCACATGTGCCGAGGATGCCTGTTGCAGTATAACCCACTCTCCGGAGTCTGCTGACATAAACGTATCATCCCGAGTCCGCGGAGATCCGAGGGAGATGCAAAGTTCGCTATGGGATCTTGGAATGTAGTAAGGCGCTTGTAATGATGATCTTCGTCTGCCCAAGAAGGTTAGGGCGCCGCGCAGAGGTACATTGACTCGACAAAGGCGTCTCTCATGTCCGCTCAGATCGTGTTACCAGCGGTCAAATTAACGCTAACGATATTCCTCCACGCAGCATGGGAAAACATAGCCCTAATAGACATGTTGAAGACACAGCTGCATTCTGGGAGATAACTGAAGTCGGCAGACGCCGGGCAGCCTCTAGAACGCGATACACGTGACCGCGAAGCGATCGCGTCGAGATAACCGATCATAGACTTACAGGCCAAGCCGCGTCGGACACGAGTCACAAGAGTCCCTTACTGCTCATCAACATCAGTGTATTTCGCATTACAGAAAGTACATCAAGGGAACATGCCTGGTCGTCTACAAAACAAGGTGCGCTAGGCTAACTGCACGCCGACCCTTCTTTGAAGATGAAGACCCACTCACTCTCAGGTCGCCCTTATCACTGGCGCGGGATCGTAGGCATACTGACAGTGACGCTACACGACACGTAGCTCACAATCTGGATTATAGCGGGATTGGCCTCGAATCCTCCATTCTCTTTGCACAAGAGGGTGCGCACGTCGCGCTCGTTGACATCAATGGCCAGGCCGTGCAGAAGACTCACAAACTCATTTCCGAGAGATTTCCTAATGTCAAGTCCGTTCCCATCCAGGCGGATGTCAGCAAGGAGGATAGCGTTAAGAACATGGTTGACGAGGCCGTCAAGGCCTTCGGTCGCCTCGATATCATGGTAGGTTCTTGATAGGCGCATTGACATCAGGACATCTAATCATAGTGGGCGCTGTGTGCGATTCAGTTTAACAATGCGGGTATGTGCCGTGGGCCTTTTGTGCTTCCATTCATAATCGACATTCAGGGATCATGCACCCGGAGGACGACCATGCCCTCAACACGGAGGAGCGGATATGGGATCTGACCATGAATATCAACGTCAAGGGCGTCTGGTGGGGCTGCAAGTACGCGATCCTCGCAATGCGTAACAACCCCACGGACCAGAGCAAGGGGCTCCACACTGGCGGCAGCATTATTAACACTGCGAGTTTCGTGGCCCTCCTGGGCGCGGCGACGCCCCAACTTGCTTGTATGTACCCGTGCCAGATCTCGTATGTTACGATCTCGGCTAATGCTCGTTATGTACAGATACTGCGTCGAAGGTGGGCACCGTGAGGTCCCCAGATCACAATTATTGTTGACGAATCATGCTATTGCAGGGCGCCGTCCTCGCCATGACACGCGAGCTGGCTATGGTACACGCTCGCGAGGGCATCCGGATCAACTCTATCTGCCCGTAAGTCTCCCTCGCTCTGCACTTCGTATATTCTCTGATCGCACCTACAGAGGGCCTCTCAAGACGCGTACGTTGGATTGTCACCCATGGAAACGATCAGCAGAGGCCTAAATGTTTACCCACCGTCCCTTTCATTAGCCCTCTTGATGGATTTCCTCAACACGCAAGAGAAGAAAGACCGCAGAATGGTCCACCTGCCCATGGGGCGCTTCGGCGAAGCCGTCGAAGTTGCCAGGGGCGCACTCTTCTGTACGTGCCTTGCAACACTATCACAGTGTATGAAGCCTCTGATGCACTTCTTTCATAGTGGCAAGCGACGAGAGCAGCTACGTGACCGTATGTATTCGTCACTTGAAGTTCGAGCGGCTGACTTCATCGGGATTTACAGGGCACGGACTTTAAGGTCGATGGTGGTCTCAGTTCATGCTACGTGACACCCCTCGGAGAGCAGATCTTGCCGGCACCCTCTAGTCTGGTTTAAATAGTACATTGCAATTAAGCAGCGTGCAAATCTGATGTACAAAAGTCGCCACAGAACCAAATGAAATGATAGATGTTACAGACGACAGACGATAGGAAAGCAGTACGATATGGATGCTAGGTGTAGGCGTAAATTCGAAAATCTCAGTTTGAGACAAAGCGTGTTGAGCGGTACTACAGAGTTGGATGAGACCATGGCATCAAGGCAGTCCTCGCAAAGCGACTAGCTGGTACAGCCTTGAAGAATATTGCCATGAAGGTGTGCATCGTGCTGTTACTACTCATCCTCGCGTTTGGATGCCTTCTTTGCTCTTTTGATTTTCAGGATCTCTGTGCCGATGCTGTTCTTGAGCTCTCTGTGTAGCTCGGGCTTATAGCCTAACGCAAACAGGATCTCGAGATGGACGAAGAAAGGGGCGAGGACCACAGCTGCAGCATTCGCACACTATTAGTATAGTTATGTGCACATGAAACTCTTAAATGCCGCATACCGCCGACGATGTTGTCGAGGAGAGCCGGAGAGCGACCCTCGGGACCGTAGTGCCCAACGAACTGAGCAATCCAGGAGCCAATATGCAGTGCGGTGGCATATTTGATCGCATCAGGGGTGTACGAGAAGGCGGTCGCAGTAAGGAGCGACAATGCCAGCTGAGGAACGTACAGGGCCTGCTCAGGGAGTGGGTGAGATCAAACAGCGAGTCTGACGAGGTTGGGACTCACGGCTGCGGTAGGCTCGAGGGCAAAGTAATAGATGATGTACAAGAGGGCATGCAATGCCGGTACGTTCAGATCGAACGTAAACCATTGATTAATCGCGACGTGAACAGCCGGGATGAACGCCGGAACGGGGAGGACAGATGCCATAACCTGAAACGTCCTGCGCAGTATTGCGTGTCAGTGTCAGTAAGGCCTCAGCTATGAGTATGTATCTGGACAACGACATACCATAAGAGTATCGGCACACATACTTCGTGAATAGTGATGTTTATGGGATTAGAGTGGTAGGCGCCATAGAAGGTCAGCTGAAATGGATGTTAGGGGTCGCTGTCCTTGGGCCTTGCTCGAGCTGCACTCGCCTGCTTCTTTATGTCGAAGAGGCCTGAGGTCGACATGGTGGTGTTTGAGAGAAAAGAGACGACAGGAGTGCGGTGGGAATGTATGATGAAATACAGACTACTGACCAGGGCGACTGCGCCATCCCCAGGGCCAGTGCGGGCAAGACCCGTTGTCCGGAGCCCTGACGTGCTCCGAACACCGCCCGGCAGGGAGAGCGTTTTCGATGACACTTAGGTTGTCTTCTTTTGGGACCCTCGGGAGATACCTCGGGCGCCCGAGGTATCCCGGGATGGTTGGATCTCCGCCCCCGGTTCAATCTCTGTGGATTCGTCCCAAAGGAAAGTAATTATCGAACCATCGGGCGCCCGAGGTATCCTGAGATGGTTGGATCTCCGCTCCGGGGGATGGCTCAATCCCTTTCTTTTCCTCCGGACATTGTATGCTGACCAATCAAGAGGTAGCATATCCGTGCAATGTCCGGAGTCCGGAGATCGCGGCAGGATCGCGATGAGGGTGCATCACGTGGCTTCATGCGGTTACACGTATCTAGTCAAGCGCCCAGTGCTCACAGCGAGTAGCTCATCATACTTTCGACGTCTCTCTCCACTTGAAACCGTTGTTTCTGCTTTCTAAAATGGTCCGGTCAACGTTGATTGTACGAGCATTTGATGCTCTGCCCCTTGCTGCAAGCGTTGACGATGAGCAAGTACGCAAGGTCGTTGCGTCATTTGCCTATCCCAAGGCACTCATGATGTATAGACAGAACAAGCGCTGCAAGAACACAAACAACAGGCGAAGCTCGTGTTCCGAAGAATTACACCAAACGCGGAGCCACGCTGTTCGATTGAGAGTGGTCAATACACACTACAGTGCGTCCCGGGCAATCGCCATGGCATCGAACGCGTCGACTTATGAGCTTGCGTTTAGCTACCTTATAGCGGATAACGTCGTCTATCTTGTCATTGCAGACAAGTCGTATCCAAGAAAACTTGCCTTCTCCTATCTGGATGAGTTGTCCAAGGAGTTTGCAACATCGTACGGCGCGAAAGTGGAGGCCGTGCGGAAGCCATATGCGTTTGTGGGTTTCGGTGCGGACGTCTCACAGCTTCTATCTTTGCGATTCTTAACAGCTCGCTCCGCCATGGTTAGACACATTCATGAGCAAGACGGCCAGACTATACCAAGACACGCGGACAGCAAGTGCGGCAGGCAGTTCAGGCCTCGACAAGCTCAATGACGAGCTACACGACGTCACACGTATCATGACGAAGAACATGGAGGAGTTGCTGTGGCGAGGAGACTCGTTGGACAGTAAGTGAACCGGCTCTGCGGAGGCATTTGTGATACTTATGTCTTTGGTATCTAGGAATGTCACATCTCTCCACGTCTCTGAGATCAGAATCAGAGAAGTACCGAAAAGCCGCACGAAACATCAACGTCCAGGCCATGCTGCGACAGTATGCGCCATTAGGGGCGGTAGTCTTCATCCTCATTATCATTCTGTGGTGGCGGTTTTCATGAGCGGTTTGTCGTGTATATGTAGTCTACTAATTATCTTTCAGGCTTCCGTGGATCATGGACTTCATGCTGCATCGAGCAATGCATTCCGTTTTGTCTCACAGGGCACCCGCAGCCTTCCGTGTGCTCATTGTCACGTAACGGCGTCTCGCCGAATGTAGCCACCGCATACTACTAGGCAGTGCACGCTGCAATACTGATCAGGGCCACTGGATCTTGCCGTATACACGATGCATGGAGATGGCGCCGGACGTCGATGAGAAATAGCCTGTGTAGATAACTATCTCCCATCAGCTCCCCCTTTCTTGTACCAATACCACGGTCTGCCAGGACAGACCCACTAACAGTGCCGCAGACCCAGTGTCATTTTGCCAGACGACGGTGGGCGAGCCGCAATGTCGTACGGCGGCATCACGTACCCGGGAGGCACATCGCCCATTATACCGCCCCAGCAGTTCGCTGCTCCAGCCAGCCCACAGCCTCAGCAGCAGCAGATCCTGCCAGGATCGTATACATATACGACGGGCGTTGATGCCAGTGGGCAGACCATCTACCACCTCTTCAGGTGCGTACCGATCGCAGCTGCTCGCGATCGTTTCGGCCGCGTTGCAGGTTGATAGCAAGTGCTGATCGTGATCTCATGTAGAGCCGTTCCCGCAAGGTGATTACATACTTCCGCACTTCTGAGGAATTCAGCGACTGAGTGGACACGCAGCTACCAGACCGCTCAAGGTGTCGTGAGTGGCATCCAATGGGTCCCTGCCGAAGCTACGCAAGTTGTGCCTTCTGGAGCTACTCCTGCTAACGCGGTACTGCTCGATCACCATCGCGCGCTGCTTTCTCGTACCGATGATAGCTCCCCACAGGATTTCTTGGCGTCCTTCAACAGGGGGCAGCCAGATGGAGGTGCTATGAGAGACTGGTGAGCACGCCCTTCCATACTACGGTCCCTGCTTACACATGTATTTTCTGCAGGCAGCGCGACGAAGAGAGACGACGAAAGAAGGAGCGCCGCGAGCGCGAAGACAAGGAGCTCCGCAAGGCGCGCGACAGGGACGCCCGTGGCGAGCGCGAACGCCGCGAGCGCAGGCCCAGCTACAATGGCGGTGCGTACCCGCCCTACGAGCCGGACCGCCGCTACAGCACCGCACCCACCGCCGACCTTGAGCGGCGCTTTGCAGACCTCGAGGTCGACCGCGGCCGTGAGCGCGAGTACGAGCGCGAGCGCAGGAACAGCACGTCCCGCCGCGGGTCGTACTACGGCGACCGACCCGCGGGGTACCAGCCCGCGCCCGGAGGTCCCGCATACCCCGGGCCTCCGGGAGCGTATCCGGGTACTGCCCCTGGCGCATACACGACTACGCCGCCATCCACGTACACCTCACCGGCATACGGCGCTGGTGCCGGCGGCCAGTACTCGAGGCCAGGCGCATACCCGCCGTCCCCGCGTCCTGGAGAGAGTATCGCAGTCCCGCGCCCCCCCTCGCCGTACCTCCCCGGAGGTCTGCAGCGCCCCCCGTCGCCCTACCAAACCGGAGGCGTCGTCCCGCCGCGTCCCTCGTCTCCATATCAGGTTGGCGGCATGGCGCGCGCCCCCTCCCCGTACCAACCTGGCCCTGGTCCTCGCCCGGGGTCTCCTTACGCACCAGGTGGCATGCAGCGCGCCGCATCGCCTAGGCCCGGCGGGATCTATCCCCCCATGGACAACCAACCGCCCATGCGTCGTCCCCTTTCTCGCGCACCCAGTCCCTCGCCGGGCATGTCTCCGTATGCTCCTTCTGCAGGTGGGTACGGGAATAGCACGTCTGCCTATGGACCGTCTGGCGGCTATGGGGCGGCAGGCGGCTATGGCCAGCCAGGTATGCCTGGCGCGGCGTCCCCGCGCATGCCGCTGGGCCCAGGAGAGCAGCCGCACACGCCGATGCTCTCTGCACCGGAAGGCTTCGCTCGTCCCCCGAACCTGGCGCAGCCGTACACCCACTTCGAGATGATGAAGATCCAGGACATGGACGACTTCCTCGAGCTCATCCCGCGCATGCCGCTGGTCCTCGTCCCGCACGACGTCTACCACGAGGACTGGATCCGCTTCATGAATGTATGCACTTCCTCCTTATTTTGCTACAAGGCATGTCTGACGCATCGTGCAGGACGTAGCGATGGCCTGGTCCGGGCGCATGCCCGTCCCCGAGTACGCGGCAGACGGCCGCCCGCCCAAGCGCACGACGTTGACCGCCGACCTCATCGACCTCTGGAACACCTCGTTCTTCAGCAAGCGCGGCGTCGAGCTTGTGCTCTACAAAGGCCGCGAGCGCCGCTCCGGTCGCTCTGTTGGGATGGTGGACCTCCATCTGCCTGGCTTCGACACTTACGATGCTATTTCATCCGGCTCAGACTCGGATTCTGATGACTCCGACGATGACGATGACGATGATCTGGACGACCGTCCTCGGTACGGTGCTTACGGCGGCGTCTATGGACGTCAAGTAGAGGGTCAAATGGCCGAGCTCCGTGAGGCCAGGCGCCTGCGCCGTGAACGCAAGGCGGAGAAGAAGATGCGCAAGAAAGAGAAGAAGAGGAAGGCGAAGCTGAGGGAGCTGGAACGCAAGTACGCGCTCTATCTCGCGTGTATTTCTCCGCGGGAGGGTGGCTTGTAAGAAGGGAACATTCTGCCGTGCTGTACATTTTCGTTCGTTCATGCGCCTGTATAATCAACATGTCTGTATGTACTGCTATGTGATATTGCAATGGAACATCTTAGGTTTACAAGCGAGACTACCCGAAAGACGACCGCAAAGTATAGTTATATAATGTACATACGTTGTGATGAATGCAACGTCCATGATGATGTACAGACATGAGAATGCGTCAGCCGGATTAGTATGGTCGACCACCTCGCGCACGCCCTCTGGCGTTGTATGCGCCGCCGCGTGGATTAGCATAGGAATTCGACCCATACCCACCGCTGTAGTTGCCGTATGCGGGCTGAGGGGGCCCGTTATAACCATTGGGACCGCCGTATCCCCCATTACCTCCATTTGACGGGTTACCATTATAGCCCCCGTAACCTCCACCATAGCCGCCTCTACCATTGGCGCCGCCATATCCTCCTGCGCCGTTGGAATGGGACCCGCTGTAGCCACCAGAGTCATATCCTCTGCCCCTTGGCGCCCCTCGTCCACGAGGAGCCCCGCGTGATCCATATTGGGACTGCGAAGACTGGTATGGCGGGTGTGACTGGTTATTCGAATATGGCGCCTGAGCATACGAATTGTGGTGATGAGGTTGGTACGATTGTTGATGCGGCGGGCCGTTGAAGCGATCATACCCTCCGCGGCCTCCGTGATCACGACCGTTACCGTACGAGTTCGTCGCGTATGACTGAGGACCTCCGTATGGAGCACCGCGCGATGACCCGCCGTAATCTCCACCACGACCGCGACCACGACCACCCCTCCTAGCGCTCTCCCGATCTGCCTGCGTCAGCACAGGACGTGTCCTCTGAACACCAGGCAGAAGGACGGAACGGTGTGGTATCAGCTGTGTCGGGAAGAGGTACAAGGCGGATAGCGAACGGTCGCCTTTAATGTCGGGGAGGTCCTGGGTTGGCAACGGGCAGTCGTAGTTCGCTCCTGGTATGCAGTCGGGGTTGGGAAGCAAGCTGCCGCTGATACCGTGGCTGAGCTTAACGTTGATTGGCATAGGCTGTTGCATCAATTGTTAGCTACCTATGAGAGATCTTACGATACGCCGACGCACCTCATCCTTCTTACGCTTGCCATACAACGCCTCGAGCGTAGTATATAACGAATGCTCCTCCGATACAAACGTGAAGTGGTTGCCGTGTTTATTGCGTTTCTTCTCCGCGTCGGTGAGACCCCCATAAAAAGGCGCCATCGCGTCCAACAATCGCCTCGTATCGATGAAGGGCAACAAGGCAACACCCTGCCAGGCCATCCGCTTCCCGTTCATGTCGATCCGGAACGAGCTCGGATAAAAGTCGATAATTGGGGACGTTTCCTCAGTCATCAACTTGTGGAATACTTCCGGTATATGTTGTCGACTAAATGGATGTTACATAGAGCCAGCATCGCAGAAAACAGAGACATACCTCGACGCTGGGAAAACGCTCATGAGTTGCTGGAATGGCTCGGACGGCCCCCCCATATCAAACTTGATGTCCATGTTCCTTACGTCGACGAAGTCGGCAGCGAAGGGTGCAAAATGATATGGATAGTACCAATGCCAGGACGGCGTCTTTCCAAGATGAGGTCAGTAAATATTCTGGTTACAAGGTATGCGTCGCTCACTCCCTGGTAATAGTACTGCAGAACCCAAGCCATACCTTCCATATAATGCTTGGTGATCCTGGATAAATCCGTCAGACGTGATCTCAAGACCGCAGAATTCCAATGCTCACTCTTTCCTAAACTCGATGTCCCCATACTCAACGCCGAACTTCTGACGATAATAACGCTCCTTGTATCCTGGCTCCCAAAGTCTGTGGCACATGGTCAGCCTGGCGAAGTGATACTGTCACGTCTACGTACTTCACGATGTCTTCCTGGTCGACAGTGCCATCAGGATTCACTTTATAGTCCAGAGCCGTTGCACTCGGTGCGTCTTCGTCATCACTACCCAAGTCATCGTCACCTTCCTCTGCCTCGACCTTATCAATGGTGCGTTTGACACCCTTCGGAGATTCATCAAGCATTTCCTCAGGATCAATCATGAGAGCTTCCGGAGCAACTTCTGTATCCGGTTCGCCGCTGGCGTCGACGTCGTTCTCAGTCGTAGTCATCACAGAATCATGGGAGCCGCCCAAGCCAGGGACTTCATTATCATCATGATTGATGAAAGCAGAGGTCTCTTGAGTCGTGGTAGAGGCGGAGGGTGTGCTACGTGCAGGAGCAGACGAAGCGGACTGCGAAAGTTTGGAGGCACTAGGTTTCAATGGGGTAAGACCAGCCAGCTCGGCCTTCAGCATTTCAGCAGCACTCATATTAGCCATCCGAATGGCACGTCGATTCGCGACGACATCGCGATTCGAACCGGCCAAAGCCTGAGCTGCCATCGGTGCATGTAGAGCCGTCTCGGCGGTCTTTGGGCCACCCAAGCCAATGCTATCTGCCTTCGCTGCAAAGTCACTTGTGGGACGCGGGGGAAGTGGATGTGGGGTAGTAAAGGTCGTCGCAGTAGGTGCACTTGGAGAAGCAGTTAGATTCAATGAAGCTGAAGGCTTTACATCCATTGATCTCATATCCTGGTCGAGCTTACGGCGCTTGGCATTCTGTTCTTGGCGTTCCTCAGCTGAAACGGGAGACAACAATCAGCAAACATCCTGGGCAAATCGCGTTATGACATACATTCACGCCTACGCCGGAAGATCTCATCCTCCCGCTTCGCGAGGCCCTGAAGCACTATGTCTGCTCTGGAGAGTTCCACTCGACCATGATCTGTCAAATAGCCTCCCATCCTCGGCAACTCATCGCGCCAGATTCTGAGCAGGGTGTCAATGGCTCCCTCTCGAATCTCGAGAGAAGGGAGATGGGGTAGAAAGTCGTTACCGACGAAGAAAATCATAAACACCCAATCATCGATCGCTCGTTCAAGGTTGAAGGGGAATGGGGCGTTAGCAATATTCAGCTCTGCTTCTAGGTACTCGCGAAGGATGGCGACGTCAAGGAAAATGAAGGGTTTCTTCTCCAAAGGAGGCTTAGTGACTTCAGGCTTGGTTCCGGTACACTGTGCTGCGTAGTGCCCTTCCTGACCACATATGCGGCACGCAGTGGCGCTACCGGATTGTGCAAAGACGTCTTCACGCAGAACCCGGAAGTGCGGTTCATGCGTTGCTAACGATAACATGATTAGGTCCGCATCCTGGGGTAGCAAGTCAGTGAGAGTAAAACTACGTGAACAGAACGTACCAATCCATAAATTACATGCCGTGTGTTTGGGTCATGGCCAGGATTCGACCTTTGTTTACGTATAAAGTCCATGATTTTGTGTTCGCCCTCGCCGGGCACATTAGCATCGGAGATAATGACCTGCATCTGCACACTAATCAGCACATGTAGATGCGGCATCATACACACGCAGTTACCTGTTTCCAACCTGGGTCTGTGTTCAACTTCTGAGCCACCCAGTAACGAAGAGAGATAGCCAACAGGTCCATGAACGGCGTGCCAGGAGTAATTGCATTAGAGTCCCAGCTCTTCTTGTTTTTCTCTTCTTCGCTGAGTGTCTTCCCCATCGCTGGCACGATGTCAGCTAGATAATGGCGGGGCGCAGAGAACATGACACACATTCCCACATAGCAACAGCCTCTTTTCGGGCTTCCTCCTTCTCTTGAGCTTCTTGTGCCGATCGGAAACGGCGAGAACGTTGCTGGTTCATCTTTGCTCGAGGTGCGACGCCATCGATCGCCATGAACAGTAGTCTGCGGGGTCGAACCATGTTGACCACCCGTTCTGTATACTTGAATATTTCGACCATCATCTCTTCCTCCGTCTCGGGAGCGGGCTGAATGGTCATCAGTAACCTTGTGGGATTGCAATGTAAAACCCCCTCACCTTTCCCTCGGGATGGGTACACGGATGAACCTAAGGGAACATAATAAGACCATGTACATTTGGTGTATGATCACAGCACGAAGAATGACACTCACAATGCCATTCATATCCAAGTAGAGGTTGTCAAACTCCGCTTCGTTGGGATTGGGACGAGATATATCAATTGGGATGGCAATCTCGTTACCCTCGGCATCTGGGACCTTCGCCTCCTCTTCCTCGATTACGGGAAGAACTTGACATTCCTGTGTCAGTAAGAGAAACCTCCCGGGTATAGTGGACTCAGCGCACTTATTTTAGGGTACTTTTTGCTAAGCCAACGGAACAGTGCTGGGACACCCTGAGAAACAAATGTTATCAAATTCTGCCATTCAGCAGGGTCTTGTGCATACCATGGTGTTGAATTGTCAGCTCAGATAATGTGTCGAAGATAACTTATACGGGTTAGAGTAAAGCAGCTTTGGTCGTCGGAGCGTACAACGACGACGCCGGTACGCACTAGTGTCGAGAACACAGACCGTGACGCACCGCGCTAGCGTAATGTTTCCACGGTCCCGTGCCTCGCGTCCAATGAGACTCGCGAATGACTCGAGTCATTCTAAAGTAGCTCGCTCTTGACTATTCACTGTGCCCACTTGCTTTCTGCTCGTTAGTTTCCCCTCTCAGTCCTTTCGCACTCATAATGGCTCCCGCCGCTACTCTGGACGTTCAAGTCCAGCCCTCGAATGGGGAACCCTCACGCACGCTCCCGAAACCTCAGAAAGAAATGACCAAAGCCGAGCGGCGTGAACTGCAAGAGAGACAGCGAGCAGCGAAGGCCACAAAACAGGCTGCTGTACCGAATGGTGTAAACGGGAAAACCGCAAACAACAAGAAGCCCACTGAAGTAACCCAGCCCTCGAACGTTCCCGCACAACGGAAGGAGCGGAGGGCGAGCAGAGCTGCAGACACTGCTCGGCCGACACCCGCACCCGTGAACAAGCCCCTTCAGAAGGTGCCACTGGTTGCTGCGGCTGATGCCTCAGTCGAGAAAGCTCGCGGCCTACGGATATTCGCGCATTTTGGTTTGCCCAAACCCGCGAGTATTGCCAAAGGCGAGATTCACCCGACAATCGTGCGGCTCGCCTTGCAGTTCTCAAATTTCAAGATCACGGGCGCAAACGCACGCTGTATCGCCACATTGACGGCGTTCAAAACGGTGCGTTCGGGATTGGCTAGGGTCAAGTACACGACTGACGAGTAGGATTACAGGTAATTCAGGATTATTCAACTCCCCCACACACCACACTCTCAAGACATCTTATGACCCATCTGTCGCCGCAAATCAGTCATCTCGTCGCTGCGAGACCCATGGCTATAACCATGGGCAACGCCATTCGCCAGCTAAAGCTGGAGATCAGCGGGTCCGATATTGATCTCCCTGAGCAAGATGTATGTGCTTCTCACCTATGACATCACCAGACGCTGGCTAACGTGATGGCTATTCCCACAGGCAAAAAATGCTCTTTGCAGTAAAATCGATCACTATATCCGGGACCGGATCATTATGGCAGACCAGGTCATACAAGAGACCGCGGGGAGCAAAATCAAGGATGGTGATGTCATCCTGACCTATGCAAGGTGAGATGGCAAACGACATTTTCCCACTAGGAGCCCTGATCGACGATATGTCTAGATCATCAGTCGTCGAGAAGGTGTTACTTGACGCGCACACGGAGGGGCGGGACTTCTCGGTGATTATCGTAGATTCAAGACCAATGCTTGAAGGTGCGGGAGTGTAAGAATGTCCTGGTTTGGCGTTTAATCCCGACAAATACTCTGCAGGCAAACGATTATTATCCATTCTATCCGCAGCCGGCATCCAATGCACATATCTCCTCTTACCGGCTCTAGGCTCGGTCATCAATGAGGTGTCAACGGTTCTTGTTGGGGCGCACTCAATACACTCCAATGGCTCTGTATTCTCGCGTGCGGGAACGGCCTTGGTGGCCATGATGGCGAAGCGGCATTCAGTACCAGTCGTTGTATGTTGCGAGACGTACAAATTTTCGGAAGGCGTGCAGTTGGACAGTTTTACCAAGAACGAGCTAGGTGTGTCACTTCGGATTGAGACAATCATCAGATCAGGACATGTCCTAACATAGATGTTGCTAGCACCGATCGGGGACATGTTTTCCTCGTTCCCCCTAACCAAGCCGCGGGACGCATTAACGTTGCAGAATCGACCAAATCTAGAGATCCTCAACCCGCTTTACGACCTTACTCCCCCGTCATGTATCACCGCTGTCGTCACTGAGGTCGGCGTCATCCCGCCAAATTCCATCAGTTCTATACCATTAGCATTAGGCCGGTTGCTTTGACGCATCGGTGTCTGTATCGTGTTGCGATCCCTGCCCTTTACGCATTGTTGCATTTGCTATCATTGGACGATTGCATGTTGTGCATTATCATTACCATACCGTATATCATCATGTAGTTCTAAATGCTTTTAGAAAAGAAACAGGCGTACTCAGGAATTTTTCTACGAGTTCGCTAAGCAAATGAGCGCGTCGACGCGACGTGAGTAGTTCGCGCATATCGCGCACACGTGATTGGAGCCCCACCTCCAGCGGTGAGCGCTCTGTGGGCCCCGCTCCTCCTTAGAACTTCCTAGTCTACTCCTGCACAGTGGTCTTTCGTCGGTAACCCTTGCATTCATGGAGGAATCATCTACTCTCCTCTCACAGGCAGAGTCGTCGACCTCTGGACAGCAATCTCTTCTTTGCGCTGTATGTCACGACCAGTCCGCCAAATACACCTGTCCCCGATGTGCGACGCAGACTTGCTCGTTTCCATGCTCAACCAGACACAAATCTATAGGCGACGGCTGCTCTGGTGTCCGGAATAAGGCCGCATATGTGCCCATAAATCAGTACGGGTACATGTCCCTGATGAACGATTACACTTTTCTCGAGGAGATGGGTCGGAAAATCGGGGACTGGGGCCGCGAGATTGTGCAAGGGGGCTACACGGCTGGTGGTGCAGATAACAGACGAGGTCGAGGAGCCGTGAGCATGCGGGGCCGGGGCAGCCGAGGTGGCCGAGGAATGGCTGGTGGAGGAAAGATCAGATCAAAACGGGATGTGTTGAAAATGCAGCTCGACTTTCGGGACATCGAGATGGAGCTCCTACCGACGGGCATGGAAAGACGCATTCTCAACCAGTCGACATGGGATTTCAAGTACGCACTGGCTCTCCCTTGTACCAATTTACGGGACAATAATATGTATGCATGCTCACGCGCTCTGCTGCAGAAATAAAACTGCACTCTTCACGGTCGAATTCAAATTTCATCCTCCCCCAGATCCCCTCGCAGGCCCTGCAGAGCCACAGGATCAACCGTTTGTTCTTTTGACCCATAGGAACCCAATTGACAAGACACTTTTGGCCACCTTGCAGTCGCAGGTTGCTGACCGTAGCAAGTCAAAGAAGGGCGAACCCGTCCCGCCATGGCTCAAGCCGCTTGTGATACCTGAGCCGAACGCTCCCGATGCATTCACTCCTCCTACCTGCGTAATGCGTACATCCTTAGACCCCCTTGCGTCCCTGAGTGCACATGGCAGCACCAATCCACGTCCGGGGCACATTATATGTCAAGGCTACTACCAACTCGATCCAGCACAGACACTAGCGTCGGTCTTGAAGCACAAGAGTTTCGTTGAGTTCCCGACAATCGAAATCTGGGAAGATGGCGCGTTCCACGGTGCAATAGTTGACGACCAGGGCGCACTCTTAGGTGACACGGAGGAGCCTCGGCAGAAACGGCAGAAACTGAGTGCAGGAGAGAGCAGGAAGGCTATGTCAGGTCTTCTTGGTGGATACGGCAGCGAGGAAGATGCGGAAGAGCGGAACGTCATGGATCTACTCGGCGGGTACGCGGGAAGCGACGACGACGAGGAAGGCCAGCAGGCTGAACCCGCGCCGATGGCCAGTGAGGACGACGGATTGGGAGATGAGGATGCCGAGGGCGAGACGGACGATGAGCTAGAAGCCCAGCCGGAAGACCTTGTGGCGCTGCTGGAGCAATTGCGGCAGGCAGGTGCACTACGAGATCCAAGAACGGACGGACATTTCACGGGTCTCGTTAACGGAGAAGATGAACGGGTGGATTGGGGCGATTCCGGGGGCGAGGACGAGGTATGACTCGCCTGATCCGACGCTTTCGTGGCGAGCAGATACCTGCAGGTTACGCTGCAATTTCAAACATCTTGCCGTCTGAGATCTAGCAAACCCTTCATGAGGAGTTGAACCTCGAGCACCGCATCGACGTATTTGCTGAGTGGGGTTTCGGGAGTATTTCGCACAGGTGCTGCAGTCTTTACCTCTACTTCCCACAACGTATCGGCGTGCGCTGGGATAGGCTTATGTGTCTTGAGGTCCACCTGGACATACGCCTCGTTAGAGGACATGGACGACACGCATTAACCTGGACACACCTGCTCCTGCTGGAACATCTGGATCACCAGGGGTCCGCGGCGGAAGACATATCCTCGCTTGTAAATTTGGGACCGACGGCTGCAATCACATCATCAGACATGCACGCATACGCTTTGTCAGTAGGACACACACATGTACCCGAGCGCGGACGCGAAATTAAGGGCATTCCCGACTACTTGGCATGTGGCCCAAGGTCTTACTGTCGCCTCAGGATGTACACGGGCAGATTCTGGTTTGAGATAGGAGTAAAGCAGCCTACAATACTCTTGATGAGAGCAGGCCCCGAAAGTATACAGTCTAACTCACCATCTCGCGTCCGGTTCAAGTAGTTCCTTTCGTCCCCTGAGCACAACGGGCTCTTGTCCTGCTTCACGTTGAGTTTGGGCATCGTATGGCTCAAACACGATCTCCCGCGCATGCATCTGATGCGCTGACTGGCTGTGAAGGGTGATGCGGTTCAACACCGCTATCGGCAGCTCAGTATATGTGGCCAAGCGGCGAGGAAATGATCCTCGCCTGGTAGATCCTGCGCGAAGAAATCTCCGAAGAGAGCGACTTCGTAAGAGTGGGAAGACATTGCTGTTGGCGGTGGCCAAAGTCGGGGGTCACGGAAGCTATGGCGGAAGGTTGCCTGTGGTGGTACTAGTACTGAGCACTGAGCAGACGCGAACGACGCGCCTGGTTAATCGGTCACGGTACAGCGTGACCACGATCGTTGAACACCGCGCGTCTCGATGGTCGATCGCGTCGCGCACAAAATTTGTTGTCTCCCGTATGGGTACCAGATACAACTAGACGTCATTATAACCAAACATTTACTGCCACTACGTAAAGGTAACGGTCCTTGAGAAAAAAGCATGAAGGATTACTGAGAATAAAGACATGGTAAAAAATGGTACGCAAAGCGAGCAAGCGATGCCAAATAAATACTCCACGGTAGAGCCAACACCTTCGTCCCTGACACGCAAGACGAGCAATCAATGTCACTGCTCTTGGGGTATCTCCACCTGATTGGGAGGCTGCCCAGGCATGCGCGGAGGTGGAGCTCCTATATGGACAGCAGGATCGCCGGGATTCATCGGCGGTGCGACCATCGCGCTCCTGACCCTAAACAACATCATTCTGTACCACTCTTGATCCGCACCCGCCTTCTGCTGTTCTTCTGTCAGCTGTTGCAGCTGAGAGAGTTCCTTCAGCCATGCAGCCTGCCAGTTGATATTCCCGTGTTCATCGGTCTCAAATTGTTCGTCAGGAGGGAAAAGTGGAGGCAGTTGTGGTTGATACCGTATACCCCCGGGTGGTGGCGGCATTATGGAGAAGTTGGGGTCGAATCTACAGAAGTGTTACTTTAAGGAGATACGATGATTAAAAAACACGCACGCATACTGGGGTGGAGGATATGCCGTGGGAGGAGGCGGGGGTGGTTGTGGATGAGCACTTGGTCCCTCCTCTACCGGTCGGATTGGTGGGGGGACGAAGCTCGCATCATGGAAGGTTGGCTCCTGGCTGCCACCTGGGTGATAGTCGATGTCGTCCTCTAGCCTGTGCTCCCCGCGCTTTCCGGACCCCTTCGGTTTCTTCTTGCGAACGCGGTGCACACCCGTACGAGGATCAACGTTGTCGTTGACCGTCCAGTATGAGCCTTTCCCACGGTCTGTGAGGGGGCGAGGGACTTTCTCGAAGCAGGGATTCAGCGACAGATTGTGTCGGACAGAATTCTTCGGGAGGCCTGGGTGAGCAAAACAGTCCTTGATCGATTGAAGCTGAAATGTTGCTCACCTTCCAACCCGGAGGCGCACTTCTGAAGTAAGGAAACTGTGGGAGAAGGTCGATGTTTTGTCATCGTGATAATAGTAGGTCAACGCACTCTTGACTCAATGGCATAGTAAATATCCTCCAGCAACAGTTTCTGGTTAGGTGCACCCTTGATAGCATATCTGTTGATGTAGCCGTGACATTGTAGATACGAGATCAACATTGAGGATGGTGTCCTTGTACGATGTTGCTCGAACAACATACCTGATCAACGTCGAATAGGGGTAGAACGGTTTGCTCCCTGGGGGACCATCCCTCAGCGAATCCAGGTTCATAGGAAGGCCGCCAGTCAGATCATTTGGATTCTCGGGGTAATACGCATTGAGTGGAGGATGATGCAGCTGGGGCACCATATCTGTAGGCATGACGGCCTGTGCTTGTTGTGCCATTGCAAAATGCAAACCGTCTGAAGACGCTAGGCGGGAGTAACAGCGCGATGTGCGTCGGTTGGCAAAGTAGAGGAGACGAGAGAGACGAGTAGAACAGGCTTATGTCATCCGTGTGAACTGATCCCAGCGCACGGACCAGCTCTCGCCAGCAGAGCGACGGCGAGAAGGGGCGGCGGCATCGTGTTGAGGACGTCCAGCATCGTTGAGGGCGGTGGTGAGCCAGGCGAGTGTTTGTCGTTCCTCCAAAACACCCTCATACAATGCCCAAATTACTGAAAACGGGAGAAAACAAGTTTGTTCCCCCCAAGCAGTAGAATACACAAACAAACTCGGCCCAAACTGTGACCACCTTCTGGCTACCCTGGCCCAGGTACCCTTGGGTGCGCTGGCTGCACCTGTATCTGCATTCATGGCTTGCGGGGTATCGGTGGCTTGTGTCTCTGGCTGAAGTCGTCGCGCGGATGCTCTCATGCGGCTGCGCTTTAGTTTATTCTCGTGGGCGCGCTCCCCATACCCATGTGGCGCGCAGAATCCGACGTGCACCCTGTTCTTTTCTGGCAGCACGCTTGCTCCAAAATTTCAAGACCTCGACGAACGTTCAATGCTGCTTCAAGGCCACTCTAATTGCTTTATGGAATGGCTGGTTCATCTTCAGAAACGGTTCATTGCGTTAATGCTCATCTGGCCGCATAATTGATCTCGGCATGACCACTTATAGTTTCGGATACTGGCAATGCGGGCCACTCGATAGTCTGCCGTACTGTCTAGAAACCCAAAGCCAGCAGCTCTGGGTGATATTTTGAACTACGACCAAAGTGGCGTCAGGGTCTCCCGCAGCAGCATCAGAAGGTGGCGAGGAATCTGAATGGCTCGTCGTCGTCCTCGGCGCTGCCTCTAGCCTCTCGGTGTGACTTCACTACTCGATACATCAGGCATTGCGTATAGGTCTACTCTGGACTATAATTATTCTTCGGCGCCATCTCGACGGCCCGTTAACAGTCCTCAACGCGTTCTTCTGAGCCCGTTCTTTCACCGCCCGGGGATACTATTTATGATGCAGCTATGTCACGGCGTTTTCGGGACTCGAATGAAGGCGCCAAGACCAACACGCGACTAGGTATTAAGAGCTTAATGCTATTCATTGACCATCCCACTGACCAATCGTCGTGTCGCCATTAGTGTCTTACGCTTGGGCGCAGAAGTGTTCACCCTCGTTTTGGAGTGACATGGTGATGACGCTGAGTGAGAATGCTTGGTCGTTAGGCAGGTGTGGCGGCATTGCCTTTACATCACTCTGGATAACTCGACCGTTCTTCGCCTGTTCTTCGTGAGGTTGTAGCGGGAAAGAGTACTTAATTATTTGTGGTTAAGATGCCTATGCCACTTGTTCTTCGGGCTGTACTTACAAGGCTATCTTTGCACTATATTGAGCGAAGTTCTCCGAGGCGTAGTTTCGTAAAGGCGTGGGACGCGGAAGGCGGCGTTGTCCACAACTCGGGGAAGAAGCTCCTACTTATTCCATGTAAGTACCCGATCATTGCTTCACATACGCCTGTCAATGTGCATAGCACTCTAACATGTAGACAGTTCTTATCTCCTTAAGTAACTGACTCGAGCCATTTAGAGCGGTGACAAGCCCATGCCCATAAACGTAATTGTCAGACAGAGTGGCGAGCGGCCTGGAGTGGTCGACGAAAGGTCGCGGTCAGGTGATCGCGTCCTCCATCAACTGAGTGCCACTACGCCTTGTTCTCAAAGCAAGTGATCACTGCGACCGTGTTCAATCCCCGTTGCTTTCGCGACCATTAGATCGCCACAATACGTACGCTTTGTCGGTGCGGGTGAGTTATAAGAGGATGCAGCTTATGCGGCTTATCTGGAGCAGTTGCTCAGGAACTCTACCTCAACATCAAGGGTGAGTGTCGTACACGGTGACACGGAGATTCGGCTGACCTTCCTATCTATCTTTGCTGACGTCTCATAACCAAACCTCATGACTTTCTTCGGGTATAGCTTCACAAATCCCTCGAGAAAGAAGACATCGGTCACTAATTCACTGTCGTTTACGTCCCATGTTGCCGTCTCCGCCACGCAGGCGACCAGTTTGTCACGCTTGTGGCACCCCAATGGCTGGGCACAAACGTCCAAACGGATCACCCATATGTCCGCCTGCACCTCCGCCACCGCCTCCCAGACTTCCTCCGACACCTGTCTCCGCGAGGCGCCCTCAGCCTCTCCAGCGCACAGTCGCCGTGCAAGAATTCGAGATTCCACCAGACGGTGTCTACCGCCGGCGTAACCCTAACTGGGTAGACCGGCGGCCGGTCGCGCAACCAATCGGGGGTGACGATCGTCACAATAGTTGGGACCCCACCGAGCCTGCAGAGAGCGAGCGCGGCGTTGGACGTGACGATGACGAGAACCCATTCATCGACGGTAACGGCCAGGAAGACAACGCAAGCTCCTCATCCTCCCGTTCGTCCTCGACTTCAAGCTCGTCTTCGAGCTCGTCATCGGCGTCTAGTTCGCAGTCATCTCGTCCCCGACGGACGATGTCGCAGGCACTCATAAACAGCATTCCCCTCGCCAGTTTATTCAGTAGTCCAAGCGACGACATTCCGGCCATCAGCCGAGTTGCGCGTCGCGCTAATCTCGCGATGGGCCTTATTCGACGTCCACGACAGGACGCACCCCCCATCAAGTCAGAGGGCGGCGGCCGCATCCACGGGGCGAACATTGGGCGCCAGAACTCGTGGTGGGTAGTCATGGGTCGCGACAAGGGCGCTGTCTCGCACTTGATGGACGTCCACGAGCGAGATGAGAGGGGTCAGCAGGATGAAGAGCTTGACTCAGCTCCAAACGTCAAAGTTGGCGCGTATCCTGTGGACCCTCGCTCCATCAGTATGACCTTCATCGACGTGATCATTGCTGGCGCCATCGGGGGTTTTATCGTTTTGTATGGTCTGTCCCTTCTGTAGGTGTGATTCGTAGCACCATAGCACGAGAACAAAGTTCCGATTCTGTATGCCTATATGCTGTATGTATCATCATGTATGTCGCCACATCTATGCTTCCTATTATTTCCCACTATGTTTTACTAGTAAATGGCCCCCGGCCTATAAATGGCGAGGTAACACGTTGTCACGGTGCTGATTTAGTCTGACGGCAAGACGTCACGCCCGAGAAAGCAATGGTCGTGACGGCGCACTCGACCGGAGTCAGAAAGGAACAAGTTCAGCCCCCGAGCGGATCGCTCGAAAGAAGGGACTCCTCAACGAGTCGTTCGTTTGCTCTCATTCAAGTTGAGAGCAGGTATAGGGGATGTAAGTGTCCACATAAGTTCGAGAGCAGTGAAGTGTTTGGTTATTGCGGCATTACAGACCTGGTCATATATCAGGGGCTAGTAAACTATAGTACGGCTCTAATGAAGTCTATGATACAGATTTGATAACGCATAGCTTATTTGGTGAAGTACAGAAGGGCGGATGTGCGCGCAAAAGTTGCTAGGAGTATTTACCAAAGCTAGGTAGATCGACAGAATGATGCGTTATCAAATCTGACCGTTGAGCGGAAGGGGGAAACATTCCACTGTTAGCGGCGGTGCGGTGCGAGATTGAAACGCATGGGTACGACAATATCATCCCGCACGCTGCCAAGACGGGCATAGAGGATCTAGAGAGAGAGAACTGATCATGGGTATAGTGTATCTCTTCCCACAGGTTTGCACATGCAAATTGAACTCTGAAATAGACCTGTTATGTCGGTCCGTACCGTGTTGCCGAAGAAAAAAGCTCAGAGGGTAGATTTTACCAACAGAGGATGAATGAGGTAAGCAGAACGATCGTGTTTGATCCAACGAATGAAGCTCGAAAACAATATCTGCAACGCTTAATCTGGCCTGGATGCCTTCGATGCAAGCGTGACAATCCAGACATTTCGGCGTCTGACAGCCCGGCAACAGTCACATCTGCCGGCTAGATCTAGAGGTCGAATCTATTCTGCAAACGCGTCTCTGCGGGAAGGCAAACAGCGGGAAGGCACCCAGTATGTCATATGCTACCCCTTGCTTCCCTAGTCGAAGTCACGGGCCACCTTCCTCCGCGTAAACGTGGTGAAGTAAGACAGCCTCAGTAGTCTTTATAAATAGGCCGCCAACAGAGCAGAACGAACAGACCATCCAATATGTCCTACCTTCTCAAGGGCGGAATCATTGCAACATTCACTGCTGGGGCGGACAAGCCACAATGCTGCAAGTCCGATATTCTCGTCGAGGACTCGACCATCACCCAGATCGCTGAGAACATCAACGCTGGCCCCGGAGTCGAGGTAATCGACTGCGAGGGAAAATGGATCTCACCAGGAATGATTGACACTCACCGGTATGTATAGGGTCGACGTCTTGACCGCCACCGACTAAATTTGGTTCAGTCATATTTTCATGACGGTGTTGCGAGGAGATCAGTGCGAGTGGGTAACCCGTCCGCTACGACCTGACACAGGACTGACCCGGCGTGCTGTGCAGCTGGCTACTGACTGAGTATTTGGTGAAGATGTCTTGGTCAGCCTAATTTCACCGCTCATAATTAGCGTGATGTCAGGCTTATTTCCGTATGAGCAGGCACATACAATCGGCCTTGACCGCAGACGAGGTCCACATTGGCCAACTCGCAGGATGTCTCGATGCGCTCCATTCGGGAGTGACAACACTTCTGGACCACTTCCATGCAGCCACTACTCCCGAGCACGCGAATAAATGCCTTGAGGCTACAATTAAGTCTGGGGCGAGAGTTATCTGGTGCCCCGCCCGCCAGAGTGGCCCTACCCAGGTTTTCCCCACGCTAGAGTGGGCGAACGATGGAGAAGCGGCGAAATGGCAGATGGAGATGCTGCGGGAATTGGGGACCAAGGACGGCGGTAAGCTGACTGCGGACGGTAGGGTGACGCTTGGTCTTGCGTAAGTTGCAGCAAGAAGTCTTCTAGAAGTGGATTCTCACTTACCGCTTTGCAGATACGATCTTGTCGGTATGGGACCCGTGAGTGTCCACCAAGCAGCGATAGAATTTGCACGAGAGATACCTGTGGCACTTATTACGGCCCATGTTGTGAAAGGTAATATGCTGGACGGTCTTGATATTAAGCTCGCTATTGACACTTGCATGACACACAGCTCCACGAATCTTGACTTTCCGGGATGCCGGTCTGCTTGGACCGGACATCGTGTTCTCGCACTGCAACTGCCTATTTGAGCGTACGGACCCTGACGATGAGATGTGGGAGGCAATGAAGGAGCATGGATGTGCTATCGCTTCGACACCCGTGGATGAGCTTGGCATGGCGCACGGCAGACCCGTCGCGATGGAGGCTGTCCGCAGAGGAGTCAAGTGCGGCCTGGGAGCGGTAATTGTTCTTCGTCGTGTCAATGCCGCGGAATGGTTGCTGACTCCTTGCACTCCAGGATTGCCTATCAATAAACGGTGGTGACATTTTCACCCAAATGCGATTCGCATTGCAATTCGATCGAGGCGCGTGATGGTCATAATAATAACCCAAGATCGAGTCCCATGCTGATTCGCCCGTAGGACGCACCCACGAAGAAATCGACAAGCACGGGCTCGTATCGCCTAGAAATAACAAACATCACAGCGCAGATGCATTCCGACTTGCCACACTTGGTGGTGCGGAGGCTCTGAACATGCAGGACATCATTGGCTCCATCGAAGTTGGCAAAAAGGCCGACCTCGTCGTGTTCGACACGGACTCCGTCAATTTGGCTGGCATTAACGACCCCATTTCCGGCATTACGTTCCACGCGACGAATGCTGACGTAGAGCTCGTCATGGTGAACGGCGAGATAGTCAAGCGCGACCATAAGCTAACCAAAGTAGAGTGGGGCCCGGTGGGCCGTGAGTTGAAGCAGAAGGCGGCAGAAGTGCGGGAGCGGTTCCCGCCCGAACGCCTGGAGGCGCTTTGGTCGAAGTGGTATGATAGTAACGGAGCGCCTGTCATCTGAAGAACTCTCTGCCCCCTTCGTAGTTGCCGAACAGAAGGCCGCTGAACCCTCGCCCTGTGGTTCTATCGCTGAGTCGAAGGTGCCTGAAATTATGTATTATCCACGGACAATGCACAGATGTAGAATGTTTTACACATACTAGTACTGGTTCGCGATGCTGGTGTGTGCATGACACAGCGGTCCGATGTCCCTTACTACGCATATGCGAGTTAATATGCGAGAGTCCCGGCCGGAAGACGCGTATGGAGTTGAAGCCACATGTACCCTGCGTCAACAAGCCGTCAGCATGAGCGATGAAGTTGAAGGCGAATTTCTACCCTGGCCATACTGGGCGGTCCGCAGGCGTGACCTACCGCCAGTCAGCGAGCAGGATTCCCTGGAACTTTGTCTCGGGATGTTCACAATCCGATCAATGATTTTGGCTCCTGAGCCAATCAGGTAGGGGGTACTGAACTTGGGGTCTGCCGACTGCCCGGTAAGGCATAGTATAGAAATTGCTTCACAACTTAGTACGGGATGAAGTGCGCTGAGGTTTGTCAGGACCGCGCGACCAAACCGCTGATCTTGCTAATGTGGGCATGATGGTGCACTATCCGCACCCTGTTCTAGCTCTGCTGCATGCCTGCACGATGTTCCGCGGACGCATAAGCTACGCTCTTCCATACATCAGTCGGACCTCAGGGCATACGCCGATCTGTTGGTGATTCAAAGGTCACCAGTTGTGCCAAATTGTTGAGGCTCGAGACGTACCCATCGCGAGAATGACAGCACGTACATCGTCTGTTAGGCACAGCGCAGTAGAGCCTGTCATTGGATTCAAGTGCGCTCACCGAGGTCAAGCCGAACTGCCAGCCAGATGTACGCCAGAACGAGATCGCGGACACCTCCGAGGCAGACAGACAGATCAAGCCTAGCCACGCACGCAATACGATGTAAGATACATAGAATGTCGGACCAATGGGTCTTGTGAGAGGGGCTGCTCGGTGAATGTATTCGGCACCGCGAGAGGCACAATTGCAAGGTTGCTGTATTCAGAGAAGACCAATTCAGTCGTTGATATGGTTGAGACCATACAGCTTCATGATCCTCGCATGCACTTTGATTTGCCCAAGCACGACGCAGGGATGGTTCTGGACTCCATCGTGTCCGCTCACTGAAGGGGGTAGACGGGATCAGCTCGGGCAGAAGCAGAAGTTAACAAGTTAATGGAACAGTACCATTTTAGACAAACCGGTACGTCAGACGAGCTGGGCACGATGAGAATGACAGTCCAATAATTCCCGGGTGAGTTGACAGACATGCAAGTGTAGTTAGCCCAATCGCAAACCCCCCTCCCTACTTCGGCCGCCCTACCAGGACCATCCCGTCATCCTCCTCGGTCTCTGTCCCGTTGTCGCTGCGCCTGCTACTAGTGGCGGGCGACGTGTCCTCTGATGCCTGCGTTGAGGCACGACTTTCCGAACGGGAGAGGGTGCTCAAATCCAGCTCCGATACGGACTCCGAGGGTTGCGCAGGCTCCAACTCTACGGGCAATACAGACCCTGCTTGGGTCGGGAGAGTATCGGCTGCTGGCTGCTCAGAGTTGTCCAAGGTGGTTTGTGGTGACTTTGAATCGGCGGGCTCTGTCGGTGAAACGGCTGGTACCGATATTTCGCGCAGTGCAGCGACCATCTGAGCATGCACGCGTTCCGCAAGCTCGTGTACATCTGCCGACGTGAGGCCCTCAGTCGATACCGGAGGAAGAACTGCAGAATGATCAGTGAATCGGCCCGGGTCAATGCAATGAGTTTGTCTGTTCACGACGTACCTTTGAGTTTCAGCGTTCCGCCCTCGAAAACTCCCTTCCTATACAACCTCCAGTAGTTTTCGCAGACCACAGGAACGATCGGTACGCCAGCTTGCACAGCGATATGGAACGCTCCCTTCTTGAAGGGAAGTAAATCCGAGTGCTCGCGCAACGTGCGCGTCCCTTCAGGGAATATCCACAGCGAGAGATTCTTCGAACGCATAGTCTCTCCCGCTGCTGCCAGTGACCGGATGGCCTTGACATTGTTTCCTCTGTCGATCCATACGACACCCGAAAGGGACATGAATTGGCCAAGCAAAGGGGACCATTGTAGCTCTTTCTTCGCGATGATCGACGCTTGTCGGGGAAAGATCCTGAAATAGATGAGACCCCTGGTCACAGTCAATGATGCCTAAACCACATACCTTCCCAAATACAAAATGTCCAGCATACTCTGGTGGTTTCCCACAAGCACAGCGGGGTGAGTGTCCAAGTATTCTGCACCCTCGACCACCAACTTGATGTCTACTGCGCGGCTTGCCAACGCGTAGAAGCTGCGCGCAACGACGAAGAACACGTCGAGCCTGCGGCCGATGAGAGACATGCCGACAGCACAAACTACGCCCCATGCCGAGCACACACCCAATGTTGATAGGTACAGTGCAAGACGGACATAGTAGCGAGCTATTGGGGACGACTTGGAGAGCGTGTGAAGAGCGAAGACGGGGAGGGAAACGTAGGCAAGCGGTTTGGCGATCCCGGCCAAAAGAGACATCATGTCGTTTATCAACGTGTACGCCGCGCACGATGTGTTGTTGTGCGTGAGCGGAGAGAGAATGAGAGGGATGAGGACGGGCCTGCGCACGCTGCTGCCCAGCGTACGTACGGACACCGACGCGTGATTACAGCAGAAACTGGCAGAGATCACAGTCGATCAGAGTTCGAAGCGCCCGCCTTGCCTCGTTTATCCGCCACTGCTCGCCAGCCATGCCTCCCACTCTACACGCGTCCTCTTCGCGCACTGAGCAGCCCAAGAAAGCACCTACTCGTGGTGAGCATGCTGCGCCAAGTCTACAGAAGCTCGTCTGAACATCCCAAGGCAAGGTTGTGCAGCCTCGGTATGCCAATCCGACCGCGTCTACTGCGCGGGCCACAGCAAGTGTACCAGCGCTGGAACGCAAGCAGGCCCCCATTCAGCTCAAGCCACCCAGCAATGGTCGCCCCACGGATGCGCCAGCTAATGGGGAAAGGAGCGGTGGACGCAAGCATGGCGCAGCTCTTAGGGCCCCCGTCAGCCAGACGGGGAGTGTACCTACGGGACCGAGCACGTCGCGTAGTGACGGCAATGTACAGGACGCTATGAGAGGCAACCCACCATCCGGTCTGAGTGCATCGTCTTCCCGCCATAAACCAGTAACCAATGCGGTGAGCGTTGTCTTGAAGTGTTCGTTACAATTGCTGAACGTCTCCTGTAGTCGCGTCCTGCTGTTCGTCCCGCTGCCCCTGCATCCACATCTGACACATTGCAGGTCGCTGCACAAACGCAATCATGGGATTTTATGAGGTCCACTCTAGAAGCTCATTTAGACTACTCGAGACGAACAGCAGCTACCGCTCTCGAGAAGGTCTCAGAAAAGCTCACCGCTGAGGAAGCAGGCATAGCGGACGCCCGCATCCGTCTCGAGGCAGAGCGACTGCTGCTGTTCTATGATGAGCTATCGGATGCTGCAGTCAGTCGTTATAGAATCTGACCGACACGTTGTGGCTGAGTCGCCCAATCGTTCTTAGCTTTCAACCACTGCCCCTGCAATCGTACAAGGATTTCTCAAGCATGAAGAGGAGTGCTCGAGAGTGATACCTGAAGCGCTCGCACTGACCGACTGCCCTATGGATGAAACACGAGACATTCGGGACTATAACATGCTACTGGATCAGATTGGTGAGTTTGGACATGCGCACAATTCCCTGCAGTCATGTGATGTCCCCGCAGATGCTTTGCAAAGTGAAGCTGGACGTCTCCAAGCTCTCATGATGTCTGTCTCGCCAGCCGAGAAGAATCGTGCGGTGTCTGGTTTGCTTTCCCTGTTACCTGTTCTGCGAGTGCGAGATGCCGACTTGGCTACTGCCCGACAACTGCTTCAAACCGGAAAGGCCAATCTATGTCTAACTTTGACGATGCAGAGTTTAAAACTTGCATCATGATGGCCTACGAATCTCTGCAAACTGATTCTGGGACGTAAATACAGTAATGGTACATAGGTTGCCGCCAGGATTGCCCCTAACCCTAACTTAGAACCAGCCATAACACTGATGAAATGTATTTTTCTGCCGCTGAACACTGATCTCATGAGTGCGAGCATTAGCGACCCGTTTCTCCTCTCGAGTTATACTCTCCCTGCTCGTACCACACGTCAGGCTAGCTCCTCTTCAGCAGCACAAACACCCGAGCATGTTTTAATTGCACACAGGTATGCCACCACCAGCGAAAAGAGTGACGCCCTGGTCACCGCAGGCATACAGGGAGACGGTGTGCATGTCCTTGACGTGAGTGCGCATTCTATCTGGATCTCGTATATAGAAGACACAATATGGGAGTTCTCTCGCTTCAATCACAAGCGATCGCAACCAGAATGCCTCCGGCTGTACCGGAATTGCTGACTCTGTCTTGCTTTTTAGCTTGCCACTCTCCATCCAGCCATCTCGCATACGCTCGGCCCTTCGACGACGTTCTCTTGTCCTCCAGTCACTCGAATATCCACTTCCGAAGGCTTACGGACGTGCACGACGTATGCAGTCGTCGAGTCTTCTCCGGACATCGACAAGGAGGACAGGGGACGGACAGTGTGGGTATGGGAGGAACAACTGTCCGGGGGCGTAATGTCGAGAGATATGTCGGCGAAAAAACGAACCGCAGTAGTGAGTCCTCAATATTCTCCATTTTGGTTGGTTGTTGGGCTGATATTGAACGGCTAGATGCCCCGTCCCATCTCACACATTCACGTCCCGGACGAACTTCCTGGCTATTTGCTGCTCGTGGATGCAAGAGGGGCCCTTGGCGTTGCAGATCAAGATCTTAACATGCACTCCACGTTCGATGCACTAGATTTTGACGAGACGGTCACTCTTTTTCGACATTTCGTCTTTCCCCGGTCATCATACTCGTTCGTCTCAAATCGAGAACTACCAAGCCAGGGCGTCCTTGTGGTTTCATTCCTGCGGAAGGATGAAGGATTGTCAATCAGCGTGGCTTCAATTGACCAGGATGGTCGTGTCCAGAAAGTAGGAGCATGCCCAGTCCCCGTCGGCGGACCTGTGAGTCGCAATGCAGATCTTCTAGACCAGCCACCCTCTGAAATTAGTCTATAGGATGTTATTGATGTCTCCGCAGGCGCATCTGGTTTCATCAGCGTCCTCAGTATGTCCCTGTTTCGTTCCCTTTTATGTTTCAGGAATTGACATTTACACAGCGCACTCTGGCACTTGGCACTCGTTCCGCCTTTCGAATGAGCCTGAAGGCTCATCACATACATTTACACTCGCGGTACCTACCGAACCTCTACATCTCACCACGCTGTCGTTTGCCGCTTCGTATGCTCCTGCTTCCTCAAATCCGCGCCATCGCGAGCATGCTCTGCTCGCACTCACATCCTCCCATGTCCTCCTCGCCGGAATCGCCAATGTACCTGGCACCGGCCCAGAGCTAGTTTTCCTCCTCTGGGATCTGCAGTACGGGGTGCTCCTTGCCGAGCAACACTCCGCCATGCCTTCTACGCTCGGTCGGACAAAACAGCGCGGAATAACCCTCTCGCTCGTACATCAGTCACCGGGACATGCGCTACTCGTTCTTTCGCCAGAGGCTGACACTGCTACGCTTGGCGTAGTCGACACCAGCGGCAACCCCCTGCGCACGAGTGTTCTCGTGGTCCCGTACACTGTTCCCGCCACATCCACAATAGCCAACGCTCTAGGGCGCGCCTCTGCCGGCGCGAAGTGGGTGAAACAGCAGTCGCCGAAGTCCGGGAAGCAAGTGTTGAGATCCGACATCGATGGTCAACAGACAAAGCTGCTCAATTCCATGCGTCCTGCTACGGAAAAGAAGCAAATCGAAGTCGTAGAGAAGCTTTTCGACGAGTGGGTGAGGGGACATGAGGGGGCGGCGCAGCCTCCTGCCGACGCAACCAACGGGGAACAGTCGAAGCCGCGGCTCGGTCACCTGTTCGTGAAGCAGGTGTTGGACATTGTGCTTACCGGCGTCTCTTCTGGCAGTACGGGCGTGCCTGCCCCCCATGCACCAAAGGTCGTGAGGTCTCTGTTGGAGAGACGAGCAGTGAGCAACGGAATGGTTGAGGGAGGGCTGTTGCCCGCCTTGCTGGCCCGCCAGGACTGGGTGAGTCGGCTAGTCGACCTGGGTCCTAGTCATTTCCTGACATGGAGGTTTCAACCGTAGCAATCCATCGTCCTCGCCATCGACACCGTCTCCGACCTCCCAGAACCAGACCTCGCCGTCCTCCTCGCAAGCGTGGTCTCCCACCACCGCCTCGCGGCCCCCGACGAGGACGCCATGCAGGTCGACGCCCCCGCGACGCCCCCCGCCCTCGCGTCCTTCCTCGCGCAATGCGCGACCTACCCGACGGCGCCCTCCGCGCTCAAGGTCGCGCTGCACCAGAGCCTGCCCGCAGCCGAGGACGTCGTGTGCGTGCTGGCCGTGCTCGACGCGTGGATCGCGCGCTGGGGCCAGGCGGGCGTCAAGCTGCTCCCGGACCACGTGGCGAAGGACGCGCACGGCGTGCCCGTCCCCCTGTACGACGAAGCGGGCGCGGGCGCGGACATGCCCCCGCTGGACAAGGTCAGTGCCCCCTCTTCGCCCTCACTGTCTCTATCTCTGTCTCTGCAGTGCCTGACGTGCCGCGCGCCCAGATCCTCGGCTTCACGCAGGCCGTCATCGACGCGTCCTTCCTCGCGCTCCTCGCGCACCCGCCCGCACACGCGCTCCTCCGCACGCTCCTCGCGCACCTGCAGCCCGAGCTGGCGCTGCTCTCCGAGCTGCAGGCGCTCGCGGGGCCGCTGCAGCCGTTCGCCGCCGCACACGCGCGCGCCGTGCACGACGGCGCGCACGGCGCGTCCAAGGTCGACACGCGCGTCGACTGGCGCCGCCGGAAGAAAACGCTGCACGAGCAGAACCAGATGTCGCTCGGCGTGTACCAGGTGGAGGAGCTTGTGATCTAATGTCCTGGGTTGGGTCAGGTTTCGTTGTGCTGTAGCGTGTAGTCCAAAAGTATCGTGTACGTGTTGTGTCGCCGGTGGGCCTGGCTAATTTCACGATGTGTTTCCGCCGCAATCACACTGGCACACTGGGGCACTCTAGCAGGGAAGCATATCCATGGTTCAGTGATCCACACTAGCGATGAACTACGGATACATGGTATCGGAGTGAAGCACGATGGGGATATACAGGGAGGGACAATGAGGGCTAGCTGTATGCCTGGGATGCAGTGTATGCAAGATCCGTGGCGGGGCTGAGCGTACATACGCAGAAAGAGATACCGAGTGATTGCAAGAGATCCTGTAGGCGAGAACGCAGGGCTAGAAAGCAAAAGACAAGAGAGAACTGTTCGTCGCGCGCATAACGATCGTCACGGGTGTGTTAGTGTGTAAGTGATAATTTAGTCAACCTGCACGGACGGGGCCTTCGTCAGCTCAACGCACACGCACAGCGTCAGAGCACGTACCAGCGTGGCCGTCCGCACGCAGCACCCGGCTATGCCCCCCACTCCTCCAGGCTCCCGCCGTACCCCGGCCGCACACTCCAGCTCGAGCCAAGGCCCCCAGGCACACGCTCCTCCCGGGACGCGCTCAGGCTCAGCCCGCTCCCGCTCCCCGTCCCCGCGGCACCCAGCAGCCAGCCCGTCCACCACCCGCCGCCCTCGTCCTCCTCCTTGCCCCTGCCCTGCGCGCCCCTGCCCCTCCGCCGCCGCGCCTTTCCGCCTCCGTCCCGCGCGCCGGCCTTTTTGTCGCGCAGCTTCGACGACGACGCGCCCACGTGCGGCTCGGGCAGCTCGGCGAACGAGATGCGCTTGGGCGTGGGCGTCGAGCACCCCGACGACGCTGCGCTGCTGGTGCGCGAGCGCGTGAAGCCGAACGCCCCCGGGATGCCGAGCAGCGTGGGCGTCGGCGGCGCGGAGGGGGCGGGTGTCGAGTTTGGTGTTGGGGTGGAGGAAGGATTCGGCGTCGGCGGCGCGGAGCGGTGCTTGAGCACAGACTGCCGCGGGGGCGACGGTGGACGCGTCGACGATGAGTGTCGCGCCTTCGTGAACATACGCGAGATGGACGCGGTCGCTGTGGAAGTGCCAGCAACGGGCGCGACTGACGGCGGAGAGAGGAATGCGGGCCGCGGTGACGTCGGCTTTGGTGGAGGCGGAGGCTGACGATCGAGAATATTGCGCAGGGACTCGACTGTGCGGTCGACATGCATGGTGCCGGACGAGGATGATTCGGACGAAGTGGATAGCTCCTCGATGGGAGGTGTCATAGGGCGAGACGGGAGCGCGGGGGACAAATTGCGCATGGGCGTAAGCGAGCGCGACCGAGCATCAGAGGGGGATGCGGATGGCGGCTTCACAGGCGGGGATGGTCGCACATGTCGGACAGTGTGGGACGACGTACTGGAGCTCCTGCCACTGCGGGTGGACAGGCTAGACGATTTACGTGGGGAGGACGATACGGACGTCGACGGACGCGGCGGGGAGCGACTGACATAGGACGACAGCACATCAACCAGCCGCTTGTTCGTATCCGCCGGAGCCTCTGGGCCGGGGTCAGAGAATGTCTGTGACGGCAGCGGCGTAGGCGGGAGATGCGAGGTGCGCAGGCCGAGGGTGGGGGGCAGCGTGATCGAGTCCGGATCGTCAGTGGAGTCGACGTACATGGTGAGCGCGCGCGGTGCCGGGGCCACAAAATGACTCCGATCGTGATTGCTGTACTGCAGCTGAGGCGTGCTGGCGATGCGCAGGTCGAGGGACGGGCGTCGGAGGTGCCCCCGCCGCTGCATGCGGTCTGCAAAGCCGGACACAGGGAGACTCTGACTCACGAAGTCCTCGTCTGGAAGCGGCTGGAGCTCTGCGGTGTCCCCGTCCTCCCCGACGAGATCCTCGACGCTGCGGGAGATCTCGTCCAGGTCGTCGACCCAGGTTTCGTGGAGGTCGCGGTTGCCAGCAATACGTGTGGACAGCATGTGGGCGCGGGCCTCGAGGGTGCGGTCGACAGGAGAGTCGGCGGCGAGGACTGCAGATAGACTGCTCTGCGTGGACATGGATGACTGGAGAAGAGCATTTGACATTTCGAGGGCGTGCACGCTACGGGCCAATAGGGAGTCCAGATAAGGATCGGCAGCTGCGCTCGGCTGACGCCTATGTGTGCGTGTGGACTGTGTCCGGTACAGACGGCGGGAGGGCGAGAGCGGCAGTGGCGGCGGGTAGTACGGCGCGGAGCGAGGGTCGTCCGAGTCGGTGTCTGCGTCGCCCTCCTCTGCGCTGTCGGGGTAGTCTGGCGGCCTGTCGGAGAGGTCGCCGTCGGGCGGGAAGTCGCGACCCTTGGACCAGGGCGGAGGGGTGTAGGCAGGGAGAGTAGAGACGGTCGTGTCGGACGAGAGGCGGAGGGCAGAAAGACGTTTGCGGTGACGACCGCGGCGCGGGGGAGAGTGGGTAGACATGGCGCGCCAACGCCGCAGACGCAGGCGAGGGCGAGTCAGAGGCGGGGCCGGGCTTGGGAAGGAGCGGATGAGAGATTGAGATGGGGAGCAAATTCAGGCGACCATGACAGACTCTCCCAGCGCCCGCCTGTCGCCCCCACCGTCCCCTCAGCGCACGCCTATCGTCTGTTGCCTCCTGTTTGGCTCCCGCTTTAGGCGCCCGCATCGTCGGCCGCAGCTGGGTTGAGCCTCTTTCCTCTTTCCAGACCCACGATAAGAGCATCGTCGTCGAGGGAAAGAGCAGGTCGCATACCAGAGCATCAGAAGTGCACCAGCACGCTTCAGATCGAACGAGAGAATGGCGCCTACTCAAGGTTCAGATCTTTAGACTTCTTCAAATTCAAACGCATCCCATGATGGCAACTGAAAAACAAGTGCGTTCAATTCGTCCTCAGCACAAGACAGCCAATCCGACAACGAGGAAGTGAACCCCAACCCGTACCCAAGCACACAAACGCAAGTCGAGTCTCTGAAATCATATCTATCGCATTACGAGTGTCTAAAATGTCTGAGCTGTAAGAAACGTGAAAGGAGAAAGCACGGCAACCGCCACCCGACGCTCATGCAGACGCCGATACGCGCGGGAACGTGATCTCCTGCATGAACGGCCCCGCAAACGCCTCCACCTCCTTGCTGTTCGACCACGTATCCAGGATCCGCGCCGGCGGCCAGTACTCCCACTTGGTCCACAGGAACGTGCGCCCATGCCGCGCCGCAATCTTGTCGTAGTCCACTGCAGGGGCGGCAGCGTCAGCACACTGATAGCAGAGGCGCGCGACACAAGAATACACACCGCGCAGAGCGCCCCGCAAATCAAGCCATTTCTGCGTGACGTCAGTGATGATCACATCCACGCCCCATCTTACAGCCTATTAATGACCCCGCCATAGGCATGAGTGACCGAAAATGAACGTGCGGACGCGCATGCGCACCTCAACCATCTGCACCGGCTCGTTCACCGTCCACACCATGATTTTCTTCCCCGCGGTCTTGCACTCCCGCCTGAACCTACAGCCGTCAGGTCAGCCACCACCACGCACGCCGCGCCGCGCACGTTCGCCACTCACTTCTCCCCATCCGCCGTCGTGAGCACCGCGAACTTGAGCGAGAACACCTCGCAGTGGTCCCAGAAGTACTTGCGTGCGATCTCGATGCTGTTCCCGATGTACGAGCGCCGGCAGTACGGCAAATGAGCCTTCGCGTGTGCGATGAACGCGGTGTGCCACAGCCCGAGCAGGATGCGCGGCGCGAGCGTCGTCTCCCAGTCCGGCTGAGCAGAAATGATGGCGTGCATGAGCTTGAACAGCCGGGCCGGGTCGTTCTGGACCTTCACATCGACGTTAAACTTGACGTGGCGGTTCTCCGGCTAGAAAGACGCGTTCAGCACCGATGCGTCCTGAATTTCACACGTGCGTGCACTAACTGACCTCCATCAGGAGAGCAATGGTCTCGGCAAATGTTGGGATGGCCTGCTTGGGCTCCTTCACGGTCCTCAAGCGTTCCATTCCATTTTCGCCGTACCACATCTGCTCCCTAATAAGGCCTGCGGTGTGACGACGTTTCAGCAACGCAGTACGGAGCAGCACAAAGCATAATTTCACCTTTGCCATCCGTCGTCCGGTCCAGGGCTGAACACCATTTATGTGAGGTTACGAATAAGAAATGAGAGAACGGGACGTACCCGGGTCGTGAAACATAACCACCACGTCATCTATGGAGACGTGGACGTCTGCTCACGAGGGTTACGGGCTGCAATCGGGCACACGGCTTGTAGGAGAAAATACCGCTCTCGATGCCCTCGGCGCCATCGCGGATAGCTTTCTCAAAACTCGCCAGCGTGTTCTCGGGAAACGCTGCAGAAGCCTGGCGCGCGCGCGCGAGCCCCGTCAGCGACGACACGTCGCAAAGATATTTCCGGGATGACTCACTCCACGGTGACCCCAGCACTCGGGCAGCGTCGAAGGCGGCGACATGGTCGTAGCACACGGGCGAAAGGGGGGCTGGAGAGGCAAGAGAGAATAATAGCGTCGACCACGAGATGGAGCCCGGAGCGAGGGACGGCGGACGTGGAGCGAGGCTATATATGCCGGGGCTGCTGAGCGATCGGCGCCACCCTGGAAGAGAAAACAGAGGAGCCGGGTCGGGTGGACGCCCGGACGCGAGAGGCTCGCGACCATTTCGCTGCCCGGTGCAAATTGGAACAGGGGGTGGGGGACCCAGAACGCGGTGCGCAGGCGCGGGGCACGGCCGCGGCCGCTGCACGCTGCACCGTGTCTGTCGCCCGCTCGCTTATGCGGCTTCGCATCATCCCTGGCGAGCGGACGCCTGTCTGGTGATCACCCCAGAACAACGTCCGCCGGGTCTGCGTTGCAGCCGGTTCCCATATGCGCCCCTGCCCGCGCGCGACTATCGCCCGCGTACCTGGGCGTGAGCACCGGAGCACGGCAGCGCACGTCCCACATGTTCTGTCCGAGCCTGCACGGCGGCGCTGGGACAGTGGGAGCATGGAGAGGAAGGCCGCGGGCCTGCCTGATGGGCTTCTCTGCTGCTGCTCTGATGACACGCGTCGTGTCGCGACGCGGAATTAGGCTTTACACTTCGTTACGTTTGGAATGGAATGAATGGCGCGGTCTCGGCCGTCTGCAGCGGGGCGTGGAGCGCCAGCATAACGTGAGCAGCCATCTATCGCGCGCTGGGCCTGAAGCGGTTCGCGGAGGTATTTATTCGAAGGTGCGAAGCAGGACCTCGCGGCATTGTGAGGTACCGCTCGTCGGACGAACGGATGAAGGGATGGCAAACACCAGCAAGAGCTCGGGCGCGACAGCGCGGTGTGGGCGGAAGGCGCAAGTGGGCGAGGGAAAGGGCAAACTCGAATTCAATGAGCTGCTTCGCGCTGTTCATAGACCTGCGTCTATCGCCCGTACGCAAAAGGCAGTAGTCGGCATTTCCATTTCCTCCATTGACCAGAGCCATGACCGCAACCAGAGTCGCCATCCTCACAGGTCGGTTACATTGTCTCTGCCTCCCACACTAGCCGCGCTCACAATGCACATGCAATGGCTTCTAGTGAGCGATACAGCCTCCGCAGATGCCGCCGCAGACAAATCTGGCCCGACGATCAGGGAGATCCTCTCCGCGGCCGGGTACGACTGCAGGCACCTGCTGATCGTGCCCGATGACGAAACGCGCATCCGCGAGACCGTGCGCGCGTGGTGCGCGCAGGGGGACGTCGACTGGGTCCTCACCACCGGCGGGACGGGGTTCGGGGTGCGCGACAGAACGCCCGAGGTGCGTCCCTCCCCGCGTCCCCGCCCTAGTGGCCTCAGTGCCTTCTAGATGCCAAGGGGGGTTGCGCTACCACGTTGCCGCTGTGCCGCTGCAGCGTCGTTCTTCCTCCAACGCGGGCAGTCCAGTCGTCGGTCGATCGATCGCTGCACCGTGCCTGCACATGCGGGAGTCGTCGATCATGATGCGATGCGATGGCTTCGAGGGCATCGAGTACGTACTCGAGGCAGACACCACGCGAGGTACGGCCAGCTGTATGTAAGAGCAGCAGCCGATCTGCCTGGTAGATTCTCCTCTCCGGCGTAATTTACTCGAGAGCGAGCCCAGTGTGCATTTGCGCGGGTAGACTATATGCGTGGATCCAGGTGCGACTTGCAGCGGGAAGGGGCAGGGACACACAGCGGTGGCGGCGTCAGCAAGCTCCCGTTGTCTGCGATGCGCCAACCACGGAGTGCGATGTATCTTTCTTGCCGTCTCCCGTGAAGAATCCGTATACCGCGTTGGAACCTATCTGCTGCAGTCGCTTCGTGCACATTGAGTACGTTCTACGCCCAGGTACTGACCACAGACGTACATCCCGCAGGCATTACGACCGCTTATCGAGCGCGATGCCCCAGGACTCGTGCATCTCCTCCTTGCCTCATCTCTCCAAAAGACGCCGCTCGCCGCGCTTTCGCGTCCTGTCGCGGGCACAGTTGGAAACACACTCGTGATCACGCTTCCCGGGAGCGTGAAGGCCGTCCGAGAAAACCTGGAGGCGTTGCTCTCTGGCGGCGTCGTCGAACACGCTTTGGAGCTCGTCAAGGGCGCGTCCAGCCGCCAGCTGCACGCCGGGGGGACATCCTCTACGTCCGAGCATCATTCCCATGCGCATGCCCACCATCACCACCATCATCACCACCACCATGCCCCCCAGCCGAGGACCGTTCTATCGCACGACCCTTCTCTCCCAGGTATGTTGAGAGTAGAGTAAAATGCGTATTTTCAATAATAATGGCCTCGCCCTCAGTCACAAGTCGATTGAGGGAGTCTCCATATCCACTGGTATCGGTAGACGAGGCATTGACATCCGTCTTGACGGAGGTCAAACCGTTACCTGCTATTGAGCTGCCCGTACGCACCCCTCACGTCTTAACGTTCTCCGCCTAACAGTTCCGGAATCTGGAGGTCAACCCACAACTCCGAGGCCATGTCCTGGCCGAGGACGTATACGCGCCGCAGGACGTGCCATCGACTCAGACCACCAGCGTCGATGGGTACGCGCTTCGCTGTGAGACCTACGTCCCTGACCCCAGGCTTCGTGACCTGACCGCGCCCCCCACCCAGCCACGGACCCGCCAGGCGTCTACAAAGTGCTCACTCCGCGCACGCACGACCTCGCGGACCCGCTACCCGCGGGCAGCATCTTCCGCATCAACACAGGCGGGCCGCTCCCCGCAGGCGCAGACACCATCATCATGGTCGAGGACACGCGCCTGCACAGCACGGTGCAGGGCGCGGACGGCGCGGACGTCGAGGAGCGCGAGGTCGAGACGCTTGCGCAGATCCCCGCGGGGGAGAACGTGCGCGCGCCGGGCAGCGACACGCGCAAGGGCGACCTCGTGCTCGAGAGAGGCCAGGTCGTCCATAGTGCGGGCGGGGAGATCGGCACGCTGGCCTTCGTGGGGAGCGCGAAGGTGCGACCGGGTCTGTGCCAGCGTGTGAGGCGCATGCGCTTACCTCGAGTTGGCAGGCGTGGGTGCACAGGAAGCCCGTCGTAGCTGTGCTGAGCACGGGAAACGAACTGCTCGACTTGCAGGACCCACGTCCCATGGAGGGTGACGGCTGGGGCGGCATTTGGGATACCAACCGGCCGTCTTTGCAAGCCGCGCTCGAGGGCATGGGCTATGAAGTGCGCGATCTCAAGATTGTACCAGACGAGTTGGGTCCTTTGTGTGGCATTTCTATCCTCTGATCATGCTGACGGTCGTCTCACAAGCCTTGAGACCCACATAGCTACTCTCAAGAGCGGGTTGGCAAGCGCAGACTTGATTGTCACTACAGGCGGGACCTCAATGGGCGCAAGCGATTTGCTCAAGCCGGTCATCGAACGCCACCTCGATGGCATGATACATTTTGGGCGTGTCAAAGTCAAGCCCGGCAAGCCGACCACGTTCGCGACGATCCCCTCGCCCAACGGCGAGAACATACCAGTATTCGCCCTACCGGGAAACCCCGCATCCGCCTTGGTAACATTCCATGTATTCGTGGTTCCTGCGCTGCGCCGCCTGGGCGGATGGCCGGCCGAACGTTGCCAACTGCCCAGAATACGTGTCCAGGTAAGGATTCCGTCCGTCGGTGATTACAGGGATCATAACATAAGTATTACATGTCTATAGATACAAGACCCAATGCGCCTGGATCCCCGACCAGAGTACCATCGTGTCATCATCAAAGCAAGTCCTACGGGATTAAAGGCTTACAGTACAGGTGGGCAGCGCTCTAGCAGGGTGGCTAGCCTCAGCGGAGCGAATGGCTTCGTCGCCCTACCAGCAAAACAGGGGGATGGACCCGATAGTTTGAAAGCCGGCGACATTGTGGAGGCAATGATCGTAGGAGAGCTACAGATGGAGTGAGTACGCGCTCGGGAGAACTAAGACGTGTAACAAGAGACATGTACATTACCTGGCTGCGATCATACACAAACGAGACCCTGTAAAGTGCGCCCTTGCATTCATATTCGTCCAGCCGTGAGCTCCTACAAGACGATATTAGATCGAGGGGACGGCGAAATTCAAACAAAAAAGCACTTGCCAACTCGGCGACTTCTTTCTCAAGGGCAGCCATCTCCTCCTCTGCGCGTTCACGTTCCTTCGTCAACATCTGTATTCGCCGTACGTCGAGCTTGCTCATGCCAGAGGTGTTCACCGTCATCGCGGCTCGTGAAGAGAATCGGGATTGATTGGCGTCCACCTAGAACGGCGGAAAATGACAGGGGAACACAGAGTACTTTACGCCGGAACTGACCTTGGCTTTGAGTGTACTCTCTTTCTTGAGCAGAATTCGCAGGCCCTTCTCCGCGCGCGAGATCAGTTCGTTGATTTGCGGTTCAATCTCGTCTGTTAGGTCGGCCTTATATCTCCGCACGGTTGCCTCGTCAATGAGCAAGAACACCTAGTAGTGATATCAGTTATTGAGGCTAGTAAAAGTAGCAGGATTACACGCCCTTTCATGCTCGAGCACCTTCGCCATTCGCGGTAAATCGTATGTCCCCTGTCGTAGAATTTGTTGTGCTTCGTGTGCCTGTAAAGGCCAGGTGAGCTGCGCTATCTGTAGTGTGCCGTGTGAACTGTACCTCCTCGCAGCAATCCTCCATGGCTAGCACACATTCTCTCAAGTATGGGCTGCAAACAGCATGGCTGTCCCCGCGGTAAAGCTCTGAGCCACCGACAAAGACTGACTCTCTTGGTCTGTATCTTGGGTGTACAGAGAGCCTGGATACTCGGTGAGATTTGTCGACCATTTTGCAGATAGTTGAGCTTTAGCACGCGCCCGTCCGAACAACCGGACGCGACACGCGTCTGTGGCACGCGACGCGTCGGGGTTGACCCTAAATCGAGCTCCGCCACACTGCGTATATAAGACGCCCAAAACTTTCTCTCCTCCCTAGTGTCTGTTCGACCGCGGAACCGCCCGCCCTGGGCGGAGAGGTTCGCTTCTCGTGGCGTCATTCTAGTCGACAGAGCGAGGCGTCCTTTGGGATGCTCACAAGAGCGAGTGTCTAGCGCATGATCCCCTTCATTACAGCTGAGTCCGCTTTCGGGTGTCGATTCGCTGGAGGGGTTGAGCATGCGATAGGCGCGGTGTTATATTCCTGTACCTTCTGTACCCGCCCTTCCTCGGGAGGGTTGCTACTATGTGGCCTTGACAGTCTGGTGAAACCATAACACAGACATTCTTCCAATACATGTTCTATATGCTTGTACTTAACAGGATGATTTAGCTGGTAAATGATACTATTACCATTTTGATGAATGCGTTCGAGAACCTGAAGTACAAATATGGTTTGCGAACCATAGGGTAATGTGAAATGCAAAGTGTGCTCATTATACCCACAGATTGCCTGGAATATATATCCTGTATGCTACGATAAATAGTTCGTGATGTTCATTCATATTCTGGGACTTCGATCTTCTTCGTCCTCTTCATCTCCAACACTGAAAATGGCCTGCTCGGGTGTAAGCTGCGTAGCCCGCTCTTTCCCCTTTCGTGACTGGAACCGTTCGCCCCCGACGTCGTCTGGACCATGCCCATTCGACTCTTCCATGTTAGAACTAAGGGGAATGTTCTCTTCGTTTGTCGACACGGGCAGGCCACGTAGACGTGCCCTTCTCGAGCGCCACCAGAACCACACGCCCAGGAGAATAGCGATGAGAAGGAGCAGGAGGGCGGCCGAGCCGGCGTTGTAGTATGCTGCACATACAAGGCGTCACTGAGCAAGCTCAATAAACGAGAAAAACATAAATACACACCTTCCCACATAGCCTTGTCCTGTTCCGGTGTCTTCGCCGGCGATGGAGAGGCGGAGGGTGTCGCCTCTAGGAGGGCAGGAAGTGGTTTGACATCTTTGCCGACCGTACTCGGTATTCTCGCCGAGCCAGCAGTGATAGCACTGAAGTTCATGCCCATAAACCGGAGGATCATGTCATGGGTAATGTGCGGCGCGTCGAAGCCGACCATGTGTGAAGCATTGAAGATCTTGGGACATACAATAATCAGGGGAGACCTGGATCAAAGAAACAAGGGGCCGTACCTTGGCGTAGGTCAAATTCCTCGAAGTGACCCAGGTTCCTGCAGCAGAGCCGTTAACCGTCCATGACTGCGTCTCGACCTCCTAAAGGACATTGTCAGCGTGCAATGAAAGTGAAGTATAGGATGCAGCGTTTTACCCCAAGTCCCTTCGCCCCATTCCAAGTCATCGCTTGGATCATGCTCTCAATCCCGACATAGTTGCAAATGAGGTCCTGGTCACCCGCAAAGAACAGCATGGGGATCTTTTCGAGCACCTTCGGAATCACAGTGATGGCCGATGGCGACTTCCTCGCGGCGAATTCGGTATGGATGATGCCCCTGCACTCTTGCCACGTCTGGGATGCGGCAGAGGCATGGAGGGCACGCACGACTTCTGGCCGCTGCAGATGTCGCCATGAGGGGGGGACCCTATCCTTAGAGAGGTGAAAGAAGACCTACGGCGAGATACTTGTACATCGGGTCCAGATCCGGCGGCCAGTGCATGCCGCACGAAGGGGACGTGTCTTCAAGCCGCACGTCATAGATATTGACACACATCTCTGTCCCATTTGACCTGCAATCGCATGAGTGTGACAGCCGTAAACCGAAGACGGTGGCTTACTTATGATTCTTGCCCATGATAACCTCATTCATCACGGACTCGCAAATGTCGACCTTCACAGGTTCGACTGTCGTATACTTGATGAATTCGGTCATGCACTTGTCCGTAGCAGCCTTTCCGCGTTTCCAATCCTGCGAACGCAACACTCAGGACGACGGACACAGCAATGTGAAGGCTATACCAACCTCCGATCCCTCTTCTACAAGACCATGCTTGACGGCATACTCTAAGAAGGAGGGATATTGGTGCCGACCGTCCATCCAACCATTGCCGATAGCTGCCCCACGTAGGGGAACATTTAGTGTAGAGTTCAAAACCGCGTCAGCTAAAATATTCTCGGTCAATACATGACATCTTGTCCAAGGTCGAGACTGCCTACCGAAATATGGGATGTATTGCCCTGCGTAGCTTTCGCCGGCAATGTACATCTACAGCTCAAGTTTATTAATTGCTCAAAGCTTACGTCATGGACCACTTACTTCTACATTTTTGTATTCAGGGAACACGTCGTAGAAGTTCTTCAAGAACTCGACGAATTGTCTAGAAGCCTTCCGGTCCTCCGGTAAGTACACTGCACACAGAAACACCTGGGACATACCTCTGGAAGCTCGTGAAGATAGTGGTTTGTCGATGTGTACGAGAACCCTGTCCCCGCTGGCTGGTCCACTGCGAGGGGAGTAAGTACGGTACAAATTCAAAGCTCGCATTGTGTACTCACCATATACCATGGTAGTGTACTCCTCCCATCCGCCTTCCATTGTCTTGTAACCGCCCTTGCCATCTTGTCGCCATGGTCCAACTTCCATCATGAGACCGTCAAATGATGAGCAGCCGGGACCGCCCTAGCAAGAATCCTTCAGCACCCGGATGCTTAATGGGGGGAGGAATCTCATACGTACATTCAGCCAGAATACGATGCGCTCCTTGTCCGCAGTCCTCCGCGCCTTGATCAAGACGAAGAATAAATGGGCAGTCACGTCAGTCGCGGGTGCCTTGGATGCTTCTGGGTCGGCAGACAGGTGGCCGGAGAATATGTGCAGCGGATGTTGCTCATCCTGATGCAGGTCTGGTAGGTTGTATACATAGAATGATGCAGCCGACGGTACTGCAGACACTGGTGAGCAAGTCAATGGCGCGCATTGTGAACCACTTTACGATTTTGTGGTGCTGCCGCCGTGAATGGCAGAAGCAGGGTCGGCGCGAGTAATGGCCATAGCCAGCCAAAGAGTAGCGCGGATAGCATCCTGTCACCGAGTCCGGCTACCCGGGACAACTGCAGCCCTTGCTCAACGAAGCGGAGGCACGGACAACGCAGGCAGCGACGGCGAATAGCGGACACGTACTGTTAAACGGAGAAAGGGGCCAAGAGCGGGAGAGCCATCACGGCGACGCGCCTGAAGCTGTGTGAAGCTGGCCGACGCGCTGCTGCGCTGAAACGCGATTACGGAATCTATTTTGGTCAGATTATCGCCAGTTTGGGACTTGTATTTTGCCGCGATCGAGCCAGGAACGCGCTTATCGCCGTTCATACAATTGGAGACCTGGTGGCTGCATCGCGGGCTCTGGCAGGCGCACACGACTCTCCTCTTGGCCGCCATGAAGCTCCTCCCAGTGCTCGTCGCCCCGCTGGCACTCAGCCTTTGTGCCAGCGCACAGTACTTTTCCGAGGGCTGGAAGCCTGGTCAGCCCGTTACATACGAAGCCGTGCCGACCGCGGTGAATGGTCAAGCTGCACCTGCGCCGACAAGCAATGGCCGCGCTCGGTTCAGCTTTTCGGACATCCTCACGTCAGGGCCCATTGGCTCTGCGATGGGAAAGCTCGGCGTGAACCTGACCGAGAAGTGGGAGAAGGCGAAGGCAGAGGCGGACGCGGAAATATGGGACACTCGTATACCGCTCATCACGGATGATAATTACGATGACCTGATTGTCAACGAGCCTCTCGGTCCTGAGGAGGAGGACAGCAGAGTCTGGTTTATGATTATGTATGTGCTTCCTCTTGGTTTGCTGTTGCATAATTGTGATGACGATATTTGCGCATAGTTCTGCTTCCAAGGGGGGGAAGAATGCCTTCTCCATGCAGGCCGACGACCATTTTGACAAGGCTTTCGACAAGTCACTAGTTGAAAGTGACCTTCCCAATGTCCGATTTGCTCGTGTCGACTACCTGAACGTCACATACCTCACGACGAAGTGGGGTATCTGGCAGTGAGTCTGGCCCATTCCTCTTCGAGATAATCGCTGACTTCTTGACTATTCCCTTAGAGCGCCTTACCTCCTTGTATTGACCGACCGCGGCCAGACTATGCGCTTCTACAAGGCCAACACTGTCAGACTCGACCCAGACCTTATTCACCAGTTCCTGAAGGAAGAGGGCTGGCGGGAAGGTGAGCCCTGGATCAGCCCTTTCGCCCCCGGCGGACAATGGTCAGTGGGTCCGCGCATAGCTATTCAGAACGTATACTCACAGCCCCCGCAGGGAATACATAATGCATTACTATGCTCTTTCATTACGATGGGTTTATGACTTCTTGATGAAGTTCCCCCGATGGGTCCTCATGATTGCGTCGGCGGGTATCGCGAACCTTGTCATGAAGTTCATGCATTCAAACGCTGGCACCGACCGCCCGCAACCACGACCGGTAGAGCCTGAGCCTACCGCTGTCCCTGCTCCCGCGCCTGCCGAGAAGGAGACCCCTGCGACGCCGGAGAAGGAGAAAACTAACAGCTCGCCAGCGAAGGGAAAGGGCAGACAGCGGAAGAACGCGAGGAAATAGTTATTTAACGCGTATTTATGTGGAGAAGGGGGGTTGGACGAACAGATCTACGTGTAGGACAGGTATTGTGAATGTAGACGTATCTATACAGCCCTAAACATCAGCGTGTGCGACAACACGAGTATAAGAGCAAATTGCAACGACTGTGTGCGTAGTCATGAAGAGGACATGCTATTGCTAATGTACAAGAAAATGTGCGTGCGAGGTACTATGCGCTTCGTCAGCCTTACTCCTTGTAAGGATAATCGAACTTGGGCTGATCTTTGCGCCTCCAGAGCTTTTTCCTGTGAAGAGTGTTAATGCTGCGACGCCGCCAGTACACATTGTACGCTCACTTCTTTTTGGTAGGGACGTGTTCTGCGAACACTTCAACAGCATACTTCGCTTTAAACTCTCGTATGAAGCGCGGGTCCCTGAGTGTGGCATAAGCGAGAAAGAGTGGATGACAAACGCTAAATACGCACCATAGCTCGCTAGCAACCCCGAGGTCTTTGCAACATCTCATGAGGGCATTGCTCTTGCATGCTTCTGTGGCAGTTGGGATGCCGTTGGGGTCAAAGTACTCTTGCTCGCCCCGTGCAACGGCAACGAGTCTAGACTGAGATTGAGAAACAATACGACGTCGCAAGCAGTATTTCGCACCTTCCAAGACACACCAACGCATATTCTCGACTGACGTTCTTGGGACCGACATGCGTCTCGCTTCTCGGCGCGAGGCCCCAGCCTCCAGGTCCAAAAGCTTTATTCAGCACTCGGCGGTACTTGATCTCGGGCAGGTATATGAGTCCATCTGTCCCGAAGTAGGCATTGAGTACCATAGAACGAAAAGAAAGAGAGAACTGCGAACCAGGCTTGACCTCGATGTCCAGAGGATCTGTGGGTGCCTGCAACACTTCTGAAACCTCCTTCGGGAAGGGCTCCACCGACAGACCGTAGTAGCTCTTCGACCAGTCGGTTGGAGCGCCCTCCACATCTCCCGCCTGTCCATTCGTCTCCGGGGCGAATACAGAGAGGGGCGCGGCGGAGGCTGTTTGTGCAACAGAGGAAGTTGGGGGGACGCTCTGGGGCGGCGAAGATAGGATCTCTGCAACGTCACCGTCGTTCACTGTTGTCTCAGGGTCCGCCTTGGCCGCCGTCGTGCTCGCGTTTGCCAGCGGCAGCTTCGTGCGCGGGAAGGAGCGTAGTGCGGAAGGACGCGCGGTGACATATGTCCGCGCAGTGACAGGGATTCGCGCGGAAAGTCGTCCAAATAGGGCACGACTAGCCATCCTGCACCGAAAATCGCCACAGACCACTTGGATGTGAACTGGTACTGTGCAAGCGGAGGATACTGCTTGCTGGCCGCTGCAGCGAGGTGCAAATCAAGGGGTAGGCGCTCTGTTGTTTTTTGACTCCAGCTCTCGTTAGTTTAGCGCTGGACCCCGGTCACCGATTGGGTGGGGCCTCCTCCTTATCTCTGATTAGATGATCCACACTCAGGACGAGATGGGCGCTAAGAATGCGACAAGCGCTCAAGATAGGACAAGCGCCCAAGCGCTGCACTTGGTATTCTTCACCCACGAAGCCTTGCCTGTCGAACCGACATTTCAGGTGCGCAGAGACCAAACTTATGTTTGGTATGTGACGCTGCAAATTTCCAGAAGCTCAATTCGAGGATTTGCGCTTGCAGAACGTTGTTTACGGAAATCGAGCGAGTTAGTGAATCCGGGGACCCTGGTCACCGATTGTACCACCACCACCACTGGAGTTGATATCAGAAATCAACGGAGCGCCTACCCCTTGGTGCAAATATGGACCGTGTTCAGCACGTGAGACGCGGACGCGTCTTGGGCGTCTATTCCACTTGTCTACTTCCTGCTCCGCACTACAGTTGTCGCGAGGTCAGCTTGAGGTCGCGAGGTTGATTGCTTGCTCTCAAACTCGTCAATCTGCACAAGCCTTCTGATCTGTGGCTAGTACAAATCATTCAGCTTCTCTCGCAGAAATCTATTGACATTCGCGACGCGAACATGGACCCGTCGAATTCCCGAGCGTCCGGCAGTGGTCGTTCGAAGAGAGCCTTGTCGATACACACTACAGGTCTTACGCCAGATGTACCCGCGTTGTCTGCGTCCACGAGTGCACCTGTCCGTTCCTTGTCGAGGGCATCCGCTCGACCGCCCTCGAGTGCATCGTCCATCCGGCCGTCCTCTAGCGCACCGCTAGGACCATCTCCAAGCATAACTTCCCACCCATCTTCCAGTGCGCTATCTGCCAGACCCCCGTCAAGTGCATCCGCACGCTCTAGCTCTCGCCTGACAGTGCGCTCTGGCTCCCGAATCTCTCATCGCCCCGTCTCGCGGCAGTCTTCGCGTCTGGCTCCTCAGTACCAAGCTCTGGTTACACACATTACTGGGCTGTCGGCCGAGAGTGACCACGAGAACTTCCGCACAGCAATGGACTTCGTCTCGAAAAACTTGGATCAGACGGCGCGCCCCGCTGGAAACGTCGAGATGTCATCGGTGGTGAGGCATATCAAAGGGTGAGCCTGATTGCATATTGTCCATCACGAGGTCTCAGTTCACGAAGCCAGTCAAATACAGAAGGCCCGTATAAACTCTCAGGACGCTCTGGCCGCGGCTCTTGACACTGCGTTTCGCGAGTTGAATGCTCGAGCACAACAACCGGACGACTTGGATTCTGAGATCAAGGTATTTCTACTTTGCATAGGGATATATCCACAAGCTAATTGGAGTGCCAGATGACTCGTCTTCCAAACTACTTGCAACTCTTGGTAAATGCGCTTTGCAGCCTGCTCTAGGGACATTCACTTACCTCGCATGCAGACCTTTCTTGCTATGCCACCTACGGATGCAACGTTGCGAGTCGCGGAAGAGTATCTGGAAAATATCAAGAATCCACCAAAACCACCGCTTGGGCTTACTTGGAAGGATATATTGGCTGAAGAGCCATTCGAAGGGCAGCACTGGGAAGGTGCATACAACCTGCCTCCCGGAAGCACCGTCGAAGACTGGGACACTCACAGCGGAGGAAGCACGCCTTCGCTCTCGCCATGGGATGACTCTGACGACCCGGACGAGTCACTGTCTTCCTCAGACAGCTTAGCTCCTACAGCGGAACCGGATGAGCTCGATGCAGCTCAGAAGTCCATTTCATCTTCGCATCCCCGGATGGCGTTTGGGCACCGTCAGGATGTCGAGCAGCTACAGGCACGACAATATTGGAGACCAGGATGGCGTCCAGATATCCCCATATCGCAACGTTTTGACATCGGAGACGCGTCTACCTTAGGTGAGCTAGAGCCAATCCGTGGACGATTGTTCCATGACGGCACGTCTAGGTCCTTCTCTACAGCGTATTTTGGGACAAAAAACGACGCTTACTATAGCAGGTCCCGAGAAAGAGGTGAGTCAAACTCCGAGCCCGAGCTAGGCTAAGCATCATGACATACATCCAGATATACATATACGAACATGACGCCGTCCGCGAGGTCCTGACGGGCTTGCAAGGACGTAAAAATGTGATGATGAAGTGGGAATACACTGGGAATGAAGCCTTCTCGTTCGTTGTCAGTCTTTTATCGCGACACACGTCGACTCGATACTAATGGTCTATAGCCAAACACGTCGATGAGATTGTTGCACCTCACTGCAGGCGCGCAACTGTCCATTATCACATCTTTCACTCAGAGTGCAACGACCCTGGAACACCTACGCAAATTTGTATCGGCCGTTTACAAAAAGGCATCAGAAACGCCCACTCATACTCATACAGAGCCTGTGTATCTCAATAGCGTGTCTCGGCGAAACCCCCTGACACTTGAGGCCTGCGCTGCCGCTGTTGACTCTCAGTTGCAAAAATTCAACGCGTGGTGTGCGTCCCGGGAAGAGCAGATTTGTCTTGCACAAGCCGGTGTACGGCCTCCTCTCGTAGTCAGCTTGCTCAGCCTAGACAAGGCCATTAAGGACGAATTCTCCGCTTCCTTCAGCGTGATTCTCGACGTACTGAAGGAGGTCGTTCGACGAGCCTTGCGGAATTCGGAGCCCCTCAAGGAAATCTGGACATATCCCGAGCTTCCCATGAGGATTCTGCCGTCCGCGTTTACTACCCTTTTGCTCGACTCACTACTAGTCGCTGTCCAAGAACGCAACTCCATGGGCGACACTGTCACATCCGATGTTCTGATGCGCGTATTCACCCAAACTGCAGAGCCCATCTGGGAAATGGTAGGCCGCTGGATGAAGAACGGTATGCCCGTGCAAGAGATGGGCTTATACGAATCTCGCCCACCTGCAACGAAACTAGATGACGAGTTCTTCGTCGAGGACAACGAATTACCTCTGCTGGATCCAGACTTCTGGGCTGACGGCTTTGTCCTCAAGAATAGTCAAGAAGATGAAAGTCGGACTTCTTCGGTGCCCGCGGTCCTGGCACTATTTGCACAAGACATTCTTGATGCGGGAAAGGCTATTGGAATGTTGCGGGCACTCGGAACCTCAGCTACGTTTGAACGTGGAACAGAGCAGCAATGGCTCGCAAGCTGGCGGCCGTTTACGTCACTCATTGAGTCTCCTCCTGCGTTCTCAGACAAAGATTTGTCTTCGAAAGTGGACCCAGCGACGCTACCCGGGCAGGCTCGACGTGTTGCAGCCACTAACGATGACTTGGCGGGCCTCATTCAAGATGAGCTGCTCCCACATTGCCGCTTGGCGCAAGAAATGCTGCAAAGGGTTATCATCGACGAATGCGATCTCTGGCTGCACCTATCAGCGATGGAAGACTTGTTTCTCATGAGACAAGGCGACGCGTTGTCTCGATTTGTTGATGTATTGTTTGCAAGAGTGAGTGCAAACGCTCACACATCCCTGAATATGTTTACTCATCTACCGTAAAGATGGACAACAAGCAGGCGTGGTCCGATTTCCACTTCCTCAATCGCGCTTTCCGCGATGTTGTAGAAGCCAGCTCTTACAAATGGATCGATGCGTCGCTTGTACGCTTCTCGCACAGGGGAAGCAAGGACAAATCCATCACTCGGACGGTGAGGGCCATCGATGGCCTACTGCTCGAGTATGCAGTTCCTTTCCCTTTGACATACATTTTCGGGCCTCGAGTCATGCAAGCCTACTCCTCCATCTTCTCTTTCATCCTGCAAATCCGCCGAGCCAAGAGTGTCCTTGAGCGGATCTTAGTGCGTGGAGCTGTAGCAAATATGTCCCACGTAGGAAGTGAGTTAAAGGTTTTCTACGCGCTGAGGAGCAAATTGTCGTGGTTCGTGAAGTAAGTCCTGTCAACGATCGCGCAGAAGCCATGCTCAGCTATATCCAGCACTTTGCTCGACTTCGTTGCAACCAATGTCAGTTCAAACCTCCTACGTTTCCACTCATTCCGTGTTGACTACTCAGTCCATAGGTACTACATTCTCAATTGCTGAGCTTTCATGAAGCCTTCCGACAAGCGAAGTCACTCAACGACATGATCCATCTACACGACGACCAGTGCGCATCCTCCTTAATCTTGACAAGTCCACACTGACGAGTCATTAGTCTGACCAAGATTCAAAGCCGCTGCTTGCTACAGCAGAACGTATGTAATAGACCTGCACACAAGCCCCAAACTAATTGTTGTGACACAGACTTCACCCTTTCAACGCGCAATCATTTCCATACTCGATATGGCGCTGCATTTCAGCGACTATTTCGTCGCCTTCGCCGGAGACACGACGCACGACATCTCGCGGCAGTCGATCGCGACGATGAAACGGCATCGCAGCCGCCGCGCGAGGCGACAGCGGAAGAACGTCATAGGATTCTCGCAAACCTTGAAAAAGGCTGATGTCAGCTCAGAGAGCAGCGACTCAGAATTCGACGACGATCTTGCGGAGGGCAGGGTGCCGCCCGAGCCTTCTTTCTCCTTGGCAATGTCCACCGTGTCCGCCCCGGATGAGAGCTTCGTCGATCGGCTGGACAAGATGTCGTCAGAGCTCGACACCCATGTACGGTTCATCCGCCGCTGGGCGGAGAGTCTCGCGGCCGGTTCTGGAGAAGCAGCGCCAACATTTGGCATGTTCGCATTCGCTTTAGACGACTGGGACAGGTAGTACAACACGCAAATAAGCAGGTAGAGATAAGAGTAAACGCATGCTACAGCATTAAAGGCTACAATCAGGGAAGGTAAGAAGAGTACGATCGAGTCAACTTCGCATGATTACTTGATACACATTCGTATAGGTACAGGTATCTAGGAGCCACCATTAGACCACGCTTTGGCCACCCCTGCGATCGACTCGTCGGTTAATTCCTCCAAGCAATATCTTGATGATGATCTCAGCGCTGAGGCTCCCTCCGGTGTACGGTGTTGTGTCGACGATATCACGAATATTGTAGGTTTGAGCCAGCCCATTGTCCAGCTCATCGAGGAACGCCGTCGCATCAGGGCTATTCCCGATCTGCACAAATTGGATGCCAACCTTTGCACAGAGATCACAGTTAGACATCTGTCTGAGCAGAACCCAGGTCAAGCGCTCGCTCACCTGGGACAGAGGGAAATTATGAGTGTCCAAACGCCTTGCCGCTGCAACGATCACAGATTCTGGGTCGTCCGCTGGATAATACGCAGGTTAGAACGAGCATGTGCTGTGTAAATGCGTAAAAACAAACTCGGTGCCCCGTCGGTGATCACGATGTAATTAGCAGGTTTGATAGCCTTCAGAGGAGCTTGATTGCCCGCATCATAAAGTGACTTGGCATGCTCAAGATTGTCCAAGTAGTACAGCAACAACGATTCGAGCTTCTCGCCTATGGGTGTAGTGCCATTAGGCCTTACTGTGTCAAATAGTCGCCGGATGAGAGTAGAATCCTGGACCATGGTTCATAGGCACATCAGCATGATACCAAATTGTGGCGCACCTTCATGTTATTACCGACATTCTTACTGTTGAGGAAGCAGATATCGATTCCGTCGGCGTCGTATCTCGCAGCTATGTCTGCCAATGCAGCCAAAGCGTCTCTCGCCTGGAAATGGAACATCGCATTTCAGTACAGATCAAGGTAAGCATCACGCCACAGACCTCTCGCCATCGGGCACCCTGCATGGAGCCAGAGTCGTCAACGACAATGATAGTATTGTATTTTGTGAGAGTATCCAAGGCGTCTTCGACGCTGTTCTGTCGCATGGGTCGCCGCAGAGCCTCGGCGCGTTCAGCAGCAGTTACCGGAGGTACACCTGCAGGTGGGATACCCGACTGCCTCTGCACCGATGGGGCTTGCGCTGGGGCGACGGCACCGCTGTTCCAGCTGCTGCGCCGCGCGTGTGCATGACCGTTGGAGGGAGGAACGGCAAGTGTTTGCGAACTGAACAATCCCGCAGTATCCGCGACCGCCACAGAGTACGGGGGAGGTACAGACTCGCGATTCGGAGCACGACTCGTCGAAGCTAGAGCAGATCTGCTGCGACGGTGAGCAGTAGAGGGTACACCCAAGTGTTTTGAGTCTCCCGAAGATGCACGGGCGGTGGCGCTGCGGTGAACACCGCCCCCGCTGTCCATATCGTCATCATGAGATGCGTAGAGGGCCTTTGGCTTGGATATAGAATCAGAGCTGTTGATTGTGCAGGATCGTGAAGCAGATTTCGAGGGGTTGTTTCCCATGTTGCGATAGTTGTGAAAAGTCGAGCGGGGTTGCAGGCTCTGGCGGCAAGCGACCTGTTGTATTTATAAAGGTTCCCTGGGCCTCGTCAGGTGCATGCCTAGCTTCGATATTCCTGCACAGCATCGTGCATCGAATCAGAAAACAGCCTGTATACTTAAAGCAGGCCCAGTGGCGGAGAGATGTAAGGGGGTGTCATGGAGGCGGTGACATTGTAGTGACCTGAATCTCGATCGAGGTATGGTTTGGAGGTCAGACAAAGGCTTCTCCTGCCATCGGCTATGCGCTCCTTGTGGGTCACGACAATGCGAGCTTTGTCCCGATCCAAGCAACTTCACACAGCTATCTGATGCTGTACAAGAACAACAGACTGCACACCGAATATGGATGATTGGATATACGGCTACAGCGATACTACTAGTACAACGAGTTATATGGTGATGGTCGGTCCGCAAGTCGAGGGAAAGCGTTCGTGTTCGCCACCACCACCATCTGCTTTTCATGTGAGATATACCCTCGCATAAAGCCCTTGTATACCATGTTTGCCACATAGCACTCGGCCTCCTCCTGTGACACGTCCATCCCCGCGATTTGCAGAGACGAATGAAACATGGAGAGAGGTATGCGTGTGGCTTTTTGCGATGCAGCCCATCTAGACAAGCCGGGAGCATCGGGGGACAGAGTCAGAATATGAGACGCTGATCTGTCGGAGAGCGGTCGCCACTCACACTCGGCGGAAGAGTCCTCGGATACAGAGCTCACGGGCGCGCTCCAAGGTCAACCACAGGTTCAGGTCAACGAGCCGCCGCTCATTCCTGTCCAAGGCGGAGTCATATGCCCGAATATCCCCCGACCTGATAGCTGAGATGAACGGGGTGAAGAGGTCATCCAGCATCGGAAAGCGGTCTAGAAGCTCTCGTGATGGGAGATGCCCACGCAGTATACGTAGTGGGATTAGATATGTTAATATTCGTCTATCGTGGTAGTCAATTCAGGATGCTGTTTAGATATGACTGCATTTGACTACCACTGACAACTGATTGCTGTGCGCCTTTGTATAGCAGTGATAGAAAGCAAGGGTCAGCTCTTGTTCGGCCTGTGCATAACAATAGAGGTGTGAATACAGAGTCCAGGTATCCTTGCAGCCGATACTGAGCATACCTTTGCAAAATCTTCGTTCAGGAAGCCCAGCATGCCTATATAGTATCTATATGACACCTACGCCCTGTGAGTGTACGTGTAGACGTTCAAAGAGCTATCTTACCTGATGCGACCGTGGATATGAGGTTAGTGGTGGGATATCTGGATTGGCCTCAATGGCTCTAAGAATATTTTTGGATAGGGATATTCTTTTGACCTGTGGCATCGTTGCAAAGCTGTCATCATATGCCACAAGAACGTACTTACTCGGAAGTAGCATTTCAAGATCAGCCCTACCACGTAGTACACCCCCCATTTACGCGACTCCTGGTATGAGGATTGCCTAACCCGTTAGTCAGAAGTCATCCTCGCGATGTCTTACTTCAGATATACCTATCGGTCACGCAACTTGAGAACGCCTTGCTAATGATGCGTGCCGCCTCCTCCATATTAGCTGTCCCCTCCTGACCCCGAGCGCTGGCATCCAGGTCTGCCTACAGTGAATATTATGGATGGGGCTGCCAGGAGTACTTGGGATAATAACTCACGTCAAATGCAAGGTCTCGCAGATCCCGTAAGATGGAAAATAGCGCAGGCAATGTCCACCCGCTGTTTGTTGCAAAATACCGGAGAAACAGCCTGACACGCGCATAACACTGTCAGCTCTTGGGAACAAGCACACGATAAACCACTCACGATACGAGCGTGCATTCCTCCCTAAAGGCTTCCGCGGGACGCTTTCGACCGCAGTGGTTGACCACCAGAACGTATTGTAAGGCAACCTCGTCCCATGGGGTCTCCATAGTCCCCTCATACTGGCGCAGTGATTGACGCTATCTTTATTTGAGTAAGAGAGCGACAAAGTGTGTTCAGAGGTTTAGTTTACCGTCGGATTCCGAAACTCCTTCACTAGCTGCTTTCCGTGCTCGGACGTCGGCTTGAGGAGGTAGGCAAGCTCAGGGCCGCGTTCTTCTTGCAACGCCTGGGCAATCTGGGAGATGAATGTCGAGAACCTGATCGACATTACTAACTAGCGGTCGCAGACTCGGAGAAGTGCTGTATGGATGATTGAACGACTTGTAACTGAAAAGAACTAAGAGCAGCAGATCCAAAGTGGCTGTCACGAAAGTGATATCACGTGCCACGCGTCTGCGCTCGGGCGATTCTCGGGCACGACTCAAGGCGCTCTTTACTCGACCACTTCCATACTGCAAGGTCGCCTTTCTGCCTCACCGAGTTTGACTCTGTCCTCCCTCGACTGTCAGGCAATTATCATGTCTACAAAGTCGTTGACGATGCGGGTAACTCGAAGCCGCAAGGCTCAGCCGTCTTCTGACGTGCCGTCACCTTCGAAGCTAACGCCTACGAAGGCCAGCACCCCGCCCACAAACGCAAACGTTACGCCTACAAAGGCTACCACGACACGCGCGCAGGCCAGCGCAACGCCCACGAGTGCCAGTATAGATGCACAAAGCCCTCGGAAATCACATCGTTGTCAATACTGCAAACAGCCGCGCAGCGGCCATCCGCGGTCTGGGTGCCCTAACGTAGATCCGCCTATTCCTCCTACTGAGCACAAAGCACCAGTGGATGAAAATATGCTAGCAGATGCGTTGCAGGGAATGCGGCTTACATCACTGAATACTACGAGCAAGGGGTCACGGCGACGGTCAGCTGCTCGCGACATCCGTGTCGAGAACACTGGCGATGCCGTCTCGCCATCTGGCCGTCTCGCGAATAAGACTATTTCAAGGCAAGTCAAGTCATCTGCCCTCATTGCACCGACCAGCGACGGCGAGCGGACGACTCCGGCTGCGGAGGAGCACCGCTCACCCGGGCAATCCAGGCCGCTTGCCCCGACTCTTAGCCAGCAGGAGACACAATTGTTCCTAGACCGTGCCAAGAGCACTGCGCAGGGCCATGCCACCATACTGAAGCACTCGGTCAGTGGCCTCGCCGACCTCATTGCCGGTGCAGAGGCGAGAGGCTTGAAGGTGCACATCATTCCATCAGCAGAGACTTCGGGTGACACGGACACGGCTCTGGTTGTAATTGCGAAGGACGAGGAGCTTGTACAGGCTGTCGGCCATGTCGGTGTGTGGGACAAAGCGGTCGTGGACAAGGCATTTGAGCGAGAGGTCCGGAGAGGGTATCACCCTGCCTTACTCACTGGTGGTGGGTTTGCTGTGGGCGCAGTCGTTACTTTCACAGGTCTAGCCTTTTCGTAGGGTGGCAGCGACGATCTGCCTGGTAGTATGTAGATCTCTGAGACTTTGTTCAATCAAGGCTTCAATGTCTATACACGTTGACTTGTTTCTTTACTTGTACTATTTATTATTTCGCCTTGGGACATGATTTTCCTTTGAAGTGTCAATTTCGCATGCGGATATCAATCACCCGGCGAATTCGAGATCCTGTGCAGCGTCTGTCCGAGCTGTGGCCGGACAACAAGAGACTTATTGAGAAGAGATCCGTCGGCCAGTTGCCAGGCTGCGGCACTGACCGTCCCATTTTCCTACACCATGTCCACCAGCAACCAGCGCGAACTACCACCTTTTCCAGAGCGGGACGAATACGGTGGTGACGAGCTGCCCACATATGACGACCTCGCGGCTCAGCATGGACCTAACTCCAGGTAAGCCGAACTTTATGCGATCAGGCAAGATCAGTTTGCTCACGACCACTGCCGTATAGATTTGGCCGGTGGAGGAGTTGGATAGAGAAGAGGTACGTCCGGCGTTGCCGGGGGACCTCAGTGATTGCAACTAAGGATCCCACAGGGCTGCCGAGCGGTATGTCGATCTGACACCTGAGGAATTGCAGCGCCGGCGGGCGCGAGGCTGGGGAGAAGGTGTGAGTCCAACCCTTGCCTATGCCCGAGATGTGTATGTGATAGGGCTTTGTCGCAGGTGAATGATTACGTGCAGGCCACTGATACTACCTCGGGGCCAGGGGCACGACAGTTGCACATCCAGACATCGTTTGCCTCAGCCCCGGTCTCCCCGCCGCTCCAGCCACCGACCCCGACGTCACCCACCGCGCTCATCCCGGAGGCAGTCTCGCCGTCGCACCTGGAGGTCTACCAGTTCGGCTCGCGCTTCCTGCCACATACGACCGCACCGGTCCGCTGTCTGCTGCCCATACTGAACGACCGGATCCTGCTCATCGGGCATGACAATGGACTGTCTGCGCTAGACATGTTCCCGCGCGAATGGGCTGACAATGGCTTGACGGAAAAAGGCCCGGCAGACGCGGAGGCAAAGCCCATCTGGGAGGGCGAGGTGTAAGCGTGTTCCCGTTGTCCCCGCATTTCTGAGATTTAGAGTCAGAAACCCTTAGCGTGTACCAAATGTCCATCCTTGAAGCGGTAAGCACGGGCCAAGGTACGCCGCAAGGCGTCGTGCTGGCTCTAGTCGGCCCCGTGGTCGACTGGTCGAAGGAGCAAGAAGGCATACGGACCCTGCGCATGTACAATCTTGCCAGCTTGATCAGTCTAGCAAAGTGGGCGATTGCACAGAAGGTAATGTGCGATCTCGTAAACATGCAAGGCTAGCACTCATTAGCGCAGGGCCAACACCCCTTGAACCTTCGCCAACCACATTCCTCAGGCAAGCCAGGCCAGTCCAAGAAGCATATCCGCCAACAAGGTAGCTTAACCAAAGGCCTCAAAAATCTCGTGCTCGATTCGCCGATCGCACAACCACAATCCTCATCAGACCAAAGCTATGAACCGCGGACGTCATATTCCGACGTCGCTGACTCGCCCATGTATTCGAAACGTCTACCTCCACGTCCCTCAGAGCGCTCAGACTCCGTTGATTCTCAGTCGTCTTGGGATGTTGTGGATGACCTGCCCTTACTATGGGCCGCTCACTACACGCCTCTGGCCTCCGTGGGCTCACGACTGCACAACACATCTGTGCTATTCTACGACCTATGGCGCAACGAGAATCAACGGAGCCGAGGAGGCGCGTTGCTCGCGGTTGTGACTAAATCAAATATCTTCATGTACGAGGCGCCGAAGGGCGAGAGGGCATTCCGCCTCATCAAAGTGCGTCTGCTCGACATGTTCACTCCTTCCAGAACGAGTCGGTCAATAACCCCTCACTACAGGAATTCTACACACCCCTGACTGCGCGAAGCATTACATTTGTCCAGCAGACGGTTCTGGATTCGATGTCCCGCAGCCCGTCGGATGTTTCACCTCGTGCGGGTGGTAGCTCACCAAATTACCGCCACACCCGAGGCGTGTCACTCGGCATGCACGCGCACTATTACCCGAACCAGCTCAGCCTGTTTGCCATCTTCGAGAAGAAGGCCGGGCTCATCCGCATCGCCGATTCCGCGGTGGGAGAGGTAGACCTATACGAGGAGAGCGGCGTGCTGCAACAATTTCTCTCACCGTCCATCACCGCGGGATCGGCTCCGCGTAAGTCGCGTGCCTCCTGGGACGGTCGTGGCTTCGTCAAGGAACACAAGGGTGTTTGGGTGCCGCCAGTGCGGTTCACCCTCCCCGTTGCGCTCAATCGCTCCCTGTCACAGAGCATGTACGTCCTCACCCGGGGCAAGCAATCACATATTGTCCCGCATCCGCTCCCACCCAGCATTGCCGCGGTGGCACCGTACCGCATCCTCATGTGGTCATTCCCACCAACACATGTAGGTTGCAGGGTTGTAGTGCCCCCTGTAAATGCGGAGAACGTCCCGCCATTCCTGCAAGTGATCGCGTTCGGAGAAGATGGCGTCGAAGTGCAAGAAATTCCCCTCGCTTCGCTATCCGAGCGAGAACGCAAAGGCAAGAGGAGAGAGGAGGAACTTGTACGCGCTTCAGCAGACGTTGGTGGAGACACAGGCTTCCTCTGTATTGGGGGACAGTGGAGCTTGCCATTTCACCAGAACCTCGGACGCTCATCGTCCGTCGAGAGTTATGACTCCACCATATCAAACGATAGCTGGTCGACTGAGGCTCAACTAGAAAAGATGCGTGTGCATCAGGGGATCTATGCCTGGGTACGCAAGGGTCTCGAGGACTGGCGTATAGTGTGGGTGGGCGGTAGTGGAACAGGACACCAGGACGAAAGCGATTTATGAGTACATACGGACTAACTAGCAGGAGATATCTGAATGTCCCTTTGTATATGAACAACTACGGATGTACTCTATGATAATGAGTCCCAGAAATGAATGAAAAGCACGGAAAGCATAATAGATATAATACAGATACAAGCACCGCTACGACATCGCTTGCGACTCGGAGTTGTTGCCCCGCAACACAGTGAATGACTTGCGCTCGGGCTCGGCGGCGGCGCTGGATGATCCCGATGCATCCTTCGGAGAAACGCCAGGTTTTTGCTTCCTGACGACGACAAATGATCGGCCGGGCTCCGAACTGGGTGGTTTGTCCGCCATAGCCATGAGATCCCCTTCGCTCATGCGGCGACTCTTCCGTCGATTGTACCACCGCTTCCTCTGGGTAGGTGCATCATCGGTGGTGCCCACAGCACCGTTCCGTCCGTCGCTGCTGGCCAAAAGGGCAGATGCGTCCTCAATGATAGCGGTCTGCGATTTCGTCCGGATATGCGCGGGCGGCATAGCGCCTGGCGGGAGTAGGCTGACATCAGGTCTTTTCGCGACACTTGACACAGACGGTGTGGGCGGTGGCGAGTACTCCACTGGCAGGGATGTTGACGCGAGATGACTTGTGGGCACGTTACGCTCAACAGAAGGGAAAGTGTGCGTGGAGCCAGAAGCGATGGCGTACGGGGATTCGAAATGAGCACGACCTCCACCGACGCGAGCGAAGCCAGACTTAGGGGGTTCTTGTCGTGGGGTGTCGTCGACGGGGCTGTACCCAGGGCCTACAAACGGCTGCCATGCACCCATGATATACCCAGTGTCCTCGTCGCTGTCTTCCTTGTATGGTTGTAGAGCGTGTTCGGGCCGCAGCACGGACGGGGGACCAGATTGAGTGGAGCCAGTCGGTGTGATATCTCTGAAGCCGGGGGTAGGTCGTGTCAGAGGAATGGTGGACGGCTGCTTCGGAATCTGAGCCGGGGAAGCACGCGACCGGCGTGAATGATGCGGTCGACGTGAAGAGCAGCATCCCAGGAGGCCTAGCGTGCCCAAAAGACCACTATCGACGGCATGCTTGCTCCGGTGGAACCCAACGCGCCCGGAAATTCTGAGAACACCCTCTAGCAGTTTCACAACGAGTATCAAGAAAAGAGCAAGATATATCAAGCCGAGGATACATAGGATGGCATATGCTATCCATTGTGCGGCCCCCGATTCAACGGAAACCTGAGAATCACAAGTGTTAGACTCAATCCGCACAATGAAAGGTCGCACTTACAATGGGCGTCAGGATGACGAGGAGTACCGCGATGACTATCCTTGCGACGCAGAACAAGAAGCTGATGAGTCCCATGCTGGCGCCTTGGCCCCAAGGCAGCCAAACGCTGGTTCCAAGCGCAGATGCGACTTCGACAACTAGTATGACGATGGCCTGAGCTGTGCCACTCTTCTGCCCGCAACCGATTGTAACGCCAAAAGCGATATTAGTCGCAAACAGAATACAGGCGAACAGCTGTGATCCATGTCTGTAATGATTGTAAAGCGGCCCGAGGGACAGCAATGTCCAAGTTTCATCGTAGAGCTTCGTCGTGTTGGTGGTGGTGAGTCGAACGACAAGGAAGATAGGAATGAGCACCGAGAAGACAGCAAAGGATATCGCTGCAAGGACGATAGACCCAAGAGATGCATTCTGACGGCCCATTGTCATCTGGTAGCAAGAGAAGATGGTAACTGGCAAATGAAACCAGATAAGAATGCGAACCAGGTTTCCCTGTAGGATACTGCTGTGGTACGATATGAAGCTTGACCGCAATCGCCACCAAGGACGACCAGAAGGGAAGAATGCGGAACGGAACAGGAAGTGGCTATTGAGCGATCGATTCTCGTCCGACGGTATTTGACCGACACCATCCAGTAGATCCTTGCTGCCGGCTGAGTAGCGAGGACTCCGGGTTCCAGCTAAACCATTGGAGGATTGAGAGTCACCGTGGATGAGAAGCGAGATGATCCAATCCAGACCCCATACGAGGACGCTCAGTACGACCGTGCCGCCTATGATGGACAGAAACAGGGTTAAACATATACCAAACAGATCTTGTGGTCGAACGCCAATGGTCCAAGCAAAAGATGATAATCCGCTGGTAGCGTCAGTCGGCAATTGGAATATAACGTTTGGTACGTCGGCATCAATGTAGATAGGCGAGGACGAGTTGCTGAGTTGGTCTGCAAAATTCGAAGGTGGAGCATATAATGGCACTGTAAGTGGATTCCACCGCTCGTGCGCTCCCGTCGAGCCCTGCGAAATTGTGATGTCTGAAATATATATTAGCACTGAGGCGAAATGGCTTCACTTTGACATACTGTACGATAGGGTGGACCAAGCTGTTTGCACCAGTATTGGATCTGCCAACGACTTTAGATACGGAGAAAGCGTACGAGGTGCAGTAACATACAAATGAAGGTCGGCCATTGTACTGCCACCATTGCCAACGCCGCACACCATTGAGTGTGGAAGATTATGTCCCTTAACGATGGCGTACCTGTGTTTCCGTGTAAGACGTTTACGGGCAACGGTAACGGACGGCCAACGCTCACAAAATCGCATGAGCGCGGGAGAACCTGCAAGACGCTCCCCACTAATCGCACTGGCAAGAATGAAGCCAGCGCTCTCCACCCGAGCCCAAGTGCCAGTTCCAACCCTTGTCGAGCCTCTGCCCCACGCAGAGGCTAGTCGTGCGATACCAACGACCAACCAGTAAGCGATCGCCAAGCCGACAGTCACCCAGAAGATGATATGTGCATGGCCGTAGACAGATCCAACCGGACCTGGATCCAAGATTGTCGTGTTTAGATTCATACAGAAAAGCATGTGTTGCCAAGGATCCAACGCATATAGTCTGGTGTCAAACGTCGCGAGTTCGTAATTTGACGGCAGTGGGATCGACGTAGAGAACGCGAACGGACCAGCGGCAAACGGGCAGTAGTTTTTATCGTCGCTGGTATTCGAGGGCGCAGGAAGCGGCGATGGTGGGCGCAATGTATCGCAGAAAATGGAGCCATTATTCAGGACATTGAACGTCAGCATCTCGGTTGTCGTAAAAAGAGTCGCTACTGTACGTCAGCATAGGGACTACGACGCGTTTTTGTGCTACTCACTTGCATAGCTATGCGTAGTGTTGCCGTCTTCCGCAGATGCTGGGATGACCTCCGGCGTCACTCCAAGAACGGTGAGGTTCATATACCTCCCACCCGAAGACTGCTCAAGGACTTGAGCAAAGACATGGGAGATATCAAACTTGAGACTGGTATTGCTGCTTGTGAAGCAATCTTCGTACTGCAGCTGGGCGGGTTGAGCGAAGGAAGTGATGGACAGATGTGAAAGCGAGAGACTGAAGACAAGGAGGATGCGAGGTAGTGTCGCCCACGCGCGTGGACACCAAGAATCGGACATAGCGGACGTCCAAGACGTGCTAGTTGAGCAGCGACAAAAGCACAAAACGACTGCGCCGGTCGTCGTTCACAGCGGTGGAAACACGCCTTGGGGCGGCGAAGAGGGGGGAATACATCCGGACACGTGACACCAGCGACGTCAGCGAGACGGGCTCTGATTCAAGTCTGTACACACTCTCAAAGTCGCACTTGTCGAAACGCGTTTGAACACGAGAAGTACACTGCCGTCTGCTTGTAGCTCCTGGCTCTTGTGCATGCATGAGCACGTTTTCTCGCTTGTCGATCAGCATCGTCGTGCGACTTCACCTGTACAAATGATCGCGATATGGTCTTCTAGTTTGCGACACCAACTGCATGCACCGGTTCGTAATAACATGTCTCTTGCTCAGTTTAAATGACAAGTAGGCCATGTGCTATCTAAGTAATTGATTGACTTGATGCAGGGAACCTTTGTCCACCGAGATCTGTCGTACTTCTCACGCCCGACGATGCTTCAAACCTTTGCCATGGCAAGCTCGCAGTCCACCTTATCAAGACAACGACTACGGGCCAGGAGAGTCCTTTGATTTTGTCTCGCCCCGCTGTCATATCTCAAAGACATGCCCACTGTTTCCCCGTAAAGACATAGCCCATGACAGCGCGTGTCAAGCACCAACGTGGCATGCCCACAGTCCGTGGTGAGCCTGTCGTTTGTGGCGAGACGTCTCGACGTCTCGACCCGATTGATAGCATTTTTAGCTCTTGCACATTCTTCGATGCAAGGCCTGAATCAACTCCGAGACGATGCTGTGATCTTGGTGCCCAGTTGATGATCTTCTACAGCACAGCCCAGTCCATGAGGCTATCGACCACCGGCGGAACTGGCAGCTTCCTGCGAAAACAGCCACTTAGGTCACTTCATTCCACTTATGATTATCTCATGGCTTTCCCTTCTCGACGCTTTCAGCATGCGCATGCCCTGGTGCTCTGCTGCTATCGCCACAGGCGAGATGCGGTGGCACCTCCGGAATGGTGCGTCCAATATCGGCCTCGATGCTACATGCATCTGAACCATGCGGTGCCTGTGCTAGCTCACGCCAATGTTGTGCTCCGCAAACACAGTACACGCAAGCAAGCATGACGCTACTGCCGACTTGAGCGTGGCGAACGTGCATGCGCCAGTCTCTCAATCGTGCCACGATTACAGACGGCAATGCCTCTTCGAGGCTCTGCCATCATATCCGAGACTGAAGTTTGTTAAGGGTCTCACGTAAATAAGAAGTCCTTGAAGTCAATGCTGTACATTTATCTGCAGTGGCATTAGAGTCTCGTCGCAGTGGTAAGTTTGCATCACATAACAGCCCCGTTGCTGCTCGCAGATGCCCGTTTCGAATTTAGCTGATGCGAACCGCTGATGTACCGACGGCTCTTCATCCATTTGCTTATCCAAGCGTGAGTTTGGCGGCAAGGGACAACCGGCGAATGCGATTTCGTACCCCCAAATAAGCGTTATCTATGGTACGCAATTCCTCCTCCTTTTCGCGATCGCATGACCCACGCCCACCGCCTAGACCTCACATCGGCCGCTCAACCATAACCGAAGAGAAAAATTACAGCGCAACTTTATGTAAATAGTCTGACCACGACGGACGCGTCGTGCCGTCGTCGACTCGGCTGAGCGGACTCGCCTGACTTTTAGCATACTTCCCTTCCGAAGTGACTTGGGTTCATAGTTCATGCCGACGACGTGGTGCAAACAGCCTTCAACATTTCTTTCCTTTGACGGAGTTGCCACGAAAGTGGTGGACCGGCCAGCCGTACGGCGTACGCCACAAAGAGAAGCAAGGGCAAATGGCCGGTACGGGTTACCCAGGCTAGAGCGCGAGAAGTAATCCGAAGTGTTTCAGGTTGCGAGCCGTAAGCCGGCTCGATTTGTCCGTGTGAGTCGCGCTACCACAACAGGCAAATGAGATCCAGGATACGGTACGAGGGCCACAAACAGAAGCAACAAGGGGCGAGAAGCATGTTCCCCAGGTACAGTCAGAGTCAGCTAGCTGTTCAGAGATGAGCGGTGCCGCGAGCGTCGCGCAATGGGCGAGTCTCTGCGGCCCTGCATTACAGATGATGAAAAGGCGCAGAATGAGGTCGAACTCTCCCCGTTATTCCAATGTTCCCGTAAGCACTAAACAGAGCCGAGCCGTCGTAGGACATAGAATATTGGAGTAGGTGTTGATAGGTGCCGCAAAGTTCGACATGTGATCCTGCCGCCAACTCCGCCTGCTTGACAGAGGCCCCAGATACTTGGTGACAGCGAAGAGTAGGTGCTAGAGCAAGAGTTGAACATATCCGCTGCGCCATGCACCGATGCACACGTCGTGGAGAAACGATGCTATGCAGTAATTCATTATGAGCATCCGCGAACGCCTGTGAACGATCACGAAGTCGAGTGCGTGTGATAGCATCAGGTTCGATTCTCTCGCGGAGAAGGATGCAAGGAGCATCGACATGACTATGACGACTTACCAAAAGGCAGCGGCGGCGCACCGAGGGAGCAACGTAGGAAAGGAAGTCGTGCCGCCGCCATATCTGTAGCACTTAGCTACCCGAGGTAACTCGCCCATGACTCCCTGTGGCGACGGAGCCATTGCGAAGCGAGTATGGAGTGTAAGGGCCAACATTCAGTGTCATGACCACATCGTGCACCGCCCGTATGCCCTACGTGACCGGCGTCCCCACTGTGGGACCTGCTGTGGTCGCGATTTCACAGGGTGACGCCGTCGACAGGACGCTGGACAGCAGGGGTGCCGTCAGTCGCGGCGCACCATATGCAAATTACCACGGAGCTGACCCGAAAGGCTGATAGCTCACCTTGAGAGCCTGTGAGACAGAAGTACTGAGACACGGCCAATAGCCGAATATGCACGTCGAGGCGCCGCGGAATCGTCGGGTGCACTTTCACGCCACGGTCAATGCGGAGGTGAGGTGAGAGTACTCACGCCGCACGGGCAGGACGGCGCCGCACATGCGGATGCGAGGCACAAGGGGCTGCCGCGCGCCATCGACGACGACCTGTGGACGGCAAGTGTGGCTCCCGAGGACGTGTCCCGTCGGGGATTTCGTCGTCAGGAATGTGATCGAGGAAGCCCGCAACGGGCGGCCCAGTACCCCGAACACCACGCACGGATCGCGTCCGACGTCATCCGACACTCAGATTGGCTCTCCGCTATGTATGGATATCCAGTTGCTTGCGGGCCTCCAAATCCGCGTTTGGTTCTTTCCAGCGCCGAAACCCTCCCCTTCCCGCTCCCCCACCCACATCTGGGATCTTCATTAACGGCGCGCTACAGGTCGGTCTCTCCTGCCCATCACTGTCGCTCTGATGCAGCACTGTGCCGCCGGACCGGCCTTCAAGCCAGCTGCATCTCATCACCGCTGCATGTCGAGAACCGGAGGCGCATCAATGCGAGCATGGACCCTACCAGTGCAGGAACAAGTCATCGTGGCACGGTCCGAGCGCACTCTGCCGATCGCTGTGAGTACTCGTCTCTCCAGCCGCAAGTACCTCTGCTCGAGCGCATGGCCGCCATGCCCCATGGGCTTGTTTCACTTGGAGATGGGCGATGCAGCTCGTAGTTGCGCATCCACACCACTCGGGCCCTAGACAAGCGATAACGCGACATGTGTTTATGCCGTCGCCTCCTCTTGGGCCGTCGATCACGCTATGGCCTCTCGCGGGTCCGGTGTGCGTGCACGGTGGCCACACAGCGATAAGGTGCGCAATCAGCGTCTTGTGGGGTGGAGGGGAGGCGGGGGGTTTGCTTGTACCGCTGCTGCCTTGTGCCCTCCGACTTTTCCGAAGAAGCTCGAAGCCCGCTGAAATTTTTGCACGACGGTCTGAGCTCCCGTAGCGTCAGGAAACGTGCGTTCCACGGGCCCAGACGAGCGAGAGCGTGTTGCCGCGATGTCCGCACCGTGCTGGTCGCAGAGCCGGCCCCGCGCGGGCGCTCGTTTACGCATCCACATTTTCCGGGATTCTCGCGTCATTTCTACCCCACTCGCGAGGGCGTACGTAAACCGCACGGGCTGCGCTGGCCACCGCTAGAACCTGCGGGGACCGCGAAGCCCCCCGCGATCGCGCTCGCGTCGGCAAGGCCGTCTTACGACACGGATCTGTAAGGGCCAGGTCGACGCGGGTGCGTTTCTGCGCCCTGCAGCCCTGCAGCCGTGCCTCTCTCCGCTGCGCTCGCGCCGCGCCACGGCATTCCCCGTGGCTGGACGCTTGCGAAGGGGCGAAGGGCGCAGGCGTTGACGGGGTGGGGGGGAAGGCGGAGAGACGCGGAAGATAGGAGGCAGCGCTGCGTTGCTTCTTCCTTCCACGACGTACCGTACGTGCTTTCCGGAGCGCCCAGCGGCGTCGACCCGGTCCTCGCTCGAGGAATCGCTTTGCCTCTCTTGGTCTCTGCCAGTGTTACACAGTTGCCGTGAAGCACGGTGAGCAGCTGCCTTCGCGTACCGAGGGCCGCCTAGTGACCGTGGCGTGTAGGTACCCCAGGTCGAGTCCACCTGTGCCGCGCCAAATGGAGATCGGCGCTGCTCAGGGATTGCTATTGTGAGCGGTGCGCGGCCCACAGGAATAGCACAATTAGTGCGGTGTGTGCACAGTGGGGAGACCACACAAGAAGTTGCATATATGGAAAGCTCTGAGGACGGGGTGCGCAGCCTCTACCACTATTATCTGGTGTGGCGGGGCCTTCGGTGCTGTATTACTGGGCTTCGCTTTGTCCGTATGAGAAGGGAAATATATTTGTGGTCTTTGTATGAATGCTATGCCTTCCTAATACACGCGCGACGCCCCCGGTGGCCCACAGGAACCCTTAGCATGCACGAGGACCGAGCGCAAGGTTTGTTGTACGTATAGAACCGGTGTGCGCGCTGCGGGTGGTCCTGCCCTTTGCAACCGAGACGAACGCGTGGGGGGGAGGAGGAAGGGGTCGCAGATAGGCAAGTACGGAAGCAGTGGCGATGTATGCGCGCTCTGGGTTACTTGGAAGGAAGGCGCTGCAGCGCCGGCCGAGAAAGGGAATTGACGGGGACAGGAATCGTTTGCAGGCACGCAGGATGGGCGCGGGAGCCGGGAGAAGCAGAAGGTGCTTCAGGACGGTGTTGATGGTCGAGCGCTGGGCCAGAGGTGGAGAGGCGCGGTTGTGCGTTTGACGGGGCCGGGGCGGCGAGGATTGGATGGGACTTGGCGCGTTTGTCCATTCTGGTCGCTATGGAGTAATAAGACGCCGTGGTGACTACGGCAGCAACCGAGAGATCTTCGGCGGGGAGCACATTGAATCGAGAGATCTGGATGAGATGAGAGCACAGCTCACTTCGGGAGTGTGAGAAGCAGGGGAGTCTCCCGGATATGGAAATGCGCGCGTCTGTTGCGGCAAAAACGCAAAAATGGGATTGGAAATCGGGCGTAACCAGGGTCACGGGGCGTGGGAATGCGTGACGTGCTGCGTGCCGGTGGCGGATGGGTGGGTGGGTGAGTGCTACTACTAGTGCGAGTGGACATGGACATGGAAGGGGGACACGCTTTGGCCGCTGTGCGCGGGACTGGCGCAGTGGCCGGGCGGGCGCAGTAGGGGTTAGCGTGGTGGGTTGCTTCTGGAAGAGGTGGGAGGGCAGCGCGTGGACTTTGTGGGCAGACTCGGTTGTGTTTGTCCGAGTGCCACCGCTGGCCCCGAGGCTCTGGGTCTGCGGCAGGCTTCGCGCTAAGCCCTTCTCGGCCCATGCACAGCGTTCTGGGACCCCGGGACACTCCCCGCGCATGCTCTCTGCTCAAAACGAGTACCCGTCCGTCCGTGGGTCTGCCTGTCCCCCGCTGCCCATTCCTCGCCCTCTGGCTTCCATATAGTCCTTCTGCACGCGCCCCGAAGCTGCACCCTCTTCCTCCTCCCGCCCGCCCGCCACATGGAACCCCTACTCTTCGACTGCACATCCTACTCAGACGCCTCCACTCCTCGCACACCCTCCCCCCGCTCAGACATGCAGCCCCCCTTCTCCTCCCCCCACTACAAGCCCTCCATGGACCTTAATCCCGCTCGCTACATCTTCGACGGCAACCACGACGACAACGGCATCGTCCCCGAGCACCACACCCTCGAGGCCGCCCATATGTGGTCCGCGCCCTACCCCGGCTCCTACAATCCCCCGGGCTCTCGCGGCTCTCTTCTCGAGGAGCTCTATGACCATGACATGCCCGAGCATAACGCCGGCCATGACTCCTACCTCGACCAGCGCCACCAACAGCATCCCGCACATTGGTCCCACATCTCTCAGGCTATCCACGGCGAGCCGTCTCTCCCCATGCAGCGACACCCTCACGACATCGCCATGTCGCGCCGCAACACCTTCCCCTACGTCCGGCAAGACCGCCCGGACGCTATGTACACGCCGCCGCCGTTCCTGAGCAACGACCACGACTCCGTGAACAGCAGTCCGTACGGCTCTCGCCCCAGCACCGTCTACAGCGAGCCCTTGTCGCTTGACGGGTCCCCGCAGCTTGGCATGTGCGACACTCTTCACGGCCAGCAGTTTGACGAGCCCTTCGCGCATACCGTCTCCTCGCCGCACCCCCCTTACCATGAGTACCACCATCTAGAAGGCATCAAAACCGAGGACTCGGCATCCGTTATCGTCCCCTCTCAGACTGCGTTCTGCCGGCCAGGCTCGACAGGGATGCACCCCCTGCCGTGCCTGGCGCCGCACAACGGTATCATGGTCCAGCACACCGACGACGCCGCGTCTAAGGAGACGCAGTTCCTCAGAAGGCGCTGTCACAACTGCCATACCACCGAGCCGCCCAGCTGGCGTCGATCGACCCTCAACCAGGGCAAGATCGTGTGCAACAAGTGCGGTCTGTATGAGCGCACGCACTTGCGTCCACGCCCGTTGCGTTTCGACGAGTTGCGTGCAGGTAGCAAGACGCGGAAACAGCCCAAAGTCGCGGGGAGCCCCAAGGGCGGCAAAATCCCGCCGTCGATGGTCAAGAAGGAGGGGCGCGAGGGCGAGGCGGACGGCAACGGCATGATGCCGCGCCGCGCATCTGTATCGTCGAACTCGTCTGTCTCCGGCTCCAGCGACTGGGACGATAGCAGTAAGTCCCCCGCTATCTTCGCACCTGAAATGGTGTTGATTATTGCATGATGTTTATCTAGTCTCGGTCTATTCGTCAGGGTCCGCTCCCCCGTCGTCCATGGGCTCGCCAGCCTCGCAAACATATTCCATTCTCCGCGACTCCAACTCGCACTCACCGCCGTTGACGGCTGACGGGGGCATTCGCCTTCCGAACGCACCGTTGTCTGACATTGCGTCCATGCAGTCGCACTCGATCGGGTTGCCGGCCCCGCGCAAGGCGGCGTCCATGCCGTTCTACCCGGGGCAGCAGCAGCCGCAGGGAGACTACTTCCGGCGAGGCTCGCTCCCGACGACGCTGCCGATGGCACAACAGCAGCCGCGTCCCATGGACGTGCCCATCCCGGAGATCACTGGCTGGCAGAGCGTGCCGATGCCGGGGCCTGAGCTCGGGCCCAACGTCAAGTCGGCGAAGCCGCGCAAGACCGTCATGGCCTGATCTGATCGTGTTGTATTTCTCGCATAGACTTGCACTGGTCTCCACGGCGCCGACTGCGGTATCCCCTATCTATTGCTATCATTCTCCCTAACCATCGCCTTCCGCTGCCGCTGTACTATCCCTCTCCCCCTTCTTCATGCTCTGGCTAGCCCGATATCCCCTGCGAAAACGCCTCATACCCGCGCGCACGCACGTGTCCTGCGACGTCCCCATGAAGAAGCACGGCAAAAAGACTGGTGCTCTGTACTCTTCGCCCGCCGGTGTCGGCGCTCATTGTATCACTCACACAACACTCGCATGGTTCGCTCGCACTCATTGGCTTCTTGGAGATCATTGCCCGTTCGTGCTTATTTTTTGTTACTTATTGGTATGAGTCCGTACCTGTTTTGGCCGCTCGTGTGTCTGGGTGTGGGTCGAACTTGCGTGCTCTCCGCTCTATCTATTGATCTATCTACGTCGTATCAGCTCTGGCTCATCTCATTCTGCATACTGCTCTCCCCCTTGTAATGATAGCGTAAATGAAGCCGTACAATGCGAAAAGAGAGAAGAACATGAAACACCGGTGTGCATCGGTCTGCGCGCTGCCACAGGAAGCGTCGTGCCCTTCTCCTGGATGGTGATGATGTCTGCGAGACAGATGGTGTGAGAGCCTGCCTGAAGTGCACCGGTCTGCGCAGGTTCGCGCTGATTGGCTGTGGGATGCTTCTGCCCTTCGCAAGCAGCCCAAATGACGGCAGGGGGCGAGCGGACTTGGCACGCGCGCGAAATCGTTCTCCCGGGATCGCTATCGCACCTCCGGCACCCGCGGGCCCACGGGCCGCCGGGGTGGCGGAGAGGTGGGGGCTGACGTGCTGCTCCCTGCTCGCCCGCGCGATAGCGCACTTGGCGGCCATCGCGGAATCCTTGTCCCCGTCGTGGCGGGCGCACGCACCCTCGATGTGATATCTGAAACGCGCCCCTAGCCTAAGCGCCGTTAGCGTGTACCCGAGCCCCCAGAAGCCGCGACGAGTGCGCGGTGCACCGTGCGCACGCTGCGGGCTGAGCGTTGACCCGCGCACGGCTGTTCGTCTGGCTGGACTCTGGACTCTGTCTGAACGCCTGCGTGCGCCTCGAGGCTCGCCCCCGCCGCCGTCGGAGCGGCGAGTGCTTCCTGGCGGACCACGCGTCCAGGTTGGACGTCCAGTGCACGTGCGTGCGTGCGCGTGTGTGCGCGCGGGGCCCATGATGGCGCCTTGAAAGACGCGGCGGCGCGCGGAGCGAGATTTGGCCGGGCGTGCGTGCGTGTGGCAGCAGCCTGTCACGGCGCACGCGCGACACCCAAGGCGGTCTGTGAGCGAGCCTGCTATGGAAGGCGGCGTGGTGCGCCCGGCCGTGGCACGTCGGGCGGCGTGTGTCGACGTCAGCGCGGCCTCCTGTGCGCTGGTCCCTGTCTGTGGCCCCGCATGCCCGCCCGCCGCCGCCGGACCAGGCCTTGACTCACTGACAAACGCCCCTGCAAGCGCAAGCTCCGGCGCGGCATATTCGCTGCCTTGCCATATGCTCCTCGCGCCGCCTCGCCCCATGTGCAATTGCGATACCGCAGTGACAGGAGCACCAGGGCGTATACGCAGCAGCGCGTCACTCCACGGACGCTGTTGCAGACTCCCGGGGTGCGTTTCAAATACACATTAATTCGATTCCACAGCTCCTCGTCCACTCCGATAACTAATAGGGGCGGGGAGCGTCGCCCTCATATGACTCGTGATTGCGAGTGTCACCCGGGGCATGGTGTGTGGTATGTCGGAGAGTCAGATACGGGTGCATTTGCCTCGCCCTGTTTGGCGGCGGCGTGGTGGCGGGATTCGCCAGCCACTGTTCGTTCCCGCCCTGCACCCGCTCGCCTCGACGGCCCATTTTTATTTCTAGGGTGCTCGTCCAAGGGCCGGTCTGCCTGTGCTCCGTCAGCGGGCGACTTCTAGGCTCCTGAAGTTTTGGACCCAGGGCTCTCGTGGCCAGTTCGTGCGGTCCAGGGGTGTGGGAGGCGCGTTTCAGGACCTGAGCATCTTGACAGTTGCACTGGACGTCGGGCCCACAGACGTACACGGCGCCAACGCGAATGCAACGCCAGGGTCCGCCGGTGTCTTTCGGCAGTGCGGCATTCACTTGACAGACACACTCGACGTGCAGTGAGCCGTGGCGTCCGCCTTCCAAGAACCGCGAAGGCCTCCCGCTGCTCCGCGCCCGGCAGCGACGGTCTCGTAAACCACCTTGACAGCCCGTCGTCCTTCTTGAGCCTCGACTGATCCGCTGCAGTGGACCGATTCGCAGCGACCGATCTATTCCCGACCGTAGTGGTCTGGCTGCCACACCCTGCGCAATACAGTCGCGCGACGCGAATCTCCCGTCGCTTCTCGTTCAACTGGTCTCTTGAACTTGCCTGCAATCGTTAATACAGCATCGTGGAATGATCCCAAGCGACCGTTGACTCTTCCTCGCCCCTTGACAAATTACGAAAGGTACGTTCACAGTCCGGCAGGTTCTCTGGCAGGGTGCCTTACAGAGGGGGCACGCGTGCGATTCCACGGACTGTTTTCGGAAGGCACTTCGTCGAGTCCGCCATCGTCGCAGACGAGTTCCCCGCATTGCTCGCGAAGATCATGCAGATTGGTGTCCACAGTGTAGCGCGCCTTGGCCGGTGCTTTCAAACTTTCGGTTCTGTGGCGCCCATACAACGTTGGTTCCCGAGCGGTCGACCTAGCTTCAAGATACACTAGCCAGCTGCCCTTATCTCGGCACAAGTATCGCAATGCCCGGCTCTCGGACTGTACAGTCAATCTGCTTGCTTCTCGGACAGTGCCATAACCCTTCTTACTTCTCGGACGTCACTCAGACGCAGCAATACATTTCGAACCTAAGTGGTCGCGTGGGCGGGCAGGCCCTGAGTGTTGAGCTCGCGCCCGGCAAAACCCCGGCCGACACGAAGTGTTGTGCGGGAGAACGCGATACGAAGCGTGCCCTGTCCGCGACCTTCGTTCGACGCAGACAAGTTAGCGTGGGTGGTCTAAGAAGCCCCCCTGTGCACGTTTCCGATCTCGCAGTATCGTGTCCTCGAGCGCGCGTGTCCGAAGCCGGTAATGACGCACGCTTTGCGAACCTACTTGCTGATGCTATCATCCGCTCAACCGGCAATTCTCTCGAAGCTGCTATGGGCCCGAATCAAGGAGAATGAGTGCGGACACCGCAAGCGCGTCCCTCCCTCCCTCGAGACGCAGCAGCTGCCTGACTGGGCTAAAGTCCGCGAGGTCCGGCCGAAAAGGCACCTTTACTGCTGCCTAGCTTCGTGCGCGCCATGGGGACCGCGGACGCGCATTCGGGGGCAAGGGACTCCGGTGTACAAGGACTCTACCCCAATCGCGCCAAAGGGGGTATAAGCGGATTACTAGCCTATCTTGCGTCTCGCTTCTCGACGTCAGCGGCGTTGAATGAATCGCTGAGGCCTATGTGAATGAGGCACGAGGTGAGAACGTGGACGGCAATGACCGTGGGCGCGCGCGTCAGCGTTCGCGGTCAACGGCACCAAGCTCGTTCTACGCTCCCTTTGTCTTTTGGGGGCGCATTGCAAGCCAGGGTCCTGCTATACAGACTGACAGCATGCTGCAGGGTCTCGCGAAGCCTTCTTGCGGAGGTGCAGCGCAGAAATCGGCCAACTAGGAGAGCCGGATATGAGTCTGGCGGTGTAGCATGGTCGCTCAGGTGGTCATGCGCCGACCCACCGCAGAGGAGAATGTGTGCTTCGACGCACTCGTGCTCGATCTGTGTATCATTCTAGGCCACAGATGACTTCCATAATTGCGCGCATTTGCAATGACGCCCTGGCTTCCATTGTTCGCCTGGTTGCTAGTGCCTCGCGGGCAACGAGTATAAGGTGTGTCCCCAGCCATTAGCGTTAGCGTTACCGGGGCCTGTTTCCAGCGCAATATTATTGTGGCCTGGGCGTCCTTGACGCGCGGTGGAGAATTGAAAGGCTGTCTGATCAATGCTCTAAACCATGTCTACATCCTCAAAATTTACGTATCAGGGATCGTCGCGGACTTGTCCAGGTCCAAGCCCCAGTAAGCTGGTGGGGTGCTAGCAGCTTCTATCCCGAGCTCGTGAGCAGAATGCGCCGAGGAAGGATGCTGATGACAATGTGACCTCTGCTGCGGGTCGTGAACGCGGCGTATCCCTTGCCCGTCGGGTTCGACGTCCGTGTGAGTACCTTTAGCTGGGTTCTATTTCCAGTAATCCGTTATCTGAGCGCCCCTAGTAGTGTTTCTTGTCAGCAGCGCTGGCTCGGTGGTCCAATAGTGGGACCACTGCGATGCATAGATAGCATCACTCGCCCGCTCGCTTGGGTGCCGGCGGCATGCCCAAAATGTCAGTCTTCTCCCGGATGACGCCCTCGTTTGGTGACAAGTATGCGGGACGAGCGGGGCCCCCGCGCGCTCTCGGATACAGGGATGGTATTGTGCCTTGGCGTTGACGTCCGTGGAAGTCCTGGATGTCAATCGCAGGTGCTACTTGGGGGATTGATTACAAGTCTGCGTCAGCCTGTGTCCTGACACCGCCCTGTACTCGGTGCAGGTTCGAAGGTAGCTGTAGGTTGGCTCTACGAGACTATGTACCAATAAAATACGGCAGCTGGATGTTGAATACTACGGCGTTTACACGACGCGATTAGTGTAGCCCGCAGCTCTACACCCCGGAACTGCGCGCCCATGAGCCTACAAACCCTAACCCTAATTTCTGGTGACGGTCCTAACCCCACACGACGACTCCACTGGTGGCGTTGCATCTGATTCGTAGCCACAACCGCCGACGCTCGTCGAGAGTCACTATGAGCAACACAGTACACTTTCCAAGCGCATTGCAATCGGGGACATCTATCGCGACTCGTGCTCCATCTACTGCTCTCGATATCTGTGATCTCGTCTACGGTCCCACTATTCCTGCATGGGACGTGATCGAGAGATTTTATGAATTAAATGCGCTGTACGAGAACCCATTGGTAACGGCGTCATCGCGCACCGTGATCTCCGACATCCACGCCCTCGCCAGCCAACTTGCCAAGCTTGATGTTCCCAAACCGATAGCCCTTCTGTGCAGCTTGTTCGGCCTCTCGAGAGAAGGTGGACTGCATGAGTCATGGTTCAAAGTGTCCAGCATGTGGCATGAGGTTACAAGTGTCTCTGAGAGCGATAGCTTCGGTGAGCATGTAGTCGGGTCCAGACGAAGTCCGCCACTTGTGGTGTCCAGGGCGCTACACCATACTGTTAGCGAGCGTGTCGTTAATGTCGCCCAATGCACAGACGGCCATCAAAGAATAATCGTTGAGCACACACTACACGTCGACCTCCTGCCAGGGCTCGTCGGACAAGACACAGGATCCACGCATTCACTGCCCTCCACGTCTTCCCAGCTTTCCCTTTCTGTCCCCCGTCCCGCAGCCAGCTTCCGCGGTAGAGGGACCGGAGCTCAGAACCCCCGGCCGTCAATACTTCACTTATCTCTTCCCATCCTCACCCGCCTGTCCTTTAACGATGCAGGGAAGATAACGCACCACAGAGATTTCTGGGATGTTAAGGTTTGTGCACCGCCTTAGGTACTGTCGGTTCTCCGTCTGATGCAAACACCATCCAGGATCTTCTGGGGCTCTTTCCCGGCATGTCTCTTGCGCAGTGGATCACGACCCGCCTTATTGCCCAAGGCATCCGCGGCATTATGGGCGCCAGTAGAATGCTGGCGAGCTCGCGCTGGTCTCGGAAATCGGACAATCCCGACGCACGAGATGAAGAGGAGGGTCTGTCCCCTGTGGCTGCTTACGCGCGAGCAGTGAAGGACATTGGCGCCGCGTGAGACGCACGGTATCTCTTCTTTCATTCCCCCACTATTTGTGATGGGACCGCGAGCGCTGCGAACTACTCCCGATACTTCTGTACTGTGCGCTAGATAGCAGCACGTCACATATTCCCGCACATTCCCATACCCGTGTAATCTAGTTGTCCCATGCACGGTTTGCTACTGAAAGAGCCAGTAGGTCTTATGGCTCTTCAGCGCCAGTAATGATCATCTGAATCTACGTTCTAACCATAAGCATAGGACCAGTGGACAGTCTCTTGTACATGTGGAGGGTATGTTTGACATCGACTCACTGACGTTCCTGCTGCGTACGTCGACACACCACACTAACCGCCATAGCATTACCTGAGTGCAACTGCGACCCAGAATCGTCTTACGCTAAGTCAGGATCATTGGACTGATGATACATTGCATGCGCGCTTACGGATGTTCACAACAGTTGACTCGATGATGGCGGCGGTAGCTTCCCCAGAGGCGTGAACAGAAGCGGTACGCGGTGAGATAGTATTGCTGGGTTATGGGCAGAAGCTGTCACCCAGAAAGATCGACTCTATTACGATCGATGAGATATCTAGGAACATCCCATCAATCGAGTGTGCCCGCCGTACCTCCGTCTCGTACACTACAACCGTTTTGGCAGCTTGACACAGCCGAAGGTGACCGCCTGTTCTGCCGGTATGTCAAGCTTGCTGGCAGCCGCGATCAACGAATCTCGATACGTTCGAAGGAAGATGCCACACCAATGGCTACTCATGTTAGTACGCTCAGAGCGTCCTCTCGCCCTATGTGTGAATCTTGTTGCACTTTAGAGCACCGGCATCTGGTATTGTCTTGTGCTTTGTCAAAAAGGGTCTCCGCGGAATGACTTGTTAAAGGTAGAAATCATGTAACCTGTTTGTGACCCGAAAGCCATCGGCACAGGCGCAGTTGATTGCTTCACTCTATGTCTGCACAGCATGCAAGGATTCGCCTTACGTGCTATCAACCTCAACTGTAGTGTTTAATAATACTTCTTAAATGAAGTGCTATTTTCGTGAAAAGCGGGAGTAGTGCGGACATAGTACATCTGCACTGAACGTGAGCATGTGGTCCACTGGCTATTCAGTACGAGTTTATACATGAAGATATCCTTTGCGTACACGCCGCTGTGACGACACCATGGCGAGATGTATGCATTTCTTCTTTGAGAACATTGTACGCGGCTGACCCTAAAAAGGGTGATCACCGTCGTTTCAGTGACTGGATGCAGGTACCTGTAGGTGCACTGCCAATAGTTTCCAGCCGCTCGATGATACTTCTCTGTCACGGCCCCGGACTAGCCAAGGTTCTGTCAACCATCACACCTACAGCAGGATCATGAAGTAAAGACAAAGTTCCGCATATTCCTAAATGGATCCCATACACTTATCGTTTAGGATTTCCAGGAGTATCTTTGGTTTCAGAAACACGAGTCGAGAAGAACCGCGACACCTCGGTCATTATGATGCAGCCACGCGTAATGAGTCTAGAAGAGCCGCCGTTGGCGACGGATGAGACCTCGGGGACTCCGCTATTGCGAGGAGATAGGACTGTTCTCACACAAGGTGGTTTAGGGGTTGCCGCATGACAAAGCACGGCCAAGTCCCGGAGGACCGAAGTGGGTCCAATTGTGAAACAAATGCTATTAGACTCCTGTCAGTATTCAGTCACTTTGTTATTCAGCCAGCTCCTATGTGATGGGGATACGAAACCCAGAGAAAATCGCATGCAGAGGTTTACTTATTTAGGAGGTGAAGACGATCAAGTTAGTCGAAGATAAAGACGGCCCGATCCTAGTAAACCATATTGGGCAGTTGTAGGCGTCTGTTGTTACACCCGTGACGCGTGTAGGCCAGTCGGAGACGGCGGACTGACCTTGCTTGCTCGTGTGCGGGTGTACCTTTGCCACTTCTCGAGGATGGCGTTTGAAAATGCGACGGTGACTAAAGGTAAGTGCGGAGAATTGCCCTTGCGGCTGTCTCTGAGACATTGCGGCGCCAGGGTTGATGCTGGGCATCGCTTTCACAAGCATTGCCGTGGGGATTTTCGATATCAAGCATTACGCGAACCTACAGCTAAGCCCTCATCTGTCGAGGTATCATCAAGTAGGCGGATTTGCCTTGTTCCTGTAATCCATTCGTACTGACATCAAGTTGAAAAGTATTGGCGCCTTTTTACGTACCATCTAGCCTGTGTGAACTCCAGCGATTTGCTCCTGATTGAACTGCTCCTATACAACGTCGGCGTGCAGATCGAACGCTCATTTGGAAGTGTAAAATATGCAGTGAGTCGAGGTGCAATGATGCGAGCTTACTGGTCTTCATATGCAATCGCAGTCCTTCCTTGCTGTCTCGACGTTGGTCTCGACGATCATCACCTTTCTATGCCTCCTCATCTTCCAGATCTCCCGCGTTACTGGCAACATGTTCAACAACCTTCACTCAGGCCCCATATCTCTCATCTTCAGCATCATGTATCAATATGTGCGACTTGTGCCGCAAGCATACCAGCTGAAGGTATTCGGCGCAGTCTTCAGCGATAAAATATGGGTCTATGTTATTGCCGGTCAGGTAAGCACGAGGCTGGGTTTTGGCCATGACTTCCATCTATTGCGCCGCGGCACAACGACTGTCTGTATGACACTTAAAGCACTGGAGTGTCTTCGAATCGTGCCCAATTTTTCCATAACCTCCGCCGCCTTTAGCCCCAGATACTGAAATTTGACTAGCTTGCCATATCATGGCTACCCGCCAGTCTTGTGCCAACTCTTATCGGACTCCTCACGGGATTCATATACAGATCTGATATGCTGCAACTCAAGAGCTGGCGCATTCCCCATCGGTCGGTCATTATCCTTTGGGACATTATGATAGCTCGCTTAGAATGTGACCATCAGATTGCAAGTATTCGCTGAGACCTACCTACAACTGCTACTTGGGGAGGGCCGGATCATGAGGCGTTCGAATCGTGTTTTCCCCGACGCTCGCCTTTCCAATCGAGCCAATCAACCAAGCACGTCGGACGCCGATGTAGTGACAACTGCCCCCCTCCGGAGGAGCCGCATGCACCCCCAAGAGCGGACTGGAAACCGCCGACAGTCCGACATTCGGGCTTTGATGGTGATGTTCCCGGACGTCGGACAGGAGGCTATTACGGACGTTGTCCAGCGAAGGTGAGAGTTGCAATCTCCTTTACTAGCCTCTCGTGCTGCGACCCGATGCCGCGTGGTGCCTTCTTACTCGACTACGCGTTGAACTAGTCTTTCGGATCATTCGCTCGTCTTGTACTGTCTTTGTCATCACATCCCGCCAACGCCACCGTCTCTTTTTCCCTTTGCGAGTGGGTCTGTTTACTCATGCTGATCTTCATTTAGCCCAAATATCGAAGCTGCGGTCGCAGTACTGCTCAGTTCACAGACATGATCATGCAACCTGTGGCATAGCATATGTCGTCTCGGGAGTTCTGCCAATGTCTCTCCTTTCAATCACGTAAAATACTATACGTCATTAGTTGCAGTATCATAAACACACGGAAAGTAACTTCCTCCCGAGTTAGCTCGGCGGTCAATTCGGCTTTCCCAGTGGCGCACGGGGGAGTCCTGAGTCCGAGCTGATTCTTCTCGAGTCCGAGCCGACATCGTAAGGGAATCTCCACACTAAATGTACTTCCGAAGTGATTGATGAAAATCCTGTGATGCTCCTGGTAGCTGACGTGCCTGAAATCTGCTTCCGGGTCCCAAGCGTGCGAGGTAGGAGATCCTCTCGGCAAGGCGACATCACCGGACACACCCGCGAAGGCCATGTGGAGACTCTCGTGGAACTGAGTTGTGATCTCCTAGAAATCCAATGCGGCACTGTCCAGGCCGCCACAATGGTCTGATAGCTCGTCCAATAAAGGAATTATCACGTACCTCGGATATGATCTCATTACACTGCGTAGGCGTTGAATGCACTGCGCCGGTATACAGGCGTCATGCGCTCAAAACATGGACATACTTTTCTAGCAAGAAGAGTACACGAATACATAGATATGACGAGGATATGCTACATATTTCATTAAGCAGCGCCGACTGAATCGGGCTCTTCGCCGTCAAAAGCACCCTCATCCTCATCGTCTTCTCCGGTGAACGCGTTAGCGGGAACAGCGTACAAACGCAGGACCGGCTAAAAGTGTAAACAAAACGTTGTCAGTAAATGCCCCAGACAAATGAATGCGTGTTTGATCCCCCCTCCCCCTCATGTGATGTATGTACATGTGCGCCACATTGGGGCGCCTCACATGGCATACGGCGAGAAAGCCAAGGGCGTGTACGGCAATTAGACTGAGAAGTCTCACCTTGTTGGGGTCCTTGACAAGGACGTACTTGCCTTCCGGCTGCTTCATGCACATGTCCGTGACGGTCCGCACGATGCCCCAGCCGTTTGCCAAGGACACATTTAGCTGCGCCGCGAAGTCCATCGGTCGCGTCGACGTCGTGCTCAGAATGACATGACGGGTGTTATCCCGCGGATTCACGCGCGAGATGAACCTAGAAGAGGGGTCAAGTGATTCAGTCAGTGATTAGAAACCATGCTGCGCAAATTAAGCGGATAACAAGGGCCTAGAATCGAAGGACGATCCGAGGCAGTGGATGCAGCCGCAGGTACTATCTATAGCTGACGCGAGAAGACTCACCCAATCTTCAACAGTTCCGCACCGGCGAGCACGCTCTGCACAGTCCATTTAGCGAGTTTGCAACTGTTGTTCTTCATCTCCGTGGCAACAACAGCTCCACGTTGAGAGTCCAGCTTAGTCCGCCAGTCGGGCGCGCCACCAGCGCCCGGTGAACGAGAGTCGAACTCGTTGAGTGCCCTGATCGTCACCAGACCCTGACCGGCGCGCGGGTTATCCTGTCCTGGTGTGTAGCCATCGACCTCAGTTCGAACACACAACTTGATGTCCTCGTCTTCAGTCACACCCAAGTCAAAGACACGGTAGCGGTACCCGCATGATGCAAGAGGTTCCGTCTCTTCTGGGCCATAGAAGGGGTTGGGCTTCGAAAATTCGACAGCTGCTGGAGGAGGATTCTCGATGACAGTTTGGAATGCGAAGTTTTGATTAATGTAAGTTGCCTCGAGAGAAAGCGACGTTGCAGTGTTGATCGAAGGTGTCTCTGGTACAGCAACCTTCTCATTAGGGTTGTTCGGATTGACGGCTTGGGGATCTTGCGGGGGGTCAGCAGCATTCTCGTTGACAGTTACGGTGTCGAACGGGCCACCGTCGCGCTTATCGAAGAAAAGCTTGTTGCCTTCGCGTACGACAACGATGTCCCATGGGTAGACTGATCGGGGGGCACACATGAGACCACTGAGGATGACGTCTGTCGTGTACACAGTAGCAGTGTCCTTTGATGCCAACTGTCAAAAAAGAATGTCAGTTGGCAACATTGGTAAGCTTGCATCAGAAATAATTACCTCTTGTATGACCGGATCGTCAGACGTGGTAGTGTTATACTTGATGCGGTCTAGTATCTGCAGGGGCTTCTCGGACTTCGTGGTGATACGGTCGTAGGTTTTCTCATACGCATACAGCCGACCGTAGTCGTCCCTAATTTCGTAACGCTAATGAGCAACAGAAGCCGCGTCCAATGACTGCACTACTCACAAATCTTCGGGATCGTCCACTTCAAGACGTAACTTTGCAAGTCTGTGGAACTCGATCTCCTCCAGCATAGCCCAGTCAGGAGAAATGGCCACTGAGGCTTCTCGTGAACGGTTGTTCTAAGTGACATTCAATAACGTTTACAAGAAAAGGATTTCTAGTAGTACCAACCTTCTCCCAATCCCTCCAGCCTCTCCTTCCGCCTCGCTGGGCTCCACCCCCACGTCCTCCATTGAAGCCGCCGCGTCCACCCCTTTGCGCGCCTCCTCTGTTTGCCCCACCCCCTCGGCCCATACCACGGCCCCTACCGAGAGGGCCGCCCCGGCGTGCAGCGCTGGTTTTGGTATCAACGAGGGAGAAACTTGACTCGTCCTCAGCATGGAAATAGGCGAAAGCACTGGCAGTCCCACTGCCGAACGCTTGTTGGCCATCGCGCCTACCACGACCACCAGGGCCTCCCCCACGAGCATTTCCCTGCTGAGCCGCCGCGCCTGCATTCTGTCGATTGTCGCCAGAGACGTCATTCCAGTCAGCAAAGCGGCCGAGTTTGTCTGTTTTTGAGTATGGAGCATAGGGAATGTCCTTGAACTTGAATTGAGCCGGCAGATTCGAAGACGAGGGTCCCCAGCCGCCGTCCGGGTTGTCATTAATCTGTGGGAGCGAGAACGAAGCCATGGTAGCTCTCCGATGTGCAGAATGCGGTGGGCGACAAGACAGGCTTGTGGACCAAAACTTTTGTGCTGCTTGTGATCGGTGATGCACGTGATCGTACATACACGCCAGTAACGCGCCGTTCGCGATTCTTACTTCCTCCAATCGCCACCATGAAGTAAGTCATTAGGTTCATCGTGCCACAAAGTGCTCAAGAGCGTTCACCAGTGTCGTTCGCGAGATAAATAAGATCAACGAGCGCGAACTCGAGCTCGGAGCAGCCGGATCCTGGCACGACGATTACAAAGGTACTCGAGCTTCATCAATGTCCTCAAATAAGTACTGAAGCAATTGACTAGACTCTGCATACATATTTATTGGAGGCCTCAATTCTGAATTGACAGAGGGTGATGTGATTACGATCTTCTCACAGTGAGTACTCTAAACGAATCTATTGGTCCCCCTGCCGACCATCCATTCTCAATAGGTATGGCGAGGTCATGGATGTCAATCTCCCTCGTGACAAAAACACGGGCAAGACGAAGGGTTTTGGCTTCCTCATGTATGAAGACCAGCGCTCAACTATATTGGCAGTCGATAATCTGAACGGCGCCAAGGTTCTCGAGCGAACTATGCGGGTTGACCATGTGAAGGATTATAAACAGCCTAAAACCAAAGGCGAGGATGGGGAATGGCAAGACCGAGCGGAGCAGAGCCTCAACGCAAAGCCAGAACTAGTTGTCGGTCAGTCTCTGGCTTCTGGTGCGCGGGCCACATCGCTAACTGCAACGCACTTCGCAGACGACGGCGCAGTATCAGAGTCGTCGGAAGACTCTGCGCCGGCTATCGACCCGGAGGACCCTATGTATGAATACCTCGTCGCGAAGAGAAAGGAAGAGACGGCGGCCAAAAAAGCCAAAAAGGGCAAGTCCAAAGCAAAAGGGAAGCACAAGGACGAAACGCCGGAGGAGCGACGCGCGCGCAAAGAGCGCAAGAAGCTACGCAAGGCTATGGGAAAGTCAGAAGCCGTGCGCGCAGTGGAGGAGCTGCTGAATTCGTTCGAGGGTGCTGCAGGAGGTAGAGCCGAGCGCAGACATAGCAAGTCGCGCAGCCGAAGTCCGCAACGTATGAGGGACCGAGATGACCGTAGGTCGCGAAGCAGTCCAGAGAGAAGACGAAGTCAGTCACGTAATCGGTCTCCCGTGCGGGAGGGGCGCTCTGTCCGTGGAAGAGAATCGCGGTCGCGTACGCCCCCCACCAAGCCCTATGGCGACAGACGTGAGAACGGTCGATACGACCGTGCCGACGACCGTAGGAGCTACGGTCGCGACCAGAGCTTACTATCACGAAGACATGGGGATTATGATTGACGTGCGTGCTCTATGTGGTTGACCAGGCTGCTGTATATTGAATGTGATTGGCTCGTCGGAAATCCTATCTCATACGTTGCACTTCCCAGACGGACCTTGAGTGCGCACCGTTGCAGTGCTGTCGCTAGGTGACCATGTCAATGAAGGACGTGTAACATTTCGCCTCTGTGGAGTCTCCGCCAAATCGGGAAGTCGCTGCATATCAATCTCTTCACAGCACAGAGTGTATCTTCGACTGTCCAGGAGCTTTGCTGGTATGATCCAGACCTGGCTACGAGGGTTGTTCATTGGCTGATTTCAGACAGGATGATAGTTGTGACATGGGGTCCTGCGACAACATGTGGGATGTCGCAAGGGGCGCACCCAAGTCCTCGGATCGTGCGCTAACAAATGCCTGAAAATGAACGCTATCCGTATACTCGGTGCTTCACAATGAGACATGTCGTCAGTGCCATTGGCGGGCAGAATGGCGCGGATCCGCCCAAGACCAATCAGAGCTAGTGCCCGCAGACAGGCCCTAGGCTTACTCCTGGAGCGCGTGTAAGCGATGCCGGCGGAACACAAGCGGGGTCTCACCGCACTGGCTCCTCCGTGTCAAGCGTCCTGGTGCGCCTATTGAGAGGGCGCACTCACGAAATGACAGTCTTCGCTCGGCTATGTAGGTGAGAACGGGGAGACACATGCCTGTGAGCGTATATGTCATGCACCCTCCAGATAACGGTGAGAACTGAATCCTGGGTTGCCGTCAATCCCGCGGAGAAGCAATACCTGGAGGTTCCGCGGACGCACGCAGCAACGGTAACGTGTGGAATGTTTGTCACAGCGATGACCAGCTTTTCTCGATCGCGCCAGATCGAGGAAACGCGCTGCGAGCGAAATTCACTTCAATTGCACCCATAGCCAGAGTTCTGGGATGAACTGTCCGCTCGGATGCTAAGATGTCGTAAGATGTATGTCACCCGTTCATTACGCCGTGGCTGAGCGATGAGTGCCCCACATCTCAAACCTAACCATCCCAACAGACACAGCTGTTCGAGATGGCGGCCGCTGATGGACCCAGGCGCCCCGCGGACACTACTTGCCTCAGTGAGACCGATGGACGCAAATACGCGTACTGCTCCTGCCTGGCTCCTGCTGAAGGGCGTCCGATAGTATCTATCTGTCACGATAAGGTTCGGAGGTGCAGGCAAGAATGGCACACGGGCCTGATGACCCCTCATTGCATCGCCCTGGGCTGCACAGCCCGTGCCTGCGCCCCGCAGGGAGCCAAATCGGTGCGTGTGCCGTGGGACGCCGAACACGGGGAACCTGCGAAGGGCGTTCGACGTATCACGTCGCCGGACGTATTCGCACGTACGTGTGTCGCGCGATCAACGCTGCAATGAAGATCGGAACGCCATTTGCCCGTTTGGTCGAGGATGGGGGACAGTGTCGCAGCCGCCGGCCTGAATGAGGCGGCAGGACCCCGGCCAGACGTGATGCAGGTATGGGGCTCGGTGGTCTGGGCGGGCACGGTAGTGCATGCTTCTCTGTAACGGCAAACGGGGCGGAAATGAAAGTGCCTTCGTCGGCCAGATCAGGGTTTCATGCAGTGATCAGCTGCGAAGCGCAAGGGGCACAGCATCCGTCCTGACGAGTCTGGGATGAACATGATGTGAACACAGAGTAATACGTGTGGTAACCTTGCGAAGAGTCCAGGTGCGTCTGTGTGGACGGCGTTGGTGGTCCATGCTGTGCACGGCCCTGGGGTCTCGCGATGAGCGTGAATAGCGTTCATCGGAAAGTCATACTCCTCGATTTATTGTCATCTGAGAAATCGGCTTGTGGCCAGCTCCGCAACGTGACAAGATGTGAGGTAAATTGTTCGTCGGTCGGAACGACGAAAGCGTCAGATACTTGGCAAGACACACGCCAGCCGTTCGTGTTGATCAATGTTTCCATTTCTATTCCAGCAATCCCAATAATGATAGACGTGTCCTCGCAGATTACAGTCCTGCCGCGCACGTGGGGCAGAAGCTACGGCAACGCATGGCAGAGGCGTCCTGCCCTCGCAGCGACTTCGTTGCTCCGCCGTATAGTGCATCACGATCCGTCGGGCTTCCTCGTTTGCCTCGCAGAGCCTGATGATGTGATACGGGGAGATTACCATTCCGGGATTCCCCACCTAACAAGCCTTTACGTAGGTTTTTGCAGGGAAGTCTATCGTTATTGGTATTTGTTTGGATATTTGAAGCAGAGTCCACGACGTACTATCTCCTACGTACTTTGACTGGAGGGTCTGCAAAGTAGGGCTAAACGGAGCGGTGTAGTGGGCGGCGTGACGGATCACCGCGTTCAGTTTTGGAATGTGGTTTACCGTTTTCGGATACGCATACTTGAGATCGAACACACGATCGATCATTAGCTTCACGAGGCTCGCCTTTTCTGACAAGTTCGTGTCTTTACTTGTGGACTGGCATCATACCGGCTTGTATATCATGTCAAATCCATAACAACGAGCATCGAGGCACCTCATGTCCGTCTTTTTGCCCGAACCCTGTCTAGTGGGGCCCTACTCGGACACCTGAAATACGCGTACCGAACACTAGCGGGCTCAAATAGCTCTTCATGACGTCCGACGGCTGCTCACAGTGCATCCGGCACTTGTTGGTCGTGTGCTCACGGCACTGACTCGAGGGTGGACACGAGGCAGGTGCACGCATACATCGACTTCGTCAGATGATATTGCGGGCATTCGTCCGGCCGTCTCGCGAGCGCACTGCCCTCCCTTCCCCGGCTGGCTTTCTGCGAGGGATACTACTGCGACGAGGATCTGGTGCGGCTGAGCGATGTCTAGTGATCCATCGGGGAAAGCGCACTCGGCATCTGCGCAGACGATATGGGAGGTCTGGATCAGAGCCGCAACCCTCAAGGGTTGACGCAGATGTTACAGGCACTGCTGGGAGAGATAAGTAAAGGGGTTCGCAGCAGTGGGTCAAGGTGCGTATGTGATGTGGTGCTCGCTAGCTCGGAGCAGTAGCGTGAAACGAGATACGCCATGGCGCGTCCAAGCATGCTGGGCGTTAGATCGTCATCGGCTCCTGTCGGTGCGGCGGCCGATAGAGCGCGGACGCAGGCAGAGCAGGAGAGGCGGAATGCGGGCGTCGACTCGGACAGACGTCAAGTGGCAAGAGCAGTATATTGGCAAGCACAGACGGCGACGAGAGTACAATGGACAAGCGGCGTCGAGTAGACGGTGGTGATGGCATGCCCAGAAAGGCAAGTGAATGTGCCTAATATTAGGATTAGCCGAGGAGAACATGCCCGACAACGCGCGCCGCCGCGACGGCCATTGTCCTCCCTTCTCTTCCAACGGCGCTCTGTCGCCTGCCACCCCGTCCTGACCCCGCCGTATTGTTGTCTTGGCTCTCTATTTGACTCGGTTCGTCTTGTCCTGTCTGGCAACACCAAGATGCATTCCCTCCACCTCCCACTCCTTTACATATCAACCACCCTTCTATCCTGCGCCATGGCCGCGTCGGTCAGACTCTCAAATAGCGGCCTACACCACCGGAGATTTGCAGCACACGAAACATCTCTGTTTCCTAGGTATTTACGCGTTCATGAAGTACTGTTACTTGGCGAACTGAAATTCGACAGACTAACTCCCGAGCTCTTTACCCGGAGTGACTGTGAACCTGCCGACCCCCAGGATACTGTCACTGACCGACTGAACACTCTACTCAACTCCTCTGGCCCTGGATACACCCTCCCATTATGCCCCAACACGGAATACTATCTCACAGCATCTCTCCAATTTACCGCACATGACCAGGAGATCTCCACCGTGGGCTACCCCACAGGAAGCGAGCGCGCGATACTAGTAGTGAATGGAACCATCTTCAACAACACAGGGCAGACGACGGCCGTCACCGGCGCGTGCGCTGACTGCGACGGCATCAAGCTGCGCAACGTGCAGGTACGTGCAACTCCCAAGTCCTCGCGTACAAGTCGTGTAACGGCGCGTAGATCGATGGCTCTCGTGGCTCCGGGAGCATCATCAATGGCGGTGCGAACATCGAAATGGGCGGCGACAACTCCGGTCAGCTCATTGAGTACGTGCATTCCTTCGACCCGCGCGGCTGGTCGTGCCTGCACATTGCCGAGGGCACCTTCAAATGCAGCAACAACACCGTGCAGAACAACGACATCGGACCCTGCGGGAACGACGCGTTCCAGCAGTGGTCGGACGGCGTTAGCATGAGCTGTATGAATAGTTTGGTGCGAAACAACATGATCAACAACCCCACGGTAAGAGGAGTGCTAAGCGCATCGTGTTGGAGCTGTTCTGACGAAGCGTGTCGCTAGGACGGCGGCATCGTGCTTTTTGGCTCACCGGGGACATTGGTTGAGAACAACACGATCTGGATTGAGAACGTACGTAGCGCTGAGTTCGTCAAACTCGGGAAAAAGCGATGCTGAGCCACCGCATACAGAATACGCTCCTCGGTGGCATCAACATGGTGGACTACGAGCCGTGGAAGGGCAACTACACAAACACCGTTGTTCGGAACAACACCATCCGGGGCGGATTCGCGACGAGCAGCGAGCTGCCGGGCGAGAAAGACGGTACGAACACAAACGATGTGATCATCAAGTACGTGCTCTCCACCGTCCGCTGCTCCAAGTGCATGTGCTCACCTCCGTCGCCGCCAGGATCGGCATTGCCATCGGGCCCCGCACCTGGTTCGGCGACGAGTACGGCAGCAACGTCAGCGACTCGGGCACGGTGCTGAACAACCTGCTCACGGGCGCGTTCGGGTACGCCATGGCGATGTCCTCCGCGCGCAACTTCACCGTCGAGGGCAACGCGCTCTTCGGCAACACGTCCTTCATCGGCGCGCGCGGGCCCAACTGCACCGCGGACGACGCGGTGCCGGCCCCCGCCGCGTTCGTCGTCGACCAGAGCTCCGTCGCGCTCTCGACCGAGCAGATCGACTTCCAGAACGTCTCGGACGGCGACAGCCTCACGTGCATCCTCCCGCCCGACGGCGGCGACTACTGGCCGTTCGGCGGCAACCCGGCGAACCCGGGCACCGCGCAGTCGCAGCCCGCGACCGCGAGCCACGGCCTGTCGGGCGGCGCAAAGGGGGGCATTGCTGTCGGCGTCATCCTCGGCGTTGCGGCGGTGGTCGCGGCGACGTACTTCATCCGCCGGTGGGCGTTGCGGCGCGCTGCGACGGGCGGGCGGGCGACGTACTAATTTAACGCGTCCGCGCTGGACGGGTTGTTTCTTGCATGAACTCGCTTCCGACTCGGTGAATGGACTGTGCTTGCATCCCCGCGTTCCCTATACCTTGATCGGCACAGTGCTTGTTTCCACCGAGACTTGTATCTTACTAGGACGGCGCCGCTTACGAACGGCTGCTGCGTTCGCCCCGTCCTGCCTTGCGTATTCACCTTGGGACTGTGTTATTAGACATTCTAGAGCTGTAGCTGTATTCGCATTTATGATCTTGTTAATGACCATTACCTGTTCGAGTAGACTCACTCTATCGTACCGGGCTGGACGTACGTCCGCTCAATAGTCTGTGGTTCACACCGCACTCGTTCTAGAAACTGTCCATAACGGCAAGATGATCATAGATTTACGAGGTACAATACAGATCAGCTACGGTTTCTTGCGAACGGATACAACATAGTAAGGACCTTCGAGCAGGACGCTGCCAACAGGGAGAGGAGACCGCATGCACCCGAGAGAAAAGCGGTCGTCCAACACGACCATCGAGCGCAGTCAGTCCGCTCAGGCCAGCGTAAATTACCTGTCAAGTCGAAGAGAATGATGAATAAACCAACCAAGAGGTGATGTGTATTGTAAGGGGATGCGTAGACTTGTATACACCATGGGGACGCTGTGTCTTCTTCTCTTGTTGTGTCGCACCTGAGCAGAGAAGGAAGAAAGGGAATCCGGAACAGGCAGGGCGGCAGGTACTATGGCGCAGTGACGCCGGTTGCGACCGCGACGTTTTCTCCGAGGGGTAGCTGTGGTGACTTTATGTGAGCTGGATCCTTAATGTATATTGCCGCAGATTGTTTTGGTGCTTCTTGTGCGGTGCCTGTGGAAGGGGTTGCAGACGAGATGCCGTTGTTGTGTGACGGCTTCAGCTGGGTATTGATGGACACTGACGCCACTGAGGTCAGCGAGGACGGATACGACTCGGATACCGAATTCGATGCTCTGAAAACAATCCCAGACGGGCATCAGGAAAGCGAGAAACTGCGGGCTACTGTACCGACCGTCGACGCTTGCTGCTGGGCACATCGGGCGAGGTCCCGTTAGTCTTGTCTGCGCCCTGAAGACAGAAGTTTCAAAGCCGTTAGAATGTCGAGCATACAGGGGTATAAATGACGCACCTTCCCGTTCTTCGGCCGCTTCAGCGCCGAGCGTGGTTGTCGTTCGCCCTCGTCAAAAACATAGTCAGGCAGTGCGGTGCTGAAGATGACACATCAGTGGGATAGCGGTCTTCCGGCTAAAGGCTTTACATACGCCTTAATATGGCGTACGATGATCCCCATATTGGATCCATCATACTTATCCCACATTTTTACCAGCTTGGCGAATTCCGTGGTCGGATATGATATGTCTAGTTTGCGAGGACCAACCGATCCCGCTTCAGACGTTCATGTATGAGCTCAAGTAATCTGATACAGTCAAGCATTCGGGTATACACGCACCTTGTTTCGGTTCGATAGCGAGACCAATGTAGAAGGATGTCAAGTAAATGGAGCTTGCGCCTTCTTTGCCTTCAATCTCTTCCTTTTTGCGCTTTGCCACAGCATCCGAGACGTCACCTTGCGCGGCTGCACGCAGTTCTTCCTCGCTGAGACAATGTAGGACTTGCTCGAAACCCTTAATAAAAGGATGTGCCAAAGTCAGGGAGTCGACGTATTCAAGCTTCATCACCAGCTGTCGTATACGAGATTCCACCGTACCAGCCCTACATAACGAGGAATACTGAGAAATGATACCAATGACCACATAAATCCCAGCTCCATACCACTTGATCTGTAACTCGGAGCTGCCTGTGGATGCAATGACTTGCAAGTAATATCGATATTTATGGAAGAAATCGTGCTTGGAAAAAAGCTCCGACCAATCTGCAGAACCGACGATTACCCGGTCGACGATCTCCGAGCCTGCTAAAAAGAGTAAATATCTTCCTGGTGAATAAAATTCTAACTGACCTTTCTTGAATTCTTCTGTCATGATCATTTGGGTCGAAGCCGTAACATTGTGGGTGGCACACATAGAGGGGTATGCGGGGGTAATAATAGGCATTCGATGTGCTCTATCCGCTGGATAAAGCTGCGCAGAGCATGACTACGGCGAAACGAACTTGAATAGATAATCCTGACCTTTGGATTCCAGACTCGGACTGGCAACGGGCCTTCTTCAATTTGCTTGAGAAGTACGGGCTGGGGCCACGTCCTGAAACGCAGAGTCGGTTGTTGCTACTGATAGATGCCACCGACAGACTACTAACCATTGATACATTATGATGAAAAAGCGGCTGACAATTGCTCCTGCAATTGCGTTAGGGTACAGCTGACATATTCGAGCGACCAACATAGCCCAAGCAACACCACCCAAGAACCCGTTCACGTTCGAATAGATGGCTCGTCCTGGGGGATAGTGAGGTCTGTGTAAGCGTCCTACTCCATAGAAGGAAGTACTCACGCTGGGCCCACAATTTGATGCAACGCAACGAATCGCGAAAGACCTCAATATTTGGCACCAGACGCAAAATTTCGTCAGTCACTCGTGATCCTGAGGATACGTCAGAGACACTAGCAGCAAGCAAGGCCGTGGCTCAACATACCATTCAAACTTCGCACACATCGCTCATCTAAATTTCGTAACAGATTGTCGTCTTGCAGGGTGAGAGTGTCGGGTATCGATGACAGCGCCAGCCGAGCCATAAGAAGATCAATGGGTATGCCGGAAATCTTGGTCTTGATGATTGGGACATATGCATCCGGCACCGCCTGCATATATCGTGTAAATATAAGAGTTCGTGGAAGGGTAGACAATCGGACGCACAGATGCTTCATCGACGCCTTCAGTTGCTTTAAGCATTTCCTCGAAGTCCTCGAAGAAATCTTCCCGCGAGACATGTTTGGGTACGACGCACAAGGTATCAATATCGGAGCCGGGTCCGTGGACGCCTAGTCGGTAGGAGCCAAAGGTGAAGATCTTGCCGCCCGAAGCTTCTGCTGCAGCCTGAGACAAACCCTGCTTGATCCCGATTCGTGTGACAAATCTCTTGACCAATGAAGCCAAGCGTCCAAGCACGATTTCTCTGTGGGGTTACACGTCCAGCGCAAGTCAGCATTCAAGTCATCTCGTACGTAGTCTGAAGATGGGGAGACTGCTATACACAAAGAGGAATGGTGTAGTCAAGGATCCGTGGCGCAGTGTGAGAGATGGCCCCGTACAATTGTTCTGAGCGCACCAATCTCAGGAGGTACAGAAACCCTATCTGCGTAGGACCCCGCGGCGAAAAATCAAAACGCACCTCCGCTTCGCCTCTTCTTCGGTCTCGAATGTTCCCTGTCGACGAAGCTCCTCCATGAGTGTGACGGTGACCTCCTTCTCCCTGTCGTTGGACTCGGAGGTTGAGATGGGTGGTGTAACACCCAGATGACTGATATAAGCAGCTATTTAGTACCAGATCCTCAGGTATGCAGCTTCGACACGCTCACCCGTTAGTTGTCGACATGGTTTCCTATGCTGCCTGATGTAAAACGAATGAGAGACGGTGGTGGTCCGAAGGTCACAGCAGAGCGAGCCACTGACAAACTGGGAATCGCAAAGGCAAGCGGCAATGGCCGGACGCCTCCCCGTTAGGGCGCCTAATCAATCTACCTTTGCCACCGCCACCGTCTCATGCTTGTTCATGTCTCAAATCCTACCACGCTCGTGCGGTTGTCTCGCTCTCTCAGCCTTGTGCATACGTCCAGAGCCTTGAACGATGACCCAAGGTGGCCTGGCTGGGATGTGGTCGTGGGCATAGAAGTCCATGCGCAGATAAAATCGCGCCACAAGCTGTTCTCTGGTCAGTGCTCTGGCTGATCTAGCGAGCGATCGAATTACCTGAAGAGTGTGGCCAAGGCTCCTTGACTTCGGACTACAGTGTGCCTCCAAACACCCGAGTGTCTCCATACGACGCCGCATTTCCCGGCACCTTACCTGTATTTACACGTTCCTGTCAAAACGTTACTACGTTGACGCGACAGACTAGCGGCTGAATCCGAGATGTGTTGAGCTCGGTGTAAGAACTGCTATTGCACTCAACGCAAGCGTTCAGCGACGGTCCTCCTTTGATAGGAAACACTACTTCTACGCCGATTTGCCCGCTGGATACCAGATCACGCAGCATTACGGTAAGGCCTTCTATTCGGACCGCGAGGAGGCTGTCTAATAGAATTATGATTAGCACCTTTCGCCACGGACGGACGTCTCACCTTAAGCAAAGAAGACGTCCATGTACGCATCAAACAGCTTCAACTTGAACAGGTAGACCTTTTAATGTGAAACAGCCTGCATTGAACGCTGAATTGGGGTAGGATACCGGAAAGTCTACCTTTGACCCGCGCAACCGTGTGTCAGAGATCGATCTAAACAGGGCTGGCACCGGTCTCATGGAGATTGTGTCTGAGCCAGACATGCGGTCAGTTTTATTTTCTCCTATAGGCTGCATAGCGTCCCTGAACCATACCAGTTCGCCTGAGGAGGCTGCTGATTATGTTCGCACACTGCAGGCATTGCTTCGGTCCGTTGGATCTAGTGACGGAAACATGGAGCAGGTACATGCTACAGAACGATAGAAAGATTTCACTTCTCATGGATTGCAGGGCTCTCTGCGCTGCGATGTAAACGTCTCAGTGAATCGACAAGGCGCCCCCTTGGGCACCCGGTGTGAGATAAAGAATTTGAACAGTGTCAAGTTCATGATGATTGCCATAGGTGGGTTACTGCTGATCATATATTGGTCGCTAACATACCTATACGGCGACCAGTCTCGGAAGTCCATCGACATATTGACCTGCTGGAACAAGGCCTCGCGGTTCCGCAAGAGACACGCGGATTCAATGAAGACAGGGCGGAGACGTATTCTCTACGTAGCAAAGAAGATGCACCGGACTACAGGTATATGCCCGACCCGAACCTTCCGCCATTATTATTGAACGAGGTATGTTTATAATGAGATATTCCTCTGCAGAAATAGAACATCTCATCCTGCTTTCAGGCTTACGTTACCGAGATTTGTCAAAGCATGCCCGAGTTACCTCAGGCTGCTAGGGCGCGCTTGCTGGCCCTAGGACTGTCTCGGAGGGATGTGGATGTGCTTATGGACATAGATTCAGGGCGTGAGATCACCTTTGATGGCCAGCGTAGTGGGGGGGCTCTAGCGTATTTCGACCAAGTTGCCCAGAGACGTGACCCCAGATTGGTGGTCAACTGGTGAGTAATATACATTTGCACTACTTCTCAAGAATATGAATTCTTACTACAAATCCGTTGAAACAGGATCACACATGAATTATTGGGGCAGCTTGCATCCCGCAGAGAGACATTTTCTGAGAATTCGATCTCAGTTGAGCAAATGGGGGGCCTCATTGACCTCCTCCATAATAAGAAGATCACAGGTACACTTCATTCCCATCTCGTTGATCTCAGTTTCCAACTCGCCTTTATAGGAACATCCGGCAAGTCCTTGATGCGGCATATACTAGCAACCCGCACAACAACAATGCCATCAACACTCGCGCAGGAACTCTCACTACTTGCCTCTCCTGCAGATGATTCCAATCTGGAAGCATGGTGTGCGGAAGCCATCGCAGCTTTGCCTGAGGAAGCAGATGCAGCTCGACGAGGAAATGCCAACGTTGTGAATAAGATTGTTGGCCGAGTTATGAAGGCCAGCAGGGGGACCGCGAATGCCCAGTCGGTTAAAGCTATGTTGTTGAAGTTGCTGCATTGATGCGGCTGGTATGCTGTTGTTAAAAGTACATCATTTCGCGCTCTCTGCTGAAGCTACTCATGCAATCTCCTCACGTAATACTTCGCCTAAACAATCACTTTCTTCTCTAGGAACCCAGACCACTCTTTCTCCCCCCAAGAGCTCGAAACGTCGCCTTGTAGCAGTCCATCCCAGAGTGCACTAGGTGAGACATGGACACTATTCTGTCTGGCGAATTTGACTACAGGGTGATCGACGTGTCATCCTCCGCATACGCTGCAGTACAACACGGATGACGTACCTGTATACTTGAGGTCGTCAGTGACGTCAGTTCCGCCATTTTGGCCAAGATCAGAACGAATCGCCAAGAGGCTTTTGAATGCTGCTGTCTGGCTCGCGTTCAGAGTCTCGCCTGCTAGAGCCGCGAGGTTCTCGCGGATCTGCAGAGGCGTCTGAGTGGAAGTCGCGACGTCGAAGTACTCGACTTGTCTCTTGAAAAGCTGCACAACGTCAACTCATTCCGTGTGTGGTCACATGAAAGTACATCGAGTTGACGTACTGCTAGAGAGAATGTCCAGAAACTTTCTGGAGCGACACGAGCCACCTGTAACTTGCCGTCAGTTGTTATACAAGTGATCCACTGTCGAAAAGCGGACCGCTAGACCAGCTTCGTGGACGTAGGTGGAGGAGGCGTGCCAAGGCTGGACTTGAGGGCGGAAGATGACCTTGACCTTCCCTGCGTACTTGCCTCCTGGACCCAACAAAGGTTTCAACACGCCATCGATCGCCAGAGCAATCTTTGCGGAGTATGGACAGACGTAGTCCACTGGTCATAAACAGCTGATTGTCATCATGACCGGGCCCGACACGGTGCCTCACTTACGGAAGATGTCAAGGGTGTGTGGCGAGTCCCAAGTACCCGCGATAACAAGGCCACGGAGGGAAGGTTGCAACGCCATACCGATGAGTAAGTGAGGGTCGCTTGCAAGTAGACTGGCTGTGTATCTCCGGCGTCCACTCGTCCTTATATCGTCGAAGGTCTAGATAATCAATTCTCCAATGAAATTGCAACAGAGTTCGTCATCCTCTCAGTTGCCGGTATCGATCCGAGATTGGTAGTATAAGAGCCCCGTATTCCCCATCGAGCCTCCAAGCCAGATGCCGTTTTGGAGCTTGAGCTTGAGCAATTGTCATATGCTCGCAGTATTCGTCGGTTTCTGTGAGCATTGCGTCAGCTTCTTGCGCGCCATTTCCTTCAGGAAGCTGTGAGCGGCAATTGGATGTGCCAAATCGCGGACAGCTCTCGGGATTGCTCTTCGCATAGGCACCTCTTCCCGGGTGTCTTGAAGATCAAAAATACACAAAGTGGCCGACCTACAACTTGTGCAGCGACGCGCATTAATGAGCTCACGTGTCCGTATCCGAACGCGTCCTACTGGCATCCCGAGGGCCGAGTAGTCTCCTGAGAGCAAAGTAGACAATTCCTTCAACCTGCGCCGGCTACCAATATCCGTGTCTGACATCCCGCGCCTCGTTCGCTACTCATCGCCGCAATAGGTCTCTAGACAGCGTTGATTCAATGGTCCGACTAATGTTACGAATCACGGGAAGCTTCCAAACCTAACAACAGGGAATTGACACGATGAGGTTGCTTTTAAAGTGAGGCCTCTCGTGCGCTGTTACGTGATTGTCTCCGAGCCAATGGGATTTGAGACCACATACTCCATGGCATCGATTATTACTTATGTCGCGACTGCATGACCAACATACATACTCGAGGCCGAACAATATACGAGCAGTGTTTCGGGATGATTATGATGACGGAAGCGACAGGTTCATCATGAGACCAACCTCGTCGGAGCGGTATGTGTCCGACGTAATATTAATCGAAGGCACAGGGTCCCAAAAGGTTAATATGGGCCGCGAGGGCGAGGAGTTCCATTGCGGCCATTCGAACCCGGAAAGATAGCTGATATTGGCTGGGAGCGTCGGATCTGCATTGGGATCGAGCTTCGTGACGAAGTTGACTGCAAAACATGCCAATGTAAGCACATAATCTGAATTTCAGGAGGCGAGCAATGCGTACTCAGCGCATCCATCCCGATGTAATCGATTTCCTTATAGAAATCCGACGTGTCCGCTCCATGGTATGACCCCACGTATTGAGTCGACTTGTACCGCTTAAAGACTGTAGGAATAAGCTAGTCAGTACGAGAATCAGAGAGTATCGGTCTATGCAAGCTTCACCGAAAGACCATGCATTTTGCGTCTGAGATGCATACTGGAGAAGGAGGCGGCGAGGAGCCTGGAATACCAAGTCACCTTGAAATGCTGCTATCCGTTTGAACTGAGAACTGCGAAGGCGTCGTCGACAACTAATTAGCACTGAAATTGTAGATCAACGCAAGCAGATATCCTCACGTCAGGTTGTTGGCAGTCCCAGTACCAAACGGCGATCCCTACGTAAACGTACGTCAGGAGCGAGAAACAGCGAGGACGGTTGTCATGGCTCACATAAATAGGGTCCTCGGGGTATGCTTGCGCAATTGCCTCGACAACGTCCGGAGAACTCGTGGGGAAATAGCTAAAACGCTGCCATCAGTGAAAGACATGATTATACTAGAAATCATGGCTGCTACTTTGATTGGAGGTAGTTCTTGAACTCTTCATTCGTGCTGCAAAACTCGTGTGAGCAGCTGTCAGACTCGCGGCAGATGATTCCACTCACGTAGTATTGATACTAGAGAAAGAGAAGATCGTACCCTCGTCATCGTCAGTTCCTGAAATGAATGGTACCTTCGTGGACTGTTCAGCAAGTGATATATTGACATCGGATATCTCTCTCACTTTTGTATAAAGGCCCTCTTGCAAAGCTTGTGGACCGCTGATGGGGAATAGATCGTAGTCAATTCGGGGCTGCCAAGCTAGATTTAGACTCGTGTAGTTGAAAATGGATGGCGTCTCGTTGATAGCTGCGGCAAGCGCATCGTATGAGGTATGTCGGAGACATTCCAGTGTATCCTCCTCTCCAGCACAGCCCGTCGCATTCACGATTTGATCATAGTAACCTTGTCCGTCTTCAAGGGTGGCAGAGACACTGAGGGAGCCAGACTCCTGATATACGAGAAGAAATGTGTTAGAGTAACAAAAAAGCATTAACTGGAGATACCAACCATAACAACGGCTCGAAACAGACCACCGTTATAACCACCATTGACGAGCATTTGCAAGCCGACACAGATGGAACCTGCACTTTCGCCCCAGCTATCACATACAAGAGAGTCAGCATTTGAAGATCAAAACACTGAGACTTCGGACTAACATTGTCACCTTGCTTGGGTCACCCCCAAAAGCGTGTATATGCTGATGAACCCATTCCAATGCGAATCGTTCTACGGGCATGGCGGATCAGGTTTCAGCAAGTATCAAAGTATATACGGAACAACGTACGATCTCTGATCGCCAGGTTTCCTACGCGCGCTTCCTGGACTTCCTTGCTAGCGAGGAATCCAAAGGCTGGGAACGCGAGTATGTCAGAGCCGAAATCAGTTCTAAGCGCCTTGAGACTGACCGTTCAGACGGTAATTAATAGACACATGGACCATTGGTTCCCCCAAGACCAAGGACCGTTCCACCACTGGTCCTCCGGGATTGAGCGAGGAATCGCCTCTAGTGAAGCCACCTACACGCAAAGGGTCACCGACAATCAAGATGGGCAGGAGCTTATATAGCGTACCACCCACAACCCACTACATAGAGCGTCAGCAAATTGCTAACACATTGCTCGTCCAAGAAGGTTCACAGAACTCACGAAGACAACGGGCAGATTCGTGCCAGGGACCGCATAAGCAGGTTTGATTACATTGATAAATAAGCCTTCATAGGAGGGGTTTCACGACAATTAGCAATGTGCTCTGCATGATTAGCAACCGCGAAACCGGGTCGAGACCTACAGTCCTCAGAGATGTTCTTGAGAGATCCGGACTGTGTCGTGGAAATATTAGGAGGTAATAGCGGAGAAAGAACTTCCGCCTGCTGGAAGCAAGCCGCCCCGTAACTGAAGGCATCTTGAATGCCTTCAAACGGCCGTGGAGGCTGTGGTGAGCGGAAGCGCAGTTCACCAACACTGCAAAAGCCATATCATTTTAATCCAGAAGCCGACGTATGCACACATACGGTGGGCTTGCGTAAGGCATCCCTAGAAACGAGGTAATGTTTCCCGTGGTATTGCCTCGGAAGCTGCCATAAGTGAGTTCGACCACAGGATACGTGTTTTGAGAGGCTGCTCCGTTGCTGAACACGACGCCAGCGAGCAGGAGCAGCGACGAAGATCGCGTCAGCACGTCGAGGATCATGGCGAGTGAACCCACTCTTCGCTCTACCTGTGAAGGCCGACACACCTCACAGCCCACATTGCCCCGAATTTATGCATTGGGCTTCATTGTAACGTGTGAGATCCCTGTATCCATCCGGGGCTACGCTTAGAGGAAGTGCCTAGAAGGTGTATCAGGTCCCGTACAAGGCGAAGAAGTTTTCGCGGGTAGCTTATAGCTTGTTTTCACCCTCTAACTCATGTCAAGCATCTAGACATGTAAAGCGTTTGAATATTGCGAAACACAGCCACTGTGAATTCGCCCGCATTGAGCGCAATTACAGGCTGCAGGCGAAACAAACGTGAACAAAGACCTTCCATGGTAAGGGTGATCGTCGCTTATCGCCGCACTCGCGCGCTGATCTCAGCCAGGGTGGTCACGACCTGATGGGAGTACGACATGCCGATATTACCCGTTTCCCTTGCAATATAGTAACAATACTTTTGTGATCCTGACGAGACGATGACGTGCTATAGGTCTTCAGCACATTGCTCTGACGCCCTTGTATTTATATTTAAAGAGCTGGACGAACGAGCCTTGAAAGCAAGCGAGATGGGAGACACTGTTTTGTGCGATATTATCCGGCGTAATGGCGCACCATGTCCTGCCACAAACGCTAGGCAAAGAGTCGGGCACTTTGCGTCTGTCGGGAATTGTGTGCCATTTCGCAGCAGACACGGCAATCAAGCGCATGGGACTGCGCGGGCAGGTACAGGAACGACCGCAGATTGGTTAGGATGGCCGCAGGTACATGAAGAGGCGCTGCGAGTCACTTTGTGTGCGATGCGGGTCAGGTCGGGGTTCTCAACAACGAGGCACCACGCTATGCGGTAGCGAAAACGATTCAGGACGAGTCAGCGCTATTGATTTGCGCGCCAGATAGGGTCATACCGTCGTGCAATAGAAGCAGAGCGAACCTTGCACAATGGTGAATACCCTTCGAGCATGAATACAGCCGGGGGATAAGGGTCAAGTGCTGTGTAGGACCAGGTCTACTATAGAATTTAAGCCACAGTCGGACAGGTTCACTTGACGATGGGACCTGGGATAAGTATGTGAGGACATGTTCAGGCTAAGAAGAGGACCGACACGTCGACGCCTATTACTCTCGGCAATCACCGATCATGTACATTCTATTACGACGTCGACAACTCCCAACCATTCGGTGTCTCGAAGCAGCAGATAGACGAGATGTGTGATGTTGCGCACTGGCAGCTGTGTAACCAAAAAGACAGAAACGGGCGGTGAGTGTGAAGTGGTCTGCGAGTCGATCGGCACAAGTCCTGCCGACGCCGCGCCGAGATAGAGATGAATCCGCTCTGCCTTGTTTACTTTCGTCATGCGCCGGGAAGTATGTTCTGTCTGCTTACAAGGCAGTCATGTATGCATGACCTCAGAGGGCCGTCATGTGCATGAACAGTCGGTCGACCTATCAATGCACAATGGAGGCCACTGCACCCATGTGCGTGAACATCGTTTTACCGCTGCCGAAGCTCTGACATAGATGTTTCCAGGCATACGAGATCGATGACCTCATCGCTGCCGTCAAACCAACATACCGGCACGGCTTTGAGTACTTAAGACGATCTTTATTCTCGTTTCACACCACCTTTGTCTATTGTCAACACACACCATAAAATGCCGAACCAGCGAACAATGAAAGCGCTGATCACGCAGTCCAACAAGACTGTCGCCGTCGAAGAGGTGCCTGTCCCAACGATCGCGGACAACGAGATCCTCGCGAAGACGGTCGCAGTTGCACAGAACCCCACAGACTGGAAATGTAAGTCGAGCCTTCGAGACGCGATCCGGCTGAACTGACGTCTACGTGCTAGATGTCGAGTCCATCACAAACACTGGCACCATCTCCGGATGCGACTGGTCGGGCAATGTTGTGCAGGTCGGAAAGAACGTCAAGGATATCTCCGTCGGCGACCATGTCGCGGCCTTCGTGCACGGCGGGAATTATAAAGACCGAGGAGCCTTCGCCGAGTTCGTCAAAGCTGAGGCAGACCTTGTGTGGAAGGTGCCGAAGGGGACGCTAAGCCATGAGGAGGCAGCTACATTGGGATGCGCGTAGGTTACATCACCCTATATGACGAGGAGCAATGCGACTGAATCCGAAACAGGTTTTGGACTGCTGCGCAGGCATTATTCCACCCGAAGCGACTCGGCCTGACAGAGTCACCTAGCAAGGCCCTCAAAAACGAGTGGGTCTTCGTATACGCCGGAAGCAGTGAGTGCCGAGGGAGACTGTTCACATAGATTTTAACACCTTCAATCAGCCTCTGTCGGTATGTATGCGCTGCAGCTAGCTCATGCTGCAGGCTATCGGGTTATTACCGTCGCCTCGCCCAAGAACCATGACCTGTGCAAGTCTTTGGGGGCTGACGTTGTATTTGACGTACGTTCAGCTCCAGTCCACATACATTGGTGGACGTGATCCTCACCATATGTGCGTATAGTACAAGGACCCCAGCGCAGTCGATAAGATTAAGGAAGCAACGGGGAACTCAATCCATGCTGCTCTTGACACTATCTCTCTGGAGCAGAGCCAGAACTTCACTATCAAGTCTTTCGGGCCTGGTCCTGGCAAGATCATCGTGCTCCTGCCTCCACAGGAAGCTGCGCAAAAGTTGCGTCAAGATGTCAAGATACAACGTACGTGGAGGAGACATGTTACTCTGCGAGTCATTAACGCGTCTCTGCAGACACTCTGCTTTATACTGCCCTGGGGAAAGGGTTTGACTACGGCCCGACACGTTTTGATGCGTCTCCTGAGGACCGCGAGCAGATGGTGGATTTCCTCCAAACGGTCCCCGGCCTTGTCAGCTCGGGCGCGGTCAAGCCAAATCCTATCAAGCTCTGGGATGGGGGCCTTTCCGCTATCAAGGATGGACTGCAGTGGATGAAGGAAGGCAACAATAGCGGGGAGAAAATAGTGTACAAAGTCTGAGAATCCGAACAACCAGAATGTAACAGTAGCGAAGGATTGAAGATCGTGTCTCGCAAGCAAGTGGTCTCGTTAATTCCAATGAGATATGCTATGCCCGAGCGAATACACTATAGTCCGGCCTTGGGATCCCAGGGCCGGACAAGTAGATTAGAAGGTTGTGCAAACCCAAAAAAGAGCCTATGGCGTATCGGTTTCAGGGCTCGGCGATCACTTCTCCCTCGTTTCGTGCATTGCCGTGATCAACACCTCAGCATTTGCTGACCTAGGTTTTATCGAGCACTCGAAAGGACGTGGATGACTATCACAGACGTGAGCAACGGTCGAGTCTAAACAGCCAGACGCCAAACATGATTGTCCCACTCGTGTAGTCGATCACGGGCTCTATCACCTTTCCATCGCGCACGACCTTCGAGATGTCAAAGACAGCCAATGACACCGCGCAGGAGATGAACAAGGATGCATCAGCGAGGTACATCCCTACCAGAGCCATTAGCGAGTCCCCGTGCAGAAAGATGACATCACACACCTGGACATATGCTGTGGACTCTGCGTAAGCACACAGACAAGTAAGAGGAGCTGGCTACTCACCGCCTTCCGAACCCGAATACGATCTGACGCGGATCTTTCTCTGCCGTCTTCCCGGGTGATGCTATGAACCTCTCCGGCTCAAAATCGAACGGATTTGCATAAGTGTCTGGGTCATGCAGAAATTTCCTATGAACATGCATACAATCGAAAATATGCAATACTATCAGAATGCTGTTCAGAAAGAATGGCAGAAATAACATACCAGATATTGGGAGACACTAAAGTGCCTTTCGGGATAAGGTAGCCTGCATGAATGTCATCTTTTACCGGGCAATGAGGAAATCCTGTGTAATGGTGATCGCAACGGCGGTCTGAGGACATTGTGAGATCACTGGAACGTACCTAACGGGACGACAGGTTGCCAACGTAGAACTTCCCAACAAAGAGCGGTAACATAAGGCAGTTTGTCACGATCCGCGAGAGTAGGCAATCTATCGTTGCCGATGACCGCATCAATCTCTGCTTGGGCCTTCCGCTGTGCCTCCGGATAGCATGTCATAGCCAGGAAAAAGTGGATACTGCTGAAACTGTCTATTCGGACTGCGTTAGGATCACAGCACTGTTAGCGATGAATCGCGTACCGTATCCGCACCAGCTGAGCAGAGGAAATAGCGTTAGTTCCGCTAAGCCGGAAACCGTGACCTGGAAATACCGCTGTATAACGAGGCTGCCGCGTTCTTGATCAAGATCTCTTGCTCTGGGTCGGGATTTGATTCCAGATGCGCAGACGTGAAGCTAGGAATGGCAGTCCCGGCCGACTGCCACACGAATATCAGTATGTTCTCAGACGGGTCACGTAGTGCATATATGGTCACCATCTGCTGCTGTGTAAATGCGTATGGTACGTTGCATGTCATTTCGAGGTCATCGGCCCAGACTTGGGCCTTTTTCTTCCAGCCAGCTCCTGGCATCCAAGCCGGGACATGCCGCACTGAGAGAAATGGTTCACATTTAACTCGCGGACATAGGGGCAGTATTGACTCACAGACAGGAAGTGTGTCGACCAGAAACGCGCCGGGACGTGTCGAAATGGAGAATTCTTCGACTGCTCGGTCGACCAGGTCGACAAGAGGATCATCACCTTCTTGAACCTCATAGCCGTATGCCATTTTGAGTATCACTGCACCCGTCGTTCTGAGGGGAATGATAGCTCATGAAAGGGGGATCAATAGAAGGTATTGGACGTTAGCTTACTTCCGGACCTCCTTGAGAAGCGAAGTAGGTTCACGAAGAACACGACGAAGAAATTGATGCACCTCATGCTCGAGGTGATGAGAAAATCGCTCAGCATGATTCCGGGTACCGATCAACTGAGAGAACAGCTTGCGGGTTTCGCGAAAGCGTTTACCGTAACGCAGCACAGCCAGCGTCCTATCCCAACCAACCATTTCTCCTGCCATTGTGATGACTGGACGATCTGAATAAATATTGCTCTTCTTCTCGAACATATCGTAGGCGTGTTGAACCGAATTGAGAATAACGATGTGCTGCCCGAATAACGTTACGGAGACGATATCACCTGAGCAATATATTCTGAGAGGAATTGATGTGAGGTGAGAACCATGACACTGACCCCATTTCTCACCCCAAGACATGTATGTGTTCCACTCATTGGTGGAAGGCATGTCGAATACATTGCCCACCAACGGCCATCCCCTCGGACCTGGAGGCAGAGGACCTCGGGCCGATTGTCTACCCCGGTATACCACAAACAGCAACGCCACTAACAAGACGGCGGCCCCTGTATCCAGAACAAGAAATAGTCTCGACATGAGCAGAAGTTCGGGTAGGTCAGAAAATACCTTGCTGTGAACAGACTGCCACTATATAGGCAGACGTGCGCTACAGCACCCGAGGAAGGGCTGGAAATCGACCCCAGAAGTGCAGCAGACGCGCAGGCGACCCCACAGAATTAACTTTGTCCACCGTGCCTTGATCGGAATTGTCATTACTTTGACCTTCGTTGCATAGTATGCCGTGGGATGGTCCTTCAGACTGTGAGATAAGGAACTTACGAGTGTTTGCAATGACGAAATGACGGACATGATCCCAGCGTTCCTACATTCTCGGCGCCACGCACATCTGCCGAGGGTGCCAGCTGCAGTAGAACCCAATTGTATTCACTAATCATCTTTCGCAATCCCGAGTCCCCGGAGATGCAAATAGCGTGCTGGATGCTCTTCAGCTTGCTGATCGAGATCCCGATTTACTCAGTGACTGAATGTGACTGTGACATATTTTTGAGATCTTGCTCTCGATCGACTGGACCGGACTGGCTCTGAGCTGCAATCACTTGCATACCCCTCGGCCTATACGACATGGCGAAAGGCTCGCAGCTGTCTCAGATGAAGGCAGCCCTTAATCAGGCTGGCCTTTCCCGTCCCCAGCAAAACGGCAAGAAGAGAAAGCGGGCGGCTCCAGAGGAGCGGGACAAGGAGAAGAAAGCCGCGAAGCTCAAGGAGATACAGCAAAAGCTCAACCCGTTTGATGTCAAGGTCACGAAACTCAAGCATGATGTGGGAGGGCGTAAGATTGTTGGAACGGTTGGTCGTCCTGCCCAAAGCAAACAGGCCGGGATAGAACAGGTGCGTGCGATATAATCCTCAAGGATTCAGTATGTCTCACCTTCAATGCCCAATTGGCAGAGGAAAAGAACTCTCCTGAAGGAGTTCGAGGAGAAGGGCCGGGCAGGCGGTATCGTCGACCGCCGGTTTGGTGAGAACGACCCTACCATGACACCGGAAGAACGGATGCTCGAGCGATTCACGCGGGAGCATCAGCGGGTATCCAAGGGTGCTGCGTTCAATCTCGAGGACGAGGACGATCTCACGCATTATGGTCAAAGTCTCTCTAAGCTGGACGACTTTGACAACGTCGGACTCGGACTGGACGACGATGAGGATGAGGACGGCGGTCAGATTGATCGACATACGGTGCAGGAGAGCCATTTCGGAGGGTTCGATGATGGTGAGGGCGAGGACGATGAGGATGAGGTGCGCGCATCCCACGGAGACGTGAACGGCGTACTGACTGCTATCTAGCCTGCGCGTAAAAGGTCGAAGGCGGAGGTTATGGCGGAGGTTATCGCCAAAAGTAAAGTGCACAAGGTGTGTAGTTGTTTCGCACATTCTACAGCCGACATTTTATATGTTCTATGCTGTAGATGGAACGACAAGCACAGCAAGAAGAGGACGAGAATCTGCGACATGAACTTGACCAGGAGTTGGACTCCATTCGGTCGTTGTTGTATGCCCCCGAACCTTCAGCAGCAACGACTGGCGCAGGGGACTCTGGGAAAACAGGAATCCCTGTGCCAGGAGCTGCTGTTGTCGAGAAGGACCAGGAGTATGACCAGTACGTACGCGAGCTGGTGTTCGAGAAACGGGCTCAGCCGAAGGACCGCACGAAGACGGAGGAGGAGATCGCGTTGGACGAAAAAGAAGCGCTTGAGAAGGCGGAACAGAGGCGGATACGACGGATGAACGGCGAGCCGGATGAGAGTGACGAGGAGGGTCCTAAGGGGAAAAAAGGAAGGCGATCACGGGGCGGAGACGATTTGGAGGACGATTTTTACGAGGAAGATGATGAGAGTGGGCTCGGGGCCGGGTTGACGGAGGATCGCGCTGCTCACTCGGTCGAGGAGGCCTCCGAGGTTGGCGACGAGGAAGATGATGAGAGCGGTGACGAGGAGGAAGGTGATTCAGACGTAGAAGACGACGAGTCTGCTGCTGCATCTGACGATTCTGACGATATCGAAGGCGAAGAGGGTGATTCTGAATCTCTGGTGCAGACAGCCAAGAAGCGGGTTGAGGCAACCCCGGCTAAAGGCAAGGGGAAGGAGCTCCCTTTCACATTCCCGTGTCCCGCCAATCATGATGAGTTCTTGGAGATTGTCGAGGGCGTCGATGTCAAGGACGTGCCCACCGTTGTGCAGCGTATCCGTACGCTCCACCATCCGAGCTTAGCGGAAGAGAACAAGTTCAAACTGCAGGTGCGCACTTTTCATTGCACAGCGTTGTACAGACCCTCACTCATACCGTCCTCAGGAGCTGACAGGTGTACTCATAGACCATATCCTGTACATCACCACTCCTCCCCAGCCACGTTTCTCGTTACTGAGCTCCCTGGTCCCGCATCTGCTCGCCCTCACTAAATCATACCCTATCCAGTCTGCACAACACTTCGTCGCGAAGCTCAACCTCATGCACAAAAACCTGAAGCGTGGACTGTCGCGCGGTGCCACAGAACCCGATGCGAAGACGTGGCCCGGTCTGCCTGAGCTATCGCTTCTCCGCGTGATAGCGCAAATATGGCCGACCAGCGACAAAAACCATCACGTCGTTTCCCCTGCACGATTACTTATAGGTGCATACCTTGGTCTGTGTCGTATCAGGTCGTTACAGGACCTCTCCAGCGGGCTCTTCCTCTGCACGCTGTTCCTGCAGTATGAGTCACTATCGAAGCGATTCGTACCGGAGACTATCAATTTGCTAGCAAATTCAGTACTGCACCTAGCCCCGCATTCGCTCAAAGACCAGACATTAATACCTGGACACTTCCCTTGTCTCGACTTCCGGTCAGAACACTGCGCTATCCTAACGATCGACGCCCGGACGGCAAGGAAAGCAACATTGAACAAGCCGGATCTTGCAGGCCTGCTTAGTGGTGCGACTGACGGTGAACAAGCGAAAGTCGACCTCCTTGGTTTGACGTTGGAGCTGATTGGACGCTTTGCGGACATGTACAAGAGTCTAGACGGTTTCATTGAGTTGTACGAGCCAATTTCCGGACTCCTTGGTGAGATCAAGACGCAAGGTCTGCCAGAGTCCCTTGTAGTGAGTTGCCATTAGCCGTTCACGTTATATCGAGTGCCAACTTTGATTCTAGGCCCGTCTATCGTCACTTCGAGACACCCTAGGTCGCTACCTGAAGTTCTCTCGTCAAGCACGCCGTCCACTCGTGCTCCAAGCGCACAAACCGATACCCATCCCGACCTATGTGCCCAAGTTCGAGCAGTCTTCGTCGAATTACCTTCGCAACCGCGATCCTGACCATGAACGGAACGAGGCAGCTAAGCTTCGCCGACAGTACAAGCAAGAGAAGAAGGGTGCTATCCGTGAGTTGCGGAAGGATGCACGTTTCTTGGCGGGCGAGCAACAGCGGAAGGACAAGGACAAGGACAAGGCGTACGGCGATCGTATGAAGAGGGTGTTTGGCTCGATCGAGTCGGAACGGGCGGAGGAAAAGGCCATGGAGCGGGAGAAGATGAAGGATAAGCGGCGGGCTGGGCGCAAGTGAATTATTGCTGTCCCAAGTGTATATGCACGTAGCGCTCCTCATGTTTTGATCGGCCGTGCTTTTTGTGCTTTTTTGAGGGATTGATGCGACCGTGGCTAGCCCTAAGCTCCCATACATATATGAATCTATACATCCTCGCTTCCTCAAGTTATCGAGAGGCTCACTTGCTTTGAGGACCTGGGAGCCAAGTCACACCTCGTATGCCTGAAATTGGTGAGATCGAAGGCGTAACGACGCGACATAAGTGATCACGTGTGCGTGTTTACGACGCGTTCAACCTCGCGTCCCTCGAGTCTCGTCTTGACTTTTGACTCCCCATCCGCAACATTGGACGCCTGGCTAAGGTCTTCAACCCTACTCATTTGACTATGATATGAGTAACCCCACTTCAAGTCCCATTCCTCTGCCCACTTTCCAGCATGGAAACGACGATGCCTCCTCTCCCGCTCAACTGCTCGCATTCCTACAAAATCTGCTGTTCGAGATCAGGTCGGGGCGCTATGATCGAGAAGATGGGCAGACACGAGAAGGGCGTGAGATACAGTGGCGTTTCACTGTCGGAGGATTGGCGAATGAATTCCTGGCGACCTTTCCCCCGCCGAAGGACGTTCCGTGGGCCGCAATGCACGAAAAGGTGAAACTGGCGGAAGTGGCTCTCCTTGTCATTACAGAATGTGCCGAACACACGGACAGCCTATTCCTTGAGCCACCAGATCTAGCTAAAGACACTCTCACTGGGCTAATAAACCTGTGCGCCGTCTTTGACCAATGGACACACCTTCCTTTACAGAAGGAGGAACAGTACCTTGGGCCGGACGAGTTGCAGAGAAGCGCAATATCAGCCTCTGTTGCGGTTCTGAAATCTCTCGGCCGTAATGTCATCGAGCATAAGGTGGAAAATATGGTGTCTTCGCCAGAATTACTGCGGCAGATATTTTCCGGGATGCTGGCGACTTGTCATGGTATGTCGCCCGTTCAATATGCTCTCTTGCTTAATTAAAGTTTTTGTCAGACTTACTCTCCATCTCTCCTTTGGTTGAGTTTCCTCTGCGCTTCGACTTAGCGGCACCTCGCCTCGAAGTGGGAAACAGTGGAAATGTAAGTGAATCACTGATCTGCTGCCGCGAATGCTAAAATATCTCCTTGCCAGAGCACACAAGAAACAGTCATCGTCGTAGAGAAGGCATCTGACATCCCAACGCTCCTGGCTTGGCTGACGGAGATCTGTATCCGGACGATATCTCAGCCGTTGTTCGCGCAGTGGTACTTGATGGATATCATGCGATCCACTACCGTACTCGCCAGGCAGGTCTTGGAGTATTTGCTTTCTTCCACGAACATCATCCCGGGCGTTGCCCGTGTCAGAGCTATATCAAATCTAGGCGTTGCTTTCTTAACAAATCTATCCCATGTTCCCGATTCTAGCGGCCATGCCGAGTGTATTGAAACCTTGCTTGTTCTGCATTGCCTACAAGGAGGTCCTGGATCCTCGTGGGCAGGATTGAGCGACGCCTTGCAGAGACTGTATGCCGATGGCCCTCTTCCAGCACCTCTGTCTGTGAACATTCGACCAATTCTTGGAGTATTGAGCGCAGAAAATTGGGATGTCACGGAAGACGGCATACGCGTAAGCCACAAAGTTCTATGTTAGAAGAGAAAGTCATCCGGAATACCTTCTACAGGCCCTCGGACTGGCATACCTGTGTCGAATGGTACCCTACCTGGATGATGAAGGCCTTCAGATGATCACGGATAGTCTGAATACTGGTGAAAAGATGAAGGCATACGCGCAACTTCTCGAAATGGTCGCCGCTCGTCGTCAAGCGTTGCCACAGAGAAGTAATAACAATGAGGTCGATGCACAGTGTTCAAACAGTGTGGAAACTCAATGGCGGCCTATCTTCAAGAACGCGGTACAAAGCATAGTCGAACCCGATGAAACCGACTGGATGGACGACGATGGGTCTCTCTCTGATGCACAGTACTTCTCTCGTGCGCTGCCTGAGTTTGAGAGTCGATACACACGGTCAGAGCTATGCTTCAGATGCATGTTTCGTGCTTACGTTCTCTCTGTGCAGCCCGCTGTATAATCCTGCACCTGCAGCCCGGGAGGCTCTAGCAGCCAAGATGGGCAGCTTGCCGTGTATTTTTGTTCATGTTAATGATATCGAATGCTCTTTAAGCAACAACCGTCCATCCATTGATGCTATTTCGCCATTCATTGCGGGCGCCTTACCCTTATTAAGCGGACCAACCGAGGAGGTCACGCCGAAGGTCCGCATGGCCGTTTTCGACGCCCTTTGTAAAACCTTGCGACATCACACATCAGGATTCAGTGGCGGTAAACTGGAGAATATCGAAGACATGGTCATAAGAGCAATGAAAGATAAGGACCGCAGTGTGCGTCTCAGCGCAGGGTAAGCATCCAGTGTTGCACGAGACATTTTTACGCATAAAACAACATGTCGCGCGTCCAGGCACTCGCTAGTGGAGCTCGTACGACTACACCAAATCCTGGGGGGTTCTCCTTGGAAACGAACAGAGCGGTTATTTGGGATGATATACCGATTATTTGAGACCGCTGAACCGCGCGCCCGGGAGACAACTCTGATTACCTTGGGATGGGTCGGACAGTGAGTGCGGCTTTCTGATTTGCCGATTTCCCATCTCTCAAATTTGCATCTATCAGTATTGCGACAAGCAATGTCCTTGGTCAAACTATTTGTTGTCTGCTGGCTCAATTCGGGCAGCAGAATCCGATTTTGAGAGGCACTGCACATCTCCAGGTCTGTTGTATACTGCTGATCCTGAGTTGCCAAGATGCTTAATACAACGATCATGTAGCTGCAGGCACTTTCCAAACATCTGAAGAAGTCGCCATACGGGTTGATCTCGCCATACATGGACCAAATTGCACCTTTTCTTGTCTCTCGAATATGCACACAACCGACTTTGCTGCATGAGACTTGCTCTTTCCTCGCCATGCCAGTCGGCAAGTTCATTCTGGGCTCACTCAGCCGCACGCTCCCGCAAGTTTATATCAACTGCGATGCGAGGGCTCTAGACGCGATCTCTCGGGAAGTGAATGATAAGACAGCAAAACTATTCATGAACTTCTCGCACAACATCCTCGCCTATGTTTTCTGCTTGACGGGGCCTGGTCAAACAAACAAGGTTCTGAACTTCATATTATCCGTACTAAAAAACAGCGCCCAACAAAAAGTCGACCTCGCTCTTGTAATTCGGAGCTGTGTCGTCCCGCTCGTGGCTGAGATTGTCCTGGGTCTAGGAGATGACGACCCCGATAGGGTCGATGCAGTGGGTCTACCTCACTTCCATTTGTCGTATACCTGTTCTGACAGAGATGTGACAGGCAAGGCAAGGGCTGAAGAAGGTCGAACGTGCTGCTCAGCAGTCTCGATCATGTGCTCAGGTTGACTCGGGTTCAAAAATTGGAGCCTTTATGAGGACGTACATGCTTGGCGTCATATCCCACCTCAACGACTTGCTACAAGACGGGTATGGGAGGCGGTCCTTAGAAACAAAGAAGAACATCGTGCGTAGTCTCGGCCAATTCACAACCGAAGTCGGGCCTACGATCAGTCGAGTGGCGCCTCAGGTAATTCTCATGTATTTGCATTCTGGCTCAAAATGGGCTGACATTGAGATACGGCAGATTATGGCGACGCTGCAGACTACTCTAGTAATTCCACAGCTTTCAGACGTCACTCTCGACAGCTGGTTCATATTTCTCAGGACTTTGGAGGTCCATGATCTAGGACTTCAGGTTGGCCCGACAAGCGCTGCGTTGGTCACTCATTGGAACTCCTTCTCCCTCCACGGGCGAGAAATTGCCAAGCGATGTTTGGAATTCATCGTGGTCGACATGGGTGGACAACTCGGCTCGCAGCTTGACGAAGTAGTGGATCTCGAATCTATTCCCCAACTCACCGCAATACAACAAAGTCTGCTTGCCTTACGCCAGGATTGGAATACCCGGGACAAACTCCAGAAGACATTAGAACGAGCGACTAGCGAGAGTTTGACCGTCGCAACCCAAGCCCTCTGCGAATTGAAGGCGTTCTTGTTGAGTAACGATGAAGAATTTGTTCGGAGTCTGGCTTCGGGCGACGTCTTTGACCCTGCAGTCAATCACATCTTGTCAACATTATTCTCAGTGGCAGGTCGGGATGGAGAAGGCACCGAGCCTCTACGTCTGCGTGCTTTCGAATGCATTGGAATTCTTGGAGCTGTCGATCCCGACAGGATTGAATTTGGTGTCAATGACTCACGGATGATCATGCTTAGCAACTTCGTCGACGACTCGGAGTCTGTCTCATTTGCCCTTCATCTCATACAAGATATTATGGTGAACGCGTTTAGGTCCACAAGCGACATCACCTACCAGACGCACCTGGCATATGCTTTGCAAGAACTGCTCCGATTCTGCAAATTTACGGAAACCCTCGTCAATCCGAGCTCCACCAGCTCCATTTCTCTAAAGGTCCGCAGCCGTTGGAACAGCTTACCCAAGCATGTCCTAGAGACGATTATCCCGTTACTCAGTTCGAAGTATACCTTAGATCCGCGAGATCCGGTGTCAATTCAGCATCCGATCTATCCTACTCAGGATACCTATCGGGAGTGGATACAAACATGGGCGGGACATCTCATCACCAGAGTATCAGGAGCGAATGCTAAGGCCATATTTCAAGTTTTCTCTGCTGTCATCCGCAACAAGGATGTCACAGTTGCTCACCATCTCCTTCCTCACCTTGCGCTGAACGTCCTCATCTCTGGAAACAACGACGATGCCGATGGCATTCGTTCTGAACTGCTAGCAGTACTGTCAGACCAGATTGCGTCCGACTCTCGTTCCACATCAGACAAGAAATTGTTAAGTGCGCAGGTGAGCTTCCAACCTGCTCTTGCCGTTGTGAAGCTCTTATGGGTCTGGCTGTAGACTGTCTTCTTGCTTCTGGATCATTTCAGCCAATGGGTTCGTGTTATACGTCAAGACCTCGGCAGTGGCAAAGGGGATACCCGAAGAGGTCGTGTCAGCAGTGTACACGCCGACGCTGAAGAGCAGGTTCTGCGGCTGGACTCCATATTGTCCAGCATCGACCTAGACTTGATGGCAAGAGCCGCGCTCCAGTGCAAAGCCTACGCTCGCTCTTTAATGAGCTTCGAAAGACAAGTCTTGGATTTGCAAGCTCGTGACGCCAAACAAGAGGAGATTGAGCAGTATCATGAGCGTTTGCATGAGATATACGCTCATTTAGATGAGCCTGATGGCATGGAAGGTGTCTCGACTCTGATACTCTGCCCTTCATTGCAACATCAGATTCGTCAACATGAGAGCACAGGACGATGGACGTCGGCGCAAAGCTGTTGGGAAGTCAGGCTGCAACAATCTCCGGACAATCCTGAGTTTCATTTAGGTCTCCTACGATGTCTGCGCAATCTGGGCCATTACGGTAAGTTCTACCTCCTTGATGTTTCATGCGCCGGTCTACTGACAACGATGTCAGATACACTTCGCACCCACGTTAAGGGCGTCCTCACTCGGAACCCCGCGTGGGCGTCGTTACTTGTGGGCCTACAAGTTGAGGGCGAATGGATGGTTGGTAATTGGGATGAGGTGAAAGCCCTAGTCTCCAGCACAGTCTCCAACACAGCGCCCGTCTTACTGGCACAAGTCTTATTAGCACTACGCGAGGGTAATATCTCAGCTATCAACGAGACACTGTCTAACGCACGTCGACATCTTGGGGCACCCATCGCTGCTGTTGGTACTAACGGTTATCGTCGCTCATACGAGTCTGTCCTCAATCTTCATCTCCTGCATGAACTCGAGGTCATTCACGAACGCGTCCTCTCGCTTCCGTCAAACCTTCAGGATGGTCCCGGGAGACGGCAAGTGCTTAGCGGGTTGACCCAGCGATTGGCTGCGCGGTTAGATTCTACACTCCCCAGCTTCCGAGTCAGAGAGCCAATACTGGCAACACGACGGGTGGCTTTCGCACTGAGGTGCGTCTGTGTTCTGGTAAATATGAATTACTGCGTTGACCGCTTTCCTCTCAGCCCGGATGCACAGAGTATGGACGCAGCTATAGGACAATCATGGCTGACAAGTGCGAAGACTGCTAGGAAGGCCGGATATTGGCAAACAGCTTACAGTGCTGTTTTGCAAGCTCGGCAATATCAAATCAAGTTCTCATTTGTGGAGAGCGCCAAGCTTGTCAAAGCGAGCGGTGAACCCCTTCGCGCACTGCAGGAGTTAGAAAGCAACATGCGGCTGAATGGTATCCTACCGGTAGAGAATACTATCACAAACCTCACCAGGGACCAGAAGGTACAACACGAACCAGAGGATCACGATCAAATTCTGAAGGCCAAAGTGAACATTGCTACTTTCACCTTTCTCAATATGTGAACTGACCTCATGCCAGGCTCATGTACTGCGTGCGCGATGGATGGCTGATTCTGACCGCTTCGAAGCTGGCAACATTGCGAAAATCCTGCAACGTGGAGCAGATATGGCTGCAAGATGGGAGAGCGGCCAATTCCATTTTGGACGATATCATGACGAATGCTTCGCGACCCTTTCCCCTCGAGACAAAATGGAACGGTAAGGGCTCGACATACATATCCTCCTGTTGTCGCTGATGACGTGCCAGTGGGTTGCGGATGAATCTCGTCACTGTTCGCGCTTACGCGAAGGCTATGCGATACGGCTCAAAGTATATATACCAAACTGTTCCCCGACTGCTCACTCTCTGGCTTGACATGGGCGAGAGTACAAATCCTCACGCAAGCGATGTCTTCAAGAAGATCAACGCCGAGGTCTCGCGCTCAATCGCAACTGTCCCTGCTTATAAGGTCTCGTCAATCTACAAATCTTTCTCGGCTCTTTATTGATTTAGAGCCTCTAGTGGTACACTGCTTTCCCTCAGATTGTTTCTCGTGTCGGCCACAGCAACAACGAGGTCTATGAAGTCTTATCTGGACTGATTCTGACGGTCATTAAAGAGTACCCAAGGCAAGCTCTGTGGCTATTCACAGCTGTGGTGAAGTCCACCAAGTCGCAGCGAGCACAGCGAGGTGACATTATAATGAGGAAACTGGAGGTCGGTATATGGATCTCAACGAAGATTACGCGGACTCTAACCAGACCACTGCAGGCACAAGGCGGGATCGTTGCAAAACTGGTCAAAGACAGCCGGAAAATGACAGAAGCCCTCCTCGCGTTGTGTGACCGCCCACTCAGAGACGACGTGAGGGTGCTCAGCCTGAAGAAAGACTGCCCTAGCCTGGAACGCCTGGCCCCCTCGCGACTCATCATCCCGCTGCAGGAATCGCTAATCGCGACTCTCCCGCCCAGTTCGGCTGCTGACGCTACTCACCAGCCTTTCCCCGTTGATGCGCCCACATTCGCAAGTGCGCGGATGATCCTTACATTTTGCCCGACTGATGACTGACCACGAGTAGAGATCTTCGACGAGGTCGAGATCATGCGATCTCTTGCCAAGCCGCGCAAGGTCACCATCCAAGGGAGCGATGGGCAAATATACATGTTCCTGGGTAAACCGAAGGACGACCTGCGCAAGGATGCTCGACTGATGGAGTTCAACGCGATCATCAATAAGCTCCTGAAATCCAACTCCGAGTCGCGTCGGCGGCAACTCCGTGAGTAGACCCCCACGGTAGATGTCAGTCCATGGGCTGAGTGTTGCTACAGACATTCGGACATATGGGGTGGTCACCCTGAATGAGGAGTGCGGCTTCATCCAGTGGGTTCCGAACACCATCCCGTTCCGGCCAGTCGTAGTGAAAGGGTACGACAGGCGAAGTATCCGTTGGTGGGTGAGTGTCTTGGCCGATACATCCTGCGCCTTGCCATCTACTCAGAATGCCTGGACAGTCGAACGACATGCAGCCTATCTTCGATAGAATCAAGTTGATGCCGCACGACAGAGAGGTCGCTCAGCACTTTCACGAGTGCGTTCTCAAGAAGTAAGTGTGCACGCCCGCATCCGCGCATGCATGGATTGCTGACGAGGTGCACAGCTATCCGCCCGTGTTTCACGAGTGGTTCATCGAGACATTCCCGGAGCCCACTGCGTGGCTTGCAAGCAGGCTGGCATACAGCCGGACGGCGGCGGTCATGTCCATGGTGGGCTTCATCCTCGGGTACGCCGGCTGCTTCACGACACAGCGCGCATTTTTCATGTCGTCCTCTAGGTTGGGCGATCGTCATTGCGAGAACATCCTGCTCGACACGAATAACGGGGACGTGGTGCATGTGGACTTCAACTGTCTGTTCGAGAAGGGCAAGACTCTAGAAACCCCAGAGCGGGTACCCTTCCGCCTCACCCAAAATGTCGTCGATGGTTTCGGGGTCACTGGAGTAGAAGGTCTGCCTCAGCCCTTATGTCCCATCATAGTGAATCTGACCTCTATGCAGGCGTCTTCCGCATCGCATGTGAGGTTACCATGCAGTTGCTCCGGGACAACAAGGACGCCCTCATGAGCGTGCTCGACACATTCGTCCACGATCCCCTGGTGGAATGGGAAGACGAGAAGCGAAAGAAGGTGGGCAGACGGCCATTCTCCTCTCCGGGACCGTATTTGATGTCTCGTACAGGAGCGCCAGATAGACGTTCGCGGAAACCCCGCCAACCCTGCCACTATTGACCTCAGGACGCTCGCGAAGGACGCGTTGAAGCCCATCGACAAAAAGCTGCGCGGGATCTACACAACCAGCCGAGAACGGCCGGAGAGGGAGACGTCCACGAGCAGTCTCGTGCAGATGCTCATCCAGGAGTCCACCGATCTGGCGAACCTCGTGAGCGAAGCTCGCCTCCGTTCAACGCTTAGACTCACGCTATTTGACAGGGCCGTATGTACCCTGGTTGGTCATCATGGCTCTGACCAGCCTGTTTCTGTCTACTAGTGTTCGGCTTTCTCAAAGTATTGTGCTCTGCTTTGTATCCGTATTGTCAGCTAAGGGAATGTAGTACTACATACATGTACAGCATTAAGATATTACACATGCAGCGTCGACTATGCCGTGGCCTCAAGCTGCTTTTTGAGCTTTTCGAGCTCCTTTTCCTTCTCGATGAGTTTCTGCCGCCATGAATCCGTCTCGGCGACGACCTTTTTCCGTGCAGTCTCCAATCGCTCAGCCTCCTCGCGTTCCATCTGCTGCGTGAACTCGGGCACACCGCCTTTGGAGGCCTCTAGGGATGCAGGGTTGGCCGTGTGGAAGGGCACGGGCCGGCGGGTGTGCTTCGGTAGCGGCGTGGGCGGGTGCGCCGTGAGGATATTGAGGAACGACTGGAAAGGGTCGTTGAACACGATCTCGTCGTACTGCCACGAGTGTACAGGGCCCATCTTCATGGCAGCTTCGATCGGAGGGATATCGGGCTCGGTACTGCCAACGACGGTCCAGGGGTGCAGCTTGAGGTGGTGGTAGGTGAAGAAAGCCTTCTCGCCCGACTCGGCGACGAAGGTGATTCTGATCTGGATCTCAAACTCACCCCATCTGCAGGCAGACCACGTCAGACATCCTGGCAGATGAGGTCGCAGGATGCCAATGCTCACCCTGTTTCTGAGACCTCGAATGGAGGCTTGTCGACGTCTGTGGCGCTTGGTTGAGTGCGGCGCACGTGCATAACGACTGAACACCTACTGCGTGTTGGGTTGGGATACGTGTCGTGCAGCTTGAAGGTGACGCGTTTGATGAAGTAGCTGAGGTCGTCCGCCCCGCCGACGATGTCCGAGTCGGGCGCGGAGGCGGCGCTACGCACCGCGACCGTCCACCGGTGGGTGTGGTCCGGCGAGCTCAGCGCCTCGCGCTCCTTCGGGGTGAGGACGATGGCTGTGTTTCCATAGATGATAGGCCGGCTGATGGTGAGGCCCTGCGGGGGATATGCGTTCGGCGGGGAGGCCTGGGGAGAGGGGAGGGGACGTACCCGGACGCGAACGCGCTCGTTTGCGGCCATGGCGGTCGAGGCGAATCGAGCCGTGCCACCAGTTGAGACTCCGCACCGACTTCATCCTCGCCCGCCTGCCGTCACTCCCCCATCCCTCAACCCCCCTTGTCCTCCCCGCGAACACACACGATGCTGGGCGCACTTGTCAACAGTGAGTAGACGGCGCGTCGAGTACATTCGTGGACGCGTCAAATTGACAACACATCAAACAGAGCCGAACCGCGTCCCCGAGATGCAGAGGCTGGTGCAGGTACGTCCACTCTGTCCTAGTCGCGGGATGTCGCTCAAGATGCTTTCGTAGGCCTCCCATGAGCCCATCTATTACCGCATGCCCCGAGGCAAGCTCTACGTCAGTGAGTAGCACAGTCTCTGTCGACTACACTCCGTTCCGAGCCGGCTCTCAAGGGACGTTCTACGTCGGGTTTGCGTGCGGGCTAATGGGCACTGTCTTCGGCGCATACTCGCTCATCAAGGTCAGCCCATTGCTACCGACCCTGTACTGTCTTTAACACCGTTTTGATCGCTTTCAGGGCAAGTCTGCTACGGAGTAAATCGGGACTCGCATACACAACGCGTAGACACTAACAATATCATTGGGTCGCGGACAAACTGTGTGAAGCGATGGCATACTTTTGAGTCTCGTAATAAGCCGTTAAATGTGTCGGAAGACTCATCTCGGAAGACATACTGGTTTTCTCTCCTATGTGAGTGAGCGAGCCATTAGCTCGCGGTAGGAATTGTGTGTCGCCAGCAAAAAGACATGTTAGAAGCATGCTACATGTTCATCGTAGTATATTCCAGTCATAAGTTAATGTATAAACCGACATCTGAGAGACGTTTGTCCGACTTGAGTCTGCGACCAAGAGGAATTCCAAGCCGCTACTTCACGTGCCATCGCGGTGACCTCACCGACGCACCGCTCTACGTCCACCGTCTCTCTTCCCCCTCAAAAGCCGCCCGCAGACCGCACACACCACGATGGCGGACCCATACGTCTCCCGCAAAGACGCCGCCGCATCCTACAGGCCCTACAACCAGGTACGCTGCCCCCGCCTTCCCCGGCAGACGCACGCAGAGCTCTGACCGCTGCCGCCGCCGCCGCCGCCCGACACGCAGCTCATGTCGCCCGGCCTCCAACGCGCCCGCGAGCCCTTCCGCGTGCGCAACGCCGTCACGGGCACGCTGCTGCTCGCCTTCGCGGCGGGCGTGTGGGCGTACTCGGTCAGCGCGGTGAAGCAGGACGTCTTCGACGACATCGACGAGGAGGCGCGGCAGCTCGCGCGCGAGCGCGAGCGCAGCCTCGAGGAGCGGGAGGCGGAGCGCAAGGTCGCGGAGAGTGCGGCGAAGATCGAGTCGGCACCAGCAGCAGCAGTGGTGCAGCAGGCGGGCGTACCGCCGTCAATGGCTGGGAGAGGTCTGTTAGCCCCGTTGCTGGCTCGACGGTTCCCCGGGCTGTTGGATCCAGCTACGAAGACCCTTGTGTGGGGAGCACCATCTGTGGATAGCATAGGGAAGCTAGGGGATGGCCGCCGCCATCAATCATGACCGCCATGTATGCTCGCCGTCCCACCTCGCACATCTATCGCTTGTCTCCCGGAAGCACGCCCTGCTCAATCATAGCTTATGACGTATATTCAGCCGTGTATCACTATACTACAAACATACAGTGTGCCAAGCAGGCCCAGCCAACCACGCAAAACAGAGCACGGTACGCGCAAGAAGTAATATGACAGCATGGAAAAGCAAGAAGGCAGCAGAGCAACAATCGGGATGTTCACGGCAATAGCCTCTTCCCGCCTACAAGTCGACTCAGACCCATGCACAACCTCTTCACACCGGGGCGGGATGTCCAGGAGCACCTCCGTCCATCCAGCCCAAGTCTAGAGAGAAGATGCTGAAATGGGAATATGGCCCATAGGCGGGCTGCGCTTGAAAATGTCGCGTCAGTCGCCACATCTCACACACAAGACGCACACGCACGAGACGTTGATCCCCAGGCGCGCGAGGCCCTCCTTGGCGGCCTCGTTCTTCGCGGCCTTCTTCGTGCTCCCGCGCCCGCGCCCGACGCAGTCCTCGCCGACGATCGCCTGCACGACCCAGATCGGCGTCGTGCGCGTGCCCTGGCCCTCGCTGTCGCGCCACACCCACTCGATCGTCTTGCCCTGCTGCTGCAGGTGCTGGTTGAAGAGCGAGAGGTGCCCGATGGTCGCGGACGAGTGCGACGGCGCGGGGCGTCCGCCGCCCGGGGACAGCGGCGTGGCAGGCGGCGTGGGATCCGGCGAGAGCCCGTGCTGCACGCGGACGTGCCGGTACGCCTCGGCGATGTAGGGCCGGAAGAGCGGGCAGAGCCACGGCTTGATAATTTGCAGGCCGCGGTCAGAGTAGACGCCGCCTATGTAGGCCTGTACATGAGTGAGCGGATGGACGGCGGAAACGGGAGAGCGAGGACACTCGCCTCGAAGAGATCAGCTAGAAATGGCGCGAGGCTGTGAGCAGAAGTAGACCCAGGTGAGATGGACTGTACCTTGAATGTTAGTAGAGGCTTTCAACGTGATTGCTTGGGCAGGGTGCATGAGCAAGCGTTCCGGGAGCTGATACCGGACGGAACTAAAGAGCAGAATGAACTTTCACGAACTCAAGCTGTCTCTGGGGACGTACATCGAGGCTAGGGTCGGATTGCCGACCACGAGAGCTCGTACTTTCTGCACGAAAGAGAGACAGAATGAGACATCGGCTACCAGACGATTCGACCCCAGACCTACCGTGGAGGGTCCGACGCGCAGATAAGGGTAATCCGACCTGATCAGGTCCGTCACGATCAAATTCAGCACCGTGTCGCCGAGATGTTCCAGCCTTGACCATCGCATTCAGTCTCTTGCGTTTCAGATTGGAGACTGGGCGGCGACTTACATCTCGTTGTCGGGACTGGGGTCCTCGGGCGTATCCTCGAAGATGTGAGTGGGACGCGCAAAATAGCTGCGGTGCGTGAAGACTTGGGTGCGGATGGTGTTTGAGTGTATCTCGGGCAAAGGCGGCAGGCCCTCGGGGCCCAGCTGTGGACTGAGTGGCTGTGAGTCCATGCTCGTACCAGAATGGGCAGAGGAAGTCGCACCTGAGAGCGGGGCGCCCGCTGGGGATCTCTGGCCTCCTGCTGTTGAGCGCGCACCTCTCAGCCGCCGGGACGATGGTGGAGGGGGTACATTGGCACTCACCCCAGGTCCGTGACCACGACACCTGCCATTGGAGTGAACGCGCTTCGCAAAGTTCGAGAGCTCGAGGCGGTGGGCGCGATTGAAGCCGCGGGAGGGTTATATAACACGGGAAGGGAAAATCGACACTCAGATGACAGGTGTAGTCTCCGACCGGGGCGCCTGCGGACGGGTATGCACACTAAACGACGCATGCCTGAGCTGAGCGCTGCTGATTCGTGGGCAAGCAACGAGATTCGAACGGCGAAGTGGCTCCGACTCATTCCTCAGGGAAAGCAGCCGTGCAGGACTAGCTAGCACTCACGCAGAGCGCCGTGATCCCATCTGGGCCTTTTGCCAGGGATCGTCGCCGCCCGTAAATGTTCGCAACACATGTCGATCCAGCGCGCCTCCAGAAGAAGACGAGGCGATGCTCTCTGGCGGCAACCCATCCGCGATATGTGTGCAGTATAGAAGCAGTCTTTCGGATATGAATGCGGGGAAGGGGGTGTGGACTCTCATTCCGCGTTCGTGTCTAGAGCAAACTACTCGATGAACACATTAGATTATCCGGGTTCTATCACCTAAAGCCGGGGCGTCATCAGACAGGCACCTATCTCCTTGCACGTTCATCATCCCCCTCGTGCTGCGGACCCTACGAAGACAGGGACCCTCGCGGGAGCCGGTATCTGATCAGCGCCATTGAGGTCCTCAAGCTGTGCCTGCTCCAGCTATAGGTATCGAAGATGAGCGTAGGTCACCCACAGACGCGGCGTAGATCCGCTCACCTTCTTCTCCGCGGCTGCCTTCACCGCGAAGTAGTCCACGTGCAGCCCGCACTCTGTCTTCTCCTTCTTGCCTGCCCACCGCCCCGCGCGCTCGCCCGTATCGCCCTCCAAGCTCCTCGCCGTGCTGTGCCAGTCCCCGACGCTCCGGTACCCCTGGTCGAGCAGCCTGTTCCGCGGGACGTTGTTCTCCTTCACGTACCAGTCAACGAAGGGGAACGTCCACGCGAACAGCGGGTTCAGCTTGAGAAGGCCCGTGCTGTCGACCTCCAGGGGCTGCAAGTTGGCGCGCTCCGCCCCCTGCGAGGCCCTGCGACCCGTAATCACAGCCTTAACACCGAGTTCGTCATACGCGCGCCGTGCAGGCTCGACCTTCGGTATCAGAGACGTTGTCACCTTCGCCGGCTGATATCGTATACTTTACACATACCTTGACTAGGTAGTCGTACAGCGTCTCGTCCCGTTCCCACAAACCCTGCCCGTGCTTCTTCTCGAATTCCGCGGCGGTGTCGCAGCCTTCCGGCCTGTACACATGCACAGGGGTGCCGTACCGCCTCCGGACCTCCTCGACGAGCTCAAGCGTTTCGGGGAAGTGGTAGAGCGTGTCGATGAAAATGAGGGGCGGAGGCCTTGACGTAATTTTCGACAGCATGTCGATCGCGACGAGCCCCGTCAGCCCGAACGCTGTCGTTTGGTACAGCCCGGGGACGTGCTCGACCGCCCATTTGAGGGTGTCCGAGGGTGTGAGCTCGCGCAGATGCGTGTTGATGCGATCGAGCTCATCCTTGGAGAGCGGAAGCCCCAGGGGCTTCGCAAATGTGTGCGCGGAGGATGATGCTTCTGTAGCCATTGCGTGATAGAAATACAGCAGGATCTAGCGATACAGATGGTTTCCGGGAGAATTAGAGTAATATCGAGTGGCCGAAGAAGTCATATCTGCTGAACAGGCTGGTCATCGTCTGGCACAATGTTCACACCTTGTTGACACCATCGCTCTCCGCGCTAAATGATAAAATTTACCAATCGCGTCGATCAGCTATTCGTCTACACCCTCAGAGCGTACAGTTCTCGATGCATATCGGATACCATGTACATGATACACCAGAACATCTGACGCATGTACTTGATCAGGCTCAAACTATGTGATGCTACAGTGTGGGACTTGCACACAATTCACGGAACTCATAGCAGACACCACGATGTTCAACTTGACGGTGGACACACGACATATGCATATAATGTAATGACATCAGCGAGATGTCATACAGGTAATGGATGGCCCAATCTTCTTTACCTACTGTTATGCGAAATGATGAGGTTACAATGGTTGGTATTGATTGTTTGACACCAGGCGTAACGATGATGAGGAGGCGATGCCATCAGGCCAACACATTTGCCATCAGCCGCCTCACCTCCGCCTGGGTGTCTGAACACAATGCCAATTTCAATATGCGCAGAAAATGGTAATGCGGGCATCAATGATATGTAGAGTCCGTGAGGGCCTCGATGCGATGTGCGTCTCAGATGTCGCAACACGAGATAGGCGTCCAGCGGACCACAAAACGCCTAGGGGCATCTCAATCAGACGTTGCAGGTCGGATGCTGAAGCGGATTCGTTTCTGCACGCAAGAACCGAAGCAGTCGCATCCGCCCACGAGACGTTTGACATGTCTTCTGCAACAAGAGACAAGACAGCGTCAGCCGCGTATCAACAATCAGAGATGGATGTACAGGGGGAAGAGACGGCTCCCCACGCAGGCAGAACCCTCGAGATGCTCGACATATGATATGAAGATCATGCCGATGTATCACCCCTTGGCAGGGAGCGACAGAAAACCAGTGCTCCGATTGCAAATTACACGCCATCATCCAACCTTGACGTCCCCGAAGCCTCGCGGTTACTGCCAGCAGGCAGAAACGCAGCGCAGGTGTTACGGGGGCAGTTGTCTAGCAGGTGCTGAGACTCGTCCTTGCACGCTGTCATCGAAGGGGTGGTGAATTGAATAAGGATATGTAGGGCTCACCAAAATCTAAGGGAAAGCTACTGCTACTATTGCAGTGAGGATGTGCGCCAAGCGTCGCAGCGCGACGCATGGATAACGGCAGCGAGGGACCTCAACTCGCGGAGATGGCAAGAATAGTGTCAAGTTTAGGTACAGACAGTACAAGCAAGAGAGAGTGAACGCGTTGAACTTTGAAGGCGGCATGTAAGCTTTGATTGGTCCATCGGTATATAGTGCGATGGGTGCTTGGTGGCACGAAAGGCGGCTGAGTATGCATTACATTTCACCACTCAGATGAATCCAGGAGGTTTCAATATCTTGAATCCGAGACGTTGCAAGACGTTAGACATCGACATAATGGAGTGGTGAGAGCTCGGTAAAAGTTCGAGTACATGAATACAAGCGCTCATGTCACGGAATGCCCAGAAAAGGATACGCAAGTTTGAGGATTCAGAAGGACTCTCCTAATCGTGGCTAGACCAGTCGCCACGCTCATATCATGAAAACCTGTTCGATACTCTGGTGTCTCGGTTGTGACCTTTCACAGCAAAACCAAACTATAGACCTCCCTCGCAAAAGTTACAGGTAGGTGGAATGGGTAACGGCGCTCGGCACCTCGAGGTTGACGCGCCTTCCCTCAGAGGTTCAAGTTCACGGCAGCTAGATATGTATAGTAATCCACGCCAATGTCTCAATATTCATCCGTTCATCGAGGTCTACTCCGTCGCGCTCTGCTTCCACTAGCAACGACAGCGATGGACTCTGCATCGCATGACGCAATGTCAGTATTACCTCCTTCAATCTAAAAAATAGTCATGGAGCCAGACAGGTATACAACGGGTTCCTTAAACTTTCCTTTGAACAGGACTATGCATAGTATATCGTCCATTACTGACCATGACGGCGAGAAGATGGGGGATCGTACCAGTTGTCTATCTCACAATAGCCATTCGGTAGCCTATTTCTGATCGGCCACCTGCCGTCTCTGCACCACGGCCGACACCTGCCCCGAGTTTCTTCCCCCACCTTTCCCCAAAGTATAATTTGCGAGAGGAGGTCTAAGTATCGTTATTGGTTTTGCTGGAACTAACACGACAAAACGTGCGCTAATTGGGAGCTAGCCTCCTCTTTGTTAGGCTGCAGACATCATAATGCTTGCTATACGCGGGAGCAGGCTACCACAGTTCATTCTCAAAAGAATACTGTTTTTGTGTCTACGTTGTAGCGATCTTCCCAATTTCCTTGTCAATGCTGGTGAGTCGCCTCAAATTGGGCTAACCCCTCAGTGATCGGCCATTGAGCGCTTTTGACCACACACGCTCCCAGAATCTATACCTCTGACCTCAGGGTTCAGGCCTAGAACACCAGGGCATGGCTGAAAATTGTCGCCCGTTACCTGGCCCCGGCGTGTGGTCAGATTCTGTGGATTCGTCAGCGAGAGCGAGATGTCATCCGAGTAGGGTTTTGGGTTTGTGGAAAGTTCAGATGATTCAGAGTATCCATGTCGTGACGTTTATCGGATCTTCAACCGCATTCTCACTGCGGCCTAGCCTCAGGTATCATTCTTAGCTCCGCAATATGCCCGAGGAATGGTTGGCGGCTCCACCTCTAGAGTTTTCGACCCACCGCGCTATTTATGAATATAATGGGAGAGCGAATAGCGCACAAGCTCAGGTTCATCCGCAGTACGAGAATCAGATCGTCCGCCTGTACCTGCTTCGGAGATAATAGGTTTGACCACACAGGCCTCGGAATCCACAACCCTAATAGTCGGTCGCTCCCATGTCCGACTCTTCTCATGCTTCTTACTCCTGTTGTGGTAGAGAAGCGACACACCCGTGCAGTAGGTATGATATATCCCGTTTAATCATCACCTTAACTCGTATTAATGCAGATGCAGCGATACGTATTTAATATCCGGAAACTGGGTTCGAAGCTCAGGATATCGTTGATCGAAGGTCCCTGGTTGGCTGATGAGCACTGCAAATGCCTTTCTATTCACCGCAATGTCCGGAGGTTAGGACAGATGTCATACTCAATACCATATTCGATGGATATCTACGCAGCGAACACCGTCTTTTACCCGCAGTATCGCAACAATCAAAGCCATTGATCACACGACACGGGTTACACATTGATTGAAATCTTACACTATCGTACATGACGTACAGCTATTTTCTACCTATGCGCTCTCCACAAGAGGTAATGTCAACGACAACATGAGAACAGGGAGAAGGAAGGTATATGCTGTTTTTCTAATTGTGAAAGTATCAGAATTGGGTCTGGGAACGGATAGCGTGAAAGAGAGGAAATAGGGATATCACCGAAGGAACCTCGTTCCTAATGAACGCAGGCGTAGGTAGCGTCCATCTCGCATAACATTTACATCTAAAATCAATGTCCTGCACTCATCGCCTGGGACCCATAAGTAACTTCACCTTCTCGAAATTATCCTGGCCTGCACTACTGCGTGCCAAACCCCTGAACATATACTTATCCAGCAAGTAGTCAACCCGCCGCACGCCTTGGCTCTTCTCGAATGCTTCGACCGACCCATAAGTCTTGCAGCGGCGAGTGTAGGCGCGTGCCACCGCAGTTTCCTCCGCTTGCGAGAGACGTGCCCAGTCCACATGGGAAATCTGGCGCTGCAGCGAGCGGTGAATCGCGATGAGGACGTCGCCGACGGTGATGGGCGCATCCTTGTGAGAGTTGGAAGGGATCGAAAGGAAAAGAGTTCGCTCTTGCTCCTTCGCCTCGAGCTCAATGGGCCATTGCGGGATAATGTCGCATGATATTTTCATACGCCTGCATGGAGGGTACGTGGCCTGCTGCCCAAGCTCATCGAGTGAAAGAGTGGGCCCGCTCGATGCACCGGCGGAAGTCAGACGCATGGGCTGGAACGTGTGTACGGAGACATCGAATAGGAGTGCGGGACCATCACGCCCTTCGCCATTAAGCATCGGGTGCAGCTGTGGTGAAGGTGCTGGTTGTGGTTGTGGTTGTGGTTGTTGATACATATAGGGCGGGGCGACGAACGCGGGGTATGTGCCCCAGGGATACCAAGCAGGCTGAGGCAGATTACCGTCGGAACGCCGCCGCTGATGCGTCATGTGTTGGGGAGGACCAAGGGGGACCATAGGCGGCAGCGGCGTGACCAGCATTGGAGGGGATGGGAAAGGTGCCGGATTCGGAGGTGGTGCCATGCCAGGCATGCCAGCATACCATGATGGCGGTCTCCTGTCTTGTGCTGGCCGTACGGGTTCGTCATCCCAGTGCACTCGACGTCGTGGTGGTTCTGGTGAAGGGGGGAGTGGTGGCGGAGGGATGAATGGTGAGACGTGCGGCGACTGATAATAAGGGTAGAGATAAGGGGTTGCGTAGTAGAAAGGATAGTTGGATGCCATCGTCTGTAGTATGTGGATGTGGGTTGGGCTTGGGAGAATAGGAAGGAGGCTCTCCAGCGCACCTTAAATATCCGAAAACGACACCAGAGCTCCGGCACCGAGAGGAACGGGCTGAGTCTACTTGGAGCAAGCAGGTACTGCTTTCGGAGAGAGCGACGGGCGGTGCTATGATGGCGGGTCAGCGGTGACGATCCTGGAGGAGGTGCAGTAAGTCGTCGCACAGCACCCGCAATGTGTCAACGCTTTATGTTAGCAGCGGTTGTCAGCGCTGTGGATAGATTCTCAGCCACCGAAAGAGCTTGACCACTCCGCCCGCGCCAATCACGTTGTTGCGACTGATGTGAATATCACGCACCATGTCGGATTGACTACTAATAGTCAGCCTGCGCTCCTACAGGTGCATGATGTACGGTGTGGATTCTCAACTACGGCAAGACCTACTCACAGGTGCCAGTCACGGTGACTCGCTCAGTGGTAAGGCGAACACAGCCGCTCTGGGCACAGGCGCCCAACTCGGTTGCTGGACCACGTGGCTGTGCACGACGGCGCGCCGCCAATGCAGAGCTTACGCGTGTAGGTTGAAAGGTACTGTGACTGAAGGCTGCCAAATACTCACCTTAACGCAATTCAGTGACATAAGGACGGACATACGTGTCACCGGGGGAAAACGACCTGCAACGCCGAACGCTGGGAACCACGGGTGTCACTTGTAAGTTCACAGTGTCGGTAGGTATCGGGAGCGAAATGTCTCGAAGATACCAGTGGCTCCCCAGGGGCCGTCCGGAGCTGGCCATGTTCTGGCAAAGCATGGTGCACTATCCCAGGTCCTGTGTCAAGGGGACTCACCGTATATGGCTACACGGTCTCCATTGCACAGAAGGACCTTCTGTCGAATACAAAATACAAGTGAGTGACTCTACGGCATACACCGAAGATGGGGTTATGTGTTGTATGGCGGGATCTCCACGTTTAGGACCTGCCCGTTCTGGGCAGAATTAAGAGCGGTGATGGTTTGCTAAACACCCGGAGACGTCTGGGAGAGTGTCGACTAAACGTCTCAGGTGTTCAAGCCTTGTACCACAGATACGAGTAGGGGAGAGTGAGATCCGAGTGAGCGTCATTGATCGAGAACCCTGGTTATTCACCTCTGCCCACGGAGGATCGGTAGGAGTAAGAGCGCATGCGGACTGCTGATAGATCACTATCTGGTCGGCCCACAATTTCTGGGTAAACCAATTTTGATCGAAGCTTGAGCGTCCGCTTTGCCAACGACATCTCACGGCGCCTCTGGATCGCGGTGCTCTCACTTGCTGACTCGGGAACAATAACACAGCAGGAAAACAACATACTATACAAGGATTAAGAGATGCATACATGTCCGTCTGTGATCGTCTGGCGGCGACCGATTCTCAGCTCGGCTATGCGGTGTATAGCCTTGATGCGCTGTGGGCACTCCGCATGACTGCTGGCAGCTCAGAGGCCTCCAAATGCGATGAACTTGACATTCATGTACTCCTCAATGCCGTGGCTTCCTTCGCGCCCTGTGCACGACGAAAGAGGCAGGTTAGCGATGTTCAAAAGCACGACATAGCAGGGTATGGTGACCCGCCGCGCTGTCCCCTGGGTCCCCCCTTTGCCAGAAGATTCTCAGGATGTGTGAGTCATGGCAGTAAAGGGTAAATATACCGTAGCAGCCAAGAAGGGCAGGTCCTCATCTTTCCTGAGAATTCGTCCAGCTGCGCTCACGCTTCAACTGTGGTCCGTTTGCATCGAGCGTGAGCCGCAGTCGCTGAGGTAGAAGGCCTGGAAAGCCCTCTGCCCTGACTGTCGTCTGCGCTTTGCACCAGGCGAGCGCAGAAATATACAACGTGCACGCCTTAGGACGGCTCCTGTGACATTTCAACTGGACCACAAGGCGCGCATACAAGCAGTGAAGCACTGCCTAATAACTGGTCGGAGCATGAGAAGGACGAGGCACAGGTCAATCAGGAAGCTGCGGCACAACTTGTATGACATAGGTGGAAAGCGTCTCGCCCACTGGACGAGTAGAGACCCGCCCGGGTCCCGTGGTTTCATAGAATACATGGAATGTATCGACATTCCAAGCCGCGCGGCGTCACACAGCGGCATGATCGAATTTGTAGGGAGGTACAGCAAGGAGCACTCACCGAGTCCACTTTCCTTCACGCCTCCGAACGGGATTACTGCCTGACTGATAAGTCCAGTGTTGGTCCCGACCATGCCGACCTCCAGCGCCTCAGCAACTCGCCAGACCTTCCCAACGTCTCTCGTGTAGAAGTAGCCCGCGAGGCCCACTGACGTGTTATTCGCCAAGGCAATAACCTGCTCCTCCGTCTCAAAACGTGTCAGTGCGGCAAGAGGCCCGAACGTCTCCTCGGTATGCACAAGCGCGTCGGGCGGAACTTCAGAAAGGACGGTGGGCTGGAAGAATGAGCCCTTGCCAGGGACGCGACTGCCGCCCATTACCAATTGGGCGCCGCGGGCGAGAGCATCATCGACATGTCGCTGGATCTTGGCCAGGGCCTTCTGGTGAATCAAGGGGCCGTGCGTCCTGAGAAATCGGTGAGTTACAGCACAATCCAGTGCACTTGCCCAGACACATACGTATCGCCGTCGAGACCGTTTCCGACCTTGAACGCAGCGACCTTTTCAGCAAGGCGGGATGCAAAGTCCGCGTAGACAGAATCCTGCACATAGAATCGGTTCGCGCAGACACACGTCTGCCCACTTTGTCGAAACTTGCATGCGATAGCACCTATGGGACATTCGGTGAGTATCGGACTGTGCGAAACACGAACATCCATACCTTCTACGGCAGCATCGATGTCTGCATCGTCGAAGACGATGAATGGTGCATTACCGCCTGCCTCAATGGAAACCCTGTATGAGTATCAAAATATTGAGTACGTCTATTTGTTCCTCAATGGTAACTAGAGGTCTCACTTCTTCAGGGTAGATGCTGCCATCATGTACAGAGCCTTTGCGACCGGCGTGCTTCCAGTGAACGTTACCTTCTTGACAAGAGGGTTTTCGCACATTTCCCGACCAACTTCGTGTACGTTCGCCTGCGTGGTCACAACATTGATTACACCAGAGGGGATACCTGCTCGATTTGCCAGCTGATATTTGACTCATCAGGGCGACATATTTCCAGATTGCCCACATCGCTTTGCAGGGAAAGTCGATGTGCGATTCGTAGGCAGTATTCACGTACCTCGACCAGAGCCAAGGCGGAAAACGGAGTTTCGGGAGGGGGCTTGATCACTGCAGTGCAACCTGCGGCAAGAGCAGCACCCAACTTGCGCGTGATCATGGCTGAAGGAAAGTTCCACGGTGTCAGGATTGAGCTAAAGACAACGTCAGGCGTTCCTCAGTGAAGTATGTGTACACAATAAACATACACAACGCCTGTGACGATATACAGCCGACATGAGCATGAGCATCTGTGCCTGAGCTGAACGAAAACTCTGTCGCACCAATGGGTTGTTTGACGACTACATTGCGAATGTGTGGAAAAGGCGAAGGTATGACCTCTGCGAATCACACGAGTGAGGCATATTGTGGTTTGCAAATTGGAGAAATATACTCGTACCTCCATATGTGCGGACAGCCTCCTCGGCTAGTGACGAATTTAGAAGATACGAGGGCTGAGACTGAGAATGTAAGCTCACCAAACCACTATAGTTTCGTAAAAACACGTTAGCTACATGCTATGTAATGTATTGAATCTCACAGACCTCAAGGAACGAGGCTGCATAGGCATTTTCGCCCTGCATGCAAGCTGCTTCAGACGTGATCCCGTATTTATGAGTTGCACAGATTGACCTTGGCTTCCACTAGTGGTTTCCCATTCTCTAGCGTCTGCGATGAAGACGAGCGTCAGAATGACGTTGTACAGGATACGCTTCACGTACAATGATCCGCGCCAAATCGTCTTGGTGTTCCTGCATAAGCGCGTAAAACTTCATGAGGAGGTCGTGTCGATGCTGTGAAGCGTTTCAATCAAATCACTGTGCACGAAGTAATAACAGATGACCATACCTTTGGCGTAGTCTTGCTCCAGGTTTTGAAGGCCTGGGACGCAGTTTCAATGGCCTGCTTAGTCTCCGCCAAGCCCATCTCAGGGACCGTCCCAAGCTCCTCCTCTGTCGCAGGGTCTACACATATAAGCTCAGCTCGGTGCGGTCATTCTCTCCACACAATATACATACTGAAGACCTTGATCTTCCCGCCGCCCTGCGCATCTACCCACTTGCCGTCAATGTAGCCTTGCGTACGAAGCAGTGATGCGTCCTTGAGACCAAGCTTTCCGTCGAAACAATCAACGACCATGCACTAGGGCTTGACAATGATACGTACAGCAGATGTGCTTGCCATCCTGTACACTGCGAACTGGTTCCGGGCGAGTAGCTTGTTCTTCAACGTCGCCGTTGTCGATGTCGCCGTAGCTCTCAAAGAGAGGGAGGCGATACGTGAGGCCATGATGACTGCTGTGTGATAAAGGGAAGATTAGTGGGTCCTAGGGAAGATTAGCAGGACCCACAGGGTGTCCGTGCTGGAGAGCCGGTCACTTCGTTCTCGCTGCCGCGCCGCGCCCTCATGACCTCACGATGAGCCCTAACCCTAGATTCAGAGTTGCATCACCCCAAGTCCGGAGCACCTCAAAACCAGGCAATCAACTACCAGTAGAAGACCAAGCATCGCATTGACTGGAATGCAAAAGCAATAGTAATGTAGTTGCTGTAACAGCAACGAAGGATAAATAGCGGCTCGGCTGTCGACTATCGCTTGCTCCCCGCATGAGTGTGCGCACCCCTTCCCTTCTTGCGACCTCCATGACTGTCGGCACCTGGCGCATCAAGGAATCCCCCAAGATCCAATGCATTCCTCGCCGCCTGATTGATGTGTTTAAACCTGTCTGGCCCTAGGTGGATTCCTCCGTAATATCGCGTCACAACCACAAGGACATTCTCGACCTCCTAGGGGAAAGTAAGCAAGGGTCCATCCGGCGGCAACGAGAAAGACGCTTACAAGAATCTGTAGCAAGTGCGCTAGACGTCCCCCGGCGGCGGTCTCGCCGTCATCATCATTGTCTGGCAGATGTGTCGACTAGATCAATATCGAGGAAGACCACGACCGCTCAGAGACAGATTAATACCTTGATGCAGATTGCTTCCCACTCGACACCGCCATGCATTGATTATTGGATGTGCTGCACGCGCTATCCTGCGGTCAGACATGAGATGCGCCAATATCACTGGAACCTGGACACTCGTCAGAACTTTTCATCAGTCTCGAAGGGTGATATTCACTCATACCTGCGATGGGTCCGTGATTTGACATGCGCGCCCGATGAAGACGCTTTTCCGGTCCACAATTGGTTCAGCTACCGTGAACTCGGTCCCCTCAGGCATCTCGACCTCCTCCTGAGGTACATCTTGGCGGCGCTCCTCCACTCGTCCCCCCTGCTCGTCACTCTGCTCCTGCGCCGGCTTTTCGTCCTCACGTACCAACTCTCCGACTCTGACTACGCTCATCCTCTCGCCGACCCACTCCACGCAGCGCTCCCTCGTCCATTCCACCCCATCAAAAACACACACGCCTCCTTCGATCCATTCTACTCCGTCACGCGAGATATATGTTCGCAGCACAGCACCGAAGAGGACAGAGTCAACACCAAAGGGGCCAACATAACGCGAGAGCAGCTGCAGTTGTGGTGGTGACGATGTGGGGTATGTAGGGGGAAGAGAGATCAAGAGCGTGAGTGGGTAGCTTGCAGAAGGATCAGACACCGGAGAGATGCTGAGCGGTGTATCTTCATTGCTGTTTGCACCCGCAATCGGATGCGCGAACTTACCTGACGGTCACTTCATACCTGATCGTTCCCTTCTCACTTCCATTCACGGGATGATCGTAGGTGCCCGAGCTCTGTGAGCCCGGCGACCGAGGACGCCAGAGCCTAACAGCATCATCACCGTATATTGACTGGAGCACTGGGACCGCAGTGTATGAGGCGCGCCTGCGAGGGACACCATGAAAGCCTGAGGCTGCGCGCACCACCTAGCTCCGCTGCGATAGGCTCGCGCTCTGGGTCGTCTGAGAGATGAGCGATGAGACACTCGAGAGATTCGAAGTGGGGAGACGGGGTACGAGAGGTCATGCCTCGAGTATAGATCTAGTGCGAGAGAGTAACTGGAGTATGAGATGAAGCAAGAAGCACTATTGCCGACGAGTTAGCAACATGTTTTAGAGGTAAACGAAGACCGGGAGGGGGTGGGCGCCCGGCAAGATCAATTGATCGAAGTAATTGTTGATCAATGTTTCATTGCTCTGCTTACTCCATCTCTATGCTGTATTATTTCTTCATGCACATAACATAGCAGATATAAAAGGCTATCACGAAACCCCCTGAAGGGATAGCCGCGGAGATCCAGGATCATTGATCGGTACTCAGCGACCCCCTCCCAGGTTGTCCTGCTGGGCTACTCGAAGGCCAGCGTTGGCCGCAGACGCCTGACCCTCAGATAGCAGCTCTCTATTACTGCTGAATTTTGCGTACACTCTTGCTAAAGGGTACAAACAATGGAAACAAATCAGCCCCGAATCCGTGTCGTTGTACGGCTGCCCTATGACCGCACCGAGGAGTCCCTCCCAGACCCACCTGTAGTGCGTACAATAACCGACAGTAAGCAGTAGAGCCACTCACCGCCATACTGGAAAGTCTAGGTAGAATGGAATCAAGAGAAAGAGAGTCTGCTTTGGTCAGTTATTACACTGTCCCGCGAGCGTGGCACAGACGCAGACTGTGAGTACTCACCGTCTCCGCTCATCATAACATACTTATTGCATTCAGGGAGAAGTCTCGCTACGCATCTCAGCGTGCCCCTTCCGTATCTGCTCTACCGTGCACAGACCCGCTATGAGGAAGGCATCCGCGGTCTCCAGGGCATCCGTGGCGCACTGTCTCCTCCAGCGCCCAGTACCAATACTACTGCGTTTCCCTCACATCCTGCTACCAGCCCTACATCGGCGCATCCGCCACACACGAATGAATACTTCCCTCGGCTGTCTGAGGTAGCTGCGCGCCGGCTGTCTAATTCACCCGCATCTCCTAACCGCCCGCTCGGCGTTCGTGCGCGTCTCAGCTCATTGGGACAGAGTCAGCGGACGAGGCGTGGATCCGTGGTGCGCAATGTGAGCTTACGGATGAACCCGAGTGGGAGTGAGAACGGTAACACGCTTCCGAACGGATTGTCCGGCCCCCGCACCACGAAGCGAGCTTCATCATCCTCGGTTCTGACTTTGCAAGAGCCAAGGACAAGCCGCGGGACGCCTCCTCGTCCACTGTCACCCACGTCATCGCATGCAGCGTCAGAGGCCGAGGCCGATCACGCTAATGGGCGTGTAGGGGACGACGAAGACAGCGAGGACAGCGATGAAGATGAAGATGCGAAGCGGGAAGAGGAGGAGGATCAACGGGCGGAACAGCAACAAACGCTGGAACGCAAGCTGCGCGAGTTGGAACTGATGATGTCGAAGGATGCTCTAGGGCTTGTCGCCTCTCCCAAGAAGGAGAACCTATCTCAACTGAGACGGGGACGACCGCGACCCCTTTCAACGTCCACCGCTTCGCTTTCTAGTGCTCATCCCAGCACGTCTCGGAGTCAACAGAGCCTATCCAGTCTCAGTTCACGCTCTCCGCATGGTTCCATCCCGTCGATACCCTCGTCTCCTCCACATACTCAACACGTGCATCATTGGCGTTCGCATCCAGATTCTCGCACGCAACAGCCTCATGCCCGCGAGGAGTCAGAATCGTCTGGGCGATCCTCGCCGCGCCATGCTTCTCCGATTTCACGGCACTTTAGCCCATCTGGGAAGACAGGAAGTCCAGCATCAATTTCCCCGGGGGGTGCGCTGGGGCAAACACATGCAAAGGTTACGGCTGGTTTGTCTGGAAGAACAGGAGGTGCGGGTTGGCGGATGGACATCGGGACAAGCCCTAGAACAGGCGGGAGGGTAAGCGAGCAGGGCAGTGAGGCATCCAGCTTCAGCGACTTGAGTGGTGAGTGGGTTTCTTTCAGCGAATGGATTGAGGATCAATGGTGTACCCAGACGCAAGCGTCTCAGCTTCCGCTCTGGCGAGCGCCTTGGAATCGAATGTCAGAGCTGGAGGATCGCGATTGTGTGTGACAGCCGTCTTCATTGGGTTTGGCTTGATTACTGATCGACATTCTACTGCAGTTCATCGTTTACTCGCAGTAACCTGACCGGAAGACGCGGTGTAAGATAGCTGTCGCCATGTCATGGAACATAGAAACTCGTGTAGATGTATGTTTGGAAATCGCTTACCACGACGCAGCAGGTGTCGGCGAGACGCGTTGTCGCGCGACGCGTACATACACGTTAGTTTATTACGCAGCCTATGTAAACACCAGCACGTTCTGGCACATTCCCTTGGTCTGCATGCCTTTGTCATGGACTACGCAGTCTATCTTACGCGTTCCCCGCGCAGTCTGTACGCGCAAGCTCCTGCGAAACCGAATAAAGCGCGCTTTGTCCTCACTGTCGTTTTCAATAAGTACACCTTGACGCCAAGGCTTCCCTCTGCTCTATCTCTCGACTATACCTGCATCGTAGCAATAGTCTCCTGGATTTGACTCCGCGCATCATTTAGTTCGCTGAGCTGAATTTGATCTAAGCCTCGACCCGACGATCATCATCTCTGTCACCGAGCCTCGCCCGAATCACCTTTTGTCCCGCCACCCGAGCCCGATCGCTTTGCCTACTCGACTTTACCCTCAATTTTGCACACGACCTCTCACGACTTGAACACGACCAGCATGGAGTTAACCTTCGTCACTGACCTCGGGCAATCTTTTGTCATCGAGATTGATCCTAACATGGAGCTTGAGAGCGTCATGGCTCTGCTCGAGGCCGAGGTGCGCATCCTCGACGCCTTTCTTATTGTGGTTCGTTTGCTCACTGCACATCGCTCGGCGACTGCTTGCGTGTTCCGCTCATACAGTCAGGCATCTCTATCAATGAGCAAAGCATATCCTTCGAGGGTCGCGACCTCAGCAACCCTAACGCCACTATGGCGAGCCTTGGCTTGGGGAGCCACCCTATGCTTCTTCTCCGAAGAAAAGTCAGCGTCGCAGGAAGGTGCGTCCTATAATATGACATTGCCTTATGAGCACCTGTTCATTGTATATCCTGCACGTAGGACGGCCGAGCAGGATGCGGAAATGATGCGGCTTCAGATCCTCGGCGACCCCAACCTCATGGCACAACTGCGAGCGGTACGCCTCACTCCTTTCAAGTGGCCTACGTGTACTGACATCGAAACAGGTCGACCCTGCTCTCGTGGAAGCCGCGCAGTCCGATTCCGCTCGCTTTACTGAGCTGCTCCGCCAGACGCATGCTCGGCAGGCTCAGGCTGCCCGTGAGGTTGCGAACCTTGATTCGAACCCGTACGATATCGATGTGCAGCACCGCATTGAAGAAGCAATTCGACAGCAGGCTGTCATGGAGAACTTTGAGCGTGCGCTCGAGTACTCTCCTGAGGTATTTGGACGCGTTATAATGCTCTAGTGAGTGACTTCACGTCGTTCGTCTTCCTTTGTCTAATGTTGAGTAGCATCCCGGTAGAGGTGAACGGGCACCCGATCAAGGCATTCGTTGACAGTGGTGCCCAGCAGACAATCAGTATGTACGCCTAAATCCACACAGCCCACAGGATGCTCACGGATCCCTCATCTTGTCAGTGAGCCCGGAGTGCGCAGAAGCATGCGGGTTAGTATACTCACACAACGATGAGAAACTGTCCTGATTCTGATCTCTCGCTCATCCTCTAGCATTATGCGTCTCATAGATCGCCGGTTTAGCGGAGTCGCCCGGGGAGTAGGCACCGCCCGTATTCTAGGCCGCATACACAGCGCACCCCTAAAGCTCGCTGACCTCTTCCTTCCCTGTTCCTTTACCATCATGGAGGTAGGTCAATCACTCGTTTGCGAGGCAACACTCATTGACATGCTTCCGTTCGCAGGGTCGCGCCGTAGACCTACTCTTCGGCCTCGACATGCTCAAAGCACACCAGGCTTGCATCGACCTCGAGAAAAACGTCTTGCGCATTCAGGGTCGCGAGGTGAAATTCCTACCAGAGCATGAGCTGCCCAAGAACGCGCTCGATGGTGAGCTGGCTGAAGACGGCGAAACTATCACGTCGTCAGATGTTGCTGGCACGCCGGGGGCCACCACAAGCTCCGCTGGGCCAAGCCACTTCCCAGGGTCTGGCCATACTCTGGGGACTACACCTGTACCATTAGGTCAGAGAGCATCAGGGCCTCCGGCTCCAGCACCGACAAATCACTCGGAGGAAGCAATACAAGCCTTAATGGCCCTAGGCGCGTCGAGGGATGTGGCGATACAGAGCCTTACTGCGGCAGGCGGAAATCTTGACGTTGCTGCGTCATTACTGTTCTAGTGTAGTACGCTCGTGGACGCTTATGACTGAAGTCAAAATCTTGAATGTATAATATACAGTAGATGTACAATAAGGATCTGATACAAGGAGTTTGGGTATGCAAGCACGGACAGCAAAAGATAACTTGATGCGGAGGTATACATTGAAGAGAATAAGGATATTGCTTAGATGAGGCTGACAGTAGTCCTGACCAAGCCCCCTCGCCAGTTGCGCATGCCAGCAGACCGGCGCAATGCCCAGTCGGATTGCATGCGCGTGAATGCATCCTGAATGTGCTCTGGTTGCAGCGCTGTACGTGCCTCCGGTGGAGGCAAGAACAGCGAGCATGTCGGCAGGGGCGATTCCGTGTCACGATCGGGTGAGTCCTCGCGACGCATGCGCTTGGCGTCGGACCCCAGCGCAGAGTTTGCCTTGCGCTTACCCAAGAGGGGGGAAGTCGAGTGCACATCTTCGCGGAGATACGACTCTTCAAGCGATTTCTTGACTTCAAGGCCAGCGAGGGTTAGAGAACGGACCATCTCGAATGCGAGAAAGCCGACGATGTCAACAGTGTCGTCATTTGCCTTCAAATCGAGCGACGGAGGCAAATTAAGGAACTCCCTGAACCTCTTGGCTAGATTGAGAGAAGCATGATGAGTTTATGGTCAGCGTGAGTTGGGTGTCATAGAAAGTACCTTTGCGGTACGTGAAGGATGCCTGTCTACAGTCGGAATAGTGTTGATATTCTTCCCGCGTCATTTGTCTTGTCGCATCGTCGGCTTCCTGTGGCAGTATCAGTACCATCTGCAAAGCAGTCGGTCTGAACTCGCCTTCAGTCGCTGAATAGATGCTTCATGCGCTTCGATATCATCCTCGTCTTCTTCATCATCGGTCGGGAGTACGTCGGAGTATATGGTCATGATCTCCCAAGGCAGCTTGATGGTGATCTTTTGCGCCTTTGTGGTCAATTTGTCTGTTATTGCGTCCATGTGAGCGACAGCGACATGCAATAGCAGATGGAATACGTACCATCTGCACCGTCCTCAAGGGTTTCAACTTCGACGCCACCTCCGCCATCGCCTCCGGAGTCCTTAGCATGCTTCCGGACGTCCTTCCAAGAGAGGTAGGTCCGCAGACGATTGACCTTTCCCCGGTCGTGTCGGATGAGGAAAATCAGGTCCTCCGCTGAAAGATACCGCGCACCGCGGCGGGTTGCAAGCATGCGTGCCTGCACAATCTACGCGCGCTATTCATGCTAGACCGTCTGAGCACACCCACATGCGACTCACCAGCTCAATTAGCTGACTGCGCACAATATCCTCCACGAGATTGACTGTCTCTGGGTTCGGATCCTGCACCTCGCCAAAGACGAACATCATTTGCGAGATCTCCTGGGAGTACTTGTACTCCCGCCCGCTAGGCGCGTCCGTGAGCGATTTCTTCGGCGCAGACGCCATCTTCGCTGGTGGGGGAGGAGTGCCCGCGACGGTGGGGGTACTCTGCGTGTGTTCTGGCTTAGGGGTTGTTCCGACCTTAAATTGATGGTTCATAGCTTGAAATTGGTGAGAGGAGAGAGAAGCACGTGGCGAGGTGCCTCGATACCGCGTGATACATAACGCGTCGCGGGTGGCCGACGCGCCTCATAGTGTAAGGCAAATAAATCAGTGTAAATTACACCGTACTTTTTTACAGGTAATTTACAAGTAATTTACACTTTTTTACAGGGCTGTCTGAATAGAGGTGTAAATAATGTAAATAAGGGTGTGTCACGTGCTGGGTACCCACGTTCAGCCGCCAATTGGGCCAATGCCTTGCACCCCGGGCTATTATTTTGTCAACACTGCTTCAGTGCGCTACTCTTTGTATCTTTGTAGTCTACGTACTTATACACGGTCTCTGTAGATATCAACGGACTCTGCTCGAACGTAGTACAAGTTCTGACTCACCTTTTCGGACTTAGCCGCGCTGTCTCGGATCTAGCCGTAGGTACTTAGAATCTCTTAGAATGGTTCGAACACCTCTTGTATCTCTTTGTTGAGCCAACACCAGTATTCGGGCCTCTGCCCCTGTTGTTCGCGAACCTCTCTCATCATAACGGCTCACGCTCTTCATCTCGCCCATTACAATCGCCCCCATCATCTAGGGCTGGGAACTTGAAGCCACAGCGGCTGCATGGATATTTAGGAGGAGCTAGTAAATGTAAATGAGGCAGAAGACGGCAACTTGGCAAGGTGTTATGGGAGTTCAATTAGGATGTGTAGGTAGTCTGTAGCATATGCTAGATACTCTTTCTGCCCTTGCATGCGATATGAATGCTCCCTGGAGCTTTTTTTAACATATCTTTACATTTTTCTACCATTTTTTACTGTTTTTTACACACCGGAGGGTGTCACGTGCCGAAGCGCAAATAGTCCCGTGATTTATTGTAATTTACATTTTTTACCGTGTAAAAAACGGGGTCCCAAAACCTGGGTCTGTAAAAAACGGTAATTTACACACCGATGAATTATTTACCCTACACTAGCGCCTCATGAGCGCATCTTGCAAACGCGCCACAGTCAGACATCCTCGACTGCAGGTGGATTGCATAGCATAACCGACTATCATTACATGTCACCAAATTCCTACAACTTGGCCTTCTCTTTGGCATCCTCCTCCACAACCAAGTTCGCCAGGGTACCCACTCCTCCGCCGACATATGTCGTCATGTAGTCGCCACCCTTCAGGTAGAGCGGAGGTTTCTTGACGAAGCCTACACCCTTTGGTGTTCCCGTCAGGATCAGCGATCCGGGAAGGAGTGTCGTTCCCTGTGAGAGATAAGCAATTGTCTGCTTGACATTGAAGATTTGGTCGCTGTAGTTGTGACTGCACTGAGAAATGTATTGTTTAGGCATGTGAGACAACATACGAAGTGCTGCCATCTTGCAAAGTCTGGCCGTTTACGGTGGTCTTGAGAGGGAGACGCTGTGGATCGGGAATTGCGCTTGCAGCGACAATGCATGGGCCGAGCGGGTTCGTGTCATCTGCGAGCAGTGCCAGCGACATAAGCACATTGCTGAGCACCACTAGCTGACACACTAACCGAAGCTCTTTGAGAATCCCCATTGTCCACCACCAGCGGACATTTGCAGCTTGCGGAAAGACACCTATAGCATAGCCGCTATGGTCAGGTCGCTTTCGCTTGCAGAAGACCTGTATCAACTCACATCGTTAGCGCCTGTGTAGCCCAGCACGTAGTCCAGGGCCTCGGCCTCTGATACGTTCTTCGCTGCTTTGCCAATAACGATGACGAGTTCGACCTCGTAGTCGGGCAAGTGCTCTTGCACCGGGCGGGCAACTTTTGGGACAGTGACGATGGCCCCAGGGCCGATGAGCGATGTTATCGGCTTGTAGAAGATCACGGGCACCCTGTATGTGGTAAGGGCCGGGTCGCGGCGGAATCTGAAAGTAGGCTCACGAAGGCTTCTGTAGGTTCGCTTCGGCCTACGGAGGACTACGTGAGCAAGCAACCCCGGCCAAGGTTTGGGCACACTTACTGCATGGTCGGCGTAGTTTAAGCCGAGGCAGCGCACAATCCCACCAACTTCATGTCTCGCCAGAGGAGAGAGCAGCTCCTTGACGGTGAGGACGAGACTGGTTACCTGTGCGCCAGGGTCTGTTGCATTGCCCAAGATTTCGTAGGCCTTGACCGGCCTCCGTTGAGAGAAGGCCAGACCGACTGTCGTGTACCGTGTTCACCCGCCAGCTATTGTATAGATGCATACTACGTACCGTCCTGGTTGGGGTCAACGGGCTCACCGAGGTGAACCTGGTTGGTCTCCGCAGCGACAAACCGAATCAAGCGTTTCCATTGCTAGACCATCGTCAGACATGCGGACCCTCGTCCCATCGACACAACGTACTGTCTTCACGGGGGCCATGGTAGTGGTATTGGTAGTGGTGGTTGCAGACGAACCAAGCTCGGCCTCCGACAGCGGCCGATGAGAACGTAACGCAGGTGCATGACCAACGTGAACATACGCGCAAATACGGCGGAGCTCCGCAAGCACGGCACCGTGTCGTCGCGATCACTGATCGGGTACCGCGTCCCTCCCCTGTCACGTGCCACGCGCGTTGTCTCGACGCGTTGGAGTTGCTGTGCGTTACGTAATCGCCACTCTTGCGAGGCACGCCCGTGCCACTCCACCCGACGCGCTCAGAATAACGGCAACGAGGCACGCCCTGCTCATGAGTCATGATTCGACGAGCTTTCAGACCATGTCTACCATGAAGGGTGTCTTGCTGGACGCGCTGGACGAGGTGCGTCGCGCCATGGGCCGTCCTGTGCTCGTGGTTGTTCAACGGTGGCGCAGTTGGTTTCTGCGCGCACAAGCACGACGCGTATCGGCGAGATCCTCACGACGCTGGAACGTCTACTGGCAGAGGTGTGCACGCCGAATGCCGACCCTGCGGCCGCGGAACGACTGCAGATCTTCATCAGGTTACAGGATACCTTCGAGTGCAACGGTGCGTCCATGTTCGACCGTGCTCCTCTGCGATTAGGTTGAACTCACAGCTCGTCGCGACTGCTTCCCCAGTACCATCGCGTCTGCTATCGTGGATGTCTCTCGTGACGACACGTCTGGAGTACATCACCAGCAAGTCATCCTCAGATCGTGAGTCCGCGATTGCCCAAGATCGCCCGCCAGAACGGACCTCATGTCCGCCGCTCATTCGTTCAAGATGAAAGAAAGAGCGAAATCATCACCCTCTCGACTCAGCTCCTTCAAACGCTTTCGATCATCCAAGGTGTAGTGCTCACGCACAAAGGTAGTAAGCGCTATCTGGGTCGTCGATATGCGCTAGAGGTGAGTAGTTTGCTTTCACGAAGCACACGGATACTTATCCATGCCACGCAGACTCTATTAGATTTATTACTGACATCACGGCATGTTTCTCCCGTACCTTTGACTACGGTGACGAACTCGATGTCCCCGCCGACGTCTCCTAAGTCCGGTGAGAACGGTTCTCGAAGTTCCAGCGAAAATGTCTCGACGATATCACTGGCCTCGATCGTACTGGATACTCTGCTCTGTGTGCTCGTAGACTCATCTCCGGCGCTTCGCGTATTCGAGGACCTCAAAGGTGTGCAGCTAGTCGTCAGAATTCTCAAGAGAGCGGGCACACCGCGCGAAGTACGGTAAGCTTTTTCGACGCAATATATGTGCATTCTGCGGGGGTACTCACCATGTTGTTATTTGGTCAGGATGAAATGCCTAGAGTTCCTATATTTCTATCTTCTCGATGAAACCACGTCGTTGTCCTCTGGCACTTCTGCACACGAACAGGACGCATCTGCTGGCCCGGATGCCCATATACCTTCAAGCGGAGACATCAGACCCTCTCATCAATCTATTCCGTCGACTTCAAGCACAAGCTCTAGAGGTTCATCTGGATCTAGCTACTCATCCATATTCTCGTCTGCTTCCGCAGTGTCTACCTCGGCAACCTCGGTCTCCTCTACGTCACGTTTATCTGGAGAGTCCTCAGAACCCGAGAAGCCTGTCTCGAGGTCACCGCCTGCAGCATCGGAGACTCTAGCACCGGCTCTCGCACCATCCCCACGCATAGTCACACCACCTAACCAACGCGCCAAACCACGCTCCCTCCTCATGCTACAGAAGGAGGTGGATTACGTGCCACTCAGTCCCAAGAAGGCACAGGTGTCCCGCTTAGGCGTTGGCACGCCGCGTGCGGGAAGTGCCTTACGGCCGAAGCTGAAGTCGCGCGGTCCTGTCGACGTGCTGTCATCGGAAGACACCGACCTCGAAGGCGCCCCTCGGACGCCCCGCTCCGGGGGCTCGTCATACTCGTCCCATTCTCGCGGCTTTTCGGTCTCCTCGCAGAGCGATGCGTCGTCGCTGCTGAGCTCTCCCGAGGCTGAGAAGACGCCTCTCGCTGCTGTGCGCGACAGGCATAGGCGCTGGCAGAGCAGCGCGGACATTATGAGCGTGGTGAACACACCGGTCCAGACGGCGGCAACGCGTGCGATCTCTGCAGCGGCCTGTCTACAGACACCAGAGGGCAAACCTTACAGCGGGGCGCGGACGATGGAGGAAAAGAAGGAGATCCTGGGATCGATGCTGGGGAACGTGGAGGCCCTCGTCGAAGGTGTGCGAAAAGCGGGCATATGGGGTCTTGGATAGGCCTGTCCGCAGCAGAGAAGGCGAGAAGACAAGGCCCCGATGCCTGCGGTGCGGTAAGAATGGTTATTTATGTTCTGGAACGCTCTGCGAAGCGCGGACAAGATTCGCGGAGGTTGGGAAGTTCTCGTCGGTGCTTTTTTTGTTCATTCTGCAGTTGGTATCGGACTAGTTGTTTTCTGTTGTGTCGTGTTCTGCTATCGATGCTGTCTATTGCTATGCAACAGCTTTTTGTCGCTGCTCTTGTCGAGTCAAACAGTTGTTGTTCGTGCTTTTGTTTATGGGGATCGTTGTGGTGGACAAGCGGGTCGTGGTGCACACATGTGAGTCTTTGCTTGCGCTTGGGCCTGGTGACTTGACCGCACAGCACGGCAGCGGTGACGCGGTGACGGAGGGCTGCGTGGTCCGGGTCCTCGATCTCAGCGGTGATGGCCGAAAGAAGAAGCGAGAGGATTCCCACGTTTCCCCGCATAGGTCATTACATTGGATCATCGGTCTGGATCTCCATCGGGTCAGCTCCTGCAGTCGCACTCGCCTTGTCTGCCTTGTCGTCAAACAACGCGCGCGCAACCTGCAGGACAACGATGATGTGGACGGAATCCGCGCGGTCGCGACGACGAAGCGACGAAGCGGTGCCGGAATGCGGGTGTGCGAGGTAGGAAACGGCTCGAAGCGGCTCGAACGCGCCCAGTCACTCGACCGTTGTAATTCAGCGGAGCCTGTCTCCCACTCGTCACGCGAGCATGTCTCAGACTGGTGACGCCAATGGCGCGACCGACGGCGTATATAAACCCTGTCGCAGCCGCCCCTCCTCTCCACCACCGCTGCCTGCACATCATCGTAACCCATAGCCTAACTTGAGCCCACCTTGTCCTACCTAACCACTACCATACTCCATTGCCACCATGACCCGCACAGCGCGCGCTGCCTACCCCCGTGCTATCATCAAGGATCGCTCTGAGGCTAAGAACGCCATGAACAAGCGCATCCCCAAAAGTGGCGCTGGCGGGCACAACTGGGGCGACCTCCAGCACGAATACGACTACGTGGAAGCCGCTCTCCGCGACGAGGAAGCCGAGCTTCGCGACGATAACGGTATGCGGCTGCACCTCTCTTTGTGTGCGCACGGACGTAACGCTGATGCTCCATCCCAGTCGTCCGCCCTGTTGAGCCTCGTGAGCGCCCGTTGCTGGGCCAGCGCAGGACAAGCTCCCTCAGCGAGGAGGAGCTCGAGCAAGCCCGCGAGTTCAGAAAGAAAGCCATGAAGGGTGCCAGTGAGTAGACCGAAACCCAATCACTCGATTCTCCCGGCATTGATGCTGATCCTTCTGGCCCTGTAGATGTGGACCTAGCATCCATCGCTCGCACCTCTGCTGCGGTCTCGGTGTCACCCCCCAACAGGAGCATCCCCATCACCACCGATGCCGAGGTGAGAGCTTAACCGTTGCGTGTAGTCACACGAGCTCTCAGCTGACGTACCCCGCAGAGCGCCATCTCGGTCTAACTTATTTACTGCATTGTACATCATCATCACGGGCATAGAACGCGCATAGCAGAATCGGGGTTGCTTTGTATTGTATATATAGTAGCATGAGGTCGTCACGAGCCAATTTATACAACTCACAGTCTTTATGAATTGCTCGCATCGCCACCTTCGTTACCTCATGAGTGAATTGAAGAAGCACCTGTGTTATCGCGCACGGGGCATTCAATTTGAAACATACAGAGGCGGAAGGTTTGATGAGTGAGTGGTACTGTAGTAGCACGTCACTTAGTGTGGGTAAAGCTGCACCCTTGATCACTTTGGATCTATGTAATGTACTTACAGGGGAAAGGCTCAAAGGGATCCACATCGAGGGGATGATTGTACTTCCTGTAAGCGGGTCTGTGTTAGCATTAAGGCTGATTGTCGGTGTATGTCTTCCTGTTCTCTTGACTCTTTCAATTGTGTATGCATCGGGCCTTGGCCGTCATTAGAAGTCGAAGCATTGTTGAGTCGAGTTTTCATTTGGCATTCTATGATGAAGTGAGTATCTTGTATACTATTCTGCTTAATGTGAAATGCTGATAAGCGGACTCACGAGTGACCTACAAATACCGTCGGAATGGACGCACAGCTTCATTCGTCATCATCTCCCGGCACATACATAACGAACTTCTCTTCTTGTGGTTGCGGAACAGGCCTCTCCTTTGTAGGATACTGGTTCAGCCGCACTCGCTCAGCGGCCTGTGCGATAAGCAAGGAAGATGATTGATCACACTCACCCCACGCAACTTCAGCTTGTTCGCCTTGTCCATTCGGACAACGCTGTTCACACCGCTAGCGACACTCACCATCAGCCACGGCCCGCCCCACTCACGAGGATCACCTACTCTGTCAAGGTTTCCATGTCCACCGGCACCTTCTTGTCCCCGAACATCGCCGAGCGCAGGAGCGACTTCGGGTTCGAGCGCATGTACGCGAGCGTCCAGTCGGGCAGCACCCACGCCGCCGAGAGCAGCCCGTCCTTGCCCGTGTCGTCCTGCTCGCTCACAAAGTAGTATGCCACCACGGGCGCGTCGCCGCGCACAGGCGCGCCCTCCGCGTCCTTCCTCTCCGCCTGCAGCTTCTCCCGCGCCGCCTCCGCGGCCTTGCGCGTGCGCACGGGGGCGTCCCCAAGGGGAACCTTCGCGAACCCGGCGTAGTGCAGCGCGACCTGCGCGTTCGCGTCGTCATTCTCGCCGTTCATGGCGCGGCGCAGCGCGGCCATCATGTCCGCGGGCTGCGTCTTGCACTGCACCTTGATGGCGAAGCGGCCTGCGGCAGACGCGTCCGCGAGGAGCTCGAGCAGCTCGATGGAGATCATCCAGAAGTGCTCGACGATCTTGGGCACCGCAAGCGCGCGCTCGGCGAGCTTGAAGACGAGGTCGTTGACGCTGCCCTCGCCGCACTCGATTTTGTGCCCTGCTTTCCTGAAGCATAATTTGCATACTATTTTAGGTTATGGAGAAGATTGAATACATACCAGTGCGCCTTCTGGCATGCTTGTGAGCAGTATCTGGCCTGAAATATCGCCATAATGAGCCACAGATGTCACGGTAAATTACAGTCTGATGTCTCAGAACATACCTGTTTGCACCTCCCACACACCTTTATCTCGCTACGCGCCAGAGCCTTCCCGCATTGCGCATCGCAGTGCACTTCGAGATTATTCAAGTTTTCCTTGCGCTGCTGGCGCGACGGCAGCAAGCGGTTCGCCTCCGCGCGTATCTCGGGGCTGATAAACTCTATGAAGGGAACGCGGCCCGCGGGAGCGTTTTCCGCTGGGATTTCGTCACTCATCGCTGCTCAGTGGTTGAGTCGTTGGGACAAGCTGAACATTAGCGTTTAAAGCGGGCGCCACCATTGTGGCACCGCCTGGCCATGTGTGGCAACGCCGCCGATGATCGGCATAGATCAGCGATCTTGATGCGCCTTATAGTGCAGTTAGTAATGCCCCCTGCTAATCACTACAAGATAGGCTACTAGCCATGGCAGAGATGTCTTCCGGTAGCGAACTGACTCACTGAGAGACCTATATTGGATGAAATCCATCCAGTGAAATGTACGGTATTCGTGTACTTTTCACACGCAGAGCGCATGCGTTTTCATCCGGACAGTGGCATTTTCATCCAGCGAGAGTGCGAAATAAGAGTGTGAAATTCATCCGAAATTTCGAACAAAGTGCACCCCATTCATCCGGCGCTGGATTTTCTGGATTCATCCGGATAATGGGTGAAAACTCCATCGCGACGGATGAATTCCACCAGTAAGAACACGAGCAAAACCCTCGTCATAGCGGATGAATTTCAGCAGTAGTGAGAAACAAATGTTTCCAGCAAATAGCTGAGTAGATCGGCACTCGAGCCCAGGGTAGGATACATCAGTCAGAAAACATATATATCATCTATCAATACGCATATTACAGGGTTCTGTCATGCGAACATTCAATCACTATCTTATGCGTGAGCTTGAAGCCTCTATCCTTGCCATCTCAAACCGCATGCGCATGATGCCTAGCTTACAAGTCTTTCCCCTCCCTACGAGTGCTCTCGTGCTCGATCTCTTCATCCTCTTCAGTTGCCCAATCGCGCGCAAAGTGTTCAAGACAGGGCTGTGTGCCTGACATATTATTAGTGCCATTTCCTGCAATTGAGACATGTGCTTACCAGAAGCATGATGTGTCCGATATTTGTCTTATCATGTCGATACCGTGGTAGACTAAGGTGAGAGCTATTAGCAACAATGTTAATAGTGCATTTGTGTTGATCACTCAGAGATACTGTGAGTTCTGGTCAAGGTTCGGCAAGGAACCCACTACTCACCTGGATCGACTCAAACAGTCGGTTGTCACTCTCTAGTCCCATCTCCACCTGCAAGTCGAACTCGTTACCCGTGGAGAACTTTGTTCGCTAAACGATGTACCTTCGAGTCACCGAACTTTGGCTTTGAACACTGACACTGCACCTTTTTTTGCTCTTCGACAATGTTCACAAATGCGGAGACCCTAACATACTCCACTTCGCATGTTTCTTGCCGTGCATATGGCTACCAGGTCCAACATCCATTGCACCATAAGCGTGAGTCGTCGATATGACATGAGGAGAGATGTTGAGTGACGGGAGTCGACAAGTCCGGTTGCAAGAGAGGTGTGGTGCTGCGCGTTACCTCTTATGCTGACCAACCTGTTGGAGCATCCTTCATCCTAAATCCGGTAATTTGTTCGTCTCCCCTAGGCAGCCTACAATAGAGCGCCCTTTTTGATGGTCAGAGGATGGGCACTCTATTGTATATGTGGTGCAATGAGTTGAAGAGCGCATTTGTGTTCGCGGTCGATGGACACTCGCGCAGAAACGATCTGTACATTAGTAGCCATTAGCAGAATTGATGCAATGTATCAATTGTTTGCCTTCATCATTCTGCATGATGAAAACCCGCCGCTTTTCTGGTGAAATTCATCCGTCAGGAGGGCCGGGTGGATTTCATCCATTCACGGTGTCGACTGCGTTTCATCCGTTTTTCACACCCTTGCCGTGTGAAATCGGACATTCACACGGTAAACGGAGCGAATTCACGCGGAACTGGTCTCTCAGTGACTGAGCGTATAACGACGTGGAAGGCAACTTGGTACTAGATGTCGGTACTAATCAGGACGGCTGAGCCCTTCTTACATTCTAACAATGGACTAACTTTACATTTGTCACTGTTGTGTCCGGTCTCTGGGTGGTTTTATAACATTACCTTCCCGAAAGGATGTCTAAGAATCTTCGCAATAACCGGGACCTGCGGCTCAATTGCATAGAGAGGATTGAGATCCACTGTAAATTTGTGGCGCTATGAGTACATCTTGGGCAACGGGAGTATGATACACATTCAGTCGACTGACTAAGAGCAATTTCAGACAAATGAAAAGCAGTGGACTTTGAGCAGCATGTTGTACAGGTGCATCCGCACACAATTACCAAACAATCACGCCTCAGAGTGATAACTCGGCAGGATCGAGAGGAGCTTTTCCATGTACCAAAATGAGGTTGGCACGCCCACTTTGCCAGCAACGGACCCAGGCTTCGGCTCATCAGCAGACTTTTCGTCCATCCAATCGACACCGGACAGATCCTGACGCGCAAGCTGTGCCCACGTTGCCGAGAGGCCCATGCCCACAATCATCTTGTCCGCCACAGACGGGTCCAAAAGGACAGTGATCTCATCCTTGAACGGGTTGTGCGGCCTGCTCGCCCCGCTTGCGACCGTCGCGTCCTTGCTAACATCCTCAACGACAAGCCCGCGCGACGGCGGCAGAATCTCGGGCTTGAACACGTCTGTGTGCTGGGCAAGCGGCCCGCTCGCCCACGGCGCGAGGACCAGCCGTGCGAAGCGGCCCTCCAGCTCATCCTCGACCTTCTCGGCGCCGCTGCGCTTAGCTTTCTTCTTGGGCAGCTTGCTCCTGTCCGGGGCGGGCGTGACCGATAAAATGCGCCGCGTGGAACGCTCGACGACGCCGGCGGTGTGCGTCAGTGGGAGCACCGTAGGGCCTAGGAAGGCCATCAGCTGATTGGGCGTTGGCCCGTTGTCCCAGGTGCTTCCAGCGGTTTGCCAATCGCCGTCGTCGACGTCTATTGTAGTCCAGTCACCACCTTGGTCGTTGCTCCCGGTGTTACCCCAGCCATCACTGGCGGTGTTATCGGCACTACCCCAGCCACCTCCGTTTGAGCTCCAACCGCCGGTCTCAGACCCATTCACGTTCGCGTCGGCTGCTTGACGCTCTTTGTGCACCTCCTTCTCGAGATCCTTGATCTGCTCCCCCGTGATCACCTCTATGTTGTGAACGCCTACCATCTCCTTCAACAGTTCCTCTGGGTCTTTGGATTGTTCCGCGTCATCCAGCTTCTGCCTCTTAGCATCGCGTTCACCCGTGGGATCTTCTGCTTCCTCGCGCGGTTTAAACACACCAGGGTCTACGAGTACAGACATGTTACCGAAAAGAGCCTCGCAGCCGGCGCTGAAGTCGTCCGGGAGAGCTTTGCCTATGACAAACGTCGCGGGGAGTTCATTGCGGGCTAGCTCAGTAACTGAGAGGGCACGCCGTAGACCCTTTTCGTGCTCAGGCAAGATGCGGCTGCGGATGATAAAATTGATGAAGAATCCGATGAGAATAGGCGCGTCGCGGACGCGTTGCTCGGACCTGGAGTCTATTAAGATAGCGCAAGATGCTAGACGAGGACGGGCCTACCAGATCAGCCCTTTATCACGGAAGTACGAGGAGAGGAATATTTTGATGTTCTTCTCCGTATCGTCGAAGAATGCATCCATCCGCGAGTCCCTTTCTTCGCGAAAGTACTCCTTTCGCAGCTGCCGCTCCTCCTCCGAGAGGTCGGTCCTACGAGGAGGGTAGGATTGTTGTTGCCCTTCTATGACTTTCGCCTGTTCTTCATTGACCATGACCACTTGCCGCTCCTTCGGCTTTCCATTCACGTCCTCCTCTTCATCTTCGGACTCCTCTTCCATTGCTGTCTGCATCGCTTGCATTTGTTGCATGCGCTTGCGGCCAATGGACGGTTGGATGCTGCTTATGATGCCGATGTAGAGGCGGAACTGTAGGTCGACGTCTAGTTGAGTGACATGCATACGCGATGAAAGACAAAACGTACGGCATCCCAGAGCTGCGGTACACCAGAAGCGACAGCAGGCCACGATCGGTTTGCCTTGAACTCTTGCGACGCCTGATGCAGGCGGTCGACGCGCGAAATCGACCTGCAACGCGTCTCGTCAGTGGCTGTGGCGCCGCGCAACAACCGGCGATGAACACCCACTGGTCAATCGGGGCCGACGTACGCCTCATAAACTCGTCAGCCTCCCATTGCTCCCACCAGGTTAGCTTGCGCACGGAGCCGTCTGCACCGGTCTTCGTCTTGGGCGTGCGCCTCTTTTTCTGCTCCATCGCGGTGAGGTCGTGCTTTGCGAGTAGCTGAACAGTTGGGATCTTCTGGCTATCGAGCTCAACGTAGCCCGGCGGCGGGTCCGCGACGACAGTGATGCCTCCCGGCTGGAAAGACTTGAACGACTTTATTTTTACGCCCGGGGGTGGCGTCGGGAACGGAGGGAACTTGATCCAGGGGGCAGCATCGGCCGGGGTGTCGGTGGCGGCAGCGACTGCAGGCGCGGAGTCCACGGCCGGATTGCCTGTGGTGACGGTCACGTCTATGAGTGTAGACCCGAACGGTAGTATTTTTACGCCCGAGGGCGGCGGCGGGAACGGCGGGAACTTGACCGGGGTGCCAACCTGCGCGTTGGTGGCGGCAGCGCCTGCAGACGCGGAGTTCGCGCTCGGATTGTCGGTGGGGACGGTCGCGTCGATGGGTGTAGACATGGTGGTGTGCGATAGTGGTAAGGGTAGAGGACGAAGGCAAGGGGGATTATAAGGAGCGGCGAACTTCCTTTATGTATTAGGACGGGCAAGTACCGGCGGACGGGCTTCGAGATCTTGGACTCTTGTCGAGGATCTCGCAGCCTGTCCTCGTGTATGCTCCACGCTTGCCGGGCCACACAAAAGTGGGTCATGGTCAGTGCGCAGAGACTCACGATTCAGTACAGAAGGTCAAAGCTCAGAAGAAACAAGATAATTGTCGAGTCAAGTGAGGTGAAGGCAGATAGACGCTCAATTTGGAGTCGCCTTAAATTCAAAGAGGTCAATGTACTGAGTTATCATACGCAGTGGCGATTAATACACATGTAGGAAGCTCGTGCAAGCAGGAACAGTGTCTATTGTCAGAAGCATATTGGTAGATAATCATAAGATCAGATACTATACATTAATCAGCATCCGTGTGGTGCCAGCACGAGAATGGGATGCATGGCGGTATATATGGGTGGGTGTCGCGTTTTAGAGGTTCTATGAGGGTAAAAAAAACTGGGGGTTCGTCTCAGAGAACAGGAAGACTGAATAAATGCGCATCCACGCACCTCAAATATTCCAATTATCAACACTCGGATCGGCAGCAGCAATAGTGAATGACGACCAGAAGCGCACTACCGATACGTTCGGTCCGTCGGTGCTAACGTCGCGCGACGAACTGCGAGCGCACACAACCGAGACGCACCTCACTCCTCGAACTTCCTTCTCTTCTTCGGTTGCTCTTCCGCGTCGTCCTTTTTTGCGTCCGCGTGATCCTCATCTGCGCCCTTTGACTTCCTTGCTCTCGACTTTCCTTTGGTGGCCGAAGCAGGCGTGGATGCCGACACAGGCGGTCTCGTCCGGCTCTGCGAGCGCGTCCGTGGTCTGTTACGCCGCTCGCCGTCCTCGTCCGCTTCCTCGTCCGAGTCTTCAATGTATGCTTTGCTCTTCGGCTTACGTCCACGCCGCTTCGCTGCGGGGGTAGGCGCCGACGCGGATTTCACGCTTGCGGCCTCGTCTGCTTCACCGCCATTGCCCTCCTCTTGTTGAATCGCCTTCGCCTTGGGGAGCCGGCCCCTACGCTTCGGCGTCGCAGTCGCCTTGGCGCGTCCACGTCCGCGCGCACTTCCTGCCTGGCTCGCGCTCTCCTGCTCGCGATCGACGTCCATCTGCGAGTCCTCACTGCGCGTTTTGCCTTTGCCCCTTGCCTTGCCCTTCCCGTTGCTGGTTGCCTTGCCGACGATCTCGTCGATCCCGCTGTCCTCCTCGCCCTCGCTTCCGTCCTCTTCTGTCTCAGGCTCTTTTAGGTTCAGGCTGCGTCGCCGTTTACGGAGGGAGCTCCGCGGGAGCTGGTCACGGATACCGTGACAATTGAGGCGCAAGCAGGAGGTCAGCTTGTCGCGTTGGGGCGTAGAGTCGGCACGGAAGCGTGCACGCTTGATATCGGTCTATAATAATATACATTAATTTTGCACTGGAGATACAGACATCACCATACTGACCGTATGTTTGCCCTCGTAACACCATCCGTCGGGAGGGCCTTGATCACCGTCGCCTTCCGTGACTTTGCCACAGCAGCCCCAGATCGTCTCATATGTCGTCCCGGGGTCGCCAGCGGACCTGCCGCTCTTAGCACCCCGTCCGACACGCTCGACCTCGGCACTTTCGTCGTCATGGGGCACCAGGCAGCTGCGATCGTCGTTCTCAACGTCTACATAATCTTTATGGCAACGCACGCAATGCAGCTTCGGTGGCGGGGCTGCTTTAGCAAAGAACTCTGCGAGGGCAGGAAGGAGGGGCTCCGGTACGAGGGGAATGTGTGCTAGGGTGTACTCATGCAGGGTCTTGGCTGGTATCGCAGTGATGTGATTGACGAGGGAGCTAACTGTGGGCTCAGGGGGCGTGATGACTGGGTTGGGGGAAAGAAGGGGCGCAGACATGCTTGCGGTGGCTTGGCGCGTGGGGGAGTGCTGCCGGACTCGCCCCTCGACGGATAAGTTTGCCAGTCTGGAGGCCGGGGAGGGGGACTGAGGCGCGCCATGTATCGCAGATACACTGACAACTGACGGTGAGGGGGTTCGTAGCTGCGTCTGTTCCGGCTCTGAAGTGGGGAGCTTTGGAGGCGGCAGTTCTGTTGCAGGTAAAGATGGCGATGGCGGCGGCAGCACTGCCTCTGGCGGCGGCGGCGGGGCCCGCTTCTTTAGTAAGAAACCAAGCACCATGGTACACAGGTATGAGCAAGATGGAGAACAAGGGAAAGAAGGAAGGACTGTAGATTTACGCGATGAAGAGGATATGTATTCGATGCGTGGTAGACACGCCCTAACCGACCGATTTAACGGCGTGGGAACAAAAGGACGCGCTTTGACGCGTTGCGTCACAATGGGTCACAGTGTGTCACAATGCGGGTGATGCTTGAATTGTCACACTCCTCATACCCTGAGGCACAGTAAGGCACTCATGATAGCACAGACCGCGATTCTGAAGTTGGCCAGCAACTAGTAACAACTGTTGGCCCTTAGTGGATATCGGAAGCTCAAGTGTTCCCCGGTCGCCACCTGACAGCAGACCTGATGCACGGCTCGAGATCACCAGCGTCCAACGCGGAGCTGCTTGGTACGGCAATCTAGCATGCAGTCTATCTTGTTATCATCTCTCCTCGCTGCCCGCTAAGGCTAGAGCTTTCCCCCACCCCCCTTCCGGGTCTGATAAGTGCTTGGTGCCTGGGAATTCACCCCGCTCAAATACAGCGCTCTGGATCACCAGACATGCAGCGGGCCCGGTTTTCCCTGCCCGCCTTTGCTTGCTCGAGACTGAGTCTGCTGTGCTTGACGAGACATGTCGGCAAGACATGAGCTACCTATTTCTGCTGAGGATGTAGCCGTGGTAGATACAATCACCAAATCACACACCGGCGAGGTTCAGGTGGCGGTAGTGGCTCCGGACAGGAAGGATGAGCCGTTGGTTACTCGCAAGGTATGTTGCAAGACTATTGACAAATGTGAGAAGTGTAAACGGGTAAATGTAGGAATTATGGAGCTACTACAGTACGTAAGATTGACGGGCTGCACCTCTCCCGCTACTCACCGGTCGTGTACTTAAAGTGTACTACAACGGAGATAATGTGAGCTTGCATGACTACACGATTCTGCGTTCAGTGTTCATACTGACATGTTATCACAGGGCGTTGGTCCTAATGGTGCGTCACGCTTGCAATAGATGAAAAAGCGAGGGACATAATGCTAATCGCGCTTTGGCAGGCTATTCCATGACACTCTTTCAATCGCTCGCCACCTCCGCGGGGTATGATCCTGTCAAGGGCCCAGGCTCGTCCTGCACGGCTGCCGACGCGTCAGGGCAGTGCGTTCTCCCATGGGGGAATGGCACGAAGGCGGTCAGCTCCATCGTCCTTGTCTCGAGCGGCGTCAGCTTCGCTGTACGTTGCACTGCACGACCGGACTGCCTATGAAATGTGTCTTACCACGGAGCAGATCATGACAGCCATATTCACGACAATCGGCTCTGCAGCAGACTACGGCACCTTCGGACGTTGGTTGCTCTTCGTCATCACCGTCATATGTTGGGGCGCCCAGTTTGCCAGCATGTCTCTTACCTGTACGCAGATTATGTTTTGCGCTCTGTCCTTCTCCTGACATGGCAGTTCGTTGCAGCACCGTCCCGCTGGGGTGCAGCCATGGCGCTCTATATAATCGGTTTCGTCACCTACGGAGCAACGCTCGTTTTCTATGCCGCGGTTTTCCCTAGGCTCGCGCGCAACACCCCACACGCGCGTCGACTCCGTGAAAAGTATGAGAATGGCGAGATACCCGCCGAAGAGTACGAGCGTGAGGAGAGCCTTGAGAAGAACAGGATCAGCAACATCTCGACGGTATGTCATACTGGACAACGTATACGAATAAACGAGCGGTGCACTGATGCTGCAAGCTAGACACATAGTAACATTGGTTACATCGTCACCTTGTGCTTGAACTTGTCTCTGTTACTTCCTTTGCAAAACAATCCGCTAGTAGACAACTATACACTCGTGTTGTAAGTCTACACCACCGGATATCCCAGCAGAATGATCGAACTTAAGTTGCTTTTTATCTGCACAGAACTAACGCCTACTGGGTAATCACTGGCATTTGGTGGTGTACGTAGTGACCCCTCATGCGTGGTATGTGATATGCTAAGATGCTCGTTATAGTCATCTTTCAGGAACCTCGCCCAGGGCCTCCATTGCCAAAGGGCGAGCATTATATCACCGTCGGGTGGAAGCAGGTTCGTCCGCGATCTTTGTGATCTCTTGCCGAGCGGCACACCGACCATTTTTGCAGATCTGGATTGCTTTCAAGCAGTACAAGAAGCTCCCTTACACGTTTATCTACCTCGTGGCATTTTTCTTGCTTGCCGATGTATGCTCTCCATACATTGGTATCGTGCATGCGCGCTGATAGACCGTCCGTGTAGGGACTGAATACGACTGGGACGCTCATATCCATCTGCCAGAATGACAAGTTCTCGTTCTCATTCCTTCAGAACACCTATCTTGGGCTTGCTCAGGCGATCACTTCGACGGCGAGGTACGTTGCACCGTACTCTAATATGGTAGCGCTGTGATCATTGTCTCATCGCCTGTGAACGTCCAGCACTCTAGGATTCTGGTACATCCAGAGGTATTGGAAGATCAGCACAAAGAAGATGGTGAGTTTTTCGTTTATGGCAGTTATGCGCATCCTAATAACTGCTGCGTGCTATTACAGTTTGTGGTAACAAATGTCGTCACGATCTTCATTCCGCTCTGGGGCATGATCGGTATCTGGACGAATAGATTTGGGTGTGTAGCTGTCAGATCCGTGACTCTGCTTTATTCTGATATCTGAATGCTAGCTTCCACAATGTATGGGAGTTCTGGTAAGACATCGCGGTCCACTACGATTTGTGCATTCTGACGGCGGCGTCCAATTACAGGGCATACAATGTTGTGTTCGGGCTGTTCCAGGCCCCATACTACGCGTTCTCGCAGACGATGATGGCAGAGTTGACCCCTCCTGGTTTTGACAATATGGTATGTCTCTTTCCGTCGTCCCAAGCTAAAAAAGCATGACTGAATTCAGTCACCAGTTCTTCGGTCTCTTCGGGTTGTCCAACCGTGCATCGTCTATGATCGGACCCAACGTCATCCAAGCGATCATCAACAACACAGGCGATAACTGGAAGGGCTTCCCGTTTCTCTTCGCGCTGTGTACCGCGGCGAGTCTCGTTATCTGGTTCGGTACGTATCCATTTGCAGTGCCTTTCTAGCTCTGGAGTAGCGGAAATTGACTCGCCATCGGTGATAGGTGTGGACATTACTACTGGACGACGTGATGCCGTTGCATGGGCAGAGAAGCACCGGGCGTACGCCGAGACGGGAGTCTACACGGAGGAGGAAGACGAGTCCGTAGATGCCAAGGAGTACGGCAAGCGCGCATGAACCACACCGCGGCTAGATAACGATGCAACCACAGGCAATGTGTCACCTTACGATTTAAGGGATGGAACATGCAATCATAGACATACATTGCTTACAAACGCACTAAGGGTCATGATGAGAGAGCAATGTTCGAGCCTTTGGACAAATGCTATGGATTCACCTTGGATTCATCAGTATGAGACCCGGCCGTTGCCACAATCGGAGGGCTCCCATGGGGTGATTTGCTGAGGGACGCACGTATTCGTGGTCCATAGACCGGTGAAACGCTTGTGCATGCTAATCCACTGATTCATTACCTGTCGCACATTCTGTCCTTGAGAGTAGGTTGCAAGCTTCGCACAAATGAACAGCAAGAAGTAGCTGAGATTGAGATGACACATCTCAATCTCAGCTACCTCGTATCGTTTGACCACTTGAGTCATGTTAGGGTTGCTCAGATGATCTTGTATTGAACCGCAGCGCCTCTTGTCCATATGGAATGTCAAAGATACCTAAGAACTGTGGTTCGACGATCCTAAGTAGTCGATGGTACCATGCGGAAGGGAAACGCATACATCAGTCAAATGTGACTCACTTTTATGGCATATATTCCATTGGGCCGCAGCTATTAAAGGAGGGTGCTGCCGAGGACGATGCAGCAGTGGTAGCCAAATCACCATGTCTACCCTCCGAGTCATGAAGTTCGAGCGTCCTCATGAGTTCGCCAGGGCCATTGCCGACTACGATGATTACTCCATGAACTTCGCACTGGGATCCCTCTTGGACTACGGCGATAAATCGCAGGTCCTTTCACAGGCGCGATGGGGCGCTCCTATGGGGGCGCTATTGGCGGTATACAGGGAAGATGAGCTACTGTACGCGTGGTCCATTCTTTCGCCCCAATTTAGACAATCAATGGGGTAGACTCACAGATTAACCCTGACGAAGCATGCGAAGAACTTCTCTTGGGTGATGGCCTCACCGAGCCACGTTGATCCTTCGTTAGAAGGCGACGCGTCCGACATCGATGCAGCAGCGACTCTCATTGCCGAAACACTCCCGACTGTAGTCAACCCACACCTAATGGATAAAGTGCTGGGCCCTGAGAGGGCAGTAAATGCATTTATCGAGTCGTGGGTAGCCTTCATGGTGAAGCGAGGCGTCCAGCTGAAGACACCAGATCCGTATTTCCACTCTCGCGCGTGCTGTGCCACGCTATCGACCTTACCTCCATCTTCTATGGTCCACGATTACCCGGTATCGTTGGCAAGGCTCAGCGATGTGGACACCCTCATACCCTTGTTCGTCGAATTCTCAAGTCATGGGCCCAATCCGGTGTCACCCGAGACGGCGCGCAACATCATACGCGAAGGTGTAGAGGCGCGGAGATTATGGGCTTACCGCATCCGAGAGGGTCTAGCAGGGTACGTTCTCGTCGGACGGGAGACGCGGCGCACAATTGCCATCCGTAACGTCTTCGTTCTGTCACAGTACAGACGGAAGGGCATCGCAGAAGCCATGGTACGAACGGTGACTCGATATTACCTTGGTGCTGAGACTCCCAGTGAGATGGCACGGGCAGGAGAATCGGCAGTGATCGCCAAGCATGAGATATGTTTGAATGTAGGGGATCCAGCAGTAATGAGGATCTACAGTCGCTGCGGCTTCATGTTGGATAACAACGCGCGAAACCTCGATACTGAGAAGAGGGGATGGTTCGCAACGATCTGGAGGGGAGTCGAACCAATGTAGAGTTTCTTACGTACCCTCAGCAACATTGTTGCACATTAGAAGATGTTCATATAACATTAGCGCCCAGGAGAGCAAGCACAAGTGGCCAGTCCCACGTGCTCAATATCGATACTGCCGTTGGCCAAGACAGATCCAATACAGCAGAGTGCCGTTTCGTTTTCAGACAGCAAGACTAGGCTCGATTTCGCCCAGAAGCATAGTTGCGTCCTTACTGCCAGTCAAGACTAAACAAACATGATCAGTCGGGCGAGTGAAAGAAACCCGATTGCGACATACTAATGGGCTCCTTTGGATGGAAGTCAACCGACGTAACTGTTCCTTTGTGGCCGGGAAGCTAAGTACAAAGTTTATGAGCCCAACCAAGTCGCTCCAGCTTCAAGTGACTTACCTTGTAAAGGACCTTTCCACTCTCGACATCCCAGATGCATACTGTTCGATCCGCACCCCCTACAGCGACGCGCCGACCGTTGTCATCTTTACTCCATGCACCTCTCAAGAGTGTATTTTCGAAGCCGGCTGGTGCGCCCATGAGGACACGATGCACCCGAGCCGGCGATGGAGAGAAAGGCCGCACGTCGTGAATAATGGTTTGTGAGGAGAAAGAGGGGGAGAGCAAGAAGTTGCCGTTGGGAGAGAGGGAAAGCGAGGTAGGTGTATCAGTATGTCCTTGCAGGCTGTAGACCTGCTCATGTTTGCGCATATCCAACACCTACAGGAGATGTCAACATGTCAGCGTCAAGGATGTCATGACACTGGAACAACCTACGTGGATTTCATTATCGAGTGCGCCTGCAAATATACTGGAGCCATCTGCACTCCAACAGACTGATGTGACAGGGCACCCAATCTCGAACACACTGACTGGTGCTTTTGGTCCTTCCTCTCCACCTTCCCATACTCTCACTGTACCATCGTCCGCGCCAGTAGCCACGAGTTCGACTCCCGCGCCTCCCGCCAGTGTCCTGTCGAGCGAGTTGATGATGCCGCGGTGGGCACGCAGCTTCCGTAGGCGTTGACCTGTGGTGAGGTCTGTTACATTGAGAGTTTGGTCTGCGGAAACTGTGTATATCACAGAAGAGAAGAGGGACCACTGCAGGTCAAGGATAGGTGCTTTGTGCAGGTTAGGCAGGAGGCCATAGTTGTTGTTTGGCGAGTATGTCCGCCACAACGCTGAAAATCATCAGGATAAGTCATCTCTTAGAATAATAGAGGCAAGAGTACATACAAACGCTTCTGTCTGCTGAACATGCCGCAATGTTTTGCCCAGTAGGGTCGAACCTACAGCTCAGTATCTCTGCCTGAAAGCTCGTGTTAACAACGCTTGTGAACGACATGCACGCTCCAAAAGAGCACACACACCCCATGCGATCCCGCAAGATTAACTATTGGGGCCTCAAGGCTACTGGTGCGCTGAACGGTACGAATGAGTGCTTGTTGCCGTTCATCGTTGGATGATGAAATAGCTATTTGATTTGTTGGGGGCGTCGAAGAGCGCGTTCTCTTGATAAGGGCACCTTGGGGTGTAGGCGATGCACCTCGTTTCGACATACCGGCGCAGATGACGGAAGAAAAGGTCAAAGGTGGAATTGGGAGCAGGTCGACAGTACGCGAATTGGGAATGGGCGTCCTGGTCAAAGAGCCTATTGCCTTTTGAAGAACCAGCGCCAAGCCTATCCCGCCACCGTTTTGACAAGACGTGGATTATTACAAGACCCTGCATTCACTGTGAGACTAAAAATAAAGCTGTAGCGTAGGTTGCAACAAGAAGTAATATACAGGAAACATGAATACAGATATACATGAAGTACGAAGACGTGCGTAGTCTACAGATGGGGGTAGAAATTAGTAAATAAAGCAAGAATCACAAAAAGCTATCTGGAGCATCAAGGTATAAGGCCATGTTTTCGTAAGATCGCTCCCCACCTGATGATAGTAATCATGAATCAACTGCAAATGAGCAGCGAAAGACGAAAAACGCACTCTTCGTTCTGCATCTCCACCTCGATCAAGCGGCGTTTGAGTTTTCTAACAATCCATTAGTAAGGAGGCGAACGGGGATGAGTACGTTTACTCACGAATTCTCCAACGATAGGACATTTCTCTCCTGCTTGGTGTGGCTTAGATCACGGGTCAGCGCATCCCACCCCTCAGTGTCGGGGAGTTGAGCATCATTATACATGGTGTCCAATTCCTCGTTAAAAAGCTGGACCTAGCTCAGTACGCATCGACTACGCAGTTATCTGTCGACTCACCGTATACATCAGCTCCTTCTCATCATTGCTTTCCTTCACTGAGATATCCAAGGACTCGCACCGCTGCTTCACAGTTTCTAATTCATGTTTTATGCGCTCGATCTCTAGGGATTTCTGTGGAATATGTTGACACTCTAGATGGTGCATGGATATACATGAGCACCTACATCCTTGACCTGTGTCACAAACACTTCCAGGTTGTCTTGTAGACTGTCTTGGTTCTTCAGCGCTTTAATTAGGCAGTCGTCTACCTGGTCAGTGAGCTCCTCCAACGAACGCGTCACTTCGGTGGCCTTTGGAGGAGTTTCTGATAGCCGTGAAGCGGAAGGCGCGCTGCCAGCGGAACTGAACACGCTCTGACTGCGAGTGCGGCCGGTCCCATCGGCAGTGCGCTTTGCAATAAGGCGCTGCATCTCTTCCATACGAGCCTGAGCTTCCCTCGTCTTCATATCAAAGGCAATTAGTTCTGTGCGAGCATCATATGGGTCGAGCGCGTACTAATGGAGCAGTAGTCCGTGTAGGAGCACGAAGTCCCTTAAGTGGTGAGGCCGGGCGGAGTGGCGATAAAGGTCGGTCGAGATCCTCAGACGACCCCACGCTAGCCACGCCAGGAACGGCTGAACGCAACCTCTCTGCCTCCAGCCGTATGCGCTTGATTGCCCGACGCGAAGACTCGATCTGAGGAGAATGAATCAGTCTTGTAACGACGGGAGCGATGATTATGCCTACATCTTCTTTGGTAGATTCAACAGATCTAATTAGACGCAAAGCCTCCTCGTTCGTCGTAGGGTTGACCTGCAGCACGGGTATTCGCGAGGGGCGATTTTGTGCTGAGGATCTACGAGGGGATCCCTTCCCCTTCGGCGAGCCACGCGAGGAGGTGCCCGTCTTCTTCCCTTGTGTGGGCGAAGTGTTACCCGTCCGCAGCGACGTCTTCTTCACAATGGAGAGCGGTTCCACAATCCCTTGAAACATCGGTGCCTCCGCCTTCGGTGTAGAGTCGAGATTGCCCGTAGGGTCGAACGGCTGTCGTCTGCTTCGGGGTAGTGGCGTACGGGTGGGTGTGACGGGGGGCTGAGGCGTGTTGACCAAAGTGGGCTCAAGTATAAAGTCATCATCTGCATCACCGGAAGGTATTTCAGTGGACGGGAATACGTGCGGACTTCTCGAAGGAGGAAGTGGGGAGGGCGTGCGTGGGCCCATGGGCCGTCGCTCTGAGGAATTCCGAGAGAGCGAGCGAGTCCTACGAGCCGAATCCGGAGTAACTGGCCTCATTGGTGTTGTCGGCCTCGGAGTCGTCGAACGTTGACTCTGCACGTCGGGGAGTTCTGGCAACTGTCGGGACGCCCTCGAGAATGGGCGGTTGGTATTGGGAGGATCATCTACCAAGCAGGATGAACTAACCATCAACGGCTCAATCGTGTACACATACTTTCATAGATTGTATCCTCCAATGGAGTCTCAAGTACGAGCGGCGAGAATTGCTGTTCGCTTTGATTCTGGCTATTTCGGCGGGCTAGCTCCAGACGCATAGCCAAGTCGTGTTCCGAGTCGTCCATGACGACCCTGTGCGGCTCATAGTACTCGTTACTGTCCCTGTCCTCGTCGGTGGGTGTATCGGACGACGCGTTGGATAATGTCCTCACGCGGACAATCGGAGATAGTGCGAGGTTGCTTCGCCTGGGCGACGCATCCTGGTCGGTCCCAGATTCTCCGTCTTTGGGTGACTTGGCGCGCTTGATGAGCTTCTTCGCACGCGACAAGGAGCGCGACCGCCGGCTGTTCGCTGACATGTTGGCAGACTGATCGTCCATAACGGAGGTAGCTGTTGTAGTTGTCGAGTTGGTTCGCGAGAATCGCGAGAAGCTGTCGCCGGTCGTGTCCGTGTATATCGAGGAGCGGCTCACAGAAGGCGTAGTCCTCGTCCTCCTATGTCCGCTGGTCGAGCCGTTAATAAAATCACCCACTGCAGTCGCGGACCGGGCATGGAACAAGAGGTTGCGGGAAATTGCGTCCAAACCAAAAATCGCCGCTCTCGACTTGGTCGCTGTTGGGGTCGAAGGCATCGAGTTCTTCCCTGTGCGGAACTTGAACAGGCCATACTGGTGAACTACACGATATCAGCTAGAGCTTTATGTGAAGTGTACCAGACTACATACTTGTGTATACTATCCGGTCGGGTACACGAGCAGTTTGCACGATGTCTTCATCCTCGTCGTCACTCGGTTCGCTCGACGTGACTTTATAACGAGATAGTTCACCGGCCAAGGGCTGCACCCTAGCAATAACCAGCGGTGGGCCATTGTCACCAAAAGGAATGGGGTCAGCCGAACCTAAAGGGTCAATGTGCAGAACCGCCTTGGTCTGGGAAAACATATAAGCGCCGACTCATCAGACGCGCTCTTGGCCACTTGCCACACACCTTCTTTGCTTCTTGTAAGAACGCAGTCCTCGTGTACACGTTAAAGTAGGTTCTTGCGATCGTGATTTTTCCTGCACGATCCTCAACTTCGCGCTCTTCGCCACACAACACGACAGATTGTCCCTTCTTCGTTCTGTACCTGCCCTGGACACCCCACAGATTCTCGAGGAAGCGCGTTTTATCCGCCTCCGCTGCCGCGGAGTCATAAACGATGGGTGAAGGCGGATGCACAACCGACAATGTCCGGAAAGGTCGGCCTACCCAACGATGATCCTGATCTTGAGGAGGATCCTCTAGGTACAAGTGGAAATCTGGAACACCAAGGTCAGCCACACATTACGAATTTGTACCTATGACGTACTCGGGCCACCGACGTCGGTAGCAACGACGTCAGTCAGGTCAACCATACCCTTGCAGCTCATCCCGCTCTTCTTCTTATTAAGAGAAAATGGACCAGGTTTCGCCATTTTGTCCGGGTTGTCCAGACCTGCGAGCATGCGGCCGCCCTTCTCACTGGGCCGCCTCACTATCACGAGTTTGTCGTCGAACAAGAACAGAGTGCAGTGGAGGTTTCCTCCAGATTGCGCTGCCGAGCCTCCCCCAGAGAAGGTCGATGGCCCGTCAATAGGCACGTCTTCCACATCTATGCAGTCAATGAAGCGCCGCGCATGAGACACCAGGGCTGGGGGAAAGTCCTCAATACTTGCGCTGAGACAATACATAATCGCAGCACGCTTCGTTTGCTCGTCCTCCTCCGCTAGCGCTATTTTAGACGCGATCTCATCCGCCTCGGCCAATGCTGCACGTTGGGGTTCGTTTGGGGCCATGTGTTTCAGCATCGTACGGAACATGAGCGTGTAGCGCGGTATTCGCTGCACGGGCTCCATTAAAAGCTCGCGCAGACCGATGCGGTTCTTGGTGTCAGCCGAGGAATATTTGATACGCTGAGACAAGGCGTAAATGCACGAAGGTACACAGCATAACTTGCGACCCACATCGACAAACGCACTGAATCCTTGCGACTTCTTCATTTCCCTTTCGAAGATCGCCTGCGCTTCTGCCCTATTGGCATAATACTGCTTGTAATGCTCGAAGCCGCGCAACTTCTTAAAGTGTTTGAGCGCAACGTCTCCGATTCCGGGACCATTCGGTTGATCCATCTTCTCCAGGTCCTCGAGGAAGGCCTCGTTCACAGGCAAGATATTGTCAATGTTACCGAACAGGGTTTTAGCTGCATATGCAGGCAATATGGATGTATCCTTGCTTCGGGCAAATAGGCGCAGGGGATCCGCGTAATCGGCCTTGAGCGTCCTGAGGCGGCCCACGTATGTCCGTTCCGTGGACAGGAATTCCTTCGTGACATCTGCGAGGGCGGACGAGTTCGTCATGGCCCTACGGCGAGTTCCCTATGCGTGGTTGACTTCCCCTAATATTCTGCACAAGACGCAGTGAAACTCACTGTTGGCGACCCATCAGCATCTGAATTTGATGAAGACTGCGCAGCAGACTCTTCTTGTTCCGTGTCTGAATCGAGATCGAGGGGTTCGCCAAGCGAAGCTATGAGGTCTTGCACATCTGAGTGACCAGTGAGTGCGGTGTTCTCCTGCGATGTCTACTAGACCGTCAGGGTGGGATAGCAGGTGAGAATACACACCTGGCGGGATTGCTCGACCACCCTCCGAGCCTTCGACGACCACTCCGCAGAAGAAGACGCGTTTTGTGACGGTCGGCACGGCCGACCTTACCCTCGGTCGAGGGACCCAGTCATCGCCACTCGCGAGCGGGACCACCTTGCGCGGCGAGTGGCTGAGGGCCATGTCTGCGGAATAAATACGAAGGAGAGAGCCAGCAGGAGAAGGAATGGAAAGCAATGCAGGATCCAGAGTGCAAACCGAGAATAAAGGAAGACGAAAGCAGCGCTAGAGGGGAGAGGTGTGCGCCTCGAGGCCTGCGCGCCCACAGAAGCCAACATTCCTGCTTATCGTTTGTTTGGCCGTCGTGTCTTTCCATCGTCACGTGAACGCGTCGGGGAATGGGGAATCCTGCAGCGTCCACCGTAAGCAACACCGCCCGCGACGTCGTCTGCACAGCCTGGTCACAAGAGCAACAAGTCAAGATTACAGTGAGAGCCATGTCCGGCAGGGGGCGCCCGCATGCAAAGTCGTACGGCGCATGCTCAACGCATAAATGTAATCGAGGTTGGCACCATCAATTCGCAGGCATCAACTCGTACCAGATCGATCTCATTATTGGCACTAGAACGCAATCTACTACATAGTTTGACTGCTAGAACCTGCTACCGGGCTCTCTTCCACCTCATCTGCATCCACAACGTCCGCCGCGCTCGTCACTTTGCTTTTCTTCTTCTTGCTTGCTGTCGGCATAGGCAGCGCATGCGCTTTCTTAGTCTTCAGGATCTCCATGATTTCTAGTTAGCCAGGTGGATCAACGTTCGCTCGCCTATGAAATGCGGGGTAAGTTCGCACCTGTATGCGTCATTTCCTCGTGCCCCTTGATGCCCCGCTTCATGGTTAGCCAACGCCTCTGGAGGGAGTGTGCGCTCCAGAGGTTCCAATGTTCGTCCGGAAGCAGCTTCCAATCAATCTCGGAGTCATCGCGAACATTCAGAGAATCAACCCTGGGAGTCGGTGAGACACATGTCAAAACTATGCCGGAATTGCACGTACTTGTGAACTAGGATGTAAGCATCCGTCTGACCCCACCGCGGCCGTTCGCCCTGGTTCTTTATCTGTGTACTGATAGAATCCGTCCTGAGGAACCAATGAGCCATGACTCCTGCGGCAGCAGAGTATGCCCTTACCATTTAATGCGACACTGTTGCCGGCCACGTTTCCCGCCCATGCGCTGACTGACGACACCCCAGAATATATCGTTGTCGATATCCCCGCCTCTCTGGGCAATCTGCTCCGTTACTATGCGCGTCAACTCCTCTTCCTCTTCCTTAGTCCAAGCCCCTAATGAGCGGCTTTAATGCGTGCATGATCACACCGAATACCCTGTGAATGACGAGGCACATACCCGAACGTCGGTTGCCACGATCCTGCAAGTGGTTGCGCCATCTATCTCTGCAGTCCGAAGACATCCGGCCAACCCTTTGACTGACTTTCTCCCACTGCTGGCCCAGGTCAGCGACAGCTCTAAAGGCTTGATCAGATTGCGAGTTTGAGGCAGTTCATTGGCACTCACTGAATCAGGAGGTCATCCTCCGTCGGCATCCACTTCCCTTGTTGCCCCATAGGATGTCGCGTTCGACGAACATGATGGTACACAGCAATGATTGGTCGCAGGTGTAAGGATGACGCTACGGGGGGATAACTCGTTAGTCGATGACATGCATGGGAATGGGACGGTTACATACTGATCTCAGACCAGAACGTGTCACGGCCCCGTTCTCTCGAGAAGATAATCTCGTTGAGCTGTTCCTGCGAAAGGCCTCTCGACTGTAGGGATGTTACATGAGCCAAAGCAGGAAGGCAATCTTGGATTGTGAACACTAACCACACGGTAGTTTTCGACTGCTGTGTTCAGCTGGGCTTCTTCAATCGCCGAGAACTTGCCTTTCTTATATACCAGGCCTAATGGGTATCCGAACATGTCAGAAGGGTGCGTATACTAAAGAGTAGGTAGGGCGCACCTTCACTCTTGACCAACTCTGCTAGCTTTGTGGCGTTCATCCACACATTCGCCAGCATGTGTGCATGCTCTGGGTTGTCAGGTTCTGGGAGTGGCGGTGGTGGCGGGAGATTGGAGGGCGCAGGTTCAGCACCGGACTGCTCTGTCTCCTTCTGCCTAGGCGGCCGCCCGACTATGACATCCGACCTCACAGGCTGCTGGTTAACAGGTGGGGGACCAGGGGGGATGTGCGGCATATAAGGAGGCTGCCCGGTGACCGAGACGTTTGCTGCAGTCGCCGCCTCGCCCAGGGTCCGCAGGACGTTCATGACCCTCGAGAGGTCGAACTCCTGCAGCGTCCGCAGAAGATCCTCGCTCGACTGGAGGTTCAGGTCGGGCACGAGACCTGAGAGGTCGGGGAACATAGGATTCTGTGGGGGCGCGAACTGGTCGGGATGTGGCTGGGGGGCGTAGGGGTACGGCGCGAACTCCCCTGCAAAAGGCAGGAAGGAGGACACACTTTGGTCGAGATGCACGCCATGCTCAGGGTGGACATGCTGCCCAGAGGTGGCTGATGCTGCCGCGACAACAGCAGAGATAAAGTCCGCCGACGACGTCGGGTCGCCCGCAGGTGAATCGACAGGCTGGCTGGGCCGGGTTCCCTCCGCTTGGCTCCCCTGCTCCTGCTCCTTCTCCTTGTCTTTTCTCTTCTTCTTCTTCGATGCCCCTTGCTCCAAAGACGTGCTATCCGCCAAATTCATAGGAACATCCGACCCAGACGCGATCTCGCCTGCAAACGCGTCATGGCGCTGCTTGGACTTCTTCCTCTTCGCGGAGGTATCGGTACTCTCACCAGACGGCGTACCGTCCGCATCACGCGCACGCTTGGATTTCTTCTTCTTAGCAGCATTGGCAGCATCATTCGCGTCGCCAACAGCCTGCTGGAGAGCTCGTTGGATGTCGGGGGAGAACGCGGCGGACGCGTCTGCGGACATTAGCGATCGGGAGGCGCGAAGTTTTAGGGCAGGTCGACAGGGATGAGGGCAAGCAAGTTGGCGTTGCATTTAGGCGCCCGCCCGTGCACTTGTGACCCAGTGGCAAAGTATTCCCACGCGCACATCGTCTGTGTGAAGTGTAGTATATCGAACAAACAAACGCTCTATTGCACATCCATTACAACCGTATACCTAGCCAGAATACAGGGACACCCATCTACGCCTTAAAGAAATCCTTGGTGCACTTGGAGAAAACGTGTACTGCCTTCTTAAGCGACTCGAACTGCAGATGTGATCGTCAGTCCTCCGAGTAGTCTAAGAAAATCAGTCAACTACGCACGTCGGAGTTGCTGAAGCTAATGCGGAAGTGGCCCTCCACTTCATCCGTGGGCGGGTTCTCGGTATCAGCTGCAAAGAACCATCCCGGAGAAACCAGGACGCCAGCTTCGGCAATCTTCGTCCACAGCTGCATCTCAAGGCGTTCGTCCGGCTCGTCCGCATGCCGCGAACGATATGTGGGGTGGTTCTCGAAGTGAATTTGAATCTAAATGGTGTTTGAATAAGCAAGAAACACTAATATTTGGGCGGACGCACCCAAATGAACATCCCAGACGACGGAGGCACAAAGCTGAACAACTTGGTGCCCAAGCCTTTTTCCGACATAAACAATCTCTTACCAGACTGCTTCGGGTAGGCATCGAACACCTGGCAGCCCTTCCAGAAACTGATCTCCGAAGACGAGGGTTCGAAGTGGAACTCATCGGCGAGGCAGTCAATGAAGAAGTCGCGCCTCGCCTTGTACTGAACAGCTAGGCCTGCAATCCTGCGTGAGCAAACGTATACAACCTCAATTTGAATGAACGTACCATGCAGCCATCGGATATATCCATCGTATTTCCAAGTCATCAAGAGCTGTGTGACGAGGCTCTGTCCACGAGACCCCGGTTACCGGGATAGACGATAAACTGGGGTGTTTGTACATACCTGACCGAAGCCGCACGGCGCCTGCGCACTGGTCTCCCCCTGTCTCTCAAGCCTCTCCGCGAACAGAGGGTTGCACGTGTGCCAGCCCAATCGCGAACCAGGTGCAATATACTATGGTACTCATCAGGGTCCATAGAGGCGTGCGCCCGTAAGTGTACTTACCTTAGAGAAGGTATCAAGTCGAATGACACGACCTTCATAATCGAATCTGTCCAATGCAAGCATAAGTTCAGCAGCTACAAAGGTATCGAAACGATTGACTTCAAGTAGCTGGGGTCGAGGCTGGAAAGCCAATCCTCATCGTTGAGATGAGACGCAGACTCTGAACCGCGATCTGTTTTGGGGACATAGTCGCCTTGTTGAAGGAAGAAGTACGGATCATCTTCGACAATGATGACATCTTGGTCGAAGAGGTTTAGCTCGTTGGGATAGGGGGTTTCAATTATTCATTCCCTCACCATATTCTACGCAGACGTCATAGATTTCCTTCTTGCGCGTGGCGCCCATGGTCTTGACATAGTTGTGAGTAATAACACAGAATAGAGGCGACGGAGACCTACAGAGCCACACGGGTTCTGTCCGACGGGAACAGTATACATGACATGAGGGCTGTGCTTTAGGGTCAATGTTATGTCAATTCGAAGTGCGACTGAGCATACCGCCGGCATCCACGAACTGTCTCATCCCATTCAGAGAGGACCTTGCGAAGATCGATGCTACTCATCCCATCCTTGTCCATCGCGACTGGGACAGGGTGCATTCCGAACGGCTTGCTGGCTGATACCGCGGACGGATAGGTCCATTCCTCTGTCAAGAAGCCCTCTCCCGGGTTCATGATGGTCTGCATTACCCTCGACCAACTAACAGAGGTCGTGTGAGTTATAGACGAGCTCATCACGAGTCGAAGTAGAACACACCCATCCGTGTTACCAGTCTGAACCAAGATAGAGTAGTCGCTATAGGCCGGTTGGTATACCTTATCCACGAAATCCTTAATGAATTTCTGGAGCTGGGGGATGCCAGTAGCCGTTCCGTATTGCAATGCGACAGCAAGGTTCACATCTCCGGGCGCTTCTGGGAACTTGGGAATGGAGACTGGCGCTGTCTTTGGCTTGTTTGACCTGGCGAACAGCTTCCAAAACCATGATATGCCCGACTCCTGACCAGTCTCCTTCAAAGTGAACGAGTCCGGAACAAGCACTGGACGATCATGAGCTCCTGACGATTGACTTAATCTCGATGATCTCACCATCCGCGCTGACAGTCTCGAAGGGAAAGTATGTCTCACTAGGCATCCCTTGGAGCGTCTGTGAGCGCCCTTTCGCATGGTAGAAGATAGTCCTACAGACCTCCAGCGAGACTGATCAGGCCCGGCCGCCCCATGTACTTCGAGAGACCCTTCAGGGGTGAGGTGGTTCTAGCCCGTGAGACATAGGATAGGTGATGGGACAGGTCAATCGCCTTCTGACGCTTTTCCGAAGCCATTCTGCAGATCTTCGCGAGGGGCGGTGAAGGGATGCGGATGAGGAGCACAGCTATCTCAAGAGAGCAGTCCGCAGCCAGACGAGTCAGTGTCCGTGCGTCCGGAGCGGCTGCCCTTCAAGTTGCATGACTATCAAGTTGCATGACTAAGAGGGCTAAAGTAGTCCATGGGGATGCCGAGATAAGGAACGACGGCCTTGATAAACCGACTGAGCAAATTCGAGGAATATAACATACAGTCTTTCAGAACCAGGGACAGAGTTGGACGCAGTGAGGAGAACATGTACATAAGACTTTATAGCCACAGAGGCGAGCAAAGTTCACCGGCTCAGTCAATCAATCACGCAATGTCCCCTCCTTATGACTTCTTATTTCAAATGCTATATCGTACAGCGCAGGGGGAATTGCTAGTCTTTGTGCAGCTACGATGTGCAGCTCAAATGAACCCGCAAAATGCAAGGTCTTGGGACAGGCGACATATTTCTCAGGTATTACATCGCCCATGAAGTACGTCGTGAAACATGTTGTACAAGCAGAAGACTTTCGCTGCATGCGATTACAGTGAAAGTGTTGTTGACGGAAAGATCATGATCACCTTCATCATTATCGGCTGTTCTTGAAGAATCCTGCACGCATTGTCGACATCAGGGCAGTCGTATTGAGACCGCCCACATTAAGCATAGCATAAAGCAATATATTTTTCCAACTACATATGGGGTACTTCCTTCTCCAATTGAAAGCTGAGCGAAGCGACTGCCAAGAACAGATGCTACTTATAAACGCAAGATCAGATATTTGGCTGATAGGAATGAAGGCGAAGGACAAACGCACGGCTGGTATGAACACCTCACATCCATCCTTCCACACACGTAGCCATTCTGCGCGCGCTCGTTACTACGCGTTTTGTTGGGGTGGTCGACAACTTCGAAGAAGGCCTGCTAAGCATCTGGACGCCGAATCTCAAATCTCGAACCCAATCTGCAGTGGCGAGGACACTGACCTTAAGCGAAATACATCTGCACCCCAACAAGAAGCGCGATGGATACAGGGGGGCGAAGGTCGGCTGCTCGCTGGAAGGCATGCAAGGATCTGGGCGGCGGCTCACACCTGCTATTCGGACATCGATCGAGGTTCCAGGGTCATCAGAGGCTACAGAGAACGCACCTCGCACGCACGCTTGAGTGGGGGAAGAGGAAGCGTCCCGAAAAAAGGAAGGGTACCCACGAATGCTTTTATGCTCGGGCGTAGTGGGCGGAGATCCGAATCACGACACTCGCAACTGCCAGCGTCGCACGTTGCGGCCGTTCTGGACGGAACGGCGTTTGGTATAGCGCGCTCGCGGAGCATGTTATTGTGTATGACGCGCAGTGCCGGGTAACCCGTTTTAATTTGGGACCACGTCGTCACTGGCGTCGAGCAAATGAACAACATGTGGTCAGGGCCTTTGTGAAGTTGCTAGAAGACGACCGCGAATCATCAGGCCCTGCCCGACGTAGATATCCCAAGTTCCATTCTATGTGAAGGACGCCGACGGCGAAGCAGACGACTATTAGCGGACCACATCAGAGCGACAGGACAAGTCGACGGCTGCACTTGATTCGGGCATTTAGGGCCGGTCTTGGCCATTTGTCAGAAAGATAGCAGCCCGTCTCACTTGATCACGATTACCCATCTTGCTCTGTCGGTCCTTATCCTACGCAGGAGGAGGAGAGGAAAGTGAAGGGCTAGTAGTTGGATTGGAAGAGGGAAGCGAGGTGAGTACTGCTGAGGTGATCGCGACTCGAGATCTCAACCCCGCTACCCCTTTCAGGTTCAGGATCTCTGAGAAGTTTGGGCAGGATGGCGTATCAGTTCAGCAGGAAGGGTTGTTTCAAGTGCGGAAACTGTGCGTCTTGCTCTAGCTAGAACGTAAACTAGCGCGCTATAATGACCGTTCTGACACAGTGGGTCACATCGCGGAGAATTGTACGTCGGAGCAGCGTCTCTGCTATAATTGCCGCCAGCCCGGGCATGAATCTTCTGCATGCCCCCAGCCTCGCACCGTGGCTGCCAAACAGTGCTACTCGTGCGGTGGTGTAGGCCATATCCAGGCAGAATGCCCGAGCTTGAGGGTGCAGGGCTCTAATCAGAAGTGCTACGTACGTCCCCCGAAATCGAAGATGATCTGCGTTCTCATGTGCTACTCTAGAACTGTGGTCGATTCGGCCACATCGCACGAGTTTGCCCAGGTGGAGGTGCCGCCGGGTTTGCCACTCGTGCCCCGCCTCCTGGACGAGCCCTGAACACCGCGACCCTTCCCCCTGTGAAATGTTATCGCTGCGGAGGTCCTAACCATATGGCTAGGTAATTTTTCATTTCAAATATTTGATGTAGTTGAAATTCTCCATCTCACTATCATTGTTATCCAGGGATTGCTTGGCTCCCCCCGGTGCCACCGTAGCCGATGGCGTGACCGGAGTGCCAGTGGGCAACCCCAACAAGAACAAGACTTGCTATAAGTGTCAGCAAGAGGGACATGTCAGTCAATACTTATAGCGTTTGTTACGATGTACTGAATGCATAACCTCTAGATTGCCCGCGACTGTCCCGAGAACGCTGAATATATCGCCTGAGCTATATCAGATCCGCGCTGACATACGGCCTTTTGATGCTCCTATTGAAAGAGTGCAGCTGCCATCTGTATACTGCTCACGCTCCATGATTTATGGTCACGACTTGCTGTGCTTATTTATCATTTATTGAGTGTTGTTCTACTTCCCTCGGTTGGCTTTGCACATTTTCGAAACTGCGGTTGAATCAGCATGATACGATTGCCCTGAGCTTAGAACATCGTCTCATGCATGTGGTCTCAGAACAGCAAGACAGGCTGATCGTCGCTCCAGACGTTCGCAATATATGGAACCATGAAGCTTGTGGTACGCCGTGATCCGTCTCGCGCTATACTGATTCAGCTAGGAGGCTGTAGCGTCATTGTGATGATCAGGGTAGGGCATCGTCAGAGTATCTTCTTAGAAGCGACCAACTGACTTGCACGTTCAGGGCTGAACCCGGCTGCGCAGTGTACAGGGGGCCGCACCGTGGACCCTTAACATCGAACATCATACTATTCATGGCATCCACCTGATATTAGAGTTAGGACACCACGCGACGAGGATTCGGTGACGATGCGGTTCTGCCTCACATTTGAACTCAAACCTTCAAGCTTCATGCGGCACGACACGTAATGCTTTGGAGACTACACATCTACGCATGCATGTGTATTTTTCTTCTTTCGTTCCCTGATATTTCATGCGGAACGCCGCTCTCCCGCCGTGGATCGGCTGGACCGATGTAGAAACGATTGGGCTCCGGATGCAGTGCGTGCCTTCTTGTTCTCTTATGGTGTCAATTAGGCTTCATCTTTCCGTAAGGGAACAGACTTCGAATGGCGGCTGTTGATGCGCTGAAACATTAGACTCAGTCTGTGGGCGTTCCTGGGTACGAGTATAGGAAAGGGAGCTCTATACAGAGATTTACTTCCCACTGTATACGGCCTTTGCGAATATGTCACCAACCCTTGACCAGAACCGCTCGTCGTTTTATCACATCACGATGCTGCAGGTTCTGCACCCGCTTCTATTTGTCGTTACACAGTCGAGGAAGGCGTCTTGGGTTCACTCTACAATTTGCCATCGATCTTGCGGCGTTCACTCGATGGGTACTCTATGTGGTTCTCGGTAAGTGGCTTCTGCGGCGGCAGCAATGCGTAGATGACGGCAACAGCGGTTCGTCGTGATCGAAATATGCTGAAGGAACTATCGCCCGCCTGCGATGGCCCGCAGATACGGCGTAAGCACAACCGCATCTGGTCGTCGTCAAACAATGTGGTTTCGTGGAGCATCATGGGGCGCACATTCAATCTTTGATATGCCATTCTGGTAAGCTCGCCGCCTCAAATTCGTGCGGCGGAGGCTCCTCGCAGAGGGTTCTCATCAGGATTCTCAAGAGATGGGTACGTATCTGGATCATTTGGGGTTGCCGGTGATGAACAGCAGTCGACGCAGGTGCAACCGTCGCCGGTGAGTGTGATGAGTCTCGGCCTATCTTAGTCCCAGGCGCAATGCAGGATACGATAAAACTCGCTGTCTGCTGTTGCTTGAGCCCAGCATCTCGTGCTATTCCGTCCCATGCGACTTGCTTCGGCGTTGTGGTGAGCACCTTTGCATATTCATAACACTCTTCATAAACTGAGGCACTTGTCATCCAGCCGAAGCAACACCTTGGTGTGCTGTCCGAGCGTATAAGGTCACCCACGTCTCTTACTCATTCCATCGGCTTCTTGTAAGGCTGCACGACGGCCTCGCCTGGGTGAGTTCTGAAAGATGGTCTAGACATGGACTGTACTAAAATATGACCTGCCATAGGGACATGGCCTGTAATCGAGCTCTTTCATCAGCCTTACACGAAATGGAAGCGCGTAAGGTCGTCGGTGATCTCGATGTTGCGGAGGTGCGCTCATTGCTCAACATTCTACGAGTGCCCACGTCCGTACTTGTAGCTAACCTTACTCCCTCTGTAGTTGCATTAGCGCACCGTGTTATGATGTTCATTGCGGGATGTCTTGATTGACTGCTCGTCGTCTGTCAAATAGACTACATCCTCATTGGACTCTGTTGTCGCATAGCTTGGAATACATTGGGATGCAGTCCTCATTGTGTGGTGCTGCTGAATACGTGATACCCATTTAATCGCGGCTGGTTTGGTCACCGAAGCTTGAAATAATGCCTCTCGTAAGTTTCGGGTGTTAGGCATTACGATTACATCGACACTGTTTGTGGACCGAGGGAATTCACGTCAGACAATGAATCCAGGCGATCATAAAACCTATAGTAGGCATTTATATCTATCTAAGACATTCATGAAGACCATACATCAAGGCGGCATAACATCGCAACAATGCATTATGTTGTGGACTACATAATCTAATGCTGCTTCATTTATTACCAGGTCCGTATATGTCCAGGCACCGTTCCTCGAAGGCCTTGACCATCATTTTTGACACTTGTCCAAAGAATGTTGCGGACACCGCAGCGTGCACTGGGTTCGCGAACGAGAACGCGAGATCAAGGGTAACGAGGGTGGGCCCCGCGTCTCGTTGAGCTGCCGGTGACGCCGCGGACGAGGCAGCAGAAGGCGGGTCCGGAAGAGACGAGCCCCAGCTGGGATGAGGGGACTGAGGGGACGCAGGCTGGAACCGCCATGTTGTGTTGAGCGTCTTGAATAGCGGGGTGGACGACGAAGCCACGACCTACACGGCGTGAATATTCCTACATGGCCATGGTTCAGACAAGTCGCTCACCTCTACATATTCGTTAGGTCTACTCTTGACGTCACTGACATAGCTCTCCTTGAACGTAAGGAAACCGACGGTCATTTCCGCCTGAAAGGTCTCGGTTTCGTTCACGGAGGCCGGCGTGCGACTCAAGATGCGAGCACCCGTACAGAAGGGTAAAAATCGTGGATACGACTCTATGTCTGAGACCAAGCTGTGTAACTGGCTCGGCTTGTATCTGCACGAGCTTTGTAAGAATCGACTAAAGGAACCACAAACGAGCTCACGGGAATATTTTGCGCTCATGATAAGTCTGGATCTCCTGCGGACCCTTTCCATCTGAGCCCGAAAAGGGGGAGAGCGAGGAGAGGTCAGGAAGTGTGAATATGGACCGGCGTGAACTAACACAACGAGGGACGACGCGGAGGTGGGCGAGCGGGATCATCCTCAACAACGATTGCCTTTTGCGCCATCTCGGTGACGACCCTCAGTCTCCCCAGCTCGGCTGAGCCTTCTGCTCTCTTTGGCTCTTGCTCACAGGCTGTTGGGGTCGCGCTCTGTTCGCGTACTGCCCCCGCATTATAACGACCGCATGACTCCCGAAGACGCCTCTAATTGCCATTGATATCCAAGGCTGTCTCTTTGTTCGACTTGTACCACTAGACCTGCTCGTGCCCTCGAGGACTGTCACCTATACCTGAACAGACGTGGTGTGTACTAACTATTCTACATGGATCCTGATAATGGCGACCCAAGCTCTAGCGGCTTGCCGCGCGTCGTGCACTATGACGATGTCCTGGAGCGGTAGGTCGTCGCGTTGAATCCTAGTATGTAGCTAAGTCTTTATCCTTAGAGATGACGCGAACGGCTACGCGGATCGTGACATAGTGAATGACATGGACGACGATCGGTCACCCGTTGGTAGTATCCTCACGCGTACTGAGACGAACAGCCGAGAGACGTTGCATCTCGATCGGCCAAGGCGGTCGAGCGGACTAGGGCGGAGTCGCCGCCGTAGTGGCGCACACCGTGAACTCTTGAAACTTGTAGTGGATGAAGAAATCGAAGCGGTGAAACAGACACGAAGGGCGCTGCATACGGCTCTTGAGAGACTCGATGGCGAGACGCGGCGGGCGCAAGAAGCGGAGCGTCGTGCCCTCGAACTTGCACAAAGGTTCAAGAGTGTCAATGATGCACGGCTTGCTACGCAGCACGATAATTTCAGGCTGAATGAGCAGCTATCTCTCTACAAGCTGCAACTCGAAAACGCCCAGAGAGAGCTAGACCGGCGGCAAGACATGGTCAGGGATCTGGAGTCTCAGCGTGATGACGCCGAGCAAGCTGCTGCACGGGCCCGTACCACGGCAAGACAATATAGGGAGCAACAACTGACGAGTAAGGCAAGAGAGGCCGGACGTCGCCAAGGCTATGAAGAAGGACTTAGGCGAGGAATGGAAGAAGCAGGGCTTACCGGCCCTAGCGAAGGTCGACGTCGCGCAGAGGGTAACGCAATGTTGGATGTCGAAGACCAGGACGATGCGCTAGACGAGGGTGAGGGACGGACACCTCCTCTGGACGACATGTCCGAAATGTTGCACTTGCCGTCGCCCCCACAAGGCGGTATCCCGCTTGCTCGTCCGTCCATTGCGACTACCATGGAAGAGATGAATATGTCAACACAGGCTCCACCTGCAGCATACTCCGGCGGTGCAGAAGGGTCGCGCTTCCGCGAGGACATCGCAAGTCCCGGACGGTCCACCCTTTCCTCTCTCCCCATCCCACCCCGTCCCGCTCCCTGGCCGAACCCGCCTCCCGCTGATGGTAGATTCGAGCGCCCGCAAGTTGTGCGTACAGCGTCGCCGGGACCGCACCATCCGAACTACGACATCCCTCCTGACGGTTGGATCCCCTCTGTGGGCCCCGACAATACGCCCTTCGTGCCGCCGCCACACGAACTCGCACCGCCGCCGCCTGTGAGCCCGCGCACGCCGATGTCTCCGCTGCCAGACATCCATTCCGACGGCGGCGGTGCCGCGGATATCCCAGCGTCGCTTCGCCCAGGCGTGGCCGCACATCCTCCGCCCCCTACGTCGCGTGACTACGCATTTAGTGCACGGCAACGCTCGTCCCCGAGCTCGCTAGCTGACTCGCTTCCGTCTACTGCCATATCGTCCTTCGACTTGCTCAATTCTCCGCGTATGGCTGTGCGCGGGCGCGAGCGCCTCAGTGCAATCCCCGAAGTGTCCACATCCATGGAGCTGAGCCCTGGTGAGAGCCGACGAAGAAGCACCAGTGTTGCACCGGAGGCCCTGCTGTATCCCGTGCCGTCGCCTCTTCGGGAGGGGAGCTACGCAGGGGATGATGATTTGCGGCGGTCGGCATCCCGGACGAGTAGGCGTGATGGCGACTCGAATGCTAGCAGTGCGCGCAGACGGCCGAGCCGGACTCCTGTAGACGAGTCTGTGAGAGATTCCATCGCGAGTGTGCAGGAGTGGCTGGGAAGGTCGGCTGCAGACGAGGTGAGTCTCTGAGACTATTCGAAAAGTGCTGGTAAATTGAGTCATTTTCTGCGCGCAGTATTCGCCCACGCCCTCGAGATCGCCGTACCCTGCGTACCCCCCTGCAGAAAGAGTGTCCTCGCCCTTTGAGAGGCCGTACTCAGCGGCTAGCGGTGGTAGCTCGAGGCATCGCAAGTCTCGCTCCATGAACCCGGCAGATATGCCTGGCAGCTCCAGGAGTTCCGAAGGTCACCGCAGAGTCGCCTCATCAGGTTCTGTCGCAATCTCTGTCCAGCCTCCGGTACGTCTCATTTGACTTTGGGCTTGACGGTCCCCTCGTCGACGTTTGCTGACCTATCTCGTAGTCGGGTTCCGAGCCCTCTCTATCTCTGAGCGCGGTGGACTCGGGGCGGCTCACACCCAGCTCGACAAGGCGCACCCTGTCGGCGCAGCCCCAGCCGTCCCAGCAATGGGTCCCGACGGAGCCCAACTCACCCAGTGTCCAGCGACTTCCCTCCATGGGCACGTTCGGCTCTGTCTCCGACCTCCCGCTGGGCTTCGTACCGGTGGGCCCACCCACCCCCACCCCCACGTTCCCCGCGGCACACATGTTCCCAAGCGCGCCCCGCTCCAGCACGCCCGTCGTCCCGCCCTCGCCGCGGCACTCGCGGCACGGGCACTCGCCCTACCCCGCAGACCCGGGCGCCGTCCCGGTTCCCCCGCCAGAATGGGCGGCGCCCATCCCCCCGCCAGAGTGGGCGACGCCCATCCCCCCGCCGGCGCGCACCGCGAGCCGGGGCAGCGACGCCCGCCCGCCGTCCGCGCTCGGCAGCGCCTCGGGGCGCTCGCGCACGTCGAGCCAGCCGCGGTACATCCCGCCGCCGGACGCAGACCGCCCGCACACGCCGGGGCAGGCGGGCGCGCCGTATGCGAGCCCGCGCGCGTCCGGGGCGCGCCTGTCCGTCGGCGCGCACGGGCGCAGCCTGAGCATGCACGCGGGGTCGACGCCCGCGGCGGGCGCGCGGCCGCTCTCGGGTGCGGGTGGGGGTGCGGGCGAGCTGCGGCGCGTGCCGTCGACGGGATCGATCGGGAGCAATCGCTCGGGGTACGCGCACTACAATAAGAACGAGTACCTGGACGCGGCGTACCTGGCGAGCTCGGAGGACCTGCTGGGGGTGCAGTCGCCGGGGACGATGGCGAATACGCGGCAGAATGCGACTGCGTTTGGGATGAGCATGAGCGGGCGCGGCTCGCCGGCGGTGTCGTATCAGAGCTTGGGGAGCAATCGGTAAGATGTGTGTGGATGTGCTGGATGTGCTGGATGTGCTGTTTGTTATGCTGTGCTTGGAAATGCTATCGGACTGCTAGACTAATTTATGCAATGTATGTCGTTCATATATACGGTATAGTCCAGACATCAGAGTATATAGGAAGGGTCGTTTTCGCTGCTGCGAGGGGACAATTGATAAAGGGGATTCTCATCGGAGAAGGACGCGGAAAGAACCACCTCATGGAGGCCTCACGGCCGTACAAGGTGTGCGAGCATTTGTCAGTACTGTCTCACATCCCTCGCACAGAGGCAGTGCAATTTTATGCGGAGCCGATCAAAAATACCGTTTACTTCGGTTTGAAAGTGAAGCTTGAAGACTCAAGACGATCGTCAACCCTGCGCATCATCCCGTGTTCTAACCACACACAAACGAGCGTTGGACAATGGGACATGGCAGTATGAGGTAGCATACAGTAGTCGTCACAGAAGATATAACAGAACAGTAGCAGGCATCTGCATTATTGTTGGTCAGATCTACGTAATGGCGATGTGCCACGAACTGGAGGAAAGGCAGCTCATGCGTGCGACATTGATGCGCACCACAGGTCTACCAAGTAATCCTAGTTTGCAGGGTGCTGCTGAAACTGAAGTGCTGGACTCCGGGATCGCCACCGTGTACGTTTTCCGGCCGGTCCGAGTGGAGATAGGTTATTGTGGATAGTGCACTCGTGTTTTGGAATTCAGGTCTAGTTCCTGTATACTTTTGCCAGCCCCTCTGCGAGCCTCTCGGGCTTCATGTGCGGGTTGAGGCCCGCCTTGGCCATGATCATGAACTTGTAGGGCAGTTTCTTGGGCGTATTCCATAGTCTGCGCTCCTCGTCGGACAGCCACCTCCACACCCAGGTGCTCTTTCTGGATTGGGGTTTACGCGAGGGCTGGGACGAGGTGAGTGAGAGCGCGGGCACCACACAGTCCTCGCCGTTTTGGATGGACACGATGTGGCAGAGCTGGCCCTGGGCGTCGGTGGTCTCGCCGCGGACCTTGACGTGCACCTTCTTGACGAGGCCCTCGATCTCCATCGTCTCGAGGACGAAGCGCTTGAGGTACCTGCGGCCGGTGGCGAATGTGAATGTGTGCGTGCGCGCGGACGAGGGACACGTGAGCAGACGCACCTCATGGATCGGATGGCGGCATCGTCGTCTGCGGCATCTTGCTCTGCACGGGCGGCGGCGTGTTTATTGTGTGTGTGAGGAGCAGGGAGTACGGGCGGGGACTCTTGGAGGATGTGGAGGATGTCTTGGGTTGTGAGGCCGGCGATGCCTGGTCTGGCGGCAAAGACGGCGCGGATGGTGTCGCGGGCGCGAGGGGTGACGGCGGCGGCGCGGCGGGCCTGCTTGAAGGCGGGCGGGAGGGAAGGGTGGTGTTTGGATAGCAGAGACAGGGATGGGCGCATTGGAGGGAGAGGACAAGTCGTGCGCGTCACTCCGGATCAAGAATGGCACTGTCGTGGGTCTCGATCTTGTTCGATCTCCCGTATTGTATTCCGCCAAGGCTGGATAACCCCGGGGAGTTGGCGTCTGTCCTAGCAGCAGGGGCATCGGTAGTACAATCCACATTTGCTATCAGCTTGAGTGCTCGCTAGCTGCAACGACCGGCGCGTCGATTCACATCCGTGTCGTCTCGCAGCCATGTGAGGACCATCAACAGGCACAGGTAATAGATAGTGCGCGGAATCCCATGCGCTGACAGGCCAAAGATGACACGGGCACCCCACATGGAGTCGCACTGCCGGTGGGCTCGTCCGGTGTGGGACGGAAGAGAAAGGCCTCTGCTTCCCTCTTGACATTGGCCATCTGCGCTGCTCCCGCCGCGCCACCTCCGTCGCCAGCACCCGCCATGCATTCCCTCCTCGTCCTCTTCGTCTCCCTCCTCGCCCTCGGAGCCCTCAAGAAATACGTGGACTTCCGCGCAGCCGTCGACAAGATACAGTGCGTCCTCCCCGTGCCCGCCTCCCCGGATCTCCGCCTCATGTTCTTCATACAGCAACTACCCCGGGCTCCGCTTCATCTTCGGTGTGCAGTCCTTCATCTTCGGGAAGCGCATCCCTTACTTCGCCGCGGGTGGCTTAAGCTTGTGGAACACAAAGCACCAGGACTTTGTCGACCATGACGCAGACATCATCTCTTCGGTAAGCCCTGCCCCACTCCTGACAGCGAACCCTGGCTCACGCGCACATAGGTCAATATATTTCCCACATGCGCTACGTACATGATTGCGGATGCACAGGCAATCAAGGTTAAATCCCCGGTGACACATCCATATGCCGCAGCATGCCTAATTTGTCTTCAACTAGGAAATCACAACCAACAGGGCTCGTTTCCCGAAGCCGCTGCAGCAGTACAAGATCCTCACGTTCTTTGGGAGCAACATCGTCGTCACAGAGGCGGACGAGTGGAAGCGCCATCGGAAGATCTCCGCCCCGTCCTTCTCGGAGGTGCGTCGCCCCGCTGAATATGCTTGCCTGCTAGACATGTCTCCCGATGCAGAGGAACAACAGACTTGTGTGGGACGAGACTATCAACATCGTCAAGGAGCTCAGCGACGATGTCTGGCGCGGAAAGAACGAAGTCACCATGGACAACATCGTCGACCTAACAGTGCCGGTACGGAATCTACCAATACCCTGCGCTCCCTCTGACGCTGCAATGGTCTGCGCAGATCGCGCTCTTCGTTATCGGCGTAGCAGGCTTCGGCCGCCGCATGTCGTGGGTCGAGGACTTCACGGTACCTGTGGGCCATTCGATGCCGTTCAAGGTGTGTTCTCGCCCTGTGCGACACGGAAGAAGCGCCCTGAACGCACTTGTCTTCGCCTTATCCTTATAGGATGCACTTCACCTCGTTTCGAATCACCTGTGGATGAAGGTTCTGCTCCCGGCCTGGTTCCTGCGCTCCGCGCCGATCCCCCGCGTGCGGAAGTTTCACACCGCGTACGAAGACCTCGAGGTATGTTGTTATTGTATGCGTTAACAGGGTGAACACGCGTGAACGCTGATGTCGCGCGCAGAAATACATGATCGAGATGATCCAAGCGCGCAAGACCGCGGAGAAGAAGGAGGAGCGGTATGACCTGTTCAGTTCGTTGCTTGACGCGAACGAGGAGGAGACGGACGGAAATACCAAGCTGAGCGATAGCGAACTCATGGGTGCGTGCGAGCGGCGGGCTTGGCGAGGACTGGGTTGGACTCACGCCCACGTGTGAATGCAGGGAACATCTTCATCTATCTCATCGCTGGTAAAGTTGTTTCTTGTTGTCCGGCAGCATGCGCTGACCAGCGGTACCTTGATGGGTAAATAGGCCATGAAGTCAGTCCATGTCCATTATATTCCTTAGCTGTTGCATGGCTAATAATGACTACATTCCCCAGACGACGGCGCATACCTTGGCGTTCACGTTCATTCTGTTGGCTTTGTACCAGGATGAACAGGAGAAGCTATACCAGCACATCAAGAGCGTCGTCCCAGACGACAGGCTCCCCGTGTGTTCCCTTTTCCATCTATGTCTCTATACTCCCTAACACCTGCGTGTTTTCACCGACAGGCATACGAGGAGATGGGCAAGCTCACGTACTGCTACGCGTACGCTGCCACGAACCCACGGTCGTATTTTCTCCGCATTGACCCTTCATCTCACCCAGCATGCTCCTGGAGACCCTCCGCATGTTCCCTCCCGTACGTCCCACATCCCCCTCACCCCATTGAACCGCGCGCAAGCGCAGCTCATCGCATCGCATCGCAGGTCAACCTGATCCCGAAGCAGGCCGCGGAGGACACGACGCTGCACACGAGCAACATGGCGGGCGAGCCCGTCGCCGTGCCGTGCCCCGCCGGCACCGCGCTCGCGATCCACACGCCTGGCCTACACTACAACCGTGCGTGTTCCCCCGTCGCCCGAGCGCCGATGAGCCGCTGACGCGATGCTTGTGTGCTCATATGCTCATGCTTATATGCTTGTATGCTTGTATGCTTTGTGTTTGTATGCTCTATGCGCCCGCAGCGCGCTACTGGGAAGACCCGTTCGCGTTCAAGCCAGCGCGCTTCCTCGGCGACTGGCCGCGCGACGCGTTCCTGCCGTTCAGCGCGGGGCCGCGCTCGTGCCTCGGGCGGCGGTTCTCGGAGACGGAGGCCGTCGCGGTGCTGACGTACATCGTCGCGCGGTGGCGCATCGACGTGAAGGAGGAACCCCAGTTCGCGGGGGAGACGTTCGAGCAGCGCAAGGCGCGGCTGCTGGACTCCAAGTCTGCGATCACGCTGTAGTGAGTGCCGTGCCGTCCTGTGTGTGTTGTGGTCAGGCTGACAGTGGCGTGTGTAGTCCGGTCAGGGCGCCGCTGGTGTTCAAGCGACGATAGAGCGCAGATGAGCGTGGTGTGTTTGTGACATTGACTAGTTTGTTTTATGGTAGGGACTTTATACCAGACGTGTCGGGATTTTTGCTTACCTCTAAGTGTGAGTGGGGGCCGGATGCTAACGTTTCATGGTGTGTCGCGTCGCGGGTGCTGTGCCGGGCAACGTTGCATCCCGATCAACGTGCCGGGCAATGTTCGCAGCCCGATCAACGGTTTTGGCTCCTGGGCCAATCAGGCAAGGGTGCCGACATGGAGTGTTTGCCGACTCCCCGTCAGGCACTGTATGGCATAGTGGCCTGGGGTCTTCGTATCCCTCGACTTGACTCGGAATAATCGGCTGCTCACCAAGTTTCAAGTTTTACTCCCATTCGCAGGCGTGGTCTTATGCACATCGATTCCTGTACCGTGAGCATGGTGGTAGTACATTCCCAGGCAGGGGTCCTCGGCAGCGTATGGCTCAGAACAATGGCCGCCGCTGATCGCACGCACATGACAATTATATGGCCCTTTTCACATAATTGATCTAGATTAGCAGCACATGCACATACGTACAGGCCGTGGGAGGGAGCGTACGCAGTCATTCCCACTCCTATATCATCCCTACCAACGACAACGACCAGAGGCGAAGGTCGTAACATGCAGAAGACGCTACTCCTCGTCGTGTCGTTCCTGGCACTGTACGTGGTGAAGAAGTACCAGGACTGGCGCAGGGCCGTCCGATCGATCCAGTGAGTTCTAGTGCCCCACGATCACTCCGTCGTTGCGATCATCAGGAGGGCTCTCTTACTCATACTTATCCCTGGGGCTGCAGTGATGTTCCTGGGTACCGCCATGTGTTCGGACCTCATTCCTTCCTCCTGGTCCGGCGCATCCGGTATCTATGCACAGGCTCGTTTACCCCCTGGCTGAAGAAGCACGATGATTTCGCCCAGTACGACTCAGACATCATCTCCGGCGTACGTGAATCTATTGCAATGCAGATTTGACCGCATACCTAAAGTCTGATGGCGGAGTTTCGCAGATCCGGTTGCTCCCGTGCGACGCTACTCTGTTCGTGGCGGACGCTGAGGCTCTGAAGGCATGTTTTACTACGGGAAAGGCCTGCACTCGGTGAGACAATTACTGATGTGATCCAGGAAATCACGGGCGCCAGAACCCGCTTCCCGAAACCGCTAGACGCGTATGAAGGCATCAATGTTTATGGCCACAACATCGTCGGCACTGAGGCCGACGAGTGGAAACGCCACAGGAAGATTACTGCCCCGTCTTTCTCAGAGGTTTGTCGCCTGTGTTGTGAACCATACTCGTTGCGCATATCCGTATCTCTCGTAGAGGAACAACCGGCTGGTGTGGGACGAGACCATCGGCATCGTGCAGGAGCTTTGCGAGGATGTCTGGGGCGGCAAAGACCACGTCGTCGAGAATATCGTCGATGTAACAATTCCGGTGAGCGACCCCCCGGTACGATCAGATAGAGACGTGTGACTCAACGCGGGGACGCGCCCTCCCCAGCTCGCGCTCTTCGTCATTGGCGCTGCTGGCTTCGGGCGCCAAATGTCCTGGAAGGCAGACCTGAACGTCTCGCACGGGCACACGATGCCCTTTAAAGTTCGTGATCATCGCATGATACCAGCGTTGGGGAGCGATTCTGACAATGCGTCCAGGATGCGCTGCATGTCATCTCTGTCGAGCTGTGGATCAAGGCGCTTCTCCCTTCGTGGTTCGTCGAGTGGGCACCCATCCCGCGGATCCGCGCTTTCAGGACGGCATATACGGAGCTAGAGGTACGGCGCCGGCCATTTCGCGGAGACATACTGTGCTGATGTCGCTCTCGTCTCTCGACACAGCGGTACATGATTGAGATGATAGAAGAGCGCAGGGGGTCCGAAAAGAAAGAGCAGCGGTATGATCTATTCACCAGTCTCCTTGATGCGAACGAAGAGGAGTCGGATGGCATTACGAAGCTGAGCGACAGCGAAGTCATGGGTTCGTTTGAAATTGCTTGTGTATTTTCTCGAGCGTGTTGATGCTGAACCAATCATCAAGGCAACATCTTCGTGTTCCTCATAGCCGGTGAATCCATCCATTGGAATAATCCGCTCAACTTCGTTCTAATTTTATCCCTTTTATGAATAATCAGGCCATGAAGTGGGTGTCTGCTCCCATTCCATGTGTCGAGCGGAAGAAACTCATCATCAGCCTTACAGACGACTGCCCACACGCTGGCGTTCACCTTCATTCTACTAGCGCTCTACCAAGACCAGCAAGAGATCTTATATCAGCACATCAAGAGTGTTGTTCCTGACGGCAAACTTCCTGTGCGTATTCTGCTCAAAACGTCAAAACGCACCTCTCATACAATGTCTACTTTTATGCAGAGCTACGAAGACATGGGCAAGCTCACACAGTGTTACGCGTGAGTGGGATCGCTAGCAGCCGTTGTTCCTTCTATATCTGGATACTCCAGCGTTATCTTGGAAGCTCTGCGCATGTATCCGCCGGTATGGACCCTTAATTCCCCTATATGGCATCCCCCCTGACGTCTCTGCAGGTATGTCTCATCCCGAAGACAACCGCCGAAGACACAACCCTTCATACTTGCAACATGGCAGGCGAGCCTATCGCAATCCCTTGCCCCGCTGGGACAGGCATTGGTGTCCACATAGCAGGGTTACACTACAATCGTGCGCAGCGCGCCCTTTCATTTATTTTGCGCTCTGTCGACGGCTAACTCAATGACTGTGTAGCACGATACTGGAAGGACCCATACGCTTTTAATCCTTCTCGGTTCCTCGAGGACTGGCCGCGCGATGCTTTCCTCCCCTTCAGCGGTGGTGCGCGCTCGTGCTTGGGCCGGAGGTGCGTGCAGTAGCCGCTCGCTCGTTTACATATGCATCTTCATGCAGAGCATACCTGTAGATTCTCGGAGATGGAGGCGGTGGCTGCCTTGACCTACATCATAACTAGGTACCGTGTTGAAGTCAAAGAGGAGCCCCAGTTCGCTGCGGAGACATTCGAGCAGCGCAAGGAGCGTCTGTTGACATGCAAGACTGCGATAACACTCTAGTGAGTCCTGGGTTTCTTCTGGCTTAAAAACTGCTTGCTGAATCCACGCTGTCGCAGCCCTGCGAAGGCGCCTCTTGTATTCAAGAGAAGGTAGATGCCTGCACGAGCTTACTTTGTGACGGTGTACTATGCAACGAAGAAGAGCTTCTGTTAGTATGTTACGTGTTATTTACGAGCATCTGTTTCGGTCCCACATCTCCACTCAGCCTGTATTAGCTATCTCATCAGACGTTAGATCGAACGACCGCAAGTCCTGTCAACACAATTCGTATTGCCGATCGAGGACATGACCTTCGATACGCTAGGTAAGAGCTAATCGAGTATGCCGCCCAGCCATAGGTTCCTGGCAGAGTCATTCCTCAACTCGTCACGTTCATCTGTATCGATACTGCTGATGCGGACGGGCTGGTCTTCATTCTCCAGGATGACATCGACCAGCTCCGCAGCGAACCAGATCACGAGGCGGAGGATGAGTAGTCCCACAACTAACGACAGGACGAGTCCGACCAGATATTGCCTAGCTTCGGAGGCGTGTTCATAGGGCGACGTGAGCACTCGATGAATGTACGACCTCGGGTGGAGAGCGACCACTGCGGCACCGAAGAGTATGACGTAGACGTAGAGTGGTGCCAGGTAGGCGAATGTGCGCTTTTGTGTGTAATTCGGTATAGCGCGCGCGCGTTGGAGGGCGAATTTGAGGTCGTTGACGAACGAGTGAATCGCGTCGATCCAAGCGAATACTTCGCCTGAGATCGTGCCTTGTGCGGCAGATGACCAGTCAACATTCCTCCAGCGCCTGTCCGTCCTGTTAGATGGTGCGGTGGACAACATCTCCGCGAAATGGGAACCCGTTTGGTAGCGGCGAACGAGAGGCATTGTGTAAGCGCGGTGTTTTGAATATGGAAGGGAAATAATAAGGGCCAGCCTCAGTATAGACAGTAATGTGGGCGAGTGAAAGGTACTCTAGACTCAGATGCAAGTGTTTTTATTGGATGGTCAAGTTGCAAATGTCTCACTGAGAAACCGTGTGGCTGACCGCGAACCGCGTACTTGGTAGCCACAGTCGCACGTGGTAGATCGGGATTGTCGGCAATCGAATGATCTAGGTTCCGGGGGAAAGATTAGCGCTTGCGATGCACGTCTACCCACCATGTGGTGTGCTCGCGACGCCTGTGGCAGTGAACTCTCTCGGCCACACAATCTCCTCTGTTGACGACTTCTCCAAAGATGAATGCGATAGTGCTTGTTTTTGTTTTGTACTTTGTCCACATCCTCATCATGTCTGACCTTTTTCCAACGGCGCTTCCTCGGCTGATACCCATGTGATGCAGGGACATCACCGTTCGCATTTTGAGATTACGGAACCTTGCCTGGGGTTCCTTATTGCGCGCACGGTGTAAACGCCAGATAACCCTGGAATAGCTTGTGCCATATGGTCCCTCGGCCGCACACTGACCAACGGTCGGCGATTCTCGTATATAAAGCCGTCCCGCGGTGCTTCGATGCTCTCGCCCGCTGTGCACAAGGCCTGACCTCTCTCTCTCTGCGTCGGCGAGGCTTGCTACCTGTGAGCAGGACATGATGGTGCCCCTTCAGATGATCGGCGCTGCACTCCTGCTGCTGGCTTCTCTTGCCAATGCCAGGCTCCCAGATGGCAGGCCACATGCGAATATGGCACCGCCCCCCACCGCTCCCTCTCTGGTCGCACCTGAAGGCCCTGTAACGAGTCGAAACGGCACCGTGCTGCCGCCATATGACACGACGTACTACTTCAATCAGCTGATCGATCATAATGATCCTAGTCTTGGTACTTTCGTACAGCGTTACTGGCATACTTGGGAATTCTATGAGTCGGGTGCGTTCGAATATGTATTGCTGTCCTGTGTTGAGCAGTGACTGAGCCGCCAAGCGCTGCTTGATATAGGCGGACCCATCATTTTGTTCACACCGGGGGAAATCAATGCCGATGGCGAGTAACCAATCTCCCTATGTACCGCCAGCGTCATATAAGAAAGCAATGTTGACTGTAGCTGTGATGATGAATAGGCTATCAGGGCTACCTGACAAACGGAACCATTAACGGTCTCATCGCGCAGCAGCAGAACGGTGCTACTATCGTCCTCGAGCACCGGTTCTATGGCTATTCGAACCCGTATAACAATCTATCAAGCACGAGTCTCCGTGTGCACACGCTACCGCAGGCGATAGATGATCTCGTGTACTTCGCGAATAACGTCGACTTGCCCATGCCCGGTGGCGATGCCGTTAAGCCCGGTCAGGCGCCCTGGGTCCTGATTGGTGGCAGCTACTCCGGCGCGCTTACTAGCTTCACTGTGGTGAAGTATGTAGCTAGTTGCGTGTATATGCGCGCATGCTGATCTGTATCGGCATGCTAGCCAACCGGAAACCTTCTGGGCTACCTATGCCTCGTCAGCGGTTGTTGAGAGCATCGTGTACGTCCTGCATCGCTACACCAGATATGCATGTCTGATATCTAACGTATCTAGCGACTATTGGGGCTACTTCGAGCCCATCCGCCAGTACATGCCGCAGAACTGCTCCGCGGACGTCGAGGCTGTCATCGCCTATATCGACCAGACATTCACGACGGGCACTGCCGAGGAGATTAACTCGATTAAGACACTGTTCAACATGAACCTGTCGCACCTCGACGACTTCGCTGGTGCCTGTGCGTACCGCCACTCTCTGCCTTGATGCAGGTGACGGCGTGGAGCTAATGCTGATATTGCTTGGCCAGTGCGGAACAACCTCTGGGACTGGCAGTCTCTTCAACCAGATAGCGGACCCGACCAGCAATTCTTCCAATTCTGCGACGCGCTCGAGGTCAAGGACGGTGTAAGTGCGGGTCCAGAGGGCTGGGGCCTCAAGTATGCGCTTAACGCCTGGGGAACGTACTGGGCGAACACATACTACTACCTGAGTATGTGTTCTCTCACATCAATGCATGATTCATACTAACAAGGGCTGTCCCTCGCTCGCAGTCTGTGGTGACCTGGACGCTGAGTCAGTCCAAGTACATGGGTGCACCTTTGAGCGATGACTTGACATACGTGTTACGGATGCAGGGATTGCCTGGGAACCTACGACCCCACGCAATCGTACTACACCGATATCTCTATCAACAATGCTGGGCGTTCCTGGGAATGGATTGTGTACGTCATCCTTCTTAAGTATCGATACAGTCTGGCTAACCCGTGTCGTAGATGCAACTACATGGGCTTCCTCCAGGATGGCGCCCCGCTCGACTACCCTACTATCGTCACGCGCCTGGTTCAACCTATATACGATGAGGTGAGTCGTGATGTACAAGCGCTACATTACAGGGCTTAGACTTGTGACCGATAGCGCCAGTGTACGTACTACTTCCCGGAGGCGTTTCCCAGTCCGCGGGCTCCGGAGGTGGATGTGATCAACGCAGCCTATGACGGGTGGTTTGTGAATCACAATCAGCTCTTCTTCGCGAACGGACAACGTAAGTCATCCGTCAAGCCGTTGTTGTACTTGGGTGCTCAGATTCTCCCCCAGGCGACCCGTGGCGTGAGGCGACTGTGTCAGCAGATGGACTCAACCGCGTCAGTACACCATGGCAGCCCATCGAGGAGGGCAATGCTTTCCACACCTCCGATCTGCTGACGGAGAATGGGGTGGTAGATGCCACCGTCGCGGCGGTGCAGGCAAAGGGTCTAGCCTATATGAAAGAGTGGTTGGCGGGTTGGAAGCCCTCGGCCTCATGAAAGAACAATCTAATGCAGTTGTACCTCCCCTTGTCTTAAGCTGCCTATCGCCGCACATATTGGAGTGCAAGTTGCTGGATATTCGCACTGTGCACGTCGCCTTGGCGAGATTTTGATTGACCGCAGGAGTCGAGTTCCGTATAAGAGCAGTGTAGGCTCGGTGCCGCCGTCCACTTCTGACATGTCTGATATTCTGATGCCATTGTTCTCTATGTTCTCTATTGTGACGGTTTGTCACATCGATGGGCGGAGTGTCCAACCCTTTCCTACATGATGTTCTAGTGGAATGAGACTCGCATCGTGGGTGTTAATCAAAACCACGGCGTGGATGAAACATAGCCTGTCTGTGCATTGATTGCTATGAAGCAACCAGGCTTTGAACAATGTTCGACGCCCACACGCGGCGAAGGAAGACATGGAGGAGGGCGCAGGGTGGGAGGAACCGGAATCTGACGAAAGATGGGGGCTGCGGCAATCGGGCGCTTGGTGGACATTGTTGGCGATAGCGTCTCTATCCGGTTGCGTGAGAAGCCAGAAGTCACGTGCGTACGTACCCTTTGCCCAGAAACCCTTTGCCCAGGCGACAATTTATATTTTACTGCAGTTATACATCCTGTTCTCTCCAACTCGCCCCCCACTGCCCTTTGCCACCCCATCGCGTGTCAGTTAGTTCCCCCCTCGAGGCCGTACACGTTGAGCTTGTCGCTGAGATATCCTTTCTCCAGTAACACCCCTTCACACCCACCCAATTACCAACAAATCACAGTAAGTGACAACGACGCGTTCGACGCGTCTTATGCGAAAGGTGAACGCGTTTGCTGACCGTGTATCCTCCTGCCAGATGACCCAGTCGCGTGAAGATTCCGTCTACCTCGCCAAGCTCGCTGAGCAGGCAGAGCGTTACGAGGGTGAGTGTTAGCGCTACGCGCATCTTGTGACAGGAACGTGACGCCACGCGACAGAGATGGTCGAGAACATGAAGCGTGTCGCATCGTCAGACCAGGAGCTCACCGTCGAAGAGCGCAACCTACTGTCCGTCGCATACAAGAACGTCATCGGTGCACGCCGTGCGTCATGGCGGATCGTTTCCTCGATCGAACAGAAGGAGGAGTCCAAGGGTAACGAGGCGCAAGTAGTAATGATCAAGGGCTACCGGGAGAAGATCGAGACCGAGCTTGCAAAGATTTGCGAAGACATTCTCGAGGTTCTCGAGAAGCACCTGATCCCCTCTGCTGCGTCCGGAGAATCGAAGGTGTTCTACCACAAGATGTATGTATGGCTTCGGGATGATCGGAGACATGTGGTGCTGACGGTCGTTGACAGGATGGGTGACTACCACCGTTACCTCGCCGAGTTTGCAACTGGCGACAAGCGGAAAGAGAGCGCTGACAAGTCGCTCGAGGCCTACAAGGCTGCATCCGATGTCGCTGTCACTGAGCTTCCCCCGACACACCCCATCCGTCTCGGTCTTGCGCTCAACTTCTCTGTGTTTTACTACGAGATTCTCAACAGCCCCGACCGCGCATGTCATCTCGCGAAGCAGGCGTTTGACGATGCTATCGCCGAGCTCGACACACTCTCGGAAGAGAGCTACAAGGACTCGACCCTCATCATGCAGCTCCTCCGTGACAACCTCACTCTCTGGACGTCTGACATGCAGGAAAACGGTAACTAGTTTTCACGCGCGGGGTTTTGTGGCATTGACAAACGTTATTTACAGAGAAAGCCGCAGAGAAGGAGGAGGATGAGGAGTAGACGCCTCTCCAGCTCCCTTTCGTTTTCCTATGTTGTTATCACCGTTCCTGCATACATCCCATCATAGCATATTCACATCGTAACTGTTGCATAGTCCTTATTACTTCTCTTTTCGTTGCATGTCTTTCGTAATGCTAGCTGGTTGAGTCTTTCCATCCACTGGTTCGCCATAGACGACGCAGTGGTCCTTGGGATTGGGGTCTCGTGCGTAGTACAAGGGAAAATCAATGTATCACTGATTCACGAATCTCGCGTGCAGGAAGTCCATGAAGTAACTGCTACGGTGGAGGAAAATGCGCGAGGTCTGGAGAAGTGACTACGGCGCGGAGTATCATTTTTCTTCTCAAGTTTTTACTCTTCGTTTATCTGAGCAGAAAAGCACAGCAAGTACGTACCTGGGTTCAATTCCTCCGACTACGGCCCGCAGAGATGGTTTCAGCGAGGAACTGATTGGTGTAAGTTGACCCAGAGTACTGCCACGCTTCTGAGGGCGGCAGAATGCGCAAGTAAATATGACGTGCCGGAACGATACTCCTGAGCTTGAGCAGCCGAGACATTGCCAGTCGCGAACTCAATCTGGAGAGCCGGGTCTATCTTGCTTGTGCCCTGGACTGGGCTTCCATCTGGATTTGGACAGTAGTATACCTGATTTGGAAGTGTTTTGATTGGTCTAACAAGTTTCTAAAGTTTGGACACTTGTACATCATCATTCTACTCTCAAGCATCATTGTAACATCATCCTGTCTGGGCTCTCCTGTATGTATATAAGCCTGTGTTGACATCGAACAAATCACTTTTCCCTCTCTCACTTGTGTAGAAACAAGTGTTGGCATCAGGCATGAATGAGCAAGTGCTAAGGTTTTATGGAAGTGAGTGGTGTGGGAAAAGATCAAATATGAAGCAGTTTATAGCAATTACAGGGACAGTACAAGTGTGTCATCAGGCTAAACAGTGCAAGACGATGGCCTCAGTTCATGCTTGTGCAAGAGAGCAAGACTTATATATTTGCATACCTAAACAGTGCAAGATGATGGCTACAGAAGTCAATGTAAGCTACAGTATATGTACCAGTAACAGATGACAAACTCACCCTTAGTTTACACTTGTGCAAGAGAGCAAGTGAAACATTTGTCTTTCCATTCTATTTCTTGCACTACTAGTGCCCATGCTGGCGCTGTCGTGACTTGGGGTCAAGCAACAGGGAAAACCAAACAAAGCACTGGGGGCATTCGACTAATTCTCACTGAAGCAATGGTGAGCATAGCTCAAACCTAAGGCTAGGGACAAGATAATATTTTAGTTAGTTAGATAAGAAAGGAATACAAAGGGAGCTTACTGACCTAGGGACAAGAGGTCGAAACTGAGGTCCCTAGGGCACCAGAGGCCGGCTTATATACAGGAGAGGTTTAGGGCAGGCTGTGTGCACTGGTTGAAACATTTGTCTTTCCGTTCTATTCCTTGTACTACTAGCGCCCATACTGGCGCATGTCTTAGCGCTCACCCGCAGGTTGAACATTATGTAGCTTACATAATGGGGTCCATGCGCACTTCGTACTCGGCATCGTACCACTACGTTTCTTTCTTCACTAACACGACCACATAGACACGATGGTCCGTGCGCAGTCGGTACTTGTATAAGTAGTTGTACCATTAGTCGGTCGAACCCTAAGTTCGACCTGGTTATTCATTAAAGTCTCTGCTCCTCTTCGCTTGGGGTAGTGGTCATTCTCGACTTCCTTGCTCGATCTTCAGGACGACGCACTGTCCATAAGTCCTCGCTCGTCGTCTACGAGTCAGGCATCAATATAGGAGTAAAGACCGTTGTATCAAAAGGTCGAACTTTCTAAGCTACGTTCCTAGTTTTACCTAGTCGAACATCTCATCCACCATCACGTCGAACAACGCAGTCAACCCAGTTCCTTTGGGACTACCAGCCCTCGCAGGATCACCGCTCCTCCAGTACGACCGAGCGGATCGCTGCTTCGTCACCTCCACAAAAAGAGCTCCCATCTACCCTCGAGGCGGCACCTGGTGTCGTGCTACCGGTCCAAACCCACAGGTCATCGCCCACCAAGAACTCGTTAGCTACTACCAGAGACACCCACCTGCTCACCCAGAAGACGTATTCACCACCCTACGGATCGACGTCGAACCTACACAAACAGCAGAAAGCGTGCAGTCGCCCATCAACAAACTACCACTCGAACTCCCCGAAGTTCAGTACGTTCCCATCGAAATCCCAGACATCGAACTACCACCAGCCCCACCCGCACCAACCA